CAACTACTGGTGCTGAAGAAACTGAAATTGACCAATTCTATGAAGACTTATAAGACCTTATAGAAGTGACACCAAAGAAGGATGTTCTTCTCATTATAGGGGATTGGAATGCTAAAGTAGGGAATCAAGAGATAAAAGGAACAACTGGCAAGTTTGGCCTTGGAGTTCAAAACGAAACAGGGCAAAGGCTAATAGAGTTCTGTCAAGAGAACAAGCTGGTCATTACAAACACGCTTTTCCAACAACACAAGAGACGACTCTACACGTGGACATCACCAGATGGGCAACATCGAAATCAGATTGATTATATTCTCTGCAGCCAAAGATGGAGAAGCTCTATACAGTCAGCAAAAACAAGACCTGGAGCTGACTGTGGCTCAGATCATCAGCTTCTTATAGCAAAATTCAAGCTTAAACTGAAGAAAGTAGGAAAAACCACTGGGCTGGTAAGATACAATCTAAACCAAATCCCTTATAAATACATAGTGGAAGTGAGGAACAGGTTTAAGGATTTAGATTTGCTGGACAGAATGCCTGAAGAACTGTGGGTGGAGGCTCGTAACATTATACAGGAGGCAGCAACTAAAACCATCCCAATGAAAAAGAAATGCAAGAAAGCAAAGTGGCTGTCCAACGAGGCCTTACAAATAGCGGGGGAGAGAAGGCAAGCAAAATGCGAGGGAGATAGTGAAAGATACAGGAAATTGAATGCAGATTTCCAAAGAATAGCAAGGAGAGACAAGAAGGCCTTCTTAAACGAGCAATGCAAAGAAATAGAGGAAAACAACAGAATGAGAAGAACTAGAGATCTGTTCAAGAAAATCAGAAATATGAAAGGAACGTTTCGTACAAAGATTACCATAATAAAGGACAAAAGTGGTAAGGACCTAACAGAAGCAGAAGACATCAAGAAGAGGTGGCAAGAATACACAGAGGAATTATACCAGAAATATATGGATGTCTCGTACACCCCAGGTAGTGTGGTTGCTGACCTTGAGCCAGACATCCTGGAGAGTGAAGTCAAATGGGCCTTAGAAAGCACTGCAAATAACAAGGCCAGTGGAAGTGATGGTATTCCAGCTGAACTATTTACAATTTTAAAAGATGATGCTGTTAAGGTACTACACTCAATATGCCAGCAAGTTTGGAAAACTCAGCAGCGGCCAGAGGATTGGAGAAGATCAGTCTACATCCCAATCCCAAAGAAGGGCAGTGCCAAAGAATGCTCCAACTACCACACAATTGCACTCATTTCACACGCTAGCAAGGTTATGCTTAAAATTCTACAAGGAAGGCTCAAGCTGTATGTGGACCGAGAACTCCCAGAAGTGCAAGCTGGATTTCGAAGAGGCAGAGGAACCAGAGACCAAATTGCAAACATGCGCTGGATTATGGAGAAAGCTAGAGAGTTCCAGAAAGACATCTACTTCTGCTTCATTGACTATGCAAAAGCCTTTGACTGTGTCGACCACAGCAAACTATGGCAAGTTCTTAAAGAAATGGGAGTGCCTGATGGGAGTGTCTCCTGAGACATGGGAGTGTCTCCTGAGAAATCTCTATGTGGGACAAGAAGCTACAGTTAGAACTGGATATGGAACAACTGATTGGTTCAAAATTGGGAAAGGAGTACGACAAGGCTGTATATTGTCTCCCTGCTTATTTAACTTATATGCAGAATTCATCATGCGAAAGGCTGGACTGGATGAATCTGAAGCCGGAATTAAGATTGCCGGAAGAAATATCAACAACCTCAGATATGCAGATGACACGACCTTGATGGCAGAAAGTGAGGAGGAATTAAAGAACCTTTTATTGAGGGTGAAAGAGGTGAGCGCAAAATATGGTCTGAAGCTCAACATCAAAAAAACAAAGATCATGGCCACTGGTCCCATCACCTCCTGGCAAAGAGAAGGGGAAGAAATGGAGGCAGTGAGAGATTTTACTTTCTTGGGCACCATGATCACTGCAGATGGTGACAGCAGTCCCGAAATTAAAAGACGCCTGCTTCTTGGGAGAAAAGCAATGACAAACCTAGACAGCATCTTAAAAAGTAGAGACATCACCTTGCCAACAAAGGTCCATATAGTTAAAGCTATGGTTTTCCCAGTAGTGATGTATGGAAGTGAGAGCTGGACCATAAAGAAGGCTGATCGCCGAAGAATTGATGCTTTTGAATTATGGTGCTGAAGGAGACTCTTGAGAGTCCCATGGACTGCAAGAAGATCAAACGTATCCATTCTTAAGGAAATCAGCCCTGAGTGCTCACTGGAAGGACAGATCGTGAAGCTGAGGCTCCAATACTTTGGCCACCTCATGAGAAGAGAAGACTCCCTGGAAAAGACCCTGATGTTGGGAAAGATTGAGGGCACAAGGAGAAGGGGACGACAGAGGACGAGATGGTGGGACAGTGCTCTCGAAGCTACCAGCATGAGTTTGATCAAACTGCGGGAGGCAGTGGAGGACAGAAGTGCCTGGCGTGCTCTGGTCCATGGGGTCACGAAGAGTCGGACACGACTAAACGACTAAACAACAACAATGACTTCCCTTGATTAGGACACCATACTTCTGTTGATACAGTCTAGAATGGCATTAGCATTTTTATTTATTTATTATTATTTTTGCTCCTGCATGCATCACACTGCTGACGCATGTTGAGCTTCTGGTCCACCAAGACCCCTAGATCCTTTCCACATGTCCTGCTAGTAAGCCAAGTGTCCCCCATCTTATATTTGTGCATCTAGTTCTTCCTGCCTAAGTGCAGAACCTTACATTTGTCCCTACTGAAATTCATTTTGTTAGCTTGCGACCAGTTCTCCAATCTGTTAAGGTTATTTTGAATTCCAATTCTGTCTTCTGTGGCATTAGTTACCCCTCCCAATTTGGTGTCATCTGCAAATTGGATGAGCATCCCCTCAAATCCTCCATCCAAGTTGTTTATAAAGATGTTGAACAGCAGCAGGCCCTGTGGCACCCCACTTGTCATTTTTCTCCAGGATGATGAGGAATAATAATAATAATAATTTATTTATTTATACCCCTCCCATCTGGCTGGGTTTCCCCAGCCACTTTGGGCGGCTTCCAACAAAATATTAAAATACAATAGTCTGTTAAACATTAAAAGCTTCCATAAACAGGGCTGCCTTCAGATGTCTTCTAAAAGTCTGGTAGTTGTTCTTCTCTTTGACATCTGATGGGAGGGCGTTCCACAGGGCGGGTGCCACTACCGAGAAGGCCCTCTGCCTGGTTCCCTGTAACCTCACTTCTCGCAGGGAGGGAACCGCCAGAAGGCCCTTGGCACTGGGCCTCAGTGTCCGGGCAGAATGATGGGGGTGGAGACGCTCCTTCAGATATACTGGACCGAAGCCATTTAGGGCTTTAAAGGTCAGCACCAGCATTTTGAATTGTGCTCGGAAACGTACTGGGAGCCAATGTAGGTCTTTCTTTTTTCTTTTCTTTCTTTGTTAGAGCCTTTATTAATTTTCCAATAAAAAAATCCAATTAACATATCAAATCATAATCCAATAAAAATATAAAATAAAATAAAAAAGATCAAATTGTCTTCCAAATTGTAATTTTGATTTTAATTTTGATTTATCGGCTTCCCACAGTCTGAACCTCGAAGCATATCCAAATCTCAGTCCTGCCTCTCATTGATATTTCCATATTTCCATAGCTCGATTTTATCTCTCCAGACTTCTTTGCCTCTGGCTCTGCGATCCTCAATCATGTCAGAAAACAAATAAGCTAGGCGGTCCAGAAGGATGTTATGGTCGATTGTATCAAAAGCCGCTGAGAGATCCAGCAGAACTCGGAAACAGCTCTCACCTTTGTCCCTAGCCCACCGGAGATCATCATCCAGCGCGACCAAGGCAGTTTCAGTCCCATGATGAGGCCTGAATCCCAACTGGAAGGGATCCAAATGGTCCACATCCTCCAGGCGTGCCTGGAGTTGTTCAGCAACCACTCGCTCTTTGGTTTTGGTCCTCCAACCAGCTACAAATCCACCTAACAGTTACTTTGTTCAACCCACATTTTGCCAGCTTCCTCACAAGAATATCATGGGGGACTTTGTCAAAAGATGTTTGATTTCTGTTTGAATCCAAGGCTGCGGTTATGGGGAAAGCAAGACTCCCTTGGGGTGTTCATGCTGTGAACCCCTCCATCACAGGCTCAGGTTGTATATATGTTTAATGAAACATCTAACATAAGGACCCCCCCCCCCCAGTCTCCACTGTGGTTCATTCTAAAGGAAACGCAAACCCAGAGAGCCCTGGAATCTTGCATCGCTCGGAGCTTGGGGTGGCATGCACAAGATGATTGTCGTTCTGCTTAAGGAAGCATTTTGTGGGGTTTGTTTTGGCCTTGGCAGAGCAGAGGACAGGCAATTCTAGGCATATTGCTTTGTGGCACCATGGTTGGTGAGTCCATGGTGGGCTGAAACCTTGCCTTCAGTGATGAACAGCTATCTCCGGCTGTAGGAAAATTGGGCCAAAACGTCCTTTGGCCTAGTTAGAAAAATGGGCCATTAGGAAATTGCAAGGAAGGACCGTTCTGAGAGGGATTAGCTGAGCTCTTTTGACTCTCTAATCACCCTTCCATGCTCATCCCTCACCTGAAGTGTCCGGCAAAGACACCCATGGTGACGCAGGGTACGCGTGAGTCCTTCATGCCATGGTAAATGGGGGGGGGGCTGAGACAGGGAGGGGGCCAAATCACAGCCCAATTAAGGGATAAAACATTTAAGGGCTTTGGGGATCTTGTGCTCCAAGCTGGGTGCTTAATCCACCTGGGGGGGTAGGTATATAAATGAGTATTTGTCCTGGACCCTGGCACAGACAAGCGGATGGGAGAGACTGAGCGGTAGCGAGGGAAAGAGAGAGGAAAACAGAGAGCAACAGAGACAGAAAGAATCTAGTAGGAAAGAAAAAGAAAAAGGGAGGGAGTGGGACAGGGCAGCAAACAAGTGCAGGTGGAAGGTGGGAAAGAAGGCAGCAAAGGCCATGACAGAAGCCTGGGATGTGGCTGTATTTGCTGCCCGCCGGCGCAATGAAGATGATGATACCACCAGAGACAGCTTGTTTACTTACACCAACAGCAACAATACTCGGGGTGAGCCCAGCAGCAGGGCAGCAGAAATGGGGGGGGGGGTTGGAAGCCTAAAATTGGGGATTAGATATGGAGGTGCACTGGCATTTAGTTGAACCTTGATATAGCAAGTGATGCAGCAAGGGGGATGGTTAGTTGGTTACAAGCCTGTCTAGGGGACAAGTGTTCGAAAAGTGGAATTTGCCCAAGTTTTTTTGGGAAAGGTTCTGAAAAGTTTTTGGGACTAGACAAGGAAGGGTTCTCAGCTGGTCCAGGTGGAGGTCTCTGTGTGCAACTAGAGAGAGGTGTAACCTTATCCACTTTCCTGGTGTATGACTTGTGAAGGGGAAGGACCCTGTACGGTCTGCAAGGGAAGGGACACTAAGAAAATATGGGAAGATGCCTTCCCAAGTCTTGGTACAGTAGATTCCTGATGGATTATCTTGTGAGGCAGGCTGGGATCCCTCCAACTCCTAACCTTTTCCCTCCTTCGCAGACCCTTTTGAAGGTCCAAACTATCACATTGCACCACGATGGGTCTATAACATCACTTCTCTCTGGATGATCTTTGTGGTCGTTGCCTCAGTCTTCACTAATGGTTTGGTATTGGTGGCCACTGCCAAATTCAAGAAGCTACGGCATCCACTCAACTGGATTTTGGTGAACTTGGCAATAGCTGATCTGGGTGAGACAGTTATTGCCAGCACCATCAGCGTCATCAACCAGATCTTTGGCTATTTCATTCTTGGTCATCCCATGTGTGTGTTGGAAGGATACACCGTGTCTGCTTGTGGTAAGAGGCCAAGGGATTTCTTATTTACAATAATTTCTGCTTAATGCTCTGCCATCCTATTCCTTCCCCCATGTTATCCCTCCTGGCTCATATATTTACCCCCATTTAATCACAAGCCAGAGTCCTGTTGTCTTCCAAGATCACCACACTCTTTCCACCCTGCTTCTCCTTGTCAGGAATTTATGGGGTAGAAGGAATGCCAGCCCCACCCTTATCCCTGCTTGTCTTCCTCCTATGAATTCTGTGCATTCCAGAACTCTTTAGCTATGGTGCTTAGCAAGTGCAAAAGTTTGATCTACAATGCCCTCAACTATGATTGTAGTTGCTGAGAAAGCCAGGTAATGGGAGATGAATTGGGACAGTCCCAAAGTCTCATGATAGAATCAATACTCTCTTTTTGTGACAACTGCTCCCTCTGTTCTTTCCTCTCCCACAGGCATAACAGCCCTCTGGTCTTTAGCCATTATCTCCTGGGAGCGTTGGGTTGTTGTCTGCAAGCCCTTTGGAAATGTCAAGTTTGATGCCAAATTGGCCATGGCTGGCATTGTCTTCTCCTGGGTGTGGTCTTGTATTTGGACAGCACCACCCATCTTTGGCTGGAGTAGGTGAGTGTGAGGAGAGACTTGGACCGGCAGCAGCTGTGGAGAGAAGCAAGTAATGTAAGCACATGTACATAAAAAGAAGGGCTGATGATGGGGACTGGGAAGGTTAGACCCTATTCCATTTCAACTGTGCTAGCAGAACAAGTGCCACAAGCTTTGCCAAAGTAACACAGAACTGTTCAAGCCAGGCAATGTCCACTGAGAAAGATTATAGGGAAAGAAGAGGTCATGGAGTTCCTTGCTGTGAGAAAATCTGCCCCTTTTACAGTCCGTGAGATATTACATGTAGCTTTTGGCATGGGGAAATTTTCCTGGGGTTGTGAAGCTTAAGTAGGGTATTCTATTCAAGTACTGCCTCAGGCAATGGACATTTATGTATAAGGCTTAAAGCAGTTTGTGTCAATCAGCTTATCACAGGAATATTCAAACTACAGAATGTTTAGAATGTTTATTCATATCACAAAGGCCACCACTCCATGTGTGTAGCCAGGATTTGCGGGGGGGGGGGGAGAACCTCAGTTAGCTATGTATTTTTTCATTCCCCCCTCCCACTACGCCCTTGCACTGCTCTGTTTTCTCTTTTGAACTGCTCTGGATGAGAGGCAGTCGTTCTCTCATCAAATAGTGGTGGAAGAGACTCAAAGGTGATTTAAGTCCTGTTTGTGAAAATGGTCTTCCTCTTTCCTCTCCCTGTCCTGCAGGTACTGGCCCCATGGTCTGAAGACATCATGCGGTCCAGATGTGTTCAGTGGCAGTGAGGACCCTGGAGTTCAGTCTTACATGGTTGTGCTCATGATCACCTGTTGCTTCCTCCCACTGGCTGTCATCATTCTCTGCTACCTGCAAGTGTGGCTCGCTATCCGTGCGGTGAGCACCCACCCTATCCTAGGACCCCACCTCTGCATGCCCTGACTCTCCCTCAGGCTCAGAACAAAGCTTCACATAGGAACAGTCAGCCTTAATCCTGTCCCTTTTGCTGATTCTATTTCTGAAACTGCATCTCTCCCAAACTTGAGCTACCATACCTCTGGGATCTTTGTCTGGGATCAAACTACCAATTGCTAACATTCTACCATGCCTTCATTTTACTACTTCCACTGTGGAATCCCCTTGGTCACATTGCAACCAACAGTAGAATGTTCTCTCCATAGCTGCATGCCAGACAAGACCCCACAAATATAGTGGGATTTTCATTTCTGTAGCAGACCCCACTCTCTGCCCCGGCTTAATTTCTTGGTGAGCCCCTGTTATCCAGATCCAGTTGGCACCCCCCCCCTCATTTCCACTGGATTCCTTCCCTTTTCCATGGCTTGCTGTATATTGCTTGTGAGAAGATCGTCTGGTTGAAACATACCTGGATATAGTCTCCCATGAGACCTTCTCTTGTTTTACCTAAACCAGGTTTGTTGCAGGTTGAATCCCTCTCACCCATGTTCTGTGTGTGGGAATAATCTAAACACCATCTTTAATCTCACCTCCTCTTCCTCTTGTACAGGTTGCTGCCCAGCAGAAGGAGTCGGAATCTACACAGAAAGCTGAGAGGGAAGTATCAAGGATGGTAGTGGTTATGATCATTGCCTATTGCTTCTGCTGGGGACCATATACGATCTTTGCCTGCTTTGCTGCTGCCAACCCAGGCTATGCCTTCCACCCCCTTGCAGCTGCCCTGCCTGCCTTCTTTGCAAAGAGCGCCACCATCTACAACCCCATTATCTACGTCTTCATGAACAGACAGGTAATCTGCTATATTGTAAAATGGAGAATTAAGAGGATAGCCAAGATATTAAAAGTACTGAAAACCAGAGTTGTACGGGAAGGGATTTATGGACAGAAAACCCGATGTAGGATGAATGGCCTTGTAGATGACGCATGTTGTATAACTATACACACTGGAGGCATGTAGAACTGGTCACCAGTTCTGATTAACCTTGTCTCCATTTCCTCCACCCACTTGCCCTCTCTCTTAGAATCATGGAACTGTAGAGTTGGAAGGGACCCCAAGAGTAATCTAATAGAACCCCCTTGCAATGCAGGAATCTCAGCTAAAGCATCCATGGCAGATGACCACCCAACCTCTGCTTTAAAATCTCCAGGGAAGGAGAGTCCACCACCTTCCGAGGGATCCCATTCCACTGTCAAATGGCTCTTGCCATCAGAAAGTTATTCCTGATGTTGAGTTGGAATCTCCGTTCTTGTAACTTGAAACCTCTGGTTCCCTCCAGAGCAGGAGAAACCAAGCTTGCTCCATCTTTCATGTGACAGCCCTGGAGATACTTGAAGATGGCTATCATATCTCCTCTTAGTTTCCTCTTCCCTAGGCTAAACTTACCTAGCTCCCTCAAACATTCTTCATAAGGCTTGATTTCCAGACCCTTGATCATTTTGGTTGCCATCCTCTGCACTTTCCAGCTTGTCAACATTGTTCTTAAATTGTGGTGCCCAAAACTGGACACAATATTCCAGGTGTGGTCTGACCAAGGCAGAATAGAGTGGTACTATGACTTTCCTTGATTAGGACACCATACTTCTGTTGATGCAGCCTAAACTAGTATTAACCTTTTTTGCTCCTGCATCACACTGTTGACTCATGTTAAGCTTGTGGTCTACTAAGACCCCTCAATACTTTTCACTTGTACTACTGACAAGCCATGTGTCCCTCATCTTAGTGCAGCTGGTTCTTCTTTCATAAGTGTGGAATCTTACATTTGTAGAACCTTACCTCTTCCTTTCTCTTCGGCAGTTCCGTAACTGCATATTGCAGCTCTTTGGCAAGAAGGTTGATGATGGCTCTGAGGTCTCCTCCACTTCCCGCACTGAAGTCTCATCTGTCTCTAATTCCTCTGTATCACCATCATAAGAGCCCCATGCCTGGATGGACACCGTGACAGAACTCTGCCTCCCAGGAGAGCCCCAGTGATTGTGAGCCTCCCCTTCCTTCTGTGCCGTATGGATTCCCTTTGAGCATATGAAATACTGGCCTGCCATCTCAACAGATCCTCTCCTTTGAACTTAGACTGTGCCCCAGGCTGGGGTACTGCTGTTTCTCCTGTGGTTGGGGGAGGGAAATGTTTCTGTTTTTCTCCGAGAATTGTTTTTGGATGGGGGTGAAGGATGCAGAATTCCATGCTCAAATATACCAGCATTGTGCACCTTTCCTGGGACATCAGGGGTTGCTTGGACACTCCTTCCCCTCAGCTGTGATCCTTAAGTAGTCGCCCACTTGTTACTCTGTCTCCCAGAAGGGAGCAGAACTAAGGGGGCTCCTTGTGGGAAGTATATAGCTTTTGTAAAGCAACTCTGTCCAAGGCCCTTCCTTGAAACTGCCCCGAAGACCACACATCCCAAGTGCAACACACTGATTCCTGTGGATGAATGAGTTGGTGGATGTGAACCAATATAATTCACAATTTGACCATGCAGCACCTATTTTGATTCCCTTTTGCTCTGTCCTTCCTATAAAAAAAAATCACTGGTACCAGAGAGTGCATCACAGGGGTGGACAGGTGAATAAAGTTTGTCCTCCAAGGTGTCTGTGCCTCAGCAAGGTTGGGTGTATTGAGTTCTAGCTCTGTCTAGGAGCTGACGTAATTCTAATGTGGGACAGAACCACGGAGAATCAGCACGAGCCACCTTGGACACCACTGAGGACTTAGTGCTTCTCCCCAACACGGCTCAACTGGAACCTTTCTGTACATAGTGTTTGATACTAAAGCCTATTGTGTCCCTGGGACATCTAGCTAGAAATGCAATGGGGGGAAATGGAAAAAGAAAAAAAAAACTGACTGCAGCAAGAATGAGATAGAGAATAAAGATTTTTAACTTCTGTATAAAAGCTCAGTTTTTATCCTACAAACTATGTAACAAAACAGTGTTTGATGCATGGGAAGGGGGTGCAATAGTTGCCAGAGTAATAACTGTGGAGAGAGGAGAGTAGTTTTCGTTGCTTGCAGGTGCAATCAATCAATCAATCAATCAATCAATCAAGACAACCGTGAGGCAAGGTGAAGCAGTTGCCTCTGGCAGGAGGGTTTTCAGTACTATTAAGAGTTGAAGAATGGGGGACAAGAGATCTAACCCACCAGGCACAATCCATTGGGAAATTCTTGTGTGCAAATTCTATTGACATGAGCAGGAGCTGAATATGAAAAGCACTGCCATGGAGAGTGCCTTTTGTTAATTAGGGGGTAATAAGATGCAATTAGGTTTTTCTACCTCAGGACAAGTTCCATTTGTGGGGTTTTTTTCATACTCAAGTCAGCTCTCTGCCCACTTCCTACTGAGTCACCTTGCTTAGCATGGATACCACCACCCAAGCTCCTTACAGATTTTTGACCCATCTTGGATGTTGCAACCTAGAGTTAGGCTTGTCACCTGGAATGATTTTTCAGTTAACTATCACATATAGCTTGGCATAGCCACAGGGAGAAATAGACATGTCAGAAAGCACAGGGGAATAGGCTCTTAATTTTTAATTAATTAATAAATAAACAAACAAACAAGTAGTTAAATAAGCATTGAGAGTAGGGAGTGTTGGAGAGCATCAGGATGGATAAGGAAATTTGTGTGCCATTTTGTTCTCTGTCTACCAGGCAGAGGGAAGCCATGTTCTCCATTCCTGTTGACGAATGACGGGCAAGTACTTCCAGGCAGCGCTTATGATGACAATCACAAGCAGAGTGGCCAGGGCACGCCAGCGAGTGCGCAGGAGAGGAAGGGAACAGGCTGAAATAGTAGAAACACACACCAAGAGAATGGTGGCAATGGTCAGCAGCAGGTTTATGAGCTGTCCATAAAGTTTATACACACTGGCCTGGGGCAGCTCCATGGCCTCCTGTTGCTGGGTTTGCTGCTGCATTTCGAGTTTGGCCAGCCGGGTCTGGTAGGAGTCCAGCACCTCCTGGCAGGGGTAAAAGGAGAAGGTATGAGGTCCAGATCAGATCAGGTTCTAGACCACCTGTCCCCACAATGGCTGGTCTTTCCCTCAGATAAACCTGTTTGGGTTCCCACACCCTTATTTCTCGCCTGGAATGTGCAATTCTTAAATTATAATGCTATTCTTTGATGGTCCTATCTTATATCCTGTTAGCAATCTCAGTTTGCCAAGTGCCAGTTCTTAGGTAGTCAAGTGGCACAATGCTCATACAAAAGGGAGGCATCAGCAAGCTCAGGGAGACCCCAAGGTGTGCAGAAGTAGTACACAAAAATATTTGGTGGACATAAATTGGGGAGGGGGGCAAAACAGCCCAATGGAGTTCAAGCACATTCTGTAGCAATAGAGTGCTTACTGAGAGATGGGAAACAGAAAATCATTGGGAAGAGGGGGGAAAGAAAATCATTGGGAACAGGGGTGCCAACTTGAATAAAATATTGTGGGGATCTAGGTAAGCCCCACCCTGCATAATCAATCACATGAGGCAGTGCATGCAGACCATTTTAATGGGAATGCACATCAACTTTGTGGGGGCCCAGCCCCCTCGAATATTTTATTGTGGGAGCCAAAGCCCCCACAGCCCCTAGGAGCTGGCTCCTGTGATTGGGAAGGGGACTGAAATGGAACTTCCTGAATGGGAGCATTCCCCACTGTATAATTTTGTTATAGGTCCCATAGTTCATGTGATAATGGTGTTACAATATATGCAAGTGAAATACTTGCCAATAAGGAACATATCAGCATATGGGTAATAAAACCATCCACTGGCCAGCTTGAATCAGTACACACCCACCCACCTTGGGTATCACTCTACAAAAAGGTCAATGCCACCCCACCCTCCAATATTCTAAGCTATATAATTAATATTGACCTGAATCCTCTGAGCTTCCTAGCATTCTACTTTGACATAGGCAATACATGACATCCCTCTGGAAACACACTGCTGCATCTAAAGCTGACTGTTATGGCCTACCCCATAATGTGATATACCTCATTGCCTCTGCAACCACACATTCTGTCATGGCCAATAACAAGAGGATCACTCCACTGTCCTACTCGCTGCCCTTCATAATAGTGCCATGCATACATCTTGGGCTCCTAGACATGGGAGCTCCTTACCCAGATGTCCCGGGACCTCTCATAAGACTGATAGACCATTTTCTCCTCCGTGCATGCCAGGTCATGTTTGAGGTTGGTGATCTCATTGAGATTTATCTGTATCACATCATTCACCTGCACTTCGAGATGGTAGTACCTGGAGAAGGGTGGCACAGTCAAGGAGGGCGGAGTGAAGTTCTGCAGTCTGGTCCTTTATCCCTTGCTTCCCTCTTTGCACACACACCCCAAGCCAGCTGGCTGATCTTATTACAGCCTGAGCTTAAAACACTGCTGGTAAATGGATTATGATTGAGTTGGCTCTGTTCCCTCATTTGACACTTCCAGTGACAAGACACAGGTGAGCAGTGAAAGAGAGATGGCCATGATTACCCAGCAGACTCAAGGGCACCAAGTAGTGTGTGGTAAATATTAGGGCGCTGAACCAAAGAAGAGTGAGAAGAAACACTTCTGGGTGTCCTTGAAGATCAGGCCCCACGTGAGCTTGTTGCCAGGATAGTTTGACACCCAAGAATTGGTACTGGGGAAAATGTGATCCTGGCTGTGTTGAATTTGCTGTTATGCTAAGTATTCTATAGAGTATAGAAAAAATACCAGGCAGGTTGCTCACTGCTGAAGTGGAATTGTCGGGGGGGGGGGCGGTTATCAAAGCAAACTCTTCTATAACACTGCCATTCTATTTGAAATGACAAATGTGTTTACTAGCAAATCAAATGCTAGCTCAGCCATCAGCCTTGCCCCTCATCCTATGCATCAGATGGATTGTCTACTTTTCTATTTTTTAAAAAGTGTTGCATAAGCAGTTTGTTCATTACCTTATTTTTTTTAACTTTTTTGAGACATCACTGGCACAGCCAAACAATATTGTGTTTCTGCTTCAGACTTGCCGAACATTTTCCCCACCCAGAGCTTAAGCTTGGAGGAAAATAGGCACATTTGCATCAGCTGCCATTAATGTGCTTTCAGAATGTTCATTGCTCTAAAAATGTGCCCTTTTGTGGAGGCTAGGTCTCTCTTCTTTGAACTGAAGACATTCAGAATTCCTTCATTCTAAGGACATGATAGCTCTTCCCTTTTCCTTATTACAAGAAAATTGGGACCTTGGTTCCCATGTAATGTAACTGCAGCAGAAAAAGCATGGAGATCAGAAGGAATTGGCAAGCTAGATCCTGTACCATGGTATAGGTACAGTATAAGCTATGGGGGAAAAGGGATTTGCTTCTGTGCCTCTGTGTGAATCAGCGCTAGTTCCAGGTTTTTTTTTTGTGGGGGCCAATTCACACTCAATGCACCCCTCTCCAAAGCATCACTGTCCAGTTCTTTGCCCTCTCCCTCTGTTTCCCATCCACACAACTACCCAGAGGCAGAGCACAAGGGAAATGGAGGTTGCTTCTCCATCACCTCACTCTTGTCAGTGCTGGCATGTTTGGAAAGGACAAGATGCACAAGCAGAAATAACTAGGAGGAGCATGAGCAGGCTGCTCCAGAGTGTGGGCAGTGGGCCACCTGCAGGAGTGTGGACCTCTGCAGGTGCCCAACAATGTGCTGGCCCTGGTGTTAATGCAGATGGAAAAGGGAGTGTGGCACACAGTTCAAAAAGCCCATGTATCCAGTAATAGAAGTCTGATCACATTCCTTGGTGGGCAGTCTCGTGGCCAGGCCTCAGACCATGCAAATGATCCAGTGAATGGCAGGCTCGATCGCCTGGCTCCCAGCTATTGGACAATACCAGCAGTCCTTGGATGGGCGTTCCCCTGGTGGTGGGCTCAACCAGCCAATGGGAATGCTTGGGCCCACTCCCAGGGGGCGTTAAATTGCGGCCTGCCCAGAAGTCTTCCCTGCCTTTTTTGTTGGATCCCCACCCCTTAATTTGATTGCTTTTACTTGTGCTTTCACCTTGCTATGGACCAAGCCGGCCACCATATTCAGGGCTGGGCAGGAATTTTTCCATTTGGCAAATTGGCACTCACCATCTGGTTCTCACCTTTCTCATAGCAAATCACAACTTTATAAGGCGGTTAGGAATTGGGTAAGCCTAGATCTTGGCTGGAGGGGAGGTTGTAGCCTCTGCCTGCCCCCTTTGGGAAAGGGTATCCTGTTAAAAGGATCCAGGAGGAATGGTTCTGTCTGACACCTAGGCAGGGGCGGGGGCCTCACCACTCTTCCAAAGGGGGCCCTGTGGGGGGGTACCCCTATTTGATATAGGTCAAAGGGCATTTCCCCCCTCCCCAAGATGTGATCTATCCTTTGATGCACTTCCAGCAGATGCACTGGAGTGGAATAGTAACGGCTTTACCCAATGCTTATGCCAAACCATTCTTTACTGTAACCAATTGTTACAGGCAAAATTGTTCAAGGCAAAAACCCAATACAGTGGTACCTCGGATTACAGCTGCTTCAGGTTACAGACGCTTCAGGTTACAGACTCAGCTAACCCAGAAATAGTACCTCGGGTTAAGAACTTTGCTTCAGGATGAGAACAGAAATTGCGCGGCGGTGGCGGGAGGCCCCATTAGCTAAAGTGGTACCTCAAGTTAAGAACAATTTCAGGTTAAGAACAGACCCCCAGAACCAATTAAGTCCTTAACCCAAGGTACCATTGTATGCTGTTGTCCTGTGTCATTTCCCTAGAGAACTGTGGGGTCATGGGGCCTTGGCACACAACTCTAGATTCTGGCCCTAACAGCAGAGCATTGAAGATCTTGAGCCACAGGCTCTGAACCTGTGAGACTGAGCAGGGGGACAAGGAGACAGGAGACCAGGAAACATCAAACCTGAGAATGGGGTGTCAGGAGATGGGATACTGGAGCCAACTGCCCTCATTAATGTGGGTGCCCACCTCTTCTTCTCCTCCTGCAGCAGTTCCATCATCTGCTGTTTGTCAGCCTTCCATGACTCATCCAGCTTGTGCCACTCATCCTCCAGGACCTTGTGGTCTTCTCTAAGATCAAGCAGCTGAGCTTTCAACTCTTGAACCCTCTGCTTGATCTCTTCCTCAAGGATTTGCTTTGAGGAAGCCTCTTGAGCAGACCTGTTTTCTTTGCTCTCCGAGATGGAAGGAAGGAGTTCCTCAACAGTGCAAGTTTCTGAAGTGCGGTTTCTGGGTATGCTGAAGGATGGCTGGTGAGACATGCTGTTCCTGGGAGTGGTGAGCTGCTGCTGGGCAGGAGTAGCACTGCTGCTGCTGTCCTGGCTTGTAAAAATCCTCTGTTCCAACTTCTTCAGCTGAGCCCAGGAATCCTGCAGACGCTGTTCTAGTTGGGCAATATTGGCTGAGGAGCGCTGGTTGATACGTTCAAAGGCCTGCCGGATGGAAGGTGCTTTCTCTCTGTCTGCCTTGCCCACCAGCTCCACATAGCATGAGGTATTGTCATCCCGATTGGCTTTCTCCACCCGCAGCATCTCAGATAAGTGGAATATGCGATGGCGTAGGACATCCTTTGGGTTGCGGCTGCTTAATTGGGAAGTGGTAGAAACAACAGAGACACTGCGGGGCCGAGGGGGCTCCACCTACCACAGGGACGAGGCGGGAAGATGATCAGAGAAAGAGCCAATGACATCAGCTATGAATTCATGCTGGGTCCCCACTAGCTACATCACAAGACACTGAATTATACTTCATCTAGAATGCATTCTGCCATGGCCATTATTGATCTTTTTATCTATCCCACAAAGCACTCTGCTGTGCTTCCTCTAAGGACTGATACCATTTACAATTTTAATCATAAATTTAACAATACAATTAAAAACAAATTGGGCAATAATATTTGAATGTACATGATACTGCTCCAGTCACTTGGGATGAAGGACTGGGGTGCTGAACAAGAGACAGCTGACTTGGCAAGCACTCCTTGTAGGCTAAACAGTCACTCAGGTTGTTCACCACCAACACTTCCTGACTCCTTAATTCAAGCTAAGCAGGACTAACATCACAGTTCCTATTGAAATTATATTCACCATCTTCCATCCTCACTACCTGCCTCTCCCCACAATGGGATTAGGCACTTATTCTTCATTGGCATTGGGGAGGGACCCAGGTTTAGTGAGTGAGCAGGACTTGAGGGGCAAAGCCTTCCTTTGGTCCCTGCTGACTGCATTGGTAAGGCATGAGAGAGAAATGTTTCCTGACTTCTCCTGTCATGGGTCTCTGTGCACACAGTGACATCATAATGTTTTCTCCCCTAAAGCCATGGCAGGTGCAGCTCCTGGAACCAATAACCACAGATAGTGGGCAGTTGATGTGTGGAACATGGGCTGGGGCTTTTAAGAGTCTCCCCAAGAGAGCCACATGCCCTGGGGGAAATGAGGCTGTATCTTTTGGTCACTCACTGAACTGGCAGAGTCTTCTGCTTGCTGAAAGGATTCTCCCTTGGTTGAATTACAGAGATCCACCATGGGTGCTGTAAGGAGACAGGCATGTGCATCAAAGAGCAATTCATTCAAGAAATGAAATTCCAACTAAACATGCGGAAAAACTTTCTGACAGTAAGAGTTGTTCCACAGTGGAACGGTCTCCCTTGTGGACTCTCCTTCCTTGGAGGTTTTTAAGCAGAGGTTGGATGGTCATCTGTCACAGATGCTTTAGCTGAGATTCCTGCATTGCAGGTTGGACTAGATGTTCCTTGGGGTCCCTTCCAAGTCTACGATTCTATGATTCTATCTCATCCTGGACCCAAGCTAAGGGCCCCAAGAGACACTACGCAAGTGACAGTATGTGTCCACCTTCATCTCCATTACTCCAAGTCTTTATCAACATTGTCATCATCATCGTCATCATTATCCTTAATTATTAAATGAATATTAGACATTTCCCATCCCATTTGTTAAGTATCAAAAGCTTACAAACAAACACATTAAAAGCATAATAATAATATATTCTAGAATTTTCCCCTCCCCCCAAAAATGTTTGTGATCAGGAACACTTTGGGGAGGACCGGGGGGCCCTGAATGCATGATTTTGAGGGGGTGTGAGCCAGGTAGCCTCCAAGCAAGGATCCCCACCATGCCTGTCACTGGGGGTCTTTGGGCCCAGGAGCCCAGCCTGACCTGGCCTACCCTCACTGAATGACCGGCTGGCCAGTGCTGGGAAAATTCATCTGCCAAGGGCTGTGTTGGTCGCCTGGGCTCCTCCTGCATGGGTGGGTGGGCAGGTGGCACAGCCTGGCCACTGTTTGTGATTGAAATGTGAACAAGTTCAATCCTCTTAATACAGGGATGGTGCACCTGTGGCCTTTCAGATGTTGTGGACTCCAACTCCCATCAGCTCCCCCAGTCAGCATGACCAATGGTCAGGGGTGATGGCAGTTGTAATCCAACAACACCTAGTGTACAACAGATTCCGCACACCTGACTTCATATAATGCAGTTTCCCCTTCCCACTAATCAATCCTAGAGCTCTGCCAACAAGACTTTTCTACAAGAGAATTTCCTGGTGCATTGTGCTTTATGTGTTAGAGTTGTATGTCCTTCAGCTTTCTGCCTGAGGCAAACACCTCATTTGCCTCATGGTAAGATCTCCGCGGGTGGCGCTGTGGGTAAAACCTCAGTGCCTAGGACTTGCCGATCGCATGGTCGGCGGTTCGAATCCCCGTGGCGGGGTGCGCTCCCATCGTTCGGTCCCAGCGCCTGCCAACCTAGCAGTTCGAAAGCACCCCCGGGTGCAAGTAGATAAATAGGGACCGCTTACCAGCGGGAAGGTAAACGGCGTTCCGTGTGCTGCGCTGGCTCGCCAGATGCAGCTTGTCACGCTGGCCACATGACCCGGAAGTGTCTGCGGACAGCGCTGGCTCCCAGCCTATAGAGTGAGATGAGCGCACAACCCTAGAGTCTGGCAAGACTGGCCCGTACGGGCAGGGGTACCTTTACCTTTAAGATCTCCTTTGAGTAGGGGTTGCATATATATTAAGCAAATAGATGTCTTGGAGGACATTTAGAGGTGGGTGTGAGGGGTGATGAGCCAGCACCTCAACCCCAAACAGTCAAAGTGATTTGCCAACTTCTGTAACCACTAGGGATAGAAGGATAAAGTCCTAATTAACGGAGGCCCCAAATATCTGAAAGTCTGCCTCCTCAGGTGTTAAGAAAGGCAGAGAGGGCTGTATTGGTTATTCCACCTGTGACATACTATCTCACTGAAGATGTGAACTAGGTAATGTGACTTATTTTCTCTGTGTTTAAAAGTTTCATCTCTCCCTGTTGACAACACTAGGTAGGCCTGTTTGTGGTACTGTTTCTTTATTATACTACAGCCACGTGTTTTACTTATGTGAAGGATGCACTTATTCCCCCACACAGAGATTCAATTTAAGGAGGATGCACTTCTGGAACAAAACTAGACTTTTAATTAATTACACTCATGGAGGTTGGAAAAGATTGTGAATTGAACCAACGCATGGTGAATTTGCTCTCACTGAATCCTTGCAGCAATAATGCTTGTACATCATTCTGATGACATAAAATACTTGGAATGTGGCAGATTTGGAATGTTAACAGATATTATGAAATGCCAAAAAACTTAGTGAATGCGAGGCCCAGACTAATTGGTTGTCATTTTGACCTCTATACTAGAGCCAAGGCTGTAACATAAATCAGTCTCTTTGGACAAAGGCCAAAATTTCTGATACGTCATGCCAAAAAAAAAAGTACTGTACATACTCGTAAGTACTTGCATCATTGAGTCATACATGTATCTACCACTAGATGGCAGATGACTGATATTAGCTGGCCATATAGCCACGAAATTGCTAAAATAGGCCTGAGGTATTGCACAGCCATAAGCTGTTCCCAAGTAATCTGCCTAGAAGTCATGTTTCACCAGTTTCCAGCTGCAGACATAAAGTCTAGCTCCACCAGAATAATAGAGAGACTGTCTTCAGGCAGATATTGAAGTAGGTATCATAAATGAGGGTTGGGGGGGGGCGGAGAAACAAAAACTATGTGACTTGAGTTCATTCAATTCAATTACATTATATTTTGCTTTCTCAAAAGTTGCCTTGGGTTTCTGCTCAAAATCTCCCTAGGAAGCAGAGATTTGCAGCACCAGGACATTTTGCTATTAAAGCAAGTGAAAAGGTTTATATTAATAACCACTTATGATTTATCATCTTGGTAACCCAGCTTTGTGCACAAGTGTGCATACAGTAATTCTTTTTTTTTTTTTTTTGGTTCAGTATCTACAGCACGGGTGTCAAACACAAGGCCAGTGTAGCCGCTGCCGGCCGCCAGCCTTCACCTTTTATTCTCGCTTTTTTTTTTTTTACACAAGAAAGCCGCCTCTTCAGCGCATGCGCGGCAGCCTACAAACCAGAGAACATCTACCCTCTAGCGGCGCCACGGCCCCCGATGAATTTGAGTTTGACACCCCTGATCTACAGTATCTACTGTAGTATAAGAATAAAGTGCGGATTGCTCTCCACTTACAGCCCACTTTTTGAGGGCGATATCTGATGCTGAACAGGCCTCCTCTATTTTCTTAGTTCACATGGGCCTCTTACTTTCCACTAGAGAACAGCAGCAGCCTGAATTAGCCATTTGTATTTTGGACTCCAACTTCCTGGCCAGCATGGTCAATTGTTAGACATGATGGAAGTTGTAGTCAAGCAATATCTTGAGGGCCAAAGGTTGCTATAGGTTGATGTTTTATTATGTTAGTTGGCCAGTCATTTTCTGCATATGGGGTGCTTCTTATCTGTGTCTTTTATAGGTTGTGCATAAGAGCGATGCTGACCAGGTTACAGTTATTGAAGCATGTGCTACAGTCCATGAAGCCCTTGCAGCTGCTGCTGAGCTGGCCAAACAAGGTAATGGAATGCTGGGTTCTTTCCGCCCCCCCCTTGTGGAATTCTCTGATCTTTTGCTTCCTCTTAAGCATCTATATCCCTTTATAATCAAACACTTGGATGCTGCCACCATAACCTCCGATGCCATAGCCATCAGAGGCCAAATCACCACTGCTGAGGATCACTAGAGAATAAGCAACTTGCTCATCATGTTTGCTTCAAAATGACTGGGGAATGAAGGTTGTGACTGTGGAACCATGGCACAGGATGCTTGTGAAGAGAAACTATTCACGACAATGGTTCATCTTGCTTTTTTGATAATAATAATAATAAATTTTATTTATATCCCGCCCTCCCCAGCCAAAGCCGGGCTCAGGGCAGCTAACAACAATCAAATAATCAAACAATCAAATAATCCAACATTCTAAAACATTTCATTATAAAAATTAATTAAAATCAAATTAATGGCAACCGTTAAGCAAAGTTCTGTGCAGGTTGCCAGAGGAGGGAGTCAGGCTGGGCCCTGACCAAAGGCCTGGTGGAACAACTCTGTCTTGCAGGCCTTGCGGAAAGATGTCAGGTCCCGCAGGGCCCTAGTCTCTTGTGACAGAGCGTTCCACCAGATTGGAGCCGCAGCCGAGAAAGCCCTGGCTCTAGTTGAGGCCAGCCTAACCTCTCTGAGGCCTGGGACCTTCAGGATGTTTTTATTTGCAGACAGTAGGTTCCTCTGTGGGGCATACCAGGAGAGGCGGTCCCGTAGGTACGAGGGTCCTAGGCCGTATAGGGCTTTAAAGGTTAAAACCAGCACATGACATGTTGTGTCTGCAATTGCCAGTTGTACAAGTGTGGCTATATGTTAGCACTGGAATATCACCACTCTTACAAGTGCCCTGCAATTAAAAAAAAAAAAGTGGAAGGCCCTCCCAAAGGAGGTGAATCAGTCTCCTTCACTGTGAACTTTTAGGATATATTTAAAATGATTCCTGTTTACTTGGCCAATTGATGGCTGAAAATTCTGACCCTAGCAACTCTGTTATGATTAGTTTGAGTGTAGGTAATTGCTTTTAGGAATTTTAAACTGTTTTAGAAGGTTGTTTTAAACTGTTTTTTTAGTTGTGCACCATGGACTCTCTTGGTGGATGGCTGTGTGCCTTCCCCTGTGCTAGGACCTTAATAAGAATCTGCCAGATCTATCAGCAAAACTTGGGTTGTAGGGATTTCCCATCAACAGGCTGGGTGGCAGCAATCCCCACTGATTGATGCTAGCCTGCCCCCATCCTTCTGCCTTGATCTCAGGAGCTTTATGTTTTGCAGGCAGGGTGGTTAAGTACTTGCACAAGCTTGGGCTTATTACCATCTGAGTATTCCTCCTTGGGTTTGGCTAGGTCCCTGGTTATTGAGGAGACAGTACCACCACCACAAAGTTTGCTCTCTGTGCCCACTTGTATCTACCTGATATCCATCTCCAAGAGTTTCCCCAAACAATTTATTGACAGCACAGGTTTGTCTTCTACTTGTGGGGAGAACACTGCTGCTGCTACACTAATAATAATAATAATAATAATAATAATAATAATAATAATAATAATTTATACCCCGCCCTCCCCAGCCAAGACCAGGCTCAGGGTGGCTAACACCAAATATAAAAACAATTGGTTGAAATACAGCTTAAAAAACAAGATTAAAATACAACATTAAAACTTTAAGATGCAGCCTCATTTCAGTGGAAACTCAAATCAAAAACGTTTTGGGGATGAAAACGTCAAGTCTTCACCAAGGCTAACTATCCAGACAGGTCCTATGTGGGCCAGAAAAAAGCCAGGGAAGTCCCCAAATACGAGTTCCAACACAGAAGGAGAAAGGAAAAAAGAAAGAAAGAGGGGGAGGGAATCAAACTGATTCCAAGCCAAAAGCCAGGTGGAATAACTCTGTATTACAGGCCCTGCGGAAAGAAATCAGATCCTGCAGGGGCCTGGTCTCATGAGACAGAGTGTTCCACCAGGCCAGAGCCAGTGTTGAAAAGGCCCTGGCTCTGGTTGAAGCTAATCTGACTTCCTTAGTGCCCGGGACCTCTAGGATGTTGCTATTTAAGGTCCTCCGTGGGGCATATCAGGAGAGGCGGTCCCATAAATATGAGGGCCCTAAGCCACAAAGGGCTTTAAAGGTCAAAAACAGCACCTTAAATCTGACCCTGTACTCCACCGGGAGCCAGTGCAGCTGGAAAAACACTGGGTGAATATGCTCCCATGGCAGAGACCCCATGAGGAGCCTCACTGCAGCATTCTGCACCCGCTGGAGTTTCTGGGACAGCTTCAAGGGCAGCCCCGCGTAGAGTGAATTACAGTAGTCAAGCCTGGAGGTGACCGTCGCATGGATCACTGTGGCCAGATCAGGGCGGGAAAGGTAACGGACCAACTGCTTGATGCGGCGAAGGTGGAAAAATGTTGCCTTGGCTGTTGCTGTAACCTGCACCTCCATGGAAAGGGAGGTGTCAAGGATTACACCTAAACTCTTAACGGAAGGCAATGACACAAGAGAAGGGAGTTGGTCCCTCATCCCTATGCCATCCCGACCCAGCCAGAGGACCTCTGGCTTCGAAGGATTTAGTTTCAATCGGCTCCCACGAAACCATCCAGCCACAGCTTCCAAGCATCTGGTCAGTGTGTCCGGGGCCGAGTCGTGTGACCATCCATCAGCAGATAGAGCTGAGTGTCATCAGCATATTGGTGACAACCCAGCCCAAAGCTCCAGACAATCTGGGCAAGGGGGCACATAAAGATGTTAAAAAGCATCGGGGAGAGGATTGCGCCCTGTGGCACTCCACACACCAAGGAGTGGTGCAATGACATCTCCCTCCCTAGCACCACCCTCTGTCCCCGACCAGAGATAAAGGAGCACAGCTATTTTCAGGCTATGCCCTGTATTCCCACGTCGGTGAGGCGGTGGTCCAGAAGATCATGATCGACGATGTCAAAGGCTGCTGACAAATCTAAGAGAATCAGCAGTCCCGACCCGCCTCGATCCAGTTGTCTACAGATATCATCTGTTAGGGCGACCAGAGCCGTCTCAGTCCCGAAACCAGGATGGAACCCAGACTGAAATGGATCTGAAATGTTATATGATTGACAGCTTTGCAGTAGCCTGTTTGTGAACATCTAACCTTCCTCTTTCCCACCTCCCTCTTCCCACCCTAAATAGCCTCCTGTCAATTGAAAAGAGAGGGTTTTTTATAGAAAGTTTGGTAGAGCTCTGTCAACACTTTGTCACTTTGAGCTCAGGAAGACCAGAACTGAGCAGAGGCACACTCCCGCACTGGAAGGTTATCCCAAGGCTAACTTGCATAGCCCTGCTCACTGGAGCAAGTAGGAAGAAAAAGTCATTGTAAAAGTCCTCTTCCACTGTAAGGGGGAAAGTGTACTTTGGGAACACACAACGAATGATATACAGATTACCGTAAATCTGGCCCAGTTGGCTTGCCAGTCATATCTGCATGTATAAACAACTTTGTAGAATCATAGGCTTGGAAGGGACCATGAGGGTCATCTAGTCCATCCCTCTCTGCAATGCATGAATCTTTTGCTCAATGTGGGGCTCAAAACCACGACCCTGAGTTAAGAGTCTCATGCTCTACTGACTGAGCTATCCCAGGATAGTTCCTCATAACTTGATTATGTCTCCTTTCTTAAGCCAAATAGGGGTGCACTGGGTTAAGAATCAGTGACCATGTTTTCTGTGTTTGTAGGCTCCTTCGCCCAGGAAAAGTGGCATAGATAAATCTAGTCGTTAAGTAGTAGGTCCCCTGTGAGCTGTGAAGAGTACCTTTGCCAACAAATACTGCTTTCTGCCTTTTGATTGGTGGAAGGGATAATGGAATTATGAAAAGTGAGGGTTTAAAAGAGCAAAGGTGTCTCTCAAACATTAACTTTTTGACTTCTTGTTTCCAGTTTTGACATAAATGCTAACATTCACAGGCTTTGACCTGTCCAATTTACCCTTTTCCCCAACCCTAAGCCATGGTACTTGATTTTTAAACTACTCTTGTATTAACTAGGCTCAAAAGCTTCCTGGCAATTATATGTGGACCAAATAGTACTTGTCTTACCTGAACCTGTTGACACCTACTCCTGTACCTGGCTCCTACCCTACTTGGCTTTCTTCTCTCATGCCTGACATTCCAGGGCCCTGTTGCGTAGTAAATGTTTCCTGGCTGTTTCCTACCGGAAGGTATTGACATAGAATTAGTTTTGCCTACAGAAATGCAACGGGGTGTCACATAAATGCTTTTGCCTAAAGTTCCTGTTGTGATATTAATTCTACTCGCAACCATCTTCCTGTTTTATATGTACTATATCTGCTATTCACAATGCACATCCAGCAAGTCAATAAAAAACAGCACATTCTCAACTGTTACCTTTCTGGATAATTTGCTTCATAACAGTAAGAGGTAGTGAAAGGACAGAAAAAAACTGAGGAAGGTTTGAGCATATGCATGGAAGGCAGGGGGAAAGAGAGAGAGAGATTTTTAGAGCAGAACTAGATGTTAAGACAGAAAACTAGAGCCCCACGTTGAGTTTCTCCCCACCCCCTCAGTAATGTGTAGTGAAAATTAGCCATGGCCAGACATCTTGCTGCCCTGTCCTTCTCATTATTTGTCTGCTGCTGGGAGGGAAATGAAAGCATGATTTTGCTGGGACAAACTTAAGTTCTATTGACTACATTTCCCCTGGACAAGAGCCTTGCTTTTATTTGTAATTTTGAAAATTTATATTTTTTTATATTGGAAGCAGGATTTTGCAAGATGCACTGTACTGCTGTGCTGTAGTAGCATACATCATCTCTTGCAAAACTTAGCTTCACAATATTGTTGAAAAGACCCAGGGGGTTGAAAACAATACTTTGCAGCATTTTACAGGAAACAGATTTAAGCAAGAACAAACAAGGTGGTGAATAATGTGTGTGTGTGTGTGTGTGTGTGTGTGTGTGTAAAAGGTAAGAGGTCCTGGCTCAGTAAATAATAATAATAATAATAATAATAATAATAATAATTTATTATTTATACCCCGCCCATCTGGCTGGGCCTCCCCAGCCACTCTGGGCGGCTTCCATAGAAACAAAAAATACACTAAAATATCACACGTTAAAAACTTCCCTGAACAGGGCTGCCTTAAGATGTCTTCTGAATGTCAGGTAGTTGTTTATTGCTTTGACATCTGCTGGAAGGGCGTTCCACAGAGCGGGCGCCACTACCGAGAAGGCCCTCTGCCTGGTTCCCTGTAGCTTTGCTTCTCGCAATGAGGGAACCGCCAGAAGGCCCTCGGCGCTGGACCTCAGCGTCCAGGCAGAACGATGGGGGTGGAGACGCTCCTTCAGGTATACTGGACCGAGGCCGTTTAGGGCTTTAAAGGTCAGCACCAACACTTTGAATTGTGCTCGGAAACGTACTGGGAGCCAATGTAGGTCTTTCAAGACCGGTGTTATATGGTCTCGGCGGCCACCCCCAGTCACCAGTCTAGCTGCCGCATTCTGGATTAGTTGTAGTTTCCGAGTCACCTTCAAAGGTAGCCCCACGTAGAGCGCATTGCAGTAGTTCAAGCGGGAGATAACCAGAGCATGCACCACTCTGGCGAGGCAGTCCGCAGGCAGATAGGGTCTCATCCTACGTACTAGATGGAGCTGGTAAACAGCTGCCCTGGACACAGATTTGACCTGTGCCTCCATGGACAGCTGTGAGTCCAAAATGACTCCCAGGCTGCACACCTGGTCCTTCAGGGGTACAGTTACCCCATTCAGGACCAGGGAATCCTCCACACCTGCCCGCCTCCTGTCCCCCAAAAACAGTACTTCTGTCTTGTCAGGATTCAACCTCAATCTGTTAGCTGCCATCCATCCTCCAACCGCCTCCAGACACTCACACAAGACCTTCACTGCCTTCACTGGTTCTGATTTAAAAGAGAGGTAGAGCTGGGTATCATCTGCATACCGATGAACACCCAGCCCAAACCTCCTGATGATCTCTCCCAGCGGCTGCATGTAAATGTTGAAAAGCATGGGGGAGAGCACAGAACCCTGAGGCACCCCACAAGTGGGAGCCCAGGGGTCTGAACACTCATCCCCCACCACCACTTTCTGAACACGGCCCAGGAGGAAGGAGCGGAACCACTGTATGACAGTGCCCCCAGCTCCCAGCCCCTCAAGACGGTCCAGAAGGATGTTATGGTCGATGGTATCAAACGCCGCTGAGAGATCCAGCAGAACTAGGAAACAGCTCTCACCTTTGTCCCTAGCCTGCCGGAGATCATCAACCAGTGCGACCAAGGCAGTTTCAGTCCCATGATGAGGCCCGAATCCCGACTGGAAGGGATCCAAATGGTCCGCTTCTTCCAGGCGTGCCTGGAGTTGTTCAGCAACCACACGCTCAATCACCTTGCCCAAGAATGGAAGATTTGAGACTGGGCGATAGTTGGCCATCGTGGCCGCATCTAAAGATGGTTTTTCAGAAGCGGTTTAATAACCGCCTCTTTCAGCGGGTCTGGGAAGGCTCCCTCACGGAGGGAAGCATTCACCACCCCACGAAGCCCATCGCCCAGTCCTTCCCGGCTAGCTTTTATAAGCCAGGATGGGCAAGGATCCAGGAGACAGGTGGTTGGCTTCACTCATCCAAGCAGCCTGTCCACATCCTCGGAGGTAACAGATTGGAATTGATCCCACGCAACTTGACTAGACAGGACTCTAGCACTCTCCCACCCCGGCCCTGCTCCCACAGTGGAGTCTACTTCTTCCCGAATCTGAGCGATTTTATCTGCAAAAAACTTTGCAAAATCATTGCAGGAGAACATGTGGCCCATACTGGGCCCCGATGTTGCAGGTGGTTCCGCTAAATTGTGAACCACCTGAAAAAGTCTCCTGCTGCTGTTTTCTGCAGATGCAATAGAGGCGGTGAAGAAATTCTTCTTCGCCGTCGCTATTGCCACTTGGTAGGCTCGACGTTGAGCTCTAACCTGTGTCCGGTCAGATTCGGAATGAGTTATCAGCCACCGGCGCTCTAGCCTTCTCAACGATTGTTTCATTGCCCTCAGATCCGTGGAAAACCACGCGGCTGTCTGGGCTCCATGCAATCGGAGAGGGCGCTTCGGAGCCAAACAGTCAATAGCCCTGGTTAACTCCACATTCCAGCGGGCCACCAGGGAATCAGCTGAAAGGCCATCAACATGGGATAAAGCATCCCCTACCACTCTCTGGAAACCATTTGGATCCATTAAGTGGCGGGGGCGGACCATCCAAATTGGTCCCACCTCCCTGCAGAGGGGATGGGTCGCAGAGAAGTCCAGTTGCACCAGGAAGTGATCTGACCATGGCACTTCTTTTGTTTCGCTTTTACTTAGTGTCAGATCACCAACATCCATAGAGGTAAACTCCAGGTCCAAGGCATGTCCGCAGCTATGGGTTGGGCCAGACTTATTCAGGGACAGCCCCATGGAGGCCATGCTTTCCACGAAGTCCCGAGCGGCCCCTTGTAAGGTCGTGTCGGCATGGATGTTAAAATCCCCTAGGACGACCAAACTAGGTGTCTCCAGGAGAACATCCGCCACGACCTGAAGCAGCTCGGGCAGGGAATCCTTGGTGCAGCGGGGAGGTCGGTACACCAAAAGGAATCCTGTACTGCCCCTACTGCCCAACTTCCAGAACATGCACTCAGAGAACTGGATCTTCCCAATAGGACGCCTGGTGCAAACTAATGACTAAAGGAGCATCTGCCTTGTATACAAAACATCTCAGCTTCAATCCCCAAAGGCACCTCCAGGTTGGGCCAGGGAAACCCCTGCCTGAAACCCTGGAGAGGCACTGCCAGTCAGAGTGGACGGCCTTGAGCTAAATCCATCAGTGTTAGGCAACTGACCTGGTGCAAGGCAGCTCCCTGTGTTCCCACTTGAAAGCTGTAGAAAATTTGTGTATCTTGACAGCTCTGCAAGGCTGTAGGTTGTGTTTTTGCTGCAACAGGCTAATATGGCTGTCCTTTTGGAAAATGTCATATCGATGGAGCCATATAAATTAGCAGTGTTCTTACTAATCATCCTCACCGGTATTGGGTTTCTTTAAAATCACTCCCTCCTTCCCCTTCAGAAGTCTGTATCTTTTGGGGTGTATATTTTATCTGTAAGCCACCTTGAAACCTTGTGAGGAAGAAAGGTGGGGTACAAATAAATATTTTTTTAATAATAATAATAATAAATATAAAGGAGCAGAGAAACACCATGCCTATCTTTTTGTTTGTCTTTCTCCTTTATTGCTATTATTATTATTATACATTTTTCAGAGAGTGCTTGGTCCCCTTGGAAAAAATGACCCCTTATCGCCCATCCACGTTCCCTTTGAAGGCACTTGAATGGGGCTCTGTCTTCCTCTGAGGAGAGAAAGCAACACCTGGAAGTATCATGCAAGCGACCATTAATTCCTAAACTTCCCGACCCTCCCTCACCTCACGCAGATTTCGGAGGGCGGGAGGATTAGGCAGGTTTCTACAAATTAAATCTGCCGAAGCTGCATTCTCATTGGCCTACACACACGTCAATCAGCGTGCGAGCGGACCCTATGTCGTTGACCGTTATAAAGGGGAAAGCACGAGGGGACCAGGAAAGCGCGTTGGCCGCCAAAAGAGGGGCGGGGCAAAAGGCTTCCGTAGGGCAGACGGCGGGACCTGGTCATAGAATATGGGGCGTGGCTCCCGGAGGATCTAGCCAAACAGAAGGCAGGAGGGGCGCAGTTTTGAGAAGCCGACAGCAAAGCGTATCCCGTATAGCACAGCCCACTCCCACCCCGCCTGCTGCTCAGCCTATCATATCAGAGGAAGAGCGTTCCGTGAAAGAACCGGCCAATTAGAACTGCGGCGCGCCGAGTCGGTTGCCCGGAGAGACCAATCACCGTTATCTGCCCTTCGCTCTGTCAGACATAATGGCGCGCAAGGAATTTCAAACGTTCGAGGGGGAGGGGGAGGAGCGGGGCTTATAAGGGGGAGGAGCGGGCGGAGGATGAATAGCCTGTTGATGGCGGCGGCGGCGGAGCCTGGCGCGGCTGGCCCGCGGAGTGTCACTGCTTGACGCCGGCCGCGCGGAGCGGCGCCTGGGGACGCCGCGTGCGGAGAAGAGGGAGGCGTCCCGCCCTCCCGCCTGAGGCGGAAATCCCCCGCGTCGGCCTCTGCCGGGTACCGGAGGAGTGCTCTTCGCGCCCAGCCGCGCTGCCGCTCTGCCATTGGAGGACGCGGAGGCGGAGGCCACGCCCCTCGCCCGCGAGGTGAGGGCGCAGGTGAGTTTGCGCGCGTCGAGCCCGGCCTCGGCCCCGCGGGAGCGGCGTCCTTTCGCCTCAGCCCGCGTTCAAATCCGAAAGTGACAGCCGAGTGCCTTTTCCTTAGCGCCTCTGGAACCCAACGGCGTTATAACCCTGGGCTGGGTGTGGGGGGGGGGAGCGGCATTATTCTCAAAACGGATTCGCGCCAACAATATTCCTTACAGGAGCTTGCAAAGCAGTTTTCTCGGCACTCTTCTGGCTTGTTGCCAGTCACGCAGTAGGGCGGTGTTTCCCACCCTTTGAGATGCGTGAAAAAGCGAAATAAGCGGTCATTTAGAAGACGGGAAGCGGGAAGTAAACCCTTCAGAAATCCACAGCAGGGCAGTATTTTTTTATTGGGACCAACCAAAATGTCGCAGAACAGTGCGGTTTTGAGATCTCGGAAAGTGGCAAGGTGTCACCGAAAGCACCGGGTGGGGGAGAAAGTGGGGGGTTTTGTGGCTGGAGCACAGGTTCCGATGTGATTCTGTGGCTGGAAGCACAGCTAAAGGTGGGTACCGTGTTCCATTACTTAATACAGAATGTGAAGCAACAATCTTCTGCACTATGAAGATGTGAAGTCAAGTTACACATTCCTAGACTGCTTAATCTGGATTAGTTACTTTGGCCAATGCCCTAGCATGTGTTCATGGGTAAAATGGGATTAATGGCAGGAGGTGGTCATTCTTCTGGAGTGCAAGGATGGTAGGTATGCATGTGTTGTGTCTCCAAGACAGGATATTACAGCATTTTTCTGCAATTGTTCTTACTGTTTATGGGAGCATTCCTTTGATACTTGTGGTATCTTGATTGCCGCAGTTTTGACTCCAGTTGCTTACTGCCTTTTTAACTTTGGGTTTCAGCTGTTTGTGTCCTCCTTCTCACCTGCTCATACATTCAGCTCTAGCCTAGTTCTCTTTAAAACGGCCAGTTTGCCTCAGGGCTATACCAGCTGAACCTCCAGGTGAAAGCTTGTGTGATGTAGTGCTCTTGCATACAGTCCATTCTCTTGTGAGCCCTCGCCTGTAGTCTTAAATTGGTACAGCCCTGGCAAATCCATTTCACTTTGGCGGCAAGTAGGCCTCTGCACTTATTACAGTACTAACATTGCCCTGCACTCAGTCATTGACAGACTCATAAAGGTAGCGCTGTAGTCTGTAACTCTCATTGCATTGGTGTGGAGGGAAGTCAAGTGGTGGTTGATCAGCTTATGTGTCATCAAAGCAGAAGTCTCTCAAGCCTGTCTGAAGACTGTTGTGAAAGCAGAGTTTAGTTCTAGCTTTTTTAGCTATATCCTCATTTCTTCTAGTACCCACCGTAGGAACTGTGGTAATCTTACTAGACCTAAGGTGTCATAAGGCTCTTTGTTTTCTTAGCAAAATGATCTGGAGAAGATACAACTTGCTTCATTTCCTGTGATTGCAAACTGCAGTATAGTATTTGGTTCCGTGGGTACTCCTGGAGCGGGACGGGTGCAAATAAGGTGTTCTGGGTTGTAAAGGGAAGCCTGGCACCCTTCTCCACCTTTGCTATCCAGTACTTCTCCAGCTAGTAACATCTATTTTCTGGGGTGTTAGGGAAGGCAGAGGCATGCTCCTTTGTCTCAAGGTAGACTGGTGCAAATAACATTTACTTTCTAGGCAAGTAACTATTTACAAGTCTGTGGTGGACCATTCTTTGATGGAGTTGTTTTGTTACATCCTTTAAAATGCTTGTTAATGTTAAGGAGTGGATGACAACATTTTGTTATATTTTGTAATGGGGAGCAATGGAAATCAAGGCACATATCTTCTAGGTCAGCATATAGCTTGATTTTGGATGTCTGGCCAATCAAAAAACATTTTTCGCCATGCCTGGTAGTAGAAGATCCTGAAGGAATTTTCCTAAGTGGAGGCTCATCCGTTGCACTCTGGGTGTGCTGACCCCTGCGATTTCCCTAAATGTAAACCTGACTGTGTAATCTGTGGTAATTGTCAAAGCATTAACAGCAGGTATTAACTAATAACAAAAAGCAAGTTGTGAACAGTGACATGAACTCTAATCTGATACTCCACCCGTTAGACAGTGATATTTTATTCTGATTACTGCTTGTGTTATTTTTTTAGAGAAGCTTGCAGTTATAATGGTTAGCCAGTGTGAAGCTTTGTTCTGCTGCTCTTTGCCCCCTCACTATTACAAGGAAAGCAAACTTCACTCCTGACCTTCCTAAGCATGGCTGCATGCTTTCTCTGTATCCCCACCACTACCACCACCAAAAATGCTTACATTTTCCATATTCCTTATGGAAGCTTGCATATTCCTAAATGATACTTCCATGCACAGAGGCGGTACTGGATGCTGCGTAAAGAATGACAGTTGCCTTCACTCTGGGGTTCTGAGTATCTGAAAGGCATTTCCCCAGTTTCCAGACATCCCTTGGTCTTTTCCTGTAAGTCAGTTCTTCTCATAGGGAAGATGCTACTTCTATCTAAATTATAAAACATAAAACAATGTTGTCCCCTATATCCCTAAAAAGCAACTCCTTCCATGTTGTAGTCAGTACAGTATGTCAGTAGCAGCCTCTCTTAGTATGCTTCAAGGAGCATGTTCCATAGGCAAGGTTTTGCATGGAGGTGTTTTCACTGGATGTTCTTTTGAGTTCAGAGGGTCTATCAAAGCCAAGGTCTCCTCTAGAAGCAATACATTTATATTCAGCCACATATATTGTGAGCAGGGGAGCTCTCATTAAACATAATTTGAGGGCAGGTTGAATTTGCCTCTCCCAGTGGTACTATTATCTTTCCATCTGATTCCCTCTTGGTCATTAATTATGCCATGCTGAAGTCCTTGGAGAAAGAAAGTGGGATACAATTGCTGGGCTGAGGACTGTGGTGTTTCTGACCAAATAGGCACCAATGTTTGGCACAGTAATGGTCTAGCTGCGACTGTTGCATGATGAATCATACATGTTAATTGATTTTTAAGTAGTTGTGCCTGCATGCTGAGATAGTGAATTAAAACTCCCAGTAAATATTTTATAGGAGGGACACAGGTGGCGCTGTGGGTTAAACCACAGAACCTAGGACTTGCTGATCAGAAGGTCAGCGGTTCGAATCCCCGCAATGGGGTAAGCTCCCGTTGCTCGGTCCCTGCTCCTGCCAACGTAGCAGTTCGAAAGCACGTCAAAGTGCAAGTAGATAAATAGGTACCGCTCCGGCGGGAAGGTAAGCAGCATTTCCGTGCGCTGCTCTGGTTCGCCAGAAGCAGCTTAGTCATGCTGGCCACATGACCCGGAAGCTGTACGGGCCAATAAAGCGAGATGAGCGCCGCAACCCCAGAGTCGGCCACGACTGGACCTAATGGTCAGGGGTCCCTTTACCTTTACCTTAAATATTTTATGCCTTGGTGTCTGGGGCTAACATCTAAACTATTCTTTCTCAGATGCCTCCCAGAACAATAACTCTTTGCCTGACTTTGAATCATTAGCTCCATAAAAGTTCAAAATGTGTTGGGGTGCAGTAATCAGATTAGTGGAGGCTAGTACTCTAATTTTGTATCTTTATTTGCTGTTTGTGTTTTCTCAAGCTCCTGGCTAACTCCTAGCTAATGCACATCTGAGCCATCTTTGGCCTGTTTTGTCCATGGTGGGGGTTAGGTCAAGTCAGACTTGTAAATGTTACTGTATGAAGCCACAAATTAAACCTTACTTGTGCAGTTGCCTTACCACATACATGTCTATAGAGTTAATTGCCTATAACTGTTTTAGAGGTTTTACTACAACCAAGCGGCATATATTGTTAAATAAAAATGAGTAAAATATGTCTTTCTTTAGTATAGGTCAAAGTAATCAATAGATTAGACTTGCCTGGAGATGTTACTCATCCATGCTGAGAGGTGGCTTAAGAACACCCCAGATTTTAGTTGGAGCACCAGTGGCATATTTGAGTTTTGAATGAGCAGGGGAGATGAAATCTGGGTGTGCAAGGGATCTCCCTAATGGGATTTAAAAGGGGATTGACTGGCAGCTCTGTCTATTGGATAGAGAAGCCTGATAGTTTTATCTTCTGTGCTTCCATCTATGCTTTCCTGCCTCCTAGCAAATATTTATCTGTCATTGGCCAGGGGCAGCATGCCAGCAGCCTCCATGGCCCAAGATCCAGAAAAGCTTCAAGCAGAGGTGGAGCGACTGGTGGCTGAGCTGCAGGAGGCAACCCGAGAAAAAGTCCAGGCTGCACAGTATGGGCTGGCTGTGCTAGAGGAAAATGGTGAGCTCAAGCAGCGCTGTGGTGAGCTGGAAGGCCAGTTGGAGGTGCTACGCATGGAGCTGGTCCACATGAAGGAGGTGAGTGAAAGTTTCCCCTGTTCTGCCTTGGGCAAGGATGCCCTTAGCATGTTTCCAGCTTGGGCAATGAGCTCTTAACCATAATCTCCTGCCTCCTTCTATCTTGCCTAGGCTTTAGCAGAGTCCCACAGCAGTCACAAACGGGCAGCAGCTGACGGCGAGAGCCGAGAAGAATGTCTGCTCAGAGAAACTGCTTCCAAAGAAGCCTGCCTGACTCAGACCATTGAGGAGCTTCAGAACAATGTAAAGCATCTGAGATCCCAGCTGGACAACAATGGGGTAGAAAATGAGCGTATTGGTGTGGCTCTGCAGGACTTGAGGAAGGTAATGTGATTGTGTTAAGAAACTGGGGTGGGGGTGGTCCATACGGGTTGTAGTTCAGGACTGTCTAGCACACAAGTCTGTACATATGTATTTTCTAAAGTGTATTAGGTTAGTTGCTAAATTGATAAAGGAATGAAATATTTGTACCCATTCTGGTGAGCTTGATGAACCCTAGAGGTCATCCAAAACTTGAAGCTGGGGAGATGCTTTGGGGAATCATCTCAGAAATCATGCTGTGCTTTAGAGGTCTTCCGGTGGAGTACAGGGTCAGATTTAAGGTGCTGGTTTTGACCTTTAAAGCCCTTCACGGCCTAGGACCCTCGTACCTACGGGACCGCCTCTCCCGGTATGCCCCACGGAGTCCCTCAAGGTCCATAAATAGCAACACCGTAGTGGTCCCGGGCCCTAAGGAAGTCAGATTAGCTTCAACCAGAGCCAGGGCCTTTTCAACTCGGGCTCTGGCCTGGTGGAACGCTCTGCCTCATGAGACCAGGGCCCTGCAGGATCTGATTTCTTTCCGCAGGGCCTGTAAGACAGAGTTGTTCCACCTGGCCTTTGGCTTGGAGCCATTTGATTCCCCCCCCCCTTCTTTTTTCTTTTCCTTTCTCCTCCTGCGATGAGGCTACATTTTAATATTTTAATGTTTCAATATTTTAATGTATTTTAATTTTGTTTTTAAGTTGTATTCATTCAACTTATTTTTATTACTGCTTGTTAGCCGCCCTGAGCCCGGCCTTGGCTGGGGAGGGCGGGGTATAAATAAAAAAAAAATATTATTATTATTATTATTATTATTATTAAAAGCACAACACAACTATGGTAACCCTCATAATGGGAGGAGGGCCGGGGCTTGTCTGTGTCTCATTGCTTCCAAGGTTTTTGAAGTACCTCAAGCATGTTCTACTTCCATCTCCAAGTTTCAGGGGAGGTCTGCAGTGGTTGTTTGATTTTGCAGCTTGAAATGTGTGTCTAATGCCTCAGAATGATAGTGTGGCAATTCCCCCAGACTTTGAGTTGGGAGGTAACTTGGAGGATCATTTCCACAGTTGTGCTATGTTTCTGAGCTGCTCCGAGTGCTCACACAGTGCAAAATCAGGAATAAGGTTTGCCCTTCTGCTATTGAGAGGACCAAGATCTTGGCAACCATAGAATTTAGCCTTGGTAGCCAGCCAACCGAAATGTGTGGGCCTCTTTGGTAGTGTATAACATAGAAAAACAGAATAGCAGAAAGGGGGAATCTAACACAATGGTCCTACAAACCAGAATGCAAAAATGGTTAGCTGTGAAATGGGAAAAGTAGTAGTGATTTGTTCCTGGAGTATTAAGACGTCCATGAGAATGTGAGACGTTGCTCCCTGCATTTTGTTATTTCTACAGTGTACTCTGGGTGAAATTCACCGTCATGCCATAAAAATGTTCTGCTGTGGTTGACCACCAATAGCAGCTTGTACTTGCAGCTTGATGTAAGTGTTAGATATACTTCTAAGTGTGAAACCATGTGGACACTTCTCCCTCACTTTGATTTAATAATCAAGTGCTCAGGCATTACTGGGCCATGTTAAAAAGATGAAGGGGACCACAGGGACAATCATGCTAGCTCTGCTTCCCGTTGCCATGCTGGTTATCCTCCAAGTTGGAGGACAAAGCTTTGAAATGGGGGTTGGGTGGGGTCCCTGTGCTCAAGAATGTAAGAAGAATCCTGCTGGAGTAGGCCATCTAGACCAACTTTCTGTCCTCACAGTGGCTAACTTGATGACTGTGGGCAACCCTCAAACAGGACCCAAGCACAAGAGGACCCTCCCCTCTTTAATTTCTAGCAACTGGTGTTCAGAAGCAAAGCTGTCTCCCAACTATGAAGGCAGAGTGCTGCCATAATGGCTAGTAGCCTTATCCTCCATGAATTTGACCAGTCCTCTTTTAAAGCCATCCACTGTGCTGGTCCTCACTGACTCCTTTGGAAGCAAGTTGCATGAGCTGTATGAACAAGTACTTTCTTCTGGTGGAGGCTCCTCATGCAGCTTTGACCCCCAGAAAAGCAGGGTTTTAAAGCTTAATGAGGAGCCTCCATGAATTAACATGGAAAAAGAAAGCTTTAAAAAGTGTTTGTAGGTAGGATGAAGTTGCTTTGGGTATTGGATCTTGCCATTAACATATCCTATATCAAGTTCTTCCTTATCCATTCCTGCCTTGATGCAATACCATATGATGGGTGGTTTGTGGCATGTCTGACTTGGTTCCTGTTTCCCCCTGCCTTCCCAGGAACGTCAGATCCTAGAATCCGAGAAGGCCCGGCTATGTGAGGAGATGAAACAGATCAAGATACGGGAGCTGCGTCAGTTGCAGGACTGTGCTGAACTTGAAGAGGAGAACATCTCTCTGCAGAAGCAGGTCTCCGTGCTCAAGGGCAGTCAGGTATTGGTATCTTCCACATACTATAGTGGGCCTGGCACTGACCACTTGAATGTGTGCCTTTCATACAGTGGTGTGGACCAAATGTCAACCACGCTATTGTATAGCATCTGCTTTATAGGAATACTGCTTCAGTTGTGTTCACCTGCTTGAATTTTGCAAATGTATGTTTGCTTTCACCTACAACCATGTCCCAATGGACCTTTGCTGGCTTGTGGATGGAAGTGTGGTGATACTAATACAGCTGCTATAGAGACACTTCTAAGATGGCTGAACTCTGAGCCTTGATTAGTTGATTCTGAACCTCAGCAGTCTAGCAGTATTGCAAGAGCAATCTTATAGGACTTAAAACATGCAACCAACCATCATAAACAGTCTAAAAATATTTAAAGCTGTAGTTCAAAACGTTAAGGGTGGAATTCAGTGTCGTACTAATATGAACATTCTACCAGTGCAAGAATTCTGCTTGCAGGGTAGAATTCTCCTCTCCTCTTCCCCATTTGCACTGTTCTGAAGGTTCTCCTGACCCTCCCAAGCTGATATGGGGGTGCAGGAGGAGGCAGGGAAGCCACATTGTGCTACCAGGACTTGTGCCAGCTCCTGCTAGCACAACATTAGTTGAATCTAGCCCTGTGTTAAAGTGTTAGCCATTTAAAATCTTAAAACCTTTTTAATTTAAAAAAGAAAGTATTTGCCTGCTGCTAGAAAGACCGTAGTACAGTCATACCTTGGATCCTGAACGCCTTGCAAGTTGAATGTTTTGGCTCCCGAATGCCGCGAACCCGGAAGTGAGTGTTACTTTTTGCAACCCGAACGTCCAACAGAACCTCCGCGGCTTCTGATTGGCTGCAGGAGCTTCCTGCCCCTTGGTTTTCGAACATTTTGGAAGTTGAACGGACTTCCGGAACAGATTCTGTTTGATTTCTGAGGTACCACTATTAGGAACGCGAAGCAAGCCTCTTATAGAATCATAGAGTTGGAAGGGACCCTGAGGATCATCTAGTCCAATCCCCTGCAATGCAAGAATATTCAGCTGTCCCTTACAGGGATTGAACCTGCAGCCTTGGCGTTATCAGCATTATGCTCTAACCAACTGAGTTAAGGGTCATTCCATATCAAGTGATCCAGTTTTTTTACCTCATGTCATCCAGTTTTCTTAATATTTTCTTCCTTAATATTTTGTAATATTAAGTTTAAGTTTTGATCAATCAACAAGTGTACACTGGATCACCTTATACGGAATGACCCTTAAGAACCTTCAATAGTTTAGGCATGGCAGGGGATGCCTCTTGGAAGGCCTCCAGTGTTAAGGTACTATTAATATTTGTTGAATTTATATTTGTGTTCTCATTTTTTATTTTTATGTTGTGATCCCCTCGTTATCTTCATATGAAGGGCAGTATACAAATTGAAATTATATACAGTGTGTGTGTGTGTGTGTGTGTGTGTGTGTGTGTGTGTGTTTGCCTTTGTACCTGGGATCTGTGCAATTAATTGGGTTTGGAGGAAGTATTTTTTATCAGATTGAACATATTTCTCCAAGGCTCTTAACTTCAAAGGGATCAGAACTCTTAAAAGCTCTGGGGGGTGTAATTGCTATACTCAAATTTGCACCCCACAATACTGATTTCTCTGCAGTGGTGTTAATAGTTGGGGACTGGAGCAGGCCAGTTCTCTCCATCCTTCCATTCTTAAGTTCCTTTCCCCTTGCTTTTTACTGATGCTTAATTGCTCGCATAGTCCAATTTCTGGATTCGAATACCTGTTGCTATGTCTCTTTCTGTGTTGAGTTAAACTAATTTTTTTTATAGTTCCACAATTATGCAGACATATTGACTTTGCTGATGTCCTTGTTTCACTAAAAAGTATAGGACCACCACCTTTGCTACTAGGATATAGGATTGCATTTTAAAATTATTTTGAGCTTGTTGCAGAATAATGTGCAAGATGAATAAAACAGAATTGTTTAATAGCTCTTAAATGCCTGTCCAGCTTATCTATGTCATGAATAGGCCACTCAAAACTCACTCAGGTTTTCTTGTTTTGGTGTCTGGAACTGTGATGATAGGAAGTTCCACAATACAGGTGCCTGTCCACAATTCCACATGTCTGTCTGACACTTACATAAGAGGACATGGAAGAAGGGCTTGCTGGTGGATCTTAAAGGATGGTGGGGATTGTTTTCCATCTGTTGGTGCAAAAAAAAAGTGTAAGCATGTGTCATATTCAGTCATGCCAAACTGGTCCAAGTGATGTTGAAGCTGAAAGATGTGGATGTCAGTAATTCAGATGAAATACTGGGGGAGGCAGGGCCTGATGAGCAGCAGCCAACCACCTAGTATTGTGCCCTTTTTTCCTTCCTCAGGTGGAGTTTGAGAGCATCAAGCATGCCCTTAGCTGCCGAGAGGAAGAGCTGGTGCTTGCTGGGACTCAGCTGCTGGAGCTGGGTCGTCTCCGGGACCTGGCAGAACACCAACTTCAGGAGGCACTAGAGGCTCTGCAGGCAGAGCGTGAGCAGAAGCAGGAATTGCGGCGAGAGCTGGCCATCTGCACAGGAGGGCGCCATGACTCCCTAAGCAGCTTGCAAGCCAACCTAGAAGAGCTTAACCACAGCCGTGCAGAGGAACAGGATAGTGGCTTCGCCAATGCCAGCAGCATTGGGAGCATGGCTTCCACACCCCACAGCATCCGGCCTGCACCTGGTCTTGTGGCAGACCTCTTCAGTGAGCTTAACTTGGCAGAGATTCACAAACTGCAGCAACAGTTGCTCCAGGTAAGCAGGTTTAGCTCTGTGGATCAGGGAGAGGTTTGGTTTCAATATGAGATGACTAACAACGTGAATTGCATTCCTGTTGCACAGCGGAGCAAGATGTGCTATGTTTTAGGCCAATGCCAATGGTTAGCTATCCCCACCCCTCACCCTACCCCAGCTGGCTAACTTGGGGTTTGCAGCTCTGTTAGAGATTCAGTCCACTGCCATGTACTGTGTATCCAAATTCTGAAAAAGTCCTTGCCCCAGTCTCTGTAGTTACTGTGTAATACTTCAAGGGAGGGAATCAAATTGTTGAATGCTCCATTGTAGAAAAACAAAGCTAGTATTGGCAAGAAGATTCTAGTTTAGTCTTTGCCCCTGGTAACTTATATTTGAATGTGCAGAGACTTGTTTTTTACAGGAGGGCATCATTTAAACCAAATTCTTCTTCCTTGGACAGTCCATCTCTTACTTTGGCTAATAGGCAGTTGTCATTGATCTCCCACACAAGAGTCCTCTGGTGCATGTGGGGAACTTGTTAGGAGGGATGTGCTTCAGTTCTCATTTTATGCTGGGCTTGGGGAATAAACAGCACTAGCTGTGCAAAGCCCAGTGTGCTGATGCAAGGCAAGACCCCTTGTTTTTCCTCTTCCACTTCCCCTCCTGACCAGAGCCCTCTTGTACCTGCAAAGAATGCAGAGCCTAGGGCTTGCCGATCAGAAGGTCAGTAGTTCGAATCCCCGCGATGGGGTGAGCTCCCGTTGCTCAGTCCCTGCTCCTGCCAACCTAGCAGTTCGAAAGCACAAAGTGCAAGTAGATAAATAGGTACCGCTCCAGCAGGAAGGTAAACATCGTTTCCATGCACTGCTCTGGTTCACCAGAAGCGGCTTAAGTCATGCTGGCCACATGACCCAGAAGCTGTACGCTGGCTCCCTCGGCCAGTAAAGCGAGATGACTCGTCTGCAACTGGACCTAATGGTCAGGGATCCCTTTACCTTTACTTATCCCTTGCTTTTATCCAGCCACACGATTGTCAGAGAACCTGGGGAGAGTGAGTGGTCTCTTGTGCCCAGCAGAATTATTCCCTCCCTGTACGCAAGCTATGAAGAACTTAAAAACTTGTTGACAGCGGCAAGAGTTATCATAGCTAGGAAATGGTAAAAGCAAGGTGGATGCTGAATAGAAGAATGGTACAAAGAAGTGTGGGATATAGCGATTAATGATAAATTAACGTGTGCTATTAAAGTAAGAAGGGGAATATGGAAGAGAAATGACTTTGAGAAAATATGGAGAATATTTCTGGAGTTGTTAAAACAGAAAGGAGTCAAACCATCTCAAGTCTTAAATTTTTGGAAATTTATCATTATGATAAATGATAAGTCTCATGGTGGGGTGCACATTTCTATTTGTGTTATTTTTACTTTAAGGAAAAATAAAAAATTAGAGAAGAATATTATTCCCTCCCCATGCACAGAGGATGCAGGAGTGGGATATCTTGGTGTTGACTATCTGGCAAGGGCAACTCCAGCTAGATTTGTAGACCCTTGATTTTTCCATCTGTAATCCTGAAGTGGTCCAGTGCAGCATTGGATGGCATCCCCTAGAACTGCTTGCCATTCCGTTTTGCCTCAGGCACAGAGCATGAAGGTATTACAGCACAAATAATGGCCACCATTGCAATATGAGCAATCAGGCTGTGAGGTCAAAAAGTGGGTTCCTGTTCTTCAAAGCTTAAAATGTACTGTAATGGGACTAGTTCCTCTTTCTGTAGGGAGGGGAGCATGAGTGTGGCAAAAGCTAAGAAAATGCTAGGCTGGGAAGTGATTTTCTAAGCAAGGTTTTAGAGATCAAAATTATGACTTGATAGTATTGATCCACAGTGAACTCAAAGGAGCTATTCTGACTGCAAGTCGCTCAGATGCCAGAGGCATTGCTTTCGGGTTTCTACTCTGCCAATAATCTTGTCTGTGGAGTCTGCTGTTTGTTTCTGTCTGTCTGTCTGTCTGTCTCCCCGCTCCGGTTGAGCTGGAAGCTTCTCAGTCGCCTGTAGAGTGAGTGGCAGGAAGCCACTAAAGTTATTCCGAGCAGCTGCACATCCTGCCCAGCTGGCGTCATGCTTTGGCCTGACCCTGTTGCACTTTCCCCACCCCCTTCAGGCTGCTTGTCTGCAGATTATCTCTCCCTCCTGCCAAGCCAGTTGTCTTGGCAAAGGAGGTTTGAATGCTGTTCTACTCTTGCAAGGTATTGGAGACATTTGTCCACTTTGTCCACTTTTTGTCTAGAATGCAGCTCTCTCTTCTTCCATCTTCCTTCTATTTTTAACAGCTTATCTTGTATTAGAGATCACCCACAGTTTAGAGAGCCTCCTGAAGGTGAATGCTATGATAGTTGATTCTGGGCCACTTCCGGCTAGCCTCATTCTGTCCGCCCTTGGCCAAAGGAAATACCTGGCTGTGAATCAAAAGCCCTGAAGCTCAGCTTCTTTTTGTATGGCTCTTTAAAGCCCAGATGGAAACTTGAGACCTGGGAGTGGCAAGCTCTATAAAGAGAGAAGCCTGTCTCTTCTGTATTGATCCCTCCAAAAGGGTCACGGTTTCGGAATAGAACTGAGCAGCCTTAATCTCTGGGGTAAGGCTGCAAAACCAGCGCTGTGCTTGCTCATTCAGAGCACTTGCCTATTAAGAGTGCCCTTGCCAGCTACTCCCAGTTTAGTTCCTGTTTTCCATGCCAGGATGTAGCTCTGCAAAATACATAGCCTGTTATTGACATAAACTGCTCTTGAGTATGTCCCAACAACTTAGAGTTCTATTGGCCTCCTTGGATCTGGATTTAGCTTATGGCTCAGTTTATCTCCATGCCTTGTGTTGGGAAACATAAACACCAAACGCTCTCCCCATCCCCTTTCTAATTTTCTGTTTGCATTATTAGGCAGAAAATGAGAAGGCCTCGCTTGCCTCAGACCTGCAGGACCTTAAGAAACAGCTGAGCAGCACCCAGGAGGCTCTAGCCCAGCAACAGCTGTGCAACAACCATGAGGTGGAGCAGTTTCAGACCCTGGATGCTGGCCCTGGCAATGGCGGGGGCCACCCATCACCCTGTGAGAGGGAGCGCTGCCATGAAGAGTTAGAAAAGGCCCAACTGGCAGCCCGGCAGGAGAGGGAGGCAGCTGCTCAGTTAGAAACGGAGCTGCGGGTTGCCCGAAGGATGGCACGGGAGAGTCAGTCACGGCTGGCGCAGGCCCAGGAAGAGCTGCTGGGTTTTTCTGAGGAGATGGCCGCTCTGTATCATCATGTCTGTGCCTGCCACAGCATCACCCCTCAGCGTGTTGTGTTGGACTATTACCGGGAAGGTCGTGGAGCCCGGAGCATGTGCAGAAGGCGGTCCTCCCGAAAACTCCTACTCACAGAAATGGAGACAAGCAGCAGTGGGGACCAGTCCCCAGCCAGCAGCCCCAGTTCCCCCTGTGGGTTGGAGCCCCTCAATGTGGCCAACCTGACTGCCGTCTTGCGAGAACAACTAGGGCACCTGCAGGTGGCGCTCTCCCTGGTGCATCAGCAGGGCCTGATGGGGCACGGTGCCGAACTGGAACGTGACAAGGAGGCGCTGGTGGAGGAGGTGCTGAAGCTGAAGTCCCTGCTGAGTACTAAGCGGGAGCAGATCGCCACCCTGCGCACAGTACTCAAGGCCAACAAGCAGGTGGGTGCAGGAGTAGCCTGGTTGTGGTGCGAGTCAGCTCTGAGTGAATAGGATGGGGAGGGTGAGAAAGGTGTGGGCCTGCAGATGGGACTGGGAGCACCCTCAGCTAGTGCAATGAGCACTTTTGGTGGGTTGCCCACTGCCAGTAGCACCTTTTTCATCTTGCTGCTGCTCCTCCTGCCAAAGAGTGCAGGTAGAGGAAGAAGAATGGGGTTCTGCTAGGCTACTGGTGCCAAATGGGCTCATCAGTGAGAGTTATGGGAATTTTCTTACACTGACTGCAAAACTGAATGTGTTAAGAAGTCACAAAACAGGTATGATCAGGCTGTGAGTATGTTGTGTCTAAAAGTAAATGAATCTTTGCCTAGGCAGTATTTTGCGATCTTGTAAATTGCAGAATTATACATTTATTTTACACAGGTTTCTTCTGTCTATCATGGGAAGAGCAAGGGATTGTTCCAATTATTTTTATTGATTTTCCAAATTATTACAAATCATTACTGAATTAATTCAATACAATTTCCAAAACTGATTTCCCGCTCTTCTTGCAAGATATGTCCATGATAGACCCCCGCTGCTGTTAGTTCTCAATTTCTAGTTGAAATCACCCCATAATTCCAATTATATTTTCCATCAGCTGCCCCTTTACAACCCTGCAAACAGCAAATATATTTAAAAAAACTTAGTGTGTATATTTGATTGCAGCATGTGTAGTATTTCAGTAAGTTCTTATTTCCAGATTTCGGCATTTATTTTCCAGCTTGAATATTTTCACATGTTCAAATCAAAGTTCTTTCCCTGGTTCACTGATTTATTGCAGTTCTCCTGTCTCCTCCATCTGTGCTCGCCTTACCCAAACTCACATTCCTTCCTACTGATAACAGTGTCAAGCTACAGCATAAATTAACTCACAAAAACTGTTTACAGAGAGACCATTCTAAGAGCAACCCAGCCATTGGATTCCATCACTGCAATGCCTTAAAAACGTATTTTCCATTACATATGTCTTTCTCTTTAAATCATCCTTTGTGTCTTCCATCCTTCCATCATGTCAGGTTAACTGTGGATTGTTATTAGCTGCATTTCCTCCTCCCACAACAGAAATATTTTGATGGTGGCTTACAACAATGAAGGCTAGAAACATGTTCTAAAACTAAGATTCTCTGGAGTGGAATTGTATTCCCAACCTCTCATTCAGTGCTCCCACATGATTTTGGCCCATAAATAGGCCTGGATGTGATGTGACATGGCCTGAGATCACAGGCCCTTGCATACCATTTGTTTTAATGTTTCATAAGCTGCTTTTTTGGAAAGCCACCAAGAAACAAATAACAACAACAACAATCAAAGAGCAGCAGACTGGGGAGGCAGGCTGCAGGTCTGCCTAAATAATAAGGTGCTTTTCACTAGCCTTTGGAAAGCTGATGAGTATGGGGCTAAGTGGGCCTCCTGGGTTCCAGAGTTTCGGCACAACAGCTGGAAAAAAACCTTGACACATTTAACCACTAGCTGTACCTTAGATGGTGGGGAATGCAGAGCAGGACACTTTATCTAGGTACCCAGACAGCAGGCCCTGCCTTCCAAATACCAGTGCCATATTTAAGCTCTGGATGGACTGACAGCATCCAGTGCAAACCAAGAAAATGCACTTGGAGGGGGTGGCGGCTTATAGCAACCCTGTTAATAGAATTTCCAATTGTCTGGGAGGGGTTTATCCACCCCACTTCCTTTGGCTGCAGTCCTGGGGCACTCTTACCTTCCTGTCCTTGTCCTGTTCTGCTGCTCCTCCCGGGTCCCACCAGTACTGTTCTCTTAACAGCCCTGCATTGCTAGCAACTATTGCTGCTTTCCTCACTGTTTGCAGCATGAGCCCTGTGCTTAGGCTGTTGCTAGGTTTCCTCCAACTTTCCAGGCCTGGGAAAGAAGGCAGAAAGGGCTGCATCCCAAGAGAGTGGTGGTCTGGGCTTGCATTCAGTGTTAGAAACTCAGATATTTAAGCTAATCACCAAATGGCACCTTAAACCTATGTTATGATCACCACAACATAATGTCTAGGCACCATTTTTTGTTAAAAAAAAATTGAAGCTTGTTGTTAATTTTGTTTCTATACCACTTTACATTTTAAAGAAAAAACATTACAACACATTAAAACATCAAGTAAAACAAACAATCCAGAATAAAACAAATTCAAGCTTCAAGGAAAACACTTCAGATCCTACTCCAAGTGACATTTTTCTTTCCCCATATTTATTTACCTACTTATATAAACTACTCCATAGCAGAAGTACTCTAGGAAGCCAGTTTGGAGTAGTGGTTAGAGTGTCAGACTAGGACCTGGGAGATCAGGGTTCAAATCCCCACTCAGTCATGAAGCTCACTGGGTGACCTTGGGCCAGTCACAGCCTCTTAACTTACCTCACAGGGTCATTGTAGAGATTAACTGAGGAGAGAAGTTAACCATGTACTCCTTGGAGAAAAAGGCAGGAGATAAATGCAATAAATAAATTCTTCTGCTTACCTGCTTAAAAAAAACTGGAGGGGCCAGCCAGATGGAGATGTCTCCCCCCCCCCAATTTTGTTTATTGATTTTCACAAAATTAAAAACACTAACAAATAAACAAACAAACATAAATCATAACCTTATTAAAACTAATCTTCTTAACATTGTTAAGTGACTTCCTTGTATCCCCCATTTGAATTTCATTGCTTATCATTTTAACGGTTTTCCAAATCAAAGTTCTTATAATTTTAACTTAATCGCTTAATATCACTCTTTCTTCCCAATTCAGCATTAAACATAATAATTCATCACATTACTTATTTAAGTCCTAAGCCTAACTGGTGATTGCAAGCTTTTTCCAATTAATTTAACTTAACGTATTTAACTAAATAATCATTAAATTTCATCCATTCTTCCTGGTACTCCTCCTCATTCTAGTCACGGACTCTTCCAGTCAGGTCGACTAGCTCCAAAAAGTCCATCATCATCATGATGATGAAGATGAAAGATGGAGATGTCAGTTGCCAACCTGGCATCCAGAGATCTCCACGTGGTTGCAGTTGAACCTGCACCTGTTGAAAAACGCACATGACGAATTTCTGGCACAGCTTGCATGTGTAAGACTGGATACTGGGAATACTCCTTGCACATATACCAGGATTGAGCAGTCCTGGGATCTTTCAAGCACCCTAGGCTGTGTTCTGGAGGCTTCTTGCTGGAGCATCTTCTCTTGCTTTTAAAAAAAGGGCTGAAGCAAGAATGGGGCCACCCATGAGTGTAATCCTAGAGACACATAAACTTGTTCAGTCTCTGAAAAAAGGTGCCCTGTTGATGTGTTCCCTGTTGCTGACCTGCAAGTGAAGTAGCCTCTTGAAGGTATTTCCTTATCAGCAGGCTGGTAGCCCCATGTGCCTGGCTCTTCCAAGATTGTTCTTGTGGGTGGAATGGTTCCAGCTGCCTGTTTGAGTCTCCTATGCAGAGCAGCATAGAAGGGTGTGTGCGCTATGTTTGTGTGCCAGTGCTTTAATGATGCTTTCTGCATACGGTAAAGGGTGTTTCCATGGGGGAGAAGCTATAGGTCAAAGAATTGGATGGGACCTCAATGGTCATCTAGTTCAACCCCCTACAATGCAGGAATCTCAACTAAGCATCCGTGATAGATGGCCATCGAACCTTTGCTTTAAAATCTTCAAGGAAAGAGAGTCCACCACATCCCAAGAGAATCCCTTCTACTGTCAAACAGCTCTTACTGTCAAAAAGTTCTTCCTGGTGTTTAGTTGGAATCTCCTTTCTTGGTTCAAGTCCTACCCTCCAGAGCAGGAGAAAACAAGCAAGCTCCATCCTCCATGTAATATCCCTTGAGATATTGGAAGGTGGCTATCATATCTCTTCTTTTCCAGGCTAAACATACCCAGCTCCTTCAACCATTTCTCATAAGGCGTGGTTTCCAGACCCTTGTTCATCTTGGTCATCCCTCCTCTGCATACGTTACAGCTTGTCAATATCCTCCTTAAATTGTGAATCCCAGAACTCCAGGCGTAGTCTAACCAAGGAAGAACAGAGTGGTAGTATTACTTCCATTGACCAGACACTAGACTTCTGTTGATGCAGCATAGCATAGCATTTGCTTTTTTTGCTGCTGCATCACACTGTTGACTGAGGGTCAGCTTGTGGTCTACAAAGACCACTAGATCCTTTTCACAGCTACTACTGGCAAGCCAAGTGTCCCCCATCTTTTATTTGTTCATCTGGTTATTCCTGCCAAAATGCAGAACCTTACATTTGTCCCTGTTGAAATTCATTTTGTTAGTGCATCATCTGACCCTTGGCAACCTTCCCTTTTAGACTGCAGAGGCCGCCCTCTCAAACCTTAAAGGCCAGTTTGAAGGCGAGAAGGTGCTGGTGTCGGAGACCATGGCCAAGCTGCGTCATGAGCTGAAAGCCTTGAAGGAGGATGCTGCTACTTTCTGCTCCCTGCGTGCCATGTTCGCCAGCAGGTTAGGAACGGGCATCCCAGGGAGCTGTGTCTATAGTAGAGAAGGGGCAGTGGGGCAGAGGTTGGAGGTAAGCCGCCTCTTGAAGTGGGTGGGGGCTGGCATTGAGCATTTGATCTACTGCTGCTCCTGTTTCATGTTGGAATTGTGCCACTATCCTCACACAAGTGCTGAAACTGAGGACTTGCCATGTAGATTTGGAGAATCAAGTAATTGTGATATTGACTGGTTGTGGACTAGGAAGGCTGGTTTCACACGATGCATAGAAAGAGATGGAAAGCTGCTTAGACCACAGAAGTTGCACAAGAGAAGGAAGCTGCAGGGGGTGAGGTAATGCTCTTTGAGGGGGTGCTGAACTAAAACAAAACTCCAAGATGTGCAATGTTTGTCATATTCTGTGCCACCAAAGGGTGGAATATAGAGCCTATATATTGCACAACATAAAACAAAATTTCTTAGATTCCTCATAACTTGTTTTGACAGTTGGCCAAACTATTCATATTATTGAAGCCCTATTCCTATAGCTTCTGAGATATTGCCAGGCATTGCTCATGCATTTTCCAATATACTTTCACAACCATAAGGACTAGAAACCATCCTTAATTTAAAGGGATCCAAGATTTCAGCAAGCAATGATTAGTGTCCAGTGGGATATTCCATTCTTTTTCTGGCATTTGATGGGACCTGAGTATATGCAAAGCACTGAGAGCTGGTGTAAGGCCTGCCCAGGATTCTGTGGTGTTGATCCTTTTTGACACTCGCCTTGAACTCACCACCTCCATCTGTCTCCAGGTGTGACCAGTATGTGAGTCAGCTAGATGAGATGCAGCGGCAGCTGGCAGCTGCTGAGGATGAGAAGAAGACACTGAGTTCCCTCTTGCGCATGGCCATACAGCAGAAGCTGGCACTCACACAAAGGTTGGAGTCCCTGGAGAGCCCGGCTGAGGTGCCACGGGGAAGTAGCAGGAGGGCACTCAGGCCAGCCAAGGGTAGTGCGGTAAGAACAGTTGGAGCAATGAGTTCTGCTATGGGTGGGTGGTGAAACAAAACCCCCTGAAGCCATTTACCTGCTTAGGATGTAATGCTGCCCAGCTGCCCAGCTGCCTTTGGGAGTGATACACAGCTTCTTCAAATTTATCAGTTCAAATTTCGCATAGAACTGTGGCAGGGTAATAGCCCTGAGAAGGTGTAGCCTTGAGTGATGTATAACCAGTGTACCTGTTCAGCTTTAATAACACTTACTTATCCAAGCAATTATCTCTGGAGATGATAAACCAGGAGAGTCAGTGTGGTAATGTGGTTAGAATGTCAGACTAGGACCTGAGGTTCAAATCCCCACTTGCCCATGAAGCTCACCACCAGTCACTGCCTCTCAGCAGACTGTTTTGGGGATTATATGAGGAGCTCCATAGAGAAAAAGGTGGGATATAAATGCAGTAAATGAAAATTAAATGATGACACACGTGAGAGCCAAGGCTGTATTGTCCACGGACCAATAGCAATCCCCTACCCCACCTTCCATGCAGCCTTATGACTGAGAGTTAATGTGGCACTGAAGCCTTTGTGAACCCACTAGGTGGCCTTATGCCAGCCCTCAGTGTCCTCCCTCCCACCCCAGTCAGCAATATTGGTCAATATGTTGGCACCTTAAACAGTTCAAGTGCTGTGTGAATGCTTAGCTGTAATGTGAATATCTATGCCAGGGCCAGCACAGGAGAGCTATAGGAAAACAAGCGGTACTTTTTAACGTATCTTTCTAACTGTCTTTCTTCTCTCCCTGGTCCCCGTTCTCCTTTCAGAGATGAGACAGCCAGTATCCAGTGCAGGATTTCCAGGCACTTCTCATTCATCCAGTGTCTTCCATTGTGGTCACAGAACTCCATTCATTATTATCTTTTGCATAACATGGAGAAGCCTGGCACCTGCAAGCTGTAGCCCATCAAGAGGAACCCTGTGCCAGCAGCAGGCCTCCAGCCAGTGTTTGCTTCCTGCCCTCGTGCCTTAAGAGTTATGTGAAGATACACACACCTTTTCTCTGTTTGCCTCAGTGCTGACTTTCCTAAGCGCCTCTAACACTGTGCCTTTTTGTGAGACACTGATGTCTGCCTTAATGACCAGGGCTGCCTGCTTTGGGTCTGGCTGTGAAAAGATGGGTTCTTCCCTTCCCCTGAATTTCTTTGCCCTGCTGTACTCTCCCAGGCCCATCACTTCTCTACCTGTCTCTCCATGGGGTTTTGCACATAGTTAATGACTACATTGCTGACTGCACGGATTGTGGGGAGAAGGAAAACTAGCACCATGCAGCCATGAGACATGTTGTGAGATGGACCCAGCAGTGTCTCCTGTTAACCTCACCATCCTGACACCAGCAGTATAAGAGTATGAAACAGTTTACTTTGTAGTCTGGAGCAAGATGAGCCCTGGTTGTTTGCCTCAAATAAAGAATTGATTTCCCTGCAACCCTAGCCTTTTTTCCTTAACTAATTCAGAGCATTAAATCATAGTTATTACAAAATATGATAAATAACATAAGATTATTACTAGAAAACCACTCTTTGATTTTAGACTATACCACTTAAAATGCTACTATAACAGTGTTCCCATTCATTTATGTACAGTAGCAAGAAAGGATCATCTAAGTTGGGGTTTTGTGGCTCTTTCAGTGTTTGTCTCGGACGCCAACTCCAACTTCAGTCAGCATGTCAGGGAGGATGGGAATCCTGGAGGGGCTACAGGTTCCAATCTCTGGCCCAAATGGAAGCCATGTTTTTAAATACCATATTTTTCACCCTATAGGACGCACTTTTTCCCCTCCAAAAATGAAGGGGAAATGTGTGTGCGTCCTATGGGGCGAATGCAGGCTTCAAGTAGCTCTCCGCAAGCCGTGGGAGAGCTGCGTGACTTCGCACAGCTCTCCCACGGCTTGCGGAGAGCTGCCTGCACCCAGAAGCCTGGGGCGCGCTGAGCTCAGCACCCTTTGGGCTTCGCGCAGCTCTCCCACGGCTTGCGGATAGCAGCCTGTTCTGGGGGCTGGGGTCAGGGGAAGCTCGGGCTTCCCCAGCCCCGCGCCTGGGGGGGAAATAATTTTTTTTCTTTATTCCCCCCCCCAATTAAAATAGGTGCGTCCTATGGGGCGAAAAATACGGTACATTGTCAATTTGCCTTCTAAATTCCATAAACTTTGGGTAATATTCAACTATGTTTTGCTCAGAGGAGACCCATTTAAATTAATGAACATGACTAAGTTAAGTCTTTTTCATTTTAATGGATCAAGCTTGAATAAAACATAGAATAAAACATGAATGCCACCCTCTCCCACTTAGTGATCTTCATATCCACATATGACGCGGGTGGTGCTGTGGTCTAAACCACTGAGCCTCTTGGGCTTGCTGATTGGAAGGTTGGCTGTTTGCATCCCCACGATGGGGTGAGCTCCCGTTGCTCTGTCCCAGCTCTTGCCAACCTAGCAGTTCAAAAGCATGCCACTGCAAGTAGATAAATAGGTATCACTGCGGCGGGAAGGTAAATTGTGTTTCTGTGTGTTCTGGCATTCGTCATGGACCTCCATGCACCAGTAGCGGTTTAGTCATGTTGGCCACATGACCTGGAAAACTGTCTGTGGACAAACACCGGCTGCCTCGACCTGAAAGCGAGATGAGTGCTGCAACCCCATAGTCGCCTTTGACTGGACTTCACCGTCCAGGGATCCTTTACCTTTACCTTTTACCTATATCCACATATCCTTACAGCTTCTCTAACCATTCTGCTATCCTTGGTACACTTTTCTGTTTAGTAAATAACATCCTAGTTTTGGTGGTTGCATAACACTTTCCTTCCACTTTTGTCTTTTTACCAAATTCACATCTAAAGGATGACAAACATTGCTAGATCTATTGGGGCAGACCCTATCTTTAATTCCTTTATCCAAGCTTTTGTTGCCACCATGCTACAAAGTAATGCAACTTCTTTTTCTATGGTCCTTCTCACTCAGGATATTTTTAAGAATCTTATTGTGAAGGCATCATGGCTGGGTGGAGATGGCTTTCTCTGTGCAGGGAAAACTGTGTCTATGACTTCAGCCAAGAAGACTGTAGCCCATCTGGCTTGCTTGCACAGCTTTCAAAAACTACTTTGTGCTTCAAGCAAATTGTGCCAGGCACAGGGTGTGTGGTGTGTGTGTGTGGGCCTCTGTGCATTTAAACAAAAAGCAAATGGACCACAGCTTGAAGACGAGGAGGCAGTGTCGAGGTCAGATATCAACGAAAAGAAAAGAGCTCACTCTGAAACTCACCTACAGGTGGTACCTAACACCAAGAAAACTAGCGCTAATACACCCAGGAACCTCACCAAAATGCTGGAGAGGTGCACCTCCACAGGCACATACCTCCACATGTGGTGGGAATGCCCCCAAATCCAACTATTCTGGAGAACAGCCACACGAGAAATATGTAAAATAACTAAGCAAGTATTAGACATCACCCCAGAATTGGCCCTACTAAACATCTTCCAAGACAACAATGCCCATTTACACCACAAAGAACTCATAACTCACCTACTTTCAGCAGCCAGAAACACCATAACCAGACACTGGAGAGACCTGTCAGGAGTAAGCATGGACCAATGGTACCAAATAGTATGGGAAACAGCCCTACTAGAAAAATTAACCAATAAACTGAAACTGACACGGGGACAAACAGAAGAAGATGCCTTCTTCTAAAAAGGGTATGGCTTCCCTTTATCACATATACAGCCAACAAGACAATGACAATAATCCATCAACAGCATACAAATCAATATGGCTGACCTGATCCAAAACACCCACCCACCCCACTCACACACGAAAACAAAGATCACCACAGCCTATCACAAACAAACAACCACGCCCTAGGCCAACCCCAACCTCTCTCACCACCAAAGGAACACAAGTGAACAGCACAAGCAACGCTGACACCAAACCCCACATACATTAAGCATAATAGAAACACCGCCACCCGACCCCTCCCCTTTTCTTTTCTCCCCCTAATGTCTCAACAAATGAAACGGATTTGTAAAAATGTTACATGGAAAAAATACAAGAGACATTACACATACTTCTGTAAAACAAGAAAACCTTTAATAATAGTTAAAAAAAAGATCTGTAGATGGTTGATGCCCCCTTCTGGCAAAAATGGAAAGTAGGTGTATAGTGATCTTAGTAACACATAAAAGCTCGGAGGCTTGGCTAAACCCCGCCTCTTGCTCAGGTACTTGGAGCAAAGCTGGGTTTGTTGCTGTGCTTTGTGTCAAATGGGTCTTAGTCCTTCATCCTCTGGGCTAAGGCTGTGGGAGTGTTCTCCAAAAAGGGAGGAAGAGAAGCTGAGTCATTAGAAATGTTACTGTGCAGAAGAAGCTTTCTTCCTTTGTACACTGGAGTGAGACACCTAGTGTGTGCAACAGATCATACTTCTGTTAAGTTTCCAGCATGGAGAGATTCACCGTAGTAGTGCTCCCTCATCAGTACCCAATTTGCCATAAATCTATCCCAAAATATACATAAATATACATACACACCAATAGAACAATCCCAAGACAGCTGATCATAATATAAAGTTCAGCATATACTTGCCCTCAATCAGTCAACTCTGCTACTGTGGCCAATGCTGTCATTCAAAAGGTCAGGTAGAAAACAAATACTTTCCCCTGGTGCTGAAAGCTAGCTAATGCCACTTCTAGCCATTTGTTTTTCTTGCTGCTGCATTACACTGTTGCTTCAAGCTTATACCTTTCAGGTTGACTCACCTCAAATGTCTACTTTTTCACTTAACTTTTCCACTACAGTGGTACCTCGGGTTACATACGCTTCAGGTTACATAGGCTTTAGGTTACACACTCCGCTAACCCAGAAATAGTGCTTCAGGTTAAGAACTTTGCTTCAGGATAAGAACAGAAATCGGGCCCCGGTGGCGCAGCAGCAGTGGGAGGCCCCATTAGCTAAAGCGGTGCTTCAGGTTAAGAACAGTTTCAGCTTAAGTACGGACCTCCGGAATGAATTAAGTACTTAACCTGAGATACCACTGTACAGCCAAACTCCATCAACCTTTAAAAGAAAAGTGTTTACAATATTCCAGATTTGTGCACAAAAGAACAGGCAAAAATAAAGCGTGTGCTGCTCCAGTCCAGCCAAGGATTGTTTATGTGCAAGGCTGATACTTCCTTTCCTCGGCTTTTTCTTTCCTGACTCCTGTATGTATATTTAATACGGCTGTTTTATGCAAGAGCTTCTGCAGAAAGAGCTAATTAAAAACTAAAATATTATGGACATGCCTTCAACAGCAACCAGTAGAAAAGGGCAGGCTGCAGTCTTTCCTCTGGGTTGATGGAAACAGAAGTAGGGGGTACAGTGAGAGATGGTGCTTAGTGACATTTTACTACATGTGGAAAAGAAGTGCCAACAATGTGCTTCTGTACACCCACAGTCAGGTAACATACATTTTTATATTTGATATTCCCTTACTGGATGATCCGTTGATTGGGAAAATCTAAATTTAATGGGGGGGAGGGAGTGTGGTCTGCCACTTGGATGAAGAGGATGTCGCGCACACAAATTGGAAGTGGGGAGTGAGTTTAATTGTGCGACTTGCATCTGCTGGTTTTTAAAATTTATTGATGCTCAGAGATATACAATAATACATACCCATTACAAAGTTATCTCTTTTATAATATACTGGTATAAAACAGCTACCTAGTCTAAAAAAGAACAAAGGCAGAAAGGGGAAAAGACAGGGGGGAAAACCTAAAGAAAGAGAAAGCTGGTATTACAATTAAATCCCATCAGCAGAATAAGAACCAACTGACAGTGCCCAAACTGAAGTACCATGTGTACTTCATTGCTGTCGTTGGTATAAAGCTGTAGGCAGATAAAATGACTTCCTGCAATGGATATTACAATTCTATTATTCTATATAAATAGAGGTTCATCTAGTCCAACTCCCTGCAATGCAGGAAGCTCAACTACAAATCTGCCTAACAGTTACCTCATCCAGATCATTTTACCAGGTTGTCTGCAAGAATATCATGGGGGGCTTTGTCAAAAGCCTTACTGAAATCAATATCCACAGCATTCCCCTGATTCATCAAGCTTGTAACTTCCCAAAAAAAGAATCGAGATTTGTCTGGCATGACTTGCTTTTGAGAAACCCATCACAGCCTCCATTTCTAAGTGCTCCCAGACTGCTTAACGATCTGTTCTAGGATTCTGTTTCATTCCTTCTAGCCTTTTCCTATGTCTGATCTATCAGCTGCCAACTTTTGTTTCTCCCAATACTGGGATTGCTGCTTTCTCTCTAGCCCTGGAACACATGGATTTATTTATTTATTTATTTTGTTTAAAATGATGCGTTATTATTAAGTGTATAGTTCCTCAATGTGGGGGGAAGTCCATACCTGTAGGCTTTTCCTGGTTGATGTCTATGCATAGTGTACGGATGTCAGAGATAGAGCCGGTGGCCTTTAGCCCAGTTCTAGGTGGGACTTCCTTCATGCAATAGATGTGTGAAGGGGGCTACTGAATACAATATACCATAAAAACACATGCAAAGCACATCCTTTCCCTCAAATAATTCTGGGTGCTGTTGTTTGTTAAGGGTTGCTAAGAACTGTGAACTGTGATGGAGTAAACCACGGTGCCAAGAATTCCTTAAATGTGATTTAAAGGTATAGTGCATGGGTAGGCAAACTAAGGCCCAAGGCTGCATCCAGCCCCATCGCCTTCTCAATCCAGCCCACGGATGGTCAGGGAAACTCGTGTTTTTACAGGAGTAGAATGTGTGCTTTTATTTAAAATGCATCTCTGGGTTATTTGTGGGGCACAGGAATTCGTTCATTCATTTATTTTTCAAAATATAGTCCAGCCCCGCACACATGTTATTTCTCAGCCCCACGGACTACTTCCCGGGCCACACACAGACAGGCTGCGGGCTGTAAGACTGCAATCCTATGGAAGGTTTTCGGGACCGGCCCGCCCAGGAGGTGGTGCCTCAGGCGGCAGAATCCTGCCGGAGACGCGGGAGGGGGGGGCGGGATCCTATGAGATCTCCCCGCAGCGGCCACCTCTGCCTTGTCCTGGGGCGGGGGATCTGCTGGGGGCTCTTTTCCTTCCCAGGGGCGCGCGGAGGCGGCCGGCGGGGGAGTTGAGGGCGGGCGCCGGGCCGGGCCCTCCCTGCCGGGGCGGAGCCGCCTCTCTCTGTCCGCCCTCCGGGGCGCCTCGGCTGCGCGTCCTTCGGCCGCGGCGTCCACCCGCCTCTCGCGCCATGGCTGGCGGCGCCGCGGAGCGCGCTGGCTGGCGGCTGCTGCTGCGCCGGACGGGCGCTTCGCTTTCCCGCTGCAGCCGCTTCGCGACGGAGGCGCCCGGCGCCCAGTCCAGGCCTCCGTACGGGAGCCGGCAGCCGCAGGCTCGGCGGGGCGTCGCGGCAGCCCCCGGCGTCGACCAAGCCGCTCTGGCCGGCAGCGCGCCGCCTCCCGGGCCGGACCGGCCGACCTTCCTGTGGGCGCGCTACGGCGAGCTGAAGCGGCTGGTGCAGGGTGAGCCGAGGGGCTTCGACTGGGGCGGAGGGCGCCCGGCCCGGCTCGCTTCCCCGGGGGATGCTGCCGCCCCTTTGGCTTCTCCCCTTCTCTCCTCCCGCAGGACCCCCCATTGCTTTCCCCTTTCCATGTACTTCGTAGCAGTGCCCTTCCCGGGGTCCCTTTCTGCCGCCCCGAGGTAACCCGCTTCCTGACACCTTTTGAGGCACTCCTTTTGGAGTGAGGACTCGCGCATCTCTCTCGCCGCTTATGTTGTGGCGACTCTGCTCCGGAGCCGTCGTGCTTTCTGCTGCCAGTCGAGCTGGGTCGCGGGATCCCCTCCCCTTTGTTTCGGAGACATGTCCGGGCCGGGACAGCGGCAGAAGGGGCTGCTTTGTGTCTGGCTTTTCAGGCAGGGCTTCGGAGGGTGGGAGGAAGAGAGCAAGAGCCACACGGCGGCTGCAAGAACAGGGAAAGGCTCACATTTCCTGTGGCGGGGATCTGTTAAGTCTTTAAGGTGCCACGGGACTCTTCTGCAGCAAGAACACCAAACACAGTGAATTTTAAAGAATTGGAGTTGTTTTATTGCAGTAGTTTTAATTGATTTAAATTTGCACGCAAAAAGCAGGTAAAACAAATCTTTGGAAGAAAGTGCCATCCTTTCTTTGTTTTTAGATTATGCATCCATGAATCTGGAAGAGCCATTCCTTCCTGTGTGGGAGAGAAGCCTCTTCTAAATGATGCCTGCTACCCTTGATTTTTGTAAATATTTGCATATTTTTTAAAAAAGTATTCTTTCTTTAAATCTGCCTGATTAATACAGGTGGTGGAGGCACTTATAAGACTGACTGGAACGGATGATTCATCTGAACATGGTAGTACTAATCACCCCCAGTCCAAAGAAGGATCCTGATTTCTCAAAAATATGATGCATACATTTTGGGTTCTCCTTCTGAATTCCAGGTATCGGGGGTGGTCTCCCAGTCCTTGTCAGGGACCAGCCAAAAGTATGCATCAAGCAAGCTTGCTGGGGCAGGGGAGAACAGTGCAATTTTAGAGTGCCCCCTTATGAACCACTAAACATAGTTACTCCTTAACATGATTTAATCAATCTGTTCTAGTTGCAGCCAGGGATGGGCTATAGCTCAGTAGCAAAGCTGCTGTTGTCCCTTCTATTTTCTTCCTCTTTCTCCCTTTTTCTGTGGTCAGGATTTTTATCAATATTACAGAGATCGGGAGGAGGCATGGGCTGGCGAGTGGACTTAATTGTGCAATTTATGTTAAAACTTGTGATAAACAATTAGAAGGTAATGTAATTTCATGGTATGAGAATACCACCATTACATTACCACCATTACTGTTCCCCAGCCCCCAGCATCTTTAGTGCCTGAAGCCTTGGAGAATTGTGGAAGAGGGCATAGATGCCTCAATTTAGCTTGAGACTACTTCCTATTCTCACCCGTTTTTATACATGTTCATCTGCGGAATTGAAGATTCTAACAAACCCTGTAGAAATGATGTTAGCTTCAAAGTAAACCAGAGTAAAATAGTGTGCTTTTATATATTTAGTGTAACGTTAACGGTATTTAATCCAGTTTTGTAATAAGGATGGACATACTTATTTGGATGCACAAAGTGATCAAACTCCTGCTCTTAATTCCTGACTTTCTCCTAAGTGCTACAAAAATTGCCATGTCTCTCTCTCCTCTCTTCTTCCCCTCCCACTGTCCTCTGCACCTCACAAAAATATGCATTACAAAGCTTAACAGTTCCTTCCTTCCTGGGCACTGCCAGTTTCTTGAACTGTGGCATCACTACCCACAAAGTTTATATGACCACACCAGGCTGTCTGACCCAGCAGTTCCCTCTGTGCTTTGCCTGTTGACCACAAAGAATCTTACGCATTTCAGCATTTGCTGAATACAGTAATTTTTATTTCCAGCTCAACCAGTTTATTGGGGGGGGGATGACAGAAGGCAACGTGTATTCCGTGCTCCGAGATGAGCTGACTCATCACTTGGCTTAAGGCAAATTCTTCATTAGTGTGCCTGCTTGCACTTGATAGGGTTAACTAATGCAGGATGTCTGCTGTTGCACAAGTGCTACGTGTTTCGAGCAGCAAAGTGTATGTGCTGCCCAGGTATAGCCGTCTATATTCTTAAAAGACTGAGAGCTGTGTGGACAACTGGATGCTTTATATTTTGGCTGTGAAGCAGTTCTGCCACTTGTTCAAGCTCCTCCCTGAAGGACTGAGGAACACAAGGAACTGCCTTCTACTGAATCTGACCCTTGGTCCCTCTGGCTCATGTGGACAGGCAGGGGCTATCCAGGATCTCATACTCTCATACAGGGCTCTCCCCAGCCCTGCCAGGACATGCTATCGGGGATCAAGCCTGGGAAGTGCAAAGTGCAAAGAAGACACTGTAGTTGAGAATGGCCAAGATCCATTCTGTTTCCAGTGGTGCCCATCCAGCTTCCAAGCCAGCTATGAATGTGAAGCCATAATAGTGCTTAGAGAAGAACTAATTTGGAGGAGCAAAGGGGTGGCAAAGGCTATTATGGGGAGATTTAATCTTTGTTGTCTAGCAGGCAGTCCCAAACGGTGGTTCATGGAGATAAGCTTCATTTAGGTGGTTAAAAGAGTGACTGTGGATTTGTGGTTGAAGAAGGGATGTTTTGCCTCCTGAGTTGGAGGCAGGAAGCCTCTGAATACCAACTGCTGGCCATCAGAAGTGGGGGAGGAGAGTGCTGTTGGCTTCGGGTTCTACTTGTGGGCTTCCTGTGGGCATCTGGTGGACTACTGTGAAAACAGGATGTTGTGCTAGATGAGCCATTGGGTGATGGACCCAGCAGCCTCTTATTATTATGGAATGGCACTGAATGGCCTTCATATTGCTCATTTAAATAAGGGGGAATCCAAATGACTAGTTCTTAATTTCTAAGAAAAAAAATAAATTAAGGCTTGGGGTGGCGTGAGGCTGAGGTCTATTTAGGAGCCATCATGTCTGCTTTGTACCTTAATCCTGTATATGTGGAATCTACCTGTGGTCACTCAGTAGTAAGGAAAGGCATGCACACTATACATAGTTAGAGGCATGTTTCTTTGTTGTAACTTAATGGATTTGAGGACTTAGCCCTATATGGAAAGCAAATTCAGAGGCTGAGACGTGGCAGACATAAAGCCCTGAGGGTAACAAGGACTCCTGGCTATGCAAGATGCCTCCTGAAATGTTCAGTAGTAACAGATTGCTGGTGTGCAAGAACAGACTTAGAGGTGGGGAGACTCTCCAAGGAGGTCAGATAGACAGTCGCTTGAAGTATTGCAATAAAATGAAATCCAAAAAAATAAAAGAAGTAATGCAAATTCAATTAAAAAAAACCATTATCAATATTTAATGTGATGGATGTACCATCTCCCTCCTGTCTTCAGCCACAAATCAACAGACACAGCACAGACCACCTGCATGAAGCTCATGAACCACTGATGGTCCATGGACAGAAGTTGGGGAACCCTTGATTTAAAGCATTCTTATACCACCTTAATGGTTATGGAGAATCATGGGAACTATTTTTTAAAAGATGCTGAGAACTGTAGCTTTGTGAGTTCAACACCCTGAACTAACTAAGTATGGTACACTGGAGGGGGGGGGCAGGAGGAGAGTGAGGGTGAAATGGAGATGGTCCAATTTTGTGATCATTTGGGCCCTAGTTCTTACATAAATGGCATACCATGACACAGGTAGTGGTTCACATGATGGGTTGATCCTTCATACAAAAACACTCCATAGAAAGCTGGCATACTGAGGAGAAGGCTAAGCTGGAACCCTTCTCCCTGCCTCGCTACTTCTGTATTCAAGGATTTTCTTTTTTAAGGAGAAGCATTTAGTTCTATGACTCCTAGCGATCATCTGAAGTTGTGCAGCTCAGATACAGATTTATCACACCATTGAGAACTAGGTTCTGGTCTCTCCCTATTCTGTGATGGAAAACAAGGTCCTGATTAGCTGAAACAGGACCTGTTTTTTCAGGGATCTGACCCTTCCCTTAACAACTAAATTCCTATTTCTTAGCCTTCTGCTTTTCAGAGAAACCAGTAAGAAAATGGCCATGCACTCCTTTCAACCTGTCTATAGCCTGGTTAGCACATAATGCTAAATCATGTTTTACTTCGCTCAAGTGGTGTTTGTTTGAATGCCTGATCTCAGCCCAGCTGGGTAACCATGGCTTCTTTTCTGGTTACAAACCACAAAATGAAGCCATGGTTTGTTGTTGGCTTAAGAACCATGACCTGTTTTAACTGTGGTTTGACATTATTTCCAAACCCAACAGTCTTGCTAAACTATGATTTGCTTGTTTCCTGCAGCCACTCATGATGACACATAGGCAAGAGCATCTGGAAACCAAACCAAGCTTTGGAGAAAGGAGCCACGGCTTATTTGTTCGTCTGCAAGATGATTTGTTGAATAAACCATGGCTTAGCATTATGTGCAAACGCAGCTGTAGAGGACTTATCCCACTAACTTTGGTTCATGAGTGAGGGACATGTTTTGTCAGTTACCCACTCTCTTAACAATCTGCCTCCTGAGGTATTTTATTTTGTATAACAGACCCAGGGGGTCACCTCACCCATTGTTTCTGGCTTGGGAGTCATCTTTTCCTAGAAGAATTCTCCCCTTCTGGCTAGAATGAAACCCAGGTAGTCTGTATTCCCACAGGTTCTACCTCCCCTGGCACAGACTTAGCCTTCCAGTCTAAATACCTTCTCCAGACACTCAACCCAGTCTTCCTATCTAAGCTGTGAGACTCCTTCCTCTTGCTGTAGATTGTCTCTTCAGTGTGGTTGTTCAACTCAAATCAGAACCATTTCTCCCTCAGACAAATTCTATCCTAATCCCTTTCTCCCATCTCAAATCATAAAAAACTCCCATCTAAAAACTCCCTCAGAAACTGCTCCTTGTATTCTCCCTCCCATCCATGCAATGAGTCAGGTCCCCTCCCCTCCATCCCTGGATCACAATTTTATTACCTTTTGGAACTAAACAAAAACATATATTTGGCTATTTTTGGTGAATCTCTATGTTTCAAAAAATGGGATTTCCTTGCCTTATTATGGCACTGGGAGTGCAGTATAGGTTGTGGAATGGAGAGAAATGTATAGAAATGGTGGTGTGTGTGTGTGTCATTGCAGCATAGCACACAGTCTCAGGAGGCCAACGTTTCTGATGTGTTGGGTACCCCTACTTTTGTCTGTAAGAGGCATCCATTTGGAAGTGTGTGGTAATTGCTTGTGCTTCCATCTTCCTCCAGATTTGCTTCCCCCAGGGGTCTGCAATCTTCTGAACCCTTCAACAATCTACTCCAACAATGAGATTTCCCTGAGTACTATCGGAGTGTATGGATTTGACTATGACTACACACTGGCATTATACTCACCTGCCCTCCACTCTTGCATCTACAACACAGCTCGGGACATCCTTGTGGAGCAATATAAGGTACCTCTAGAGCTTGTATGTCCTGTTGACTAGAACACAAGAAAAGTAATTGGCAAAATTGGAGGGTGCTTGGCTTGGACAAATGGTAGCGACTGAAGGTTTGAAAACCTTTCGGTGGGGATGGGAAGCCTGTGGTCCACAGGCCAAAGTTGGCCCACCAAGGGTACCTGCTTGATCCATGAGCCCGTTTCCCCCAAAACTTGCCCACCTGCCCCCACACCTGACATCATATGTACACTTAAACCATGTTCACAATTGTGCATTGGCAAGGGAAATCAGGCTTCGGATATACTGCCCGTCAGCTAAGCAGCGCTGGATTGGCTGCTGAAGTGCTCCCTGTGCGGAACTTCCCCACACACTGGATGTCTGCAGAAAACAGGTTGTGGCTCTACCACCCATCAGCTTGTGGGCAGTAAAACTGGAGCTGCAGGCATTTTAAAGCACAATGCAGGACTCTTGTACTGTACTTTGAAGTCAAAGGCACTTGCTATCATGGTGACACCAGGTGGTTGGCAGCCAAGGCCAGGATCTGACCAGTGGAGCTAGAAAGGTTCCCCAGCCCTGCCTTAGGCTAAGCGAGACATGAGAGGAGGAGGCAGCCGTGTTTGTATGCTTGTCCTGTTCTGTGTAAACTGTATGTGTTTGGTTTTTGCATCAAAAGAGCGTTCAGGTGGACGAAGCTGAACCCTCTGCTGTCTTTACCTCACCATGCTCTGTCACTGCAGGCACTTTTCTGGCAGCTCAGTTATCCAAAGTGGCCCAGGCTAGAAAAGACACTTGAAGCAGTGGGGAAAGGGGAGGGTTTAGCACTCCTCATTCAAGTGCTAAAAAGTTAACTTTTACCTCTTGTCTTATATGCGAACAGGGCAGACAGACCAAGAGGGCTGCTCCTGTCATGCCTCCTCTGCCTCTTAATGGGTAAAATGTGCATTTGCCCTTCATGCTTGGGAACCTGTATGGGCCTCCCAGTGTTATTGGACTCTCAACTCCCATCATCCCCAGAAAGCAGCACGGCTAATGGATTGGGGCTGATGGGAGCTGTAGTCCATCAACATCTGGAGGGCCACAGAGGTTCCCTATCCCTGCTGTCTGTGCTTGCCTCTGGGATCCCAATTGTAGCTGATAAACATGGATAGCATGGTTCCAAGCAATTCCCCGCATTGACTTCATTGAGAAAAAGTATTATCTTTGAAATCCGCTTCCAAATGACACTTGAAAGGCTCTAGACTTTTTAAACTGATTGACCACCTTGCAAATTGTATGTTTTGTTCTGTCCCATCAGTATCCAAAGGGCATCCTGAAATATGAATATTGGCCGAACTTTGCCATCCGGGGCTTACACTACGACATTGCCAAGGTGAGATAGAGACAGGTGGCTTGTCCTGTTGTTGTGGCTTTGGCAGGACAGCAGAGGCTGGAGGAGCAGAGCTGTGTGTGCATGTGTCAAATCTCACTTTAGCCTGAAGTCACCAGGTGTTCTTTGCCAAACTGCAGTGGCCTAATGCAGTAGTGTAATCAACTTGGAACATTTTAAAAGTCTTCTTGAATAAATGCTAAGCATTATTACTTGTCACCTGTGCAAATAAGGGTCACTTTCAGCAGGGGGTTAATTGTAAGCCAAGGGAAGAGTTTGTTCTTTTTTTCCATTGTGGTCATCCATGTAGCACAAATGTGGGCAGGCAATGCATTATACATAGGGCTGCCTCTGAAGACGGTTTGGAAGCTTCAACTGGTGCAGAATTCGGTGGCCAGGTTGCTCACCAGGGCAAGATGGTTTGAGCATATTACACCAATCCTGGCCCAACTACACAGGCTGCCAGTTAGTTTCTGGGCCCAATTCAAAGTGCTGGTTTAGACCTATAAAGGCTTAAATGGCTAAGGACCACAATACCTCAAGGACCACCTTCCTCCACATGAACCTACTCAGACCCTGCAATCATCCTCTGAGGCCCTTCTTTGTGTGTGTCCTCCATGTGAGGACCAGAGTGTCCTTTTCTATGATGGCTCCCTGCTTGTGGAATGCTCTCCACAGAGAGGCTCTCCACCTGAGAGCCTCACACCTACTTCCCAAAGCCCAGCGCCTTGCTAATCCAGCTTTGGGAAAGCAGTGTAAGGGATGGGGCATCAAATGTTGCAAAGGGCCACCGTAAAAGGCTTTGGGGGCCACATGCCCATGCGTTGGACCACCCTGTGCGTCCTTTTAAATGTGTTTGTGGGAAGAGTGTCATTGGTTTGTTATTGCTCTTGTTTTTATAATGTATTTTGTGTTCATATTTTGTATTTTTATGTGGTGAACCGCCCTGTGATCTTCAGATGAAGGGTGGTATACAAATTCAATAAATAAATAAAGTATTGTTTCATGAACTAATTTGCAATATAGGTTTCCTGTGTGCTGACTCCACATTTCTCTTCTGTCTGCCATACAGGGCTTGCTCATGAAGATAGATGCCTTTCATTACATTCAGCTGGGCACCGTTTACCGGTAAGTGTTGCTCACATTGGCCCCCAATGGCTGAGATGGAGCAGAATTTCATAGCTGAGATATTGGAATTGAGGCTGTTCCTAGACCTAATTTTTAATATTCTTCTGTATGGTCATGCCTAAGATATAACCCTGATTCCCAGGAAATAGAATTTGCAAGTTGGGAAGCAGTCCCAAAGGCATGCGGTCCTTTTAATTTCCCTTGAAAACTCTGCTTAAATTTGTGTTAGCCATGGCTAGCTGTGGTTCACATGGAATATTAAACCATGGTTAAGTCAAACAAGGCAAGGAAGAGGGGAAGGAGCATCCATCCCTTGCTCTGGCTCAAAATTTGCAAACTAGTTTGTAAGGAGACCGCATCATTGTCTGCACGAGTCAAACTGGAATTCATAACTTCGTAGCCACATTACTCACATGCAGTACTTTGATTCAGCTGCGAAATGATGCTCTCCTGGCGACACTGCCAAGCTCCTAAACCTTTCCCCTTTTTGGCATTCCCCAGGGGCTTGAAACCGGTTCCAGATGACGAGGTGCTGGCGTTGTATGACGGTACCCTTCATATCCCCCTCCACCAGGCTAGTGGCTTCTATGGAAAGGTTGGTTCCCTTGCTAGCCCTGGAGTTGGTTTGAAGGCCATCTGCCAGTGTCTCTCGTTGCTCAGTTTCTGTTTCTGACTGAGATGTGGCAAGAGGGGACCAGGTGCCAGCAGAGTGTAGCTCCTTTTATTTGCCTTCCTATGTATCTCTGCTATCCAGGGTCCACCAAGTTAGAAAGGGAGCTTAGTTGGCCTGCAGTTGCATCTACTTTCTAGGCTGGACCTCCATATTCACCTGGTTTCTCTACCAAGTATTTGGTAGGGCATTGCATTGTCTCAGGAGTTTTTGCAGGGAATACTGCAGGATGCATGGCAAACTGAGATGCTGGAGTAAGGATGAAGTGGTCTTCTTTGAAAAGGGGCATCCATAGTGAAGTTTTCGTCATGTTGGCAGAGCACCCCTCATGCCAGGACTGGCATTGCCCTTGGAGCCAGTCCTAGATGTACGCAACTAACCAGAAGTAATTTGTTGAAGAGGTGTGAGCCTCTCTAGCCGAAGGTGTAATGTTGCCCTGACTCAGAGGACTCAAGCGCCATCCCACTCCCCAAGAGTCAATGGCAGATAAAGCAGACTTGGCCCCTTTAAATAGGGTTGCCATACGTCTGGTATTCAGCCCTCGTAAACAGCGTCCGGGTGGAAATCGATGAATGTCCAGGAAAATCCGGGTGTGTGGCAGCCCATGTCAGAAGTGTCGGTTTTGGTGAATTTCATTAAAAACAATGAACAACTTAACAACTTTGCTCCCCACCCCTGCAAAAAAGAGCTCAACTTTTGTGTCCAGTTTTTCACTTCATGGGCGCAGAGCCAGCAACTGAGATACAGCTGCAGCTCCTGTTTAAGGCTCAGTCTGGGGGTGACTGTTGCCGAAGGAACACCTAAGCTCTGCTCTTACTGTGCAGATAGCCTGAGCTCTGCGTGTGTGTTTTTGGCTCAACATGAGAGGAAATTGTTACAAACTTTATAAATAAAATAAAGTATGCCACTCTTCATTCAAAGATCTAAGGACAATCCACAGCATAAAAATACAAGATAAAAACACAAAATGCATTATAAAAACAAGAACAAACCAAACCAATGACCTCCTCCCCCCACTCTCAATGCACCACTTTCACATCCTAAGGTACCACCGTTCTGGTCCTGATCCTGATCGGAACATTCCATAGGTGCTATTTTATGTTTTTTAAACAAATGAACGAACATGGAACTATGCATTTAACATAGTGTGTTGTTTGACACTCAGAATGCAGTGTGGGTAGGCAAGAACTTCCCGGTGAAATAGTCTCACGGCAGCCCCTTTCGCCAGCTCACGGAGGGTGCTCTGTACCTCCTAGCTGCCTTTATCTAACCTTGATGTCTCTTGCCTTCCCCATTTTTCTCCAATCCGGATCTATGTACAGTGGTACCTCAGGATGTGAACGGGATCCGTTCCGGAGCCCCATTTGCATCCTGAATAGAACGTAAGATGCATCTGGGCGTGCCGTGTTTCGCTGCTTCCATGCATGTGCATGACGTCATTTTGACCATCTGCACGAGCAGCGAAATCCGGAAGTAATGTGCTCCGTTACCTCTGGGTCGCTGCAGAGCGCAACCCGAAAATACATCCTGAAGCATATTTATCCCGAGGTATGACTATATCTGATAAATCAAATGATGGAAGCGGAAGTAAATATGCTCATTCTCACTTAATTGTGGATTTTGAAGGTGGTTGGTGAATGTAGGGCTCTGATGTGTAGCTGGACTAGATGAACCAGGAATTCTGCAAAGTTGGACAATTACAGTCCCTGCACTAGCAAGAAATGGGTGATGAGTGCAAGCAGTTCTGACTGAGAGTTGCTGTTCAAGCCAGGAACAATCTTTTGTTTCTCCTTCCCTCCCTTGGACTTCCCAGGGTCCAGCCATAAAGCAGTTTATGGACATCTTCTCTCTCCCTGAAATGACCCTCCTGGCCGTAGTCAATGACTTCTTCATCACCAACGACATTGATTACGATCCCATCCATCTCTACAAAGACGTAACGGTGTGTTTCCCTCCACTTTCCTGCATATTCTGCTCTTGTTGCTGAGTGTTGAGATGTAGGCTTCTGTGTTGAGAATTGGCAGGAGGATTGTTGCTTGCTAGGTGTCCTTTTTTTGGTGGGGGGGGGAGGACTCTCTGTTCTCTGTGGTTTACCCTGCAGGCAAATTGAGGAGGAGGATTTGAGTGCTCTCAAGGGCTCTCTTCAGTTCTTTCTTTTTTACTACTTTGTTGTTGTGGGAGGGAGTGACGTATCTCGCCACAGCAGAACAGGCTGTCCTGAACCAAGGAGAGAATTGGGAGGGGCTGCCTGCTTATCTGCCAGGCCGGCTTATCAAGGAGCCCAGCTGCCCCAAGGCACACAGCATGGGCCTCTTTCTCCTCCTCTGCCTGTGTTTTGAAAAGGCAAGTCTCCTTCTTAGTTGTATCTTTGGAAACCTGAGACATCTGGCTCTGCCTCTCAGACTCACAGCTTCTCTGGAGCCTGCCTGTCTCCTTGATCCAGGGCAAGAGGTCAGAACAGGCATTGTCATAAATAGCATTGCTCCCTTGCTGCCTCCATGCACGTAGGCCCTTTGACTGTTCCAAGAGACCTCTCTATTGAGCATTCATTCCAATTTGTTTGCAGGAAGATTAGATGGCAAATGCTCATTAGCAAGCCAACTTTCTGATTTGTTTGTGGGGAGATTAGATGACATTGTGTTACCCCACACTTCCCAGTGCATTTGTCCATCACTTTCCTTATCACAAGAAGTCTTAGGGGGGGAAGCAGGTTTGCTACACAAGACCTCCCAATCAATGATAATTGCACAATTCTATTAGCCTCCCGGAATGTGAATTTGCCTGTATCTGATTGAATTCCACCTATGGAATTCGTCCTATGGGACGAAAAATAGGGACAGACTTAGTGGGTTCTCATGCTTGTATTCTACAGTGAGGGGGGAAAGTAGTTGATCCCCTGCTAAATTTGCCCGTTTGCCCTCTGATGAAGAAATGACCAGTCCATAATTGTAATGGTAGGTTTATTGTAGCTGTGAGAGACAGAATAACAACAGCAAAACCTCCAGAAACCCAGAAGACAAAAGTCAGAGATTGAAGTGCATTATAATGAGTGAAAGAAGTATTTGATCCCCTATCAACCAGCCAAATGTCAGGCTACCTGGTATCTTCACTGTACGTAATGAGCTGAGATTAGAAGCACCTGCTGTAAGGGGGAGGTCTTACCTATAATCCCAGACCTTTGTCTTCTGGGTTTCTGGGGGTTTTCCTGTTGTTATTCTGTCTCTCACAGCTACAATAAACCTACCATTACAATTATGGATTGGTCATTTCTTCGTCAGAGGGCAAACGGGCAAATTTAGCAGGGGATCAAATACTTTCCCCCCTCACTGTACTTGTTCATATGAGAAAGATATTTCAAGTATTTCAGAAGTCTGCACCCAAAAGCAGAATTCTTCAGCTTGCCTTAATTACATAAATCAATCACATTTGCACATTTGTTGAATTATTTTGCACTTGCTGATTGTGCAAAAGGGGGCAGAGAGCTTTGCCAAGATGCCACAACTGAGCACCCTCCCCCCATAGCTTCTAGTATGTCATGACACCTTCAGGCTTAAGGGTTAAAGGTTTTTCTTCCTCAGACTGTGCAGGATCTTGGAATGCACAAGTCTTGAGACTTTCCTTCTGGGTCAGACAGGCTGTCTGAGTTGCTTAGCCTTCCTGAATGGAGTTTGGGATTCTGCTTATTTTGAGCCATATGGTCCTCCAAGCCTCTCCAACAATTCCTGTGGTGCAGGCGTCTCCTGTGGTTGTTCTTCCTCCTCCTGCCTACTTGTGATGAGGATTATATATATGGACGTTCCTATTTCAAGGGCTCAAGACCTTCTGGTCCCTTCCAGCCCTACTGGTTTTGTACCTGTACCACATGGATGTTTCTACACCACAAATTTGTGAGTGTGTTTTAAAACAATTATCATGACCCCCAGCTAAGGAATCCTAGCAGCTTTCTTTGGCTAGATACATACCAGACTGTTAAGGCACAGATCCAGTTCCCCCATATGTTCTTGTCTGCACGCCTATCCACATGAGCAATGGAAAGCACTGTCACAGTATTTCCTGTCCACATTGGTGGCTAGTAGTTGATGGGATGTATTCACACTGTGTCTTATTGTCCCCTCCTCTCAGTACTTCCCCACCTTCCCTAAGTTCCAGAAACGTGAGGCCCATTGTGGGTATGCACACATGTATTCATTTTCCTATGGAGGCAGCCAAAAATTTTTTGGATACAACTTTTCTGTTATGCCAGATTTGCATTAAAAAACAGATTATTATTTTTTTTAAAAGACCACTGAGGAGAGCTGTCAGGTAGGGGTGTGCAGCAAAATGTCACCACAAATGTAAAAAAACCCCCTGTCTGCAGAGTGCCAATGGGATGTTGTCAGTGCCGAAAGTGTATACACATGGAGTGCTTAGAAACCATTTTAAACCACTGTGTACACACCACTTTTTTGGAAAGTAGCTGGGAATTTCTCTGTGTTTGAAAGAGGAAGAAAGACAGAAACAGGCAAGGACCAAGCTAGTTGTAACTGTAGCAAGGTCTGCTGCATTTATTTAAACAGGTAAAAACACCGTTGGGATTTCTCAAATCAGATTTGGGCTGTGGTTCAAACGGAGAGGTTTTCCCCTTGTAAGTGCACACCCCTCACCCCCTGGACACACTGAAGCCGCTATTTGCCCTGTGGAGGAAAACAAGCAAGTATCAGTGTCTCTGAACTCCCTCCACCCACATCCCTGTCAGGGAAAGCAGGGCCAGAAAGGAAAGGGTTAACCCTCTTCCTACAGTTCTGGAGTCCCAGTTGGATTCTTGTTACCCCCCACAAAAACTGGTGGCTACTATTACTTTTTTCTTTTCTTTTTAAAGCAAGTGATCCAGACATGGATCTCTAAACTGGTTTGGCCATCGGAATATGTTGTAAAGCAATGGAGCAACAGAGGCAAGTGATTTGTGGGAGGCTGGGGCCAGTTTGCAGTGCCTCCCCACCCAACTAGGTAACCTAGCTTGGGATAGAGGGGCAAGTGGGGTGATTCCAGCTCTTAGCCCCCCCCCCCCTTTAGCCCAAAGCCAGCTTGGAAGGGGTGCAGAGCAAGGGAGCAGTATAGCCTTCCTTTCCAAAGCACCATCTCTCGAAAGCAACTTTCAGGGTGTTGGTGAAACATTGGAAACGCAGGTCTGGGGGAGACATTGTTAAACTTGTTTGTGTATTTCTGAGGTGTTTTTTAAAAACTATTATTAAAAAAAGTTTTTCGATAGGATGCCATCCGGGATGTCCATATTAAAGGCTTTATGTACAAGTGGATTATGCAGGATCTGGGTGAGTATCCATCTGCCGAGGGGCTGAAGGCAGGGCAGCCACACAAGCAGAGGGCTGCAAGGGATGCAAATGGCCTTTCCAGACCGGCTGCCTTTCCCAAGGGAAGAGCGTCCATCCACTAGCTAAGCTGTAGAACAAAACACGCTGGTTAGCTAGCCAAGTGTGTCAGAAGTGAAATGTTTTTCTGCATGAAGTGATTTTGCAGAATGGCACAGAGGCTTAAGCAAGTGAACCAAGCAGTGGACTGCTTAAGGGAAGGCAAAACCAAAGATCAGGCCTGGCTAGAGTCTCTTAGTCTGTGCATTCTCTGTGCCTGGACCAAGCACATTCCACACCAAGAAAGCTAAATTCTGCAGTCACAGGAGAAGCCAGCAGACTGAAGCCCCGCCCTTCGTCTCAGAAATCAGAGAGGGATTGGCCAGGTGCTTTCATGTGCATCTGCACAGCCACAAGGGCTAGAAACTTGCTTTAAAAGGGGGGGGGGTTGCATTGTGCCACATTGTGTACTTTTTGTTCACTTCCTCAGGGTAGGCATATACACAAAGCCCAGCCTAAGTCAGAAAACGAAAACAACAATCCTTCCAGCACTGCTCCTTCCCACCCAGTGAACCTCGTTTCAGTTTGTCTCTTGGTCCTGTCTGCATCATAGCTGTCAAGTGTCCCTTATTTGAAGGGACAGTCCCTTATTCCAGCGCCATGTCCCGCTGCTGTCCCTTATTGATGGATGTCCCTTAAATGTCCCTTAAATGATGTCCCTTATATTTCAAAGGAAGCAGCGCCTCTCCCTCCCTCCCTGCCAGCCAGGGAGGAGGGAGGCTCCAACTGTGTTGCTTGGCTGTGTTGCTCACCCAATAAGAAGTCTAAGAACGATGGGGGGGTGGAGCTTGCATGCCTTGTGTGTGGCTAGTTAATGCAAGCTGAGGGGGTTTTTGAATGCTGGGCGCCATTTTGTTGCACGTGCTGCTGCAAACTTTGCAGTGCAAAGCCAGGCCGGGGAGCTATCTTAAGTTGAGGCTGCATAGGCCTTGTGGTGCATGTGAGTCAGATTCTAGTCAGTTGAACCTCTGGTTACAAAGTTGGTTGGATGGTGTTCTCGAAGCTACCCAGCATGAGTTCGACCAGACTGCAGGAGGACAGGAAGACTGGAGTGCCTGGAACAGGTGAGGCTGCAGGTCCCTTATTTTGGCTGCTGGTCCCTTATTTTCAAGGCTGCTGGTCCCTTATTTTCAGATCTGTAAGTTGACAGCTATGGTCTGCATGGAGAAGTTTTTAATGCCCATCTTCCCTCTGCAGAGAAGTACATCTTGCGTGGGGATGAGACGTACGCCGTGCTGCACCGCCTGGCCAAGTGTGGCAAGAAACTCTTCCTCATCACCAACAGCCCTTTCAGCTTTGTGTGAGTCTGAACGTGGCAGGGCTGCAAGCTAGAAGTAGGCTGGGCATTAACATTGTCCTGGTCCAAAACTGTTGATCTACAATAGACTTCATTTAAACTCTGCTTAAATGCTGATATTGAACCAATCTGTTGGAATCTCTAGGGCTCTCCTGCATCAGCTGCTCCTGCATTTTCATAGAATTGTAGAGTTGGAAGGGAGCCTGAGAGTCATCGAGTCCATCCCACTGCAGTGTAGGAATCGTAACTAAAGCATCCATGACAGGTGGCCATCCGACTTCTGCTTAAACACTTCCAATGAAGGAGAGTCTATCAAACAGCTCTTGCCATCAGAAAGTTCTTGTTTGGTCAGAATCTCCTTTCTTGTAGCTTGAAGCCATTGGTTTGGGTCCTGCCCTCTGGAGCAGGAGAAACTAAGCTTGCTCCATCTTCCATGTGCTAGCCCTGGAGATAGTTGAAGATTTTTTTAGGTTTGACCTAAAGTGTTACACTACTAGCCCTAGCCCTTTTAGGCGGCTCAGGCAGACATCTTACACTAATTTGACAGTCTCATGGCAGATACGAGAATAAAGGAGGAAGGTAGGGAGTAGTAGGGAGCACTACTGTGGGCTGTGAGAAAGGAGTGAATTGTAGCCGCTCTGAGCCCGGCTTTGGCCGGGGAGGGTGGAATACAAATAAAATATTATTATTATTATTATTATTAGCTCCTGCACTCTGCCTATTCTTCTGCTGGAATATCTGCTGCCCTTCTCAGGCTTCCTTGGTCTCTGTTGCAAGAGCCCATAGAAGCTGCCCCTGCTGTCTGCTACTGGTGACATTCCCTCTCCTATTCCTAATGTGCCTTTTTCCTCCTTTCCAGCAATAAAGGGATGCGGTACATGGTTGGTAAAGACTGGCGGGACTTCTTTGACGTGGTCATAGTCCAGGCAGACAAGCCTCATTTCTTCAATGATTGTGTCAAGTAAGTGTGGCCCACTCTAAAGCTCCTGCTGTGGATTCCAGATCCTGTATGCCACATTGAGGGATGAGTTCTAGTGCATCCACCTTGGGCGGTTGTGGGGCAGAGCGCATAGCCTGGAGTCTGGGAAGCAGTGCTGGCCCTCGCACACATGCACCGTCTTATAGGTTACACCAGTCAGTATAGAGACTTGAGCCTTCAGAACCTGGTGGGCTGCCTCTGGCCACTTTGCAGAGAGCCAAATATTCGTTTGTTTGCTTTCTGTTGCTGGAGGTGGGGGCATTCTGTGTAAATTTGAAATCCTGCTATCTGCCCAACTGCATCATTTTCCTCCTTTCTTTCTTTTTTAAAAAGTAACTTAATACTGACTTGCTTGATTGCCCTAAATATTCCTCTGCTTGCTTTTGTGTGGGGTGGGGAAGGCTTACACTGGCTTGGGACAGAAATGATTGTCTGCTTTTATGAAGATAGGGGTGCTTTGTAAATTATACATGACTTCTGAATATTCTGTTTTCACTTCCTGTCATTCTTCCCCTTCTTTCCTATATCTTGTATACTTTCTTCTCCTTCCCTTTTTGTGTCCTACTGACATTTAAACCACATGGAACGGTTTAAATAAAACCACATGGAGGTTTTATTACAATCAAGAGATACATATATTTTTGTTAAATAAGTAAAAGAATGAAAATAAGTCTTTAAGGAGGTGCATCTTAAATTGCACTTTTTATAATATTGCCAAAATGCAATGCAAAGTCACAGCTCCTGGTTTTCCTTGGCTCCAAGAGCCGCTTCACACAAGAATTTGCAGAAAACATCTACACAATCTTATGTGTAGGTTCCCCACAGAAGCAGTGTGAGGGTGGGCAAGTGAGAATGATTTTGTGGGTTTGGAGGCTAGATGCTGGGTCCCAGGAGCTCATGCCCCCCAGCTCTGGGAGAGCAGAGGGTCTTGTTGGCACCCCACCCACCACTTGCTTCTCTCCTCAGACCTTTCCGGCGACTGGATGCTAATGGGGATCTGCAGTGGGACAAAATAACTAAGCTGGAGAAGGGGCAGGTATATAAGCAGGTGAGGAAATGGATTGTGGATGATAAAAATGTCATGGTGGTGGGATTGTCTGTCTTCTGGAAGAATGGAATTAATATACCAGATCTTTCCATGCTTGTAACTTGGGCATGTCAGTCCTTCAGCGTATCATCTTCTGTACACACACACACACACTTTTCTCCACTTGGTTATTCTTGAGGCAGTCAAATCAGATACCTAAGGGATGGGGGAAGTAATCTCCTCTCTTGCAGGTCTAATCCAGTTCCACCCTATGACAGGAGCCTGTATGGCCCTTCAGATGTTATTGAACCACAACTCCCATCAACCTCAGCCAGTATGTCCACTGATCAAAGATGATGGGAATTGTAGTCTAGCAGCATCTGGAGGATCACAGGTTGCCTATCCCTGCCCTACAGTTTCAAGTAGGGTGTGAGGAAGAAGTCGGGAATGGTGTTGAGCTGGTCAACAGGGCCACTTTTAACAGCCACCCTTTGCTAAGTTGTGTGCACTCTCTCTCTCTCTGGTGGTGAGGACACAGCCTAGTCTGGGCTCACCCTCGCCATGGCACAGTGGGCAAGCAAGGGAGAGGAGAAAAGCCCACTGAGGGCTTCTTGCCCAGCGCTCTCTGTTTCTGGAGTTTGGCACCAGGCTACCTTCTCCATACCAGCAAGTAATTCCATATCTTTTGTCAATTCTAGGTCAAAATTCAGCCTCTTATGTTTAACCTCATTCTATATTAATGTAAAAATTGTGTAGCCATTTTGTTCCTGTATTTATAGAACTCCTTTAACTGACTTCACCTGTCTGGTGATTTTAATGCACCCTTTCTCATTCCACTGTCAAAAAATAAAATATAGGGCAACCTTGTTGACTTCCTCCAGCTTACAGGCTGGCGTGGATCCAAAGTTCTCTACTTCGGAGATCATCTCTACAGTGACCTGGCGGTGAGATCTTTGGGCCTTTTTCTCTGGGGCAGGAATGGAGTGTGGCCTGTGGGAGCTGTGACCTGACTTGAGTTGAAGGGAGGGGAGGGGGGGTGAAGTTGCTTTGGGCTTGCCTATGCCTTCCTTCTTCCACTGTACCTGTCTCCCCACAGGACCTGATGCTGCGCCATGGCTGGCGAACAGGGGCCATAGTTCCCGAACTGGAAACAGAGACCAAAATGGTGAACACAGAACAGTATTCACAAGCACTCACCTGGCTGCAGGCCTTGACCGGCTTGCTGGAGCGCATGCAGGTAGAGGAGAGTCCACTTGGTGGCTGAGAATGGAATGGGGAAAGGGCGCAGAGCTCTTCATGGAGGGTTGCTCTTGAGAGACGGCAAAGGATGCTAAAATAGTAGAGCAATAATCCTAAAATCCTAGAATTGTAGAGTTGGACGGGACCCTGAGGGTCATATGGTCCAACCCCCTGCAATGCAGGAATCTCAACTAAAGCACACTTGGCAGGTGGCCATCCAACCTCTGCTTGAAAACCCCCAAGGAAGGAGAGTCCACCACCTTCTGAGAGAGTCCCTTCCACTGCCAAACAGCTCTTCCTGTCAGAAAGTTTTTCCTGATATTTAGTCGGAATCTCCTGTCTTGTAACTTGAAGCCATTGGTTATAGAATCAATAAGGTGCCCTAAAGACCAGTTAACATAGAAGAAATGAAGTTTGTAGCTAGCTTATGGGCTTATGAATCAGTAGGTAAAAAGGCAAATTTCTTCTGCAGAAGTTGGTTTAGTGAGTTTTAAGGCAGGATGGGATCATCAAATGCTTTTCTAACCACTTGGTTTGTTTCTCCAAAAGATGTTCAAGGATCCAGAAGCTCAGAAGGTGTTGCAGGACTGGATGAAGGAGCGACAAGAGCTCAGGTAACATTTTATCTCTGCCTTCCCATGCGCTTCACTGTGCCAGATCCAGGGTTACAAATAGCCACATGCCTGAGTGTCTGTGGCAAATCAGAGTTTTATCCAGGCCAATTAGCCAAGGATGTTTCGGGGAGCTGGGGGCGATGCTGTACATGTGGTGCTTTGCTTTTTCAGTCTGTAGTATTAATGTCAACTTGGAGGGTCATATGTTCTTTGCATGCTTGAATAGATGAGATGAGATTTACAATTTATACCCTGTTTTTCTGTTAAAATAATACTCAAAGTAGGTTACAATGCAAAACAAAAATACAATGTAAAACAACAAAATATGGAATACAAGGCTGATCTACTTGTAGTTGCTTTTCCTTCTGAATTCTAGCTCCTCATCAGGTTATTCTGTTCCACAGAAAATTCCATACTCCTCTGGATGTCCCCTCTGTTGTCCTAGATTCATGACTTCCACACCCCTTTAGCCTCATTATACTTGTACACAAGGGGTTGAATCTGGACTGAGGTAGCTGAACTTGGGTCCCCTTGACTTCAGCAGATCAGCTTCATGACTTAAGTTCAGTATCATTGATTTCATTGGGAACTAGGTTTCCCTGTTGAAACAAAGCCCAGGTAATTGTAATTACTGTATTTGCATTTCTTCTCCACCCCGTGCTCTATTTTTAGATTTGTAAACATTTTGGAGTGGAGAGCCGCCTCTGCAAACTAATGGTGGAGCTACATCAATAAGAATTTTCCCTCTCTGAAGGTGTGCCCATTTGGAAGAAAGGCAAATAATATTGTGTCTTTAGGTAGCGATTAGTAGGGAAAAGTTAAAGAGGCCCCTACTTTAAGGCCCCTCCCATTAAGAATGGGAATCTCTGCTCCTGCTGCCTCCTGAATTCTAACTTTCTGCAGTTACTGTTGGCATGTGGCAGCTGCTTTATCCTTTGTCTTATTTTCTGAATCCCTTAAATCTCCCTGCCTACTTACAGCTGACTCCAGGTTTGAGAAGACCCTGTCCAGGTGCCCTCTGGTAGGCTGTCTTCTCCATCATCAGTTGCCCTCCTCCATTGGGCTTAACTGGCAGTGGGCAGCAGCAGCAGCACTCTTAAGCATTGCCAGGTGACTGGCTCTAGCCTGTTTTTAATTTTCTACAATGGCCCAGATTATGAGCCACATGAGCAATTCAAATGGCAGCTGGACCCAGCTTTTTGGTGGCACTTGGAGCATCAGGCCTGAATTGGTGGAGTTTCTTAAAGGGAGCCCCAGGTGTCAGCAATGGGCCCTAGCAGCTGCCAGGTGTTGACTCTGCCTAGTCTGCCTGTAGCAAGTGGGCAGCTGTGCAGTCACTGCCATGCAGAAAATGGCTAGTTTCTCAGTGTGGGTTGAATGTGTACTAACGTTCCCAAGCACAATTCAAAGTGTTGGTGCTGACCTTTAAAGTCCTAAACAGCCAGCCCTGTATATCCGAAGGAGCATCTCTACCCCCAAGAGCACTGAGATCCAGCTCCGAGGGCTTTCTGGCGGTTCTCTTATTGCAAGAAGTGAGGTTACAGGGAACCAGGCAGAAGGCTACCTGGTAGTGGAATGCCCTTCCATCAGATGTCTAGGAGATAAATAATTATCTGATTGATAGAAGTCATCTGAAGGCAGCCCTGTACAGTGGTACCTCGGGTTACAGACGCTTCAGGTTACATACACTTCAGGTTACAGACTCCGCTAACCCAGAGATATTACCTCGGGTTAAGAACTTTGCTTCAGGATGAGAACAGAAATCGTGCTCCAGTGGCGCAGCGTCAGCAGGAGGCCCCATTAGCTAAAGTGGTGCTTCAGGTTAAGAACAGTTTCAGGTTAAGAACAGTTTCAGGTTAAGAACGGACCTCCAGAACGAATTAAGTACTTAACCCGAGGTACCACTGTATGGGAAAGTTTTTTATGTTTGATGTTTTACTGTGGTTTTATAATTTGTAGGAAGCCACTCTGAGTCAGATGGACTGAGTACATATTAATAATAATAATAATAATAATAATAATAATAATAATACAATTCATTTATTGTGGGTATGGATCCTACATGCACAGCAGTTTCAAAAGGATTTCCAGTGATCTCTGAACACTCCAGTGGTGGTTTTCAGCTGACTGTTGGCAAGAGAAGTTGAACTGAGCTGAATTTAGCATTTAATTAAATAGAAGTAATAGCTGTTTATGAGAATGTGGCATGGAAGAGTTTCCCCAGTAGGGTTCGGTCTCTGCGAGGTGGTCCCCTCCTTTGCAAGGTCTTCTTTCAGAAAACCGTATGTTGCCTAAGGAGAGCCAGAGTAAACACAACAGCATTTCATTGGAGGACACAGGGAGCTGCGTGAGCGCTCTTTCAGAGGGAGTGTAATCCCGTCAAGAGCAGGCAATCTCCCACCCATCTGGTCTGGGGATCTGAATGCTTTAAAAAGAAATCATTTGAAAACAATCAAGTATTCTTGCTAATTTCAAGGTTGCCAGGGACAATGTGTACTAGCCATAAAATACCAGGGTGGATAGGAATCTTTCTAAATTCCCCCTGAGTGAGGGAAACCAGTTGCATCTCACCAGAGAGGGCATTTCATAAACAGGGAACAGCTGTCAAGAAGGTTCTTTTGCAAGTTAGCATAGCTAACAAGTTAGACAGCAGTATCACCAGCAGGGCCCCCCGTGACTAGTAACCCTGGATAGTCTTCCTTTGTGAATTTGTCTTTTAAAGACACCTAAGTTGACAGCCACAACCACATCTTGTATCAAATTCCAAAACTATTTGTACTAAAATATTAGTGCTTCTTTTTGTCTTTCCTGAATCTCCCAACATTCCATTTCTTTCAGTGACCCTGGATAGACAGGGAACATTTTCCTCTCTGTTTTCTCCTTCTAATGCATAATTTAATAAATTGCAGCATATCTTTTCTCTTACTTGCTTTTTTTTCTAAACTAAAAAGCCACAAACGTCATAACCATTTCATGTAGGAGAGTTGATTTTGTTTCCTCTTTTCTGTACCTTTCACAGCTCTGCACTCCCCTTCCTCTGAGGTGCAGCAAGCAGAACTCTTTGCAGTATTCCAGGTGCAGCCACTCCAGACAGTCTCATTTGTGATGTCTCTTGTTTTGATCCCTAGCACAAAATTCACTTTTTACACCGCTTCTGCACACTAGGTTGACATTTTTATTGAGCTGTCTGCTATCGCTCCAAGAACTCTTTCTGGTCAGATCACAAATGTGTGTGTTGCCCCAGTATGCATTCCTTTACACTTGCTCACTTTTTGAGCTCTTCACAGTCCCTTCATTCCCCCCCTGCCCCCTCCCAGTGCTAATAGTCATGTTGTGCAGCCTGAACAAGCTTTCCTTCTGGGTAAATACTCTTTCTGTGAAAATTCCATGAAAGAATTCACAAATTGAGGCTTTTGCTGCTACTGGGTTCTGTCTCATCTGGTGGGCTTGGATTTCATTTCTATAGAAAACAATGGTCTGGGCTGTGCAACCGGATAGCTCTCTAATGGCTCCCCTACTTGCATCTATAGATGCCATGAGCTGCTATTAATTGCCCTAACCCAGGGTCTTCAAACTAAGGGCTGCAGGCCGGATCAGGCCCGCCAGGGTCCTAAATCCAGCCCTCCCTGCTGCTGGTGGCTTCTGGCTAGCCACCACTACCTCTGCCGCCGCCGCCACTACCAGTTTCCCATCCATCCTTCCATGGCTCCTTCAAACTACCATTCCTGTTACATATTCTACTTTTCTTAATCCATTAAACATTCTAATTTCTCTCCTTACAAATTTTAACTGCTGAGCTTATTCCAGACTGGCTAAGGTTCTAACATTTTTACAGTGAAATTTTAAATATTCTGCAAATGGTTTCCATTCCTCTCTAAAAACTTTTCTCTTCTTGCTCTCTAATTTTGCTGGTTAAACTTGCTAATTCTGCATATTCCATTAATTTTGCCTGCCATTCCTCCTTTGTAGGTACTAACTCCTCTCTCCATCTTTGTGCATATAAAATTCTCACCACCTAAACAGACTAACTTTTTTACTTGGAACCTCAGATCTCACCATACCTAAAAGAAAGGCCTCAGCTCTCTTTGGAAAGGTCTTCCAAAATATTTTTTTCCAGTTCATTATATATCATTTCCCAATATTCTTTGGCTCCACCACATTTGATTGAAAGTCCCATCCATAACTTTACACTTCCAACATTTACCCAACTCTGACTTATACATTTTTGCTAATCTGTTTGGTGTCAAGTACCATCTATAAATCATTTTCAAATAGTTTTTCTTAAGAGCGTAGCAGGTTGTAAATTTCAGTCCTGTTTTCCACAGCTTTTCACACAAATCTAACTATATTATGGCCTACATCTCCTGCCCAACTAATCATTGCCAATTTCACCATTTCATCCTGTCTCTCATTCTTGTAATAACATACATTTTAGAAATTGACTTATCGTTATTTTCTATTAGCTCTTTCTGAGGTATGTTCCATGAAACCATATTGTTTATTGACGTCAAATGTTTCATTCACTTGACAGTATTGCAACCAATCTGTCACTTGTTGCCGACTCCTTCCATCTTCTTCAGGCTTACACTAGTATCTGTAAAGTCCAGTAATTCTCTATACGTTGGCCATCTTTTTTCCATATTAAGTTTTTCACTGCAATTGTTTTGATGGGTCAAAGCCACAAATGTGTTTTACTTTCTAGCAGGTTTTTATATTTTCCCCAGACTCCATAGATATTTCTCCTAATTCCATGATTCATAAAATTCTTACGTATTCTTGCTTTGCCATACCATAGACATGCATGCCAACCAAATTTAACACCACACCCCTCCAAATTGAGCAGTTGAGTGTTCTTCAACTTTATCCATTCTTTTAACCAACACAAGCATGCTGCTTTATAATATAAATGCAGATCTGGCAGAGGGAAGCCTCATTTTTCCCTAGTATCAATCAATATCTTATATTTAATTCTTGGTTTCTTCCCCTGCCAGATAAATCTAAAAATATCCTTCTGCCAAGAAATATCCTTCTTTAAAACAGCTTAGGTTATTAATTATTGGGGCAATTTGAAATAAAAATAACTTTTCCAACAACACGTTCATTTTTATGACCGAAATTCTACCCAACAGAAAGCTGAGATTCTTCAAGAGGTGCATTCTTCAGCTATCACTGCATGCTGCAGTTTCCATGAAAACACATTGTCCTGTTGCAGCTTGCTAGGTCACCTAGCTAGGTACAGAACCTAAGAAGCCAAAGATTTAATTTTGTATGCTGTTGTCTAATAACTCTTTCTCTTTCTCTTCTCTGTGTCCCCTCAAACTTGCTGCAGGGCACTCACCAAAAACCTCTTCAATCCTCAGTTTGGCAGCATCTTTCGCACCTGCCACAACCCCACCTATTTCTCACGCCGCCTGTGCCGCTTCTCGGACGTCTACATGGCCTCGCTCAGCTGCTTGCTCAACTATGACCTCAACTACACCTTTTACCCAAGACGCACTCCCCTGCAGCACGAGGCTCCCCTCTGGATGGATCAGCTGTGCACTGGCTGCATGAAGACTCCCTTTTTGGAAGAGATGGCTCATATCCGCTAGGGACCTGCGCAGGCAGGGCTGCAGAGGCTCACGACTCTGCCCCAGACCCACAAGTGCAGCAGTGAGGGCTGACTTCTTGAATTAGAATCCCTGCGGGTTATTCGTCCAAATTTACAAAGCAAGAGTGCTTCCTAGGAATGTCTTAATTGTTACGGCCTAATTCATCTTTGCCAAGTGGTCTTCAGTATCCAGTCTTGCTTGCAGGCATCAGAAGTGCCTTGCTGGCTCAGACCAAGGTCCAACTAGTCCAGAATTCTTTGCAGGATTCCTAGGAGCTAAGTAGGTTCTTGGGCCTATCTCAAATTGGCCAGGAGCCCAACAGCAGAGTTTTGGTTGGCCTTCTTCCTGCAGGTGCTCTAGGAAGCTGGGAAGCCTGTCAATTGCTTGTCCGCTGGTGGAGCACCTTGGAATGGTCATGCAATCCTCTCTGCCCTGCCCTGGGGTGGATAATTTCACAGGCAAACTCACTCAGCAGCTGCGTGGGGGTGGGGGATATTTTTGCTCCAACTCACAAAACTACTCTGCCCCCACCCCTTGCAGGGGTGTTCTGAAGTGCTTGAAGTTTACCTTTTCCCCACTGTTGGGTTTTTGTGAGGGTGATTTTTGCTTGCAACCATGGAAGGTCTGGGGTACTGTGGGGAGGGGCTGGGAGGGAAATATCCTGTCTCTTGGTGGGGGGACAGGAGGTGCTAATGGGAGGGTAGGCGTTTGTAGCTCGTAAGTCAAATTTTGTACCTTTAATAAAGTTCAGGGTGAAACCTGTTCCTGGTATGTTTATTTGCCAGATAAGAGGGGTACAGGATCAGAGGTGGGGGGGGGGACGTGTTTTGGCTCCCAAACGTTCCCTCTTTTACTTTGTCCTAACATGTTTCATCTTTTCTGAACCATTTGCCTGTGATGAGGAGTGGTTTTGGGGTGGGTGTATATTCCTCACTTTAAAAAAAAAACCTTTTCAAAGTAATCTTCCTTTCTCTTCCTATGTAAATTAAGTAAAGTGTACATTAAGATTTCTTACTCTGTCTAGCGTATTCTGCTTCTGCTAAATATGAGGGTCAATGCAGAACTCTGAAACTGCCCCTGACTAACAGGAAATGCTGTTCACATCCTTGGTCTTAATAAGCATTTCCCACACATTCTTAAAATTTAACTTGAAGGACTAGAAACACACTTTCTAATGGCAGCAGCCGTGTATTGCACAGTCCAGGGCCTGGATAGGCAAACTAAGGCCCAGGAGTCAGAGCCGGCCCAATTGCCTTCTAAGTCCAGCCCGCAGGTGGTCTGGGAATCAGCATGTTTTTACATGAGTAGAATGTGTCCTTTTATTTAAAATGCATCTCTGGGTTATTTGTGGGCATAGGAATTTGTTCTCCCCCTCCCCCCAAAAAAATAGTCTGGCCCCCACAAGGTCTGAGGGACAGTGGACCGGCCCCCTGCTGAAAAAGTTTGCTGACCCCTGGTCCAGTGTTACTTTGCTGCCACCTCATGGCCACCTAATAAGCTGTGTGGAGAGTGATGTCTGGAATGTTACTTCATGCCATGTGCCCACATAGAAAGACGATGCTACCTCCAGCTGTTTTATGCACACAGAGCTACAGCCTCGTTCAGCCATTTGTTCCATGGGAGAGAATGGAAGGTGGCAGTCCAAATTCCCTCTGCATTCTCCTAAAATGGAACTATTGCTACATCCTTTCCCATAGCCCCAGAGCTTCCGTTTAACTTGCAATACTTGCTTAGCAGGGTGAGGTGAGGTGCTGTTCTTTAAGAGGCTTGATTTGGCTCTGGGATCTCCTGCTGCAGGTCACTAGAATAGTTAACAAAGTGCTTTATAATTTTATTTACCTTCTAAAAGCCAAGGGAGTAAGCGCTCATTTTCCCCAGAACAGCAGTAAGAATAATGAAACATTATTCTTTATATGGATAATGAAACATCATAAAGAAACAATGAGGCTAAACAGGCAGCAATCCTGCGCACACACACAGGAAGAGGCCCCATGGAATGCAGATGGGCTCCGGAGTAAGTTTGCTTGGCCGTGCACTGTAAGCTATTGAGCCCCAAGAGTGTCTTGCTGAGAGCCCTGGACAAACTTGCGGCCATGCCGCCCCTCTCCTCTCACCCCTGTCATTCCTTGCACCATAGACTTCAGGAATAAAGGTTGAATCCCCCCCCCATAAATACATATGAAGGCTTTCATATTTCTGCCAATATTTTGTTGCAAAATAAAGTCTGCTCTGTATACGGCTACATGCTGAGAGGCATAGGAAGTCCTACAAATAAACTGAGTTGTATAGGCTGTCCCTGGCACCTGAAGTCCCCCCCCCCTTGTCCCCAACTGAAATTAAGGCTAGCTGCAATGCTGAAGGTTTGACACAGACCCTGGACTGGCTCCAGTAGAAAGCTTTTTTGAAGTCAAATTGGGGGGCAAATGTTAGAAGTTGCCACTGAAAACCCACAATGGTTTCTCCTGGTTGTAATAGGCTCTCAGAGTTCATGGTCTCTCTGCCAGTGCCAGGCTATTTTGTGGTCTAGGCAAGACTACTTGCACCCACCCAAAAAATTGCTAACTTCAGTTTTCAAAATTAGGTGTCTTGTGTGAGAGGGAACCTTAAGAACAACAGGAACATTAATTCAGGAGCTTTTGTTATGATATGAAGAGAAGTACCGTACTTGTGGTGACAGACTTTTGAAGTCTTTGAGGTATTGCTATAAGCTCACAGCACATCTGTGCCATAAGCACACAGCACATTCAGCATCATAGAGTTATAAGGGCCATCTAGTCCCACCCCCTGCAATGCAGGAATCAACTAGATCATACATGACAGGTGGCCATCCAACCTCTGCTTAAAAGAAGAGCCCAGCAGCTCCCGAGGGAGTCCATTCCACTGTTGGAACAGCTCTTACTGCCCCAAAGTTCTTCCTGATGCTTAGTTGGAATATTCTTTCTTGTAACTTGAATCCATTGGTTCAAACCCTTTCTCCAGAGCAAGAGAAATCAAGCTTGCTCCATCTTCCATGTGACAGCCCTTGAGATACAGTGGTACCTCGGGTTACAGACTCTGCTAACCCAGAAATAGTACCTCGGGTTAAGAACTTTGCTTCAGGATGAGAACAGAAATTGCACGGTGGCAGCATGGCAGCAGCGGGAGGCCCCATTAGCTAAAGTGGTGCTTCAGGTTAAGAGCAGTTTCAGGTTAAGAACAGACCTCCAGAACGAATTAAGTTCTTAACCCGAGGTACCACTGTATTGGAAATTGGCTATCATATCTCCTCTTTTCCATGCTAAACATACCCAGCTCCTTCAACCATTTCTCATAAGGCGTGGTTTCCAGATTCTTGATCATCTTGGTTGCCCTCCTCTGCACACATTCCAGCTTGTCAATATTCTCCTTAAATTGTGGTGCCCAGAATTGGACACAGGATTCCAGGTATGTTTTGAGCAAGACAGAATAGAATCATAGTGGGACTATGACTTCCCTTGATCTGGACACTAGTCGTCTGTTGATGCAGCCTAGAATAGCATTAGCTTTTTTGCAGCTGCATCACAGTGTTGACTCGTGTTCAGCTTGTGGTCCACCAAGACCCCGCGATCCTTTTCACATATTATATTGGTTCAGCTGCTTATTCCTGACTATTTCTAGAACCTTACACTTTTGCTTACTGAAACTCATGGTATTAATTCTTGGTTTCCATTGGTTTCCCCAGTCTCATTTGCTTTGTCTCCAAGTCCTCGAGCTCCTCCTGCTCGCCCGGGCCGAGGTCTCTGCGCCAGCCTGCTGCCTGCCGGGCGGGCGGGAGAAAGGGGCGCAGGAGCAGGAAAGGCCGCGCTGGGGCTTGGGCGCGGGGCGGGGGTTTCTCTCCCCCCCAGCTCTGCGCCGGCCCCCGGCTGGAGGCGGCGAGGGGGCGAGGGCCGGAGCGCGGGCTCGGCGGCGAGCGCCAGATCCAGTTTCCCTCGGCGGGCGGGCGCGCGCGGCGGGCGGAGGAGGCAGGGCAGAGCGGGCGGCCGGCCGGCCGGGAGCGAGCGGCGCAGTGGCCGCGGGCGCCTGTTCCTCGGGCGCGGATGGCGGCGGCTGGGCCAGGCGGCCTCCGGGCCGGGGAGCGGCGAGGGGTCGGCGGCGTGACCTGGCAGCGGGACCCCGCCGGCAACTGGATCCGGCGCCTGGAAGCAGCAGGTGAGGGGCGCCGGGCCAGAGAGAGCCGCGTCCGCGCGGAAGCCGCGCATCCTGAGCTCACTGAGGTCGCGGGGCTTCCTCGGGGGAAATGGAAACACGCATTAGCAGAACTGAAAGGAGGAAGGGCCTGTGCCTTTTATTTCAAACTCTCTTCAACTCTCCTGGGAGGAACAAGCCGCAATCACCCGCCTCCAGATCTGTTAGTTGGTGAATGCTAAAGACACTCTTAATTTATTTTTATTTTCTGGTGTGCTGCTGAAATAGGAAATGAAAGAAGCAGCACGCCCGTCCTTTCTAACTATTCAAAAAGACACCACAGTTGAGAGAGTGGTCGGTGAAAGGACAGAGGATCAATCACCTAAAAATATTGAATTGAATTGACAAGCCCTAATCTAAAACCAACGTGGCTGAAGCTTGGGAAAGGAATTTGAGGATGGGGCAAAGTTGCCCTAATCCTGCCTCACGCCATTTCTTCTCCAACTCCTGTGCACTGACCCCCATTTCCTCTCCCTCCTTAGGATTTCACCTGGACACCCCAGCAGGGGACCCGAGACCTGAGCAGGTGGGGGAAGAAGGCCCCTTTCCAGAACATAGCTGTCAACTTTCGGATTTGAAAATAAGGGATCAGCAGCCTCACCTGTCCCGGGGACAGTCCACGGGATATCTAACAATCTGGGAAGCAGCAGGAAACGGCGCTGGAATAAGGGAATTTCCCGCAAAAAAAGGGAAGGTTGACAGCTATGTTCCAGCAGGAGTTGCAGGCCTCCCCCTCCAACTGCGAGGCATTAATCCTCTTCTGCTTCTCTGCTCCTTCCAGCTGCTGCACGTTCAGAAAGCACAGCCAAGGGTGCTGAGGGCCAGCCTGCCGCCTCTTCGCGGGCCACAAGCCCTGCCAAAGGCCCTCGGAACCAGCAGCAGCTGCATCGAGAGCTATTGTTCACCCATCGCAAGTATGGCTAGAAGCTCCCGGCCTGCTATCACTCTTTGGTGTTTCTTGAGTGTCTTTCCAGTGGGTCTGTGCTGGTTGCTGGGCAGAACAACCCACACCTCTGGGTTCTTTCAGCTTTGTTCCAATCCCTCTTAAGGCCTTTCCAGGTGACTGTGTTTCTTTCTTGCAACGTTAAATGTATAGCTTGTTGAGAGGAAGCCAGAGATCCTTTATCAAGGAAATCCATTTTCCAGCACTCCAAACGCAGTATCTTGTTGCTCAGAAAATTGCTCTCTCCTCCCCTTCCCTGTCTCCACTGCTGGTCTGCCTATTGCAATGGTTTTTGCCATCTAGACCCACTTTGTGGAGGTGTCAGGAACACCTGTGGCTTTGTTAGCGATGGGCAACACTCCCGTTTCTCTATGCCATTTCACGACTTTAAAAATAAATAAAAGTCAATTTGGATGGCATTCTGCAAGCAGAGTTATACACATATAATAAAACTTTCCTAGTTTATTCTGGGCTGAAGTGCTGGCCTTCAGCCAGAATAATATTTCCTATGTATCTGTAAACTTGTGAGAAAAAGTATTCTGAAGCTTCACAACTATCACCCTAGTTTATCTATCCGTGAGAGAAATGTGTTGAGGTATTAACTCAAACAAAGATACTTCACCTCCTTGCCTTATGTGAAACTGCTGTAACAGTTTGTGCATATTCATGTTTCCCATTTTGAGAGAGAAACATAAAAAATTGTATTTTTCTAGGAATGAGGAGAGTGTACCCAATTTTGGGCTTGCAGCTCATGGGGTAATGGCCCTAACGAAGTTGGTGCTGTGTTAGTCCATTCCAAGCATATTTGCATATTTGTTATTTAGGTGACAGCTTCTCTCCCACCATGTAAAGTTAAAGGAGAAGTGGTGGGTGGTTTATTGTAGCAATAAACAATATCTAAGTGGACTTTATTTAAATTATGTTGGAGGTGTAACACCCTAGAAGCAGGCTGTTTTCTTTATGTGACAGAATTGGGGGGCGGAGGGTGGGAAGCGGCTCAAACCATACGTGCTAGAGGGCCTTAGTATGATGGACCACAGTCCTCAGTTTTTCCAAATATTTGCCCACTTTTTGAGGGTCCTCTTGAGCTACTCAGTAACACAGCAGAACAGGTTCCACTCAAGCATGTTGGTAGAGCATGAGACTTTAAATCTCAGGGTTGTGGGTTCGAGCCCCACATTGGGCAAAAGATTCCTGCATTCCATGGGGCTGGACTAGATGAGCCTCAAGGTCCCTTCCAACTCCACTTTTAGGATTTTAATGCCAGGGAAAACTCTTTTACTCCTTCTAGCAATTAATGGATGGCTGCATGGAATGTGGGCTGTGCTTGTGATTATTAAAAAGAGCTGATTCCCCCCCATTATATTTTAGGGTATCTGGATTATTATTTTTTAATAATAATACTAGTTTAAAAGCAAAATCCTATACCAATCTAGCCAGAAGTTAAGCCCCATTGAGTTCAAAGGGGCTTTTCTCTCTGATAAGTGGGTATAGAATTGCAGCCTGACTCAGTAACCAAAGAGTTATGGAGAGTCTAATGTTTATTTTCCCTGCTATCTTACTGATGCTCACATGCACGTCCATTACTACGTTCTGGTTCTTCTATTTGCTTTTACATTTTTGCCTTTTTCTTTGTGTGTGTAAGTAATTCTGGAAGGATGGGAAGAGGTTTAGCAGAGGCAGGAATCAACAGCATTGCGGAAATATTTGTTAATTGTTACCCTATGTGTGAATAGTGTAAATGTGAGTAAATAATTATATACATACATCTACATAATTCCTCTCACATTCGCTCATGAATGTGTTTATGTGAGAGAACTAAGTGGGAATGGACACAGATAAAATATTGTGTCTACACAGAGAGAGCTCCAATTGATAATAATTTTTGTTTATTACTTTAATATTCCACCTTTCCTCCAAGAAGCTCAAGGTAGCATCCATGGCTTTCCCTCCCCCCGTTTTATCCTCATAACAATCCTGTGAAGCAGGTTAGGGCGAGAGACAGGGACGGGCGCAAGGTCACCCAGTGAGCTTCATGCCGTGGTGCGGATTGTGGCCTCCCGTGTCTTAGTCTGGTATTCGAGCCCCCGCACCACCCTGTCCCTGATAATAATGCCAGCTCTGAATGTGCTGCCCCACTCTTGCTGCACAATTCATGCCCACTGCCAAGCTGGAGAAAACTGTGGCACTATCCTCTTCCACCCACCTACCTGAGTGATCGCCATCCTTCTGCTCAGGATTCTCTTTGTAACCTGATTCGCATCCCCAGCCCAAGAGGCTGCAGGTGTCGCCTTTCCTTCCTCTGCTGGCCTCCAGCCAAGCCCAGCGCCACCCAGGAGCTGTTTTTCCTGGCCACGCTCACTGGCCTACTTCTGGGGCCAGAACAGGGCAGCTTTGCAGGGGTGGGGGCTCTGCTCTGCCCACAGAAAGAGCATGTGGGCGAGGGGAGCAAAGCTCCCTCAAGCCAACTCTGATAATGGGGAAATTGCTCCTCAAAGCAATTGGGGGCAGGCAGTGAGGGAGATGGAGGAATCTGTCCATTTCTGGTCTCACATTTTTCTAACCTTACGTTCAGTCATCCACATGTCTTCAGAAATTTTCAAGTAAAATAAAACAAAATAAATCCTCATGAAAATTCCTTCAACATTTTAGTGTGAATTTATCCTAGTAAACAACTTTTATATTCAATTTTGCCTAATGTACACATTTTTGCATGCACTTTCTCATAAGGTATGCAATGCATTTTTGTGTTGTTTTCATAATTTCTTTTCTAAAAAAAGAGTACTGATTAAATTTGTATACCACCCTTCATCGCAAGATCTGAGGGTGGTTCATAATATAAAAATACAAAATGAGAATACAAAATACATGATAAAACAAAAACAAATAACCAGTTCTCCAACAAACACATTTAAAAAATGATAGAATGTTCATCAGCCAAAATCTCATTATTCTGTCCCCATATTTTTTATTCCCCTTGATTTCCCCTATAATTTATCAAAGTGATTTATCAACTGTCATCATCATCAAACCTTTTATTGGCATCACATACAAACATCCATAGCAAATCAATACAGAATTCCCACCTTCCCAGTGACACAAAACATTAGTCAAATGAAAGAGGCAAAGCGGGCTAACATTACATCTCTAGGTCTCCAGGGAGATCAGACGTCTGCAATGTGTTTGATTGCCAAAAAACCAGATAAAGATATTTAGCCACTAACTTGGTGAGCTCCTGATTATTCCCCAGTAATAGAAAATGTATGACCTCTAACTCTGGTTTCCACCTGGGGATGCAGAGTTGATCTAGGAACTGCTGGCAGAGATCAACATATAGTTTACATTTAAGAACCATATGTGTAAGAGTTCCCACCTGATGGTCTTCACATGGGCAAATTCTTTCTCCTTCCACCATTCCCAAGAACCTTCACCATATGAGGTTTGAAGGATTTAAATTAAACCTGGCCAGCGAAAATGCCCTTCTTTTTGAGGATTAAGCAAAAATTCAAGATAAATTGTGGTTAATTTCATATGCCCAAGAAAGCTGACAGTTAAGAGGGAAACATGTTTTCTCTGCTGCTGCTGCTACTGCTTTTAGTTCCTGGCATTCATTGTTCCACAACCTAGTTTTTATTTTAGCCTTGGCAGATGGTGGGGACATCAATTGCAAAAATTCCACTGACAACCCAAGTTGCTGTACCTTTATGTTAAACCGTTGTAGCCCCGGGGAAAGAAAGGGATCTAGCAAAACTTCACTAAGGAGAGGATCTTTATCTGTTGTGAGGCAGATGTTTAACCAGCATGTAAGAAATCTCCCAGGCTACCGTCTCTACCTTGGGTTGACCTCCCTCTAAACACAAGGCTGCATAGGGTACACAGCGTGGCACAGTAAAAATCTTGAAGAGGAAAGCTGCCGGCACTTGTTCTACCAGCTGGGTAAACCCTGGCAGCCAGACTGGAATTCCGTAGAGCAACTGAGCTATAACTTTGGCACTGGAGACCTTGAGGGCAGAGGGGATATGCGAATTACCTCTTCTTATAAAGAAACGCATTATGGCTTGCATAGACATCTTACTGGTATTCACCGCCATTGCACAGTGCGAGGACCATAGAAGCCTATGATGGAATGTGATTCCCAGGTAGTTGAATCTGAATACCTGCTGGATGGGTTTTCCACCAAATACCCAGCTATAGCTTTTGTGTGAATTCCCAAAAACCATTATTTTGCTTTTATCAGAGTTCATGCACAATTTCATTCTGGACAGATAGTCAATACAGGAATTTAACAAACGTTTTAGGCCAATTCTTTTCCGTGAAAGCAAAATCATATCATCAGTGTATAGAAGGATGGGAATGCTTGATGCATTGAGTTTTGGGCTGTGGGCATCCACCTGTTTTAGTAAAGAAGTGAGGTCGTTAAGAAAAATATTAAAAAGAGAGGGAGCGAGTAAACAGCCCTGCTTTATTCCTCCATTTATAATGACAGGATCTGTCATTACATTCCCTGGTGTTGTTCTTATGCGACAGGTGTTCTTTGCGTAAAGCTTTTTGATCAAGTAAAGTAATCTAGGTTCTAGGCCCATTGTCTCCAATTTGGACCATAACAGCCCCCTGTCAACAGTGTCAAAAGTAGCCTTGATATCAAGGAAGGCCACATAAAGACATTCTTTTTGAAGCCGCATGCATTTAGCGGCTAAATGAGATAACACCTAACAGTTGTGTAAAGTAGATTTCCCTGGCCTGAACCCTGCCTGCTCTGGACCTATGATGTTATTCTCATCAAGCCAAGTAGTTTATTTAACAGATGTTTAGCATACCATTTCCTGATGTTTGACAGTAGACTTATTGGCCGATAATTGGATGGCAGCTTTTTGTCACCCTTTTTAAAGATTGGGATAATTATAGATTGCTGCCATGAGTTAGGTATGATACCAGATCTATCTATCATAGTGAATAGTTCCTCTAGTATCGGAGCCCACCACTCTGGCTTGGCTTTGATCAATTCAGATGGAATAGCATCAGGGCTGGCAGCCTTTCCTGCTTTCATCTGGTCAATTAAAGTTATAACTTCAGTGATGGAGACAGGGGACCACTCATCTGCAAAAGTAAAAGTGGTATGGTCTTGATTATCAGGTGGAATACAGTCATCAAAGAAAACCGCCTTAAAACGCTCTACCCATTACAAAGATGGAATCAATGTCAGTGAATCATCCTGTGTCTGTGGGGAGTCCTTAGAATTGAGGGAGCTATTTCTGGTTGCCAGAAGCACCAACCCAGTCAAAAGAGACGTTGCCTTTTATAATTTGCTGTTGATTTCCTCCACTGTTCTGGCAGTCAGCAGACAGTGGTCCGCGAGTATTTCTGCACAGAGCGGTGCCCCCTCTGATAGTAGTTCATGGGATAGTTCATGGGCGCTCGTCTCAGCATTCTCCCCTGGGTGATCTCCACCCATTAAAGTGTTCCCACCTACCTGGGAATGTGCTCTACTGGATGTGGTAGGTTCTGAATTCTGTGCTCTTACGAAATCATCCAGTTTACACTGCTTGCACTTCTGCTGTGGGCTCACTTGTGGAGAAGAGACCGGTCACTTCTTTCTCCTAGTCATTTTCCTGGAGATGCAGCCGCTACTAATTTCTGCTGTAAATCGGAAAGCTCGGCGTCCTCCCAAAATAGAGCAATTAATCTCCACTCCTGCTGATAAGTAATTGGTAGATTGAGTGGAGCTGGAGCTAATTAAGGCTTTCTCTGAGACTTTCCAGGACTTTCTCTAAGACTTTTAACTTGAGCTTTTAACTCAAGCTTTGTGAATATATTAGTTAAGGAAAAGCTGCCAAATGTTGTAGATAAAATACTGAGGCTGATAAAAGCTGATAAAACTAATAAAAACTAATAAAAACCACACAACTGATGTGGAGCTCAAGTCATCTAACGACTAACAACGCCATCTTGGTAATCTATCTTTATCAACCATAGTTTCTTCTGTCCACTAGACCAATCTGCCGCTGCCACGCCTCAGCTGCCAGGGCTCCATGGTGGGGGCACCTGATTGTGCCCCCTCAAAATTGTGTGCCCAGAGCCACAGCCCCCTGGTCACCCCATGCTATGCCTCTGCTCCCAATAGCACTTCTCCATGCAGAGGATCTGTTACTTGCTTGCTCTTCTACTTGCTTTGAGCATACAGTACCTGAAGATATCTTTATCCTCTTGCAAGCCTGATCTCATTCTGAGGTTTGGCCTGCCTGTCCTCCCTGCAACCGCATCTGTGATTTCCCCTTTCGTCCATTTCTGTACATGCCCTTCTTAAACCTCAGCTCACCTCTAAGCTCCTTAAGCAGTCACACGGGTTTCTTTAGGTGCCTCTCACTTTTCTTTATTGTTAGACTTATCTGCCATTGTGTCTTCATTATTTCACCTTTAAGAAACTCCCATTTTTGAAACCAGCCTTCTTAAAGTCCATAGCATAGTTGGACATGCACTCTGGACTTTAAAAAGGGTGCTTTTAGTAAGTTTAAGGAACTACTGGGTGAGATCCCATGGTCAGAAAGACTTAAAGAGAAGAGAGTCCAAATTGGATATTTAGTATATTTAGGTTGCAGTAGTGCTCACATGATAGTGTTTGTTTCTAAGAATTCCAAAGCACCACATTCCCCCAAAATCTGTGTGTGTGTACTGAAGGGCAAACTCAAATCTACTCACTCACCTGTAATGAGATGCCTTGTTGCCTGTGGCTACCAGGCAAGGGTTTAAGCACAAAAATCACACTATCCTTTGTACTTTCTTCAAAGAAACCTGGAAATTGCAGTTTCATTGAGACAAAAGCCCAATGTATTTTATATGTATCGATGCCTAAGCAGCTGAAAATCTAAAATCCTTTTTACTCTCTGCCTTTTGGCAAAGGGAGCTGGGCTGCTTCTGAAGGTGTTGATGCCATTAAAAATGGGAGAACAGTCAGTTTGTAAATAAAATACTGTAGTTTTACTATGCCAAACTGTTCCTGCTTTGGCTTTCCCACCAGAACTGTGTGGGTTACACTTGTACTTTGTAACTTACTGAGTTGCCCAGAGTAATGCAACAACTCCAGGCCAATGTTGTGGAGAGTAGATTAGGAACATTAACACACAACCCTGTTAGCTTTACAGGGATCCTTAGACGGTTGAAGTCATCTTACACCCTCTTAATTCAGTAGCACTGGCTTAAGCCGTGAATTTGTTACTTGGCTCAGTGAAGGCAAAGTAGGTTGGCAGGTGGTTGCCACAGACATTAGGGAATGAGCTGCTGAGGGTGGGAAGGGGCAATTTACGGCTGTCTTGTTTTGACTTCCCTCCTCTCAGAGGTCTGAGCCTTCGTTCGAAGCCAGAGCTGCTGCAGGTGCTGGAGCACCGGAACCGGCGCCGGGACGGGGTGGAAAGTGGCGTGGAGCCGCCGTCCCTGGAGCAAGAGCTGCTGCGCTGGCAGCAAAGGCGGGAACAGGTAACACCCAGAGAACGTGACTGTGGCTGTCTTGATGTGGCTCCCTGCATCTCCTGAAAGGCCACTTGCCAGCACTGCCATGGGGTGTGTCTTCTCTATGGTTCACTCAGAAGCACCTCAGAGAAACAGGGGTTTTTTTTGTCTACAGAACCAGCAACAGGAAGAAACAGGTGATACGGTTGGGAATCAACCAGAGTTCATCCAGGTCCGGGAAAACCTACGAAGGACACACTATCCACGAGATCCCCCTCCTCTGCGTGCAGCCCCTCCCCCAATATCCAGCCCCTTCCTGCGCCCTCATCTCACTAATCGGCAGCCCTTCAGGATCTCAGCCACACGCTCATCTGTGGTCCCCAAGCCCCCAGCCCCACAGCTTCAGGGTTCCCTAAAGGGCTCGAGTCTCTCCTCAGCTCCCCTTGCCAATACATGAGCTTCCTGCCTCCCACCACACTTGTCACTAATATGACCAGACACATTATGGCTCCCTTCTGCTCTAGAGCTGGAGAGGCAACACCACAGCAGCCTTTGTCCTAAATGGCTGGGCCTATACTGCACCCAAGAGCTGGAATAACCTGAAAGGGAAGGGGGCAAGGGGTTGCTCTGATCTGGATCCCACTTCTCCACACCACTTGTCAGTCAGATAATAAAAGCCCTCTTAAACAGAAAGTCTCGCTGCTTGTTACCCGCAGTTTTAGAGAGTGACCTGCTACTTCATCTGAGGGAAGGGGGGAATAAGCAGCAGCAGTGACAATGGAAAAGGTGAATTAGTAATTGTCCACATAGAGATAAAAATGAAAGACACAATCTTTAAAAATACAAAAACAAAACCCTTCGTGGGGTTTATTGGATATTTCATGTTTGCACACATGTTTAAAGAAAAAGCTATTGATAAGCTACATATATCCCCTCATTTCTCTTTCCCGCTCATGTGAAATAGCCACCCATGCCCAATTAATAAAGCACAAGTTACAAAAATAGCAGATTAAAAATACTCCAGATTAAGGTAGCTGAAGTTTGACAAGGGAGGTGGGGAGCTGCCATGATTTGGGGAGGTTGTTAGGATACCTCCATCTTTCAGCCCCTCTATTCTACCCTCCACTTGGGGGTTACAAACAAGAAGGCACTTAGTGACAGCCTGAGAGAGCTACCCCAGGCTCTTTTTGAGGAGACGGCCTAGGTGTACAATGTGCCCCCATAGCTGAGGCCTCACTGCTGAAGAAACTTCACAAAAGGGTTGTCGTCAGCACCGCCCTGAAGGAAAAAGTAGATGAAGGCCAAGAAGCCAGCCAGCAACACAAAGAGGAAGAGCTGGGGCCACAAGGGCAGGTAACGTTTTGTCCCTGTGGCCCCTTCTGCTGCTTGGGTTTGGCGCTCGGGATGGATGGCACGGCGTGGCTCCACCCCCAGAGTGGACAAGCCAGGTGATTTCCGGTAGAAGATGCTTTGGTAGGAACTGCTGTCCCTGAAAAGGCAATTCCAGAATAGAGAGAGATCATTCCTGCCACCTTCCACTAGGGCTTAGCATGAGCCCCATCCACCCTGCATAAATTAAAGGTAAAGGTACCCCTGCCCATACGGGCCAGTCGTGACAGACTGTAGGGTTGCGCGCTCATCTCGCTCAAGAGGCTGGGAGCCGGCACTGTCCGAAGACACTTCCGGGTCACGTGGCCAGCGTGACGAAGCTGCTCTGGTGAGCCAGCACCAGCGCCGCACACGGAAACGCCGTTTACCTTCCCGCTATAAAGCGGTCCCTATTTATCTACTTGCACTTAGGGGTGCTTTCGAACTGCTAGGTTGGCAGGACCTAATTTATGCAAGACTGCATAAATTAAAGTCTCCCTAATACAGATTGTCATGGTACCCACCGCATACGTCAACTTTCCAAAGGGCAATGGCCCCATGTCTGCCAATGACCCCTCTCTTTTCACATTTGTAAGTGGCTGGCAATTCTAGCCACAAGTCTGGGTATGTCTCCTTTCTGCTCCTTCTACACATCTCCCCTTCCTTGTACCCAGCCAGTGGGGAAGCCTTCTATAGCGAATGCAAGAGGCCACCCTAGGGCTAGGTTGAACTGGAAAGCATTAGCAAGTGCTGTTCTTCCTAGGTAGTGCCCTGCTGTGGCATTGACAAAACGGACAACAGTGTTTCAGCAAACCATTGTGCAATGACAGATTTGGGCAACTGCCAAAAGCAAAACTTCCTTATCACTAATTAATATGAGGCACTATCCATGGATTAAGTCTCAGTGAAATTAAGAAGCGCTTCAGAGCACAGTAATGCTGTTTCCCAGCTCGTTTGTTTCAGTGGAGCTCATACAAGAGAAGACCCTGGTGAATTGTTCTGCAAAGGTCCTTCCTGCTGAGAACTGGTGTAGCCCAGTGGCTCTATCACCTGAGCAATGAATCTCGACATCCCTCATTCTAATATCATGTCTGCCCAAAGCAAGCCCTTTCCCCCTCCCCCCACCCATCCCCTGTGATATGGCCACAATCATTCTGGCTACCTTACAGAGCAGTTGTAAGGGATACAGAAGATAAATATGTGGAAAGTGTTTTGAAACTCCGGAAAGCACCACACAGATGCTAAACTTTTATTATCATTATATAACTAGTTCTCAGTCGCTCCAGAAGACAGGATTAGAACCAATGGGTGGAAATGGAAAGCAAGCAGATTTTGGTCTAACCATTAAGAGAAACTTCCTAATGGAAAGTGTTGTTTAACCATGGAATGGGCTACATCGAGAGCCAGTGGCCTTTCCTTCACTGGGGTGGCCAGGGGCTAGATGGCCACCTGCCAGCGATGGCTATAGTTGTTTCTGGCATTGCAGATCCTGCACTGAGCCCGGAATTAGGCTGAATGGCCTCCAAGATCCCTCCCAGCTCTCATGCTGATGATGACAATTACAGGGCTTGGCATCCACTGCCTGAGGCAGCAGGCTCACCTCTAGGCACTTGGTAGCACTACATTTAGCCAGTCCTGTGACCACCCCTCGTTTTATGTCTAGAGCCAATTTAGGTTCCAGAACTCCTTAGTAGCCTGAGAATAAGCTTGAGCCCTAAACCTGTAGGAAAGCCATCTCCTGGCTAGAAGGTGGTGCCAGACCCAGGAAGGGGGGGGGGGGAATACTGAGACTGAGCATCCATCCAGCATGGGCCACGTCTGCCTCAGCAAGGGGCCAAGCATCTCACTCCACCACCAGCTCTGCCTGGAATATTGTTTCCTGCAGGTGCCTCTGCATTATCCCTGCTTACCTCACAGATGGGACATCCTTCTGGCTAGAATTGTAGGGATACGGCTCTGCAATCTGAAAAGATAGACAGATGCCCATCAGCACAGGGCAGCTATGAAGGGACCCTTCCCTGGGTGAATTGGATGTAAGCCCAGCGTGGGTAGCTTCCTCGTTCTTGCCACAAAGGTGAGGAACAACCTACTGGTTGGCGGGCACTTGGTGCCTCTGGACGTGCTCCACTGGTCAACGATGACACGTAACTCTGGTAGGAAGATGTGGACGTCTCAGAAGAATTGGCATCCCAGTCTGGGGGAAACAAAGACAAAAAACAAAGCCATTAGATGGAATAGGCAAGAGTAGGGATGGGGAAGGGTGGGCCAGGAGATCTCCCCAGCCAATAGTGCAACAGCATTTTTCCAGGGGGGTTGTGATAGCCACATCCCAGCTCTCGTGAGTGCTGTGCTACCTGGGGAAGGGAGACCTGGCCACAACAGAGAATGTACCCCCTCTGCTTGCACCCACCCTTCTCCCATTTGAGGTTCTTGTTGCCACCAGATAAGAGATTATTTGCCAGGCTGCCCCTTATCAAACAGTCTCCATAATTTCCCTGGGGTCTCTCTGCTGCATCCTTAGGAAGCGGAAGTTATTGCTATAGGCATCAAGGCATTAAGCTGAGACCACACAGGTTTATGAAACCAGAGATAAATTTACTAAAATGGAGACATATTGAATTTAGAATGTGCAAATATCACAATGAAAGAAATGCAACTCCCCCAAATTAGAGAAACTAAAAATATTCCCTTTGGAGCAAACCTAAATCCAAAGTGGATTAATGCAACCCTCTATCCCTAACCTATTCAGACCCTAAAACTCACCAGGTTCTCAGGAGAATCCCTATTTATGGGTTGCAGCCTTTTCCCTTGCATTGCCTGTATCCCCAGCAATCCCATTTCTTCTTATCATTCTGAGATCCCAAAGAGGCCTTTGCTGCTTCCTACCAGGCTCAGCAAACTTTTGTATATCATGTGTGACCTCCCTGATTTGGTTCTATCTGTTTTTAGAAGCTCCCCATTTCAATCACAGACCCTTCCCTTTACATGTTTCAGGAATCTCCAACCCTCAGATGAGCAACGTGCAGTTCATCACATCAGCAGTGACAGGTCCCTTTTTCTTGATCTTTAGGGCCTTAGAAGCAAACGTATACATTCCCATATGATACACAGACAGTACAGGACAGTAAAGCTCAATTCCTTAACAGGTGTATCACAGCTAGGAAGGATTAACCCTCCCTATGTGCTGCAACCTCCCATTTGGTCAAACTCCATGCAGCAATTAGGCTTGGGAAAAGATCTTCAAGTGGAGGCCGGATTCAAGATTAATTGCTGCAATGAAGGTGGGGAATCTTCAAAGAGATTTTTGCAATCTTCATGGGAACTGCAGCTGGAAAGGGAAGCGGCAGTCTTCAAAAGGGTCACCCTGCTCCCTGCCAGCGATTAAAAAGCTAAATAAAAAAAAAACAAGCCTAATTGCTGGGGAGTGAGAGCGCCTGTGTGTCAGGTGCCGGTTGCACCCCCTTTTGCATTGGCCTTCACCACCACTAGCAGGCGGTTAGGGAATGTGGCCTGCAGCCTGAAAAAGGTTCCCCCTTCCTGAGATGGAGTGCAGTGCTAAGTATAGTATCAGCTGATGGACTGAATTCAAGCCCACTAGATGATGTAGCCTTCTGGTCTTCAGCTGGTAGTTGGGTCACAACAACAGCAGAATTACCACCATATAAATACATGGTAAAAAAAATCAGAAATGGGTCCCCAAATGCAATGGGTAAAAGTGGATCCTGGGTCTGAAAAAGTTGGAAACTACTGGGGTAGCCAACTCCTGCAGAAAGTGAGCCCCATAGCACTAGCAAAGCCCCTGCACAGCACTTCCCAAGCACCCAACAATTACTGGATGTTTGGGAAGTGCTGTGCAAGGGACTTGGGTTATCCCACTCCTCTGCCAGCTGCCCATCTGTTTAGTCATCCAATGGCAAAATGCTGTTAAGTGACTGACAGCTGGGTTGTCCCACCCACCTGGTTGGTGTGTGGGAGGTGGGGGCAGATAAGGATCTGGCCGGAGAGGGCAAAGAGGGTTCCCCACCCCTATGCTTCAGCTCTGACTCTACATGGCTGGTTTCTCTAGCCCCCCGTCTTTCCTACCTTCAGTCGCATATGTGGAGCGTCCTTCATGGCGAGGCAAACGGTAATTTTCACTCAGGTAGGACCTGGTGGGACTGGAATCTAGGGAAGGACAGGGTGGGGGAAGATATTTAGCAAAAGGGTTTTCCTCTCCTATTAGATTTCATGGCTTTGTTAAAAATGAGATTTCTAGGCTTTGTGGCTGTGGGGAAATGTTAATGGGGAGAGTGGGAGACAGGCAGCAACAGCAGGCAGCAGAATAGGCTTCAGCACACTGCATTTCTGCGCTCACATTATATGGATTGTAGATTAATCTGTTTGAGGTGCAGAATGTTGATTTTTACAGGGCGTGCCTTCCTTGTCACAGCTAACCCAGACTGTCGGAACACTGCAAAATCAAAACTGTTCACCTAAATTCACCGATACTTAGTTGCACTTTGTCCCATCAACAAATCATTGTGACAAGAGATCCTAGACTAGCTTAAAGTTAATTTTCATAGGATTTCGCTTTGTAAACCGCTTTGAGGGGCTTTTTTATAATCAAGTAGTATATAAATTTTATGAAATGAAATAAATGACTAATCTTAGTCTACGTATGAGATACTGAAGCCAAGCTGAGACAATATAAACCGTTTGGCTTATCAATTTTAATTACTGTATTTTCAGAAAGCAAGACTTGAATGTGGAGACCAGTGGAGCCCCCTACCTTTATTTATATACTCAGAATAGTATTCCTTGGAACCTGGAGAGTCATAGTTTTCTGTTACGTAAGTCCTTGTAGAGCCAAGAGCTGGGAAGGGCAAAATGAATTGGAGAGTTTGGTTTGGTGGCAGCAGTTGTCCTTTGTTCCCCAAAAGTACTAGAAAACTGACAACACACCCAGGCTATGGTGCCCTGCCCTGATCTCCCCCGAAGAGATGATCCCCTTAGTGATGATGATATTCCACCCCGACAAAGCTACCCTTTTTGCTCCCCACATCTCCTAGATTGGTGCTCTAATGGTCCCTAAATTCCTCCCTACAAACCGGCTTTCTGTTTTACTGGGAATTCAGGAGTTATTTCTAAAACGTCTCACCTTCTCGCCCATAGTTGAGGTTTGGCCTGCTCTGAGGACTCACAAAGGTCTCTCGGATGTAGCTTTCGCTGGTGGATGGCTCTACGTTTGTAAAAACATATGGGAAGGAGGGGCATTAGGACAAGTGTCTGACAGGGGGACCTTTCCCTGTTTCCCCCCCAATTATTCTCACCTGTGGACAGTGATCCTTTTCCAGGTGAAGGACGCTTTCTACGCTCAGTCTCGTATTCATAGACTTTCTTTTCATAAAGTTTCCGGGTTGATCCTGAAGGACAGAATCCAAGCTGGAGGTTAACTCCTAGATGACAAAAGTTTACTGCTCCCACAAGACTCTCACTCATGCCTCTTTCAAACAGCTGCCCACTTCAAAAGCCCACCTGACCTTGCAGCCTTTTCCACACACCCTCTGCTGCTTGAGGATCACGGCAATATGGATGGCATGCAAATACCTCAGTTAACCAACAAGGTTTTTTCAAAACAATTATCCACTTTGGCAGCTTTCTTCTCCCTCCATTCTATCTTCTAATGTTAAGGGACAAACCAGGCAAGATAAAGGCTCCCACATTTGTTCTTTGTGGCTGCTTTTCTTAGTCCCCTTGAAAGCACGGGCTGGTGATTATTGATTTTTAAAAGGAGGACATGGTGAATTCTCCCCATCGTACGCTCCATTCTTCCAGACACCTCTCTCTCCAACCTAGCCATACTCAGAATAAAGAGCTGGACAGGATGGTGTGTGGCAGGAAGGATCCACCTTCCCTTACCCACTGTTCCCTTCTGCTATGTAGAAGGCAGGCTTTTGGGTGGCTTTTTTTCTAGAAAAAAAGGTGTTGGAACCTTGTTCTCTTATAATGGCAATGGCGCCCACATGAGAGGTGCCGCAACTGAGTTCCGGCAAGTTCCAGCTGAAAAAAAAGCCCTGGGTGGCCTGATCCAAGACAAGACTGGGCTACTACATCTTTACAAATTCAGCATACAAGAGGGAATTTCAGTACATAAAGCTGAAAACCCCTTCCCTTGTTGGCATCTATCTCGAGAGACAATGGAGTGCGCCTAAAAGGGGGGTGGGGAGAAGACAATTGGTGTGTTAGTAGCAAACCTGGGGTGCAAACCTGCCCAGTCCCAAAGGAAAGCGGAACAATATGTTTGGCACCAGCTTGGCTGCAGGAGTTGCCAGAAAGAGGCTGTACAAGGTGCCATCCAACCGTCTTCGGGACTCTACTCCAGTTTGGTTTAGGATTTATTCTTTAGCCTTTTCTTCTCCTGAAGATGTCCCACAAGGCAGTGGAGGTTTAGGATCAGAGATTTCCTTCTCTTAGATGGGTTACTTTCCCAGGTGGACAAGCCCTGGCATCTGTCTCTCATTTCCCACAACAGCACATGCAGAATCCACCTTCTTTACCATTCTTTACTATTGTCTGCTCAGTCCAATTCTCTTTTACATCTGTCCACTCTAACAGATTCCCCTGTTTACACTTTATATGTAAGCTGTAGGCCTGGCTTACTGAGTTTTCCCTTTCTAAGCTCCAAGTGCAAATCTATTTCATTCCCCTGAGAGAGACAGGTGTAGTGCTAGAGTCCATACCAACAAGAGGCCCGTGTGGGATGCTGTATTTCTTCAAACGGGCAATAAGCTCTTTATCTGTCAAACCTTCATACGCCTCCATGGTGTTACCTAGAAAATACAGAATGGGGTTGGGGGAGCATGAAGGGAGGGTTACACACAGTACTCCTCATGCCATGATTTTAAGAGGAAATAAATAGATATAAATATATTTTTAAAAGACTACACCAGCAATTAAAACAATTTACCCTGAAACAAAATGCAAGCTGGTAACAAATGAGATTGTGACAGGTTCCGCACAAAGAACCATTTCGTAAGTGGGGATGATTTCAGTGAAGTGGGCAAAACGAAGTCAGGCACTCACAAAACCAACTACATGAGAATGAACTAAGGCAGGGAAACAAAAATAGTCTGCAATCCTAAACACAGTTCACAGAGAATTAACTTCCATGGAACTCAATGGGACTTACTAGTAAACATTCCTAGGATTGCTCTGTGCATCCAGTATCCAATAAAAGGGATTGCGAGGGGAATGTGACACGAGAAACTATGGAAAATTAAGTGCTTTTTCCTCCACTGTCCCAAGAGAGGCGAGACAGGCCCCAAAGGCAGCACTTCCTCAGCAAGAGCTCTTAACACTTACAAGCGATTGATTGCTAATGGGTTGGGCAGGGCAGGGCAATGTGATTTGAAGCAAAAGCAGTTTATTGACCTTGCAAATGAACAGTTGCCAAAGTCTATAGAAAGGGCATGTAATTTCCCAACTACTCACCAAGTGGTGAGAAAGGGGACTGACCACCTCCTGCTCTTGTAGAATTGGCTGCAGATAGAATACATTTCAGGCACATCCAGATGGATTTAATACTAAATATGTGATTTTCAATTATTATTTTTCTTTAAAAAAACTGAACTGGGAAAATATCCAGATTAAGATTTCACAAACACGTGTACATATACAAACACCCACACACATTTTTAAGCCCTGCTAATTTTAAATGCTATAGAAACATATAAAAATATTTTTTCCTAAATGTTTCTGCAAAAATTCAAAGTATGTGGAAGTGGATGCCAGATTCAATTCTCCTGTTTGCCTGGTCCTGGATAGGTGGATGTGTCACGGGGCCCCTTGTCCATCTCTCCAGGCAGGAAAGGAGACCTGGGCCCCAGAAGCCTATTTCCAGCTGGCCGCCTGGGTGTTTGATACACATTTGATACATAATAGTGGAAATTTTACAACTATTACAAGTTTCTTTTCAAAATACGTAAACATTTTAAGTGATTTTAAACTTTTGGTACTGAATAAGGTACAATATGAATGGCCTCCTCTTTTAAAAAATGGGAGCAGTTGAAGGTGGGGAAGGTAACACAAGAGAATATTTGGCCCTGAACTCCTCCCAAGTGCCCATGTTCGCCCCGGAATGGCGGAGGCAGTGCAGCACGAAGAGCCGGCGGAGACGGAGGCTGGAGGCGGGCAGGTGCCCGGTGTTTCTCCGGAACGGCAGCCTGGCAAAGCCGGGGGACGCCAGGGCGAGGCGCCGCCAAAGGGCCGCGGAACTCGGGTATCGCTCCCAGGACAGAGGCCTGTCGGGGAGCATCCCTTAGCCGGAACGCGAAGGCCGAGGGAGGAGCGTCAAGCGACCGCGGCCAAGTTTCCCAAAGTCAAGGCCGCGGCGCTGAGGCGGCTGGGGAGCGGGCGGGCGGCGAAGAGCACTCGGAGCGGGGAGGGACACGTGCTCCATTCCGGCGCGGCGGGCCCGGAGGGGAGGCGGGCGGGCGGGCGGGCGAGAGGCCCCGCTCGGCCTCGGCGCTGCCCAGCCTTCAGCCCTCGCCCCTCCCGCGCTCCCTCCCTCCTCTGGCCCCCCGGCGCCCCAGCTGGGTCTCGGCGTCCCCCGCTCTCCGCGCTTCGCCCGCCCGGCGACAGGCAGCCCGCCTCCTCGGGAGAAAGGCCTGGCCCGCCCGGGCAGCCGCCGAATCCGGCCGCGGGCGGGGAGCTGCGAGGGGGAGCCCGCCCCAGGGAAGGACGCCAGGAAGGCGAAGCGGGGCGCCGCGCCCTACCTGCTGCTGCTGCTGCTGCTAGGGGCGCGCTGGGCCGGGCAGCATCGCCGAGTGACTCAGGCGGGATCTCGCCTCGCCGCCCCGGACCCCGCCCGGCTCCGGGGCGGGCCTCCGCGGCGCGCCCTTGCCCCGGGCTGCTTGCCAGCTCGCGCAGGCAGCTGTGGGCCCGACAATGGAGAGGCCGCCCGCCGCCTCCCGGCCTCGGGAGCCGAACCCGCTTGCCCCGGGGATCTGGGGGGGAGGCTGGGGAGTCTCTCCTCGCCTTGGCCCAGCGGGTGGCAAGCGGGACTCGGGCCTGATTTCCTGCAGGGAGACAAGCCCCTCGTCAGGCAGCCGGACATCTAGCAAGGAAAGCCCACCTCTTTATTTTATATCTAGGAAAATTTTATATTTAATTCTCGGTTTCTTCCCTGCCAGACAAACCTAGAAATATATTTTTGCCATTCTTTGAAGCATCTTGTTATGCCTACTATTGGAGCCGTTTGAAATAAAAATAGCATTTTAGGCAAAATATTCATTTCTATAACCAAAACTCTGCCTATTAGAGAGAGTTTCATTCTTCCCCATAATTCAATATTTTTTCTTACATCTTTCCATGTCTTTACATAACTATTTTGAAATATATTGGAGTTTTTCACTGTTAATCATATTTCCAAATACTTCACCTTTTTCTCAGTTGTCAGCCCACTGGCCATCTGCCAACCTTTTTTTGCCTGTGCATCCATATTTTTCACTAAAACCTTAGTTTTAGTTTTATTTGTTTTAAGACCTGCAACTTCTCCATATTTCCTTAAAGGTAAAGGGACCCCTGACCATTAGGTCCAGTCGTGGCCGACTCTGAGGTTGCGGCGCTCATCTCGCTTTATTGGCCGAGGGAGCCGGCGTACAGCTTCCAGGTCATGTGGCCAGCAGGACTAAGCTGCTTCTGGCGAACCAGAGCAGCACACAGAAACGCCGTTTACCTTCCCACCAGAGCGGTACCTATTTATCTACTTGCACTTTGACGTGCTTTCAAACTGCTAGGTTGGCAGGAGCAGGGACCGAGCAACAGGAGCTCACCCCGTCGTGGGGATTCGAACCGCCGACCTTCTGATCGGCAAGTCCTAGGCTCTGTGGTTTAACCCACAGCACCACCTGCGTCCTTCTGTGCCACCCACATCCATATTTCCTTGTTTCCTCCAATAACTTAGGTACACTTGTCAATGGTTCTTCTACAGAAAACACCACATCACTTGCAAACGCTTTTACCTTATAATTCCGTTGGCCCATCCATATCCCCTTTATGTCAGAATTATTTCTTACCCTCCGCATCAACACCTCTAGGACTGATACATGATTGAAGCAGTGATAAGGGGTCCAGTAATGGTAAAAGATGATTGCCTCAAAAGATGGCAGACGGATATTTCTAAGTTTGTCTGGCGGGGGGGGGGGGGCAAAAGGCCAAGGATTAAACATAAGATGCAGATATAAAAGAAAGAGGCAGTTTTGCCCGCCCAGACCTCAAACTGTGTTATGAGGATGCATGTTTGGTGTGGATTAGGGACTGGATAAAACTGGAATAGGAAGAAGCGTTAGATTTGGAAGGTCATGATAATAGATTTGGATGGCATGCATACTTATGGTATGGGAAAGGGAAAGTGCACAAAGGATTTTACAACCATATAATCAGGAGATCACTAATGAGGTTGTGGGAGAGATACAAAGATTTAATAGAACAAAAAACACCTTGGTCGTTATCACCAATTGAAGCTTCGTTACTCAAACCACTTGGCACAAAGGGGAAGTGGCCTACATATAGAGAGAGATTTGCTGAAAGACCAAGAAGGAAAATGGAAATTAAAAGATTATGAGGAAATATATCATTTTCAAAGTTGGTTACACTACAGACAATTACATGAGATGTACAAGGAAGACAACAAGAAAGGGTTTAGTTACACAACTTCTACATTTCAAAAGGAAGTTATAGAAGAAGAAGTGAAAATGCTGAAGAAAGCATATAGTATCTTGCTAGAACTGGAGACAAAAGATGAGGAGGTCAAATCGGTCATGATCAAATAGGCACAAGATATAGGACATAATGTACAATTTGAGGACTGGGGAAACTGTGAAAAATAGATTTAAAATTTACAAACTGTTCTCTTTTGAAATAAAATTACATGAAAATGATGTATAGATGGTATATAGCACCAGTACAGATAGCAAAAATGTATAAAACTGGGTCAATCACATGTTGGAAATGTAAAGAAAAAGAAGGGACTTTTTATCATATGTGGTGGGAATGTAGGGAAGTTTAAAAAAAACCTTGGGAAATGATATATAATGAATTGAAAAAAATGTTTAAATTGACATTTGTAAAAAAAAAAACAGAAGCATTTTTGTTAGGGATTGTAGGACAAGACTTGCTAAGAAAAGTAAAGAACTTATTTATGTATGCTACAACAGCAGCAAGAGTCTTGTTAGCACAACGATGGAAGAATGAGGAAATACCATCAAAAGAACTGTGGCAAGAAAAATTGATGAGCTATGCGGAATTGGCCAAATATAAACTGCGTGAAAAGGACAACTGTGACTTCAAGGAAGAATGGTAACTTTTTACAAACTATATAAAAAGACAACAAAATGAATTGGACTCTTTGGCAAGTTTTGAATAAACATTCACAAATTTATTAGCTGAACATGTGATAGATAAAGTAAGGATATGTACAATTTTACAACATGCAGAAAACAATATATGTAAAGAAATCAGGGAGGGGAGCTGAGGGAAGTCCTTGGTGGGGGGGAGAGGGAGGGGAGGGGGAAAGGGGGGGAAATAATGTAACTGATTAAGAGGATTGGTAAATTGTTATGTGGAAATTGGTTAATAAAAATATTTTATTTTTTTTAAGAAGAAGAAGAAGAAGAAGCAGTGATAGGGGGGATCCTTGCCTTGTCCCCTTCTGTATCTTACATTTTTCCTGTAATGGCATTATTTACAATCAGGTTTGCAGTTTGATCTGTATAAATTGCCTTAATTCCTTTTATGAATATGACTCCTAATTCCATTTTTTTGTGTAATAACTTAATCATAAATGACCAAAAGCAAAAAGAAATTCAATAGGGACTAATCTAAGGTTCTGCACCAATATAAGATGAGGGATACCTGGTTTGCTAGTAGTACATGGGAAAAGGATCTAGGGGTCTTGGTGGACCACAAGCTGAACATGAGTCAACCTGAGAGTGATGCAGCAGCAAAAAATGCTTGGAGCACTTCAGGGTTCAGAGCCCCTGAGCCAAGCTGCCTGGCAGTTCTGGAGGTATAGCTGATCTTCCTCCAGCAGGTAAAATGCAAAAGTCAGGCTGTCAGTTCCGGGGGGGGGGAGGGGCGCTCCTCCGCATCTGAGAGCGCAGAGTGCAGTGGGGGGCAGGTCTGAGGGATCCACTCCCTGCTCTCATTTTATCCTATACTCACCCCTAGGGAAGGGATGTGGAACCCCAGCACATCCGCAAAGAGAAGAACATGGGACAGGTGAGTTCGTCCCAGAGCCACTGGCAAGGCTATCCTAAGAGTTTTCTCTTGTATTCCAAGTCCTACTACAGGGGAGGGACACCCCAGGCTTTAGGGGCCAATCCTGGCCTTCTCCCCAGAACATGGCTCCCCAGGGAAGGTGCCCCTCCCACTGACAGCTGCCCCCTCCCCTGCCTTGCCCCGCAGCCCAGCACCCTGCTTCCTCCATCGGGCCCCACATTGGTCGCTAGGGGGGTTGGGTTTCCAGATGCTGGCCCAGATGGACTGTGGGTTGATCCAGCCATCTGGCTCTGTACATCTTTGGACTAGCTGCCCTCCCCCCAGCTCATTCCTGCCCTCTTCTGTCCCAAAAAGGAGACCACTTGCTCACCTGACACCATGGACTGCTCTGGGCCTTGCAGGGGGGGCCACCCTGTTGCTGCGTCTTAAGCACCTGAACCTAGAAGAGACAAGACGAGAGCGACTCAGAAGCCGGCAGCCCCAATTCTTGGGGGATGTTTGTGTGTGAGGAGGGCCATATGGCCCAATTCCTTCCATCTCTCTGCAGTTCAGTGACCTGAAAGGGCATCACCTGAAAGGGCATCACTAGGAAAGAGGCAGCCCAGACCACAAAGGGCTGGCAGAGAGAGAAAGGAGGCCCCAAGTGCTATGGGTTCAAGAGCTCCAGCCCAAAGGAAAGAGAAGCATTGCCAGCTGTTTAAGGGCTGCTCTGCCTCATCTTCTTAGGACAGCCCTGCCCTTCCTAGAGAGGGAGGCGACCCCTAGGAGGGGCCTCCAAGCATCAAGGTGTCCCAGAAGAGGAGCAGAACATGAGGAAGGTGGTGGAGTCTTCCTTGGAGCCAGAGAGACCCCCCAGGAAGGGGGAGAAGGCTGAGGTCGTAGGGCAGCTGAAGAGATGCAAAATGGAGCCAGGCAGAGGTGTAGTTGGAGGGCTGGACTAGGAGGACCTGGGAGAGCAGGGTTCGAATCCCCACTCGGCCATGAAGCTCCCTGGTGGACCTTAGGCCAGCCTAGCCTACTTGGCAGGGCTGCTGTGAAGATAACAATTGGTGGCTGGGAGAACCATGAAGGCCACCTTGAGCTCCTGGGAGGAAAGTGGGCTAGGAATGTCCTAGTAAATGTAAATGATGAGAGGGGAGAGAAAAGGGGAAGACAGGGGAACAGTGTGGAGGAGCTGAGCTCTCCGGAGAAGACTGGCCGGGTTGATTTCCAGAGAGCCAAGGCTGTGCAGGGGACCCCAGGACTTGCCCCCCGCCCCCCAGGAGACCAAGAGAAAGCAAAGGAATGCTACTTACAGTCTGCACATTTTGTTCACGGAAAATTCCACCCCCTCTCTAAACTAGCTAACTATCTAAAATGCCCGCCAAAGCCTGACTCTGACCCCACCCCCAGCACTTAGCCTAAGCCTAAGCCCAACCCCTGCCCTAACCCTACACTTACCCCTAACTACTCCTCTCTACACAAAATAAATATACAGTGGTACCTCAGGATATGTTACCCGAGGTACCGTATATGGTAACGTAATTTTGAGTTACAAACGCGGCAAACCCAGAAGTGTATACTTCCAGGTTTCACCGCGCGCGCATGCACAGAATCACTCTGCGTGCTTTGCGTGTGCGCAGAAGCACCGCCTCCAGATATGGACTTTTTGGGGTAAGTACGGAGCCCCAGGATGAATTAAGTTCATATCCGGAGGGTCCACTGTATACAAAATATATACAAAATGTGCACATGTGCACAAAATAAAAATGTAAAATAAAAAAAATTGAAAATAAAGAACGGAAAGTAAAATAAAAAAGTAAAATGAAAGTGTTTAAATAAAAAGTAAAATAATAAATAAAATCAAAATAAATCGAATCAGATAAAAGTAATTAATCAAATCAAAATCAAAATAACAATCAAATGAACCCCTCTCCTTATTGTCTCCAACCACCACCAACTCCTCTCTCTACTACTCAACTCGCCTCACTACTAACCCACAATGGCCACCTGCAAGTTGGTGGCTTTTAAGGGAGAAGCAAGAGATGTCACAAAGGAGGGCAGGTCCTTGTCACTGTGGCAACAGTGGCCGCTCCTGAGAGGTGATGCTCCTCTGTCAGAACTTCTGTTCTGCGTCCTTCTGCAGGTCTTCTGTCCTGGGCGGCATCTCCAGGGTGGGCTGGGAATGTCCCCCCCCATCCGAAACTCTGGAGAGCTGCTGCCAGTCAGTGCAGGCTACTTGAAGAAGGATATTGAGCAGCTGGATGGTGAGCAGAGGAGGGTGACCAGGATGATGAAGGGTCTGGAAACCAAGCCTGATGAGGAATGGTTGAGGCAGTTGAGTATGTTTAGCCTGGAGAAGAAGAGACTGAGAGGAGAGAGGAGAGCCATCTTCCAATATCTGTGGACTGCAAGAGGGAGTAAGCTTGTTTTCTGCTGCTCCAGAGGGGAGGGGAGGAGAGGAGATTCAGACTAAACATTAGGAAGAACGTTCTGATGGTAAGACTCTCTGGGATGGTGGTGGACTCTCCTTCCTTGGAGGCTTTTAAGCAGAGGTTGGATGCCAATCTGCAAGGGATTCAGCTGCAATTTGGGAAGCACATAGCACTGGCCTACTTTACAGGGTTGTTGTAACCACACAGGGCTGCTGAGCATCCGAAAGTGCCTGACAAATGTTGAGCCTTCCATTTCATTGTGAGGAACAGCTGCAGCTGCAGGAGGCGTCCCTCATCTTTTGTTTCTTCTCTCTCCTGCAGCCAAAGGGGCCGGGCTGGATTACCAAATAGGCAGAGTAGGCACTGGCCTATGGGCCCCACACTTTTTAGGGGTCCCGCGACAATGGATCAAAATAATATTTTGATCTTGAAAGAAAATGACAATCAAGCTTTCTTAGTTCAATGTTATTCCAGTGTGCGCATGAGGCCTGCCCCCTGACCAGATTTTGACTGCCAAGGGGCCTCCACAGGGTTTAATTCAGCACTGCCCTGTGAACGGCCCAGTATACCAAAAGGAGCATCTCCACCCCCATTGTTCAGCCCGGACACTGAGATCCAGCTCCAAGGGCCTTTTGGCGGTTCCTTCCCTGAGAGAAGCGAGGTTACAGGGAACCAGGTAGAGGGCCTTCTCGGTGGTGGCAACTGCCCTGTGGAACGCCCTCCCATCAGATGTCAAGGAAATAAACAACTCTCCGATTTTTAGAAGACATCTGAAGGCAGAGGAGTAGGAAGGGGAGTAGATGGGTGCAGAACGCCACAGGTGTTTCGTGAGCCCAATTTTTTTAAACAAAAACCTTCATATTTTTGTCATTTTGTCACCCCCCTCAGTGATGACACCCGGGGTGACCCACACACCCCGCACACCCTTCCTCCACCACTGGCTCTTCTTGTGTTCTAATTAAGCTCTTTAAGAGTGGGTGCATATCTGCACTGGTGCTTGTTTTTTGCAGTTGTACTCACACAGCACCTCAGCTTCCTGCAGTCCACATCAATAGTGGGCTGCAAATGAGTGAAATTAAGTAAAAAGATTAATTCATAATAAATTCTCATCATGAAAAACAGGTTTTAAGTGCTTATGCTCACAATGTTAAGTAAATAAATCAGAAAATAACACTTGCAACTGTAAGTATCTTATATTTCCTTCTTTTAATAATTTCAATTTGGGGGTGACAATAAATTTTATGCACTGGGGACAGAGGGGTCTTTTCCCATTTATGAAGGAAGTGTCCCAAGGGTCACAATTTGGGAACACCATTTATTTATTATAGATTGGACAACCATATATAGATAAATATCTAATATACTAAAATGTTCTGTCTGCATATCTCCACCGCTCTCTTCATTAAACCTATGGACAGGCGCATGTCAAACTTTGGGTCAAAATAACTTTTGACTTGGATGCTGGCTGCAGGCTGATCACCACTGCATAGAAAGGGAAAACGTTACAGAATTTGCAAATATCGCAACACTACCAAAATATGTGGACTATTGCAGAAAAAACAACACATAAGTTGCAGTTCTCCAAGGGCTGAATTCTACATGGTGGGATTTTATTATTTATACTTTGAATACAGACTTCATTGTCTTCCACATTATGTGAAATTTCGCTATATCGAAGGACTTCTGTACTCTAAATGTTAAATTATGTTGGAGCTGTGGGTCTTGTTCTGCTACTACACAGTTACTTATACTGTATACATTTCTGTTTCCCAAGGAAAGGATTTTTGCAACCCATTTTCCGAGAACCTTGTCAACACTTTCGTTTCTATTCTTCTGGGATGCTTTTTGTTTCTGTTTCCCAGAAGTTCCTGGAGGGCAGCCTTAGTCATGGGGAGGGACCGAAAAGAGGGTAAAGGAAAGTGAAGAAAAGAGGATCCAAAGTTGAGCTTTATGTAGCTGAGGAAGTGGAACCCTTTGGCAGTTTCTGATCATGAAAAGGCACCACCATTCGTTTGTTCACACATTACCTTTGTATTTCTTGGGTTTCCAAATCTTCAAATGTTAGCAGCAGCATTCAGCAGAGCTGCCTGATGACTCTGGAAGGCTCCTCTCCAGAAAACGCTGTCTGGCAGCCATTGGTCTCAGAGATCACTCTAAACCTCTTGTTGACTAGCTGGATGTGCGTGTGCACAGGCATGCACACACACAAATAATTACATTTAGGACACCCATAGTTCTTTATTGGAATTGATTCCTATATTATTGCTGATGCGAAGAGTTTCTGAGTTTTATCCAAGTTTAATGACTCAAAAAAGAGGAAAGGGAAGGCTCTTGTGTGTAGTGTAGAAGCAAATGCGGCATTTAATATAATCATAGAATTGTAGAGTTGGAAAAGACCTCCAAGCACCATCTAGTTCAACCCCCTTGCAATGCAGAAATCTCAACTAAAGCATCCATGACAGACGGCCATCCAACTCCATGTGACAGCCCTTTAGATAGTGGAAGATGGCTATCATATCGCCTCTCAGTTTCCTCTTGCCCAGGCTAAACATATCCAACTCCCTCAACCATTCTTCATAAGGCTTGGTTTCTAGACCCTTGAAGTAGTCTGGCAGGAAGAGAGCCTGAATCCTGAATTTTAAAAGGGAGACAGTAGAATTTGAGGTACTAGCAGAGTTACATGTAAACTTTAATACACTAGATCTAGGGTGCTTTAACATACCCCTCCCCAGGAACAATTAGAACTATCAAAATCTTTAGACATTCCTCTGACTAATAAGAGCCTTAGATCACCAGAAATCCTAAAAAGTCTCTAATAATGAATTACAGAATATTGTGTGTGTTGTTGCTGGGGGGTTTTCGGGGGGGGAGGGATGATGAGCAATCTTAAAAGATGGGGGGATGCAATTATATTTATCTAGCAGAATTTCAACAATTAAAATGATGGCTGTTCCAAAATTTACTTCTCTGTTTTACACATTGCTATCAGTTCCTGCTTCTGCTTACCCAGTCCTTGTTCCACTGGAAAGCCAGAGGAAGGCCTGGCTTGTGATTTGTATACTTCTGCTGCAGAGCGCCATCCCCATGCCTGCTTGTGGCTGTTGTTCATGCAGGGAAAAGCCAAGGGGACTCGCAGCTTGAGTTCCTGCCCAGTGAGGAGTGTGGCATCATCTGACATCTGGACCCAGCACTTTGCTTGATGTTTGAGGTTGCTTGTCTGCCATCTCCCCTGACCTTGGGGGAAGCATCCCTGGTGGGTATTGGGGTCCCCTGGTCTTTGGACACAGATTCCTCCTCCTCCACCGATTCTGGACCAGGCTCGGTCCTGACAAAAAGGTTTTACAATGCTTCTGGGAAATGCTCAGCTTAAGACCAAGAGGCTTTCGTTTTAATAACTGTGGTGGATCAAATACTGAGGACGTGTGTTTTTCTCATACAAACCTTGGGCGCTGGAGGCCTTGTCAAGGGCTGCTCATTTAGAGGGGCACAGAGAAGAAGACAATCTCTTGGATATGAAGAGAAATGGCTTCTGTGACTCAGAGCAGAGGTGGGGGACCTGTGGGGGACAGTTGTTGGACTCCAATTCCTCATCATCCCTCACCACTGACCATACTCCCTGGCACTTTTAGTGTTAATGGGCCACACCTGGGGGAATGTTGGTTGCTCCAAAAAAATGGGATGCTATCCTCAGGGCTACACATCTGGTGCACAAGATTTAGGTACCAGGTAAGATTTTTCCTGTTGTCTTTGTCCATGGAGTTTTCTTGGCAGGGATACTGGAGTGGCTTGCCGGTTCCTGCTCCAGGTGAATCACGTTTGGTCAAAACTCTCCACTATGACCTGTCCATCTTGGGTGCCCTGCTTGGCATAGTTCATAGCTTCTCTGAGTTATTCAAGCCCCTTCGCCACGGCAAGGCAGTGATCCATGAAGGAGATCCTCAACTGATTGGTTCAAAATTGGGAAAGGAGTACGACAAGGCTGTATATTGTCTCCCTGCTTATTTAACTTATATGCAGAATTCATCATGTGAAAGGCTGGGCTGGATGAATCCCTAGCCGGAATTAAGATTGCCGGAAGAAATATCAACAACCTCAGATATGCAGATGACACGACCTTGATGGCAGAAAGTGAGGAGGAATTAAAGAACCTTTTAATGAGGGTGAAAGAGGAGAGCACAAAATATGGTTTGAAGCTCAACATCAAAAAAACACACGAAGATCATGGCCACTGGGCCCATCACCTCCTGACAAAGGTCCGTATAGTAAAAGCTCTGGTTTTCCCAGTAGTGATGTATGGAAGTGAGAGCTGGACCATAAAGAAGGCTGATAGCGGAAGAATGGATGCTTTTGAATTCTGGTGCTGGAGGAGACTCTTGAGACTCCCATGGACTTCAAGAAGATCAAACCTCTCCATTCTGAAGGAAATCAGCCCTGAGTGCTCACTGGAAGGACAGATCCTGAAGCTGAGACTCCAATACTTTGGCCACCTCATGAGAAGAGAAGACTCCCTGGAAAAGCCCCTGATGTTGGGAAAGAGGAAGGGCACAAGGAGAAGGGGACGACAGAGGATGAGATGGTGGGACAGTGTTCACGAAGAGACCAGCATGAGTTTGACCAAACTGCGGGAGGCAGTGGAAGACAGGAGTGCCTGGCATGCTCTGGTCCAGGGGGTCACGAAGAGTCGGACACGACTAAACGACTAAACAACAACAGCAAGATTTTTCCTATTCATCTGGTAATTTTATTTATTTTAGTTTCTTCTTCTTCTTCTTCTTCTTCTTCTTCTTCTTCTTCCCCGCCATTCACCCTGAGGTCCCAGGGCAGGTTACAACAATGTTAAACACAACATTAGCAACAATTTAAAACAACATTAAATCTCAAAACAAGGGTGCCTCCTAAATATATATATATATATCTCAAGTCAATGGTCAAACGCCAAGGTAAAAGGTTCTACTGTTTCAGGTCTGAGTGCTGCTGCTGCTGTTAAATGTAAACCACTTTGAAAATTTTTGCTTAAAAACCCCTCAGGGGAAAAGAAAGTAAGTCAGGGGCATAAGTAAGTAAGTAAGCAAGCAAGCAAGCAAGTAATGATCAATCCCGGATTCTGTAACTCGTCTGCCCATTTTAGGGACTCTAGATAAGCGGCTCTTTTACGCAAGTGCCCTCTAGGGCAAAGAGAGATTTGCATCCAATCGAATAGCTCCCGTCCCTTCTCACCTTAACTGATGGATGCGCTTTCCAGGTCCCTGCCGGGTGGAGCTGCCGCTTTTGCCCCCCCCCCCCCCGCGCCGTCTTTTGTTTCTGTTCTTCACTTTCGTTTCTATTCTTCAGGGATGCTTTTTGTTTCTGTTTCCCAGAGGTTCCTGGAGGGCAGCCTTAGTCATGGAGAGGGACTAAAAAGAAGGTAAAAGAAAGTGAAGAAAAAATGATCTAAAGTTGAGCTCTGTGTAGCTGAGGAAGTGGAACCCTTTGTCAAAATTACAAAGTGAATTAATACAACCTAAAAAGAAGACCATCTCTAAAATGTACAATTTGCAGTTAGAGTGGGAACTGAAGGATGAAACAACCAAAGAAGTAATGATAAAGTGGGCAAAGGATTTTGGTCATACAATCCAACTGGAAAATTAGGAAAGGTTGTGGAAGGTGGATATCAATTTCACAGCCTGTTATATGATAAAAGAGAACATGATGAAAATGTTTTACCGCTGGTACCTCACTCCGGGAAAATTGGCTAAGATTTACAAAAAGCAGTCAAACTTATGCTGGAGATGTAAGAGGGAACCTTTTATCACACATGGTGGGGATGTAAAATTGTAAGGAAATTTTGGAAAGAGGTATATGAGGAGCTGAAAAAATTATTCAAGATTTCGTTTGCCAAAAAGCCAGAGGCTTTTTTGTTAGGCCTAATATCAAATGACATTCCCAGAGATAAGAAAAATGTATTCCTTTACGCAACAGCAGCAGCCAGAATACTGATTGCAAAGAACTGGAAGGGGGAGGAAATGTGCAGGGGTAAGCAAGGAAATAATAAAAGTATCAGCTGAACAATAATTAAATTATAATAACACAACAAGACGGAAGAAGTTAAAAAAAAATTGAGATCACACATGGGTGGAGGGGAACGGGGGTATAGGGGAATCTGAAATATTATTTATAATATAAAAGCTTCAATATAAAATTTCTAACTGTGTTGTATTTGTATACAGCAAAGAGAAGTTTAGAGTAATTAGGTATATTTAAATTTACTTGATTATGTAATAGGTTTACGTTAGAAAATGAATATGGATGTTGAATTTGATGTTTGTAATTTTTATTTTTTCGGTTTTGGAAATAAAAAAAAGAAAAGAAATAAAAAATAAAAATAAAAATATATCTCTCAAGTCAATTGTCAAACGCTAAGGTAAAAGGTTCTACTGATTCAGGTCTGAGCGCATGGCTGCTGCTGCTGTTGCTAAATGTAAACCACTTAAGAACCCCTCGGGGAAAAGAAGGGGCATAAACCAATCAATCTGTAATGATGATCATGATAATCAATCCCGGATTCCGCGACTCATCTGCCCATCTTAGGGACTCTAGATGAGCGGCTCTTTTACGCAAGCGCCCTCTTGCATCCAGAGGGGGTTGCATCCAGTCCCTTCGCTGCTGAACTGATGGATGCGCTTTCCCGGTCCCGGCCGGGCGGAGCTGCCGCTTTGGCCCCCCCCGCGCCGTCACGTCGGGAGGCGGGCTGGCCGGGCTTGCCCCAGCATGTTGCTTTCGGTTTCCCCGCAGCCCGCCTTGAAAAGCCTGCCGCGCGCCGCCCAGAGTCCTCGCTGCGTTTGTTGGGGGAGTCGGGGAGCCGTAGATCATCCGGTGAGTTTTACTTGGCCAACTGGGGGGGGGGACCCCGGGAGTTGTCGTCTTCTTCTTCTTCTTCTTCTGTCCTCCAGTGCGCAAGGGGGGGTGGAGGAAATGAGCTGCGGAGAGGGAAATCGCAAGGTTCGGTTCTTCGGTTTTTTAAACCCTGGGAGGAGTGCGGTTTGCCACCCGGTTTTGTTTTGCTTTTCCCCCTCTGGAAGCGCGTCCCAATGATTTCCTGCCCTTGCTCCCGAGTTTGTCGGTGTGCATTGGGGGTGATAGCATGTCAATTGCTTTCCTGGACCGAAGCCCGTCAGGTTGAGCCTTCCTGCTCTCCGGTGGCGGCCGGGCGGCCTCCTCTGGCTGTGCGCGCTCACAAAGTAGAGCCGGACAGTGAGGACCTTCGCCTGTTCTTGGTCCCGCTACTTCGCACAGTATTCAGAGGTCGTCTGCCCCAGACCAGGGCGCTCCATTTGGCTCGCATAGCTGTTGATCCTGAAACCCCTGTCAGCCAACTTAATTGTATGTTTTAGACTTTGAGATTCATGAAATTGTATACTTGTTATCAATGTATGTTGCCTTGCAAATGTTACTGTCTTGGAAGGTCACTTAGAAACAGCTTAAACCAAAAGATAAATAGATTGAATAGTGTATCCAACATAAAGCCATACTGTACTCTGAGTAGAACCACTGACATTAAAGGACATGATTAGTGCTGGCCCATTAATTTCAATGGGTCTTCTCAAAGCAAACATTGGATACAACCCAGTAAGTTTTGCTAATAGGAGAGGAAAATACATATTGCCCCACAATGCAGTTTTAGCAGTTTGTTGTGTCTCTAGGCTCATCCTCTCCTGTTGTCGTCTTCTGCTTATTTTTTTTAAGCACCAGCCACTTGTCTTCTGGAACACGCTGCACTCCCTTCATCACTGGGTTGTCCTTTTGAGTTAACTCTCTAGTTCTGTGACGTTGTGTGTGCATGTGACAAGAAGAGCATTCTACATGTTTCCATGCTACATTCACACACTATGCCTCCTGCTGTTTCATTCTTGCATGCCTTTTGAACTAGGATTGAATGGAGCTTTTTTCCATTGCCAGATGATGAGAACAACACTTTTCAGAGAGCTTTTCACTGTGACTCCAGAAACCTTTTATGGGCAGTGGATTTGGACCCTATTGGATCTGATGTGAAATTATAGATTGCTGAGAGAGAGAAGTCTGCGGTCCAGGGCTCCTGTCCATCGCTCCGGGAGTGGGCATAGCCAGGGGGGCAGGGGCCGCTCCCGATCAAAATGACAAAAATCATTTTAAAGCATTGAAAGTACTCAGTTAACTGAGGTTGTGCCCCCCCACCAAAGTCTGCCCCTTTTGGGGGGATATTTTTACCCATGATTTCCCCCAAACAACTCAACAACTCTTGAGAGGGAGGGGGGCAGCTGTCCCCCTGCCTCACCTTGGCTGTGCTCATGCCTCAGTCTGATTTTGTGACTGGGGTGGCCAGAGGTAGTACGCAGAGGGACATTCTTCTTCATCCCATTGTCAATCCTTTTTGGTGTATTTAAAAGTTTATCCATAGTGACAGAATGCCCCACCTCTGCCCACAGAGAGTGTCAACATACCAAGGATTTGCTCCTTCAAATGGCACCTTGAACCAATTGCTGCCTGGGAGGCAAATGCCAACTTCAGCCTCCCTGGCCCCTCTTTGCTGCTCCTCTTCCTGCACCAGGTGTACTGCTGCCTGTCAAGAAGCCAGGAGGTGGAGTGGGCTGGTCTTGCCCTGGAGAGCAATTGCAAGAACTCTGCTGCATTTGCAGCTGTTTCCAGGGAGAAACCTCTGGTGTGGAGAGTTGTTTTGTGGTGGGAGTACAAATGCAATTTGTGCTCAATTCGTGGTGTATCTGGGTTGTTGCTGTTTTATATTTTTATTGACGATTTATTCTATTGTACTTTTGTATTTAGGCTGTAATTTCTCCTTTACCAGTCTGTTCACTGCTGGTGTGGGGGACTGATGAATTGTGCATGGAAGTGTTGTGCATGCAAGCCTGGGTGGAGCTGTTACCTCTGGTGAAGAGACGAGCGACTTCTGAAGTTTGGCAGTGCAGCTGAGACTGCTGTGGCATTTGTGTGAGCTGAAGCTCTGTCTCTCCACACGTAGAGGAGAACTGCGCTCATGTTACTGCTTTTCCTTATGGCCTGGGGGTGTGGATTTAATCCCTGCTTGCGTATATAAAGATTCTAATGTTCTTTTCCTCTGTGCCAGCCAGCCATGGCAGCTCTGCAGGACTTCCAGACATTTGTCTTCCTCGATCTTGAAACCACCGGCTTGCCCCATGACCGGCCTCGCTTGGCTGAGCTCTGCCTCTTTGCTGTGCACCGCCGTTCACTCCAGTGCTCTCCGCTGCCGGGCACCCCCCAGCTACCCCGCATCATAGACAAGCTCACTCTCTGCGTTGATCCCCAAAAGCCCTTCACCCTTGAAGCAGAGAGGATTACTGGGCTGAGCAACCAAAACCTGAAGGAGAATCGCAAAGCAGATTTCAACAGCGGTGTGGTGGATATACTAAAAGGGTTTCTGTGCCGGCAAATGGGCCCAGTCTGCTTGGTGGCTCACAATGGCCTTGGCTTCGACTTCCCCCTGCTTCGTGCAGAGCTGTGGCGAGTGGGCACTGACCTGCCCCCGAGCACCGGCTGCCTGGACACACTGCCAGCCTTGAAGGAGCTGGAAAGATCTCCTGGCATGAGCTACCAGCTTGGGGCACTGTTCCGACATTTCTATGGACGTGAGCCTGTTAGGGCCCACTCAGCTGAAGGTGATGTGGCCACTCTTCTGCTAGTGTTTCTTGCCAAAGCCCCTGAGCTCATGACATGGGCAGCTCGTAATGCGCAGAGCTGGGGGGCGATTCTGCCTATGCACCTCCTAAGCAGAAGCAGGAACTGATAGCAAGAAAGATGACATGACCTCTTTCCCCACAAGTGCACATCCACACAGATCAAACCTTGAAGTGTCCTCCTGTACAGGGCTACTTCCTGTGTGCAGTGGAAATGTGGAAGACATTTGTACTGTGAGAAGTTAGTGGTGTACGGCAAGGACTCTTCTTGTGCCCAGACCTTGGTTTGGGGTGTGTGCCTGCAGCATTTCTAATCTTGTATTGGACACCTGTTGATAAAGTGGCTAATTTCTTATCTATCACTTGGCTCTGGGTGGGGTTTCAAGGTCAGCTGCCTGTTAAAGGAGCACTGGGATCCCATACAGTCTCTGAGAATGTTTGTTTGTAAGAGATAACAGGGGCTTGGAAAGAACCACGGCATAGTGAAGACCCTGCATCCCAACCCCTATAGGAGTCCATCCACTGCTGTTCTGAGGGGTTCCTAGGGTCTGAAGGAGCCATAAGTATTGCTTATTCTGTCTGTAATCCAGCTAGGATAAACACCTCCTATCCTTCACTCATGGGTTTGGTCACTGCATTTGGAGCCAGTAAAAGAACCAGTCCTGTTGGCAACACGCTGCAATGACCAGCCTCAGAAGGCCAGGCAGATGCAGCAGTTGGAGTGTTTGGCTTGGAATTGTGGGGCTCAGTGTCACATCTCCACCATAAATCTCAATGGGTAATTTTGGGCAAGGCACTACCTCTCATGTCTGATGGGCTCAGTTTTTAAAAGGTGAAACCAGTGTTGCCTAAAAACAAGTTTTAGCTACATTTTAGTAGGTTATTGAAATTACTTTTGTAACTGCTTTGAAATAGCTTAGGGGTTTAGAGAAGCCGTCCTGGTTTCTGATTTGATCCCAGAACGTCCTGCTTTTTCTTATGTTCTGTTGCGGGGGGGGGGGTAACCTTTGGACTCCATACTTTCCATCCAGCATGGCCAACAGGGATGATAGAAATTTGTGGTCCAGCAACATTGGGGTTTCCTGTCCCTGGTCTAAAGGTACTTTGATGCAGCCCCGTTGCTAACATTAGGCATGCTTGGGGTCTGATCAGTGCCTGGGTGGGCTACTGCTTGGAAGCCCCATGTATGATGCTCTGAACTCTGAGGCTGTGGTCCCATACACACAGTTCTGTGGGGTTTTCTGAGCAGACATGCCTCAGATTGCACTGCCAAGGAAACAAAGGGTATGAATGTGATAAAACGAATTAACAAGAATAATTTATCCAAACTTTTTTGTAGGGGAATTCATTTTTATTTTGGGGGGAGGGGGGATAAGGCACAACCTTCTCCCATATGTCCACAGTGGTACCTCCGCTTATGAACTTAATTTGTTCTGGAGGTCCGTTCGTAACCCAAGGTGTGCTTTTGCTAATGGGGCCTCCTGCTGCTGCTGCGCCCCCAGAGCATGACTTCCATTCGCATCCTGGGGCAAAGTTCACAACCGGGAGCATCTACTTCCAGGTTAGCGAAGTTCATAACCCGAAGCATTCGTAAGGAGGACGGTATGTAACCCAAGGTTCCACTGTATTTACTGAAGTAAAAAGTCTATTCACTAAATTTGGTGAAAAGGTGATAGGGAGAATTATTTTTGAAATGTGCATGTATGGCTATCTTTCTACAACTCTACATTATAAACAATTGTGAGGTTTTTGCATTGTCCCTTCTTACCTACAGAAAGACAACAGATGCCAAGGATTTTTTTTCTTCCTGAGGTTATATGGAAGTAGGGTATAATTTAGGTGTCCCATCATGAATCATTGTATAAAGCAGCTATTTAAGTATTACGATTAATTAAAACATTCAGAACATACCAAGTTACATATGAATTGCCATAATGAACTTATGTCTCATGACAGTAATCATACTTAGCATTTTAGAGTGTTAATTTCCCAAATACATTGTTAAATCACTGTCCTCTGTGAAGTTGCTCTCTATTATTATCAATGCACACCAGTGCTTTATGGGGCTGAAATTTGATGAACTGGTGTCAAATCTGAACGAGAAGTCCTACAAAAGAAATTTATGAGGCAGGTATTGGGGCTTCCTCCTGGGACTCTGTTGGCTCATCCGAGAGCTGAGTTGGGTCTCCCTCAATAGCGGCCAGAATTGATCTAGCCTATCTTAGCTACTGGCATAGACTTTGAGGACCATATTCTCACCAAGCTCAGCTGGTTGGAGCAGCTAAGGACAGGAGGTTGGGTACAAAGTGTCAAGACAAGCTTAGGGCTTGAAATCTCCAAGCGGGGAAATATTTATCCCTTAGCGAACTTAGAAATTGGATATTTGACCATGACGCCAAGCAAGCCAGAGCATTCACAATCGCTGCCTGTTATTCTGTTTGGGACCCTCAAATTAAGGACAACCATTCAAGGCCTCACTACCTTGGGATGCTGACTTCCCCACATAGGGCCTTTGCATTGGGCCTTTGTTGAGCTTCGGTTTCAGCAGATGCCCTCAGCATCCTTAGAGGGGAGATACCTTGGAATTCCTCAGATGGCATGGAAACGCATTTATGTAATCAGGTCGAGGATGTCTTGCACCATTTGTTGATTTGCCCTTTATATACGGTGCCCAGAGAATTTTTATCTCCTATTTTTATTGGTTCTCAGATTGATACCCCCAGGAAGTGATAGTTAAACTCTACAAATTACTTATCTGTAGCCAAATTGCTCTGGCAGCTAAGAAGCTTTGCTTGTTATATTAATGCATTGTGATTTTAAATTTTGTGTTCTAAGCGTCTATGCTGTAGCCTTTTATAGACTTATGTTTGTGATTTTAGAGGAATGCCTTGCTTTTGCCCTCTGTGTGTGAAGGCTTTGGCTATATACAATTAATTTAACTGAATGAATGCATCAAAAAAATATTAACAATGAATTGCAGAATATGGGTGGGGCAGACTGAAAGCGGCTTACCGCTGGCGATTGCAACCCTATACTCACTTACCTGGGAGTAAGTCTGTTGAACTCCTCAATGAACTTAGTTTTGCATAGACACCAATAGATTGTGCTGAGGTATGTTTTGAACTGGGGACTTCTTAGTTCACAGCTCAGTCTATTAGCTGCTATGCTCTCATCATTACCACCAGGTGCCTTCCATGTTCAGTTGCTGGTTGTCAGTATTGGCTGTTCAGGAGTATTTACAGGTGGCTATCTTCCTGCCTCAGTGCCTTATATTTGTCTCTATTGAATCATGCTTTGATTGGCCTGATCTGCTGCTGGATTAACTAAGACTTTTCAAGAAGTCATTTGTGCTGCTCACCATTGCAACATCTTATGGGCAGTGAATTACAGAAATAATTGTGGGTTCCTCCTAGGATATACTTCCTGTTTATCCTGTAAGCCTGTTGCCTGTATATTTCATTAGTGGCCTGATTTCTTGTGTGTGCCTCTCATTTATTCTGTTGCAATGCCTAATAAAAGCTCTTTTTAAAATTGCTGTTAGTCTTCTACTTTATGTTTTGCAGTGTCAAATGCCAAGGCCAAAGGTGTACAACATTTAGTCAGTTAATCAGGTAGATTAAAGTAGTGCCTGACTGAGCAGATTTTTAAAAACTGTTTTTAATGCAGGTACTTACAAAATCTATCAGTCACAGATGGCATTTTCCTACTTCTCGTGCATTAGGGCAGTCTTTGATAACCATTAGCCCCAACCACCATAACCAGTAAGGAGGCATGATGGGAGATGTAGTCCCAAAAAATGTACCTAGAGGCCCATTTGTTCTCCATCCTAAATTAGTGCACTGGCAGTTAGTGCTTTATCAGCTCTGAATTTCCAGATTAAAATGGCAGGAGTGTCAGTCTGGCACCTCACATTCTGACTCAATGGATTTTAATGGGGGAGGGAGAGGTTTTTGAGTTGGGGGGGGGAGGAGGTAAGGCATATAATGCAGTCACATTTTCAGCCTGATTTCCTTCGCCCAACAAGCTTCATGTTTAAATACATGACTCTCACACTTGTGATACCAAGACAAAATCACCAAAAGAGTCAGTGTACAGCAGGGTTAGAGTGTTGGAATAGGCCTGGTGAGTCCTGGGTTCAAATCCCCAATCAATCACAAAGCTCCCTCAGTGATGCTCATCCTCCGTGATCCCTCATCATCGCCCCAGCCCAGCATATGTCAGAAGCTTGTGAAAACCAAATGGAAAAAAGAGAAGCATTTGCACCACCCCTAACTCCTTGGCTGGATTTTTCTTTCTTACATCTGTACTTTACTGTTTCTTATCTTGTGACCTCAGGTTGGAAGAGTGACGTTTCACCTTGTACTTTCAGAAAGCCTTTCCACAGCACCAGCTCTACTGTTAGGCAAAGTGAGGTGTGCGATTCTCCATCTCCAGTCCCCAAATAAACTTGACTGGCCCTGGCTACCTACTATGTGTCTGGAGGGACATTTGTTGCTCAGCATCAGGCAGCAATATACCTCGCCCAGCCCTGCACAAGTACCCCAATGCTGAAGAACCGTGCACATCAGCCAAAGTATCACGGTGTCTTTTGCACAACTGTTCCAGGCACCCCTGCATGCATATTTTGTCTGTGCAGGGTGCTTGCCCTGCCCCAATGGATGTCAGTCTTGCCCCTGACCCCCTGAATGGCAATAAGGAGGCCTCCAGCCAGCTTCTGGTTTGTTTATTGCAAGTGAAGGCAAGGAGGAATAGTCAACTATAATTTACGGGTGCTTGTTGGCATTTCTGTTTGTATCACTGAAAACCCCCAATAAGTTCAAGGGTTCAGGGTTCCCTGCAATACTTTGCACAAACACCTAAGCAAGAAGAACAAAATGACCTCAGAGTTCCAGATTTTAAATGTAATGCTGTTTCAAAGTGGCTAGTGTTTCTGGAAGGACAGCTGATGGCATTATTGTTTGTGCCTTACAGCAAAGCCTCCTCCCAGCCCTTAGCAAACAGGGCTTAATGAAGAAATCAGTCAGTCAGGAAAGGCTATTTTTTCATCTTTCAATTGGGCGCAATACAATATGGGATTTTCCTGCACATGACTATTTGAAACACATGGGTGTTGCTCAGAAGCACTGCTGTGAGGAAACATTAAGAAACCCTGGGCACAGTTTCCTCAAAATCACTTCTGTAAAGCATGACCAGCAAAGGTCTGGCTAGGGTGTTCCTTCTGTTTTTCAGCAGCCCCTACCTGACACAGAAGTACGCAAGCTTGTATTTACATACATGGGGATGAATCCTTGTGCTCTATCTTCACAGTAACCTTGTCAAGGTAAAGACTGTAGTGTTATACCTCTCAATTATCCTGCTTTAAACAGGACATCCTAGCATTACAGAAGCCCCCCTCCCCCGGCTTCTGACTGGATCCCGGGGGGACATGGCTAGCGCAGGGGAAGGGTGTGGCAATAGAGGCCACCAACCAAAATTTTACCACCCACATGACCAAAAATAAAAATAAAAATAATGCAATAACCTGCTTCCACACCAGAGGTAACTTCAGATGCTTATTGAGTTATTTTTACTTATCAAATGTTCTGCATTAAGCAGGGGGCAGGGATATAAAATGTAAAAAAGGAGGGGGAGATTAAATGTTTTTAAAAGTTCAGACTGCAATTTCATTGCTGATAGCATCGTGTGGATGCTGTGAGCAGCACCAGTTCAACCATAAACACCCTTCCAAAAGCTATGATGGGCAGATACTTTTCTAAACTGCTGAGTAGCGGGGCTCATCCAGACTTGCCCTTGTCCCCCCAGCTTTCTCCCCCACCACCCAAGGAAACCTGATCTTTACCGCTGAATGGGAACAAATGTCAACTGGGTTTTCTCCAGATTGATGTTTGCTCCGATTTGGCGCTAAAGAGGTAAGCGGAAGTGTGGGCGAGTCCTCACACTGACCTGAAGTGACTGGGTGAATCAGAGACCAGAGGGATGCTATGAAAGGGGCCTTGGCTTTCTCCAAGAGGTTTGGCAATTTCATCTCACTAGGAGGATTTTGGGAGACATAGGGCTCCCAAATAACAAATGCAAATGCATTATTTGCTAATGCATCCATTACCTGAGCAGGTGTACAAACTTGGACAAGGGCATGAGGGGACAGGTCTGCAGGACATAGGTGGTTACATCCATTTTAGTTCATTCTTACATTTGAGTTTAAGAGATATAAAACATGATAATAACGACACAAAATAAGGACACTTCAAATACTTATTTTTTAATACATTTTCTTTCCCTTTTTATTTGGTTTTTATCCATTTTTTTCTCTATACCTTTTGGGTGAGGGGGCAGATTTGGGGGATTAATGCATATTTTTCCTGTCATTTTGCTGCTGTTGTCGTTGGTATTTTTGTCATTTAAAGATGGAAGAAAAAATCACGATATCGACCGGGGCAAAGAGCCGGACAAACTGAAACGCACAATTACGGCACGATCAGATACACAGACACTGAGTAATATATAGTCAGAGTGCCTCTGGGAATGTTGGGAGAGGGAGATGGGGAGGGAGACGCTTTGGCTGCTATGGAAAAGAGGTTGGTTTGGAGGCCACAGGCTGCAGATTAAGAGTACAGGAGCAGGAATTTTGGGTTAGGCCAGGAAAAGAAATAGGTCCATAGGAAGAGAACCATAAAGATGAGAAAAAGAAAGAGGTGAAAAAGAAGATTGGGAGAAGGGTAAATCAGACAGTGAAATGAACTGGAGACTGGGGGAAGGAGGGAAGAGGTGGGGTGGGGGGAGATCAATATTATCCTGATCCTAAACAAATTTACTTGGAAGTAAACCCAGATGGAACCAACTTCCAGCTAACTGCTAAAGATTACGACCTGAAACCACAACCACAAGATTACACCCTACAATTCTATGTGAATTAATCAAGAATAACTACAAGACTTCCTCACAACTGTCATGGTGCAGCAAAATCCCCATATTAACCATAGGCCTCCTTTCTGTGTATGAAGGGCAGTATACTAAGAAATAATAATAATAATAATAATAATAATAATAATAATAATAAATTATTGTGAGTATGTGGAACCACCATTGGGCTCAGTACCCTGTGGAAATTGTGCAGAGGCCCAGGCTGCTTGGGTTCCCTGTTGGACCTAGACATTTCTGAGCCACAACAGATGCTCAGAAGTAACATGGCAGCTCTACATACAGGTTCTGTGTGGAGGTGTCAGTTCATACAATCTGTACGTCCTGTGCAATTCCTGTTGGGCTGTTTGCCTGACAGAAACCCCACACGCTTCTCACAACGGCCTCAGAACTAAGGTCGTGGGGACACACTTGAATCACCCTGACTGTGAGTACAATGAGTTGAGAAATGGGATCCAGGTGGCTCCACTTTCAAGTATCTTGAATATGCAATCTTAGAAGGAGAAGGAAAGGGGGGGGGAGGAAAAAGGATGTATAACAGAGTCTCCCCCTTGGCCCTCCCCCCGCCCTGAGCTGTGGGCCCCAAGCTGCACCGGTGATCATGGCATACATGCTGGTATAGGGGGAAATAATGTAGCCCCCAGAAATACAACTCAGTGGGAATGATACCCCACCCCACATTTTGCCCTTTGTCTCCCCTCCAGAATAAACCCTTCTGCAGAGATTACGTACGCACACACACAACCTCCAAACCGTAACAAACACAGCAGTGCTGTGGGTCCCCCATTAGGATCACCCTCCCTTTAACACCCCACATCCCTAATACAGACCAACAGGGAGGAGAAGCAGGAGACAATTTCCCCCAATATTTTGGTTGCCCTCTATCCTGACCTTTAAACTTTTGGGAGGAGGGGCTGGGAATGGAGAAGTGAGTGTTAAAAACCTTAATTAAAGCGCTGAATATAATATTGAACCCCAAACCCCTTAATAAACCCCAAATCTGCCGGGCATTCCGACACTGAAGATGGCAACTGAATCTCCTCCAATCTCAGACCCCTCCCCCACGACCAGCTGGTGTTCCTGGGGGGCATGCGGAGGGGAGATGGAGGAGCATTTGCCACGCGTTGGGGGCGAAGTGCCAAGAGTGTGAGAGTCATGCCATGCTTTCCACAACATTGGGTGGGTGGGGTTCCAAGGGAATGGCGGGGGTAGGTTAGAGAGGAGCCGGGAGAGCTAGTAGTAGCTGGGGAGTTTGGGGGTCTGGAGCCGAGATGGCAGGGGTAAAAAGGGAGCCATGTAAAGTCACAGAGCTGTCCCGGGGTGGGAAATGAGATCGGGCAGAGTGTGTGCGCACGAGGCAATGGGAGAGGGGGCGGTCTATCTCTAGTTGTAGTTTCTCATATATATATAATATATATATATAAACAGCACAAACATCTACATTCATTTGGGAGGGGGAGGGATGACACCCCACCAGCCCCCTCCCAGTGCAAGCACCCACCAGCCCCCCCTTTCCCCTGCTCAAGGGGACATGGGGGGCAGGGACAGGATGGTAGCTTCCTCCACACAGCGCCTCCTACTGGGGGTAGGGACCTGTGGGGAAAGAGAGAGAAAGAGAGAGAGGAGAGAAAGTAGATGAACACAGAAAAAAAGGAAGCTTTCCTGTGACAGAAGCAACACTTGCACACAAAACACCCCCAGGAGCAACTAAACAGAACTGAAACAGATCTCTGAAGTGTTTCTCCAACGTGGGTGGAGGGAAGGGCTCTTCCTGGCTCAGCGGCTTAGGGGCTTAGGGGTTGTCCCCAACCACGGCATTGTCACCCGGCCTTGGAAGACCACCAAACAGCCCAGAGCCAAGAGGCCGATGGGTGCCAAGCAATGATGGTCTTCCTCGCAGGCCTGGCATGACAGGGCAAACACAGAGGCCCATGGGGACACACCACTGCTAGTGACTTAATTTTATGTTGATGTAGCCTATTTTCCCTGTTTCTGGGCCTCCCCCCCCCCCCCCCCGTGGATCCTGCTGCCTGAAGCAGCAGCCTTATCTTGCCTCATGGGCGAGCCAGCCCTGGGTGGGGCCCCAGGTGAATTCTGGGGCAGGTAAGATGGCGGCTTCTGCTGCAGCTGCTTTGCTCAGTACTTCTCTTTTCAGCGCTGGGCCACCCACCCTCCCGCTCCCTGGCCAGCTTGCTTAGGGCAAGAGCCTGTAAGGCCCCTGGTGAAAGTTCCCCTCAAATGGTGGCAGCCCTGGCCAGACATTTATAGGCTTCCTGAGTCTGAATGGTTAAGGGGCAAAGTTTTATTTCCACGCTGGGAAGTTGTATACAAAATGCATTTTAAGACATGAAACTCTACTAAGTGGATTTCAGATATGGGCTAGCTTTTATTGACAAGAAGCCCAGCTGTTTTAAAATAAATAAAATAAACTCCCATTGCTAGAGAGCAGTATCAGGCTCAGCTGCCCAAACTTCATCAGACTACTTGCATGAGTGCTGAGCCGGCAAACCTTTTCCCCTACCACAGCTCTTCTTAGCTCAATATCTGTTGAGTGTCTTAGCTCAATATCTGGTGCAAATCAGTATTTGTTAACACAGAAAACTGACACGCAGCCAATTTCCTCTTATTTCTGATTATGAGGGTTTTTCTTTCTGGCTGGGACCATGGCATACACAATTTTACCAATTAAAATCACTCCCCCACCAACTCATAAAACACATGTATGATATTTTACTTATTAAAATAATTCATTTCTCTCAGTTGTTGTTTGTCAGCAGAGCAAAACATCTAAGGCATGGTGCAAATTGCAGCTTGGGTGTGTAGCGAGTGAGGCAGGGGGAAGCTTAATTTGGAAAGGAATTTAATCCCTCACTCCCTAAGTACCACAGTCCCAATTTCATTTGGGGTGGGTAGGAGAGCTGCTATTAACTTTTTGACCCAAAGGCATATATAAATTTGCACAAAGGAATCTTGACATCATTCTTTACGGCTGCATGCAAAGGACAAAGCCTTGCTTTCATTTACATCCTGACAAAGGACTCTTTGCTGATTGTTTCAGCTGAGAGTGTGTTGTAGAGCAGTTTGAGAAAGCCTCGACTCTCGGAGGTTCGTGGCCAGGCTTAGGAAGCTGCCTTCTGTGCACCAAGAGCTGAGGACGACGCCTCAGGGAAGGAGACACGCTAAGGCAGAGGGGGCTTCTGGCCATGAAGACCAACGGAGGGGAAGGAGTCCTAGCAGCAGCCAGCTGCTTCTGTAGTCCATGATGGAGTTCAAATCTGAACCTGATATCTGGGACAAATGTGCCTAGAGACCTACAGACTAACAAATTCCACACACAGACCATTCAACAGTAGCCAAAAGGCTCTCATATCAGGGATCACGGTCATTATGTCAGCAATCCAGATCAGGTGAGGGGAATGTTTGGCCCTCTAGATGTTTCTAAACTACAACTCCCATCATCCCTGGCTACGCTTGCTGGGGCTGATGGGAGATGTAGTTCAGCAACATTGTAAGACCAAAGGTTCCCTTCACCTGAATTAGATGCTCACAGTCCAGATGTGTAGGATGTTATTCTCCTCTAGATTCCACACCTTTCAGCCTCAGGCACAACTGTGTATTAGGGTCTACGCTGCTATAATATACAACTGGATAAAAGGTGCATGTCCCAAATATCAGTGAGCTGCCAAATAAGACCACATTTGTTACTAAATGCCATGTTACTTCACAAAGCATAACAGCTAGCAGCATGCTATTATTATTTTTTGCATGCTTTGGATGTGGGGAAGCACTCGAATATGGGTATGCTCACATTAGTAGCTTGAAACGCAGTGAGGTCATTTCATCTGGTTGTGTTTCTAGCCAGATTTGCATGGAGTTGTTCACATCGCAGAAGGGGCACGGATGTATTTACCTGATGCACATTACCTTTTGGGTTTCCTCTCCCTATAATCACACACACACCCAATTCCTATTCAGCTGGCACCTGTGCTTGTGCACTCTTCTGCACAACGGCTTTTGGGGTGCCACGTTCTGAGGGTTGTTCATGTCTTAAAGGGTGTCAGGACTGTGTATGAGAACTACAGGTTGACTTGCAAACTGTCCCTTTCATAAAATTGGTGTGTGATGATCAGGTTCCAGTGGTCAAGGAGTGACGCTTCAGTGCCCTGCATAGCTCCTTGTTCCTCCTCCATGACCAGCAAAACCATAATAAATGACACAAATGAGCTTAATTTGCAGAACATGGGTCTCGACTGCAGGACTCAGCTTTTCCTGCAGAGTAATATTTTTAACATGTTGCTTGCACAGCCTTATTCAAGGGCGAGAGAAGAGAATCCCTCCCCCCGCCTCCCTGTCCAGTCAGCCAGTAGCACAACTCACCCGCCTACATCTGGTTTGCGAAGGAAGTGGGCCCGCCTTGGACACCTTGCTGCCCATACTCTCCCTGCTGCCCATAGCCCTGCTGGCTGTAATCAGGCTGGTAGCCACCCTGCTGCCCATACGTGTCTTGCTGCCCATAGCCTGGCGCTTGGTTGTAGGCGTCGCCAAAGGCCTCAGGTGCTGGTGGCTTCTCCTGGGCAGGTGGGTACTTGACGAAGGGGGCGCTCCAGCCCGTCTCTTTAAACACGAACCACAGGTTCCCCAGCCAAAGCACCAAGTTCAGGAAGCCAAAAACCTGGGGACAAAATGAAGACAGGGTGGAGAAAGGACAGTTAATTGCAGAGCCTTCCTCACCAATCCCAGTTCCCTACTATTTGAGAAGCCTTGTCTGGAAGAGTGTGTGTGTGTGTACATGCACACAGGGCTGGGCTGCCCATTAGTTGCCTCAGGTGGTAGGCTGGAGACAGGTGGGAGGAGTGGCAGATTTGGAAAGGGAAGAGAGGGACATCTCGTGTGCCTTTGCTACTCCTCCTTCAGCTGTGGATGCAATGCCATTAGATGCCTGCCTGGGCCCAACGCCTCTCCCGGTGACCCCACAGGGCAGAGGAGGCAGAGGGGGAGGGGTGCGTGGGCCCAGCCACTGCTACTCCTGCCACACTCAGCCACTAGCTCAGTTGCGCTGGTCCCCAGCATCGTCCCCACCCAAAGCTGGGTGAGGGGTTTAACTGCTGCCACCAATGCTGCTCCTGCTGCCACCTGTTGAAGCACTCTTAGCAAAGTACCATTCCTGAGAGGACTGCCATTTTCTGATTTGCCTCGAGCAGCAAAATGTCTTGGGCCTCCCTGGGTGGGCGTGCATGTTAATGCTGCAAAACAGGGGAAATTTTGAAGCCCATTTGCAGAACAAAGAAACTCTCATGGTTTCATACATGCTGCAACCTACACAAGTTTGCTTTACTAAAGAGTTAGGGCTTGTCCCCATTTCCACTTCTTCCGTGCCTGGAAAGCACAGGTCTGAGCAGTTTCCTATTTGCCCTGCCACTTTCCCCAAGGAAATCTGCTCTTTACCACTGAATTGGAGCAAAGGTCAATCTGCAGAAAACCCAACTGACGTTTGCTCCGATTCAGTGATAAAGATCGGGTTAGTTGAGCCCTTAGGATCTTAGCCCATCTAGTATTTCCTACACTGACTGGCAGCAGAGTTTCAGTCAGGAGTCTTTCCCAACTTAACCTGGAGATGCTGGGGATTGAACCTGAAACCAGGTGCTTTACCTGTTTGCTGTCTTTCCAGTCTTCTCACTGAAGAGAATCTGGAAGAACCCTAGAGCTTCTTAGAGCATAGTTTTGTTTTAAGAAGACAACCACATTAACTGTGTGTGCCTCCCCCTGCCCTTGGATCACGTCCAATACTCAGCTGATGCTGCCTGTTTGCAGGGCAAGAGGGGTGCGCGTGGGCAAGTGCCCACCAACGAAGACTGTCCTTTATTAGAACCTTCTCCTTGGAAACCCCCAAAGGTTTCCCTGCAACAGTTTGAAGATTACCATTTGCTCTAATATTTCATAAACATTGCAGCTCATTTATTCATAGGTGCTTAGCCGCAGGTAGATCAGCTAAAGGGCTGCTGCAGTGCTGTTCCCTTGGAATGGCTCCCACCAACAGACACATTCACAAAAATTAAATCTCAGGCCTCCCATCATTCACTCATTTTTGCCGCTGCAAACTGAAGGTTGATTTATATAAGCACATACACCAGATTATATCTCATCTGAAGAATCACTTTGGCTTTATTTTGGTCAACATGACTGATGAGGTGAGGCAGAAGACAGTAAATGGTCAAGCGGCAAGGGAAGGAAGACTCCTAGCCTTACTGGGGCAATGGAGACTCAGCCATTGCTTCTTGAAACATTCTGATAAGGATGCAAGATGAGGGTCTTCCCTTCCCCCCTTAGTCACTGCTCTGGAGACAGCAGCCAAATATTACCTTCCCTCCACCCCACTGATACATCAGCCAGTTTGGAGAGGGAGAGATCTGTTCTGGCAACCCTGGGAAACTAGGGACTTCATCTTCAAGCACTACCTACAGAGCACTGACATCTGTCAGTTCCCCCTAACACAGCTACTCTTCTGAAAGCTAGCAGCTGTGCCATCATCTCTGCAGATTATAAAATAAGATTAGAGAATGTTCCAAGCTTCTCTTTTAAGGCTTTATTTCTTCAAGTCTGCTTGGGGTCCTGTGCCACATTGAACTCAGTGGGATCTACATTTGAGTAAATATGCAATATGTATATAAATGAACAAAAGCAATTATGTCCAGAAAGCAAACATCTTTTCCTCTTATTTCTTGCTGTAATTTATTTTTATTGTTGTTTATAATTCTTTGTATATCATATTTTAGTATCATTTTGTTGTAAGTCTCCCAGAGAATATTTATGGACAGGTGGATAAAGAACATCAATCAATCAATAATTGGCAAACACACATACCCACATATTACTGCATGCATAGATTATTGTTATTCTCTTACACTAACATGAACACCAGCAAAACTCACCCAAATTAAAGAACTCTCAGTTACACTGATAAAAAGTTGTTGCCAGTGATTAAAATGGGCCCCAATGATTATTCAATTAAAGTTTCAAATGGATTAATTTTAAAACCAAATTAAAGATGTGGTGTCCTACGCAGATTTACCGTATTTTTCGCCCTATAAGACGCACTTTTCCCCCTCCAAAAATGAAGGGGAAATGTGTGTGCGTCCTATGGGGCGAATGCAGGCTCCTTGGCTTCAGCGATAGCAACGCGAAGCTTCCGAAGCCTGCGCTCCGGAGGCTTCGCGTTGCTTTCGCTGAAGCCAGGATAGTCTGCTCTTTGAGGCTGGTGGTGGGGGAAAGCAGCGCTTCCCCCCATCGCAAGCCACAGAAGATCGGGGGGCAGCAGGAAGGCGCGACGCCTTCGCGCTGCTCCCCGACCCCGCTTTGAGGCTGGCGGTGGGGGGAAGCAGTGCTTCCCCCCATCGCCAACCCCACAAGCTGGTTCGAAAAGCCCGCAGGAGCCACGCACTCTTTAAAGGGCTTTTCTATGAGGTGGGGGAATTGTCCGCTGCTCCCAGAGCTGCGGGGGGGGGGGATCATTTTTTCCCCCTTGATTCCCTCCCTGAAAACTAGGTGCGTCCTATGGGCCAGTGCGCCTTATAGGGCGAAAAATACGGTACTTTGAGGAAACATAACAGTATGAATGATCTACCACCCTACAAAATACGGAACTACATATGTACACATGAATACCACACACACACACCACCACCACAAAACACATAAGACACCTTTACAGCAGCTGAATGCTCAAAAGCACCCAGAACTGGCATCTAGGGTTGGCACGGCTGAGCACGGGCAGAGGGCCCATACTGAACAACTGGCATGAGGCCGCTGGACCTGCTCCTTCTCTCCACCCCTGCCACCGCCTCACCTGCTCACCCTCCTTTTGCTCTGGCCCAGACAACAGGGGTGGTGAAGGGGAGGAGCAGGAGGGGCACCAATCTGCCTGGGAAGCAAGCAAGCAGCAAGTAGCAACAGCAAGAACATTAGTGTGGCGTCTGACTCACTGAAAGAGGGTGTTTTGCCCAAGGGCTCTCCAAAATCTGGAACTGGTACTGAAAGCACAGGCTATAAGATGCCTTCTTAGAGGCCAGAGTACAAATATACACAGGTTGCCCTTCCTATGGCTCAGCAGCATTCCATCCTCCTTGATTCCAGGGCTCAGGAGTCTGCCCTGGCTGCCCTTAGGCTCAGTCACTGAGATCCTCAGGGGAATCACTGTTAATAATCCCCCATGACTTAGATCAACCTGGAGCCATGCCTCCAGTATTGTGGGACCAATCTTATGGAACTCCCTTCCATAAACCCCTGAAGTCAGACAGATCACCTCCCCACTGAACTTCTGGCACCTACTGAAGACTTTTTAAAATTCCATCTGGTATTCTAACCAAGGTTCCATTGTACAGTTTTAACTTGTTTTTGTTTTGGGTTGTATCTTTGCAGACTGCTTAGCGATTATAGTAGTTAAGGGGTATATAAAACATTGAAGCAAGCAAGCAGGCAAGCAGAGTAAGTGCTGGGAGGACTAACCACAGAGGTGTTGAGGCCGGAGGTGACTGGCTCTCGCAGCTCATTGCACTTGTTGCCTTCACTCCGGCACACAGCCATGCCTTCAATCACATTGTCAGGGTCAGTGGCCTCCTTGACATCTGAAAGGCCCTTGGCCCAAGCACAGGAGCTCACCAACCACATGAAGGTGAAAACAGCCGTGACGATGAAATCCTGCAGTGGGGGGTGAGGAAGGGCAAGAGGTTACAACTATGGTTGCCAAAAGATGAGGCAGGTCCTTGCAGGAGAAGCAAGTGGCTACCAGTGGATTGTTAGGACCCAATGGTACTCAGACCCTGGACCAAAGACACTACCCAGTGTCCAAAGAAAATCCAGGAAGAGGTGGAGTCACCGGGGCCCACTGTGAAACCACTGCGCTGGTGATACTTGTCCATTTGGATGTGTCTCACTCAGCTTGGGCTAAATATGGAGCTCCCCCCCACACACTTGTCCAGATCCCCTAACCCAGACCCAGTTCCTGCTGCAAAGCTCCTTAGCTGCTTTGGGCCTCCTGCTTCACACTTGCTCCCAGGACCTTCTGGTCTGTTCAGAATTGGTGGAAACACACATAGAATTTCTGGTGTGCAGTAAACTAACCAGCTGGTCACAGTCAAGCCACTGTTTCTAAAGCCCCAGGTAGCTAGCACAACAAACACAAATGGTTTGTCAAGCCCCTGCTGAGCCCCTCATGCATCACTGCTGGCTGCACCCAGCATGGTGGGTCACCATCACCCTAAAGTCCAGCTGCACATCAATATTCAGAACTTCAGTTCTTCACTCAACTTTCTTCCTGTAGTCCAAATACTTTAGAAACCCTGCCTTATTCCCTCCATCCCTAGACCAAGTTTTATGGCCCTGATGTTGCAGCATATGAGGCAGGAAAACAAGCACCTTGTCCAGAATATAACTATCTCATAATGTTGCCACTACTCTTTGACGGTACTGAGTTAGACACTGCTAATGGCCATTGGTCTAACGGCAGAGGTGGCCCTGGCAACTGGCTTTCCTAATGTGCCACTACTCACAGCACCCTTCAGCTGCTGTGACGTCTGCTTTTGGTTGTTAGGAAGTGTCAGGGTTTGGGGCAGTTTCCTAAACGGTCCCTGGGTCATCCTGTCCCTGCATTCAGCCACATGTCTATGCTGCATCACACCCTGGAGTTTGGGCACTCACAATCATGGGTCCCTTGTTGTTCTCCCTGTACTTGTCCTGCATAAATACGTAGACTACAATAACGGCAAGGGAGTAGAGGAAGGCGAAGACAGCAATGGTGACAAAGAATTCAGCAGAGGAGGAGCAATCTCCAATCAAGAAAACTTTATCCTTGTTCCCTTTACAAGTAGGAGCTTCAAAATACACCTGGTGGAGCCTGGGATGGAGAAAAAGAGTGAGAGTCATCATAGCATCACAGAACTGGAGAGCTGGAAGGGACCCCAAGTGCCATCTAGTCCAACCCCCTGCAACGCAGGGATCTCCACTAAAGCATCCATGACAAATGGCCATCCCACCTCTGCTTAAAAACCTCCAAGGAAGGAGAGTCCACCACCTTCCAATCAGAGCTGTACATACCCTAGGCTGTTGCTGTTTGAATTCTGCACCAAAGCATCACACATCTGGTGCCAATAGAAGCTGAATTTTGAGTTAGAGGATTGTGCAATTATGAATGACTTAGGGGAGGAGTGCTTGAACATATCTTATATACCAAATCACTGATTAGTCTGACTGACAGCAGCTCTCAAGCCAAGGTCTTTCCCAGCCTTCTTATATGAGGTTCTTTAAACAATGCTAAGGCATTGCACCAAGAATTGCTTTCGGGGAAAGTTGTTGGTTGTGTTTGCATTTTGCACACATAAGTGTTAAATGAACAACAAATAAATTCAAGGCAGGAGGTGGAGAGAACAGCCCCTCTCCCAACAGCTGGGGCTTGGTGTTGCAGTCACCACTTCCACTGTGGTTGGAGAAATTCCTTGCCCTTGGTGGTGGATTAGCTGCCCTTCTCACACTATAGCGGGGGCTGCCCTCCCCCCCCCATGGTATGCAAGGATCTGTGTGCGCTTACTGAGTGTGAGCTTGATGTTTGTGTCTGCTACCCGTGTGTGTTTACCAGATTTTGAGGTTGTGCAGTACCGTGCATCTTATGCTTATGTAGTTGGGAGTGAGTGGATGGAAGCAGCGCTATACCTGCTCTGGTACAGGCCCTCAGGTGAGAGATGGGAGAGGAGTATTACATTTTTCAGTGGGGGTTGGGCATGAGTCCATTAGTGCTTCAGAGATTAGGAGCATGTATGTGTGGTTGGCAATGACCTGTTGTGTGTGGGTTGTGATGTTGTTGGGTGTGAGTGGATTATGCATGAGTGGTTGATGGAGGTGATGCTTGAGACAGGGAATGGTTGTGTGAAATGGATGGTGAGTGTTTGTACGTTGTATAGATGGAAATTTGATATTGTGGCGCGCTCTGATTTGTTCTGTTTTTATATTACCTTTATGTATATGGACATTGCTTATATATTTTGTAATGTGACTCATCTGACATGGTTTCATGGTGCTTATTGGCTACAGTATATATAAGCTTATGGATTTATCTACTGTAAACCACTCTGAGATCTTTTGGACAGTAAGTGGTTATAAATGGAAATAAAAAAATACAAGAAATTGTATTTTACAAGCTGTAAGCTTCCTTGTTATATTTTATGAAAGAGCGGGTTATAAATTTTCAAATACACGAATAAATAAAACTGTATGGATCTGCCTCTGAATAATCGCTGCTGAGGATTCAACTCACCGGAAGGGGTAGGCAAACTCCACCTTTATATCAAGATCGCTCTCAGTCTTGTTCGCACATTCAACACTCAGGCGGAATTCTCCACTGTAGCTGCCACATGTTGCAAATGCAAAGATGGAAAAGAACTGGGAGGGGGGGAGAGAGAGAGGCAGCAAATGTCAGTGCTCAGAGGATTCTGGGCCATTTCACTACAACCCGTTGATCTTCTACGTGGATCCTGATCAACAAAGGATCCTGCTTGACTTCCCAGCATAGTTTGATGTGACAATTCTACACGAGCATAAATCCCTGTGTCTTAATGCCATGGTTTACCACCATTTAGCATCATCACATGTGACAACTTACATATGCATGGTATTATTCCGTGTAGGAAGACAACTAGTGGTGCGTGAGACAGGAAGAGGAGCTGCAGGAAAGAGGCCTAGAAATGTTCACACAGAAACCCACTGGTTTCATAAATGATTGTACCCATTTTACTACACATCAGCAATGGTTAAAAAAAAGTATGGCACTGCACAAGCAAAAAGTGGACGTGTGGTAAGAAATGGCATAGATTTCAAACCTACTTGGTGGTCATGTATAAGTAATCTGCACTTCTGGGAAGGAGTTATAAAAGAGTTTAAAAATGCAACAAGAACTCCCTTTGGAAACACTTGTTATTTTATTGGAGAAAGTGTAGGCTGTTCTACAAAGGAAACAAGATTGTAAAATTGTAGCTTGCAGCACTTAAGATCATTGCTAGTTACTGGAAGCTTCCAACAACAAAGCAGTGGCTATGGGAAATATGGCAGCGGGTGTCAGTGCACAAATGTGCATATTATAACATCAACGAGGTGGTTTAAGAGCGGGTAGAAACCCCTTGGAACAAGCATGAATCTTCTCTCTGTTCAGCCATTTTTTCCACTCAAAACTGACACCACCCCCCCAGCTGCATTCCCCTGTTATCTAAGAAAAAGATTAAACTTTGGTTCTGATGTGAACAGATGAATATGAGTTTTCATTTCTAGCTATTAAAGCTGTTAAGGGTGGTGGTAGTGGGAGGAAATATGTGTCAGCTGCTGCTACATATATGATTTATAACCACAACTTATCTTTCACAGCTTCTCCCAGTCTCCTGGGAATTATAGCTCATTGAGGGTGCTGAAAAGTCTGTTAGAGAATCCCAACGCTGCCTCACTCTGCCATCACAGGAACACAGTTGCTTCACCCTCTTTAAAGGGAATAAATACTGAACCACTTATATGCCTTTGATGTAGGCATATTCTAAGCACTCGGAAACAGAGATGGTCCAGGTGACAGAGTGGCAGTACAGTCAAACCTTGGCTCCCAAAGACCTCCATTTGGAACATTTCAGCTCCCAAAAGCCAAAAACCTGGAAGTAAATGCTCTAGTTTTCGAACATTGTTTGGAAGCTGAACGTCCAACGCAGCTTCTGCTTGAGTGCAGGAAGCTCCTGCAACCAGTCGAAAGCTGCGCCTCAGGAGTCGAACATTTTGGAAGCTGAACAGGCTTTCAGAATGGATTACGTTCGACAACTGAGGTTTGACGGTATTCAGAGAGACCCAATCTTGTCTAAGCTTTATTTTCCTAACTTTACACACCCCATTAGAACCCGCTTCTGCCTACATGCTGGTTTTCTATGTGGAAGGGATTTTTGTGTATGCCATGGTGTCATGTGTACAGACATTGTACAGCAGGGATGGGAAAGATGTTGTTGGTTAGAGTGTTGGACTAGGATCTTGGAGACCAGGGTTCAAATCTCCACTCAGCCACAAAGCTCACTGGGCGACCTTGAGCCAGTCACTCACCCTCCACCTGACCTGCCTCACAGCGTTTTGGTGAGGATAAAACAGGGAGGAGCAGAACTCTGTATGCCACCTTGAGCTCCTTGGAGGAAGGTGGGATATAAATGCAATAAATAAATATGTAAATAAAATACTCAAGAATGATCTGTAAGGCCAAGTTTCCTGCCTTTGATGTACAGCCCAGTTTCAGATTAACCATCTCTGTGTGAACTAGGTCTTAAAAAGGAATGAGGCGGCACTTAATATCTGGAGCACATCCAAGTTTCTCTGATGTTTATTTGTTTTTGTTTGTATTAATGCTTTATTGAAATTAAAAGGAAACAACGAACAAAAGATTTATCCATAAAAAAGAAAAGAAAATGGTAATATTTGTTACATCATATCACAATAAGGTCTTCTTGCATTTCTAATGACTTCCCATCACCCCATTGTGCATCTACCAGTTAATCTATCTAGCGCACTGTTTGTTTTCATTTTCTTTTGTTAATTTTCATCAGTAATATATTGTCTTATAATTATCAATCATACCACAGAAGTCATTTGAGGTCTGTCACTGATGTCATATTATTACAATAGTCCTTAAGGTATTTTTTGTACATGTCCCGTTTTTTAATAAATGTTTGATCAGTATGACCTCTCAGTTTCTCTGTCATTTTTGCTAACTCGGCGCACTCTAGCAGTTTACTTTGCCACTCCAGTTTAGTTGGAATTTTCTCTCCTTTCCAATTCATAGCGATTAATATTCTTGCAGCTACCATGGCATACAATAATATTTCCCTCGCTTTTCTAGGTATGTCTGGGCCTGGTATCCCCAGGAGGAAAGCCTCCAGGTTTTTTTAATGAAGGATACCTTAATCATTCTTCTCTGACGTTTATTTGACTTGAGTGGTAAGGCCATTTTATGTGCCTTGGCTCTTGACACACAATGTATGCACACACCATTTTAGAGGACGTTCCCTTCTCACAGCCAAACACTCCTTTCTCATGAAAGGCCCTCTTGCTGGAATCATAATGTCACAGAGCTGAGCACCAGTTGCCTCCTCTCCTGTGGAGGCCTCAGGACCAGCCCCTGTGGAGAGGAACGCAAGACTTTCTTGGGCTACTGGCTTTTCTTAGGCCAGCAGGAGGTGCCCTGGGGGGCAAACAGACAGATGGTTCTTTTCCAGCTGTGGCTGCTGCTGCTGCTGCAACCTTCTGGGGCTCTGAGCAGTAATCCCAGCCTGGGGGCGGGGAGGCTTTTGGTTCACGGTCATCCCGGATCAGCTGAGAAACTCACTGTGCAATCATAGGTATTTTTAGAGTTGAGCGTGAGCTCAGTATAAAATGAGAGATATAAAGAGGAGGGGAGGGGAGTCTTCTTCCCCCTCCCTTTAATCTCCTCCTTCCAGTGGCTGAGCAGGGACCAGATATTAACCCAGCACCTGACCCACTTTGCCGTCTGCCACCCGTAGAGTTTGTGTCGCCATTCCTGCGCTCAGCACAGAGTGCAGAAGAAGAACGCTTCAGGGAGGAAGGAGATACCCAGGGTTTTAAGTGCATGCTTTGCACTGATCGTTGATGAAACCGGTTTCTTTCTTTCTTTTTAAAGTATGTCATTGTGAATTTTATAGAGAGGAGCTTAAACATCATTCTAATTAAGCGGTTTATAAAGAAGCAATTACAGTGAACAAATGGGACTGGCAACGTATTGACTGTTGCTGTTCAGGATGCCAACCAGCCAGGAAGGTCTCCTTTCAGGATCCCCTCCCCACCTCGCCTTCCAGAGTCAGCTGGCATTCTGTGCCTGTGCAACATGTTCGGGTCCCACTGAGTGGTTCTGGGTTTCTTAGGGCTTTTTCCACCTAACATTTTGTTTCGGCAAATCCTGCGGTTCCCTGAAACCTACAAATACCTTCCTCTTGTGTGGATGGTGCTGTATTGGCTACATAAGGATCCCTCTTTGAAGACTTTGCTATTAGCATATACTGTATAGGATAAATCAGTAAAAGAGGGGGAGATTGGGCAGGACGGCTCCAGAGGAGGATGAGCAGAGTTGTAATGCTGACCAAAATGGAAGGAGTAACATCAGCACACCTGTGTTTCATGTGCACTCATTCACACTCAGTGTTAGGGGGCTTTTGGTGCACCTGGATATGAAGCCGGCTTCCAGGTTAGGTGGAGCGCAGTGGAAGGATTGGCTGAACTGCACAAGCAGCCTGAGCTTGTTTCTTGGGGTGACAACATTTATAAAGGCGCCAGTGAAACAGTGTGCGATCTGAGCATTGCACTCCTGTACTCTTTACAACATGGTGAGGACTGTGCACTACAGCTGACTGGAGTGGCCCAACATCCTGGGCCCATTTACATGATTATGTGCATGTTTAGCTTCTCATAAGTTTGCAGGACTGTTGGAAACCTCTGTGCAGTAAGTGTGACGTACATCAATCCTAAATAGTATGACAAGCATTACACTGGAGGACACCCTTCTGCAGCGTAGATCTGCTTCTCTGGTAAAAACCACTGGGAAGGTGCTTGAGGCCACTGCAGAAGCTGCCCTTTCTCTTCATGTGCCCTAGAGGAATTGCAAGGGCATTAAAGGTACTGACGAACCCTATCAAAATCTTCATGCAGATGTGCCTCTCTAGACAACTTACTGCACGGCACACAAGAAAAGAGGGATTAAGAATTGCCAGTGGGCCTGAAAGATAAAGGGATTTAGGATTTATCTAAAGCCTCTGTGGCAAGAATTGCATGCATCTGCGAGAGAACAAACCAGGGAAGGTGTCTAGGAGGGCTCACCATTGCCATTGCTCAAGTCCTTCTGGGTGAAGTGCCAAAGCACTACTTGGCAGGGAAAACATGGGCAGCTGCAGATTTTGCCAGTGAGGGAGGTCTAGAGTTGCTCCAGACCCTAATGAGATAGAGGCAGGATCCTACCTCTTTAAATAGCTGTGGCTTTCCCCAAAGAATCCTGGGGGTTGTAGTTTATGAAGGATGCCGAGCACTGTTAGAATACACCCTTTCTCCTCACAGAGCTACAATTTTAGAGTGACTTAACTATCCATTTTTCTTCCCAGTGAACTCTGGAAATTGTAATTCTGTGGGAGGAATAGGCAACTCTTAACAACTCTCAGCAGCCTAAACTACAATTCCCTTGACTCTTTGGGGGAAGCCATTACTGCTTAAAGTGGCCTGATATTGCCTTAAATGCATAGTGCAGATGGGGCCAAAAGGCCCGAAATAGTGGAGTATCAAAAGCCCAGAAGGTCTCCAAACACTGTTGTGGTTAATGCTCAGATTGCTATACACTTCTCTTTCTCTTTCTACTGCAGGAATGACAAGAAGTGGTGTTAGCTGAGTTTCCCAACCACCACCACCTTATCCTACTGCTTTCTACCTAAGTCCAGCATAGTTGTACTTATTTGAAAACAAGCATCAGGAGATATGCTGACTGTGGCAGGATCCCAAAGGATTCCACACCAGAGTTTGAGGGTTTACTTATACAGGTATATATCATTGCAAAGAAGCTGGTAAAATGTGGGTTGAATGAGGTAACTGTCAGGTGGATTTGTAGCTGGTTGACTGACCAAACCCAAAGAGTATTCCTTAATGGTTCCTTGTCATCTTGGGGGAAAGTGACCAGTGGTTCTGTCCTGGGCCCATTGTTGTTCAATGTCTTTATAAACAACTTTGATGAAGGAATTGAGGGGATGCTCCTCAGATTTGCAGATGACACCAAACGTAGCTAATGCTGCAGAGGACAGAATCAGAATTCAAATTGACCTTAAAAGATTGGAGAACTGGGCACAAGCTAACAACATGAATTTCAGTAGGGACAAATGTAAGGTTCTGCACTTAGGCAGGAAGAACCAGCTGCAATAATATAAAATAGGGGACACCTGGCTTAGTAGCAGTACATGTAAAAAGGATCTAGGGGTCTTGGTGGACCACAAGCTGAACATGAGCCAACAGTGTGATGCAGCAGCCAAAAAAGCTAATGATATTCTAGGCTGTATCCACAGAACTTTAGTGTCCCAATCAAGGGAATAGTATCATTGTGTTCAGACCATACCTGGAATACTGTGTCCAGTTCTGGGCACCACAATCTAGAAAGGTGGTTGACAAGCTGGAACGTATGATCAAGGTTGTTGACAAGCTGGAACGATGATTAAGGGTCTAGAAGCCAAGCCTTATGAGGAACGATTGAAGGAGTTGGGTGTGTTTAGCCCAGAAAAGAGGAGACTGAAAGGAGGTATGATTGCCATCTTCAAATATGTCAATGGCTGTCACATGCAGCAAGCTTGTTTTCTCCTCCTCTGAAGGATAGGACTCGAACCAGTAACTTTAATATCAGGAAGAACTTTCTAACAGCAAGAGCTGTTTGACAGCAGAGCAGGATTCCTCAGGAGACAGCGGACCTTCCTTGGAGGTTTTCAAGCAGAGGTTGGGTGGTCATCTGTCAGGGATGCTTTCATTGTGATTCCTGCATTGCAGGGGGTTGGACTAGATGATCCTCAGGCTCCCTTCCAACTCTACAATTCTAGGAAGGCTTAAGCTTCACCCAGAAAGCTGATGTTCTGAATTTGTGGTAGGGTTAGAGCTCAGTTTGGTCCACGGTTCCCTGCTTTACAGCAGTTCCCCAACTGTGTCCTTTCTCTCTCTCTCCTTTGTGTGTGCATTTGGAGGGGCTGGGGCAAAATGTTCAGAATGGGCCTGTGTTTTTAGGGTACATTGTGTGAGCTGAAGTAGTTACTTAAGGTTTATGCCAACAACACTGTGGTGCTTTGGAAGAGGAAGAGGAAACCTGTGGCCCTATATTCTTCTCATCACACAATAGCGCTATGGAGGTCCTTTGTCTCCTTCTGTTGTGCTTGGTGCGTATTTGGTGGGTGCAAGCACCTTCCACGGCTCATCTTATCTTCTTCTTATAGACAAGGTGAGCAAGGGCTACCAGGCACAGCGGCCATCTTCCACTTCCACTGTCAGAGCTTAAGGCCTCTGAAGGCAGAGGGCTCTTGTGCTCAGGTCCTGTTCTGGGGCTTGGCGCAGGCATCTGGTGGGCAGAGGCTGGACTAGGTCGGCCATTGGCCTATTCCAGGAGCCTCTTCTGATGTTCCTTGCTTCCTCCTTTGTTCCCTGAAAATTAGGGAAACTGAGGGATCTTTTTTCTGGACTTTTGTACTCTTGATTCTTTGTGCATGTTTGTTTAATTTGAACAACCTCAAGTTACACCTCAAGGACCGCCTCTCTCCATATAAACCCTGAGATCATCCTCTGAAGCCCTTTTTCGTGTGCCTCCTCCACACGAGGTCAGGGAGAGGCCTTTTCTGCAGTGGCTCCCTGTTTGTGGAATGTTCTCCCCAGGGAGGTTTGGCTGGCACTTTCATCATACATATTTAGGCCCCAGGAGAAAAGGTTCCTCTTCAACCAGGCTTTTGGCTCAGTGACAAATGTGTTGTCAGAAGGGGGGATGATTTCTTTCTGTTCTTATTTTTATTATGTCTTTTGTCTTTTTCATATTGTAATTTTGTGTTGTGAACCACCCTGAGATCTACAGGTATAGGGTGGTATACAGATGTAATTAATTAATTAATAATATAACAACCTAAACATTATATCTTGCCTTTATCTGTGAGGGAGAGGCCTGGGGAACCTGTGGTCCTCCAGCTGTTGGGGGAGCACAACTCCCGCCCCCCCGACTGGCCATGTGGCTAAGGCTGGTGAGAGCAGCATTGCAAGGAGACCCAGAGAGGCTACAGGATCCACATGCCTCGACCACAGCCATTCTTTGTGGCTTGTAGCATTATTTCATTATTTTGTGGATTGTTCTAAGCCTTTAAAAGCAATTTCTATTGTCTCCATTTTCAGTGGCTTACCTATTTAACAAACTGTGACCATGACTCTGTAAACCAAGGTAATGCTTCAGCTTTATCAGATCTGTATCAGATGCGGCTATGAATTGCAGTTGTGTTGAGCTCTAAGATTACTCTAAGCATAGTGGGGAAAATATATGATATTACTCCTGATTCTGCTCCTTGGGATCTAAAATGGCTGGTTCTTGCACCACAGTTGCAAATCCTGTACTTACAGGAGGGGTTTGAACCCCTTTTGCTGTAGCTAAGAAAACATTCCAGATAAAATTACATATGTATTTTCACCTTAATGTAATTAGTCTACCACCAGTTCTGTTCTCATGGTTAGGGCTCCTGGATCAGAATTACTGCTAATAGATACTGCTTGGGTCTATTTTAAGGCAGATTAGTTAATCCACAGCATGCTTGAAGCTTGATTCTCTGGTCTCCTCTGCATGGCAAACAAGCTGATCTGACGAGGCAAAAGAGCTGCTATGTGCAGATTAACACCAGCACAACAAAAGACCCAGGAAACTGGACCAGGGCAGCAGTGGTGTGAGGCCCCAGCAAGTGGAATTGGAATGACAGAGAGACACAGACAGAACGGACCCTTCACAGGTGCCATCCATCAGGAAATTATCCTGCACAAGACCTATTGCTATGCCCTTGCACAGCTCCCCTTCCTTCCAGGCAGACTAGGTTACTTCCCAGAGGATTGTGCCCTCTGTCAATTAGGGAGGAGCACCTGGATTTTCCATCTCATACACCAAAACACTCCAGCTCCTCCCAGCTTTTTGAAAGGCTGTTCTTGCAGGCATTTGTTTCTACATTAATGATACTTTGCTGTTGGTTACCGATGATCATTCTGCTTATCAAGCCACCCTTGTCAGGCCACAGTTGGGAAAATGCAGCTTCAATTCCCCCCTCAGCCATGAATCTCACTGGGTAGCCTTGGCCAGTCACTCTCCGCTAACTCCCTCACAGAGTTCTTGCGAGGATTAAACTGGGGGGGGGGGGGGTGAGAGTGTGGAGAACCACATGCAGCGCCTTGAGCTCCTCAGACAAAACGAGGCATATAAATGTAATAAATAAATGCTGAACAGAGGGCAAAATCTACCAGAAATTCATTTTGTACAAATGAACAGGAACTGCACAAGAGGTACTGCATGCTTCATTGTTCACTTGTAATTACCATTGTTTGGAAAACAACATGACAGGTATGTGCCAACAGCAAAAATAAGTAAATGAATAAATCTGTTTTCAGTAATCCTAAGGCATGTTAGCATCATCTCTTTCTCTCTCTCTCTCTCTCTCTCTCTCTCTCTCCACATACACAGTGGATAAGAGACTATTTCTTCAAATACTGATATTGTTTAAAATAGTTATTGTGCTTGTTGTCTGCAAATGCTCCAGGACACATGTGTAAGAATGAATTTTTTAAAAAGCCCTCTCCATCTTTCATTGGGCAAAGGATCAAGTATTTCTCCAGAATCTGGATTTGTTCAAATCCACACAGCCAAGAAGGCAGTCTAGATGTGCCACTGGTTCTGAAAAGCTTTAGGAATACTTGAAGGTGAAGGTGGGCAACTTCCATAAGAGATGGGAGTCTGCAACCTCTCTCTCCGGGTGAAGACAGAGGCAGTGTGAAAGCAGAGCTCACAACAACCTCTCAAGCTGCAAGGTGAGCCCATCTTTGAGACCCAAATGACAGATGTATAGACTGATGAATCAAATACTGGCTCAGAAGTCAGTGTTGCAGGGATAAGGACCTGTCAAACCTGCTTGTTGCAAATACAGACCTCCAGTTGTTGCTGGACTCCCACTCCCACATCCCAGGGGACATGTTGACTGGGGAGTTCAGTGACACCTGGGCACCAAAGATTCCCCACAGATAGTGCCATATAAAGAAATGATCTCATTTGCCCGCTTGAATGCATTGCATTTAAGTGAACCGGCCTTGCCTAGGAAAGCTCTTTTTCAAGCATGATTTTAAGGAGCAGCCCCAGATGTCCTTCCCAAATATTAAAGTAGGTTAGGTAAAAGCTGTGTAGCGCTTCCCTTCTTGCATGAAGGAGACATTTTTGTTTCAGAAATTTGGACCGGAGATTGCACTAAACCATGTGCTGGGTTTCCCACAGCCCGGTGATTCCCTTGGCATAGAGCAGGGCAGGATGTGTCCATTGCCCACTCCTGCACATCTCCATTCCCGCAGTCCCCTATATGTTGGGGGCTGAACTCAATGAGTTTCGCTGCATGATCTAGAACCCAGAAAGATCAGGGTTTTAATAAATTGTGCTGGGAGCCTACTTGAGCACAGCAGGCTCTCCATTGAAGACAGCCAGTCCCTAACCCGTGGGGGAGGCCACAGGCTCATGTCAGATCTCTGCTTGCACAATGGAGAGGAGAGGACAACTGAATGAGGAGTTCAGGTGACAAGGATGTTCCAAACCAGGTGGAAGTGTGTCTTTTTTTCTTTTCTTTTTAAAGCACATATATCATTGGGTTCCAACAATCACATTTTAATCTTGAGCTTTTGGACACCTGCAAAATCTGTCTGGGACTCTTGACACATGTGAATATCAGCAGTCAAATTTTGGACATTCATTGTATCATATAGAAGAGAAATTGAAAGCTTTTTTTCAGCTTGGTGGCACATTCCCCCATAGGCAAGCTGGTGCGGGGCAAGGGGGTGCACGTTTGTGGTGAGAGGGGCAATGAATGTGACTCTTTCATATAGACCATCCCAGTTTTCTTACATCTCTCTATCCAGGCAAGCAAAAGGCATCATTACAGTCCACAGACACATTCCAGGGAGGCAGGAGAACTGGAGGAGCAGAGTGGAGGGCCAGTGGAGGGGGTGTCCTCAGGGGCAGTGGCCTTGGGAAAGTCCTAGGGCCCAAACTGACAGGCCTGGACACTAGGCCTGAGGTCCCCACTCCTGGTATGGAATGTCCTGCTTAATGGCAATGCAGAAGCTTTATTATAGAAGCTGGCTGCTGCAGAGGAAGTGGCAGAACATCATTTTATCTTGTGGCTGGTCCCAACATTAATTCTACTTGAGATCAAAAGGCCAAGGAACAAGGTAAATGTTTCCCCCCTCAAGTCTTACAATCTGTTCTCCATCATGTGAAATGCGCTGCTTGGACTTCCATTCCTCCCCCAGCACAGTGTTGTTCTTTGACACTTTCCTATCTGAGCCTGAGGTGTGTGCCTCTTGTGACATACTTTAACAGATGCACCCTGTCTTTACATCAAAACCACCATCATTTCCAGGATGCAGCCCTTTGCTTTTTCCATGCCTCCTGCCAGAGTGCCACAGTGACTGTGGCATGTGGGAATGCCAGCTGAGCAGGTAAATAAGAGCCTGGCCTGCTCCTGTGCCGTTAAGGATAGCTGGACCTGTAGCAGCCTGCCAGCAAAGTAGTTTACCTCTGAAATGTGGAGAGGAAGCCTACTGCTATCTATCCTTCTGTTCTCACGTGATGTTAAGGTGCCACAAGTTCCTTCTGTTGCTCTTACTGCTGGGACAGAGCAGGGGGGGGGTAAAGCAAGATGGGGTCCTTGTTCCATACTTCAAAGCACTCTGCATTAAGCAGCTCAATCCTGCTGGGACAACCAACCTAAAGACTGACAGATAGTAAAAAGTGGGAGAATTTGCTGTTATGGATATTAAATTTTCATACCTTTATTTTTAGATATTATGACTGATGTGGAAATTGTGCAATTTGGTTATGCACTTTTGGTTGTGTTTCACTTATTGTTTATAGCTCCTTTTGTTGTGTTTGTAATTATGAAAATCTTTTCATGATGTAAGCAACCTTGAGCATGGTTTTAACTACGGAAAGGTGGCATACAAATAAAATGATGATAATGATGATGAATCCAGCAAAGAATGGGAGGAACAGAATGGACAGCCTCTTTCCCAGCCCGTCTTTGGCCCACACAGAAGGTGACTAAGTAGAGGACTTGGACTCACCCATTCTAGCAACTTCACAAAGCCTAGAGGCTCCTTGAAGATCCGGAACTGCCCGACGGCCACCAGCTGTGAAGAGAGAAAGGACAAGTTTGGTTTAGAAGCTGCTGCCTTGTAGGAACTGCCTAGGGACCTGGGAAGCTGCCTTCTGTGGTGTTCCACCTATGTCATCACTGTCTACTCTGAGCACCAGAATTTCTGGCAGAGGATTCCCAGCCTCATCTGGAAATGCTGGGGCCTGGATGCAAATGCTCTCCCACTGAGCTGTATATGATGCTGCTGCCTGATAGTGATCAGGGCAAGTCCCGTCTACTTCAATGAGCCCTCCAGGGTCACAGGCTATCTGGCTATGCTGGGAGAATCCCAAAAAGGATCTGAGTGCAACTGTGGAGGCAATTCAAAGCGTCTGGAGCACACCAGGCTGGTGAAGACTGATCTATCACAAACGTTCTCCAAACAATAATTAACTTGGTTACATTTTTCACAGAAGCGGCATACAAAAAGGAATTTGTTCCTGGAACCCCACCGGCAATCGGGCACAGAACGGCAGGAATTCAGCTAAGTTGGAATCATGCCTGAATCATGGCACTACCCATATCCCAGAAATCCTGGCCTTCACTGCATAATCAGCAGCATCAAGGAAGGGGAGGTGATAAAAACAAAATAGCCCTGAGTCTGCTTTGAGCCCAAAATACCAAGCCACCAAAGAGGCTGCCTCTTAACTGCACTGGCTTTCCAACTAACCTCCACCAGTAAGGTAAAGGTAAAGGGACCCCTGACCATTAGGTCCAGTCGTAACCGACTCTGGGGTTGCGGCGCTGGGGGCAAATGGTTTTATCCCACCTTGGCACAGTTTGAACTGAAGCATTTAACCTTTCCCAAATCACAGAGATGCAGAATATTTACCAGCTCTCAGATGAAACTCCCTTTCATTTCTCTGTGTGAGTCTCTGCTCTGGCCTGTCCCCTTTTAATCAGTGACTCATGAGGAGAGATAAGAAGGTGAGCTCCTCTTATGTGCTCTAAAACCAAACCTTTGCACCTTATGTTTATTTATTTTGACAATTTCTATATCACTTAATTAGAGTTGCCTCTAAGCAGTGTACAGGATATGGAATACAATGGAACAAAAAATGTGCTATGACTATAAAATCAAGAATCCAATTAAAAAGCCTGTGGAATACAGAAGTCTTGAATATTCAGTCATTCTTACCACCAATATCTAACACAGCACTTCTCTAATGTATCACATCTTAACCATATCACACATAACCTCTTTTGGACTCAAAGACAACAATATTTTCTTACCAAAATAACTTTGGTTGCTAACCTGTTAGCCTTTTATTTGCCTGACCAGTGAAGCTGAGTTTTGTCAGGTAAGCACCAGTGCTGGTGTTTAAAAAGCCAGTAATATCCGAGCTCAATCTCTGGATTGATTGGCTTTGATTCTATCTGTCAGATTCCACCCAATGATCCACCAGCTTCCTCCTGGGTTAGGTAAAAAGGTTAAAGGTAAAGGATCCTTGGATGGTTAAGTCCAGTCAAATTTGACCATGGGGTGCGGTGCTCATCTCACTTTCAGGCTGAGGGAGCCTGCGCTTGTCCACAGACAGCTTTCCGGGTCATGTGGCCAGCATGACTAAACAGCTACTGGTGCAACGGAACACTGTGACAAATGCCAGAGCACAAGGAAACGCCGTTTTCTTTCCCACCGCATCTACTTGCACTGGTATGCTTCAGGGTTAGCCCCTGACTTGGCCATATTTTCCTCTGGCTATCTCCTGAACTTTGTCCACACATGCCCTCAAGGAAAAAGTAACTTGATTCTAATACCACCATAATTGAGGCAACCACATACCAAGCACTATGCCATCATAGCCAAAGCAGTTGGAGGGCACCAGGTTGGGGAAGGCTGCCACAGAGAACTATTTCCTCTCAAAGACCACAAAAAGCAAGGCAAGACGCATCCTCTACCCTGACGTTTCTCTTGGTGCAATTATTCCCGCAGGACACCCATGAAAAAACCAACTTGTAAGAGAGATCAGTCTCTCCTCCCTTGCACAACACAAAACACTCTGCCCTTCTGAAGGAAGCAATTCACCATCTACTGAAATAATACTTAGCATTTCCATGTGTTCATGCATTTTATAAAAGTAATGCTTACAACAACTATGTAAGGTAGGCCAGTGTTACTGTCCCCATATCACAGATCAGAGCTGAAGGGACAGTGATTTAATTAAGCCACCTTGAGAGTTTATCTGTTCTGGGATAGGCTGAAACAATATCCATCCAAAACAGCCATTCTCCATAACGTTCTATGATCTGCACACTCCAGCGGAGGGAGGTGAAAGTAAAATGAACTACAACAGTAGCACCACCCACATAAACCATAAACCCCTTCTCAGCCTCTACCCACAAAAACATCACCACTAACTTCAAAGTCTGTGCATCCCATAGCCCCACCATGCATCATCTCTCATGCTTATATACTGGTTCACAGTTGGTGAGCTCCATTCTAGTTATGACACACATATCCCTGATTTGCACACTCAGAGGCAATGCGACAACACTGCCTACGCACATCGCCCAAGACCCAAACTGTCCTCCAACCACCGGTCTATATTTTCTCCTTGCAAAACAGAGCAAAAAACTCTCTTGCCCATGAGCAATTAACACCCAGCTCATGACCCAGCACAACGCTGCACCTGCAGAAAATCATCCCTAGCCCTAAAAAGACATTCAAAACAACCCATCCTGGGCACCATCACCAGTAGCCTCAATTAGCACCCCTGCTTTACGTCTATCACGCTCCACTGAGAAAGTGGATCTAGTCAGAAGCGCAGCTAACAGTTCCCCATCCCAAGACGTTAACACAGTGGAGTCAGATGCCCCTGGACACCCCTTCAAGGGCTGCATACTTTTGCCTCTCTAGCTGGGCCAGCTTGGCAAGCAAGTGCACATCCAGCAGTTCCAGATCTGAAATCATAACACCTTAAAGCACACAAACATTAACACATGTTTAAAAGACAAACAAGCCCAACAGTACCAAATTTAGGTACATTCTATCTACCAGATGCTGCCCAAACCCCAAAACTGCTATGATTCACTGACCAAACACCTTTTGAGGTTTATGGAGATGTGTTCTCTTTTTCCTCTGCTATGTGAAATTTCTAAGTGAGAAAAGCGAGAGTGGGACTGTGATCCTAAGCACCCATATATGGGAGTAAACCCTCCAAAATGCAGTGGAACTTACTTCTGGGTAAATGTGCACAAGACTGAGCTGTGAGAGTCTTAATGCAAAGAAACTGCCCACACCCTCTTCAGGATCGCAGCCTCTCCCAACACAACACAAACTGACATCTCAACTCCCCATTTCTGGACTCTCTCCGTACCAAGCAGTTCTGCAAATGGCCACCACCAGACACCGCCCCCCCTCTGACTCCTTGACTAGTAGCCCCACTGTAAAGCCAAAAGTCCAACCTAATTTCTGGGTGCCCCGTCCAGAAATTCCCTCCCCAAACATGAATGCCACCTTCCTGTGCTCAACTTATACATCACTGCACCTCCTCCCCCAGGCCAGCTGCCCAAGCGAGTGAGCAGCAACCCCCGCAGCTCCAAAAGCGACACCCCCATCCTATGCAAAATCCCTCCCCCCCCCATGCATCTGACTGCAGTTGCTCTGGGGAAGAGTCGTGAGAAGACGCCCCTCCGCGGCATCTCCTCCTTGCCAGCCCTCTCGGGCTCGCAGCACGGGGCGGCCAGATTGCACCCTCCAACCCTCTTTATTGCCCGACAGCCGCCTCCCACCTCGTCCTGCCACAGATCCTGGAAAAATAAGAGAAGAGAGCCCCCCCCCCCGCTGCGCCTTGAGGTTCTTCTGCAGCCATATTGATGCTTCTCGAACACCATCTGCCGCTGCAGCAGCCGGAGAGGGGGCCCTTCTGCCCGACGCCTCCCCGCCGTGAAAGGCCGCCCGCCCCCCCACCCCTAGCCTGCACTCCCCCCTTCTGTTGCAAAACAACTCCACGTGCCCCCCAGCCCTTGCCCACCCCAACCTGCCTTCCTGCCCCCCCCCCCCCCGCAGGATACACTTGCTGCGGCCCGCATAGCCCTCCCCCCCCGGGGGGGGAGTCTGCCGGCGGCGGGTCTTGCGTGCGGGGGCAGCGATCGACCTTCCCCCCGCCCCTGTTTACTGCAACGGAGAGCATCCCGCCCTCCCCCCCCCCTGCGTCCTTCGGCTCCCCAAGCGCCGTCCCCCCCGGGCGTAGCTCTACTGCATCGCCCAGCCATTTTCCTGCCCCCCCCCGCCCGCTTTCCGATCTGCTGCAATGACCGACGGCAGCATCTTGTCGCCTCGCCGCGCCGACGTTACTGCCGCCCCCTCTCCGAAGCCATTGCGGAGGAAGAAGCGGGGGGGGGGGGGGCTCCGGCTATTTCGAGGGCATTTTCATCCCAGCAGCCTCCGCCCCCCGCCTTCACTGCAGCAATTGCTCCGCAGCCCCCCCGCCCTGAGCTCCGCGCATCTGCTGCAAATCGCGGGGGGGGGGCTGGCTTAACCCCCCCGCCCCCCGTCAAGGGGCTCCTGCCCCGAGCAGCCCGGCCGGGGGGGTCCGGGGGGGCGCCGGGGAGCTGCTCGCGGGGTCTGGTTCGGAGGCTCACCTGGTTGACGACTTCCATCTTTGCGGGGAAGGCGAGCGCGACGCGGCAGAGCGCCGGGGAGGTTGGCTGGGGCGGGGGGGGGGGGCAGCTGGGAGGGCGGGGCGAGGGGCGGGGGGGCTGGCGAGCCGGAGGCTGACGTCACAGGGCGGGCGGGCGAAGCTGAGCGGGAGCCATGTCCTTCGTGGGCAAAGGGGAAGAGGGCCGTGGGAAATGGAGGCTGGCGGGGGGGGGCTGTCTGTCTGTCTGTCTGTCTGTCTGTCTGTCTTGGCCCGTGTCCCTAAGGAGCAGGACCCTCGTGGTGCTTGATGCCCACCCCCAATATGTAGAAGGCAGCGGCGAGCAAGAAGCAGGTCTGCGCCCCGAGACCCTTACAGTCCCAGGGGCGGCAATGGAGGGAGCTGCGAGGGAAGGTCGACGGGGAAAGGTGCTCTGTTCGGTTCAGTTTCTCTGCAAAATGGACTGGCGGCTTATTAAAATTATAAAAAGACAACTATGCTGCATCACACATTGTATTTGTTTTCTAGGTCTTTTTGCTAGCTTGGAGGAATTCTGCAGGGTGTATGGAAACGCTGTGCATTCATTCTGTCTATTGCAGCAACAGTGCTGTGTAGGAAATTACAGGGCGACAGCGACTGTTAGGCATCGGTTGCCTGTTTTCCAGCTATATGTGACCTGCCCAGGATGGCACTGGGGTTACACAGGCCCCTGGATGCCATTTTGCTTCACTGATGTGAGCTGCACAATGGTCGGTGATTTGCTAGACTAAAATATGGCAAGCCTAGAAGCTGCTTCACTTGTAATTTCCAGTCCTGGTCCCAAGAAGGTGGGAGCTGATACTCACTCTGAGGCTGCAATCCTAACTCCACTTACCTGGGAGTAACCCCCATTGTACAAAAGAGGAGAGAAGTGAAGAGATATGGTCAGACTTGCAGTTTGGCTGACCTTTTTGTTTGGTCAAGGGACATACCTATTCCCTTGCAGGGAATCTGGCAGGAGCCACATGCTGCCTCCAGGCGATGAGGAAGCCAGCAATGGGTGGAACACGATCATCACATTTGAGACCCTTTCTGCCACCCGCTTCTCCCCCCCCCCCCAATGGCCAGAGGGCTGACATGATTGCTTGTGTCTTCATGGGCATAGCCACGATTTCTGTTGTGGGGGGGACCTCAGCTTTCCCCAACACCCTCCAGAGGTTGTTGGACTACAACTCCCATAAACCCCTGAGAACATGCTGTCTGGGGCTGATGGGAGTTGTAGACCAAAGCACCTGGAAGACACCAGGTTGAGGAGGCTGCTCTAGCTGCCTAGAGGGAGCTGCAGTTCTACTTACGGTTCAGCCAGGTTTTGGTGGTTGCTGAAGCAACTTTCAAATCTTTCTTGTCTGACTTCCCCGGCAGATTCCATTTGGAGCTATCCAGGGTGCTACCCGCTTTGCTTGTTAGCTTAGGTGGACCTTGCCCTCTACTTTGCCTGACTTTGCTAACCTGAACTTGCTCTCTGCTTTGCTTGACTGACATTGGAACTGGTTCTGGCCTCTTGTTTCACCTGATCCTGCTCTTTGGAATCTGACCTCAGCTTTTTTGACCTTGCCCTGCTAGAACCTGACCTCTACTTGACCAGACATTGTTATGAGATCCTGAACAGGCACCAGCCATGTGACCTTGTTTCTCTGGAGTATGTGCCTAGCACACCCACCCACCACTTAGGATACAAACCTAACCCCTGCCTGGGACGGAACATTAGATTTTGAGAGCTGAAGCAACCAATGGAGTGGAGAATTGGCTCTCTAAATTCTGGGATCTTTTGATCCATGAAGAAGCTCTTATTGCCAAGGAAATGTTGCATCAGGACCAGCTGGAGAACGTTATCTCAACATGGCTGCATTATCTCTTTTTGTGAAGGTAACCCAGAGGAGAACTGTGGGGTTGGAAGAGTACTCAGAAGTCATGTAATCCAGACACCTTGCTAACGCAGTAAATCCACCGCTAGAGCATACTTGATCTGCAGCCCTCCAAACCAGGAGTCTGTTGCATTGTTGAACAGCTTGTACTGTCAGGCAAAGTTCCCTTTCTTGCCATTTGAAGTTGTTGGTGTGGGTCTTACATGCTGGAGCAAAAGAGAACAATTTGCTCCACCATCTATGTGGCAGCCCATAAGCCAGAGTGCTACTCTTCAGTATGCATTTATGAATATACTTGGCTGTAACTTTATGAGGAGTGATAACAACAGCAGAAAAAGAGACAAACTTATAAAGAGGAGAAACAGGATTTTATGTCTTCATTATTTGTTCACTTTGAGGTCCAGTGCTGAGGGCCTTTTGGCGGTTCCTTTGCTGCGAGAAGTGAGGTTACAGGGAACCAGGTAGAGGGCCTTCTCAGTAGTGGCACCTGCCCTGTGGAACGCCCTCCCATCAGATGTCAAGGAAATAAATGGCTGTCTGACTTTTAGAAGACATCTGAAGGGACCTCTGTTTAGGGAAGTTTTTAATGACTGATGTTTTAATATATTTTTAATATTTTGTTGGAAGCCGCCCAGAGTGGCTGGGGAAACCCAACCAGATGGGCGGGGTATAAATAATAAATTATTATTTATTATTATTTCATAATTGTTTGCTTCCATTAGTTAACTTCATTGGGGGAAAGTCTATTTATTCTACACTAGCCTTTGCCAGAGGGACACGGGTGGCACTGTGGTCTAAACCACTGATCCTAGGGCTTGCTGATCGGAAGGTCGGTGGTTTGAATCCCCGTGACAGGGTGAGCTCCCGTTGCTCGATCCCAGCTCCTGCCAACCTAGTAGTTTGAAAGCACATCAAAGTGCAAGTAGATAAATAGGTACCGTTCCGGAGGGAAGGTAAACGGTGTTTGATTTTGCCAGAAGCGGCTTAGTCATGCTGGCCACATGACCCAGAAAAACTGTCTGCGGACAAACGCCGGCTCCCTCGGCCAGTAAAGTGAGATGAGCACCGCAATCCCAGAGTCGTTCGCAACTGGACTGAACTGTCGGGGTCCTTTACCTTCAGCCTTTGCCAACCTGGCACCCTCCAGATGTTTTGGACTACAACTATCAGCTGCACAACTTGAGCAGGGGGATGTGGTTGCTCCAATCTGTTAGCATGGAGATGTGCCAGGGAGCAGGGAGAAATCGTGCATATTACGCAGAGCTCCTTTGGAGGAAGGGTAGGATAAAAAGAATAAATAATAGGAAAACTGATGAATAAAGTGGCACAGAAAACCACTTCTGCCAGTCACTGTACAATACCTTCCATATTTCTGGTGACGTCAGTTTTCGGGGTTTTGTTCAACCATACCTAAAGGGAAGGCCAAAGCATCCTCTTTCTGCGTATCAGAAAGAACTTCAAAGGGAAACAGGACTTAGCAGGTAGCCTTTCCTTTCAGAGGCGCCTGTACTATTACACAGATGCCCAATTTAGTCCATTGTGGAGCAATTAGTGCAGAGACAAAGGTGTCTTTGATGCCTCAGACATTTCTAGGAAGAGTTACGCAAGTTTAATAAAACCCAGCGGGGTCCTATAGAGGCAGCAGCCAAGGCTGGCTGTATACGAATATATGCGTTCAAAGTAATTCTTTGACTCTGGGAGTTTTGATGTCAGCAATCTCAGATTTCCAGGCAGTCTTACATTGAGAAAAGTGGTCCTGCTTTGCATCTTCTGCCTTCTGGGTGGGATCTTATGAGTAAATGTGGACTTACAAACCCACCTTTGTTATTATAGCTAGTCTGATTAAGAAATTGGCATGAACCCCAAACTGGCTGCACTGCATATGGAGCTGATGGGAGGATTGTTCCCTAGCAAAGCAGTTTAGCAAAAAAACCAAAACAAAACAAAACCCCACTGCTAAGGGGAACTGTGTAATTTCCTTGTGGGGATTGGTGGTGGTGGTCAGTCCACTGAACATCTGTCTGTATTGGTAGGTGACTCATGGAAGGCATTCTGTCCAACCTTTAGCCATATAACTGAAAACCACTAATGTGTCCTGTTCAATTATCCATTCAGGTGGGTGGTGGACCCTCCCTGCTCTCCATGTATGTGAGTACAAAACAAGGGCCCCGTAAAGTATACTGGATTAAATTTTGATCGCATTTATGAAACACCTTATTCTACAAAGAGTTGGTGGAGGTTAAAGAAAAGGAAAAGTGGGAAACTCAGGGAGAAGAACACCTTATTTTTTCAATTGCCCCCCCTTCTGTCCAGTATTAGAAGCTGCAACTATGATTTATTATGTACATAGCTGGTAGGAACATGACTGGCAACCCCCATCAGTGCCTGGACTTCTGTGGAAAGACACAATGGGATGAAATGACAGCAGCCCCTGGTCACAAGGCCAGCCCCCATATTGGATGTGATACTATGGCTGAATAATATGGGTATGAATAGGGGAGCAATCCTAAACATGTTGTGATGCCTCTCTTATCTTCTTCTTTTTGGGTTGATGTGCATCACATAGTCTTATAAGAATAAAATAATATATATATAAAGAGGCATCTTTCAAAGCATCTTTTTATTGCTTCTGATAGAAAAAGACATTGTCTAATCACCTTGGAACCCCGCCCCCCAACCTCTTCAAAATCCACAATCCTTGCTCAGAGGAAGAAATCCAGAGGTCCCTTTCTCTTTCTGGACCACTGGGAAGGAGTCAAAAGCCTGGAGAAGGGGCAGCAAGGAGCAGACTGCCTAAACCAGGAAAGTAGTAGGACAACGTTTCTAGTGGCTGCTTTTGTATCAGCCAATGGGAGGGCAGCATTTTGTCTCCCATCCTTTGGCCTCTCTTTTCTGCAGTCACTCCCACCATAGCACAGCTTTGGGCAAGCCTATGCCTTTAGACTACAAAGGTTGCAGAGTGCTAGGTATCTTGCTGCATAAGTTCTACTCCTGTGCCCCGCCAGGGGGCACTTCCTGGTCAATAAGAAGTGACGCAAGCCATCTCGTCACCCAAGTCCTCTTCCTCACGGGAGCGGAAGGGCTCCTCATCGCTGTAAACGGGACCTAGGCTCCCAGCCCCACTGTGCTCCCCGTCGCTGCTGTACAAGGCGTGACCACCACCACCTCGGCTGCTGCTTTCGCTACCAGGGACCTTGCGACTCAGCAGGTCTGTGGCAGCACTCTCCATCTCATCAATGGTCATGTGGCAGGCATCAGCAATCTCCCGCTTGGTGAAGGCCACAAACTTTGGGTCCCGTGCATAAAGGCCTAGACCCTCAGAGATGAGCACCTGGAAGAAGAAAGATGAAAGGGTTCTGCTAGTCAAAGTTATGCAGTACACAACCAACCAAGTCAGTAGCTCAGTTTGGACATCACACCAAATCATGGTTAAGTAAGCTTACCTATGTTGTCTAAATTGGTAAACTAGTTTCAGTCAGCTGGCAAAATGGAAATAGAAATCATGGTTTGAAGTGACCTTGAAAACCATGGTTTGTGCTCACTGTGGCTTAGGATGATTCCTGAACTGACAAACCATAGTTATGGTTATCACTCTGCCTCAAGAAGCTGCTGCACAACGGAGGTGGGAGCACACTTATGAAACCAAATAAGCAACCATGGCCAGCCTGTTGTATATTTGGAAGTTCAAACCATGGTTTGGATTGTAAACTATGGATAACACAATTCATGGATTGGCATGCTGTCTTAATAGAGCCAGTGGATTCCATAGGTGAGAGACCCAAAGAGCCAGTGGATTTCATAGGTGAAACTGTTGCTCATTTCCCGTCCTCCAACATTTAATACCACAAGCCAAACACTAGAATGGATATCAAATCCAGTAATTTGAGAATCACATATTTCTGCTAAAAGCAAATGCCTGATTTTAGCCTGCACAGTGTTGGGGATGTGCTAAAAAAACTTGTAAAGCTGTGCCCAGTGCAGCCTTAGAAGGCAGCCAGGAGTGAGGCTCTGGCTCTTTCTCATTCTGCCATTGCTAGTAGAACCAGAACGAACTCTGCATAATAAGGAGGACACCAGCTGATGTGCACTTTTGGTTTTAGGCTGCAAAATCTGGCTTTATTTGGCATGTAATTTGAAATAATTTTCAGTGCAGCGCACATACAACCCTCCTAGCGATAAAATCTCTTCTGCCCTAAGCAGCATACCAGAGGACTAAACCAGAGGAGCTTTCCATACTGGGGCTGGTGATATCCTTAAGTAAGAAAGGTTCACAAGCTGGAGGGAAGGCACAACTTGCCACCCCCACCCCCCACATTGTATTTATGTGTGGTTGTAGGTACACTTGCATGAGGCTGAGTAACCAAGGGAAAACAAAAGGATTTAAATACATACCAGTGTTTCACAAACTTGGGTCCCCAACTCCCATCACCCTGAGCTAGTAGGATCAGTGGTCAGGAATGATGGGAGTTGTAGTCCAACAACAGCTGGGGGTCCAAGTTTGAGAAACACTGATTCACCCACACCCACCCCAATCAGGGTGACAAAAACTATTCTTGCAGGAGGGATGAGGGGGCAGTGGAAGGTGGGTCCCAAAGAGCTGCATCCCAGAGACAGAGAAGTCTGCCTTGCACTCACCGCCTCCACCAGGCTGTCGGCACTGCCAGGCTTGTCGCTGTAGCTGTGCTTGAGTGGGCCGGGCACACGCAGCTGGCCATAAGAGCGGTAGGGCAGCTCAGGCTCATTCATGTACCAGCGCGCTCGCGACATGGGCGGAAGGCTGTTGCTGTTCTTCTCCCAGCTGTGCCCTGGCAACCCATCCTCCTCCACCAGGATTAGTGGGGCATAGAGCAACCGGCCCCGCTTAGGTGGTGTGGCCCACGACTGTGAGGATGCTGTTGAGGAGTGGCTGCCACTGTGCCACGAGTCATAGCTGCCATAGCCCTGGTACAGAGGAGAGAGCTGGTGAGATGGCCAGTGGATGGGATGGCCTCAGCAGTAGAACAGAAGTATGGTACATACTAAGTCAGTCTCTCTCTCTCTCTCTCTCTCTCACACACACACACACACCCTGTGCAAGAATTACCTGTGCACGTGCTCGGCAGGGTGGTGCATTCTGGTGGTAGGTGCCTGGGATGGGGATGTCATCACAGCTGCCTTGACGCTGCAGGCACTGGATGCTGAAGGCTGGTTTGCGGCCTACAAAAGCAGGGAGGTGGGGAAAGGAAGGCCAGAGAAGGTGTAAGAGGCCGCAAGTGTGGGGTGGCTGCCCTCTGCCACACCAGCGCATTTGGCTGAACCCACTGACCACCAAACTGTTTGTTCATTTGATATATTACACACCAGTGTTTTCAGAGGGGCTCTCAATGTTTTTAAAAAGGTTTTTAAAAAACAAACACACACCAAGAAACATAAACTCTCACGCCACAATAACATACAGAAGAAAGGACAGCAAAGCAAACAAAAGACAAAAAACCAAAAACATACAGCAGAGACAATAACTCTATAGTGGTTTAAAAGGCCTGTTGTTTGTTTGTATATCTGGGGGGAAATGTCTTGTTGTTGGAGGGAGGTAGTGTGAGTTGGGGGGGGCGGAGGTGAGTAGGCCGTATTGCTGAGTCTCTTCCAATTCCTGGATCCAGCAAGGAATAGCAAGGCCAGGTTCTTTGTAATGGCCACCTAAGTATGGGTCATTAGTATAAGTGAGGAAGCTGCTCTGTCCCTGCTCCCTCACCTGTCTGGTAGTGGTAGTGAGAAGGGAAAAGAGTTGTGAGATCTGGCTAGAAGAAGCCAGAAGGCCAGAGAGGGACAGATATATATGTCTGCTGCCCCTCATTCCAAATAAATTGAACCCTGGGTAAGTGTTGAGAACCCCTGGAATCTCACATTGCTTGGCGATTGGAGTGTCATGCAATACCGTCTCTCTCTACATATATACAGTGATACCTTGGAAGTCAAACGGAACCCATTCCAGAAGTCCGTTTGACCTCCAAAGCATTCGGAACCAAAGCACGGCTTCCAAGGCAGGAAGCTCCTGCAGCCAATCGGAAGCTGTGGAAGCCCCATCAGACATTTGGCTTCCTAAGAACATTTGCAAACTGCAGTTGGCAGCGTTTGGGAGCCAAAATGGACGAGTACCAAGGCGAACCCTGAGGAACCATTAATGAGCACTGGTCAGTCAACCAGCTACAAATTCAGCTAACAGTTACCTTGTGCAGCCCCCATTTTACCAGCTTCCTTGCAATAATATAATGGGGAACTTTTTCAAAAGCCTTACTGATCCATATTCTCTATGTCCACAGCATTCCCCTGATCCATCAAGCATTAAATGCTCCTCTCATAAAGAAAACTCCCTGTGCATAAAATAGCTGCATTCTGACAGAAGACTTCTCCCTGCTAGCTTTCTATCTGCAAGAAGCTACCCACCCACTCCCAGGAGAACTTTGAACCAAGTCTGAAGAAGTACTGTCTATGAAAAGCTTTTCTGCTTGACTCTGCAGCATATACAGTGGTACCTCGGGTTAAGTACTTAATTCGTTCCAGAGGTCTCTTCTTAACCTGAAACTGTTCTTAACCTGAAGCACCACTTTAGCTAACGGGGCCTCCGGCTGCTGCCATGCCGTTGGAGCACGATTTCTGTTCTCATCCTGAAGCAAAGTTCTTACCCTGAGGTACTATTTCTGGGTTAGTGGAGTCTGTAACCTGAAGCGTATGTAACCCAAGGTACCACTGTATTTAAAAAGGGGGTGTATTTATGACCCAGGGGAGCCATGCAATCCAGCCCTCCTCCATTTACGCACTCCCAGAGTCACTTGCCCAGGTAACCCAAGTTCCCTGTCATCCTGACCTGTGGGTGTGGGAGGCAGGAGGCGCCTGCGCTTGGGTTGCCTGCCGTCCAGCATGCCATTAACCATCCCATTGTTGATGCGCCGGGAGGGGAGGGGCAAAGAGCCGCCATAGCTGTTGTCCCAACGACGGCGATGGGGCTGAGGAGTGTGAAGACAGGGCTGCCTGCATAGGGAAGAAAGCACACAAATCAGTGAATGACAAAACAGCCTTCGTTCCTAATGGCCCTGGAACCCTCGTTCTTTGCAGCCTCAGCGCTGAGTGAGCATGCCGGTCCCAAGGAAGCAAAGGCCTGGAAGGGATTTGAAAAGGCCATCAAATCCAACCCCCTGCCAGTTCGGGAAATCCACTATGACAGGTGGTCAACAAAACCTCAAACGAAGAGTCCACCACTACCATCCGAGGCAGTCTGTTCCACTCTCAGTTTGCACCGTGAGGAATTTCTTCCTGGTGTTGGGATTTGCCACAATCACTTACTGTCCACATACTGTGGCCCTTCAACAATGAGGGCCATATATCATAAAGACACCAATGTCTATGCTGTCCCTCAGTGGCGACATTGGGTCCAGATGCCCCTTTCACGTAGTTATGTTCCGCGGATGGAGGAAATTATGTGATTCTTTACTATTTGACTTCTGCATGAAGGAGCAGGATTGCAGCAGAAGGTGCCACATTATTCCTCCACTGAGATGTTAACTGGAACAATGTGGAACTGGACTACAGGGAAGCAGTCATTTTGTTATGGCAACTTGCAAATAAGGTCAGGGCCATGTCCAAAGTTGCTCTGTTCTGTCTTAGGACCACTCTTACCTGTCACGGGAGGCCAGGCTCTCAGAGTCCTCTTCCCGGCTATAGTATCCCTGCTCCACTGAGGTGTCCTCCCTGTAGTCTTCGGTGTGTGTGGCTTCTTCATGCACTGTAGGTGGGATGCCGCTGCTATCAGAGCTCCGCCTGAAGAGGTACAGAGGGCTGTAAGGAACTCTGGAATCCTGGCTCCTGCCTCCCCACTCAGCCACACCACACCCTTCCTTCCCCCGCAAGCCCAGGACCTCATCCCGGCCAGCACCTGCTCATCCTGCGCCGGGTGGGGATGTTGGGCAGTTCAGCAGGTTCATCATTGCCCCCAACGTTCTCCTCATAGTGGGTTGGTCCATTAGTCATGTGGGAGAGGCTGACGCTGGAGGGGTGCCGGGAGCCCACAAGGCCATTCATCAGAGTCTTGTTCTCCCCGTCTGGTGAAGCAGCTGTGACGTGGTGGTCAGGGGCACTGCCATACAACGCCTCAGAGCTCTGTGGGAGGAGAGAAGCCTGGGCATGTCATAAAAACCAACAGTGCTTCTGAACAGTCCATTGCTGCCCTCAGATCACTTCACACATTACAGGAGCACTGAAGGTCTGCAGCACAAAATCTGGCTGCTTGTTTAAAATATGAATGTGTGAACTTTTTTTTAAAAAAAAACATATTTATTGAAATTTTCAAGATATTACTAAATGAAAAAAGAAAAAAGGAAAATACAAAATAAAAGTAGTTAAAAACAACTCAATCTTTCCGTTACTTATCTTTCATTTGCTTGTTTCCCGGACCTCCTCGCGCCTCCCTTTTTTGTATTCCAGTTCAGTTTGTTAGTTCAGCAAATCCTTCCCTCTTTGTTTATCCTAGTCTTTAATCTTAAAATATTGTAACATTAAATTTTTACCTATTAATAATCCATTTTTCATATTCCCTTATAATATTACAGCTAAAAACCACTTAATTTCTATCCAACATCATTCTAACATTCATTAATTTTGCAATATTTCTGTAGATAGTCTTTAAACTTTTTCCAATCTTCTTCCACCGACTCTTCTCCCTGGTCTCGGATTCTGCCAGTCATTTCCGCCAATTCCATATAGTCCATCACCTTCATCTGCCATTCTTCCAGGGTGGGTAGGTCTTGTGTCTTCCAGTACTTTGCAATAAGTATTCTTGCTGCTGTTGTGGCATACATAAAGAAAATTCTATCCTTCTTTGGCACCAATTGGCCGACTATGCCCAGGAGAAAGGCCTCTGGTTTCTTCAGGAAGGTATATTTAAATACCTTTTTCATTTCATTATATATCATCTCCCAGAAAGCCTTAATCCTTGGGCACGTCCACCAAAGGTGAAAGAATGTACCTTCAACTTCTTTACATTTCCAACATTTATTATCGGGCAAATGATAAATTTTTGCAAGCTTGACTGGGGTCATGTACCACCTGTATATCATTTTCATAATATTCTCTCTTAAAGCATTACATGCCGTAAACTTCATACCTGTGGTCCATAACTGTTCCCAGTCAGCCATCATAATGTTATGTCCAACATCTTGTGCCCATTTAATAATAGCAGATTTCACAGTTTCATCCTGAGTATTCCATTTCAACAGCAAGTTATACATCCTTGACAAAATCTTAGTTTTGGGATCCAACAGTTCTGTTTCCAATTTTGATTTTTCCACCTGCAATCCAATTTTTTTGTCCAAATTGTATGCCTCCATTATTTGATAATAATGAAGCCAATCTCGCACTTTGTTTTTTAATTTTTCAAAACTCTGCAATTTCAATTTGTCTCCCTCTTTTTTCACTTCCGTCCAACATTTTTCATAATTGTCTTTAAATAAGTTCCCATTTTTAGCTGTCATATTAATCCCAAGGTATTTCACTTTCTTAACCACTGTTAAACCTGTCTCATTCTGAAACCTCTCTCTTTCAGTCGCTGTTAAATTTTTCTCTAAAACCTTTGTTTTTAACTTATTCAGTTTAAATCCTGCAACTTGACCGAATTCTTGAATCAGTTCCAAAACTCTTTTAGCACTAGATTCTGGCTCCTGTAATGTCAATACTAAATCATCTGCAAAAGCTCTCAATTTATACTGTCTAGCTCCGACTTGTATACCTTTAACCAACTGGTCCCTTCTAATCATATTCAACAAAACCTCCAGGACTGATATAAAAAGCAATGGGGAAATTGGGCAACCTTGTCGTGTCCCTTTTTCTATCTTAAATTCCTCCGTCACCTCATTGTTAACAATTAACTTGGCCTTTTGTTCAGAATAAATTGCACCTATACCATTTCCAAATCCTTCACCCACCCCCATCCCCTGTAAGTTCTTCTTCATAAAACTCCAAGAAATATTATCAAAAGCTTTCTCCACGTCCACAAATATCAAAGCTGCCTTAGTGTTGATATTCACTTCTAGTTTTTCCAAAATACTGTATTAATTATATTCCTCAAATTGTCAGACAAATGTCTACCCGGGAGAAAGCCTGCTTGGTCTTTATGAATCTCTTCCATCAACACTTTTTTCAATCTCTTGGCCAAAATATCTGCAAAAATTTTGTAATCCACATTAAGTAATGATATGGGGCGGTAGTTCTTAAGCTGAGTCTTTTCAGTCTCTGTTTTCGGTATAAGTGTAATGTACGCTTCTTTCCACGACTCTGGTGCCCTTTTCCCTTCCAATATTTCATTACAGACTTCCTTTAAAGGTTGTACTAACCACTCTTTTAAGGATCTATAATATCTAGAAGTCAGTCCATCTGGTCCTGGAGATTTGCCTAATTGCATGTTTTGAATGGCACCTTCTACTTCCTGTTCAGATATTTTATAGTTCAACATTAATTTACTTTCTTGAGAGATTTTTTGTAATCCATTTATCTTCAAAAATCGATCTATATCAATTTCTTTCTGTGGCCCTTGTGTATATAATTGTTTAAAGTACCTCTGGAAACAGTTTCTGATCTCAGCTGGGTTCTGTATGTTCTTTCCTTCCACTTCTAAATTTATAATAGTATTTAGTTTTTGTCTTTTTTTCATTTGCCAAGCCAACAATTTCCCACATTTATTAGCTGATTCAAATGTTTTTGTCTCATTTGTTTAATTTTCCATTCTATTTCCTGATTCATCATTTTCATATATTGTACTTGATATAACTTTATTTCTCTCAAAATCTCCTGCGACTTTGGTTTTGCTCTCAATTTCTTCTCACTTTCTTTTATTTTCTCCAAGATTTTGTCTTTCTTCTCATTTTGGCTTCTCTTCTTTATTGCATTCTGTTGTATCAGGAACCCTCTCATAACCGCTTTGCTTGCGTCCCAGATTACTCTTTTTTCAACATTAGTGTTCATATTTATCTCAAAATAGTCTCTCAAAGTTTTTTGGGCCTTCTTAATCACGTCTTCATCTATAAATAAGGTGTCATTCATCCTCCATCTGAAAGAGCCAGTTGATATTAGTTTCATCTCCATCCTTACAGCATTATGGTCGGAGCAGGTTTTTGGACAAATTTCCGCTTTCTTTATCTTTGGTGCCATTCCTCTAGTTACCCATATTTGATCAATTCTAGTCCATGTCATCTTGGCTTCAGAAAAGAAAGTTCCCTCTCTTCCCAAGGGATTCTTTGTTCTCCAAATATCGACTAAGTCCAAGTTGTCTGTCATCTCAAAAAATGTTTTCGGTAGTCTACCATCCTTGGTGACTACCTGTCTTTGTGCCTTATCCATGTTTGTAGATACCACTCCGTTCATATCCCCCATCAAAATCAGATTGTAATCCAAATAGTCCATTAAGGTCTCATGCAACTTTTTAAAGAATTCAGATTTCCCCTCATTCGGTGCATAAACTCCTACTATCAAGAATTTCTCTCCTTGTATTTGAATTTCAATTGCCACAAATCTTCCTTGATCGTCTTTAAAGATAAATTTCGGTGATAATCTCTCCTTTGCATAAATCACTACTCCTCTTTGTTTAACTTTGTCAGATGAAATAAACTCCTGTCCCAATCTCTTGTTAATCAATACTTTTCTATGTAGCCTTATCACGTGTGTTTCCTGTAAGCAAATCAAGTCCAATTGTTCCTTTTTTAGTAAATGAAAAACACTTTTCCTTTTCCGAGGAGAATTGAGGCCATTACAATTCCAACTTAATAGTTGCAGAGCCATGATGTGTTTACTTTGCTTTACCTCCAACTGCACCAAGTGTTTGTTCTTGTTCTGTTGGTGGTGTCACTTTCTCTGAACCATGCAATCCAAAAGATAAATTTGCTATGTCTAGTATTCCTCTTTCCAGTGCTCTTGGCTCTTCTCCAGATTCCACTTCTTTCTGTAAGTCCTCTCCGTGATCTTTCAAGAATCTATCTTTGTCATCGACTGATCTTATTTTTATCTTTCTTCCTTTATATTTGAAGGACAGGCCTTGGGGAAATTCCCACCTATAGATGATTCTATTGCTTCTCAACAGGGCAACCAGATCTCCGTAGTTAAACCTTAAATCCAAAAGATGTTTTGGAATGTCTTTAAATATCTCCACACTTGACTGATGTATTTCCAAAGTCTTTTGGAAATGCAGATTCAAGATTTTGTCTCTCTCCTCTTTTGTTCGAAGGGTAATCAAACAGTCTCTCACCTTGTTCTGAATGCACTTACTATCTTAAATTCTTCCTTCCCCAAATCTAGTTGCCAGAAGTCTGCAAATTCCTGCGTAAGAAAGTCAATCAAATTATCTTTCTCAAGTTCAGGTACGGCCCTGATCCTCAGATTCATTTGTTTCTCCTTCAATTCAATCATAGACAACATCAACCTGTGGTCCTCGAGTTGCCTATATATCGGTGGTATCTTCTCTTCAGTAGCAGTTGCTATGTCCTTTGCTTCTTCAGCTGTCTTTCGGGTCAAAGTAGATTCCTGTAACAATTTCTCAATAGTCTCTGTATTGGTGTTCACCTTCTGTCCCAAATTGTTAATACTTGTAGTATTTTGATCAATTTTAACTGATGCTTCAGCTACTTGTTTATTTGTTTCAGCTACTTGTTTACTTAGGTTTTCCAAAGATTCGTTAATTTTTCCTAGTGCCAAAGCTAAAACATCTTCAGACGACATTCCTTTTGGTTTAATTTGTACAGGTACAGCCCCTGATAATCCAGATGGTCCAGAAGGACCAGATGTTGATGCTCTCCGCTGTGACCCAGTATCTGTGCGAAAGGATCTACCAGACCTTGTAGTTTTTTCTTGAAGCAACTCTAACTTTCCTCTTCCATCTGCCATAACACTCTAGTTAGAATCCAAGGTCAGTCCCACGGCTAGGATTTGTTTTGAAGTGGAAAATTCCCCTGGCCCAGTTGTTATTGTAACAATGTCAAACCTCCTCTAGGGGGACACAGTAACAGTCAAAACTTGTAACTTTAAAGAGAAAATAACCTTTTTAAATCCCCCAATTCACAAAAAGATGACAGTTTCAATTGCGCTTAATCTCCAGTTACTTTAAAACCAGGAGAAGTCCAGAAACACTGTATCTCTCTTGCAGAGTTAGCTGTCAACAGTACTCTATTTACCAGTAGTGCTTTTCACAGAACGGCATTCCTATTGTCCCTAGGCAGTCCGTTCCCAGGTTCTAAGCGGTGGATTTTAGCTTCCTTTCCTCTCTTTTTTTGCAGAAAAATGCAGTTCAAACCTTTCCCCCCTCCTCTCCTGCAATCCGGAGGGGAGATCGCTTATCTGATGTTAGGATTTAAGTCCTTTTTCAAGCATCTTTCAAAGTTTCAGCTTACAGTCTCTTTGCTTTGATCTGTTTACAAGAAACGGAAGGCGGACTTCCTGTTTATGCCTCCCCGCTTCGGTGCCGAATTAATTATTTTTCTCCCTTTAAGTCCAATTTTATCCTACTCATGGGTAGTTGCTTTTGTAACCAAATTGTCCCAGGAAAAAGTCAGCGCTCTCCGATAACGGCTGTGCGGCTTCACTCCGCGGAAGAAGCAGTCGACTCTCAGCACCGCGCCGCTCACCCCGTTTCGCTCCGGAGCCCGTAAATGGGTTCCTTCGCAAATTGGGGGGGCGCAAAAGGTGCCCGCCGAGTCCCACGTTCACAGGCTTCACCTGCCTGTGATTTTTGAAGGGTCCCCACTTCGCCGCAGCGGTGCAGACCCGATCCCGCGGAGCCGTTCCCTCAGAGTCAGAGGGAATCCGCCATTACCGATGGCGCCAACCCGGAAGTCCCCATGAATGTGTGAACTTTGATCTCCTTCATCTCTCCAGCTCCTGACCACTTATGCATATTCTTTCTTCCTCAAATTTGCATTCTGCCAGTCCTTCCCTCCTGAGGCTCCTCTGCCCTCTGATGTTCTCTCCTCCACTACTCTGCCTGGACCATCCTTACTTGCAGCTCTAATATCTCCAGCCCTGATATAGGGATGCCAAAGAGATCCCATGCTGAGAACAAGGCTAATGTTCTCTGGCTACTCCAGCCAGTGCCTTGAGTTAAAGCAGCCATCCCCAGCCATTAGGGCCTAATAAACAAGAGTGATGGGAGGCGCATTCCATCAATGTCTGGAAGGCCATGGATTTCTCACATTGTCTAGGCTTTGTCTAACTTCATCTATCTCTTCTATAGATTTCCTGGCAACTGGCAAGGAGGCCCCTGGTGGTTATTATTCCACTGCCTTCCTCACTGAGCTGCTCCATGTGCTCCACCTCTAGAAAATTATTTCCCAACCTGAGATTTGATAATAACTACTGTGAAATGGAGTGAAATGTCCCTTCTGAACTCCAGTGGACAATGTTTTTGGCCCTATGGTAATCTTCCTCTCTGGCGATCACTCGTAGCCAAGTAAGATTGTCTTCCATGAAAACGGTCTTAACAGTGAGTCTGTAAGTGGAGGTCAATTCTGGATCCACATGTTCATCCATAGTGGGCACAGAGGTTTCTGGGCAGGAGTTGATCATGGTGAGGGATTGCCAAGCGTGCCTTCCTCTTAGCTCATTTCTCCTTTTCGTCCTAAGTTCAAGCTTCTTCAAAGTCCATGACACCTTTGGTCAAGGCTGTTCTCCAGCTGGAGTGCTTGCAGGCCAGTGTTTCCCAGCTATCAGTTATCCCTATGGTAGTAGTCCATGATAACCAATACTCTGTCTGCTTTTCTGCCCTGCTCAATTAGTGGGCAAAGAGGAGGCATCACTGAGGTGATGAACCTATATTTGGGCTGTACCCTGGGAGCTGCCATGACTGAATTCTGCTCTGTTAAAAAGAGAAATCCCAACAGGTAGAAAACTAGTGTGTCCAGAAAGAAGAATTCTACTTTAGCATTCTTCCTAACATGTGTTTTCCAGGTGCAGGGAATGTTTTGATATGGAGCAGCATTCAGTCATATGATTCTTCCATATGTTGAGTCCAAAGTGGTGCACTCCAGATGGAGGTTAACTCACTCAGAGAAAACTAGACCAAAGGCTCACCTTATAGGTCACGGTTTCCTCCTCACACACAGTTTCCTCAGCTTCCTCCTCTTCTTCCAGGTCACAGGACATGGCCCGGCGGATCTCAGGCCCCAGATCTTGCAAACTTTTCAACCCAGCCTGAATGGGAGAGAAGCACCAAAGCAGCAGGATCAGCCAGCCTGGTATCCATGTTGCATTCTCTGTTCATTAGAGCAGCTAAGAGGCCCACAGCAAAACAAGGATACTCACCTGCAAGGCAGTAGAGTTGCTTGGGGACCCATCTGGACCAAGCATTCCTTTCTCCTTCCGCTTACGGAATTTACGGAAGTAATCCTGGATCAGGAATGTGGCATAGAACTTTCCAACAGTGACCTCCTCCTCTGCCAAGGGAAGACGTTAAGCGCACTCTTGTTAGGAATCTGTGGCTTGTTTTTGGGAACATCTGTATTTCCAAAAAGCTCCATGGAATAGGTGGGCTGGTTTTTAAAGGTCACAGTGTCCTATGGCATCTTAAAGAGTACAACCTTAATTTATGGTGGCAGTCTTGAAGGTGCCACAGGAGCCCCTTTATTTCCTCTGAAACAGATTAACATGGCTCTTCTGCAGATCTGAAGGTCTATTTTCCCCAAAGATGATCTCCATCTTGCGCCAAATACAATATGACTTTATTTCCCCCCAGAGTGGCTGGGGAAACCCAGCCAGATGGGCTGGGTATAAATAATTTATTATTATTATTATTATTATTATTATTATTATTATTATTATTATTGCAAAATTCTTCATATATGCAAGATCCTTCATAAACAGGGCTGGCAATGGGCAAGACTGGCACCTGCTCCAAGGTCCATGATTGCTGAAAGTGCCCATCAAGCCAACACAGCCTCTGATTTCCCCATTTCTCTTGATACTCTGGAGGTATGTGGGTAGGACACATTAAAGCATGGTGTGGTTTTGCCCGGTGCCTGCTGTAGATCACTTACTTGGTGCTCTGCAAACACTCAATACTCTCCAGGATGCTTGTCAAGCTACAGTGCTCTCCCAGTCCCCTAGGTCCACTGAACTCCTTGCGTCATTGCTGCAGGAATCCCAAGTATCACTACAGCATCATGTCTTCCAAGCTTCCTTTCCTTATCCTTTGTTGAACTTGCCAAGGTGGCCCTCAGAAGGTTAAGCAGATGCCACCTCCGGTTGCTACACAACAATGCCCTAAGCAACCTAGAGATTACTTCAGTGCTTGGACCAGCCCTGAGAGCAAACCAGCACCCTGTTAAATGGGACTCAGAGTAGGTTCTGGATGGAAAGCCAAGAGTGCTTGGTTCAGTTTTTATCTCTGGGCAGTGGGGATGGGACAGAGTCCGGTTGCTAGGACAAAGGGGCACTGACCTTCTGGTGGAGGGATAACTTCATCCAGGATTTTGGGCTTGGTCCGCTTCCAGATCTTTTTGATTACAGCACGAAGCTCCTTATTTGCCACATCCAGGTCTCCTACAAGAGTGGGGGGAGAATGAGGACCACACCACACATTTAAAGCACATGGCTCCCCCACAAAAACCTGGGAAGTATAGTTTACGCCCAACAAAGCTACAATTCCCCAAATCCTTTAAATGTGCTTTAAGTTTGTGGGGTGGATCTGAACAAAATTCCTCTTCTAGATTCCTGCATTAGGGGGTTACAGTAATGCCTTGGCACCAATCCGTGCCCTTGCAGTCTACTCTGGGGTTTGCCTGTGACTTCTCAGGACCCTGCAGCTCAAGCCCAAGTCCTTGCAACGGCTGTTCCACTGAACTAGTCCCGCTTACAGGATTCTCTCCATCTATACATATGACTGGGGTGGGGAGGTGACAAATGCCCCCCAGAGATCACCCCTATTGCCTGCTTCTGTGGTTAGGCAGATGTTCTGTGGAATATGAGCAGTGGAATATGAGTCAGTTATGTTTCTTGCTGCATTTTTGTGCCTTTAAAATGTTTTTTTTAATTGTGTTTTGTATTTTGTTGCCTATATGAATTATGTAAAGGGACGCAGGTGGTGCTGTGGTCTAAACCACTGAGCCTAGGGCTTGCCGATCGGAAGGTCAGCGGTTCGAACCCTCGCGACGGTGTGAGCTCCTGTTGTTTAGTCCCTGCTCCTGCCCACCTAGCAGCTCAAAAGCACATCAAAGTGCAAGTAGATACATAGGTATCACTCTGGTGGGAAGGTAAACAGCGTTTCCGTGCACTGCTCTGGTTTGCCAGAAGTGGCTTAGTCATGCTGGCTACATGACCCAGAAGCTGTACGCTGGCTCCCTCAGCCTATAGAGTGAGATGAGCGCACAACCCCAAAGTCATCCGTGACGGGACCTAACAGTCTGGGGTACCTTTACCTTTATGAATTATGTAAGAAATTTGATTGGATGAGCAATCCCAATACAAAGATAATGAATAACAAGCAAGCAAACAAACAAATGCCCAGGGTCACCACTGGGGGTGCCTTGTGAACAACGAGGTGCGCATAGGGTGGGTGGGTGGGGGTCCAAGCCAAAGCTTGGGCAAGGTGGGGTGAAGGTGGGGCAGTGGAAACCGGAGGTGGCTGAAGCAAGGCCTTCTGGTCTGACCCAAAGGACAGTTGCAGGAGGTGGGGAAGGAGAAGTGAAGCTTGGGACCAGATCGTATTTTTAATGCTGGGTCTTAGCCCTGGAATTTGGAATGTAGGGTCTGCAGAGTTTGGCTGAATAGCCCGCTTTATTTGTGGCCACCATTGACCCTTTCAAGGTATTTCTTTCCACAATCCTGCAAAAGCCTAGCAGGAAAGGAGAGAAGTTTCTAACTTTCCACTTTCTCTTCTGTGGATTTCCAGGGAAGGAGTATTTCAGCTAGGTGTGTGGCATAAGATGGGAGTTGCAGTTGCTACTAGCAACTGGGCAAGTGGATTTGCATAAATCCAGTTACGTGCTTGGAGAAAAAACATCATTCCCGGAGAGTATAAAATGTTCTTTCTCATCAGCTAGTAACAATTCTGCATATACTGAGGACAAGCGCCATGAGAACCGTCTTGTACCTCACCTTCTGTTTTGATCTTGAGGGATGTCCGCACCAAGGCAAAGAGAGTGGCATTGAAGGTGACAGTTCCATCTGAGTTCAGGGGCATGTTCATAGCCACCAGCCTCTGCAGAGACAAATGAATTAAAAGCAAGAATCCTTGTCACCTGTCCTCCCCAGCTACCTCTCTACTGTAGCCCCACCCACCTCATTCCCTTCATAAAGTCCTCCAAGGGAACCCATGAGGACTGATAGGCTCTGGAGCTAGAACCCGGCCACGATGTTCTCCTAGGAAGCGAGAACCCAGGAGTCACACTCAGGTGGGCCCCTTGAGATTACCTTGCAAGCTACTCGGTGGGGGCAGAGTTTCCCAAAGCCCAGCGGGGGCTGTATCCGGCGTAGTAGAGTCACTACATCAAGGTGCTTGATGCGGCCCCTGGAGGAAGAGAACTTATTTCTTAGTTGCAGGTTTGATCCCTGTAAGGGACAGTTGCATATTCCTGCATTGCAGGGGGTTGAACTACATGGTCCTCAGGGTCCCTTCCAACTCTAGAATTCTGTGATTCTATTATTTATTGCATTTATATTCTACTCTTTTCTCCATGGAGCTCAAGGTGGTATACATGGTTCTTCCCTTCCTCATTTAATCCCCACAGCAATTGTGGGCCAAATGGGGATTTGAACCCTAGTCTCCCAAGTCCTAGTCCAACACTCTAACCACTGCACCACATTGGCATCTCAAGTGGGTGGTAAGGAGCTGTGGGATAGGTGGGGTGCTGCTTCCCTCAATGGGACTATGAGTGGTGGCAGACTAGCCATGGCCTAGAAAGGACCCCTGTTCCTTATGTGAACTATGTGAAGCAAAACCATTGCTCTCCTCCAGCTCTGCACCTCTGGGTCAGGAAGTGACAGGTCCAAGTACACTGTTTAGCAGGGGCATCTTACCCATAGAGGCTAGTGGCGCGGGGCGCCAGGGCACCAAGTTCTGGAGGGTGCCAGGGAAGAGGCAGAGGCTGGACACAGCACCTCCTGGCATCAGCTCGCCGCCCTCGCCTGCCTCTGCCATGCCACGCCAAAGCAGCGCCACGCCCGGAGCCTCCGTCTGCCGTGGCCACCGCAGCACGAAGCGGCCAGCTGAGTCAGGAGGTGCCATGTCCAGCCTCCACCTCTTCCCCGCCGGAGAAGCCGCCCTCCAGCCGCTGCCTGCCTCCTCCAGCCCCGCCAGCAGCGCCTGAGCACCAGAGGGAGCATTGCACCATGGCGCCAGATATGCTTAAGATGGCCCTGCTGTTTAGGGCCCCTTGTGGCACACAATTACACTGGCAAAAATGTTAAAATAACACCCCTCTTATTGCCTGAGATTTCAAGATATTGTATCACGGGACCTCTGCAAATGAAGCTATAAACCAGGAGAAGGTCAAAACTTCTCTCTGCTGCCCCTAGTAGAAAGTTCCAGAATTTCTGGATGATTGGAACATTCCATTGCATTTCCATGTAAGTAGTTACTGTAATTGCAGAAAAAAAGACATGTGTCTCTTACTTGGCAGCTGGATCGTACTCTGACCAGATCCTCTTGAATTCATCAAGATGGTGGGGACCCAGAATGGACCAGTCCCGGGTCAGATAGTCAAAATTATCCATGATGACAGCAACAAAGAGGTTGATGATCTAGAAGAGGTGAAATGGAGTGAAGGTCAGTGAATGCACCCAAAGAGCCCATGAGAGGCAAGGAGAGCAAGACCTCAGAGGCAAACAGCCTGTTCCTCTGAATATCAAGATCACTAGGACTTACTCCCAAGTAAGTGTCTTTTGAGTTGTAGCCACCATTGGAAGGCTTTCCATGAACCAGAGCTCATAAACTCTTACGGAAACTGCTTTCCGGGCTTTGACTCAATGTTGGAATGTGCACAATTAGCACCATGTTGAGGACAGATAAATGAAAGTCCTTCTTCAGACAGTTGGACTATGGAACTCACTTCCCCTGGATGGAATGGCTTTAAAAGAGGATTAGACAAATTCACAGTTGAGAGGGCTATCAATGGCTACTAGCCAACGTGGCCATGCTCTGCCTCCATAACTGGAGAGGGCAATGCTTCTGAAACCACGGGAGGTGAGAGGGCTGAGCTTATGCTCACGTTCTGCTCCCTGGTTTCCCACAGGCATCTGCTGATGCTGAGCTAGAGGGGCCATTGGTCTGATCCAGCAGGTTCTTCTGTTCTTATCAGGAGAGCGCATGAGAGCACGGGCAAAGCCCATTTCCGTCAATCCACATGTTTAGGATTGGCGAGGAAAACCTTCATGTCAGAAGATGGTTATGATGAGTCATAGTGTTAGCAATTAAGCATGGCATGGGAATGCCCAGTACCAGCTAGAGGCAGTGGTGAAAAAAATGGGTTAAATCTGGCACAGACCATCTGCCTAAGATTTAGTGCTGGTACAGGGATACCACCAAAAGGTGTAAGGCACACACTGAGGCACTTTGCTGTTCCTCCTGCACTGTCGTTCTCTTGCACATTGGCTAAGCAGAGCCGCAGCAGAAACATTTTGAGATTTCTGGGCAAGGACAGATAAGAACGCAACCAAGGGATGAGGAGGAGAATTTTGAGAGGACAAATGGCAGGGAGGTAAAGGGTTAAATTTTAATGGAGAGCAGGAGCTCTCCCTTAAAGGAAACCAAAAACATTCTGCCCACTCCCGATGCAATGCCCACTTTGGTTTTCAGGGACCAAGGCTGGGAAATGGCCCACCACAGTCCCGCCGCCTGGTGCAAACAAGGGCTTTCACATGTTGGCTACAACTGGGAGCCTGGCTTTGCAAAGCAGGATTGGCATCTGTTTTTTTTGGAACTGGCTGAGGCGGAAGAGAGCAGAGGGAAGTCTGCTGCAGAGTCTCACCAAGAAGGCGCAGAGCATGAAGAAGCTGATGAAGTAGACAATGGCAAAGTTGCTGCCACAAGTGAACTCCTCGCCAGGCTCATAGTCGGACTCGGGGTCACAGCGTTTGCCAGGCAAACTGGCCAGCATGATCTCCTGCCAGGCTTCCCCTGTTGCACACCTGGAGGAAGAGAGAGGTGGAAAGAACATGGTGAAAGCCACCAACTGGGGCTAAGGACCAAGGCACCCTGTGGGAAAGGGGCAGAAGCTTTGCTGCGGGGGGCACTTAGGAAGATGTTATTATTCCTCAGGGGCTCCTGTTTTTTCCAGTCAGCTCACTGGTTCCACACACCGAGGGACCACCAGAAGGTCTTAAAATGGGCTTAAGTTGTTAAATGCAGAAATACTTTTGCTTTGTGGAGGCAAAGAGGCACCTGAAGAGCAGCAGCACCGCCTGCGGGAAGGTCTGGAAGTTGTTGTTGCGGTTGATTGGCGTACCGTCCTGCATGGCCACTTTGCCAAAGGTCTGAAAGGCAAGGAAAGCACTCTCAGAGCCATGCCAAGATGTCATGAACAGAGTCCAGCTGCAGAATCTCTGTGAAGCGAACTGGAATACAAACCATTAAGCCCTCCTCTCCTATGAACTAGTGGAGAATGAAACTGCACCAGCACCACACAGCTAGAACTATGACAGGAAGCAGGATGGTGCTTACAGCACTGGACCAGGTCCAAGGCTTTCCTGTATGTGGTGATAAGCGAAAGCCCACTTAATGTTTCTCACAGACATCACTCATTCAGCCTGCATGCTACAGAATCCTATGCAGTACTCCGGTTGGAATAGCAGGCATGCACATATGTTTGTGCATGTATAAGTAAGTGTGCTGGGTGTCCCTTTTCTTAAAGCATGTACCCACACACATGATGCACCCAGAGCCCCTTGCACAATAAAGGCACACAGTTCTAGCAAAGCCCACTCATAGCACACTAATTGTGGCATGAATTAATTTGCTTCTCGGCAAGCTTGGAGAGCAGTAGGGGAGGCTCCGTCTGCTCACCTGCATACCGATGACTGCGTAGATGAAGAAGATCATGGCAATAAGAAGGGCAACGTATGGCAAAGCCTGGAGGTGGAACAAACACAGAGTGAACTGGGAGTACTGGACCCACCCACCCAGCTACCAGGCTCAGACATTCCTGGTTTAGCCCAGTACACAGCACAGCCTATAAAGATGCTTCTGTTTGTGCTCAGCATTTCTCTAGCATGCTCTTCTCCTCCCTATGTGTTGGATGGAGCACAGCATGCTTTGATCTACTGTGGGAGGGAAAGGCCACATCCCAGGAAATCCCTCTGACCTGGAAGGATTTGATGAAGGTCCAGAGCAGGGTGCGGATGCCCTCTCCTTTGCTGAGCAACTTGACCAGGCGCATGACACGGAAGAGGCGGAAGAAGGTGATGGAGATGCGAGAGCTGTCCTCTGAGCTCTGTGGAGGCAGAGAGAGAAGTCAGGTTGGCAGCACCCACATGACGACAACAAAGAACTCCGTGCAAGTCAGGCATGAGGGATCGTGGCCGTCCAGATATTGATAGACTCCACTCCCAGCAACCCTGGTCCTCATGGCTACAGCTCAGGGATGATAGAAGCTGGAGGGCTGCAACATCTGGAGGTCCACAGGTTCCCCACCACTCCTGTCTGATGCTACATGCAACTTGGTGCACAGCAGATGCAAAAGGCAGGGAGCCTTTTCAGGCCGAGGGCCACATTCTGTTCTAGGCAACCTTCCAGGGGCTGCATGCTGGCACATGCTGTATCAAGAGCAAAATTGGGAAGGCAACAAATGTAAATTTTGCTTTTGTACAGTAGATTAGTTTCTGCACACACTCGGGCATGCCTTTCTACCCTCCATCCAGACCAGCAAGAGGCATGATCAGCGCTCAAGGACACATTCCAGACAGGCAAAAATGCTTGTGGTGCAAAGCAAGGCCCGTGGGGGAGGTGTTGCTTGTGGGCAGGGGGCCTGGCCAGGAGAGGTCTGGAGGGGAATGCTTAGCACTTGAGCCTGAAGTTCTTCACTCCTGAACTGAACCCGCCCACGTATGGAAGATCCTTTTGGCTCAGGTCAGGTCATTTCCCCAGCAATCCACAGGTCAGCAGCAGCCTGGGGGAGTTCATAAGCAGAGCCTGGATGGTCTCCCTGCTGTCTGTCCAAAGCACCTGGTGCCAGGAGGAGCACTGCCTCTGCACAGGGAGGCTCCACATAGCTGTCATAGGCAAGACATACGTATCTTGGGAACCCATATTCACACAACCACAGGGCATCCTATACACAAGACAAAGGAAACAAAAAGCCCTTTTAGCATCTACCCTGAAGGCAGAGCAATCTGATGGGAAGGCCTGCTACAACTTCTCCCAGGTTCAGAGCTGCCTGCTTTGCCCCGGCCCAGGATCAAGGGGAAGAGGGTTGTGTTGTTGCCAGGCAACTGTGCTATCTCCTTTGTTGGGCATCTTTCTGCTGCTGTGGGTGACACAAGGAAGTGCCTGCTTGTGAAAGTGGCAGCAGTGGGGTTGGATTCAGCAAGAAAGAAGGTGAAGCAAAAGCCCCAAATCCAGGCAGCCCACCACTCAGGACTACCTTGATAAAGTTCCATCACATGAACCCTGTCAATGCTTGCACACATCAGGCCAATGCTGCCTTTGCACACACAGAAACCTCCTGCCAGATGCATGTTCACCCATCCAAGGGTAGGCACGGTGTGTCAGGAGGACCCAGGGCCACAGTAGATGAATGGTGTCAGGTGAGGGTGGGTTCAGCCTGAGCACCACCAACCAGCACTAGCCAAAGCGTAAGATTACAAAAGACCAAGCACGCCTGCAAATAAAGCCCCCTGATGCCAAAAGGCAGAATGAACCAATTGATACTAGTCCCTGACTCCCTATGAAAGCAGAGTTGGGGCAGACTGGCTGGCTTTGCTGCTCCTTGTGCTGATTAATACACAATTTTGCTTTGTAATTATGCAGTTTTGCCTTCCCCCACCTTGACGGGCATTAGGTCTGGCAACACATCAGCTGTCAACACCTGGTGAATCATATGTGCAATTACTCAAGCATAGCACACTCACAGCTATAGACACACACACACACCACACACACAGCATTTGCACACAGTTGCCTGAATTTGGAGGCCCTTAAACACTTAATTTATTACATGATATACTGCATTTCCTCCAAGGAGCTATATGTGGTGTCTCTCTCCATTTTATCCTCACAACAAACCTGTGAGGTAGATTAGGCTGAGAGTTTGCCACCCAGCTTCATGGCTGAGTAGGAATTTCAACCTGGCCCTCACCAGTCCTAGTCTGACAATCACTACACCATACCGGCTCTCTTATGAACCTGTTTGTTGCATACACTTAGCATTGACGCAGCTAGCCCTTCCACCACCCCTTTCCAAACTTTCTTGAGATTAAATACATGTGCAATACCTCTCCAACATGACCTCCATTCTAACGCAGGATAATGAAGGGAATGATGATGGCAAAGACGAAACGAGGGTTCATAACATCCAATGGGAGGCAGCGGCATGGCAGAGAACAGGTGAGAAAGTGAGAGAGAAATAGCAGAATGGATACATAGATGGATAGACAAAAGGCAAAAAGACGGGCAATTATAAAGGTGGATGAATAAATGAACTCCAAAAGATGCTTTGTTTTTAAACCATCTAATCAGTTTGGTTTATTGCATTATGCATACGCAAAATTAGAAACTTAAGCTGGGATCTAGCACAAAATTTTATATCTTTGTTTAAAAGCAGATTTCCAGACCTCAGGGTACTATGTTTGAGTTATGCTGTCAAAAAGATACAAGTATTCAGGGTATTCATTCCATACATGTGCGGTGCTGCAACACATCCAAACTCTTTCAGCAACTTTGCTGCAGGTGTGCTAACATTTCCCAGCAGAATAAAAAAGCTGAGGTTGTTTCAGAGGACACATTTCATGTTGGGAATGACTCACGTTGACTTCAGTGACTGCGATGTCAACTACACTCCCGACCACGATCAGAGCATCAAAGGTGTTCCATGCGTCACAGAAGTAGTGCTGGGGGAAAGAGAGAGAAAAGGCCACTCTGGAACAAATCCTGCATAGATTCTTGTGGAAAAGCAGCCAGAGCTAGACCCACATGCACTTCTTTTTCCTATAGTTTCTAGAATTATACAGAATCATAAAATCTTTGGCAGGACAAATGGTGGAGGAGAAGGAGAAAGCTGCTGTTGTTGAACATAAAGTAATACAAGCGGGATCCACGGCTTTACAGAAGCAAATTGAGGACTATAAGTTGAGGCCTTTTATGATTGAATCTAGGAAAAGTCAGACTTTGAGGAATGGATCCCGGCTTGGATTAAAGAAGGAAAGTTGGAAAGATCCTCTATGCAGGGATTAACTGACTTTTGGGACATGGACTCGGGCCTGGAGGAGATTGAAGTTTTGGGGGCCTTTGGATTTGGAGGAATCTTGAAATATGTCCTGAAATACTTTATGGACTGTAGCTTCAACTATGGAAATTTGGCTGATCTGTTCAGAAGGAAGAAAAGGATTGACAGGTTGGAGTTTCCCCGAGATTTGCTCTTTAGCATTAAAGAAAATGAAGAAGACCTGCAGAAGGGACTTGGAAAAGAGTTAAGAGCCTCGGACATAAGATCACCGGGTTGATGGACTTTATGGAGTTGACGGAAAGGACTGGCAGAATCCGAAACCAGGGAGAGGAGATGGTGGAAGAAGATTGGAAAATTTAAAGTTTATATATAGACTTATGGTAAAACTAATGAGTGATAGAAAAATGGTGGAATGATTTTTATGGGCTTAGCAGCAATGTTATTAGGAGTTAAGTATATATAAGTATTTTAGTTTTAATGGAAAATAAGGTTAAAAAAATACGTTATTTACAATATGATAGAAAATGGAGAAAGATGGAAAGGATTTGCTGAAACAATTAAAAGAAGTGGAATATAAAAAGGGAGGTGAGAGGAGGTCGAGGAAACAAGGGAATGAAAGATAGAGTACGGAAAAGGGATGATGTATGTTTTTAAAATGTTTTTGTTTTGTTTTATTTAGGGTTAAGGTTAGGGAGTGGGGTTTGTTTAGTTTAGTTTAATGTGTTTAGTTTTGAGTTTAGGTTGTGTTTTGCATTGTCTATACACTGTACTGTATTGTTTTTTGTTGTTGTTTTCCTTTTTGCTTTCCTTCTTTGTCTTTTTTTCTGTTTTTCTCTTCCCTTTTTTGTAATCTATAAAAGTAATAAATACTTGAGCTGATATGCATGAATTGTTTGGAAGTGCATGATATAAATCCTACAGCTGCTTGGTCAGTCTAGTTTGTGGGTTACCAGACTTCCGGGTTGGCGCCTCCGGCAATGGCGGAGCTCCTCCGTTCGGGAGGAACTTGCTCTGTGAAAAACAGGGTCTGACCGCCACGGCGAAGGTGGAGACCCATTGAAATCACAAGCGGGAGAAGCTTGTGAACCTGGGATTCGGCTGGCACCTTTTGCGCCTCCCCTACTCACGGGGAAACCCTGTTTTGGGGATCCGGAGCGACGTGGGGTGAGTGGCGTGGTGCTTTGAATCCAACTGCTTTTTTCACGGAGTGAAGCCGCATTGCTGTTGCCGGAGAGTGCTGACTTTTTCCTGTGGACAATTGGATTTTAAACAACTACTAGTGAGTAAATCGGAAAATTGGATTTTTAAATACTTTAATTTGGCACTGAAGAGGGAGGTCATAAACAGGAAGTCCGCCTTCCGTTTTTGTAAATAGACTGAAGCAAAGATGTTACAAATTAAAGTCTTTGAAAGCTTTTGGCAAAGGATTAAATTTCCATCAGTTTAAAATACAAAACCCCCCTTGGAAGCAGGAGAAGAGGGGGAAAATTTTGGATCTAGTGAGCCTGCAGGAGAGAGTGAAAAATCAAATTACCACTGCTCTGAACCTTGGAAGTGTTACTTTGAAATGCAGAAGGCTCCTTTTGCAATATTTTTATATGCTTCAGGATCTCATGCAAAGAGGCTCTCTGCAGATACAATAAATCCCTGATGTAGATTTCTACCAAGAAAGGCCATTTTCAGAGAGAAGGCTTCAATTACTCTGGAACCTCTCTTGCCAGTGCCTGGATCCAAAGATTGGTAAGGTCAGGCATTTGCTGAGGCCTGATTTATACTGATTTATATCAGTATAAATGGCCACTGGCTTCACTTTCCACAGGCACCAAAGAGCACAGGAGGCAATGGGAGGAAATTCTTGGATTGCATGTCCTGTCTCTTCCAGGATAAGGGGCAACCTTGAGAGTGCCTTGCCTGATACTCCACAAAATCCTGGAGTCAGAATTGCATGTCACACTAGTTTCTGGAGCAAATGATCATTATCAATGCAGGGGATTGAAACTAAAAGCCTCAGACCCTGTGGGATTACTATCACTCAGCTGGAAACTTGTGAATAGTGGCATAATGCCAAGATTCCTGCCAAGCTCCAGAATTAACTTGAAAACATATGGTTGTTTATGGTGAGACTCTAAGCCAGGTGTGGAGGACCTGTGACTCTCCAGGTATTGTTGGGCTCCAGCCAGCATGGCCAATTATAAAGGTTTGATGGGTGCTGTAGCTCTGCAAAATCTGGGGGGCCGCAGGCTGCCCACCTCTGCTCTAAGCAAAGTATCTCTTGAGTAGAACCCCCAGCTCCCAAACCTTGGGCTTGAAGGCAATGATCTTCAGCACCATCTCGACAGTGAAGAGGCCTGTGAAGACCATGTTGAGCAGGTCCATGACATAGTTGAAGGGCTGGGACTGTTCGTAGTGCTGGAAAAGGAGAAAATGCACAAAGCATGTAGGAGCACCTTGGGGATCTTGTGGTCCTCAAGCTGGGAGCTGTTGTGATTTGGTGCTTTGCAACCTTGTTCTCAAAATCCACCCAGCATTCCCAGGTTCTTTTGGGCTCCTATCTACCACACCACACATTTGTTGGTTGGCAGTCAGAGGCCCTTCCTCTGGTCCTGATTTACTGATCAGCCATGGCACACTGTCTGTGCACACACCTTTCAGCAAGTTTGTACCATGGACTCTGTCTTGTCTCCATCACCTATCTTTCTACCTTGTTGCGAGGTGTGACCTGGGCTTCTCCTGCCTTCTCCCCATCTTCTCCAGCATCCCACCTTCCACTCAAGGGTTGTTCCCTTTGGAGTGAATATTGCCTCAGCTTCAGAATGCCTGTCTCCTTTAGTATGCTTGCCTTTGGGGGTCAAAATCCCAAAGTATAAGTATGCCATGCACTTCACTGGTCCTAGGTATTTTGAGAAAGCAGGATGTGTGGTGGGAATCCTGATCTACCCTCAAGTCCCACTGGCTCATATGCACTCTTCTGCAGGGCTTTTTTTAAAGCTGGAACTTGAAAGAACTCAGTTCCAGCACCTCTCAGGTGGGCACCACTGCCATTCTAAGAAAATGAGGGAGGTGTTCATGGTGAGTTCCAGCATCTCTTTTTCTAAAAAAATAGCACTGCTCTTCTGGATGGTCTACTTTAATACCAAAAATAGCTGTCCACATGAACATCTCCCCCAGAGTCAGCATTTCTCTGCCCTTGAAGCCCTGGCAACTCACAGCCATTGAACACTGCCATTGTGCATCACATTCCCTTTGTTCTCATGACAAAGTTCTGATTCCTGCCATCACTACAAGCCTTGGTACTCCAACACCTCAGTCCTTTCCTCTCTCTATTTAAAATAAAGACAATGGTGTGTTGTTGTTGTTTTAAAAATGATACAAGTATCAAAATATGCATGTACAATAGGCCCCTCTATACAATAGGCAAAATATTACCCTGTGTATGGGTTGTTTAAGCATAAATTCCCTTCCCCACAACACAGACTTCTCCCACACCAAAGTGAGCCCTATTCTACCAAGTGAGCTTCTTGGTCTCTCCACTTCTCTTTACATTCTGAACTGTGTGCCTGTCATCTCACACCTTTCTCACTAAGAATCAAACTAGTCATGGCAGGGGCTGCCTTGTTTGTTGACTCATGTGTCTGCTCCACTGATGTTTGAAAATGGGGATTGTGAGGTGGATGGGCCTAATTCTTTAAAAAACAACAAAAGGAGCTTGAAGGTAATGTGTGCCTCTTCTCTCCTGATCTTATCTCACTTCAAGCCCACTCAGTTTCCTATATTGGGAGCCAGGCTGAGGCAATGGAGCATAGGAAACTAAGGAAGGGAAGAGGGTTCAGTTTCATTCGTCCACATGCTCTTTTTGTTGTGTAGATTTTTTGGCTTTAGACATGAACAGGACAAGCAAGTGAAGGACAAATGTCCTGTCTCTTTGGCCTCATCTGCCTTCCATCACCAATCTCCCCCTCACATACCCTCACTGCCCTTCTCATTGTTACCTGCTCACTCTCACCTGCACAGCCAGTGCAATGGTGTTAAGCATGATGAGCACAAACATGATGTATTCAAAACCGGTGGAGTTGACCATGTACCAGAATTTATACTGATATTTGTTCTTGGGGATGTAGCGCCGTAACGGCTGGGCCTTCAGGGCATATTCCACGCACTGCCGCTGTGGAAAGTAGAAGAGTTTTAGCTAGAAAACAATGAACAACCCTGCACTAACTGCCCCATAAACATCATCACCACTTCAAGGTATCTTTGAAAGCTCTCCAGATCCCAGGCATGTTAGGGAGGTCTTATTCAAAGATATTGGTTCTGGAGCCCCAAGTTGGCATTTGATATAGACTTAAGGCCACAAGGAGACTAGTAGCCTTGCTGCATGAGCAATAGATACTAGTACCATAGGCCTCTGCAGGCAATCAGTTTAGACCTCTGGCAAGAGCAACCTGTTATTCCCCTTGTAGATTGCTAGGTGGGGAGGAAGAGGAGGGGCAGAGAGGGGAGGGTGAAGGATAAGGGTGAGAGAAAAAGAGTGAGAAGGGATAGCCCCACCCACTTTTGGTTCTGGTCCCGTCCCCTGAGAGATGATACCCCCCCCCCCGCCAAGGAAATTCAGCCCTCAACAGAAAATGTTCCCTGCCCCTGCTTTATTCAGTAAAAGGAATTGTGGGACAGTCACTGGAGGGAGAGAGACAGAAGGAAAAAGCCACAATCTCCACCAGCTCCATCAGAACTGCACAAATTTGAAGTAATCGACTGCTGAAGTTAATGTGGCAGCAGAACAATGAGGATGGGTTGGTCATGGTGGCAGTGAGGTTGGGAATAAGTGGGAACGGTGATTTGCACCAGCAGAGCATGAAGTGAGGAGAAAGAGATACCTGGTTCTTGTCCAGCTCACAGTTCTTGTATTCCTGTTCTCCCTGTGCCCGGAAAGTGATGATGACAAAACCCACAAAGATGTTCATCATGAAGAAGGCAATGATGATGATGTAGACAATGAAGAAGATGGAGATCTCCACCCGGTAGTTGTAGATGGGCCCCTCGTTTTCTGCATTGGCATCGATAGCCTTGTAAAGTAGCCTGGCAAGGGCAAAGTGGTGAAGAGAGGGAAACTGTGAACAGAGAGCATAACAGTGAAGAGGAGAGACAGACCCATAAAAAGCATGAACTACCATTCTGTGGACAGGATATACGACCATTTGGATCCCTTCCAATCAAGATACAGGCCTCATCATGGAACTGAAACTGCCTTGGTTGCGCTGGCCTATGATCTCCAGCAGGCTAGGGACAGAAGTGAAAGCTGTTTCCTGCTTCTGCTGGATCTCTCAGTGGCCTTTGACACGATTGACCATGACATCCTTCTGGACCGTCTAGAGGAGTTGGGAGCTAGGGGCACTGTTATGCAGTGGTTCCACTGGGAGCGGCCTCCAGGACAATAAAACACTGGTCTTAATGGATCCACATTGGTTCCCAGTACGTTTCCAAGCACAATTCAAAGTGTTGGTGCTGACCTGGCACCCAAATTTCCAGGGCCAACACCCATAAAGGAGCCTCACTGACCAAGACCAAGATCGCCATCTTGGCTGTGACTTGACATGGGGTGTGGATAGGCAGTGACAGCACACCTAAGCCCTATGATCTGTTAAAGCACACCTCAGAGTTCCTGGTAGCAGTGCAGGATACATTTTCTCTGTTCATGTAAAGTGCTAAGGGTGTGAGTGTGTCTCAAAGCAGCCCTTGCAGCAGTCAGGCTCCTACATCTTACTTCCCATGCCACTGAGGCATAGTCTTCCTGCCCAAGTAACTGCAGGCAGAGCTGTATTCCTCAGAACTCCCACCAAGGCACCAATTCAAGCTTCCCCAGTTGACTCAGCCCCTGTTCATGAGACAGAGGCTCCACCGAACTCTACAAAGCCTCATACTAGGAACCAGCCCAATCTGAGCAACTCCTCCACAAATGTGAAGTTCCTGTTCCCTGCCCTTCCTGCTCCCCAGCTGCCCCTCTCAGAATGCCAGCCTTTTTCTGCTTTGGACTTTGCCACTTGCCTCTGGTGGATCCACCTGCCTGGTAGAGCCTTCCCTCCTAATACTTGGCCAAGTTGCCCCAGGAGTCCCAGAAATTGATGCCAATTATTGGTCTAATCCAGTCAGGAATTTTCATAGACTGCAAAGAGATGATTCAGAAGGCAGACATAGGAAGAGGCGTGGAAAAATGGGTGGATTTCCTTTCCAGTCTTCAATAAGTCACACAAGCTTCTTTATTATGGCAGAAGACAACGGGTAGAAAGCTAACAACACGATAACTTGCGTGTGGCAAAAGAGCTGTGTCACGCTTTATCATGTTCACATTTTTGTTTTACATAGTGACATGCCAGAGAATTATGGTAATGGTGAGAATCATCACAAACACAATTATATACACACGTGTGTGCACACCCCGTGCACAATGCCCAGTAGAGTAACTCACGCTGGCCAGCCTTCAAAAGTAGAGACAGTGAAAAGGGCCATCATGCCCGACAAAACATTGTCAAAGTTGAAGTCACTGTTGAGCCAGGCACGCTCCCGCACCATTGGGTGAGCCACATCTCCATCCTTGTAGACAATGAATGTGCCCCTGTGTGCGGAGGAGGAGGAAGAGGAAGAGGAAGAGGAAAGGAAGAAGGAGCAGAAGGAGCTATCAGTATGGGCTGCAGCTGGGAGTCATTGAACTTAGACAGGCAGACCAGATCCCAGAGTGTAACCCTAACACAATTTCCAGCTGCAAAAACCACAGTTCCTTTTACTGCAAAGCTACCCAGCCACCCTCCTTTCTGCCTCTCAGACCCCTCTCTCCTATCTTAGGGACAAACTAGATGCTAATAGTCTCTTTTCTTCCTCTCTTTATTTTTAAACTGAAAAGCAGATACATGGAGGCAGCTGGTCTGAGTGGAAGAATAGCAGGGATTGCTTAACCTTTTCCCTTTTTGCCATTTATTTCTTCAAAATTATCTCCCCCCCAAGGCCGGGGGGGGGGGGAGAAGCAGCAGCTTGGGGAGGGGAAGCAGAAAGACAACAGGAAAGGAAAGGGTCAAGGAGCACCTTCTCCCTGCTACTCTTTGGGTCACAATCACAGACTCAGAGGTTAGTTTTCAGCAAAAGAAACAGGAGAGGAGGGGAAGGAAGAAAGGTAGGAGGTTATTACTGTATCTCCCATGTGATGTCTTGTTTGGGCCTCACCCACAAACAACCCTTAATTCACAGGCCATTACACGATACTAGACCATCTAGCTTTCATCTCAGATCAGCCATACATGGGAATCCATTACATTGCTGCAACATTTTGCCATGCTAATGTATGGCAGTTGAGATCTGTCCAGGAGTAAGGAAAAAAGAAAAAGACAAGAAGAAAGCAGGGCCAGAGAGCGGCAGGCAGCAATGTTAACAAGAGGCCCCAGTTTGATCTGTGGGGTGGCTAGACATCTTGGTTGCTGTTCTTGGTATTAGGCTAAAATGCCAATGCCACCTGGAGAACTTGGTTGGGGAAGGTAACTGGATGCTCTGCTCTTCTTGCAGGGCAGGGCTGAGACTTACTTGCATTCATACGGAGTGTGCTTGGCCTCATCTGTGCAGCTGTAGAACTTGCCCTGGAGACAGAAGTGGCAGGAGATTGGAGATCGGGCACTGATGGGGAAGGAAGGTATCCATCCTGGGGAAATTCTTATCTTTCTACCCTGTGTGCTGCCCCCCCATGGCCCTGGGCATGGAGGAAACAGTAAACTAGCCTCACACAGGGTGGGGCAGTCAGGGCTTACCTTTACCCTGCCCTGTAATGAGACACCCACTTCTATCGACTTTTCATCTTAGGGTAGAGCAAGATGTTATGCTCAACCCAGGTCAGTGTCAGGTTGTCATCCATCTCCCTGTAAAATTGCCTCAACCTCATCATATCATGTACTTCCCCACCCCAAGTCATTGGGATCGTGCTGGCCCAGTGGAGATGGGAGGTGGGGAAGGGCCTGCCTAAGCCTGCCTAAGCTTAACAGAGAAAGGTTCACAACAGTCTTATGTTGGGCATTATGTCTAGTTGCTCTTTTCACATTGCTTTTCCTCTACAAGATCTCCATACTTCTCTGTCTTTCTCTCGGTCTCCCTTTCCCTCTCTTGCTCACTGTCCACCTTCATCAAATATGGCAGTGTGTGCTGAGGTAAGCTACCAATCAACTAGCTGAAAAACAAGAGCAATACTTTGCAATGCAGATGATTTACCATATATCATTATATGATTATTATTACTATGTTTACCCATGTAACTTCTATGGCTGTGCCTTTGCACATGTATTTTCTTTCTTTTTGAGCTGATTCCCCCCACCCCCCCTTGTGATGACCTACAGCTGAAACAAATAAGCCGCCCGACTAGTGTCTATAATGAGGTACAGGATTGGTTGCTAAGGTGATGGTATTTGGAAGTGTTTTGGGTGCAAGCCTCAAAGAAACACGCCCACACTCAACATGTCCTTGATCCAAGCACATATACACATCTTGCACACACTCATTTAATCCAAACCACCCCAAATAAATTAGCACTCCTTACCTTGAAGAGCTGAACACCGATGCAAGCAAACATGAACTGCAGCAGGGTGGTGACTATCATGATGTTCCCAATGGTGCGGATGGCCACAAACACACACTGAACCACGTGCTGTCAGACAGGGAGGCACAAGGGATGTGAGGTGGCCAGGAGGGAACTTTCCAGTTCTCAACAGGGCGACCCTGTGGGTGTCAGGGCTGGTGCAAGACATTTTGGCACCTGAGGTGAACCACAAAATGGTGTCCTGCTCCCCACCAGGGAAGAAGCGGGGAGTGAAGATTGACATCGGGAAGAAGGGGGAATAAAGGTCTACCTTGGGATCCACTGCCCCTGTGGATCCTGCCACCTTGAGGCAGTTGCCTCGCCCTGCCTCATGGATGGGCCAACCCCGAGTGGGCTGGGGAACACAGGCACCACATCTTCATAGCCCCCATGCTGTGGGACCTCCTTCCAGATCCACATTGGAGAGCCACCAGCTGCCCTGCAAGACGTCCCTCACCTTCAGCCCCTTGGCCCGGTTGATGGCCCGGAGAGGGCGCAGCACCCTCAGCACGCGCAAGATCTTCACCACAGAGATGGCACTGGAGCTGAGGTGGAAAGAGGAAGGGAGGCGTGGGAGAGTTTGGGGTTGAAAAACCAAACTGCTTACACCTTCTTTTCATTTCCTATAAAATAGCTCCTAAGAACTTAGTAAGAAGAGCCCTGCTGGATCAGGCCAAGAGCCCAACGCAGTCCACCATCCTGTTCTCACAGTGCCTAACCAGATGCCTCCAAGAAGCCTGGAAGCAGGACCTGAGCACAAGAGCCCTCTCCCTGCTTGTGAATCCCAGCAAGTGGTATTTCAGAGGCTGGAAGCGGAAGACGGCCATCCCAGTTGGTGGTGCATCACTACGCAACATTGCCCTTTCATCCCGGACCAGGCCAGCACAATCCTTTTCTTCTTCTTCTTTTGGGGGCCTACTCCCAAAGTATCTTGACCATTCCCCAATCAGACTTACTGGATGCCAAAGGAGATGAGTGAGACACTGACAACCAGCAGATCAAGGAGATTGAACCAGTTCCGGCAGAAGGAGCCTTTGTGCAGGAAGGCGCCGTAAGCGGTCATCTAAGGACAGAGACATGCTAAGCACCCCGGCTCTACCCAACTCCTCTTTCTCAGAACTGTGGCTGGAACCCAGAAGCTTGGAGATTAGGTCCCCAGGTGCCCTGCGCCAACCAAGTGACCCTGCCTTCCCCCCACCCAGGCTCAGTCCCTTTATATTCAAGAGCAGATGTGCTAACTTAAGAGGCAGATTGGGGAGGGGGCTGATGTCACCCCTGGGTGTGATGTCACACACATGCACAAGCACCAAGCATCCTGAGTGCCAGCTTCTCCTTCTGCTTCTGCTTCTGCTGCGCCAGCCAGGAAAAGAGGCCCTGGCTCTGCCGACATTGTGCAGCCTACAATGAGCGCTGAGCACCCCAAGTGCCACACACACATTGGGAGGACCCAGGGCCTCTTTCCCTGGCAGCCAGAGAAGAAGCTGGCCCCGGAAGCTGGACCCTTGGGTCCCTCGAGCTCAGCCCTGTGTCTGCACTGACTGGCAGCAGTTTCAGGAAGGAGGCATTCCCAGGCTTACCTGGAGATGCTGAGCATTGAACCTGGGATGCTCTGTGTGAAGGGAAGATGCTCTTCCACGGAGCTGCATCTTCAGGATCTCTTTAACAGCTAAGGCTGAGTCACGTGAACCTGAGTTACGTGACTCATGCTTAACAATGTTGATCAAGACCAGCCTTCTTTGCAAGAACCGCAGCAACCAGCAGGCATGAGGCGGTCTGCAGTCTACCAAAGATCTTGGTCTCCTTATGCCCACCACTGTTCTGCACAGTCCACAGCTGTGTTGGAGCTAAATTCATGGTGGGTAGTAAGAGTCAAAGGCCTCTAGACAGGAGCTGAGAAGTGCAGCCCTGACCTTTCCCTCCTTGTTGCTGGGAGCCACATCTTCTCTCCCACCCCCCCTACTCCCCAATGACTTGTAGCTCATTCTGCAGTTGCTGACCCCCTTCTCCACCCCAACCCCAACCCTGATTGCCAGCCATGGGGCTATGAGGGCACTAGCAGAAGCAGCTAAGGTCTGGTTGTTCGGTGCCACCCTGCAGACGTGGCCCACGTGCAGGTGTGGGCAACCCTAGAGACTTGGCCACTGGGGCATCCACTGAGGGTTGGCTACTCTCCCCTTCCTCATCTTCTGGTACCTTGAGTAGGATCTCAACAGTGAAGATAGAAGTGAAGGCATAATCAAAGTATCCCAGAATCTGTGTAATGAGAGGGGGGAACAGGAGAGGGGTGGGGGAGAAAGAGAATGGAAAAATGAGGAAATAAGAGAGGAGTGAGAGAGAGAGAAAGGACGGAGCAGAGGGTGAGACACTCTTCTGCCTCTGGCCCTCTCTCTTCCATTCTACCCAACCACCTTTCCATATGGCATGGCTTACATTGTTGCGGAAGGAGTGTGCTCGGATAGGGTCCTCTGCTGCCAGGGAGATGCTGCTGAGGATGATGAAGACAAGGATGAGATTGGTGAAAATGTGGTGATGGATCAATTTGTGGCACCCAACACGAAGCCTGGCGAGAGAAAGAAAGGCGGCCACCATAGTGAGCCAGCAACACACATTAGGAGCAGCCAAGTTTCCTGAGGCACATGCAAACTCCCCTGCGAATCAGGAGGTGGAGATGGGGAGATAAAGGGCGATCCTGGCAGATGTGGGCAAGATTAGAGGGAAGAGCCTGGGTGGTGCCTTGGAAGTGGGCTGGACTGACATGGGGAGAAAAGCCAGCAGCAAAATCTCTGAAGCCAAGCAAAGATTGACCTTGGGATTTGCCTACTGCCTTGACCTTGGGTTGAGATACCTGGGAAGAAGGCTAAAACTCCACCACCAGCGTGAACCCTGGCAGTTCTGGGTCTGCCCAGGCATAGCCAGACAGTGCCTCCAGTTGTCCCCTACTGCTCTCAACCAATGGGTCCCCAAAGTGGGACCACAATGAAACCAGGATCTCTGGCAATTTTTTTACCATAGTCTTACACTGGTTAGTCATGCCCTCTGCCCCAGGAACCCAGGCAGCACTAGAAATCCCTTGCCAAACCTAGTTTCGAGGATTCTTTGGGGAGGAAGACACAACAGTTAAATGGATATATAAATTAGTAGCATAGATATGCTTCTACATGTAGGTTATTAGGGCACGCACACCAGGGACTCTGGCCACAGGGACCTTGCCACCTTGCACCACCAGGGCTGTTTGCAGACTGAGGATTTGGCATGCTGCAGTGCCACCCAGATAATGTCCAAAGAGGAGTACTGCAGCTTATCAGGCCAGTCAGGCCAGGCAATCTGTGGGGGACAACAGAGCCAGGCTGGCCTTACAGAACTGGTGCTTCAAACGTGGTTTTTCAGTGTGAAAAAGCTACTGCTAGAACAGTCATGCAGACTACATTGCATCAAGTCCTTCTGATGGCTGTTCACTGTTCTGTACCTTCATGCTGGCCTGCCATAACTATGGACCTGTATGTGACCCTTGTTTGATGTTCTGGGTCTTGAGCTAAAGTAGGCTGCACCTTCGCCTTTCCAAGTGACTGCTTGCAGGTCTGACACCTGCACAGCCCTGGCACCAGAAGAGGAAATTCCTGGACCTTACCCTACAACTCTTGCAGAATTGTGAACAAACTGAGGTCACATTCCACTGAAAGAGAAAGCCAGCGCCACCTTCTTCCTCCTTGGTTCATGCCTTTCTGTACTCACGGATTTGTCTTGCTAAGGCAGAAGAAGGAACTTCCATCAGGAATTGGTAACACCTTCTCTGTGGGGGTTTCCTCCAGTTTGTCTAGGTGAGACTCTGCCAAGCTCTGCTGATCTCCTTCTGCCTCTTCTTCCTCTTCCTCCTCACCTGAAAACAAGACATGGTGTAGGATTAACCAAGGACTGAGGAACCTTTGGCCCTCATCTGAAGCTGAACTACAACTCCCATGAGCCTCGACAAGCATGGCCAATAGCCTGGGGCGATGGGAATTGTAGTTCAGCAACATCTAGAAGGTCAAAGGTTCTCCACATTTGGTTTTAAGGATTCCTCGGGAGCCATATTCATTACAGCAGTGTGTGTGTGTGTGTGTGTGTGTGTGTTAATGAGAGAGAGAGAGAGAGAGAGAGAGAGAGAATAATGTCTAACTATTACGAACTGATCTGATAATTATATAGTACAGTCAAACCTTGGTTCCCAAATGCCTCTGTTTTGGAACGTTTTGGCTCCTGAATGCCGAAAACCCGGAAGTGACTGCTCCAGTTTTTGGAAGCCGAACGTGCTATGTGGCTTCTGTTTTGAATTTCCCTATTGTATTGAGGCTTCTGCCTTCAGTTTTCGGTTGTCAAACCTTTTGGAAGTCAAGCGGTCTTCCGGGGCAGATTACGTTTAACATCCAAGGTTTGACTGTACCATAAATGTGCATGGTGCATTACAGAGTAACAACAGATGAGGGGCAATTGCCCCAAGAAACTTACAATTTAACAGTTGATACAGGAAGGGAGGAAGGTTGAGGGGAGGCTATGCAAAGGCTAATGGAAAAAGTGAGCTGCAGCAGGAGAGAAAGAGGCTGCATAGAACCACAGAATTTCAGAGTTGGAAAGGACTCTGAAGGTTATCTAGTCCGACCCCCTGCAATGCAGGAATCTCAAATAAAGCATCCCAGACAGATGGCCATCCAACTTCTGCTTTAAAATCACCAGGGAAGGAGAATCCACTACCGTCCAAGGGATCCCGTTCCACTGTCAAAAGGCTCTTACACCAGAAAGTTCTTCCTGATGTTGAGCCAAAATCTCCTTTCTTGTAACATCAAGCCTTTGGTTCCCTCTGGAGCAGGTGAAAACAAGCTTGCTCCATCCTCCATTCAAGAGCCTTTTTGATATTTGAAGATGGCTATCATATCTCATCTCAGTCTCCTCTTGTCCAGGCTAAATATCTCCAACTCCCTCAACCATTCCTCATAAGGCTTGGTTTCCAGACCCTTAATCATCTTGGTTGTCCTCCTCTGCACACGTTCCAGCTTGTCAATATCCTTCTTAAATTGTGACGCCCAGAACTAGGCACAGGGCTCTAGGTGTGCTCTGACCAGGGCAGAATAGAGCGGTACTATTAAGTCCCTTGAACATTATACTTCTGTTGATGCAACCTAGAATAGCATTAGCTTTTTTGCTGTTGCATCACACTCTTGACTCATTTTCAGCTTGTGGTCCTCTAAGACCCCTAGATCTTTTTCACATGTCCTACTGGCATGCCCAGTGTTCCTTCTCTTATATTTTTGCAGCTGGTTCTTCCTGCCTCAGTGAAGGACCTTGCCTTTGTCCCTATTGAAATCCATTGTGTTACTTTAGGCCCAGTTCTCCAAGCTTAGAGTCTGAACTCATGTTGCCATTGATCCCCTTCCTGGTTCCCTGCAATACAGTAGCTGCCTTTTATACTTAAGGCTTAAATATCCCAGAGGAGCTCAAAGGCAATTTATGTTGATGCCTGATAGTTGTTTACGTGGAAGAGAAAAGCTGGGAGGAGGAGAGGCAGAATAAGCAGCCTGGTCAATTGTAAGTTTTACATTCAATTACAAACCAGGCTGCAGTCAAGAGCTGCTTTGGTCTCATGTGTGAAAACATAAATAGCCTTTTTGTCTCAGTAAGGTAACAATCCTCATGATTGTCATAGTACCATACACGTTTCTTTCCTCACCTGCTTCTTCACTGCCTTCCTCTACTTCCTCCTCCTCTTCCTCTCCACATTCCACCTGAGGAGAAAGCAGACTGGGCATCACCAATGCACGTTTGAGTGGGATGGAGGGCAGAGCAGGAGAGACTGGACTTAATACAGCAGTTTCTACAGTATTTGCTGGCTATGGCTACAGATAGAGTGAGGAGAGAGGAGTGTCCAGTTCAGCCTTTCTGACCTTCAGGACTAAGGCAGGAAACTTCACCACCCTGGACTTGGGCAGACTGCCACCACCCTAGAGGTGGGGGGTGGGCACTTCCTCAGGAGGGTTCAAGTGCGAGGCTGCCTTAGACGTGTGTGCGTTTGTGTGTGTAATGGGGGTGGGGGTGAGATCTGAATGAAAGAGAGAGATCCTTCTCAAAAGTTTCCAGGCTGTCACCCATTGCACAAGTGACTGTTGTGCTTGCACGAGGGCCTGTGCAGAGAAGGGCATGACAAGCACCTCTGCCTTGTACATGTGCGCGCATGCAGCATGCAGCTCAATTCAGGATGCATTTTTTCCTGCCAGGGGCACTTCCAGATCTCCTTTCTATTGTGGATCCGTGACAATCTGTGTTCATGATGGTTTCCGAGCAGTTGTACTCAATCCTACTTTTAATCCTGTCTGTGCCTGCAGAAGCTTTGGGGCAGACGCACTGCTTCATTTCTAGCCAGCTTCAGTAGCTTCCTGCTGAAATCCTGTAATTTTTCGTACCATAAATGCTCTAGGATTTATTTTGTCCCACTTTTATTGCGCTATGGGGCAAGAGTGCCTCTCTAAACAGCAATAATACAGTAACACTGGGAAAACATGCCAGAATAACAAATAAAGCAGAAGGATGTGGTTCAGTATAAATCCACCACTACTGCACTATTATTGTACCAATGATATGCCTGCGAAGAAAGAAAGAGGCCCTGGTCTTCTACAACCTGCAGAGTCTGTTTTATCACCAAGCAATGAAGATGAGGAGTCAGCCACAAATGATATGACAGGAAAAACACACTTCTTCTTCATATGTCTACTCCATCCATGTCTAAAGCAGGCTGGGGGGAGGGCAGTCTAAGCAACACCAATTCTTATATTAAAATAGATGTGTGGATGAGACACTCCCACTCCATTCCTACCAGAGCTTTTCTCCTCAGCCCATCACACTTTTACCATCAGAACAGTGCTGAGAGAACAGTGTGCTGAGCCTAACTCACCTTCATGGTCCTTTTGTTGTAAAAATTAGACCTCTCAGTTCCTGCTTTTGATTCAAACAGAACAGACGTGTGAGCTGCAAACATGGCTGCACTGCCTCATTTACTTCAGCCCTTTAAGGAGGAGCAGGGCAAGTTACCTCCATGCAACCTGTTGAGCCACTACAGCGCTCCACCATGTGACTAAAAGCTAGCAAGCCAGTTCACACATGCACACCTGGTTGAGGCCTGTGCTTACTAGAAATAGGCAGAAGAGGGCACTCTCTCAGAGGCTGAAGCAGACATGATGCAAAGGCCATAATTAAATCTCCAGGCCTTTCTTTGTCCTCCACCCCCTTAAAAGCAGCCACAGCAATGGCTCCAGTAATCATAAGAGGTGAAGTGTTGGGTGTTTATCATTCCCCTGTGCCATTTTTTGATCTGACCACACTCCACTGAAGCTGTCATGAACCCCAGGGGTGGGGGTGGGGGGATGGAGCTTTATGTACCTGGATGAAGCCTGTATTTGGGTGGAGGATAGAGGTAAAGGTAAAGGGACCCCTGACCATTAGGTCCAGTTGTGGCCGACTCTGGGGTTGCGGCGCTCATCTCGCTTTATGGGCCGAGGGAGCTGGCATACAGTTTCCGGGTCATGTGGCCAGCATGACTAAGCCGCTTCTGGTGAACCAGAGCAGCGCACAGAAACACCGTTTACCTTCCCGCCAGAGCGGTACCTATTTATCTACTTGCACTTTGGCATGCTTTCGAACTGCTAGGTTGGCAGGAGCAGGGACCGAGCAACGGTAGCTCACCCCATTGCAGGGATTCGAACTGCCGACCTTCTGATCAGCAAATCCTAGGCTCTGTGGTTTAACCCACAGCGCCACCCGCGTCCCTCTGGGTGGAGGATAGGGGGTCATAATAGCTGTGTGTGTGGTGGGGGATGGAGAGTGGGGGGTTGCACGAAGGGGTGTTCGGTCTTGCAAGTCTTTGCCTGAAGTCTGAAGTGGCACAGCCCAGAAACAGGCTGTGTTTCTTTACAGTGCAATCCTTACATCTGGTCCATGCTGTTAGACAGGGTTAGGTTGAAGTGCCAATGACTTTCTGCAGGTGGCGACTTTTGGTACTCAGTAGGGTAGGAAGCTTCCGCCAGTGGCAGATTGTGGAAATGCTCCAAATGGGTCTTAGCAGGCTACCAGTGGCTATACCTGTGGCACAGCAAAATCTGAAACAAAACCCCTTCTGCCCTGGCCAGCACCATGCAGAGTCCATTCTAGCTTGTACTGGACAGGGGAGGAGGTGCTGGGTGTTTTCTCTTTTAGATTTGGCCATGCCACTGGCCAGCAGCAGCCAGCAGGTTTCAAGTGCAGCGGTTGATCTGCCCTCCTGCTGCTCCCTGGGCAGAATTCGGATCGTTCTGTTAGTGAACTAGGCCATAAAGACACATAGAAATCAGCTGGCTAAGGCTGGTGGAAGTTGTAGACCAAAACCTCAGGAGGACATTGGATTGGCAAAAGCTGCCCTAGACAGTGATAATAAACAGAAAGTTATATATCTATTACTCATGTGGAATTGCTGCCTACTGATCTGTGGGAGGGCTACTTGCATCTCTAGAAGCAACAAGGTCAGAAATGAAGGTCAGGGTTTCAGTTCTCACCTTCACATTTTTCTCTTCTTCTTTCTCATTGCTCTGCTCCCCCTCTGCTGGTGCCTCTCTGAATTGTGGCAGGGAAGAGGGGGAAGAGGAGAGTTATAGAAAAGGGTAGAAAGGAAAATCTAGACTCTGCCTCAGGGGGAGGAGGACCCAAGGGGGAGGCGGGCTTATTTAAATGTGCCCTTTCTTTCAGAACAAAATCATCAGAAGGAAGCCTTACAATGAGCAATTTAAAAACAATACAAATAAAAACAAAGCTAGAAACTGAGCAACATTTGGTCAGTTCACTTTCTTCTCCAACCTGCCCCCACCCCCCCAGATTACAGTTCTCACTTTTCCTTGTGTTCCCCCTCCTTGGAGGTATTGATGTTGTCGCCATCTGCCAGATTGTCCACAGCAATGGCCAAGAAGACATTGAGCAGAATATCTGGGGTTGAAAGTTCAGAAAAATGTAACCTGATGCAATGGGGTAATAACCACCCCGAGCCAACACACCCTCAGGATGAGGGCTGCGCCCCCGTTAAAGACATGTGAACAGATTCATCATACAAGTTTTATTTGTTCATTCTAGCAATCAAATCTATATAAACTGTAAAAGCAATAGTTCTGAAAGAAGTTGTATACTATTATTTGCTGTTAGATTATGCACTAGTGTATCCTAGTCAGCATCCTCTTAGGAGAGGCATTTCATCCTGTGTGTGAGGGAAGTGAGAATGTCTCTTTCTAGATGATGCTCCTCATCTGCAGTTTCATAAGCATTTAAAAAGAATATATGCTGCCCAATCAAACCATGTATCCCAGCATTCACAGATGCAAATGCCCTTACTCCTGCTACCTGCCCTGTATCCGATCCCTATTTAAGCACTGCAGTAGCAACCACTATTCCATCCTAATGTAACCATGGGAAGGTCAGCTTGATTTCTAACTTCAGGGTCTGGAAAGGTGAGGACCTGAATTAAATTTGGGGGCCCGACTCAGCAATTTTTCATCAGCAATCTAGCAGCCTAGCATCAATCCTCTTGGACTTAAGGTCCATTAATCTTCACCGCCAATCAAAGGATACAGTTGCCGCAAATGAAGAGGATGATGAAATAGACACAGACCAGCATACCTGGGAAATAGGGGCCGCCATAGGCCATGATCCCATCATACATCACTGCATTCCAGTCCTCCCCTGTCAGGATCTGTGGCATGAGCAAAGGGAACAGCAAATATAATTAAGATAGTTCCACAATTAAATGTTGTTGTTTTTTAACTGCTTATTTAAAGTACTTATATGCTGCCGGCCAATACATTTATCCCAATACATTTATTACAATGCAATTTAAAACAAATCAATAATAAAATCAATTAGAGGTAATAAATAATGTAATTAGCACAGCACTCAACTCTACAGCAGTGTTCCTTGTGGTATTCCGGGGATGGGGAACTTGTGACACTCCAGATGAATGCAAGATAAATACTCACTGTCATATAATCATCCCGTAAACAAATCAGAATATGTGCTTAATAAAGACCAGACCCAAGACTTGCTCATACTTTCTCATCTTGCTGCTTTCCCCTGGGGAAAACCGACTCTTAGTGCTCAGTTGGAGCAAACAGCAATTTAAGTTTCCCCCAGACTGACATTTGCTCCAAGTTAAAGAGTGAGTTTTCCCTAGGAAAGGAAGAAGGGCAAGGAGAAAACTACTCGGTTGGACTCATGCTTTCTAGGCATGGGATAAACAGAAGTGTGGAAGAACCCTTTGTCTAACCACCAAGTAAATTTTGAGCAAGCAAATTAGGATGACTGTGAACAAACCAGTAATCATTTATGTTATATTCTTGGAAATATTTAGGGACTATGAGATAGTTCAGATTGTGAGCTTAAAATATAACAAAATAAAATATTCAGAAACAGTATAAACATGAGCCGATCTTTGAATATATCAGCTTCCTACCATCTGAATCTCTCTTGCTTATAGCCCCTAAATGGCTAGCGGCACCTTACTCTAAAGGAGCCGATAAAAACTTGGATCTTAGAATATGGTATCCTATTTTCAACTACTGAAATCTCAATACCTAGTCTCTGTAATACGGTAAGAAATGTTTCAGAACTATTGTTGCTTATCCTAGTGGGTATGCTTTATATTTTGATATCCATGTGTTATTAGAAGTATTTGTTTAGTAATAAAAATAGAAGATGAAAGCAAATATTCTCTTGTACCTGGTTACTGTATACAAAACCAAAATTGAACCTGACACAGTTTTAGGTATGCACTTTGTTAAAGTGCTTTTATCAGCTACAGGTGGTAAATTGGCAGCCTAGGGCTTCCAAAAGACTGTGATTATAAACTGAGAACACAAAGTCTAAATTCATGACACCATACATGTCTTTCTTTCCCTATCAACCCTTGAAACCCCCAGAAAACTAGGACCAGTCACAGTTTTGTATTGCTTCTCCCACAGTATGTATAATTAATATTATTATAATTGTGGTGATGAGGTGGGGTAAACCAAGGCCTGTATTTTTAGAATTTTAGGGTCAGCTAAATTAGAAGTGATTATGGCATACAGATCTGAGGGCAAGAATTGAAAGCTTAATGGAGATTGAAAGGATCTCTTTATTTTTGCTGTGAAACCACTACACCCCAACTGTTTTACTTCTGGTGGGATATATTTCCCATTTTGGAGTCCCAACCAAGAAAAAAGAGAACTGAGGTGCAGAGGTTAATAGGGTTAAAAGCTCAGGTTGGCACAGGGCAGCCTGCACACCTGCTCCTTCCTTATATGCAATTGGCCACAGAGCCGATATGAGCATACAGTGGTGCCTCGCAAGACGAAATTAATCCGTTCCGCGAGTGTCTTCGTCTAGCGGTTTTTTCGTCTTGCGAAGCAACCCTATTAGCGGCTTAGCGGATTAGCGCTATTAGCGGTTTAGCGGCTATTAAAGGCTTAGCGGCTTAGCGGCTTAGAAAAGGGGGGGGGAGCGAAAAAAAATCTCAAGACTCGCAAGACATTTCCGTCTTGCGAAGCAAGCCCATAGGGAAATTCGTCCTGCGAAGCAACTCAAAAACGGAAAACCCTTTCGTCTAGCGGGTTTTCCGTCTTGCAAGGCATTCGTCTTGCGGGGCACCACTGTACTAGTTTTGCCTCTCGTTCTGTAATGGATACCCATTAAAACTGTAACATGTGATTCTATGGAACTTTAAGCTCTTTTTTCTTCTGTGCACCAGGGTCAACAACCCTTCAGTTATTGAAGGGATCACACTGCTTCCTTGTACTGTTCTTTAAGTCTGTTTCAAGGACACAACTGAGTGGCTCCTAAGATCACCCATGAGTCATGGGAAGCTGCATTGACAGCTGTTGCCATTCCCTCCCTCTTGAACGTTTTTTTATAATAATAATAATAATAGTGGGATGGGGAAGTTGACAGGATTGGGATCCAGGTGGGAAATAAGGGGCTTCAACCATTTGTCCCTTACATAGCCCAGTCCCCAGTAAGCACCCAAACCTGTCGAAGGCTGGTCCCAGCCACCCCACTTGTACCCCATGTGTGTTTTTACCTGGAAGACTGTGAGCAAGGCCTGGGGGAACGTGTCAAAAGTACTGCGCTTGGTCTGGGTCTCATCAAAGTTGAACTTGCCCCCAAAAAGCTGCATGCCCAGCAATGAGAAGATGATAATGAAGAGGAAAAGCAAGAGCAGCAAGGACGCAATGGACTTCATGGAGTTCAGCAAGGAGGCCACGAGGTTGCTCAGCGAGGCCCAGTGCCTGGAAAGCAAACCAGGGATGGATAAATGGGTCGAGGGACTTGGGGCACTTCAGCTCACAGGTAAGAACCAGCACTACTAGAATAGGGATGGGGAAACTGGCCTCGCTGGCCTCCAACTCTCACCAGGCCCTGCTAGTATGGCCAATAGTCAAGGGACAATAGGAGCTGTACTCCAACAACATCTGCAGGGCAACAGGCTCCCCGCCCCTGATGTAGAGGAAGCAGATGTAAATTGTTCTTAGTTTCTGAGGGAAGAGGCTAATATAAGTGCAATAAGTACATACTGATCACCTGCCTAGGGTTCTATAGTAATATATCTTCAAGCCATAAGCAAATCAACCTGAATTTTCTAGCAGGCAACCACCTTGAATTAAGCTAACCCTGAGTGCATGCCCCAGCCCTAAGCAATGCCACCCAATCACCCATGACTATGACCACCACCTGACCTGGTGACTTTGAAGATCCGTAAGAGGCGGACACAGCGAAGCACAGAGATTCCAAGAGGTTGCATGATCTCAAACTCTACCAAGACAGTCTCCAGGATTCCACCACATACCACAAAACAATCAAAGCGGTTGAAGAAGCTGACAAAATAGGCCTGTAGTCCCAGGCTGTACATCTTCAACAGCATCTCCATGGTGAACAGTGATAACAGTACTTTGTTAGCATAAGCTGTGGCAAGAAAGAGTAGAGGGTCAACAAGAGGTATATGGGACAGCCTTATGCTCCTAGTCCTCAATGTTAATTAAGTACCACACAGTACACTGGGTGTCAGACAGACTAGAGGACAGATGCTTTTTCACAGTTTCCATCTGCAAAGTGGGAATAATATGTTGAAGACTCAAAATATTTTGAGCTGGACGAAAATGGCAGAGCAGAGAGGAGTAAATGGAGACTCCTCAGCTCTCCATTTGACCATCTTCTGCACTTCCCTGTTGATCCTTCTCTACAGAGTAACTCACATATACAAGGCACTTTGGAATGGATGGGGATGAGATCAGCTGCCCAAGTATTTTTCAGCAAGCCTACAAGTTCAAAACAGGGATGGTCAACTGGTAACCCGCAAACTAGACTGACCAAGCAGCTGTAGGATTTATATCATGCACTTCCAAACAATTCATGCATATCAGCTCAAGTATGCGCAATTTCAATATTCTCAGGGACCATATCATTTGTTCCCCAGATATCAGTCCATCCAGAGGTAGGAAATCCACACAGATGTGTAAGCGGTCATGCTCCATATCAAAGCTGGTGTCAGTTAGGATTTCCAGTAATGAAGAACATGTGCTCAGGGCAGGCAATGCATTGCATACAAACATATGCAGTTACATATTACATACTCGACACAGATAAATCTAAAGAGAGGAATGTAAAATATCTGAATATCTGTGTTTCTTATGGCTTGGACATGTTTTTCTTTTACTTGCAAATAGAACTGTGGGCAAAGTTTTTGCTATGTCTTGGTAAAGGTTTGTTAGGGCAGGAAAGAGCCAGATAAAATTGCCTTACAATAGGGATGGAGAAACGGTGCCCCTTGAGGCATCAGTGGGCTCCCTTTACCCCCCCCCCCGCCCCCAGCCAGCACATGCTGCCCAGTGTCAGGTCACGGATGATGGAAGTTAAAAGTCCAGCAACACCTTGAGGATCATAGTTCAGCCACTCCTGCTACAGAACAAGAACAGTAGATGGCAGTCAAGAATTTCTAAACCAGTGTGTGGTTTTGTTTAAGAGAAGTGGAACAACCAAATTTTGTTTCCCCCCAAAATCCATAGTTGGGGAAGGGAGGCAACAACCCCACCCCCCACCTCAGCCAATTGTATATTAAAAATTAATTCAAAACCATGTTCCTGCTTCTCAGTCCTGACCACAATCACTAAGCTACCCTCTTAGGCCACATCCATACCATACATTATCCACTTTAAACAGCAATGGTGCTCCAAAGAATCCTGGGAACTGTAGTTTGTTAAGAGGGTGGGGAGTTGTTAGGTGACCCCTGTTCCCTCACAGAGCTACAATTTCCAGAGTGGTTTAACAGTCAATCCCCCTTCCCAGCGAACTCTGTTTAAAGTGGCATGATACTGCTTTAAATGCATAGTGCAGATGGGCCTTAGAGGCTCTCCCTGCTCTGCGCTAACTCCTGGACAATACTCCCTTGCTGGCGCTATTATACATTCCCTGTGTCTTGCAACCCTACCTTGGATTTGCGTGAGCCAATCGGGCTGATTGTAATGCTCAGAGGCAATTGTGAGAGTGTTGAGAAAGACAAGGAGCAGGACCATCCAGTAGAAAGAGACGGATTTGACAGCCAGGCGACATTTCTTCCGGAAGAGACGGTTGATGCGTCGCACTCGGCGGCTGCAGCAGAGGGGGGACGGGAGGGGGACAGATATCACTGATGAGAGCCAGAGAGCAGGAGAGCACTGGGCAGAGGGAAAGGCAGCTTTCATCCTACTCACCCAAATTTGGTCTTGGAGAGCTTGCCTCTGTGGAAGACAGGAGAAATTCAACAAGAAAATGAAACACAACTCTCTCTCAGCTGCAGTTGAAAACTGAGAAATTACAAATTGATCAAGGATACAGGGGCAGCAGTTCTTAGAGGAGGCTCACAGACACTGTCAGCATTTCACATTTCACAGATATCCCAAACCCAAATTAGGGTTGCCAGGTGGCACCCCCGACATTTTATTTATTGATTTATTTTGCTAGCCTTTATGCTACACCTTTAACTGCAACCTGACAGGCAGAAATGAAGCAGATGGAAAATGTCTCCCATCACTGCATCTTCATGCCAAGAAAAGATTGCAGGCAAGAACACTAAAAAAATAGCCTATCTCTTTCTGTTTCTACTATCAGATAGTAAATATAGGACCGTCGCTAGAAGAATCACCTTCTAAAGTTGTCTCAGCTTTACCGCAGTTGCTCAGTTTTATGATCTGGGCTGGAATCTGACCTCTAGTAACCACTGGGTTAAGCCATGGTGCACAGAGGTTAAAGCAACAATCAAGAGTTGGGACAGCCCAACAATGTGTCTCCCCCTCTGCCCATCTCTATTCTGCCCTACCCTAGCAATTATTTTCTCATGTTCAGCTGCCAGGGGTGCCCCTACTATGAGGCAAGATGAGGCAGTTGCCCGAGAAAGCATATTTTGAGTGCTATCAAGGGAGACAGAGTGGGACAGCGGGTGGTAACTAGACCTGCCAACGGAAGCCACTGCAAGGGCTTCTGCTTTTCTTCCCCTCGCCTCCCCCCATTCCTCCCTCCTCCCCGCCAAATTGGCTTCAGCAGAGATCAGGATAACCCCCAGAACAGTGTACAGGGGGACGAAAGGGCAGATTATTCCACCAGGCAAGCAGGAATGCTTGCACTGACAGAGTAATCTGCTTAGCATTATTCTGAATTCCTCCCAGCAAGAAGCAACATATGGGACCCAATCCACTTGGACTTTCTCATGTGCAAATCTTACTAAAATGAATATAAGCTGCTGAAGAGCACTGATAAATTGTGCCATATTAAGTCACAGCGGTAAAGGAACTGTGTCATGTTTAACTTAAGGGCCTAAAAATGCCTTAGACTGGTTACATTCTTGGCAAGACACACTCGCCCTTCAGTGCTGATTTGGGCACCATTACAAAGCACTCTTGCCTGAAAGGAGAGAACACACTGTGGTAAACAGGAGGAAGTGGTTAGCAATGTAGGTTAGGTTCAAACTATGAAGCTCTTTCTAGGCTTATTTTAAATCTAGAATCAAAGCTATCTGGATGGTAAAGTTGCAGCCTCTCTACATTTGCCCATAGTCTTGTTTTCAGCACACTGAGCTAATTCGCTCAGCTGCCTGGCTGCCACTGCTGCTCTACCACTCCTCCATCTCTTCTATTTTACACGGAGTATGTGATGTCACTGTGGTACTCAGCCTCCTTCATTCAGCATGGAAACAGAGGAGGAGGCAGAGTGGTGGAGCAGCACACAATCATTGGCAGAGAGGAGAACTGTCAGAGCATCTCAGCAGCAGTGCCCACCTGCCTTCTTGCTTGTCAGCCCACCCACTTTACTTCATGCAAGACCACCTGCCCAGATGACTGAGCCCAGACTAGACCTGGAAGAAGAGGGTAGCAGCAACAGGAGTGCCGTCTATAAGCTTCAGCTTTAGGGATAGCCTAACTTCTGTTGTCTACACTCTGGTAACCTCTGGGTTAGATTACTGCAATACATTATATGTGGGGCTGCCTCTGAGGATGGTTCAGAAACTTCTGCTGGTGCAGAATTCAACAGCCAGGTTGCTCATTGGGGCAAGACGATTTGAGAATAATGCCAATCGTGGCCTGACTGCACTGGCTGTTTTTAACCCACAAAGCCTTAAAGAGCTCAGGACCACAATGCCTCAAGGACCATCTCTCCCCATATGAAGTGACCCAGACCCTGCAACCATCACCAGAGGCCATTCTTTGTGTGCCTCCACAGAAAATCCAGAGGGTGGCAACATGAGAGCAGACCTTTTCTGCAGTGGCTCCCCATTTGTGGAATGCTCTCCCCAGGGAGGCTCGCCTGGTGTCATCATTATATATCTTTAGGCGCCAGGCAAAAACGTTCCTCTTCTCCTAGGCCTTGGCATTTTAAATTGGGGGCGGGGTACTGTTTTTGTTTGTTAATACGTTATGTTATTTTGTGGGTGGTGTGTTTTTTTGTAAACTCCCCTGTGAGTCAACCCCAACCCAAAGAAACTGAAAATGTAACATTACTGTACTAATCCATTCTGCCCTCCCTCCCTTTGACTAAGGAAACTCACAAACTCACAAACACACATCGCAGCAATTGTTCTGGTGATGCTCTTCCTCCCCAACATTCTCCGTATTCACTGAGGTGGTTTCACTGGCAGGGAGACTGGCTGGAGAGAGAGAAAAGCAAGTGGGATTTTCAAAAACAGCACAAAGTCCTCTCTGCACCATTTCTTATAATTATCCAGGCCCACTGCCTGGCATTAAAACCACAACTCTGACTTCCCTTCGGCGTCATGAATGTGACATTGGTCACATTCATCATAAGAGTAGGTTGAAAGTTTGAAAAGTTAAAATTTTGGCTGAATTAATGAAATAAAGGAAACTGCCTTTTGTTTCCATGGCTACCACCTCTGTTGCAGTGACAGTGGTGCTGAAATTCCCAGTTGCCATTGGCTGGGGCCACCATTTTGCTTTCCCCATAATGCCCTTGTGAGTGATGGATGTCATCATGTGGGGGGCGGGAATGGCATCTGCCAACAGCTGTCCACTGGGAGCAGCATAATGCAGACCAGAGGGAGGAGGGAGTCCGTCTCTGAGACAGAAAATTCACTGCACTCCAAAACATCCCACAACATGAGCTCAGCCCAACACAAGAAATTTGTTTTTGTTGTTGTTGTTCCCAAATGTACTTCTAAGGCTGAATACAAAAAAAGGTTTTTTAAAAAGTAAGAAGTTGTTTGAAAAAGCCTTCTCTTCCAATGGTGTACACATACTGCCACCTCTTATTAAACAAGTTTTGCAGGTGTTCGAAACAATTCAAAAACCTGCTTCCCAAGAGGCAAAAATCAGGAAATGTGTAACCATATTAAGCATTTTCAAACTGCATTCAACTTTGGAAGACAAAAACCTGTCTCCAGCTTAAGCATGAAGATGGATGTAACATAAAAAGAAAATATGAATGAAATCAAAGTAGGCTGTGGATGAAGCATAGGTGGGGGATTGGACAGAAATACATGATACGTTTTGAATATATATTTTTCTGCTTAGCTCTTAAAGAGAATGAAACATGGCTACTTATGGAAGAAAATGAGGAAATTACTGTGGGTGTCGGAGGAGTGACTGCTGTATCCGAACCATTTCTTCTTCTTCTTCTCCGTCAGGTCTGCCACAGTCACGCCTTCCATAAGCAAGGCAGGGATGAATGACAGGATGGAGGGATGAATAGGAAAGGAAATAATTTAGGGAAAGGGGTAAATGAATGAAGAATAACAAACTAATGTGAATTACATAACAAAGACAATGGAGAAAAGTGGACAAGTTTCTCTTGCTCTCTTCAAATTGCTTTTTCTTATGTCAAAGTTGCCAAGATTAAACAAAGAAGCAAGGGCTCCTCCACCCCCGATTTGCACTTCCTAGTACTGAAAGCTACAGGGGCAGACTTGCGCTTTCCACACGTCAGCTGATAATGTGCTTTCTGGGGATCCAGGGGCGAGTGAAGGCATAGGGACACCCGGGGCGGGGCTAAGCAGGTGCATGTGTGGCATTGCTACGTACGATGCATGCACTGTATGTAGCGACGCTGCACATGCGCTGTACATAGCAGTTTGCCAGCGGCGCCACTCCAGCGCTGTACGGATGGTGCCAGGATCCTCTGCTCGCGGCTGCAGCCACAAACGGAGGATCCTCCACATGTGGCTGTGTGATGGCTGCTTGCACTGCCCCCGCTTGTGATGGCAGCGCAAGCCCCCGCAGGGTGCCTTCTTGTCACCCCCCCCCAGACAGGGCACCTGGGTCGCACCACGCCCCCATTGCGACCCCACTGTGTACACCCCACTAAGCTCCATCCAAACAAGTGGGTGTGACACAGCCATGAACCTTTATGAAGGTACAATCCGATACCATATTTTTCATCATATTTCAGTGCAAATGTTAAAACTGATTAAAAACATTATTTTAAAGTAGTGTTGAACAAATTTTAGAAGTTTACTAAAAAGTGTTTTAGTGCTAACTAACAGATCAGCAGAGAAAAACGGGCACTAAAATGGTGCTGATTGAAAAGCAACATGTCATTTTTAATTCTAAAAAAGTAGATTTTCGCTAGAGCACTTTCCCCTCATTTATCTATTTATATAGCTCTGTCTAAAATAGACATAAGGAAACAACAAAGGAGGGGGGATGGAGGCAGTGGGAAGCAGGGGAAACACTTGTGATTATTTTCATTACACGTACCTGTGCTATTTTTCTAGAAAAAATGGTGCTAGTACTCACTAGCCGTCCTTGTTTTCTTATAATGGCTATGGCACCCACCTGAGAGGTGCCGGAACTAAGTTCCTGTGAGTTCTGGCTTAAAAAAAGCCCTGATATATTCTTTGCCTTAATTACAACAGGTTCACGCTTTAAAGCTCTGTGTCTGAGCTCTCTCTCTCCCTTGCTCCAAAGCTTTCCCTGTGAAAACCCACTCTTTACTGCTGAATTGGAGTAAACGGCAATCTGCTGAAAACCCGCATTGCTTTTTGTTATGCTTCAGCTTTAAAGTTTGCACAAGGAAACCTGTGCCTGGAAAGAGCAGGGCTAAAGGTAAGTGTAGATAAGCCCCTAGTTGGAGCACACTGGGACTCCTCCAGTTGCCTCCATTTCTGAGAGGGGAGTCAGAGAGGCAGAAGGGTGAAAGGACCAAGATTCTCCAAATTTGTCCTCAGCTGACTGGGGAGGGAATACAGATGAGATGAATAGGAGACTCATAAATATCTGTCTACTCACAATGCAGACCTTAGTTGCTCTTACCACTTGCTCAGCGACCCCAAAGTAACTAATGAGGTCCCAATGAACTAATTAACTCAGTGCCAGGGGTTTTACCCTTGGAACTCTCTTCCATTTTCCCTTGCTGCAAATTATAGCCATGGGGAAGGGTACGCACAAGTAAAAGCATGCTACTAATTGGCCAATTCTGGGCATTGCTGAAGGAAAGAGCACAACCCCTGTATCCCTTCCCTCAGCAAAAGGCAGAGGGAGAAAAATAAAGAGACAGAGGGATTGGCCTGGCCTGCCCTTCTGTTCTGTTCCTGCCATCCAGTCGTGTCCCCGACCGCCAGATCCACCTGCTTCCCCAGTAGGTACACGGCATCCGACTCCCCTCCCTCCTCTCCACAAGAAGGATCCCTTCCCCAGCTGCCAGTTTGCTCAGGTTCTCACTAATCTTGCATCGCTGCTGCTTGGATTGATTCCTCTCTAATCCCCTCACCCAGAGCTGCCACAAGGCCCAGATGGTAGCATCCAGGCCACTGACTAAACTGTCCCCTCCTTCAGCAGGGCACTGGTCTCTGGCAAAGCAGGGCTAGGAAGCTGGCAGCGGGTGGCAGGCGGAGCCCTTACGAGTGTGCTTCTCGTCTGCCTCGTCCCCTTCCTCGTCAGGCTCGATGTCTTCGGCCTGCGTGATCCAATCCAAATAGCCCTTCAGGTCTTCCTCCATCTGCTGCTTCTCCCGTAACTTTTGGAAGTCACCCCGGGCCTTTGCCTTCTCTCGCTCCTTGGAAAATTCTCTGTGGGGAGAAATGGGTCAAATTAGCTGCACAGGCCAGCTTAGCCATCTGCTGAAAGACACCTACTGGTGCAAAGCCCGCCTGCCAGTAGCACAGCCTTTGATCCAGCTGGTTGTCATGTGTTTGGCACAGCCGGAAAGCTCTCTCGGTGCTTAAGGGACACACAGGGCTGAATCAAAACATCAGAAAGTCAGAGCAGGGAATGGGAAATTAAGTACAAGCTCCCACCTACCTCCACAAACATATAATACATACACTCCAATGTCAGGATCATCCACGTGCCAGCTACCCACAGATCTGGCCACCTCAGCTAGGCCACAGATGTCACAGGCAGACAGCGAACAGAAAATACACCACAGATGGTCAACCTGTGACATGGGGTTATGACAGTTCATGGCACTTCTGAACCACTCCTGAAATCTGCAGCACTCCTGGCTATGGCATACGAGAGTCAGGCCTGAATTCTTGCCTGACACGCTAGTTCTGCACTGCTCTGCTCTACAGATCCATAGATTAGAGGCAAAACCATAACAAGGCACAGGGTGACAAAAGAGCAGCCCTGCTAGATCAGACCAAAGGCCCATCTAGGGCAGCATTTTGTTCTCACAGAGGCCAGCCAGATGCTTATGGAGATTCCACAGCAGGACATGAGCACCACAGCACTTTCCCACTCATGGATCCCAAGCCTGTGAGGTAGATTAGGCTGAGAGACAGTGAGTGGCCCAAGGTCACCAAGTGAGCTTCATGGCCGAGTGGGGACTAGACCGCTGCTCTTCCAGGTCTTAGCCCAACACTCTAACCACCATACCACTCGGGGTCTCTATTATAACGTCTAATGCTTTGGGCATGGCTTGTGTCACACTCAAGGCTGCCCCAAGACATTTTGGAACCTGCAGTGAACCACAAAATAGTGCCTCCACTCTGGCCAGGAAAGAAGGGGTGAGTTAAGATCTACATCTGGAACAATGGGGAAATAAAGATCTATATCAGGAACAAGAGTTGGAAGAGACCAGCAGCACCTCCTGTTTGCAAAGAGGCTGCAGTAGAGGCAGCGGGGGGGGGGGGCTTGCCAAGGAGATCTTGCTCTCCAAGAAGTGTGCCGCAGCTGTTGCTGCCACTGCAGCAGTGGCAACAGTGGGCGATGCTTTCCTTGGAGGGCGCGTCTGCTGCCCCTGTGGATCCTGCTGCCTGAGGTTGTCGCCTCACCTTGCCTCATGGCTGGGCTGGCCCTGTGCACACCTGCTAAAAAAAATCAGTCACCACTGCTATTATACACTATATCAAAGTGGCCTGACAAGTCGGCAACTCAGCAGAATGGCTCTTCCCTTTGCCTGGCATCTGGCATCAGTCATTCTGGCCCTAAATCCATAACCCACTAGCTTCTTCTGCTCCCTTCACTGGGGGGGAACCGGGACCACATCAACTGTCAGCAATCATTGCACACACTCACTTGCATATGCTAGGCTAAAAGACATCATACCAACTCATGGTTCACGCTAAGCAGTTAACTACACAAGAGATGTCATGGTTTAGAGAGGTGGTCTGCTACCATTTCCCGTTTTATCAGTACTCAGGTTTATAACTTCATTCTACTAGGTGTGTCTTTGAGAAGGTAAGCAACCATTGTAAACTATGCTTTCTTAATTCAGATATCAGACTAAACCATAGTTAACAAATATAGTACTTCAAACCAAGTTTTCTGGTTTTGGTTTGCCCAACAATAGTTTGTCAATTTAGACATCACACAATATCATAATTACATTTTCTGGTTTTATTTTATGTCCTTCCTACCCTCTTTTTGCTTATGCCTCATTCTTCCTATCTGACCGTGAACCCATGGGAACGGGTTTGTCCCCTCACACCCCGTGTGGGGCTAACATTACTTTAAGCACCCAATGAATGAATCATAACAATTCCACGATTTATACAAGCAAGTGAAACTACATGCTACCATGAAAAACCAAATATAGAATCACTACTACTAGACTTGCGAGGTGGAAAGTGGGTGTCAGTGCAGAATCTTCCCCACTAAAATATAACCATTTGATACTGCAAATGAGCAAAATCAATTCAACAGATATTACAAAGTACAAATGCAACCCCTGCTACCCTGGGCAGATTCTGGATCTCTCACAGAAGTCACCTCCCCATTTGAATGCTGGTGGAAGCATTTTGTGTGAATGGTTACATGCTATCTATTTATCCAGCTATCCAGTTACCACATGTATGTAGGCACAAGAAGCAGCCCTCAAAGGCATCCCAGAAATACACTGGCTGATTCACATGCTATACTCACTCCAAATCCGACTTACCCACTCAGCACACCCAAAACCAGATTGAGCACGAAGAAGGAGCCAAAGATGACAAGGCTGACAAAGTAGAGCCAGGGCAGCTCGTGACCCATTGCATCCTGCATCTGGAGTAGAGAGAGGGACCATAAGCAGAAAATTGTATGGTTTGCTCTGTATGAGCCATTGGCAGTGCTGCTCCCCCCCCCCCCCACTAGTGGAGGAAGCTGCCTCACCCAGTAGAGCACATCGGTCCAACCTTCCATGGTGATGCACTGGAAGACAGTCAGCATGGCAAAAAAGAAGTTGTCGAAATTGGTGATGCCACCATTGGGTCCTTCCCACTTCCCACGGCACTCACTATTGTTCGTCAAGCATTCCCGTCCGTGCCCAGAGAAGGCACAAGGTGATGGGTCCTCCTCAGCCTCCAGGTCTGCAAGGGATGCAGAGATATTTTTTTTGGGGGGGTGGACAGACAGGGAGAAGAGTGACAGGTTCATTCTAGTGCTGAACCAAACTATGTTTCACAAACATCTGCATATCTCTCAAACTGTGCCCTGTATTTCCAACACCCCCCACCCCCAACTACTAAAATACACACACACCAAAAATTCACTTGATAGTTCAATGTTCTTTTAACATTTAGGCATTTAAGCATATCAGTAGACAGCTTTTAAAATCCAGTCATGCATTTATGTTGCTGAAAATGACACTGGCTATTTGGGTTAGAATCATAGAATTGTAGAGATGGAAGGAATTCTGAGGGTCATCTAGTCCAACCCCCTGCAGTGCAGGAATATGCAGGTGGCTCGAATGGGGATCAAACCCATGGCCTTGGCATTATCAGCAACACACGCTATCTAACTGAGCTAAGAGAGGTTGCATGTGTAATAGGGAGCCCTTGGAGCACCCACAATTGCCTAACCTTGACTCCCATAGGTTCAGGTCGGGGGTCACAAGCAAGAGACTTCAGCCAGGAGATAGAAGCAAAACGGTGGCCTTTAGGCCTGATCTTTATTGTTGCAAGACCTCCCACCACCACAAGCACGAAGCAGCCGGAAGCCCCAAACATTGTTACGTCAGTTTTAAAAGTTTCCCATAATACATTTCCAGAAGCATCATCAAGACATCATAGATACGTCACGGAAAAGGTGTGGTCACAGGTAGAACCTGAGATCCAGGAATGTACCTGTCAATCAAATATAGTCTTTCACAGTACAAACTCCTTGCAAAGGTCCTGCAGACAGACATGACTGTACATCTCAGGGATTATGGTGGGCTCACTAACCCCTCCCCTTATACCTCACTTCCCTGGGTCCTAAATGTCATTGGAACTGAGACTGATACAATGAGTAATTTCTTATGGATTTCTAAAGTTTTCTCATTGAGCCAGTACGTAGATACATTTACCAGTGAATTACTACATTTGGTATTGACACTTCCCCTGTTTTCCTTTGTTGGAGGCCTGAGGCTCCGTGGGGAGGCGTGGGCACCTTCTGCAAACTCTGCTGCCATGCTCTGCTCTGGAGCCTCTGACCAAACTGGCACCTTGCGAATGGAGCTTTGAACCCAAATGAAGGAGGTTTTGATAATGTGCAGTGAAGACTCCCTGTTCTTGCCTCGTGATGAGGCAAGGCTGGGGGGGGGGGTCTCTCAACCTCTCCCATTCAATTTCCCTGTAACACATGAAACTCACTATGTAGCTCCTGATCACACTGTGAAAGGCTCTTTCAAGTTTATAACAATAACAACAAAGCAGCAGATGATGATAAAAGATAGCTGCAAATAGGTATGAAAAAATGTTTGAAAGAGAAGCCTTTCACATTCTTCAAAACTGCAGCTCTCACACTGAAAACTGAATTCAACAGAAATTCATCCCAGCAGTGCTATTCCCCATTCTGGAAGGAAGGAGTAGGATTATTCCCTACAGTTCATTTGCACACACTTGGATTGGTCTCTCTCCCTAAAATTTAACATTTTTGGAGGCGAGAATGATCTACATACCTCCCCCACACACTTGCAGAACTATACCTGAACCAACGATGAAGCAGGTCTTGTGCATGCGGCCGATAAAGAGCTCCAAGCCAATGATAGCATAGATGATGATGACGAAAAGGACAAGCAGTGCAATGTGCAGGAGGGGCACCATGGCTTTCATGATAGAGTTCAAGACAATGTGCAGGCCTAGTTGGTGGAGAGGATTCAGAACATGGTGTTAACTTTGCAGAAGCATGATGAGCAGTGCTGCAACATGCAGAACAATCACAACTGGCCATGTATACAGGAGCACATGGCTGCAGGCGGAGAGCTCAGTCTCAGGAGCAGAATACAACCAGAAGGGGTGGAGGCATTCTCCTTCACAGCACAATGAACATTTGTAGAGAACCTGAAGCTAAATCATTTGCAGATGAATTGTCTCTGGGTCAAATTTCATACACGGCATTGAAGGAGCTGCTCCTGCTATCCATTGTGCAATGTGCTTGCAGCAGTGCAGAGCATGGTGAATACGGCTGTGTGCTGCTGTGCATAGCATGTAATACAATGTGGAAGCATGAACTAAAATGCAAGTGGTGCTTTAATGTGGCCCTGCACAGCAGGCATGCAGTTTGTGGGAACTGTATTTAAGGAGACTTGCAGAGTGGCTGTAAGTCACAATAATGCAATCACACGGAATGTGTCGATGTGCTGCCTAGCAAGACAGCATGCAAATATGTGCACGTGGTATGCTCTGGGTAATACTGTGTGTCTGCATGGAAGCCAACATGAAGCTCGATGTGCAGGTCTGATTGTATACAGTGCAATGCCTGTGATGCATTGTAGCAGATTAAACATGAGCTGCAGTATAATACTGCAGTGCGATCTAGTGCAGAATGATAGCATATGTTTTGGCAAAATAAAGTGACTCTGGCTAATGCCACAACATGCAGTGAGGTGCAATAAGGCAACCATTATGTGGCATATGCCCCAAAATTGCTGTGAATGGTCTTTATTGCTCTGTGGTATAGCAGCGCAACTGTGCACAATGCAGTGTGGATATGGCATCACAAGAACACTGCGACAACACATGGTACAGCACCTCTCTGCTCAATACGCTACTCTGGCAAAGCAAAGCAGAGTGCAGCCACTATGCAGCTAGCAGCAAAACCAATACAGTGGTACCTCGAGTTACAAACGCCTCAGGTTACAAACTCCACTAACCTGGAAGAGTAACCTCGAGTTGAGAACTTTGCCCCAGGATGAGAATGGAAATCATGTGCCGGCGGCACAACAGCAGCAAGAGGCCCCATTAGCGAAAGCAAGCCTCTAGTTAAGAACAGTTTCAGGTTAAGAACAGACTTCTGGAACGAATTAAGTTCATAACTAGAGGTACCACTGTATGTACAGTTAGGCACATGATATGTGGTACAGCAGAAATACCATCTACAGTACAGCGTATATGTACAGTGTATAAATGCAGCTCAGAGCATCAACCCAACGGCATCTCAATTTGACCCAAAGCAGTGCAAATGATAGTGCACTGATTGTTATTGGCTTCTTTCTTCAGAGACTACTACCAAGGAAACATATGGGGGGCCCTCCAGACATCCTTTTTATTGCACATCATGATTATTTGCGCTCTTGATGATTTTGGGGCAGTTACATGTGATCCCACTTTCAATACTGTTTGCACCTGCAGAAGTTTTGGAATGGTCAGACGGCTTCATTTCCAGTCAGCGCATGCCCGGTAACTTCCAGCTGAAACCCCTTAATTTTTATACCCCAAATGTTCTGGTTTATTTTTGTCCTCCATTTGTTGTGCTGATAGCTCCTCTGGCTAGCAATAATGGGAGAGCATTGGGGAGACATCACACAACAAACTAAAGCAGAATCAATTAACCACTACATGTATGATTATTGTGTCAAGAACATATTGCAGAAAGTTCACCAACAATTAAACACCAGTCCGGAGGCGCCCTGTTTGTAAAAGAGAAAGATGCTTACTAGGGACACCAGAGACGAGGCGCAGAGGTCTCAGGACACGGAAGGCTCTCAGAGCTTTGACATCAAACCCACCCGGCTTCCCACTCATGTGATGAGCCTCTCCAGGCTTGTGGGAAACTTGTTCCAGGATGACACTGAAGAGACTGTGGGGGGGAGAAAGGACCACGATGAGACAGGCAGGGGACCTTTCTTCCCATGAAGAGCCCACCCAAACACAGATAAAAGAATGGCAAACTAGCTTCTAGCCCCATAGACCCATTTATGGCCTTCACTCTCTAGGGCTAACAGTGTGAAGCAGGCCCTGGTGGGTATTATTGTTATCATCATCATTATTATATCCACTCCATGGTCCCAGAGCGAGTTACAACAATTAAAACACAATGTTGAGGTGCCAGCCACTGATAGACCAATCCTATATTTTAATCCCTTTTAAAACTACCTTAAGGAGGGGGTGGTCAGATCTAATTCTAGAGATCGGTGTTCTTCATTGGATGAGGACTCAGAGTATTGATCCTCAGGCTATAAGGACTATCCCCTTTTCAAGATCATTCCCCTTAACCTAATCCCAAAGGGAACTAAGGATTTGGGGATTGTCTGGGGAGATGCTTGAGCCTTCCCCCCCCCCCCACAAAACACCAGAGCTGGGCTCTAAAATGTGGGGTATAATAAAGGCAATTAAGCATAATTCCTTTTGCTCTCCTCTGAGCAACAATAGCTGGCCTCCACATATCTGATAAATTACACTTGAATCCTCAGGGCATCGTATACAAGGTTATTCCATTTTATCCTCAAAATAGTGAGAAAGTGGCCTGGGCTTACCCAGTGAGCTTTACCACTAAGCAGAGAAGAAATCTGAATTCAGCTCTCCCTGGTCCATGCCCAACACTGTCTACTGCTGTACACTGCTGCTCAACAGATGGCTCATGATCCATGCCAGCATCTGACACACCATGGCAATAGGTCCTGGGGCACACATTTAATATAATGACGTGCAGCCATTTTGGGTGGTAAAATGTCCTTGATGGCCCTGATGATGGTGGAGGGGGTTTTACTTGGGACTTCTGCAAAGAAGGCTTGCCTGAGGGTTATGGCTCCAGGAGAAATACCCCCCCCCCGGCAGTGGATGGCTTGGTATGTAGCACATATTGCAGTCTGAATTGCATGGGCCATGTGTAGGGGACCTTCGGTCCTCCAAATGTTGCCGAACTAAAACTCCAGTCAGCCCTAGCAAGTATGACCAATATGTAGTTCAGCAATATCAGAAGGGCCACATAGACCCCACACCAGTCATAGGTTAATTTGTAAGCAAATGAACAAGTGGGATGGCATAGCCTTTTAACAGACTTGCCATGTCTCTGGAGCTGACCTCAAGTTTCAGGATCTTTATCAGATGGAGAGAAACCTCCAGGCACAGCAGGATCTCAGGCTGGCAGGGGGTGTAGGAAACTGCCTTGAAGTAGGTCTGCCCAGTGCAAGACAGGCTCTTTAGGTTATTGAGCAAAGGTTTTTCCCCCAATCACCTGATCCTTTCAACCAGAGGTGCTGGTTCTGAACCTGGATCCTTCCATGTGCAAAGTGTGGTCCCTCCCACTGAATTAAGAGGTCTGGCTATTGTCCTCTTTTATTTGTGTTATTGATTTTTATAAGTATATATACCACCCAATACTTTTTGATTCCAGGGTAATTAGCAATCACACAAAAACACCATTAAAACTACAATAAAACAGCATAAGACAATTTAAATGTACTGTATCTAAGAGTCACGGTGAATTTGGATAAAGTGTTATCTACATGATCTCTGTTGGGTCATATATGCAAGATAATTGCCCATTTTGTTTATTTTATTTAAAATGAAATAAAATTAATTTATATAAAAAAGACATGATGAATAATTGAAAAATGTTTTCAACTGGCACCTAAAAGGTAGCAAAGAAGGTGCCAGTCAGAACTCTCTGGAGAGGATGTTCCCCAAACTGAGGACCACAACCAAGCATGTCCATGTTCACCAGCTGCTTCACCTCTGGCAGCAGAGGCATCTGGGGAAGCACATTTCAGGTGGCTTCCATAAATGGGCAGCTTGGTGTGCTGCAGGGATTCTTTTGCTTGAGAGCTTTTACAATTAATTCCATGTCCTTCCCCTGCCTCATGTCCATCAGACTCTCCTTTCAGGCACCAGGGTGCCAGGTGTCAACCCTTGTCCCGACCAGGGACCATAGTAGGCCTCATTCCTCTCTTAGCAGGCCCCACACTTTGAACTACCAGGTACCACCCCTTAGGTCACAGGTAGGGATGGGTGAATGTCTATTTCAGTTTCTCATTTTCTAGGCTTAAGCACAGCTCTTCACATTTCAACATCAGTTTGCTTTATTTTTTAAAAGGCCTCATGAAAATTCATCAGCATTTTAGTGCTGCTCTGCTCGTTCCCTTCTACTTTATTTGATGTTGTGTCTGCATGGCCTATTTACAATAAGAGTCCTATTCATATGTTCAAGGCATAAGCATTTAGCAATGGGCACTGGCTCTGGCTAGCTGACCATTTCAAGTCCCTTCAAACACAAGACTTGGGCCTCTCTCCCTTCCTACTAACATTGCCAGGTACAGACCCCCAATAGGGCTTCCTGTACTTTTAACTGTTTGGTTGAAAGAATTATGACAGCTTTGTCCATCACAGTGGTAAGAAAGGACACATCCTTTGGCACACATTTTACAGAAACAAGGGCTTTTCTCAGGACCTGGATCTAATTCCTCAACTTCGTTAATAATCGCTTGCTATACAGACTTATTTGCATTAAGATGCTGCAGTAGAGCTGCGCTACTGCAGTTTCCCCAAATCTCCCCTCTCTCTGTTGCCAGGCAGTCCATTTGGAGAGATATACTTGGGACTTTTGGCAACCTGCAGAAGTGATTTGCACTCACTCATCATGCCATGGAAAAAACTCACCCCACCACAACGATGACAAAATCGAGAAGGTTCCAGCCATTGCGGATGTAGGCGCTGGGATGCATGACCAGTCCATAGGCAAGGATCTTGAGGAAAGTCTCCACCGTGAATATGATGAGAAAAACATACTCCACTTGCTCCTGTGGAGGAAGAAGGCCAGTAGGCCCAAATTATACTTCCAAACTTCTCCTGCTTGTGTCCTGAGAAGCAATCTATCACTTTACAGTAGTACCTCAGGTTACATATGCTTCAGGTTACAGACTCCACTAACCCAGAAATAGTACCTCGGGTTAAGAACTTTGCTTCAGGATGAGAACATAAATCGTGCTCCGGCGGCGCGGCAGCAGCAGGAGGCCCCATTAGCTAAAGTGGTGCTTCAGGTTAAGAACAGTTTCAGGTTAAGAACGGACCTCCGGAACGAATTAAGTACTTAACCTGAGGTACCACTGTATTGGGATTTGAAACCAGTCACATGTTCCAAAGTCAGGACAATCCCAAAGAGCTCCACTTGAAAGCTCCAGTTCTGGAAAGTTACACTAGAGAAAGAGACTGGAAATTCCCATCAAGGGAAATGGACAAAAAATTCTCTGGATTAGCATTATCTCAGTCCAACACCAGCACAAGCAGCTTACAGAGTGGGCAAGGAAATAGGAGGGAGAGAAAAGAGTTGGGAGTATCACACATATGCAAGGCTACAGGAATAAGTGTGGCCACTTGCACACACACTCCCCAGAAAAGAGGAGCATGCATTTGCCACTCACGGCATGCAAAATTCAATATAAATAAACACAAAAACACAGAGAAGAAAAGATATGTGGAGCTATAGCACATAACCCAGAAATCCCGATCAATAGGCCATCCCTATCACATCTTTACTGAGACCCACTAGTAAGAGAACCAGAAACACAGTGCAGTTAGCACTACTTTCTGCTTCTTTCCTTTTATACCAATAAATGTTATCCTCTCCTTCAGTGAGAACAGAATCTCTGGACTCTGTCCTGCCATTGTAAACAACAAAGCCCTCCCACAGTGGTACAGTATATGTACTGTGTGAACTGTAAAAAAATTAATTCTTAAAAAAATGGCTGGCAGAGAAATGAGATCAAGTTCTGTCTTTGACTTCACTGGTGTCAAGCATTTCTGGATTTACCCTAGAGGGGAGAAACAGAGATCAGAAACTGGCCCCCATCCAGTTTCAGTCATGGATTATTCTGGATTTACTCCAGGGAAGCTGAGATCAAACTCCAGCCCTGACCCCAGCTGCAATCAGCAGATGACTTCAAATTCATAGGGGAGCTTCTGTGGCCTCACTGCAAGACCCTCGGTCACCAGGGTGAACTAGGAAGCTGTGGGGATGAGGGGGCAAGGGGCAGCCTGTTGCCTCAGCTGCCCTCAGTCAGGTGGTGGATTAATGGTTATTAAGAGATAATAGTTTTAATTAGCATTAACGTGTTGCCTCAGACAGAAATCAAGATGTAAAAGTGGAATCATTAAGGAAGAAGGAGGCCACGGCAAAGGAGTTTACTGGACTACAAGGTGAAGAAAAATAAGGAGCAGCTGCGTGATCCAGGATTTGGGGTATCTCTAGCCGGAAGGTGGCATGTGGTGGGTTACAGCAAGGAAGCAGACCTTGGAGACAATATTCCTGGCTTCACATGATGTTGTCTTCCTGTGTCAGCCCTTGGGCCTACCCATCTAGTTCAGTACCTGTACTATCTGACAACAGTTTTCTGAGGCCTCCAGCTGTCCAAAATCCTTTTCCCTGCATCCTTCAGCATGCAGAATATGTGCTCTGCCATTGCACTATGCTCTCCCCCACTCCCCACCCTTTCCTCCAAGGCTTTGGGAAAGGCACTCACCAAGTTGTGGTTGGAGACATTCGAGTCGTCCTCAGGGAAAGGGATATAGACTCCTAAGGCCACACAGTTGGCGAAGATGGTCATAAGAATGAGGATATCAAAGGGTCTGGGAACATTCAGTTAAGGCAACAAACAGGAATTTCTTCTCCCTCCTTCCCCCAAGGAAAAAAAGAGGGCCTCCCCACCCCCACCCCGAGTCAGATGTCTCCCAATTTGTAAGAATAGGATGCTTCCATTCAACGATGCTGATGGCAGCACGGCGGATGGGATTGTTCAGCCTGAGACAGAAGAGGGCTCGTGGTGAACGGTGCACCACGTTGGTCCCCTGGGTTTTATGCTTGTTGTGCTGGAGACGCTTCTTCTGGGCATTGCTGCCTGTAGAGCCCAGTGTATCCGAGCCCCCACCAGCAAGTGTCCATGCCAGGGCCTGGCCTGTTGCCTCCACAAAAGCCTCGGCTGCCGAGCGTGGGATCTCGGGGGTGCCAGCTGCTGCAAGGTGGAAACAGGGCAAGGGGGAGTTAAGGATGGATCTAAAGGCTAACTGCCCTGTTTCTTAGAAAAGGCACAAAAAAGAAATAAGGTTCTGAAAAACACAAAAAGGTTGGTTAATATAGAAATATGACAGAGCACGTTCCAGTGTGGGAGACTTTTCCAAGACTAAGGCCTCTGTGAGCTCAGGCAGAAATAAAACTTCAGATGTTTGCCTGGCACCTATGGTTTGGCCTCAGGACTTCACACTCATTCATTTCCATTATCAGTCCCAGTTATACATCAAAACACCTCATTCTGATTGCAACACCAAAGCCATACACTTCTCTGTTTTTTTCAGCTGCTGTTCCAATCTTAAACAGTGCCCAAGCCTCCTACCCTTTACTTCAACCCCTTTGCTAACCTAGGACCAAATGTTTAACTATTGAGAACCACTATAATGCAAAAGTTTGCCTGATGCCCCCCATAGCTGGACTCCAGATCATTCGTCTTCTACCAGCCCCTACTTACCACTGTCTTATTCCTCTCAGTATCTTTTGAACACACCCCTAAAAGCTGCAATCCCAAATGCACTAAGTAAACTCCTTTCAGTAACACTTACTTCTGAGTAAACATGCCTAGGATTGCACTGTAAGACTCCTACCCACCTCCCAACAGCTTGTCCCTACCTTGTTAACTAAACACATCTACATCTACTCACGTCCTCCGTTGCACTCGGACATCTTGCTGACTGGTTGTAGGGGGTGAGAGGGCAGATGAGGAAATCTCCAGAAGATGCTAGCACTTTAGACCAACTACCTCTTCCCCTTGCAAGGGGGGGCTTCCCATTCTTTTGGCCTTTCTCCCTGGGCGGGGAGGAAGGACCAAATTAACTCTACGTGCTCTCATGGGAGGGCAGAAGCAGGAGCCTTCCAAGCCCTGTAGATGCACTCCTTGCTTTCCACAGCAGTGCTCCCGCTGAAAAGGATTTGAGCCCCTGCTCGTGTCTGCTTCTCTCTCACACTCTCTCTCTTTCTGTTGCTCTCCCTGCTTCGTTCCCTAGCTCTCGGTTGAGGATTAAGGCAGATTGCCTACTTTAAAGGGCAGCGCAGGAGGCAGGGAGGAGGGAGCTCACACAGCTGGTTAGGTCACTGACTGTTGAGAGCTGGGGACATCCCAGCCACACAAGCCAGCCTAGGCCTGGAAAGGGGGACTATGAAAGATGTGACTGAAATGGGAACAGCCTTGTCATAATCCAACACACCCTACCTGAGTGTTGTGTAAAAGCAGCATAAGGGAGCTCTTGTAAATGATGGCTCTCTCCATGACCAAAACCAGACCCACACCAAGTCTTTTATGATGGCAAGTTTCCTTTCTTTCTTCAGACAGTCTGGCTTCATACCTCCACCCTCAGTCACCCTGGCACAGATTACGCACAAAGAGCCCATTTGCATGTCTTTTTGGGGTGCAGGATGGGATGGGATACTGAGATGGTTGTTCCCAATGTAGGGCCTTGCTCACTTACCTCAGGGCATTCTGGGGTGAACGGACCCAGCTTTTGTACTCCTGTGCACACTACCGCACAAACACTTTTACCTTTAAAACACATTCAAAACACAACCTTTCCCTTAAAAGAATCCTGGGCACTGCAGTTTACCCCTCAAAGAGTTACAATTCCCAGCAGCCCTTAACAAACTAAAGTGCCCAGAATTTTTTGAGGAGAAAATCCGCTTCTAATGTGCTTTAAAGGTATGGAGGTACAATGTCTTATGAAAAGGACAGCAACTGGCATAATTAATTGGTGAGTCAATAAAAATCTTAAAATTTACTATTGTTATTTCATAATATAGGGTTGCTTTTTAAAAACAATATTAGCCTGATGCCAACAAATGTGGAAAAAGAAGATAAGGTAGTCAAACAAATGTAAAACATTGGCACAGACTATACATGTATGAGATACAATTACTCTAGACCGAGTGCACTCTCAACACTGGTTTGGGAAGCAGTGTTTTGTCTTATCTTTCACATTGTTTCATGTGAAATACTGCATTTTGATGTGTTTTCCCCAAAACCAGCTTCAGAAAAAGAATGACATTAAGCCCATAATGTGTATACAACCTTTGTTTTCCTGCCTTCTGGCACAGGACAGGAAATGTAAAGCATTGCTTTCTGGTTGGTATGTCAAAATTCATGAATGGCTCACACGTGCCAACTCTAAACAGAGGTGGACTGTACCACTATATTTCATTGTTTGATTATATATATATATATATATGCATATACAGTGGACAACTTGGGTTGTGAATGTGATCCATGCAGGAGGCACATTCGCAACCCGCAGCGTTCACAACCGCAGCGCATGCGCGGGTCATGATTCAGCACTTCTGCGCATGCGCAAAGCACAATTTAGTGCTTCTGCGCATGCGCCGAAACCTGGAAGTAACCCGTTCCGGTACTTCCTGGTTCGGCACGGTGCACAACCCAAAAACGTGCAACCTGAAGCGTCTGCGACCCGAGGTATGACTGTATAATATATGGAAAGAATGAAACTGATAGAAAAGTGAAAGGAAAAGAAAGGGGAAGAAAGGACAACTAAATATAAGAATTAAAAAGGGTGAGAGTTTATTTACAGTTAATATTTGAGCAGGTGCAGCTTTTGTTAGTTATGCATGGCAATTTGCACTTGATAAAATGTCTCCTTTCATATAATGATTGTTGATGATCCCCAGCAGGCTAGGGACAAGGGTGAAAGCTGTTTCCTAGTTCTGCTGGATCTCTCAGCGGCCTTTGATACCACCAACCATGACATCCTTCTGGACCGTCTAGAGGGGCTGGGAGCTGGGGGCACAGTGGTTCCACTCCTTCCTCCTGGGCCATGTCCAGAAAGTGGTGTTGAGGGTTGTGTGTTCAGACCCCTGGGCTCTCACTTGTGGGGTGCCTCAGGGTTCTGTCCATGCTTTTTAATATCTACGTGCAGCCGCTGGGAGAGATCATCAGGGGGTTTGGCCTGGGTGTTCATCAGTATGCAGATGATACCCAGCTCTACCTCTCTTTTAAATCAGAACCAGTGAAGGCGGTGAAGGACCTGTGTGAGTATATGGAGGCAGTTGGAGGATGGATGGCAGCTAACAGATTGAGGTTGAATCCTGACAAGATAGAAGTACTGTTTTGGGGGGACAGGGGGCGCACGGGTGTGGGCGACTCCCTGGTCCTGAATGGGGTAACTGTGCCCCTGAAGAACCAGGTGTGCAGCCTGGGAGTAATTTTGGACTCACAGCTGTCCATTGAGATGCAGGTCAATTCTGTGTCCAGGGCAGCTGTCTACCAGCTTCATCTGGTACACTGGCTGAGACCCTACCTGCCCACAGACTGTCTTGCCAGAGTAGTACATCTCTCGCTTGGACTACTGCAATGTGCTCTACGTGGGGCTACCTTTGAAGGTGACCCAGAAACTACGACTAATCCAGAATGCGGCAGCTAGACTGGTGATTGGGAGTGGCCGCCAAGACCACATAACACTGGTCTTGAAAGACCTACGTTGGCTCCCAGTATGTTTCTGAGCAGAATTCAAAGTGTTGGTGCTGACCTTTAAAGCTCTAAACCATGGATAGGCAAACTAAGGCCCGGGGGCTGGATCTGGCCTAATCGCCTTCTAAATCTGGTCCGCAGATGGTCTAGGAATCAGCATGTTTTTACATGAGTAGAATGTGCCCTTTTATTTAAAATGCATCTCTGGGTAATTTGTGGGGCCTGCCTGGTGTTTTTACATGAGTAGAATGTATCATTTTATTTAAAATGCATCTCTGGGTTATTTGTGGGGCATAAGAATTTGTTCATTTTTTTCTTCTTCAAAATATAGTCTGCCCCCCCACAAGGTCTGAGGGACAGTGGACTGGCCCCCTGCTGAAAAAGTTTGCTGACGCCTGCCCTAGCCTTGGCCCAGTATACACTGAGGTCCAGCTCCGAGGGTCTTCTGGTGGTTCCCTCACTGCGTGAAGTGAGGTTACAGGGAACCAGGCAGAGGGCCTTCTCAGTAGTGGCGCCCACCCTGTGGAACGCCCTCCCATCAGATGTCAAGGAAATGAGCAACTATCTGACTTTTAGAAGATATCTGAAGGCAGCCCTGTTTAGCGAAGTTTTTAATGTTTGATGTTTTACTGTATTTTTAATATTTTGTTGGAAGCCGGCCAGAGTGGCTGGGGAAACCCAGCCAGATGGGCAGGGCATAAATAATTATAATTATAATAATAATTATTATTATGTACTGAAGTTCTCACCCTGGGCCAGCAGGGGGATACTGTTGATAGTTATGCAAATAAGGGATCGAAAGTGACGTTCAGTGATTGGATAGTTTTAGAAAATTGTTACAGTTACGTTGTACTGGAGCTCTATATAAGCAGGCTGACTGAACCCTTCAGTTCATTTCTGTTCTGGCCTGTGAATAAACAAGAGCTGTTTGAAGAATCGCTGTGTCGTCTGATATGTTCACCTACAACTTAACTATTATTATTATTATTATTATTATTATTATTATATAAAAGTACAGGAGCCTTTGTATCTTGCCATCCTAGAGTAAGAATCGGATAAACAGACCTAGAATAATAGAAATGCATTGTAGCATGAATGAATTTTGTTTTGTATTCTTTGTTTTATAGAATACATATAATAATGTTATGTTACTAAGCAAATTTAATAAAACAGTAAAAAAAAATAGAAATGCAGAGTTGGAAAAGACCCCAATGGTCATCTAGTCCAACCCTCTGCAATTCAGGAATCTCAACTGAAGCATCCATGACAGAAGGCCATCCAGTCTCCTGAAGTAGTCCGTTCCACTGCTGAACAGCTCTTACTGTCAGAAACTTCTTCCTGATGTTTAGTCAGAATCTGCTTTCTTGTAACTTGAAGCCAGTGGTTCCAGTCCTCCCTTTCAGAGGAGGAGAAAACAAGTTTCTTCCCTCTTCCATGTGACAGCCCTTAAGATATTGGAAGATAGCTATCATATCTCCTCTCAGTCTCTTCTTTTCCAGACTAAACATACCCAGCTCCTTCAACCATTCCTCATAAGGCTTGTTTTCCAGAACAACATTTTACCAGCTACTCCAGAATATCATGGGGGTCTTTGTCAAAAGCCTTACTGAAACCAAGAAACACTATATCCACAGCATTCCCCTGATCCACCAAACTTGTAACTACAGTGGTACCTCGGGTTACATATGCTTCAGGTTACATACGCTTCAGGTTACAGACTCCGCTAACCCAGAAATATTATCTTGGGTTAAGAACTTTGCTTCAGGATGAGAACAGAAAGCGCACGGCAGCAGCAGGAGGCCCCATTAGCTAAAGTGGTGCTTCAGGTTAAGAACAGTTTCAGGTTAAGAATGGACCTCCGGAACGAATTAAGTACGTAACCAGAGGTACCACTGTACAAGCATATACTGCAGCAAAATTAATAATGGGATCCATATTACAGATGGGTGATAAAGGAGGGACGTTAGGTCTGAAAAGGTTTAAGATTACTGATTAAGGTTGCAATCCTAACCATGGCTACTCCCAGGCAAGTGGGGTGAGGATTGTAGCCTTGGAGGACTCATTTTCTGATAACCTTTTGGAAGAGGGCTAAAAGGTTATCCTGTACATTCCCTCCTCCTCAAGTTACAGAGCTGTGAGCTTTGGTTTAACTGGTTTTACCTCTTTGCAAAGGTGCCTCAGCATGAAGTAAGCTAGACTGCAAGCTGGGAATCCTGACAGAGGAGGGCCCCAACCTTGCCCTGGCACACGGGGCATTTCTCCTGCTTAAGCCCTACTGAATGGAAGGTCTGTGATGTGGCTGAATTCATTTAGAAGGAGCTTGAGTAAGGGAAGGGTCTGGGTGGATTGGGCCCTTAGGGTTAATTAGTTGTGGGTGGTGGCACCAGCGCCATTTGGATGGTTCTCTTCAGGTGGTCAAATATTGTGACAGACTTTGTGGTTTTTAGAGTGCTCTGTCTTTTTATTTTTTCCTTTCTGCTTTTCACGCTGCTTGTTTTGGTCTGGGTTGATTGCTTGGCAAAATTAGCCTATTTTATTACATTTTTATAAACAGTTCATTGTAATAAGGTGCATTCATCTTTTTAGCGTTAGTTGATGTTTGATTTGTTTTGGTTTTTTTTGTTTTCATCCTTGAAAAATTCTGGTGCTACAATCCATAAAAAGGCAGGTGCTGAAGAGGCCTACTGCGGAAAGATGTGTTTCAGTTGCTAGGAAACAGTTGCCTCCAATTATCCACCTTCAACTCCCTCCTCTCCCCGCCCAGCAGCAGGAGTGTCTAAGGAGGTACAAAGACTACAATGCCCAGCATGCTCTCTGTTCTTGCTGGATTGGAGACCACATGGTGTAGCTGAACCATAGTTATTATATAGGCACACTCATAGGTGTCAAGTTTTGGGTTCACTTTGGAAGCTTTTTTATCTCTTCCCCTTTACACCCCATCACAATGGAACATTATTTATTATTATTTATTACTGAATTTATATACTGCCCTATACTCAGAGGTCTTGGGACGGTTCACAGAACAAGATCAACATAAAAACTGCAATATACTGTATAGAATCAAAACAAAAACAACCACCCAACCACTCTCCCACACACAAAGAGCCACATTCTAAAACGACATAGGATGTCAATCAGATCAACCAAAGGCCTGGTTAAAAAGGAATGTCTTTGCCTGGTGCCTAAAGGTGTATAATGAAGGTGCCAGGCAAACTTCACCGGGGAGAGCATTCCACAGATGGGGAGCCACTGCAGAGAAGGCCATTTTAGTATATTTGTGCAAACTGCAAGGTGAGGAGTTTGTCCTCTTTCTAAAGCAGGAATCATTCAATGTCATTTATTTCAATTACCGGTATTTATTATCTACTATTACATTTATCTCCCACCTTTCCTCCAAGGACCTCAGGGTGGTGTGTACACAGTTATGCCATGCCAATGGTTATTATACCCCTCCGCAATTTTATCCTCACAACAACCCTGTGAGGGAGGTTAGGCTGAAAAGCAGTGAATGGTTGAGTTTGCGTTGGGACTCTTAGAGAGAAAATTATTTTATTCATTTATAGCCCACCTTTCTTCCAATGCACTCTTCCTAAAACCTACTTACCTTCAGCAAACCTACTTACCTTCAGCAAAATGGTGGTCTTAAGACCATACCTAGAATAATAGGCGGGGTATAAATAATAAATTGTTATTGTTATTATTATTATTATTCTTATTAGGGGAGATTTTGCTCTGGAAAGCCAATCCAGTCCAGCACTGCCTCCAGCCTGCAGGGCTCACAGTGGATTACATTGCTGGGCCATTTTGTAAGACACTCCAAAGCACAGACGAACCTAAGAATACAGGGACAATGAATTAACACTGGCATTTATTGAGCAATTTATGTAACTTCAAATTCAAAATTATAAAGACTTGTGTTAGAAAGAGTAGGAACCCTCCTCTCTTTAGCTGCTATCTGTTGTGTGATGGGGACACTCACTGCTGCCTAACCAAGGAAAAAATAATCACCTTAAATTAATCCCCATTAAAAATAACCTTCTTGTTTTGCATTTCTGCATGGGCCTATGCCCCCCCCCTACCCGCCCTTTCTCAGAAGCCCCTCCTCCTGCTCGTCCCCTTGCTCTCCCGGGGCGGAGAAGAGCCTCCTGGACCACAAATCCCAGCATGCTGCGCGCGGGGGAGACCCGGCACTACATTTCCCGCCTTCCCCTCGGGCGGGCCCCGTGACCCAGGGCGCCTGGCCCAGCTGAGAGCAGAGGGAGCGGTGAGTGCCGCCGCCGCCGCCGCCCGCCTGCTGGCTTCGTCCCTCCCGGCTGCCTCTTCCCTTCGGCCCCGGGGTCCCGCCGCTGCTCCTGCCGCCGCCCCCACCTGGGCAGCCCCGCGGCCCCTTCCTCCCGCGCGCGCCCCCGGCCAGGCCGAAGGAGGGCTGCTGATCCGAGCGGGAGGCAGCGGCGCTCCCGAAGGCCGGCTGCCGGAGACCGAGGGGGCGGGAGGGGCTCGGGTTTCCCCTAATGGGCGCCCGGTTGGCCACTGTGAGAAGGGGGCGCGCCGGGCCCCCCCCCCTTTGGCCTGATCCAGCGAGACTCTTCTCGGGTTCAAGGGGAGGAAAGGGGCACGTGCCAAAATTCATCCTCTCAAACCACTTGGTTTTCAATGGCTTTTATCGCGCGTCGGCGGGGGGGGGGGGCGTGTGTTGGGGATATGGACATATTGCCGGGGTGCAACCAGAGAGCAATGATAAGGAGCGGAGCGGAGCAGCGGTTGACTCTCCTGCTTCTTCCCGAGGCCTCTTGCTGATCTTTGTCTTTCTTGGGCTCTGGGAGGAAGCTGAGCTTCAGTAGTTTGCCCCTCAGCTGACAGAGGAGAGGCAGGGTGGGGGGCAGTGCCCTGGAGGGAGCGTGGAAGCTGCCGTGGTGACAAGCTCTCCTGCAGCATCAGTACTGCTAGGTTTACTATGTTGCTGCCTAATGGCAGCCCCACACACCTTCTGTGTGTCTTACAGCATGGCTACAGTTGTGAAGTTAAAGTTTACTCTGTGTTGTCCCATGTGTTCCAAAAACAGGTAATCCCTTCAGTTGCTGTGCCTCAAACCAAGTCCTGTATATTGCAGAACCCCAGAAGAGCCCGGCTGGTTCAGGGCAGTGGCCCGTCTGATCCGGCATCCTCTTCTCAAAGTGGGAAGCCTGCACAACCAGAGTGCGGCAGTATTCTCCCCACACGCACCTGGCATTTAGAGGCACATTGTCTCCAGCAGTGGTGGCAGAATAGCAGCAGTTGTGGCTGGTGGCCATTGATAGGCTTCTCCTCCTCCAAAAGGGGAAAAGCAGAATGAGGGCATCTGTACTGTAATCCAGCATTACAAGTTGTTCACAGGCATTGCCCGCTCTGGCCTGTACATCCTCCTGATGCCTTCAGGCACCCATTGTAGTGACCTCCACATGTGGGACTCCCAGCTCCAGCCAGTATGGCCAGTGGTCAGGGACAATGGGGGTTGTAACTCAGCAATACGTGGTGTTACCCCTGCTTCAGAAAACCAGAGCCACTGGAATAGGGGGATCCTGCCACAAACCATAGCCTTGGTTGCTAGTATTCTGATGTGGTATTTGTGTTATTCACATCGCCTTAGAATTTGACTCCCTCCATCCACCCCACACTCAGCTGGTGATAGCCTGTCTTCATCCTCCTCGCTTCAGCTCCCTTCATGGAATTGGAGCCTTCCCAGCCTGGCCTTAATTACCTTTACAGTTCACACTTGGAGTATTGGTCAGACTTGATAAAGAGGGTGATGGCATCTACGTTGGTCTAGAAATAAAAATATGACTAGAAGGAGGCAAGAGAGAGGCTTTTGAAATCATGAATGGTGTAGCAAGAAAGGTGTTTCTTCTCCCAGGTTCGTCTTCTCTCAGAACACTAGAACTTGAGAGAGGCATATGAGACATGATAGCAAAAAGGAACTTTCTGCTTCAGAGGCAGGACACCTTTGAATAGCAGGTACTAGTGAGGAACAATGAGGAGTGCCTGTTGCTTTGCTCTTTTCCTTTCTAAAAGTTATTGGAAATGCATAAAATGACTACATACAAATGCAATAAAACAGAGAATACAGTACAAAGCAACACATAATGTAACAATAGCAGTTCCAAAGCAGCTCAAAAAACCAGCCACAATGTGTTGATTAAAACCTGAGGAAATAAAATAGGTTTTTAACTACCTGCGTATATTATATGAAGCTGGTGCCAGGCAAATGTTTTTCTAGGTAAAGGTAAAGGGACCCCTGACCATTAGGTCCAGTCATGACCAACTCTGGTGTTGCGGCGCTCATCTTGCTTTATTGGCTGAGGGAGCCGGCATACAGCTTCCGGGTCATGTGGCCAGCAGGACTAAGCTGCTTCTGGCGAACCAGAGCAGCACACGGAAACGCCGTTTACCTTCCCGCCAGAGTGGTAGCTATTTATCTACTTGCACTTTGACATGCTTTCAAACGGCTAGGTGGGCAGGAGCTGGGACCGAGCAATGGGAGCTCACCCTGTCACGGGGATTTGAACTGCCGACCTTCTGATCAGCAAGTCCTAGGCTCTGTAGTTTAACCCACAGTGCCACCCGTGTCCCTACCATGTTATTTTACATGGTCTTAAAACATTGGCAGGCCATATAGGTTCTCTACAACAGTTTTGTGAGGCTGGTGGGAGAGCTTTACTTTCTTTTTCCTTTACGTATAAAAAAAAGGATACCAGGTTTCAGCAAAGGTATTTTCCTTTATAACCCCATTTGCAAATCTTCTAAGCCCAGTTAGTTGTCCTGAACTAGCTGTATCCCAAATCATTGAACCACATCTCAAGGGGTAGCTGTTGCCTTCCTGGTTGGCTGGTGAGTTTCCCAGAAAAAATTGTCTGTCACCCTTGGGGGAAAATTGCACTCTGTGGCCCCTGGGCTAGGAATGTCCTTTGGACTCTTCATATGGAGAGCTGCGCTTTGTTCTGGTCTTCACCTCTATTATAGACTTGGTTGCCTGTGGCAAGAATTGCCTCCAGGCAATAGAACAATGAAATCTTTTAAAGCAGAAAATCTTTCAATTGTGCCTACCCCCTTTCACACTATTGTAAACCACTTAGAGGTTATTGTAGTTAAGCAGCATGCAAATTGTTTAAATAAGTAAGTAAAACGTGGGCAGGCAGGTATGTATGCGATATATTTGTAGGCAACTTACAGTTTGAGAGATTATTCACAAGATTGGCCTAACCGGCAAACAGGAGTAAAGTTGCAGAAAGAGGGGGTTAATATTCCAACCTGTTATAGAGGAAAAAGGTGAAGATGAATTTGTCCCAATGTCGTCATGGAACTTGCTGCTTGTAGGTACCCCAGCTTAAGCTCTGCTGCTATAAGCATCCAGTTTATTGGTTGTTGTAATGCTTCTTCTTTTGCACAGCGTTTCCTGTATCCATAGATGTATTGGCATCATGGAAGAGGTGGACAAGATCCTCATACATTCCCTTCGCTTCTCTGGGACGTAAGGCCATCTTTATGCTGCCTGTACTTCTTCATAGTAGTGGGTGGGTGTGGTGAGAAGTCAGGTACTCTGGTGCGTGGTGTCCATAGGCAATCATGGGTTTGGTGGACAAAGACAGAAAAGGGTTTGGAAGCATGCCTTCATGCAGGATTTGACGTAGGGGTGTAGGGTGGCTGGCTGCTGTCTCCTATGGGATTTCACAGGCCTGGAGCCTAAAAAGCTGAAGTCAGTTTCTAGAAATTCAGAATACTTTTCCTGCTGTGAACTCTAATAAAGCAAAGGCTGTGGTCCAGGGAATGGGGTTTCACAGGAGAGCTAATAGACCCAGAAGCTCATGCCAGGGCTTTCTCTTAGGCCAGGCAAGAAATTAATTGGGGTTAAAAACTTACGGCTTTTGCTGTGTTCCATTGGCTCTTTGTTTTTGCTTGGGGAATCATGCTTTCTTGCCGATGCTTTGGCTCCAGCTGGGTGTTTCATGGCTTCTCAGAGCTTCGTGGGAGCAAGCAATTGGCAGTTGCCTAGTGACCAAGGTTGGATTAATCAATGGTATTGCAGAAGCTCATAGATGGCTCTGTGACTCCCTTTGAACAGCAGTAATAATGTCCATGTGTATTATTGTTTATTTAATTTGTTCACCACTCTTCATCCACAGATCCCCGGGTAGTTCACAGCATAACATTACAATAGAAAAACCACATACTACATATTGGAATTAGAACAAGAACAAACCAATAACCCCCCCCCCCCCACAACACATTTAAAAGGGCATTTAAAAGGCCTGGTTGATGAGGAACGTTTTCTCCTGGAGGCTAAAGGTATATAATGAAGGCGCAGCCAAACCTCCCTAGGGAGAGCATTCCACAAATGGGGAGCCACTGCAGAGGAGGCCCGTTCTCATGTTGCCACCCTCCAGACGTCTGATGGAGGAGGCACACAAAGAAGGGCCTCAGAAGATGATGTAAGGGACCAGGTAGGTTCATATGTAGAGAGGCAGTCCTTAAAGGATTGCTCACTGGGGCAAGACAGTTTGAGCTTATTGCAGCAATTGTTGCCCAACTGCACTGGCTGCCAGGGAGTTTCTGAGCCCAACATCTACATGAAACTGCTGAGTGGGGTCATCTAGGAGGCTTATTCCCCGTGTGCGCGCACATAGGACTATAGCCTTAGCCACCACTGCTACACCAACTCTTCTCTGAAGAGGCTCTTGGCAGTACAGGTAGTCAGTTGCCTTCTTGCAGTTCAGGGCCCTGGGAAATTATTATTAATATTATTAATATTATTACATTTTGTTGTTTTATCTTGCCCAAAGTGACTTACAACCAATGAAACAAACAAACACCCCAGTTTAGATACATTCAAACCAAGCAGACTGTATCCCATGTCCCCACAAGCTGCTTATTGGACAAGTGGTACAATGGCAGCAGAGTCTTAGCAGCAGAGGACAAATTGCAAAAAAGTATGGCAGTTGGCAAGCCATTCCCATGTTCTTCCATCCTACTGAATGGAGTGGAAGATGTAGGCTCTTCTGTTGCAGTAAAGGAAAATGGTCAGTGCAGGGGACTATAATCCCTGCATCCTTCTCCCCTTCCAGGGATATCCCAGAGGAAGTGCAGAGCATCCGGGAGTTTACCACCGAGTTGATAGTTGAATCTGTGGTGCGATGTCTTCGTGTCATCAATCCTTCTGTGGGGTCAAGTCTCTGCCACGTCCTGCCTCCAGGGATGTCTGCTCGCTTCCGAATTGGCATGAGCCTAGCGCAAGCTTGCCAGGTAACTACAACTGAACCAGGGTGTGGATGCATTGAACAAAGCAGGCTCTTCATCTCTGAAAGTTTGTGCAGTGGTAGATAGTCTCTCATTAAGTGCCATGAGTTCTGGGCTTGAAGGTGTTGTGAGAAATCTGGTGTAGTATAGAATTTTGTTTGCTGGAAAAGCAAGCTTCTAGGTCTCAGGGTGGAAAGCCATGGGCCACTTTTGTTAAAGGATCCAGAAGTGGCTGGTCCGTGACCTCCTGTTGTGTTTTCCTGCCCTATCCAAAAAAAATTCTGGCACTCAAGCAAGAAACCTAGATTGTGTTCACAGCAGACAGTTGTGCAGTTGACAAAAGGTTTTTGTTTTGTTTTTTAGCAACATTAAATTATCTTCTCCTCACATAAATATGGCCCATGCCACTATGGTGCCTCTATCCACCTCAGAGAAGTTATTGGAGAAATGCTAGCAAGACTGTGTACTTGAATAATAACCCAAATTCTGTGACAAGAAAAGCAGAGATGTTTTACTAAATTTGCATAATTATTACATTTTCAAGTTGCCTTTTCTAACTATTTTGTTTAATTTATTCTGCCTTTGCTCATCTTTGTGGCCAGGAGCTAAACAAGGCTCAGAAGCTCAATCCCCTCTGGCTTTAGAAATTTCTGATGGCCTTGAACATTCACATTTTTAATAGCCATAAGGGCTAGAAACTTGCAACAACAACAGCAAAATGCAGAGAATCCAAGGGCAGAACTAAACATGACAAGTAGTAGACACTGTTCTTTTCATATTTCTCATGATCCTGCCATTTCTCTCTGTTGCCAGCTCACTTCTGGTATCTGTGCTGGAAACAGGGAGAAGTAGCTGGAGCAAATGACTATAGGGAAGTGAGGCATGGGAAGGGTTTTCAGCTCTCCTTTTACTATTAAATAAAAATGCATTTCTGTTATGTGAACGAGTAAGCGAATAATGGCTGGTCTGCATTGTTGCTTAAGGACATGCAGAGTATCCCCCTGTCTCCCTCCTGCTTTCTGTAGAGAAAGTCTGTAATATCCTCACTATGACTTCTCTGAGTGGGGTTTTCCTTTTGAGGGTGGAGCAAGGTGGGATATTATTGGGCACCTCCATTCCCATCCCAGACATGGAAAATGTGGGCTTGTCTTGCAGGGTTGCTGTAGGGGTTAAAACAAAAATTGTGTTTGAATACTTCAAAGCACCACATAAATGCTAAGTTAGGAAGCCACTTGAGCATACTTCAGGCCAATTACCGTAGTTTGCTTCACAGTATCAAATGGTGGTGCTTATGCCAAACCTCCTTGCACATAGATAACTAGCATGCCAGGGAGAAGGGTCAACTTGGCTTTCTCCCAGAGGTGTTGTTTCATTTGTATGTGTAAAATAAACTTCCAGACAGACAGTGCTCACCCATCCCTTGCAAACCATGTTACCGTTATGGCTGTTGCTCTGAGGTCATAGGATATGTTGCAAGGGGAGGCGAGGAGAGGGCATTGGGTGTTGGGAAAGAGTAGAGGAAGGGAAAGTCAGCTGGCACTGAGGGAGGAGGAGGGAGAAGCTGAGGGGAGCATAGCTGTCAACTTTCAGATTTGAAAATAAGGGATCAGCAGCCTCACCTGTCCTGGGATATCTAACAATCCGGGATAGCAGTGGGAAGCAGCAGGAAACAGCACTGAAATAAGGGAATTTCCCGCAAAAAAAAGGGAAGGTTGATATCTATGGAGGGGGTGGGGAGCAGAGAAGGAAGCAGAGGAAGAGTTGGCAATTTCTGTGCCAAAACCGGGCCTAAACCCCAGCTGAAATGGATCCAGAAAATCAGTTTCTTCCAAAAGCACCTGGATCTGGTCTCACTTCAGAACCTTGCCCAGGAAAGGAAGACTAGCAACTGGCCAGTAGTTAGTTAGGTTTTCCGAATCCAGGGAAGGTTTCTTAAGGAGCGGTTTTACCACTGCCTCCTTCAAACAGGCAGGGACCACCCCCTCTTGTAAAGAGGCATTGATCACCTCCCTGGCCCAGCCAGCTGTTCCCTCCCTACTGGTTTTTATCAGCCAGGAGGGGCAAGGGTCCAGAGCGCAAGTGGTCGCCCTGACTGATCTGAGCACTTATTTCACAAATAGGGCACCATGACGCTTTCTCCTTTGCCCATTGCTACCCACCAAAGTTCAGATAGTGGGGAGAGACTTAGCAAGGTCTCAGGCTGACTGCAGAGTTCTGGCAGGCTTTTGTGGAACCTGAGGGCCCCCCCCCCCCCCCAGCCATGCAGAGCTTTGTCAGTCAGCTAGCAAGTCGTGAGAGACAACAGACAGGATGGCCACATGGACAACAGGTGTTTGAGTTTTGTGTGTGTCTGCTTTTTCTTTTCTTAATAGTTCTCATTGAAAATTGGTTATGTTAACTGCTAGAAATATTTCTAATATCCATGGGACTCAGCGAGCAATTGCCAAGTTGTCTTTCATCATTCATTGTTGAGAAGCAGTTGCATGGCATTACAGTTCACAAATAGCTTGATTTCGCAGGACTGGCCTTCCATGGTCCTATCCTGGCAGCCTCTTGAGAGTTCTCATGTGAGCGCAAGCACCTTGGACTGTTGCACCAGGGAAGCAGGGCTCCTGGTCCTTTGAGCCAGCTTGGAACACCTTTATTTTAGATGCTCCATCTCTCTTCAAACCAGGCACCAAAGAGCCTCTCTCCTCACCTTTACCCAGCAGGCCACTCCCACTCAGCCCCACTGTGGGACTGACATGTTACCTTCCATCATTTAGGACCTGGGATATCAAGGGGAAGTTGGCTATCAGACCTTCTTGTACAGCAATGAGCCCGAAATCCGACGTCTCCTGCTCTTCCTGGTAGAGAAGCTCCCACGCGATTCCTCGGAGGATGCCAACCAGCCTGTGGGTATGGAGGAAACTGGGCAAACACAGGTCCCGGGCACAGGGAGGCCAAGTGGTGGCAACTTCTCTAACCTGCTGTGTCCTTGCAGGGAAATCAACGACACTTCACAGAGCCATTGCTGCTGCCATCAAAGAGCAACTGGCGGTCCCCTGGGTGCCCCCTGCCTGCCGTACCCCCCGCTTGCAGCTCTTACAGGTGTGCTTCCTCACCCCTCTTATTAGGTTAATGGCCCCACTCCTCGGGTTCATGGCTTCATAAGCAAGATCTGTTGCTGAAGTTTTATTTCTAAGACTCTTGACTTCCTTAAAAATGAAAGCCTTTCCAGTCCTCATGTTGTGGAGAAATGCAGAAAACCTTTGCAAAAGGTCATTGTGGATTTTGGGTTCATATGACTATCTAGGGTCTGGTCTGAACTGTTGGGGCTTTTTTTCCTTGCCGATAGATTTTTTCATAATCTGCAGAAACCCAAATACTGACTTCTAAGGGACGCGGATGGCGCTGTGGTCTAAACCACTGAGCCTAGGGCTTGCTGATCAGAAGGTTGGTGGTTCGAATCCATACAACGGGGAGAGCTCCCATTGTTTGGTCCCTGCTGCTGCCCACCTAGCAGTTCAAAAGCACATCAAGTGCAAGTAGATAAATAGGTACCGCTCTGGCGGGAAGGTAAACGGTGTTTCTGTGCGCTGCTCTGGTTCGCCAGAAGCGGCTTAGTCATGCTGGCCACATGACCCAGAAGCTGTCTGCGGACAAATGCTGGCTCCCTTGGCCTATAGAGCGAGATGAGCACCGCAACCCCAGATTGTCCGCAACTGGACCTAACGGTCAGGGGTACCTTTACCTTTGCCTTTAAACAAACCATGCAGAAATATGTAAATCAATCAAATTTCTATGCATCCATTGGTATATCTTAAACAAGATATTGCTGTATTTTTCTTATTGAGTATGTAAACTCCTTGAGCAAGTAATTCATTTTATAACCCCACTCCTGTTTTATATTTCCACCTGTTTTATATTTCTCTTTCCAGAACCTGTAAGCCCCAAACCTATTTCCTTTTACAGTGTTCCTTATCTTTCAGTGGGCTGAATGCTGTTTCAGACTCTCTCCCCTCCCCCCTTATCCTTGCTAGGGTTCTTGCCTGCTGAAGCGATTCCAAGCTCAACACTTGGTCCTGCCTCGAGAGTCGGACCCCTTTTGGGGGAAGGTGCCCCCAGGTGAGTTTTGCCCTGTAGCTGGGTGGGGGTGGGGGAATAAGTAAAATGGAGGGCATGGAATGGCAGGTTTTTCCTGTTCTCCATTTGTTTATTTCCCTCCCACTCATGTAAGGTTGCAATCATGTATGCAAAGCCAGCATAAATTTGGGGCCCACTTAGTTCCTGCATGGAACCCCTCTTGATATGTCTAGACTTGTACGGCATTGTTTTCTTGCAACAAATCTCTGCCCTTCCCCTCAGATCCCCTTTGAATAGAAAAGAAGAGGGTTTTCCAGAGTGCTGAGAGTCCCCCCAAGTTAGGGGAGGCCCTTTTTTTAGCCTCTCAGGGGGAGATCCTAGAGTAGCTACCCAAAGGGCTCCTCTTGCATCCTGCCGTTCATGGCTGGGTAGATGGTGCCACCAGCAGTATGTCCTTGGTGGATCTTTGGCAATTGCATTCTGGGAGCATGTGCGTACGTGGGATTGTGAATAATAATGATGATGATGATTTTATTATTTATACCCCACCCATCTGGCTGGGTTTCTCCAGCCACTTTTGAAAGAAATGCCATGCCAATTTCCAGTATTTGTTCTTGCAATCAGCTTCCCCACCCATGGGTGTCTGGCCAACTGAAAATCAGAGCCAAAAAAACATTTACTTGTTTTTCTTCTACTTCTTCATCGTATTTATTTTATTTTGCAACACAAACACACATAACACTAAAGAAAAGGAAAAAGGAAACTTAAAAAGGAAATACAAAAACCAGTACGAACCAAATAATGAACATATAACCATATTTGAGTTCTTCTTTTCTTCTAGTTGACTTCCTTCATCCTCAGCACGGTTCTACTTTCATATTTAGTAAACTGTTTCCTTCTCACTTCATCCCCCCCCCCTTTTTTTTCTATTTTAAGCTTTCACACCATAATTAGTTTTGTAAAAGTTAATCAAAACAAGTCCAGGTATTAATCTGTATTTTCCCTTCTTTTTGTAATTTTTGTTTAGACTGACCCCTATTTGCATCTGTCATTCTAGCCAACTTAATGTAATAATAGAGAATAATAGAGAAATTAATAGAAGAAGGAAAAACAATAGAAGAACCCAAAGAAATTTGCGAAAAATTTGCAAACTATTATAGGAAACTATATCAAGAAGAGATGGAAAAATACTTAGCACAGAACAGACTTCCAATGATAGCTTGTGGAAAAATTAAGCAATTAAACTTACCAATAACGATGATGGAGGTGCAACAATCAATTTCAAAAGCAAAGACAGGAAAATCTCCAGGTATGGACGGCCTGTTGGCAGCATACTATAAGAAATTAGAAGATACACAGTCAGAACCAATGAAAACAGTCATGAATGAAAAGAAGGAAGAATACCAAAATCATGGGAAGAAGCGTACAAAAAAATATATAGAAAGGACCCTCAAATTTGGAAAAGTGGCAGGATTTAAATTAAATAAAAATAAAAATAGCAACTTATTTAAGGATAATTATATAAATATCTGGAAAGAAATTAAAAGGGATCTAAAGATTTGGAACAAGCTAAAATTATCATTCTGTGTAGGAAATCAGTAGTGAAAATGAATGTGCTTCCTAAAATGATGTTTTTATTTCAAATGATACCAATTATTGGAGAAGTAGGATGTTTTTATTGGAGAGGTAGGATGGCAAGAGATTTATCAAGATTTATTTGGCAGTATAAAAAACCAAGAATTAAACAAAAATTATTAATAGATAATAAAAATAGAGGCGGATTGGCACTACTTGATCTAAATTTGTATTATGTTTTGGCCTGTCTAAACTGGTTAAAAGAATGGATGATATTACACAATGTAGACTTATTGGACTTAGAAGGGTTCGACAGCCGTTATGGGTGGCATGCCTACCTAGGACATGAAAAGGTGAAAGTCCACAGAGGATTTCTTAATCCTATTATAAGAAAGTTGATATATAGAGTATGGGGAAAGTATAAAGAGTTATTAGAGCCCAAAACGCCCTAGTGGCTCTCACCCTTAGAGGTGATGGCAGTGAAAAGGAAAAATAAGGAATCGAACTGGGCCACGTATAAGGATTAATTTGAAGAAAAAGATAACAAATTGAAATTGAAAAATTATGAGGAAATAAAGCATTGCCTGACAGGGTGGATTCAGTACCACCAACTAAATACAGTGGTACCTCGGGTTACATATGCTTCAGGTTACATACGCTTCAGGTTACAGACTCCGCTAACCCAGAAATAGTGCTTCAGGTTAAGAACTTTGCTTTAGGATGAGAACAGAAATCGTGCCCCGGCGGCACGGCAGCAGCAGCAGGCCCCATTAGCTAAAGTGGTGCTTCAGGTTAAGAACAGTTTCAGGTTAAGAACGGACCTCCGGAATGAATTAAGTACTTAACCCGGGGTACCACTGTAAGGTGTTCAAAGCAGATTTAAAAAAAGGTTTTGCAAGTGAAATTTCAATATTAGATAAAGAATTATTACAAAATAAGACAAAGGCAATTTCTAAAATGTACGGAATCTTATTGGAATGGGATGGATGAATAAGTAAAACAGGTAATGATCAAACGGGCTGCAGATATAGGTAAACTGATTCAGTTATCATCATGGGAAAAATTATGGAAGGAGAGTTGGAGATTCACAGCTTGCGAGGTGATAAAGGAAAACTTGTTAAAGATGTTTTACAGATGGTATTTAACACCAAGCAAAATATACAAAATGTATAAAACAAAATCAAAAAAGTGTTGGAGGTGCAACCAAGTAGAGGGGACGCTACTACATATGTGGTCATGTGACAAAATTAAGGGCTTCTTATTGGGTATACTAGATTCAGCTATCACTAGGGAAAACAAGAAAATATTCCGTTACACAACAGTGGCAGTGAGAACCCTAATTGCAAAAAAATTGGAAAAATGAGACGGCACCAACAAAAAAAGAATGGCAAGAAAAATTATTTGATTACATTGAGTTGGCTAGAATGAAAGATGCAATTAGGGGTCTGTCTAAACCAAAAAACATTTTATCCCTAGAATCCTGAGAGTATGTCCTGCTGAGTCCAGTGGTCCTTAGTCCCAAGTTAGTGCACATAGGATTACAGTGTAAAGGACTGTGAACGCCCTATAAACCTCTGGGGACCCTTGAAAAACCCTTTAAAAAACCAGCAGCACTTACCAGACTGGCATGAATGGTGGCAGTGGTGGCTCTCAGTCTTCGACGACACTGAAGGATTATGTGGAAACAGCAAGGCAGGTAGATCAGTCCCCCAAAGTGCTTGGCTGTGGGGCAGATTTACTTGCTGCTGGTGGTATTTTGCTCTTTTCAGGCTGTTTTTGCCCTTTTTGCAGTTTAAATTGATTTTTTAAATTATTTCCCAGCACCACATGTATATGTGGTCATGCGTGAGTTGAATGCATGTAGGTGGGGAAACACCTGTAAATTCCTTTCTCTATAAACACGTAATTTTTGGTCCAATTCGCCATTTCTGAATGAGGAACTTGGAGCCGGCTGCTGAGTGCAGGACTTGCAGGCCTCCTCCTGGGTTAAGAAAGGGGAAGAAAGTTGCTCTCCCAACATTTGGCTCAACTTGATTGACCCCAAAGCAGGGGCTGGGGCTAACCAGTGTGTGTCAGTGTAACTGGCCTCATTCTCTTCTCCCTAGAAAGGAAAGAGTTCTTTGTCAAGTTCCTGCCCCCCGTGTCAGCCCAGCTGTCCCGACCTGCATCCTTGATGCCATCCCTGTTGGAGCTTAATATGGCTGAGCTGAGCACAGCCCAAGACTGGGAGAACGAGTGGAAGAGCCAAGGCCTTGGATCACGCATGACTCCGGAGGTGGGCACAGTGGGTGGCACTCGGCCTCTTTATCCTGACTCGGGGGCTGGTGGCAGCAGCATGGCGATGATAGTTTGCATTGGCTGCCCTCTGAGGAAGGGTAGTGCCCTGTGTTGTACAGGGTGTGGGTGAGGCCAGAAAAATTGTGACTTGCCTAAGACCACCTTAGTGATTCATGGAAGAAATACATCTGAACCAGGAACTGCAGGTGTGCAGCTCATTCTCTTTGCTATTACATGGTAGTCGTTGTAGCACTCTAAAGTCACACCAGAAGTGGGCTCCTCTGTCTGAGTTTCCTTTCTTCCATTATGTATGGGTTGTCTTTTGTTCCCTCCCTGCCACCCACATCTCTTGAGAGGAGAGGAGAAACTGTGTCTAGAGAAGTCAAGGTACCTTCCCTTTAGATCAGGCATGGCCTTCCAGGTGTGTCTGGACAGCAGCTCCCATCATCCCTGATCATTGGCCATGTTGGCTAGGGTTGATGGGAGTTAGAGTCCTGCTCTGGTAGGCAGGGGCAAGCAAATAGGAGAACTACGACACATAAGCACACACACTCCAATTCAGTCCAGTCCTGCTGCTCTGCACTTTTGGGACTTGGGAGGAGCTATGCTCCCTCTTTACCCTTTAGCTATTGATGGAATATTTTTCACCTTCCTGCTTACCCTGCTTGCCTCTTGAGCACACCTCAAAGGAGCTGCAATAGCCCGACCCAACACTCATCTCCACTCAGCAGAACATGCCCACAGTGAGGCGCTGAAGAGAGTGGTTTGTGGAATGATCTGAAGGCCACAGGGATGGGTGGAGCCCTGGTTTTCTATATGGCAAGAAGGAGATGCTACTTCTTGGTTGGCCTACAGCAGGTCTGGAGTTCTCCGGGGAGGTCTGTCTAGGATACGACATACAAAACCAGAGCCACTTTTTAGTAAGACACCAGAGCAAGAGGCTCAGGGAAACTGCTGCAAGTTTGGCAGTCCTCCTCTCACGTCAGCTCCATTGCAAAAGGGGATATTCTGCAACCCAATTTTCCAAAATGAATGCAAAACATTTTAGAAAAAATATATAACGGTGAGCACTTGCAGAAAGTGCGGTGGTAGATCTACGTTAGATATTTTTTTCCTCTTCCTCCTTTTAGTCCAGGAATTTCTGGTCATTATAGAAGAGAGATTTCTGAGTGCTCTCCCAGCTAGGAGAAATGGATCTTCCCTTAGGTTGAGAGAACTTTAGAGATCCCACCCCTGACTTCAGACAAGAAGGGAAGTAGCAATCTTATCTCTTCCTGCCTCCACCGCACACTCAGATAATTGTCCTTCCACGAGGTCCTTCACAATGTGTGGAATGCCTTCCTGGATGCCTGAGTTTTCTGAGAGGACCATCTGCATTCCAAAGTCTGGATCTAACTAGAGGTGTTATGGTTTGGCCTTGGTAGAGGGGAATAGAATCTGCTCGCCCTGATCCCAGCTAAGGTGGCTTGTGTTCCCAAGATTATTTGCTTGCCACTCCCCACCCAATCTCCAGTCTGCACTGCCAAACCCCGCCCCTTATTTCCCTTTGCCCTCCCCTCAGGAATACCACCAATGGAAGCGTCAGCGGCTGCAGCGGCGCCTCCTGGACCAGTTCCGGCAGGCATCTCCTCGTGCTGGGCCTGCCCACCAGGGAACAGCCCAGGACCTGATTCAGCTCCTGGGTGCTTTTGGTGCTGGCCGTGAGCATGCTGGGGCTCTGGCCAAGGGCTCTCGCTTCACCCACAATCAGCACTTGGCCTATAAGCAGGTATGAAGGGGGTTGGGGAGGGCCTAGAATGGGGGGGATGGGCTTAAGGCACAACAACAACGTTTTTTTGGATAAAAGTGATTTGAGTTATTCAGCAGCACCAGCTGAAGAATCTCATTTGTTGAGGTAGGTTGGGGAGCAAGCAAGGAGGGGTGGAGCATGCAGGGGAAGAGGTGATGGTCTATGATTACTCTCTGTTTGGTCTCCCAACAGGAGGCAGAATTGCCAGTGCAAGTGGAAACGCTGCCAGTGTCCCGGACATCAGAACAGGTAAACCAAAGAGGGGGGGCTCTAGTGAGAGCCAGTTCTGTTTGCCTAAAGGCAAGAGCCCAGATGGGGAAGGAGGTTGTGGCTAAAAAATATTGGGGCATGCTTTATGCCATCTCATTCTGCTTTTTGAATTAATAAAAACTGCATGTATGTGCACACAGGCAAGGGGGCACATGGGAGGTGATGGTCTCTTAGGTATATTGAGTCTTAAGATGCTTTGGGGTTTTATTACCATCGCCTTGAATTGTGCTGCAGAGAGAACAGGAAGTCAGTGCAGATGTTGGGGATCCTCATGTCACATATTGTCAGCAGCTTGCAATTGGTGGCAGGAGCTGTTGAAATAACTTGGTGAACACATCAAAGAATCTTCTTTTAAAAATAATAGGACCCTGATTTCCTCTTAGAATCTTCTCTTCTCTTCTTGAATTCTTATAATTCTGATACTCTGGGAAGAGCGGCAGCTTTACAAATCCTTTGCAAATAAAATGACTTGAAACATTTGTCTGCCCCCTTTTTCCAGACATTCATCTTTGCAAGAATAACTTCTTTAAGATCTTCACACCACAGCTGATCATTCCTCAGCATTTGTTTACATCTTGTCAGCAGGGGTGCCTTTTTACCTTAATCCAAATTGTCCAAATTTGGATTTGGGGGGTGGGGGTGGGATCTGCAACGAAATGCAGCTGTTTACCAAGGAAGACTCAGGATGGGTTTTTAGAGCCAGAGCCCTGCTTCTTTGACCGCTCTACGAAGATCTTCACCTCCACCGGCCACTTGTTTTGGCCTTAACAGGCTTCCATGGGGCCATGCACCTCCATTACAAGAGGACAACTTGCCTGTCGCCCCCTTTTTCCCCACGGTGGGCTCTGTGGTGGGTTGTTGTGGTTTTACATGGAGGAAAAACCATGTGTGTTTTGTCTCAATGCCTTTTGTTGTGCATGTGTGTTTTCTAATTGTGTGTGGGTGTGTTGTGTGAATATCTTTTATTCACACATCTTCACCCAGAATAGAGGCAATTTTTGGAACAGGGAACTGGATATTCTAAAAAGCCTGTCATATACTTTTGATGAAGGGTGGTTAAGGAATTACAAGTAATAACAAAAAGAAATTATACTTGTAATAAGAGATGGGTTGAGCTGTATTTTTGCATAAACGCAGGGTTTATTAAGACAGGATTCCAGCTCTGATTCCTCAAGCATCACTCCCCCCCCCTTACCTTCTCCTCACCCCCTTTCCCCCCAGGACTTACGGGAACGCCAAGCAACAGAACTGGAAGCTTTGGAAGGTGAACTGGGCCATCTCATGGAGCAGATTGAGGCTCTTGAAGGCCAGATCGCCACACTGGGGTTGACTCTCACACAGGTGAGAAGAATCAGTTGGGGGATGGCAGCACCACTGTCTGGCTGAGCCCCACCCACTAAAGGGCCTCTAGGACCTCCTTCTGGCTCTCAGCAGCACTTGCAGCACCTCTGGCAGAGGAAAAGCTGAAGGACTCCCAAGGCCCTGATGGGGCATGGTCTCCAGAATGAGCTGCCTAAAGGTTTGTGGTTGGCAGAGTGGGAGAAATATAGCCCTAGCCCATGGGGCAGATCTCCTGAGGAAGCCCCTCTGAAGCAAGTGGGGGCTGTGCAAGGACACCACGGTGTTCTTGGGTGCCTGCCCCTCCCCCATTTGGCCTTCACCTTGGGTCAGTCCTGAGGGGGATCCATTTCTTCTTCAGGTGGAAGGGGAGGTGCGGCAGCGGCAGCTGGGAGTGACAGAGCGGGACCAGGTGCTGCGAGTGAAGGGCTGTGCCGTACAGCTACTTCCCGATGCAGAGAACAACATGGCTAAGCTGCAGGTAATGGGCCAGGCAAGAGGAGGGCAGAAGCCCCTCTTTCCATTGTTGGGAGTGGAGCAGCCAGGAATGAGGAGGCTGCAGAGGGTGGGGGTGCTTGCTGGAGTTTCCGTGGGGACCATTGAGAAAGGTTTTATCTGAAAAATAAATATAGTAGTTTAAATTCTGTTGCAGCATTCGAGGAACTTCAGTAATAGTTGCTAGGTAGATAGAAGAAATTAGATTTATTGGGAATAAGTTTAATTATGAAAGAAATGTGTATTGGCAATAAGTAATATGAATTTGAAATATGGAATAGATGGGAAGTTCAGTCTTTAGTGTTAAGACCAATAGATGTTTTATTGTTTGCCAAGAAAATTATGTGTCTATGGTTATTTTTGTAATTTGAGTGTAATTTGGTACAGTGGTACCTCGCAAGATGAATGCCTCGCAAGACAAAAAACTCGCTAGACGAAAGCGTTTTTTGTTTTTTGAGCTGCTTCGCAAGACGATTTCCCCTATGGGCTTGCTTCGCAAGACGGAAACATCTTGCAAGTTTGTTTCCTTTTTCTTAACACCGTTAATACAGTTGCGACTTGACTTCGAGGAGCAACTCATAGAACGCGGTGTGGTAGCCTTTTTTGAGGTTTTTGAAGACTTTGGTATTTTTGAAGCTTTTCCAAAACTTTCCCGACACCGTGCTTCGCAAGACAGAAAAAATCGCAAGACAACAAAACTCGCGGAACAAATTAATTTCGTCTTGCGAGGCACCACTGTATTTGTGTTTTTTGTGTGTGTGTTTTTTCTTGTTGTATAAATAAATATATATATAATATATTAAAAAAAGAGAAAGGTTTTAGAAACCTACAGGTGGTTCAGTGGCAGGATGCTTAGTAAAGGGGAGACAACAGATGGATGTGGACATGGGTGGAGGAGGCTGTAGTTGTAAGTGGAAGCAGGGAAGAGGAACACCCTGAATCCGCCTTTGGAGGGAGCTTTTATTAAGCACCGTTGTCCACCACCCACTTGTGCACCCGTCTTATCAGATGTCCTCAGTGGGATTGGAGCAGTAGGGGAAGGAGGAAGGGACTTGGTGCATGTGGGTGTACAGGGTCTCACCTGCTATCTCCAAAAATGGCATAGAACACCACATAGCAGATGAGAGAGCCCAGGAAGCTTAGAATCTCAGCTTCACTTTTGGTCTCCTGCAGGTGGTGGTGGAGAGCAGTGCACAGCGGGTCATCCAGCTGGCCGCCCAGTGGGAGAAGCACCGGGTGCCTCTGATCCAGGAGTTCCGGGAGCTCAAGGCCCTCCATGACTCCAAGGAGGTGACGCAAGCGAAAGGGTGTGAGGAGTCCTTCAAGGGTTGGGAGGGAGCCTGGGCAGCTGTGACACTCTCTTGTCTGTTCCTCTTTGCAGCTGGAATCATCACAGCGCCTGTCAGAGATCAGGGAGCTGCATGAGCGGATCCGATCAGCCGCGGATGAAGCGAAGCGCAAGGATGATCTCTACAAACAGCTGGTTAGTGACGTGTCTTAGGGTGGTGGTGTGGGGTGCAGGGCTCCTGGCAAAGCTTGGTATGCACAAGGTGATTTATGGTCCATTGCTTCTTGTGCGGTTATTCCACAGAGAATGAATAATGAGAATCCTTTCCCCACTCCACATTTTACTGTTTCTCTGTAATTGGGATATAGTTGCTAACTTTAAATGGGTGACAGTATCTCAGAAAAATGCTTACAACCACCAGTACTGCTGAGAGGACTGGCCTGTTTCATAAGTCAGTTTGTTAACTTATACTAGTTACAATTCCACCTGGCCTCATTGAACAGGTGAACCTGTGTCCAGGCTACATCACATTATGGAACGCTCCCTCATGAAAAAAACAAAACAGAATCCTGCCCATTGAAGACTAGCATGCCTGAGGGAACTAGGCTGGCATTCCCCCTTGCATGTTAGCTTTCCTTGTGCAGGGATTTGTTGTGCGAATGGAGGAGCATTTGGTCATGGTGTAGTCCAGACATGTTTGCCACCTCAAGTGAGTACTGGGTCTCTGCACAGTGGGATGGGGCTCAGGGGTAGAAACTCCTTAGTCTCTTCCAGGAGCCCCTGTACCATTTGCACATTCGTCTGCTTGTTATAACCCAGTCCCATTCCTGCCTTCCACTCTGTCTCCAGCTTATGGAGCTAGAATCCCTTCCCAAGGATGTCTCTCGCTCTGCCTATACCCAGCGCATCCTAGAAATTGTCGGCAATATTCGTAAGCAGAAGGAGGAGATCACAAAGGTAAAACAATGGGCACCTTTCTTTCTCAAGCCTTGTCTTGCGTCACTGTGCACAGGTGAGAGCCCTGTGTGATGAGCCCATGGCAGAAAGCTGGTGGGGAAGACTGAACATTTCAGGGGTCCTTACATATTAAAAGCAGCGATGACATTATTTGCACATACATAAAATTTAATGTCAAGGAAAAAGTTGTCCTAACCTGGTTTGAATGTGCAAATAGTGATGAGTAGTGAGCTTTCACGTTTTGCCTCATATGCAGTACTTTTCCATGATGGATCCTCACACTTTTAAGCTCAGAGTCAACAAGCTGAGATAGCTCAGTTGGTAGAGCAGAGCCTTCCAGACTTTTTCATGTTGGTGACACACTTTTTAGACATGCATCATTTCACAACACAGTATCAGTTTTACTAGCAAGCAGGAGGTTAAACTAACCCCTCATAAGATTGTTTGCACAACACACCTCACACTGCAGCTGACACAGTAATGTCACAACACACAGTTTGGAAAGCTCTGCAGGAGAACTTGAGACTCTTAATCTCAGGGTTGTGGGTTCAAGCCCCACATTGGGCAAAAGCGTCGTGCATGGCAGAGGGTTGGACTAGATGACCATCAGCTCTACAATTTGCTGATTCTATGTGATGCATATAAAATATAGCCATTTTTTTAAAAAATAGCCTCCAAAATAAAGCTTCTGTCTTTGCCACTAGGAGGGAAAATGTTATATTCTAGTTGTAACTGTGAGCCACAGGAAATGACAAAAACATTTCCTCCTGCCCAGTTCCTACCTCAGAGGTGGGATGAGGCTCTCTAGAGCAGGGGTCAGCAAACTTTTTCAGCAGGGGGCCAGTCCAATGTCCCTCAGAACTTGTGGAGGGCTGGACTATATTTTGGGGGGCAAATGATGCAAGAGCACCATGAGCCCCAGTGGCTGCTTACCTGTCTTGCGAGCAGCAGGGACTGGCGGTGGTGGCAGAGGGATGATGAGCAGCACGCGAAGGGCTCCGGAGAGGGGCTGCTTAAAATGGGGGCCGCTCAAATGCCACTGCTGCTGCTGGCACCAACAAAGCCCAGCCCCCTTCCTCCTCTAGGCATGGCGAGGAGAAGCCAGGAGGAGGGAGGGAGGCGGTGCCGGCACCACCACCATGTGAGGGAGAGGGAAAGCATGTGTGCACGCTGGCGATCCTTGCAGCGATTCCCAGACCGTCTGCGGGCCAGATCCAGAAGGCAATTGGGCCTGATCTGGCCCACGGGCCTTGGTTTGCCTACCCATGCTCTAAAGTTACACACTGTTGTAGCCCTTATTAGCACTTATGATTTTGAACCGATTTTGTGTTTATAACTTCCAATGCAAAGCCTAGAGCACTTTCACCATAGAAGTATCAAAGGGCAGAGCGTTTGCTGTTCTGAATCCAAAGTGAGAGCATTTGGGTCAAAATGAAGGGAGAGAAGAATAACAGTGACCTCATTGTGGGAGTTTACTATAGATCCCCTAGCCAAACGGAGGACATAGATGATGCCTTCCTGGAACAGGTGGCCAAGCATGCAAAAGGAAGGGAGATAGTAGTAATGGGGGACTTCAATTACCCGGATATTTGTTGGATGTCAAACTCAGCCAAGAGCATAAGGTCAAACAGATTCCTCACTGGCCTTGCAGACAACTTCATTGTCCAGAAAGTGGGAGAAGCAACAAGAGGAACAGCCATTTTAGATCTGGTCCTAACCAAGGTTGATGACCTGGTTAGTGGGGTAGAAGTGGAAGGATCATTAGGCGCGAGTGATCATGCTCTTCTGAAGTTTACTATACAGCGGAAAGGAGCAGCCAAGCATACTAGGACTCAATTTCTTGACTTTAAGAAAGCCGACTTCATAAAACTTAGGGAAGTGCTGGGTGAGATCCCATGGACAGTAATACTAAAAGGAAAGGGAGTTCATGATGGCTGGGAGTTTATTAAGAGGGAGATAGTAAAAGCACAACGTCAGGCAATACCAATGAGACGGAAACATGGAAGGTGCCTAAAGAAGCCAGGGTGGCTATCTAAAGAACTTTTAACTGAGTTAAGATTAAAAAAGGATGTGTACAAAAAATGGAAAAGGGGGAAACCACCAAAGAGGAATTCAAACAAATAGCCAGCACGTGTAGACACAAAGTCAGAAAAGCTAAAGCACAGAATGAACTCAGGCTTGCTAGAGAGGTTAAAAGCAACAAAAAAGGCTTTTATGGGTATGTTCGTAGCAAAAGGAAGAACAAAGAAACAGTGGGGTCATTCAGCGGAGAAGATGGTGAAATGCAAACAGGGGACACAGAAAAGGCTGAACTCCTCAATGCCTTCTTTGCCTCAGTCTTCTCCGATAAAGAAAACAATGCCCGACCTGAAGAATTTGGAGCAAATGATTCAGCAAAGGAAACACAGCCCAGAATAACTAAGGAGATAGTACAAGAATACTTGGCTAGTTTAGATGTATTCAAGTCTCCAGGGCCAGATGAACTGCATCCAAGAGTATTAAAAGAACTGGCAGATGTGATCTCAGAACCACTGGCAGTCATCTTTGAGAATTCCTGGAGAACAGGCGAAGTCCCGGCAGACTGGAGGAGGGCAAATGTTGTCCCTATTTTCAAAAAGGGGAAAAGAGAGGACCCAAATAATTACCGCCCAGTCAGTCTGACATCAATACCAGGGAAGATTCTGGAGCAGATCATTAAGCAAACAGTCTGTGAGCACCTAGAAAGGAATGCTGTGATCACCAATAGTCAGCATGGATTTCTGAAAAATAAGTCATGTCAGACTAACCTGATCTCGTTTTTTGACAGAATTACAAGCCTGGTAGATGAAGGGAACGCAGTGGATGTAGCCTACCTTGATTTCAGCAAGGCATTTGACAAGGTGCCCCATGATATTCTTGTAAAGAAGCTGGTAAAATGCGGCCTTGACTATGCTACCACTCAGTGGATTTGTAACTGGCTGACTGACCAAACCCAAAGGGTGCTCATCAATGGTTCCTCTTCATCCTGGAGAAGAGTGACTAGTGGGGTGCCACAGGGTTCTGTCTTGGGCCCGGTCTTATTCAACATCTTTATCAACGACTTGGATGATGGACTCAAGGGCATCCTGATCAAATTTGCAGATGACACCAAACTGGGAGGGGTGGCTAACACCCCAGAGGACAGGATCACACTTCAAAACGACCTTGACAGATTAGAGAACTGGGCCAAAACAAACAAGATGAATTTTAACAGGGAGAAATGTAAAGTATTGCACTTGGGCAAAAAAATGAGAGGCACAAATACAAGATGGGGACACCTGGCTTGAGAGCAGTACATGTGAAAAGGATCTAGGAGTCTTGGTTGACCACAAACTTGACATGAGCCAACAGTGTGACGCGGCAGCTAAAAAAGCCAATGCAATTCTGGGCCTCATCAATAGGAGTATAGCATCTAGATCAAGGGAAGTAATAGTGCCACTGTATTCTGCTCTGGTCAGACCTCACCTGGAGTACTGTGTCCAATTCTGGGCACCACAGTTCAAGAAGGACACTGACAAACTGGAACGTGTCCAGAGGAGGGCAACCAAAATGGTCAAAGGCCTGGAAACGATGCCTTATGAGGAACGGCTAAGGGAGCTGGGCATGTTTAGCCTGGAGAAGAGGAGGTTAAGGGGTGATATGATAGCCATGTTCAAATATATAAAAGGATGTCACATAGAGGAGGGAGAAAGGTTGTTTTCTGCTGCTCCAGAGAAGCGGACACGGAGCAATGGATCCAAACTACAAGAAAGAAGATTCCACCTAAACTTTTTTTTTTTTTTAATAATTTTTATTAAGGTTTTAAACAAACAAAAAAGAAAAACAACACACACAAAAAAAAATACAAAACTTAACAATAAAAACACAAAACATAACAATTAAAAACAAACTCTCTTTTCCATTTCCAATTTTAAATTACTTATTTTCTGGACTTCCTCATACCTCCCTCTTTTGTATTCCAATCCACATTATTTGTCCAGCAGTTTCTTTTCCACTTTTTAATCTCAATCTTTAATTTAATAAAACGTTAAAATATATAACTTCAACTTTTTAAACCTAATCCTTGATCCTAATGTCATATAGCTTTAAATTTTTCCCTTTTATTATCAAATTTCCATTTCTTTAAACATCTTTAATCTTGATCTTTAATCTTAATCTATCCTTAACTTTAACCTGTACAGCTGGAAACCACTTGTTTTCAGTCCAACATCACTCTAACATTCCTTAGTTTTGCAGTGTTTCTGAAGTTAGTCTTTGAATTTCTTCCAGTCTTCCTCCATCGACTCTTCTCCCTGGTCACGGATTCTACCAGTCATTTCCGCCAATTCCATATAGTCCATAAGTTTCATCTGCCATTCCTCCAGCGTGGGAAGTTCTTGTGTCTTCCAATACTTTGCGATGAGTATTCTTGCTGCTGTTGTTGCATACATAAAGAAAGTTCTATCCTTTTTAAACACCATTTGGCCCACTATGCCCAGGAGAAAGGCCTCTGGTTTCTTGGGGAAGGTATACTTAAATACCTTTTTTAATTCATTATATATCATTTCCCAGAAAGCCTTAATCTTTGGGCACGTCCACCAAAGGTGAAAAAATGTACCTTCAATTTCTTTACATTTCCAACATTTGTTATCGGGCAAGTGATAGATTTTCGCAAGCTTGACTGGGGTTATGTACCACCTGTATATCATTTTCATAATATTCTCTCTTAAGATTCCACCTAAACATTAGGAAGAACTTCCTGACAGTAAGAGCTGTTCGACAGTGGAATTTGCTGCCAAGGAGTGTGGTGGAGTCTCCTTCTTTGGAGGTCTTTAAGCAGAGGCTTGACAACCATATGTCAGGAGTGCTCTGATGGTGTTTCCTGCTTGGCAGGGGGTTGGACTCGATGGCCCTTGTGATCTCTTCCAACTCTATGATTCTATGATTCTAGTAGCTTTTATAAATCTTCAGCCTGTTTTTTCTTTGAATTGACTTTTAAAAATACATAGGGTGTACTGTTGGTCACCCCAGGGTTAAGCTACATGACGGCAGAGTCATCTGTTGAAATGAAGGACTGCCACAATTTACCAGGCATGCAAGGGGTGGGGGTGGGGTTTGAACAGCAAAAAGGCCATGCAGGTGAGGGGGTGAATCCTCCCACCCCCTTGGGTAGTCTCCTCTCAGCTTCTTCCTATCCTGGCGCTTTTCTCCACAGCTAGGCTCCAATTTCAAAAATGGCTGGGAGGGAAAACACTTGAGCAGAGCTATAGCGAAGGAAGTGCTGAGCAGAATGGGCTGGGTGTTTGCAGTCCTCACATGGCTGTGCCTTTGGCGGCTAAAACTGGGCTACCAGCTCCTGGTTTGATACATACTTGCAGCAGCTCCAAGTTTCAGATGCATGGATCTGCAACTTTAACATGCACATAACCCCCCCCCTGCAATACACCTCCACCTACAACAGACAGACCCAAGAAAACCAGGCCCCCGGCACTTCAGATGTGAGAAAGTATGTCTGTTCTGCCTCCATCCATCTGTTAACATTTTTCATTTCTGTCCAGAACTTTTGAATGAGAGTCCTATATTGAATATACTGTAAGTTTTAATTTTATCTGTTGAGTGTGTGTTTTCTTATTAAAGATATTTGTAAAGCATTCTGGGGGTTTTGTATAAGGGGTGGTAATGTAAGTTGGATGGATGGATATACACACTTCATACTCTTTTGTACGTACGAAAGGAACTTACAGACATACAAAAATCTACACCCAAACATTCTCTCCCATGCAGATAATAGAGATAAGAAATGCACACTTGCTAAGAACCAGGCTGGGCACATTCCCCCTCTTTCACACTACTATTCTTCATTCTCAGGCTGATTTAAACCCAATTGTAAACTGCCCTGTGCTCCTTTGATGTAGGGCAGTACACAAAATGAAATGAATTAAAAGTAATTAAAATAAAATAAAAGTGGGTGGGTGGGTTGCCAGGTATGGGGGCTTAACAAGAAAGTAAGCAGAGTCCCCCTGAGATTGCTGAATAAATTGAAGCTGCCTTAAAGATTTAAAAAGGATGCCACTACTGCCTTTAATTCATACTAAGACAAGGGACCCTTGCAATCCCATGGGGCCTGCAAACTCTCATAGCCGACATGCGTGTGTCTGATCATGCAAAGATGGTGCCCCTCAGCAGCATTTCCCTGTGCCAGGGATGATCCTGTTATGCAGGCAACCAGCAGGAGCCCAGCTATGCTGACCACAAGTACTATCCCTCACCCCAGGACAGAACCAGCTGTTAGTTTACAGCCTGTTGTTGTTGTTGTTGTTACCACCACTGTTGTTATCTGTCTCTGTTCCCGAGTTTGAGTTTTCAACCTATTAACAGTCTCCATTTTCTAATGCCTGCTATTTGTGCTTCTCAAGATCTTGTCAGATACCAAGGAGCTCCAGAAGGAGATCAATGGCCTCACTGGGAAGGTAGACCGGACCTTTGCTGTCACTGATGAGCTGGTTTTTAAGGTGAAGGCAAGGGATCAGATTCTGGGGGGTGGGGAGATGGAGAGCAGCGCTTTGACTGACCTTCCAGTTGCTAACTTTTCCATCCCTCCCTTCTGCATTCTTTCTTTCTGCAGGATGCCAAACGCGATGAGGCTGTGAGGAAGGCATATAAATATTTGGCAGCACTGCACGAGGTAAGCCTCAGCAGTAATATATTAATTCATATATAGATATAGAGCTGCAGTTAGAGCTACATCCCTTTCCAGCTGACTCTGACTCTTCCTCTTCCTTAGAACTGCAGTCAACTGATTCAGACTATTGAGGACACAGGCACCATCCTGAGGGAGATCCGGGACTTAGAGGAGCAGGTGAGGCCTGCCAGAAAGTGGGTGGAAACATTAAACATTACTCTCTTGCAGTAATCTGAACTTCTGTGTGGAGGAAATTGTTTCAGAAATTAGGATACCAGGAAATATCTTTTAACAACTCCCTCTTTAGAAATAAAAATGCAGCTGCCAAACATGGTCCCCTGTCCCTCTGTTCAAGCTTCCAGTCATGCTTTCTCTCCTGCTTCCTTACCACCACCCCATTCTGCCATCTGTACACATCAAAGTCCTTTTGATTTTTTAAAATTAATTTTTAAACTTGGGGGTTCTGATCTCACTCGCTCAGAAGTTGAGATTTCAGTCTAGAAAGAGGGACATTCCATGCCTGCTCTGTCCATATCCTCCCGCCTGTTATCTGCCGCTTCTGCTCTTTTGGATGAGGCTGCCCCTTGATTCTCAGCCCTCATTATGGACTCTGTCCGTTGTGATTCTGTAGACTCACCATGCACCTCAGATATTTTTTTTACTTCCAGATTAACAAAAAAAGCATGACTCTTGTTGTTGAGGTTGCAAGCAGGAAGTGTGGGTGCCTGAACATACTTCCTGTGGACAGGATGTGGGACCTCAGTGGCCTCCAAATCTGTGTCTTTCTCCCCCTTTCCCATGATGAGTAGGAATAGAATTACGATCCCAGGAGTTGAACCTGAGCCTTCCTGCATCTTGCCAATCACACCTGCCACTCGCACGATGTTCCTTCCTAGATTAATGCTGCAGTCTTATTCACATGATATGCACGAGGTGTGGTAGGTGGGGGGTTGTTTTAAGCATTACCAGATTTAGCAGGCAAACTTGGTTCAGCACTCAAGCAGAAATAAGTGGTTTGGGTTTTTTAAAGATCCCCTTAACACTTGCTTTATTTATTTTAAAATATTTATAGGCTTCCATTCTGAATGCAACTCTTACATGGCTGCTTACATAGCACAACTGGGATACCATCATAAAACAATAGTTCTCCCTGCTGAACACTGCTACCCATTCATAAAATAAAATGTCTCTTTTCCCAGATTGAGAGTGAAACCAGCAAGAAAACCCTGAGCAATTTGGAGAGGATTCTCAGTGACTACCGGGCCATGAAGCAGGAAAACACAGCACTGCTTAGCCGTACCCGAGAGACGTGAAGCCCCCTTCCCAGTGCACAGCTACAGGGGGCTGGTGGGGTACCTGACCTCTTTTTAAGTCAAGACTGCTGTGCCTCTATCAAGGGACGGGGCACGGGGAGTATGAGCAGGGCTCCTCCTTCCAGGCTCTGTCTGCATTGTAAGTTGCCTAAAACCAAGCCAACGTGTGGCACATTTTGAGGTGGAGGGTGGGATTGGTCCCTAGTGCCATTTTTCTGACATAGATTGTATATTGGAGAAGTAGATGTGGGGAGTAATTGTTTCCTCCATTTATTATTTCCAAGCAAACCTCCTATCATCTCTTCTCAAAAACCAATAAAATCTCTCTCTTCTTTTTGCAGCGTACTTGTGCGGGCTGCGTGTGCAGTAACATGGGGGGGGGGGTTTACAGGGGAGGCTTGCATAGGCTGCCATTTCCCCCCTCTTCTGGATTTGATCTTTTTGCAATATTGCTTTCTTGTCTGGAAGCAGGCTCAGTTGTGGGTTGTGTGTGAATGCTGAGGAAAGCTGGTGGCTATAAGAAGCCAGCTTGATTCGGGGGGGGGGGGGGCATGTGCACACACACACACACACACACACACACACTCGCTGCCAGGCCGCCTGCAGGGGGAAGTCTGCACTGTGATCCTTCAGCACATGGTCCCTAAGGAAACAAAAAGTGCGGAGAGGACTCCAGCCTGTGGTGGGTGCGCCTTTCTGTTCTTGGCTGGCCCAGTCTCTCTTGGGTTGCAGAAGACCCTGCTGCTGCTTCTTGGCTGTCCAGATATGGGTGTGAATAAGTGGAGTAACGCTGGTTCCTTTTCTTCTGGTACTCAAACTCGTCCAGCGTCCACACGGCTCCTTTCACATTCTCCACACGCACAAAGCACTTGTGCAAGCTCAGGTTGTGTCGAATGGCATTCTGTTGGTTGAGAAAAGATGGGTAGGGTGCCCTGGCCATTAGACCTGCCTTCTCCTTTACCCCGACTTAACTCTCGTCCCTCTGCCAAAGTCTCCCTCCCTCAGGTGCCCCTCAACCCTCTTAGCAGGATCTTCAGCCCCTTAACCCTGCTCTATGGCGTTCTAGAACTAATATTTTATAAAGTACTTGCTATAGAAATGAATAGAAATGTATTCATCTGCAATAAACACTGTGATCCCAGGAATATACAGTAAAATAAACAAGCCATCTTATACTGCCTCAGTTTGCCCCAAATGCTAAGCTATGTATGCTGTGGCTTAGTGGGTGCTTCCCAAACTTTTTCCTCCCATAGAGGGCTTGAGCTTTGCTTAGGGTCTTAATTATTTATTTTCTGTTTTAACAATGGTAAGGCATTGTGTTTTTATTGCTTCTTTTATTAAGAACATTTTTATATGGTATTTATTGTAGTGGTGCAGCAATAAAACTGCTAGCACATTTGCAAAGCTAAGCAAGGTCCAGTATTGTTTATAATTGAATGGGGGACCACATTTTAAGATTGCAGCAGGTTGGCGTATATGGCCCTTGGGGTCCCTTCCAACTCTAAAATTCTATGATTGTATGATTCTATGTATTGCAATTTAAATTCTATGGAATTCAAATTCAAACAGTATAAGAAATAAGAGAACCAATGAAATACAATTAAAAATCATTATGACTATTTGATGGATAGGGGAGCCATTTCCTGTCTTTAACAGCAAATCTGCAGACATGTCGTGGGCTACTTGAATGAAACTCAGTCCATGGGCCACACTTTGGGAACCCCTGGCTTAGTGTCAATGTGCAAGTGTACTGATGCACAGTAAGAAGACTGTAGCCACTTTTGTCCTCCTGCACTGCCAAGCCTTAGTTTGACATAACATTCTGTGTGACTTCAGTCTTGTGGCTTGTCTTGTGCCAAACCAACCATGAGCAGTAAGCCAAGAACAAACCTTGTTTAAAGCACATGATTTGTTTGAAGAGAGACAAACAATGAGCCTGGGTTTGCGTATAATGCTAAGTTAAACTAAGGCTTGGCTCCAGGTAGTGTTGCAGGAGCAAGAGAGAAGTGAAGAGGCTGCCATTTTATTACTGTGTACCAGCAAGCTTGCTCATTAACACAAAAGCCATAGCTTGGCTTAGCATTATGTGCAAACCAGGCTACTGAGTCATAGTTCCAGCTAACCAAGATCAGTCTACTTGAAGATTTTCTACTGAGGGTACTTAGGACTAAGCCATCAGCCTTCCCCATGGTTTCTTGGGCAGTAGAGAATCAAATACCTTTATTATCTCTTGAGTGTTACAGGGTGGGGTGTGCTTCTGAGGCAAGGTTCTAAAACTCACCTCTTTCAGTCTGTTCATTATTATTATAATACTTATAAAGTGCTGTCCCACATTTTTCACCATTCATTTCTGTCCTGGTTCCCTAGTCTGGAGAAATTGTGTTTCCAATTCTGCAAAGTGTACACATCAAAGTCCTTTTGATTTTTAAAAATTAATTTTTAAACTTGGGGGTTCTGATCTCACTTGCTCAGTAGTTGAGATTTCAATCTAAAAAGAGGGACATTTCATGCCTGCTCTGTCCATATCCTCCCGCCTGTTATCTGCCTCTTCTGCTCTTTCAGACGAGGCTTCCCCTTGATTCTCAGTTTAAGAATGGGATCCCCTTACCTTCCAGGTGGTTACATTGTGCCTGAAGTAGCCAAAGTTGTTAAACCAGCGATAAATCTCACTCAGGCTGAGCTGCTTCTTAGGAGATTGTAAGATGGCCTGCAAGTAATAGGCAGGTATGGTTAACAGCCTGGTTTTGAGGCAAAGGTATCTCAGCGTCTTCTTGAAAAGCAACAAAAGGGCCTTCTGTGCTCCCAGTATTGTTGTGCTAAATTGGATGCATGTGGAAGGTGATGGGAGGGAGGGAGGTTCAGTGTGCCTGGCACAGGGCTCACCTATGTACCCACAACTATGTCCTATGGTGGCTGTAAAAGGCCTCAGTAAATAACACCTCAAAAATCCACAATGCAGAAAGGACTGTTTGTTCTTCCTGCTCAGTTCCTGGCTGCACTGTCTTCTGAACAAAGGAGAGGTGAAAAGAGCATCCCTCACTCTCTGAGCAAGTATGATGGTGACTGATGCAGATGCCCACACCCTTTTCTGCTCTTTGAGATGTGGCAGCCACTTTGGGTTATGCCAGGTGTGCATTGCAGCCATGTGATGCATGCTCAGAATTCTAAAGATGCTCACTAGCCCAAGAAAGATGGCAACCCCTGCTTTTTGAGAGCCCATGCGAGCATTGTACAGTAAGTTATGGAGCCTGAATCAAAGGGTAGGCTGAAATGTTTTGTTTTCTCTGACAGCTGCCATGCACATCGCTGGAAGTGGGCCCCAGTGGGTACTAGGCTCAACTCAACACTTGTATGTTGTTGGAGAGCTGTGGCCAAGCATTCTATGTGTGACATATGCCTGTCATTGTACCTCTTAAAGTACTGATGCCTAAAATAGCTGCTTGAGTTGCTAACAGCTAGGTCTAGCCCTGCACAATCCCCCACTTGCCACTAATTACACTTCCATGTGAAGTATGTGATCAGATGAATGGGCTTTTTAAAAACCCAAACCGAAAGACCCTTTAGATGCCCTTCAGTCCTCACTGGCTTAGTGATCCAGGTAGAACTTTTTCTGTCAATGCAGATAGAGGTGACCTGAAGTCCTCCAGGGGTTGATGGACTCCAACTCTCACCAACCTCAGACAGCATAGCCAGTAGGCAGGAATGATGGGAATTAAGCTTGTGACTCATGTCAGGCTTGTGCCCACCAAGACCCATAGGTTCTTTTCACATGGGATGATCTGGAGGGCCAGATTCCCCATCCCATTCTTTAGGGGTGTGTTGCAACCACACAGTGAACTTTTCAGAAAGTTGTTGGCTACAGGAAACAGACACAAGTGGAAGGCAACTTAGTACAGAGAAGGAAGAGGTTTGTGGGCAAAGGATAGTGCTGCTGAAGCCAGGAAGTAGAGAAGGGAGGCAATAGCATATAGGGGCAACAAGAATGGTGCCTATTGCAAGGACATTCAATCAGGAAAACAACATTCATATTTTGGGGTTTTGATCTGGTAAAAAGCTGCATAGCATTTAAAAAATATAGTTGTATCCTATATGTATGGGATTTCGTATTTACCTTTTGCTAAATAACTTACCCAACGAATAAGGGCAGCGTACGTGAAAGGTGGGCGGTTGAGAGTGTGACGGTAATATTCTATGCTGGGGCTTCTCTCTGTAGACAGAAATGAGGCTGGAGGTGTTAGTAGGAGCAATTCTTTGCTGGAGATTTCTGGTTCCAAATCATCTTCTGCTTGAGAGCCCAGTCAGCCAAGACACTCTTTCCTAAATGGCAGACTTCAAACCTGTGTGAGATCCCGTAACTCTACAGCAGTCAAGACTGACTGTGGCGACTTGTGGGAAAGGGCACTCTGCTCATGCTCAGGGACATTGCTTTGTATCAAGCCTTCAGATGCAGCATCTAAATGGCAGGAGGCTCAGATTTTAGGATGCTTACTCACTTCTAACTGTCAAACTGAGGCAGCATGACAACAAGCCAGCCTCAAATCAGCTTCAAAATGGAATGGGTGCCATATTACCCCTTTGTTGCTCTTGTCCTCTTGTTCAAGGAGGACCGTAGAACACAGATGATTCCATTCTGACTGTCCAGGACATCCATGAATCGAGCTTAGCATTGTCAAGGTCTCTATATGATGTTACCAGGGACTGATAATATGGGCATGCCCTTTAATAGGAATACACATTACTAGTCCACAGAGCGCTCCAAGAACCCCAAGCAGAGGTGAGATGGTATGCTAACTGACTCACCTGAATGGCTAAGAGTAAAACATGGTGTGAAATTCAGTGCATGGACTCTGATGTTTCCACTGTGTGTGGCTAGAATTACTCCTGAACTGTTCCCCTTTCCTTTCTCAGAAACTGGCATTGTTTTCAATCACTGCAACCCTGTTGTGGCTCCGACAACCCTCCCCACACCCTAAACAGACAACAGAATTTTATATTTCATGCCCACTCCTGAAATCTAATGGCTGGAATGTGCCATCCATTTCTAGAGCTTAGTGAAGGGGATGGAACCTGGCCTCCATTCTCCACCAACACTTCTCACCTGAACAGAGGTGGGCTCCATGGCTGTTAGAGTGGCATTCCAAACCCTCAAACTCATTCCTTGGCCCTTCAGACTGGCATGAAATGATTGGCACTGGTGCATCTGGATGCTGCGAAAGGAAGGCAGGTGCCAACTCTGCGCGCATTACTAACAGTTTCTGCTTCTCTTGTGCCAGCTAGATCATGGGGGAAGGTGGAGAAGAAAGCACAATCAGTTTCTAGATGCACCACGCATGTCTCCTCCTGCTTAGTCATAGCCTAGGTTATCAATCGGATGTAAGTTCCTCTGAACAAGGGACAGAGTGCAAAGGGTCTGGAAAATCTTTTCATTGTTTTTTAAAGAGCAAGTTTTGTCTTTGTTGTTGTTTCAGAAAGCAGCAGTGGCCATGCCTGCTGAAAACTCTCTGATTCAGCAAACTGAGCTTTTGCTTCCTCAGAAGACTTCATTGTTCTCTCCCCAACCTGCGGTTGTCTACTATTCACTTGCCATTTCTTTTTTTAAAAAAGAATCTTGCTTTCCTCTTGCTCCTTTTTCACCTAAATGCAATCTCCACACACCAGCTCTGGAAAAACTCATGGCTTTGGGAAAATAATGCTAACTAGTGGGACCCACAACAAAATAGTGGGATGCTGCTGTTCAGGTTCCCAGCCATTCCATTCTATTCCACTCCCCTCCCTCTTCACCCCACCATACCTACTGAGCATGTGCTCAGCCCAAACTGGGTCATTTGAGAGGTTCCCCCACAAGATGTTAAGATTTACTGTACGTACTTCCCAAATCTTGCTCCCTCTTGTGTGTGAGTGTTGCCATTTTGGCTACATAAGATGCTATACTTGGAGGACCATACGCCTAGCAAGCTCTCTGTTCTGCAGGCTTCCTTCACAGTGACTGTGTCAGCGTCCACCCCCCTCCCTCATCCCACCACCTGCCAACTTTGTCCATACCTGCAGAGCTAATTTGTTCACCAATTCTTCTTGCACCAGCCACTCTCTGCGCATTCTGCACATGACTCTGCAAGAGAAAACAAGTCCGAGACATTCAGCCACTAGGTTCAGCTGTCTTGCTTTCTCCCAGGGACAATGCCAAGGAGCTGCTCGCAATCTCAGGCCCATCCTACAAAAATCCTGGTTTTGTGTTTTGTTGTGTTGGGGTAACAGGAAAGCATATCAGAAGGAAGCAGGCCTCTCAAACATAACTGTCCTTTATTGCTATGTAACAAGAATGCAAAATGAAACTAACTGGAGCTTTGCAGAATGCAAACTACAGGAGTTCAACAGGTCCAAAAAGTACTACATCGAAGCATAACGCCCCTTGGCCTACCCAAGACCCCTCTCCCCTTAGCAAACAAAATATTTTAACCAACCTAGAGGTGCCTGTTTGCAGTGTGGTCTCTGTATTTTGCTGATGGGACTCTGATTTGGCAGCTGCTGTGGGCAGAGGGGGTTCTCTTACTTCCATCACTTAGTGGCTCTAGTAACGCCACAGGAGGTGTGGCAGGGGCATCCACTTTTGCCCACGACCCTGAGATTAGGAGTCTCATGCTCTACCAACTGAGCTATCCTGTTTTATTTCAGCGTATTATAAAAATATATTTTGTAATGGGTATGATTTTTTGTATACATTTGAATAATATATTTAATAAAGCAAACTGCAATGGGAGGTATAGACCTGTTTACCTTCTTAAAAAATTAAGGCATCTAGTAGGGGTGCTTTTGGTACCAGAAACTTGTGGTTTCGAAAGAGGTATTCAGGGCAGTCGGACAGCTCACCTTTCCTCATGGCTGTGAAAGCAAGGGGTGTTGTCCATAGGTGTTCCTTTCGCAGGGGACCTCTCTCTGGGATGGAGTGCAGGGGGGGCTGGGAACTGAACCCAGTCCCATTTCTCAGTGTTGTTCCCTGAAACAAAGGGAGACAAGAATAGGTAGGGAAGCTGCTATATTCCCACTCACAAATGCCATCCTTTCCCCTGCCTCTACTTACTGTGGGGTGGGGCAGGGCCTGAACTTGCTGAATGGGCTCCCTGGGGTAGTAACAACCCAGAAGGGGGCAGGACGACAAGGGGCAGTTCACTGCCATCTGTGTGAGTGACCTGAGGAAAACAAGAGAGTCAAATGAAATCCAGGAATCTCAGTTGTGAATCCTCCTGGAGTCTTTAAGATAGGGATAACCCAAGACTTCCATGAATCTTAGTGCTCATCCACATTTCTGCTTGTCCTAGGTTGGAATAGTTTTTCCACTTGTCCTGTGATTTCTAGGCACAGATCCAAGCAGTTTTGCATTTGTCCAGCAGCTTTCTTCTAGAAAACATGCTCTTTACCACAGAATCTTTCTGCAGGGCCTGCAAGGCAGAGCTGTTCTACTGGGCCTTTGGTCTGGGCCCTGTCTGACCCCCTTCTTTCTTTCTATGGGACCCCGTGTGTAAGTGGCCTCCTTGGTTCTTTCTATTGGCCCATATGGGACCAGCACGGGTGGCCGGGCCTGGTGAACATTTAATTCCTTACACCTACAGTTATGATTTGTGGGTTCCCACTTAATTTTATTTTGATTTTAAATGTGATTTTGAATTGTATTTTAAATCTAATTGCTTGATTTTGTGTTTTTAATGTATTATATATTGGGTGTTAGCCGCCCTGAGCCCAGTCTCGGCCGGGGTATAAATAAAATTTATTATTATTATTAGAATTAAAACAAACAGCAAAAGCAAAAGCAACGCGAAGCCTCCGGAGCACAACGGGAGTTCCCGCTGCACTCTGGAGGCTTCGGGTTCCTTTCGCTGAAACCAGGAGAGTCTTCCTGGCTTCATTGAAAGGAACCTGAAGCCTAGAGAGTGAGAAGCCTCCGGAGTGTGGCGGGAGTGCTCCCTCTGCGCTTCGGAGGCTTCGTGTCGCTATCGCTGAAGCCACGGAGCCTGCATTTGCTCCATAAGACGCACACACATTTCCCCTTAATTTTTGGAGGTGAAAAAGTGCGTCTTATAGAGTGAAAAATACAGTAAATATGTGTGAACAGTAATTTTTTTCTGGGGAGACGCAGGGGTATGCATACCCCTAAACATTTTGTGAATCTGTTTGGTCTCATTGAGGGGCAATATTTCAATATGAGTAGAAAAATGACAGTACCCCTAAACACTTTGTTAGAAAAAAAGCAGTGTGTGTGAATATACCAGATTTCTTAAAGGCACTTGTTTCTGCTGTGCCTCCTCTTTCCAAGGAAGTACAAACCCTGGTTAAGTGCCAAACCCTTGGAATCTCTTGCTGCTGCTTGGCAGAGACTGAAGTGGCCTATAGCAGTATATTTACCAAAATCCCAACAGGTACACCTTGGCAACTGTCTGATCAGGACAACCTCTGGCACTTGCTATGAGTGGGGTTGACTCCCCACCAACTTACTTCTTGCTTGCGTGGTGCAGCACAAGTCAACACTGTCGGCCGCATCTGAGCACCTCTTCTTGGACTGGGCTGTGGTAGAGTACGGGGAGGTGGACTGGAGGATGGCTTGGAGCCAGGCATCAGGAATGAGGAATGCCTGCAATAACATTTCATGAAATTTAAATTTCTCATTAAAGGTATTGTTGAGTTTGTGGAGTTCCTGGACTCCCTTCAAATTCCTGGGTGTCACACACTGGATTTAGCATGTTAAAATACAAGCCAGGAGCCAGCCTGGTAATAGCCCACTAAATATGAGTTAATAGTGGGACAAAGTGGGTGGCGCTGTGCCAGAGGGCAAATGGGAGGGGCCTCTCTCTCCACTCATAATTAGTTAGAAGGACAAAAGCTTTTCAAGTGGAGTTTTAGAGTTGGAAGGAGAGCAGTTGTTTTAATGATTACAGCTGGGGATGATGTGGGTAAGGAGGAAATATGAGTGCAGTCTTAAACACAGCAAGCTGAGCATTCTTGATTTCTTTTTGCATCCAGCAGCAATGGGAGAAACAGGATCCTCTTGGAGTGTAATGTTTTGAACCCCTGCATCGTAGACAGGGTGGGCAGTGTGAAAAGTCTATATAGGGCTTGCACACCATTGTTCTGGGTCCTCCTGCCTCCTGCGTGTGATAGTGAGCACCCTGTTGCAACAGTTAATAAAGATCAGGCTTACTAGCTGCCCTTTTTCTCAATATTCTCTGGTTGGTTCCTGTTATTTTCTCCTTCCAATAGGGGACCTACTTAAGGACTCTATAGGGGCTCTTGGATACCCCATAAGGGAAAAGGAGCAGTATTTTCTTATAACAAGACCTTAAAATTCTTCTAACATTACTGTATGGTTTTATGGTTTTGTATTGTTGTAAACCACTGTGATATATTTTTATGATACAGTAGCATATAAATATGAATGAAATAAATTACAAACTAGACTGTGATTACAGAGAGCTTATAAACAGAATAGTGTAGTACTCAGTGGGTAAAGTTTATTCACACAGAACACAAAGTGCTCTGTATGACAACCAGCTTCCCGTCTCCCTTTGTGTTTCAATATATTCCACCCCTTCTTCCCTAATTTGCTAAAATTATAATAAATATTCCAAATTCTGCTAAATGCAAAGGAACTGCTGGGGGGAAAAAGATTATTGTTGTAACTAACAATGCATAAACAGAAAGATCTGCCTAGATCTCTGGGTTATTTGTGGGGCATAGGAATTCTTTCTCCCCCACTTTCCCCCCCAAAATATAGTCTGGCCCCCCACAAGGCCCGAGGGACAGTGGACCGCCCCCCCCCCGAAAAAGTTTGCTGACTCCTGGCCTAGATCATAACTGAAATCTCGGTGGTGCCTCCCCATTCAAGAGAAATATACACGGTAACAACTGGGGAGGAGTGGTTGAGACTTGGGACACACACAGGATAAATCCAAGGGAAAGTAATAGGCTATGTTTTTCAACCAGGAATGAGGAAAGGGTTTTTTTGAGGAGGGATCCAAAGAATGGGAGAGATTTTATATCTTCACCAAGGACATAAATATGGTTGTGTTTATTACATAATTGACTTAAGAAGAGTCCATTCTAATATGGAAGGCAACACTTGTGTGAATGTTGTTAAAGCAGGATAGAAAATGGGAGACAGAACTACAGCTCTAGAGACTCCTATACACGTCATCTCAGATGTAAGTCTCCTTGAGTTCAGTGGGGTTTACTCCTAGGATTGCAGCTATGTTTAGTATTCTGGGCAAGGCAAATTTTAAATTCAAATTGCAGCAAAACCAAAGGAAATGTTCCAGCATATTTAAACATCATTTGTAGAAGCAGTTTGGCAGGTAAACATATTTGCTAAGAGTTGAGTCTCTTCTGAGTTCAATAGGACTTACTTCTCAGACATAGATTTCAAATAGTAGCTTTTGTTCTCAGGACAGATAAGATTGCCCACATATGCTTTTGCACAGGTGCATGGGTATAGGTTGCTACCCAGCCTGGTGCAATAAGTGATATTATGTCTTATGGTTGCCTTTTAGCTAAGACTGATGGAAGACATGAGCCTTTAAATCCGTTAAACCAAGAGCCAATGCAGGAACCTAGTTTTGCCATCTCTCTCCATTATATCTGCAGCGTGGCACACCTGGATTTTTGCAGGTGAGGGAAGGGGGACAACAGTACTGCAAAGGGAATGGTCATGAGGAACTGCAGCTGTCTTGTCTCCTGCTGCATCAGGAGGTTTATATGATAATATAGTGTCTGTGGCGCAAGAGGACAACTTTTGCCCATATGCTATATGACTTAGTCCCTGGTTCATACAGCAGCCCGCAGCCAATGTCCAGAGTCTGCTGTGCCACAATAGAGAAAGGAGACACCAGTCGTCTCTTAGAGCAAGGGACGACAGACTTCAGGCAGGCTTTTTTATGAGAGTACCAAACAGCCAGTGCAAAAAGCACACACTTAAAAATTCTGAGCCAAGGAGATTATTTTCAGTGTATAAAATTATGCATGGCATGGAGAGAATGGAGAAGTTTTTCTCCCTCTCTCATAACACTAGAATTCATCCAAAGTTGAATGTTGGAGGATTCAGGACAGATGAAAGAGGTCCATCTTCCATAGTCTGGAACTCATTCCCACAGTGATGGCCACCAACTAGATGACTTTAAAAGAGGATTAGACAAATTCAGGGAGGGTAAGGCTATCAGTGGCTACTAGCCATGGTTTTGCTTCACCTCTACTCTCGGAGGCATCATCATCATCATTCTCAATACCGGTTGCTGTAAACTGCAAGAAGGGAAAGTGCTGTTGAACTCAGGTTCAGCTTGCAGGTTTCCCACAGGCCTCCCGTTGGTCACTGTAAGACTTGGATGCAGCACTAGGTCAGCCATTGGCCTGATTCCTCAGGGTTCTTCGCTTCCACATGGAAATCCACTCCTGATTACTCCACTGAGAGTCAGAGATGTGTGTCGAACTACAGAGTCACCCAGAAATTTACCTGTAGATCTCAATCTATTTTATGCCCATGCCATCTAACCCCCCAAATAAGTAACAGACAGTGAGCATGGCAGGGAAATGAAAAGATCAGTGCTGCAGATTGTCAGTGCTGCAAGAACTACTCAGGAAACACATAGTAAGTAAAATAGGCATATGCACATGCTTTTAAACACCCCTGCACATGCACCTGAGAAGACTTCTTCAGCTAGGTGTATTGCCAGGGAAACAGCCAGTAGATGGTGCTCCTGTTTTTCAATTTAGCTTCTATTTCCATATATAGTCACTGAGATAAGGAACGCAGCTACAGGCATGGGAAAGAAAGGAGTGGCTTTGCTCTGAGCCAGCTCATACTTTGACTTCAAAGGATGGGAAAGGGATTCCAACATGAACACCTGCCGCAGAAACTGTGGGAAGCTGCTCCAGGACACTATATAAGGCCCCAACTCCATCACTTCAATGAGCTCTTGATATGAACCATTCCAGAGGGTGAAGACAAGGCTCTTGAGCCTAAGTTAGAACTGCCTGCCTGCCTGAAGCCCCAGAGATTTCCAAGGGCTGGGGAAGATGTGAAGCTGAAACTATTTTGTGACTATATCTGTTATTATTTCTCTCACCAAAAATCTTTGCTTATTGCCTATATTTTATATTAGTTATTATTGGCTTTATAGTTTTTGTTAGTTATTACTTTATTCTATATTGTTAATCTGCCTCTCTGCTAATGTCCTTTAATTATCTTTGTTTTGTATATTAGCACCTGTTTCTGTTTCTATGGTTATTATTATAATTGTTAATAAAGGTGGCTTCTGCTGCCTAAGTGTACGTATGTTGCCCTCCATTTGCTGAGATCCAAAGAACCTGCTGCTTGGTGGTTACTACGGCCGGGTGGCCACTAGGGAGCAGCACACTAGATTTCCCAGATTCCCACACGCACACACAGTTGCTTAAATGTCTTTATGTATGCATATTGTGCTTCTATATCTTCCACATTTGGTGCATTGGCAACAAACAGTGCTGACTAAAGAGAGTAGTGGGCATAAGAAACTGTTCTGTATCACTAGCTGACTTAACATCTTCCCACTGGGCCATAGGTTGCTTGCAAAAGGACTAACACCTTTGTTCTGCCAAAAGGCAACAGAAGCCTGGGAGACGTCAAGCAGTAGCGTAGTTAGCCAGGGGTAGGTGGGTGGGCTCAGAGTGGCAGGGGGTCTGTAGGGTGGCATGGTGGCTGCTGTGCATCTGGGGGTGGGATTCCAGGCAGCAGGGGAGCTTGAGAGCAGCGTGACGGTAGCCAGGTATATTGGGCGCTGCCTGAAATTGGCTGCCCTAAGAAAAGCTCAACAACTTTGGTCCACCCCAAGCACTGGCGGGGGATGCTATGAATTGATATTTTATGTAAAATGAAATGATTTGGGGGGAAAGGAGCACCTGTCAAGTAAACAAACACCTAAGTATAATAGAATAGGTTTCTGAAGATGCTGAGGAAAAGTGCATCCTTTTGAAAAGGTGTTTTGTCCAATGCTGGTCTTACAGAAGGGAGACCCACTGAAATCAACAGACATAACTAATGTTAGTCCATTTAGCTCAGTGGGTCTTCTCTGAAGAGATGATTATGGGAAATGTTTAATGCCTTTCTTGGCCATAACATGGGGCTCCATTTTTTAAAGAAAACAAAACATATAAAACATCAAAACACAACAATACTATAGAGCACAATTCAAAAAATCATTGGCAGTTAAAATTTTCCAACACAGAATATGAAATTAAATGCCTGCCAGCAGCACTTTAAATTTTTGCCAGCACAGTTAATTACTTTAGCTATATATTTTAGTATATATTTTTATTTATTTAATCAAATGGATATAATTCAATAACATATAAGCAATAAGGAAATAAAGGAGGAATGCAATTTAGTTAAAATTAAACATGCATACACACACAAATATACAAATCTGGGTAATTGCATCACAATCCCTTGGAAAAATAACATTGATATTGGAAGGTAGTATCATGCTCTTTTAAAATATTTGTTTTACTTGTAAGTATCAGGGTGTTGTCCTTGGGGTCTTAATGATATTCTCACTTGAAGCTGAAGAGTTACTAAGAAATCCGTTTCACTGGAGGCGTTTGAACATTGTTGCCACTGTTTAAATGACAGAATTGTCTGCCATATAGCTGAAAACAAATCTTTTTTTGATTGTCCTCTACTGTACCTTAATTTTGGAGTTGATTTTTCAGCAACAGCTATGGACAAGATTTGACTGTACCATAAATTTAACCCTATTAGACTAAGGGCATTTTAAGTTTGAGACTGGTTTAGCAGACATGGCTTGCCTCTCCAAGAATCCTAGGAGCTACAGGTCTGTGGAAGTGCTGTGAAGTCGTAGTGTGAGATCTCTGTATCCCTTCATGGGGCTACTGGAGTCGCTTGGGTTGCACGCATGGCGGACAGAAGGGTACAAAACCAGCCTACTACATTTAGGCACTGTAGAGATGAACTGGATGAGGAATTTGGATGAGGCATTGGTTAGTCCAGCTCCAATCCGGAAGTGCTATTGACAGGCGGCATTTACATATCATGCTTCCTAAGGACTACACAATAAAAATAGTATTATAGGACTTAGGGATTGGTTTGGATGATGCCCATGGCCCCCCAACCAAGCCAGTGGTTTTGTAGCTACAAAATGAAGGCCTGTTCAAGAAATAACTGAACTGGTCTACCCAGTTTCTTTGTTAGGTTAATGGTCTAGCTGACTCAGGTAAGCACTCCTAACTGCACAACTAAAAAGGTTGCCAGGCTACCAGAGAGACAACTAGGTTCATGATGTTCTCCAGGAGGGGAGTAGGCATTTTCCTCACCCTGTCACCTGACCAGCCACAACATCATCTTGTACGAAGGAGAACAATAGCCAGAGCCAATGTATGAGAGAGTTTGGATGAAGCTGTAGGACCTCTGGAAATGGAAACCTAATAGGAAAACAAGATCTGTTGGAGTGTCAATGCCTCGAGCCTTCCACCCTGTGCTCAGATTGTAGATACAGTATGTGTAGTTTCTGTTGAGCTTCATTCAAAGAAAACCGAACCTCAGGTGGGCACTGGAACCCCTAAAGTCTTTCACTGCTGCTCAGAGATTGCGGCGCACACAACACTAGTATATCCATGAGTTATCAGTGGAATTTATTATTATTATTATTATTATTATTATTATTATTGTTATTGTTATTATTTACTACAACATTTATAGTGCTCATCAACAGAGTCCTCTAGCTGGTATGCCGGTGTAAAAAGCGCCCCCCCAATCAAGATTCCCCCCCCCCCCGCTTCAGCCTTCCTCTAACCGCTAGACGCCACACCCTTCCCTCAACCTGTTTTGATGTCATCTTACTTGTTATCAGTAAGCTTTGCCTATGTTCATTTCCTAGAAAGGGGGAGAAAATGCCACCCCACAATGGGTTTCAAATTGCTGACACCTGTTCCCAGCGTATGTGCGTCATATGGTATTAGTGCCGAATGCTGAGTTCTTTCCTATACGTCAAACTGAGCATCTAACCGCTTCCGTGAGGTTAAAAATTCCCTTCACATGGTAGCTTTAGTGGACTGAGGGTTGGAAATACAATGGCCCACTAAAAAAAATATCCAGCTCGAGCATACAATGTGCACTCAGGCCCAACTAACACAGAGTTAAAGCAATTGAACCTTCTTTAACCATCTGTTTTAAGAATTCTTAAGTTACAGAATAGTAAAAGGGTAGGTCTTCCTCACTTTCCAAAAACATAGGTCCCATCTGCCATATTATGCCACTTTAAACAGTCATGGCTTCCCCCAAAAATCCTGGGAATGAGCTTGTTAAGGATGCTAAGCATTGTTAGGAGACCCCTAGTACCCTCGCAGAACTACAATTCCCAGAATAGCAATCAAGCCCTCTTGTCAGGGAATCATAGGTACGTGAGGGAAATAGGCACACATTAATGGCTATGACTATAATCAACGAATGCCAGTTATTCCATGTCCATTGAGATTTTATTCCAATGTAAGTTGTTTCTGAGTCTCAAACATGCCTCCTTGTGTCTCCTTATGGATGCATTTTTGTTTATGTGGGATATCAGCAAGGAGATAAGCACAGTAAACCAACTGGCTTCTAATGTGTGATGGTTAATTCAGTTATCAAAACTGCAAACCAAATTTATCTAAATTATCAGCCATTCTGAACTTCTATATTAGTGGCAAGAAATTACATTTAATGAAGGCCAAAAACAGATGCTGAAGTATAACAGGGACCTTCAAAAAAATGCTAGTTCACCCCCCCCCATGTCAGCCAGGCACCTGCCATGCCTTTCCCCAGTGGGCTATTCCACCCCACGCCAGATTTCCATTTGGGTTTTCCAAATTAGTCAACAATCAGTGTGCGCTGAGTATGCTCAGTTCTTATTGTGTTGTCTTTGGGGGGTGGTTGTCTCCATTGTTTGTTCTTTATTTTTGCAGTTATATCCCACTGCTCAAGGTGGCACACATACTTCTCTCCATTTTACCCAGACAACCATGTTGGGTAGGTTAGGCTGAGAGTCAGTGACTGGCCCAAAGTCATCCAATGGGCTTCCTGGCACAGTGGGAACTTGAACCCTGGTCTCACAGGTCATAGTCTATCTCTAATCAACACTCCAAACCAGCTCTTTTTTTAAAAAAGGTTGTTATAGTTCTATAAACCTTGGTTTCCCACCAAACCTGCTGAGTGCAGATACCTTCCTATATTTCCTCATTGGCCCCATTTCGGTTACAGTCATGTTGGCAGTCACCATCTGAATTTACTATTATTATATCATATGGGATGGTTGATCTAGAAGACTCCTAAAGAGTTTGCTGTGAGATGCTATGCAGTCACCCTCAATTCAGAGACAGAAGATATAATGGGAGAGATGTAGGATCTCTCTCTATATGCGATGGAAACAGTATCCACCCCCACCCCCCGGCACGCAATAACCCCTCTAGTCTACAATTAAAACCATCCAATTGTTCTATTGACTTTTGCTGGGAATTCTTGTCTGGAAGAGATGGGCCATGATCTATTAATTGCCCATTGCTGCCTCATACGTATTATTTTCCTTCTTGAGGTCAGAACTTAACCAATGTTATATATAAAACTGTGTATATTATACACTGTATAACAAAACTTCACTGAAAGCTTATATTTTCGGCAAAGTCATTTCAGTAGGAGATTTGTGGAGGAGAAACAGCAATGGGAAGGGAGTGCTTCACCCTCTGCCCCCACACCTGTCACTTTTCTATTGGAACTCACCACCCACCCATCCACATCCACAAGCAAGGAAGCACCTGGAACTCTTTTAAGGTAAGTGTTTGGTGGAAATGAATTGTGGGAAAAAGTAGAGGGTTGGGCAAGAATTAAACACAATCTTCTCCACTCCAACAGAGTTTGCTCTAATAGAAGTGGCCATTCATTTTTATTGGACATTGTTGCATGTACCGTATAGTGTAGTTCTACCCTCATGCCTCTTGGTATGAGAGTAGAACTGAGGTATTCAGGATCCTTGCCCCCTCTGCTTGAATGCTCTAGCTATCCCATATGGACTTTCCAGCTGGAGGTGGGGACAATACAAGTACATGTACAAGTACATGTCTAAATAGACCTCGAACTGGTCCAACAGCCTTCCTGGTTAAGACTAATAGAAGCTATAATCCAAAATATCTGAAGGGTGTCAAGTAGGGGAGCATTGCTCTAGGGCAATTTGTGATATATAATAAATATGATGCATATAATACGTGGATCAATTAAACTACTGAGTGCAATATGTTACTGCAAAGAACCAAGAGAAATTACTGAGATATTCCAAGATTTTCAGCAGGAACTGTTACATCACATCTCAAATTGTAGCTAATTTATATTAAATCACCCAGAGCTGCAATATCAGAAAGTGAATTCCCTCCTTTTTTTCTTGCCTTCTCTTCCTCCATGTCTAAATCCAATAGTAAATTAAAAATGTATATATCATCCTACCTTTGATCTGCCTTTCAAGTTGCAATGAGGCAAGACAATTAAAAGTCTCAACAAATTGAAAAAGGTGACGGAGAGACTAAAATCAAATTAATAATACCATTTTAGGAAACCATAATTAATATTCCATATGGGATGTTGTATGTCACAACATTTTGTCAAGCATTTTAACTCAAATTTAGTGGAGGAATAAATACATTTAGAAATACCTAAAGGTAGAGATACCCTTTAGACCAGGGGTTAGCAACCTTTTTCACCCGTGGACCAGTCCACCATCCCTCAGACCATGTGGGGGCCGGACTATATTTTTTTAGGGGGGAAATGAACGAATTCCTATGCCCCACAAATAACCCAGAAATGCATTTTAAATAAAAGCACACATTCTACTCTTATAAAAAACCAGGCAGGCCCCACAAATAACCTAGAGATGCATTTTAAATAAAAGGAGACATTCTGCTCATGTAAAAACACGCTGATTCCCGGATCGTCCGTGGGCTAAACTGAGAAGGCGATTGGGCCGCATCCGGCCCACGGGGCTTAGTTTGCCTACCCCCGCTTTAGACTCCTAAAAAGGTTGTATAACTCAATAAATGATTAAGCCAAAGTAAAATGCCCCAATCAAGCAAATGTGAATTGGCTTTAGTAAGCTCTATGTTTGAGTTTTCACCATGCAAAATATTTCCAAGTGGCTTCAGTAGAGAGGGATGTTCTATGCACACCTCCTTTTGTACATATGGAAATGCCCATCACTGCTATCTGTGGAGAAGCTTGTTTAAAAGTACACAATAACAGTCTTGCTAGTTGATTTCATTTATCATTATTGTTTTCAGCGCTGAGCAATTGAATGCCTCTACAAAGCTTTTTCTTTTGTTTGTCCCCAGCATGATACGTGCTGGATGATACGGTCATCATCAACATGGCTTGTAGCCACTGATAACCTTATCATCCATGAATTTGTCTAATCCCCCTTTAAAGTAATCCAAGTTGGGGACCATCACCACACATTGTAGTAGGAAATTCTCTAACTTAACTATGTGTGATGTGAAGAAGTACTTCCTTTTGTCTATTGTTTCTCCTGCTATTCACCACGAACTCCTAGCTCCAAAATACCATATTCGTTAGTATTTCAAAACTAACAAAGCTGAGTGAGTTACATTTCTCCCACCCCAATAGACATTGCAAGCCTATGCACCAGTGTTAGCAGGTACACAAGATAAATGAGAACATAAACAGGTTCATTTGGATGGGGTGCCACTGAAAAAAAAAAGGTGTGTAAATTCTATACCCTGGAGAAGCGAAGTTACTATTCTCAAGTCCAGTGGTTTATATTAAAAGTAACTTGAGCCAAGTGATGCACCTCAATAGAAAACAATGTCATCACTTCAAGTTCTGTGACAGGTGAACTTCAGGTCTAACAAAATATAGTCCGTTCAGCCACTCCGTTGCTAGAAGGACAAATAACAGAATCTGGCCTTGCTCATTTTCAAGCCAGAGAGTGACTGCTGCAAATCAGAGGTCGGACTCTATCTCACCGGCTTATAGTCTAATAATTCTAGACTGACCCAAATTGAACTATAATCAACGATTTTATTCATCCCATTTTATGGTATCTCCCCCTTCCTAATGCAAAGAATGGTTTTATCAAATCCTTCAAGCTCAAATATTCTGAAAAGCAAATCAACTTACCGCCTGGGGCTTTTCCGATCAGATGAGGTCAGCAGATGGATAAATTGTGAAGAATCCTCAAAAACAAACCAGTATTTATATCACGAGGAAGCCACAGGCAGGCCTTGTCACAGCCCAATTTCTCTATGTACTCTGCTTATCACCAAGGGTTGAGGTACTTTTTCTCCTCTGACTATATGGAAATTATGAAAAATTCGATCTTTTTGTCTGTGTCAACCTACCCTTTTGCTCAAGAACAACATTTTTTTCTTTCCTCATTTGAGAAATCAAATACAACAGAACTGTCTCTGACTTTAGCTTAACCACACAGACACAGAAATGTAGGTATATGGGTTATGCGAGTTTGTGTGTCACACAAAATTATACAAATACACAGGAGAAATCACACTAGACCATTTAGAGGAAATATAACTATAAAAAGGACAATTGATTGTGTAACATTTCTAATAACACTGACCCACAGAACTTTTACGAATGAGTTCCACATTTCTCACTGCCAGAACATCCTTCAACCACCATCATGCACTGGTGAAGCTTCTCCTCTGTGCTTATTTACCCTGATTTGAAATCCAAGGGAGCATTTGCTTTCAATTCAGTATATGGTAGAATATTTTTAATCATGTATTACTTATAATGTGGTATCAACGCTTCAAAATTCACCTCAGCTGCCTGCCTCTTGACCTGCCAAACTGTGAACTGCATGATACTTTAGTGTGCACATGTGTACATGAGCAGGTTTGTGCACTAGTGAAGTGATGCAACCCCCCCCCCACCTCCTCACTCCCAGGAATGGTATTCAACTAAGTTTTACTCAGAGAAGAGCCACTGAAATTAATGGACCTAACTTAGGTTTGTTCATTAATTTTAATGACTCTAAGTAAAACATACTTAAATACTATCCCAGATATTTAATTTCTAGAGACTTGGGGAAAGTGGCTGAAACCTGATATTTTAATTATTTTGGCAGCACACATAATTTGTTAAAAAGTATTCACTGATAAGCAAAATAGGAATAGTGATTTACTATATTTTCTGGAAGCATCTGTCTCTGGTAAATAGGACAAAGTTCCATGAGTGGTACAGTTAAGCAATTTTAGATTCAGGACTTAATGGTTTTATGAGTGAGGACTCTAACTGGTATTTCAACTTGTGCATAGCCAGCACCTTAGGTTTGAAAGCCATCCTGAACCTCATGACCCTGAGGGGCGGGGGCAGGGCACTGCAACTCCTGTTCTGACAGCACCACTGACAACAGCATCAAACCACCAAGGCAGGGGAAAATAAAATCCAATTACTAATGTACTTATTTAAATAGTTTGTCTGCAAGGTGACCATATACATGGTACTTAACCAAAGAAGAAGGAAGGTATCCCTATCAAAAGGAGAAAGATTCCAATTTAGAAATAATTGATATACGGTAATTTAATTCTTAATCAGAAATATAATATACCCCACTGTAGCTGTCCAGGTGCTAATTGCTGATAGGCCTCGACTTCCCTTTCCATAGTTATTTATCTTAAAATTGCTCCTTGACCAGACAGCTCTTTTGATAGAGGACCTCTTCAAACAGGACTGTTGTCTTTTAAGGAAGACACACAGCCACCCTACTCCTTTCTCCCCTTATGCTGGATTGTCTTGAACATTAAATCCATCAAAAGTCCCTTCACATGCAATCCCAAAATATCTCAGGCATTGTTGATTGCAGAGCCAGCTCTACTATTAGGCAAAGTGAGGTGGTTGCCTCTGGCATATAATTCTGGGTGTGTCAAGAAAGGTCAGCAGATGGTTGTTTTGTAATGTATTATTCTTTTATATTTACTCCCAAGGAGAGGTTGTTGTGGGATGTTCTGTTTTGGGTGCCAAATAATTTGACCAGTTGTGGGTACTAATATGCACCTTGACTTTGGGGAGAGAGGCACCATGTGCTGCTCTGCCTCAGGCAGCAAAATGTCTTGAGCCTGCCCTAGTTGACAGATTTGGCAACTACAGAGTAAAACAGGATGGTCCAACACCTCCCACATGCAGCCATCAAGGCCTTTTTAAGTGGCCCTTACTAAGTACCAACAAAGTGTCGCTAGCGGCAACTGCCATTCTCTTCCATTTTATCTCTATGTTCCTACTCCAAATCTAAGTGAAAAGGATAACACTGGCTATGTGGCAGTGGTGCCATGGAGGAAACCCTGTTTCTCAATTGGTTTGTGCCAGGGTGGCAACCAACGGCCACCATATGGGCAAAGGAAAACTGATTGTCTAAGGAAAGTATTGGCCAGTCTGAGCCCCAGGGGCTAACTCCCAGCAAGAGCACAAAGACTCAAATTCACACTTGTGAGGGAAGCTTTGGCACTTTTCTTTGTTTTCCCCCTCTCACCGGTGTCAGGCACCATGGCAATGCTGGCAGTGATAGAGCTGAGTCCTGCATATGTTTGGCGCGCAGCACAAAACTGCCACCTGTTGACAGCCACAGTATGAAGGGGGGGGCGGGGAGTAAAGGACATTTGCCTTGGTGACTATCATCAGCCCTGCAGGAAACTCATCAAGGAGAAAGAACTACAATTCCCAGTGTGCCTTGTAGCTAAGTTAAGGTGTTAAGGTGCCTTTGGAATATTTTAGGATTGGTCCTTGGAGGAGGAACGCAGTGCTGCCTTTGCAGACTTGTATGTGTACTCTATTTTTTCATTATTTGTTTGTTATTTATTAATTGCATTTATACCCCACCTTTCCTCCAAGGAGCTCAAGCTAGTGTACATCCTTGTTTAATTCCCCACAACCTTGTTAGGCCGAAACTAGAAGCCTTCTAAAGTAGTAGTAGTACTGTAGTAGTAGTAGTAGTAGTATTCTGTCTTTTTATCCTGACAGGGACTCAATGTCTATGTTGACAGTGGCATAGCTGGGGTTGCTGGTGCCCGGGGGAGGGCAAGTTTGTACACTGCCCCCCCCCCAGTGGACTGGGCAGCCCGTGTGGAGGTTGAACAGAACAGTTGCCTAACACAAAAAATTATTTGCAGCCTCAAAAAGGGTTAATTAAAAAGCTTAACACACTTATTAACAACACTAGCCCAATATACTTTATGCATTGGCCAGTCTTTTAAAGACCCCACAAAACTTAGAATCATAGAATTGTGGAATTGGAAGAGACCCATAGGGTCATCTAGTCCACCCCCTGCTATGCTGGAGTTCTCAACATGCAGTCCCCCATCCAATTTGAAACCATACCAGACCCTGCTTAGCTTTACAAATGTGTTGGCAATTTTATTTCACTATACTGAGAGCCAGAGTGGTATAGTGGCTAGAGCATGGGTAGGCAAACTAAGGCCCGGGGCCGGATCCAGCCCAATCGCCTTCTAAATCCAGCCCATGGATGGTCAGGGAATCAGCGTGTTTTTACATGAGTAGAAAGTGTGCTTTTATTTAAAATGCATCTCTGGGTTATTTGTGGGGCATAGGAATTCGTTCATTTTTCTTTTCAAAATTTAGTCTGCCCCCCCCCCCCCAAGATCTGAGGGACAATAGACCGGCTTCCTGCTGAAAACGTTTGCTGGCCCCTGGGCTAGAGTTTTGGACACCCCCCCCCCGGCCATGAAGCTCACTGGGTGACCTTGTACCACTCACCATCTCTCAGCCTAACCTACTTCACAGGCTTGTTGTGAGGATAAAATGGGGAGAACCATGTGCACCACCTTGAACCTATTTGGAGAAAACGTGGCATAAAAATGTAATCAATAATAATAATATTAAAATTACTAGGAAGTCCCAATTCACACAGGAACATACACACACTGCTGGAAGGAAGGTTATGGTTTCTGAAATGCTATACAGTGGTACCTCGGTTACATACACTTCAGGTTACAGACTCCGCTAACCCAGAAATAGTACCTTGGGTTAAGAACTTTGCTTTGGGATGAGAACAGAAATTGTGCTCTGGTGGCGCAGCGGGTGGCCCCATTAGCTAAAGTGGTGCTTCAGGTTAAGAACAGTTTCAGGTTAAGAACGGACCTCCAGAACGAATTAAGTACTTAACCTGAGGTACCACTGTATTGGGATTTGAAACCAGTCACATGTTCCAAAGTCAGGACAATCCCAAAGAGCTCCACTTGAAAGCTCCAGTTCTGGAAAGTTATACAAAGCATGTGTTACTGTTTGTTTCCTTTAATTTCCTGTAAGAATCCCAATTTACCAATGAGGAGATAGTAGCTTTCAGCTCCTGATGAAAGATCTGGGATAATTTGTGTGGTGTGTCTATGTTTTTTTTGGGGGGGGGTTAGGGGGGAGAAATCTCTAAAAACTTGCACAACAAAATATAGCACAAAAATAAACAGCCCTCAGCCACTACCCTTCAAATCAGGTTTAGCTACAATCATGACTCCCCCCCCAAAAAAAACCCCACCTCGGTTCGTTTTCGGGCTTACTCCCAGGTAAACAGGGAAGAGATTGCAGCCCCGTTTGTTTTAAAATAAAGGGATTGCAGCCCGGCGGCGCATCTTCACTTCCAGGGGGAAACCTCCGCGGCCCTCGGCTTGGGGGGCGCAGGGGGGGCCGAGCGAGGGAGAACCCCGAAGGCAGGCGAAGCTTCCCTCCCCGTCTCGGGGGGCCTGACGCTCAGGCTCTCCCAAAACGCCGCCAACAGCCTCACGGCGGGCAGAAATGCCACAGAGGAAGAGCTCCCCCATTGCCCCTCTCATTCCGCCCTGCCGAGCCTGAGGCGAGCGGCGAAGAGCCTCGCCCGCCCCGCAGCCCCTCCAGTTTCCCGCGCTCTGGTGGTCATAGAGTAGAGTCCTCCAAGGCATGTAGAGCGGCCCTGGCCTGACCATGGATGCCAAAACCACACCAACCCGAAGAGTCGCTTTCTTCAAGGAACGAGGGGGAATTAAACTGCCCCCTCTCTGGTTCTCCTTCCCACTGAAACTACACCCCCCAGCAGGCATTGCGGGAGCCTCTTCATCCCCGCCCTCGAGCATCCAGCTAACGGGAGGGCGATTGGCATGGCGGGGGGGGGGGGCGGGGAGGCCGAAAGGAGCGGCGGGCGCTCCCCTCCTTCCCTCTTGGGCAGCCCCGGGCGGGCGCAGGGCGTCCCGGCAGCGGCTTCGAGGCCCGTCCGTGGGCAGCTGCCTCCTCGCGGCTCCAGGCTGGCCGGAAAGAGGCGCCTGTTTGTGTACTGTATTACATTAAATACATTCAGTATGGTAGATGGGTACGTAATTACCGGTAGATAGATTCAATTACGGATATTAATTGTGTGGTTTAACTGCCATGTTTTGCTTTCAGCTGTGTCCTGAAGATGGGCCCCCAAACTACGGGGCTCTGGACTCATCCAGGTCTAGAACAGGGGTCAGCAAACTTTTCCAGTAGGGGCCCGGTCCACTGTCCCTCGGACCTTGTGCAGGGCCGGACTATATTTTTTTTTTGGGGGGGGGATGAACGAATTCCAGTGGCCCACAAATAACCCAGAGATGCATTTTAAATAAAAGCACACATTCTACTCATGTAAAAATATGCTGATTTCTGGGCCATCCGCAGGCCGCATCCGGCCCCCGGGCCTTAGTTTGCCTACCCATGGTCTAGAGTGTAGCTCACGCTCCATAGATAAATATTTTTGTTCTGAAATTTAGTAGTGCTACTTTGCATTCCTCACCAGGTGTGGTAAAGAATTTGCCCAACTGTTACTTTGGGTGAGTTGACTATGTGGCAGCAGAGCCATTTGCCTCCTAGTGGAGTTAAGATGGCTGAATGGACAAGTTACTGTAGTTAGAGACATGTCCAAACACAAACAGTATTTGATTCTTCAAAAGAAGCTGGTTTTTGGCTGTTGCTGGAAGACAGAAAACTCATCTGAAACACACCTGGTACTCAAAATCTGAGAAATAATGGTTGCTGCTCAAAAGTCCCCTTCCATAGTTGCTTCCAATTTCAAGGGCCAAACTAGATGTGATGTGCAATGCTTCATTACAAACTCTTGTATATACAGTATACCTCCAGAGCACATTTGAAGCACATTTCCTCCCTCAAAGAATTCTGGGCCTTGTAGTTTGCTAAGGGTTGCTGGGAATTGTAACTGAGGGGTGAACTACAGTACCCGGGATTCTTTGAGGGAAATACTGTAATGTACTTAGAATGTGTTTTAAATGTACGTATATGTGTGCAGTTTATGTCTGTATGTGTGTGTTTTTAAAATGCATAGCACACACAAGGGGAGGGTATATGAGGAGATTAGGTTTAAACCTTTCCCCCCTTCAGTGTTGCTAATGAAAATGCACCCCCAATGTCCTACTAGGGAACAACATTTACAATTGGGGTTGTCCCCACAAGCTAATAGCCTAGGGGGATTATTCTGGAGACCACAACAGGAAAGGAAAGGGTGTACTGAGCTGATGAAAATCTGGGTCCCATGCCTGTTATTTAAAACAAAAACATATGTGGTTTGTAACTGTACATTTAGTGCCCAGTGCAATTTGACCCTTCATTTTAAAGAAGAAAGAGCTATAACCTCCCCTAATTAGCAGTTGCTAGCTAAGGTGCACTAACGGAATTGCCATATTTTGAAGTGGCCTCTGATTTTAGGCTTTTAAAACCAGTTTGGTATTCAGATTTTAGCAGAACATCTATATGCTGTGAAGCAGTTCACCTATAATTAAGCTGTTAGGACCTCAAGAACAGGCCACACTGTTCTTTCCTGCCCCCTCCCCTAGGTGACAACCCTATACACAAAGTAGGCCATGAGGTAACTCAAGAGAAGCAATGTGTATTTGTCAGCCATCTCTTAGTTCTTACTGGAGAGGATGATCTGTGTTACACAATAGCTTTCAGAAAGGATGTGGGGTTTGTGCACTAAGTTTAGATGGGCTGCTTTCATGTGGGTGAGGCCACATCCACACCGTATAACAGTCACAGCTTCCCTCAAATAATCCCAGGAAATGTAGTATAGGGGAACTAAGAGTTGTTAGGAGACACTTAACAAACTACACCTTTCAATATTCTTTGCCGGAAGTAATTTACTCTTAAAGTGGAATAAGAGTGCTCAGATGTGTAGCGGGGGGGGGGGGGAGCAGCGGCCATCGCCCTGCCCCCGAGCACACATTCAGAAGGGTGCAACTGGGCCACAGTGGGTCCGAAGGTGCTACGAGACTGGGAGGGAGTTGGCTCCCTTTTCTGGCCTGGTAATGCATGGTGTGTCCAGTGCACATGTCTTCTGGGTGGCCAGATGAGCTGTGAGTGGGCAGCCAGCCAGGACCCCCTACTGGGGCAGAGCCCCCTCTCACTGCCCACCCCATCAGTGCCTTGGGGTGGTGTGCCACATGCTTCTCGCACCATGGCTGCCACTGCCATGCACGCCCGGTCACTGCTGCACCGGGCAGCCCCCTCGGTTCCCTCCTTCCCTGGGGCCACTGCAGAGCCACCAGCCAAGCTGCAGACACAGTGGAGTGCCACTGGAGCGCATCAGTGTGAGCCTTGAGGAGTGGCATGCCAGCTCCTGGGCCTGACCAGTGGAGCTTCCTGGGGGCGCGCTACAGGTGAGCTGCAGCACCCCACCCCTTTTGCACCTTGCCCTGGGCACTGGCAACTGATCCTACACCACTGAGAGTGCTACAAATGTATGATGCAGCTGCTACCCAATATTTTGCATCATTATTCCAATGTGCACAGCCCTTTCTTTTTCTATCTGGACAGATAGTTTCTACGGTGCAGAAACTAGATCCACTAGTACATGTAATGTGAAATGGCCATGCTTTAGCATTAGTGCATATGCTCCATTTATCCTTGTTTCTTGGGAATGACCCCTGTTTCCTGGTAGCTTTCTCTGGCTGCTTTTTAGGCAGATGTTGGGAATGCCTTTTCAAAACATTAGTGTACAGTCACATGCACTATTCCAGCCCCTCTAACATTTTTCCAGGGAAAATAGGGACACCCTATTCCATCCCCTCCAACATTAATCTAATGAAAATAGGGATGTCCTATTCAATCCCCTCCAAGATTTATCCAGCGAACGGAAACCAGGACATTCCGGGATCAAATCAGAAACTGGGACAGCTCCTGTAATTCCAGGAGTATCCCTGGAAAATCGAGACACCTGGAGGGTCTGATGTTGACCACACAAAATATATGTAACTAGAAGGGAGAAAGCTGAACTCAGTGCAGACTACAGTCCTATGACAGCAGAAAGGAAACAAAGCCATATAATAACTGTATGACAAAAACTGTATGCCAGTATTGCAGATAGAAAAACATACTGGGCATTATCCAACTAAACAGTTCTGCTAGCGAAAGGAGTTTTAGCTGCGCAATGGAACTTCCCCACCTTCTTCCCCCTGCATGGGGTGTGCAAAGCAAGTAGAGGGAGGGGGATTTCCACGGTGCGACTAAAACTGCTTGCACTAGCAGAACCGTTAGTTCCATACCATTATATACATAAATCCAGTGCTTTTTTCTAGGGGGGACGCAGGGGTAAGCATACCCCTAAACATTTTAATAGCTGTCAACATTTCCCGTTTTTTAAGGGAAATTCCCTTATTCCGAATAGGATTCCTTGCAAGAAAAGGGAAAAGTTTACAGCTATGCATTTTGTGAATCTATGTTTAGCCTCACTGAGGGGCAGTATTTCAACATGAGTAGGAAAATGAGAGTACCCCTAAACATTTTTTTAAGAAAAAAGCACTGCATAAATCTATATAACCATAAAGGTTTGTGTGTGTTTTTACTCCATGTACACGCAGGAATCTAGCATCCATATGCAAGCTTGCATTTAAACAGCAAAGTGGCACATTTTGCTAAGCCAAAGTGATCATGCAGGCACCTGGAGAGGAGCTCACTGCCACTTTGCACCTCCCTGGTCCTTTTTGCACAACAGTGTTGCACTAAATTAAGCCAAGATTTGGCTTGGTGTGTTGCCTGAACTCGGACTTGTGTTTTAACATTCTCCTCATTAGGGATCGAATAATCTGTCAGTTTTGGTTCTCTCCATTTATATCCCCCGCCCATGTTAAATTCAGTTCTCCACATTCATTTTACATTTTTTAAAAAAGATCCTCATTAAATTTCATTAGCATTTTAGTGTGGTGTGGATTTCTCCTAATAAACACAGTTTTACATGCGTTTTGACTATACATTTTTGCAATAGTTTCCTATCCCTCCTCCTCACCAACCACATTCACACACTGAGAACCAGACCATTTTATGGAGTCAGTATAATTCCAATTCACTCTTTGAAAGCTTTGCATTACAAGCAACCCCAACCAATTTTTTAAAAAATGAAAATCAGCCCTGGAAGGCTGCATTTTTCAACAAAGTAATACATGGCAGACAGAGAAAGGTGCTTAACTCTTTCTTGTCTGGCTGTTTTTTCCCTGATCAACACAGCTGTTCTCCTCCTCACAATGGAGTTCCAAATGAGTTTGTAAAAGAGTATGGTAGTTATACATCTGGAGCGCTGCAGCAAGGGAAGCAGAGGGGATGTAAATGCTTTGAGCAATAAAAAATCCACAGTAGGACATGGTTAATTACCCTCTCCATTTATTGTATTCCTCTGGTCAAAACAGAAGCTTCCTAATGCTGATTTTCATTAAAACAAACAAACTAGGTAACTGTTGGAGTAAAGGTTGCCCCATATCTATTGCGGATTCTGGAAGACATGCAATCCCATACTAGTTTGCATGGGTGCCAGTTTAATAACCCATTTCACTTATGCCTTAATAATGGACTCAATTATCCATTTTCTAAAGTGGTCACTCAGTTCATAAGTTTTCTTTCCACTAACATTTGTGAGCAAGCTGTTGACTTAACAGAACTGGAAACTAGATTCCTCCTGCTGCCCCCATCCCATGGATATGTGCTTGTCAATTCTGGATTGTCCTTCATGCATCTGATGTAGTAGACTGGTCCGCTAGAGGTTATGCCATAATTAATATTTTGTAAGGGTGTTTCCGGTCAGGGGTTTAATACTGTAAAAGGGTCACTGAGATATCACAAAATAGTTATTGGCAGCGGGTTTTCTTTAAAAGGAACTTATCAGGTTTCCCTCAGAAAGCGTAAATCTAGATTAAAATGTGAAGAAATACAGGCTGGCATTTTGATAATGTCTTAAGCACATTCCAAAAATGTTGCATGCATGAGGAGCATCAGTCCCACCGTAAACACCCATCTGGAGCCAACAACCTAGTATTTAAGGTACCACAAATCTTTGTGTTGTTTTCACACAGACAACACTGCTAACGATTCTACATCTACGGCACCACCCTTGACTCCCTGACCTACATCTGAAATACTGTACAGAGCAATATTTTTCTAATCTGTGACTGAAGTTATGTGGTAAGGTACAAGGGAGACAATTAAAAAAAATACAGTATTCACTATTTCTCCCCGTTTTCTATTTGCAAGTAACTTTTTACTGATCTAGGTCTGTGAGGACAGTGCAAACAGGGACAAATTATAAATGCAGATATTTGTCTACAGTACTAGGATTAAATATGTGCCTGGTATATAAGTCATAGAAATTTATTGTGGCAAACACAAACACTGCCTGCAATTACCTATGTGGCTTTCTCCAGGAGTTATTAAATTTACACAACAATGCACAGCTGGATGTGTGCAATGCATTAACAAACTGTGTGTGCATATGTGAGAGAGAGCACCATCAACCGCTGATCTGAAACACCTGGGGGCTTCACACTTATTCTACATGGCTACAGGTCCAGTATGTAAATACAGAGAACATGCTCAAGAGCACTGATTAATTGTTGCCTAGATGACTGGATGTAAAAATTTTTTTGAAAAATCTTAGCGTGTATGATCATGTCTCAACAAAATGTGTGTGTGTGTGTGTGTGTGTGTGTGTGTGTGTGTTGCTTTTTAGGTCCAGTCCTAGGATGAGCAACCCTTGCAACATAATCACACCTGGGACAGCCAAGAAATAAGCAAATAATAGCTTCCCCACTACCACCATTCCTCAACACTGAATTAATGGTTGAGTGTGAAACACTCCAGTCTTTTCAACACCTCACCTTAGGGTATTTTGGTGGTCTCATCCTCTTGACACGTCCTGGAGGTAGTGTGCTTACTTGGAAGGTATTTGCAGACAGAAGAAGCATTCTGAGCTACCACACCTGAGCCCACCTCGTTTTATTGGTGTGGCCTCTTACGTCATTCTTCAAGTCCCTCCCTAGCTGTATGGTGCAGCCCCTCTAAGAAAAAGGTGGGGATCCTTTTTTGTGGGGGGAGTGAAAAGCTTTGATTCTTCAGCTTTTATTTTTTTATGGGTCAATTTCTCATATACTCTCGTGACACTGAAGACAAACAAATATAAACACCTGAGGTAAGCAGCCCTTGCTGTGACATACTTTCACTAGGGCTTGTTTTCTTTTTTTCTCCTACTAACAGTCCCGCCTGAGAAAGTGACATCGTCCTGCTATTTGCACTGCAAGAGAGTATATGAGAAACTGGTGTGGCAGCTGGGTAGGCAGGCCCTGTTAATCTTCTCAGCATTTTAGTAAGGAAACTACAGTGGTGCCTCGGGTTAAGTACTTAATTCGTTCCGGAGGTCCGTTCTTAACCTGAAACTGTTCTTGACCTGAAGCACCACTTTAGCTAATGGGGCCTCCTGCTGAGGTTCTGTCCTGAGCCCATTGCTGTCCAACATCTTTATAAATTACTTGGATTAAAGAATTGACAGAATACACATCAAATTTGCAGGTTACACCAAACTGAGTGTCATGGACTGGCTGGATCCAGAGGAGTAGTGGGAGGCACCAGCAGAGGAATCCCCAAGGGAAGAAGGCTCAGAGCCAGGGGATTAGTGGTGGGACAACAATGAGTGGTCAGAGAGAGAAGAGGGAGAAGACTGGGAGGAGGTTCGGAAGCTGAAGAGCACTTAATGAGCAGGAAGAGGCTATGGCAGAGAGCAGTCCAGACTCAGAGGCAGGAGAGGAGGGGGACCAGGAGACAGAGATGAGGCAGGCTGCTGAAAAAGACAGGGGGTCTCCCCCTCCTGCTGCAACCAGCTCCCCTCCCCCCTGGTCTCCCAGAACCCATAGAGGTATGAAGGGGGTGGAGCAAATAGAGACAAGACATCAGAGCCTTAGGCTGCTGGGGAAGGAACTGCGACAGGAGCTTTGGTGAATGGTGGGGAGGCGGGGACCTTTCGTCCTCACAACTGCCTCATTGGGGCAAGACCTACTGGGAAGAGTTGCTGTGATCACTAGGCCTGCACTGTTTTGGGTTCTTTTAATAAAGTGTTTTAACTTCACTGACACCAGGTGTTTTATTGCTGCCCTTAACTTCAGCTCCTGACAGAGAGGTAGCTAATGCCACTGAAGACTTGGGATTCAAGATGATCTTAACAGATTGGAGAACTAGGCCAAAACTAATTTCAATAAGAACAAATGTAAGGTTCTGCACTTAGACAGGAAGAACCAACTGCACAAATGTAAGATCTGGCTTGAGAATGAGGGAGCTGGGTATGTTTTGCCTGGAAAAGAGGAAACCGAGAGAAGACATGATTGCCATCTTTCATTATTGAAAGGACTCTCACATGGAGGATGGAGCAAGCTTGTTTTCTCCTGCTCTGAAGGGTAGGATTTGAACTAATGGATTCAAGTTACAAGAAAGGAGATTCCGACTAAACATCAGGAAGAACTTTATGACAGTAAGAGCTGTTTGACATTGGAAGAGACTCCAACAAGAGCTGGTGGATGGTCACCTGTCATCGACACTTTAGTTGAGATTTCTGCATTGCAGGGGGTTGGACTAGATGATCCTTGAGGTCCCTACCATGATTCCGTGAAGACATAACTGTTAACTGTAAACTGTGTTATCTATTATCTAAAATAATTTCAACCTATGGATTCCACATAATTGACATAGAACAGAATCCCTGCTTCATCCATAAGCATGCACTGAAAGGGTAGGGATGGGGAAGAATTGAAGGACTCTATAATCACCCTGATTGTGAGTACAACAGAACGTCTAAAAGGTGTTAAGACTTTGGCAACCCCAGCAGCAATCCTATGCACAGTTTTCTGGGAGCAAATTTCACTGAAGTCAGTGGAACCTTTTCCCAAGTAAACACGCATTGCATCAGGGTGTGATCCACACAGTGATTTTGAATGTGTTCCATCCAGGGCTTTTTTTCTCATGGCACTCAAGGGAGGTAGTGCCAGCACCTTTCCCTCCCCCACCAAGTGTGGCACTTACTGCAGCAGCTTCATGGTGAGTAGTGGTTCTATCAGTCTGGGAGGAAGGATATACAGTGGTACCTCGGGTTAAGTACTTACCGTAATTCGTTCTGGAGGTCCGTTCTTAACCTGAAACTGTTCTTAACCTGAAGCACCACTTTAGCTGATGGGGCCCCCTGCTGCTGCCGCGCCGCCACCGCGCAATTTCTGTTCTCATCCTGAAGCAAAGTTCTTAACCCAAGGTACTATTTCTGGGTTAGTGGAGTCTGTAACCTGAAGCGTATGTAACCTGAAGCGTATGTAACCCGAGGTACCACTGTAGAGTGGAACCTCGGTTTTTGAACGTAATCTGATCAGGAAGTCTGTTCGATTTCCAAAATGTACAAAAACTGAAAATCAAAGTGTTGTCGGCAAAGTGAATGGTGAGAATGGAAAAATGTGCCGCGGAAGCTGTTTGACTTCCAAAGTGCGTTTGAAAATGGAAGCATTCACTTCTGGGTTTTCGGTATTTGGCTTCCAAAACGTTCAGCAGCCAAGACATTTGAAAACCAAGGTTCCACTGTACAGTGTTTAGGGAATGTTCTCATCTTGGGCTTTTGATTAATAAGCTTCACTTTCTGATTTTGTATATATGATGCTATTTATAACACACCTAATCAGGCTTCCTGTGCTGGGTGTAGCAACCAACAGCTAGCTAGCTTGTGTATTTTTTGCTTATGATCACTAAACATACTAGATGTCTGCAGCAACCTGCTTTTCTGTTAAATATATTTTGATAAAACAATTCTGCTTGGCTATTCTGGGCTTGTTCTTTTAAACTGTTTTCCACTGTAATAACACACTAGCATGGTCTGGTGTTTGAAGGGTGGAGGAAGAACACACAAGAACACGGCTGTGTCTCATAAAGAAGAGAGTGCCTAGGTTTTGCCAAAAATGTTCTGTTTGGTTTTATCTTCTCTTCTTCTTCTTTGACGATCACTCGTAGCCAAGTAAGATTGTCTTCCACAAACATGGTTTTAATAGTGAGTCCGTAAGTGACTGTGGAGGCCAATTCTGGATCCACACATCCTTCCACAGTGGGGACATAGGTTTCCGGGTGGGAGTTTAAATGCCCTTTTTAATTATTTACATAATTTATAGAATGCATGAATGCTCTTTGAATAACCAGTGTTGTCTGATTATGACTGGCTGGATCCAGAGCAATCTCCATGCAAATAAAACAGGATGAATGCTCAAGAAACAGGTTGTCTTGAAGTTCCTGTCACTGGTGCTATAATAGTGCATTAGTGGCAGATTTAATAATGTCTCATCCATATATTGTTCTATAATAAATATAATAATTTTATTATTTATTTATACCCCGCCCTTCCTGGTTCAAAAAAAATGGGCTCAGGGCGGCTAACAACAAATTTAAAACCCTGAATTGTAATACAACATAGAAGCAGCATAAAATACAATATAAAAGCATGAATAACAATAAAATTCAAAGTTCAAAAATCAATTTGGGGGAAATCCATCCAATAAATATTAGATAGTCACCAGGGCTAGCTGGCTGAATTAGTCCTACTTGAGCCAGCAAGGAGGCCAGGGGAGAATTAGCTGTGGGGTCCCAGAGCGGGTAATCTTCATAAGAGGGGGAGGGAAGAGAAGGGAAATAAAAGATCAGGCTGAATTCAGATTAAAGGCCAGGCAAAATAGCTCTGTCTTACAGGCCCAGTGAAAGGAGGTTAAATCCTGTAGGGCCCTAGTCTCATGGGGCAGAGCATTCCATCAGGTCGGAGCCATCACTGAAAAGGCCCTGGCCCTGGTGGAGGATAGTCCGACTTCCTTAGGGCCTGGGACCTCTAAACTATGGTTATTCATGGACCTCTGTGGGGCATACCAGGAGAGGCGGCCCCATAAATATGAGGGCCATAAGCCACAAAGAGCTTTAAAGGTCAAGACCGGCACCTTGAACCTGACCCTATACTCCACCGGGAGCCAGTGCAACTGGTAAAGCACTGGGTGAATATGCTTCCATGGCAGAGACCCCGTGAGGAGCCTCACTGCAGCATTCTGCACCCGCTGGAGTTTATGTGACAGTTTCAAGGGCAGCCCTGCATAGAGCGAATTACAGTAGTCAAGTCTGGAAGTGACCGTCGCATGGATCACTGTGGCCAGATCGGGGCGGGAAAAGTAAGGGACCAACTACTTGATGTGGTGAAGACCAAACTGCGGGAGGCAGTGGAAGACAGGAGTGCCTGGTGTGCTCTGGTCCAGGGGGTCACGAAGAGTCGGACTAAACAACAACAAATGGTATATTTCCAAGGTGTCCTTCATTAATCCTTTTAGCTCTCTGGACACATTTCCTTCCGAATCTCCATATTCTCTCCTTTGAACACAAAGACATTTTCTATCAACAGAATGGCCCCCATCATTCCATAAGATATTGGCCTCAGTCAGCATCTTGCTTTCTTTGCATGGAGCACACGACCTTTATTATTTCCTGCATGGCAGTGTAACCACAAGATCACTCACTGCCTTCCTTGCTATTTCTATTAGCATATTTAAAGTTGAGAGTTATAATCACTGTTGTGCAGATGCAATCCCATCTGGACTGTTTGATTTTTCAGCCTCCTAGCAGACACCTATTTTGTGCTTAGCCTTTTAGTTGGGGGGGTTGGATTTGTCCTTTTTATAAGCAAACAGTTTAAGTTCTTCTTTTATTGCTGTTCCTATATTTGGTTTTTATTTTATTTATTTATTTATATCCCATTTGATTGTAAAAAAAGAAAACCCCTCTGAGCTGTTTATAATTTTCCTGTACCCTACTTTGTAAGTCGTCTGAGTCATTTTCGTGTAAAAAGCAATGAATAAACTGAATAAATGAATAAATAACTCTCACAAATAAGAAAATACCAGATTGATTCTCAATTTGCTTAGAGAATAATCAGTGAGATCTACTGCTGAGATTACTATCAGGTTTAAAGACAGTGGCATAGCTGATATGTCTAATACATTTAGAATCTCAGTATTGCACCTTTCCTTGTTTCTGCATCTAGAACTTGTATCAGCATCTGCCACTAAATTTTCCCACTACCCAGATGCCCTCCACATTCTGCTCCTCTTGTTGATACAAGAAGTATTGTACAAGTAGATTATAAGCTATGCCTTATATTTCTGCCATTTCCCAGGATACTCTGACCTTTGCTTCTGCAGTTTAGCAATGTTTCCTGCTCTCTTAAAAGATCCTTATCCATTCTCCCTTGCTGCTACATATTTTATACCTAGAACTCCCTTCTTGAGTGCATACACCTCTCATATTTCAATTCTTGTTTTCGTGATACTTGTATTTAGAATCAACTCTCCTCCAATAAAACTAAGCCTACGTGGGAGCATGTGATGTCATTTGTTCACATTCATCCCTGGTTAAATTTATTTATTCCCCACAAACTTTCTTTCTTTCTGTTGTTGCCCCATCCACACTGGTTTACTATGTGTTTGCAGCCATTTGTACTCCCATTTAATTTGTATAGTCCACAAGACATTAACCACCCCCAGGCTCCAGACTGCTCCATTCAGGATCACAGGTTATTGTTTTGGTGATTTGGATGGGTGGATCAATTGTTACTAGTCCTCTTTCCATGCCCTCTACTTCCCCAATTCTTTAATTTATATTCTGTCTGTGCTTGTAACTATTTTAAATACACTCCTAAGTAAAGCTATCAACATCCAGTAGCTCCCAAATATCTCTAGGTATGTGTATGTCCTAGTATTTTGGGGTCTTGCTTCACCATTGAAGATGAAGCCGGAAGCCACAACCCTAAAATGTTCCACCTCTGTTATTCCAAGGATTTTGCTCTCCCCACCCCCAGTTATTTTTGTAAGTATTACATACTTTTAGGACGTACTAGTCCCAGAAGATAGATCCATCCCAGAATAGTGTTGAAAATATGGGCTGCAAGATACTTCTACACACAAACTTTTGAATTGGTCTCTAATTAGTTATTGCTAGGAGAAAGATTTCCAAAGATTTCATATGCTAATCCCTATAAATTAAATATTTTGGCTACTGGGTTTTTACTTCCTCTTCAATAACAAAGATTATAAAACTGAATTGAAATTAAGTTACTTTTCTCCAAATAAACGGCCCTAAATAGCCTCGGCCCAGTATACCCGAAGGAGCGTCTCCACCCCCATTGTTCAGCCCGCACACTGAGGTCCAGCTCCGAGGGCCTTCTGGCAGTTCCCTCCCTGCGAGAAGTGAGTTTACAGGGAACCAGGCAGAGGGCCTTCTTGGTAGCGGCTCCCACCCTTGGAACACCCTCCCATCAGATGTCAAGGAAATGAGCAACTATCTGACTTTTAGAAGACATGTGAAGGCAGCCCTGTTTAGGAAAGTTTTTTAATGTTTGGTGTTTTATCATTTTTTAATATTCTGTTGGGAGCTGCCCTGAGTGGCTGGGGAAACCCAGCCAGATGGGAGGGGTATAAATAAATTGCTGTTGTTGTTGTTATTATTATTATTATAAATAACTACAAATGCATTTTCAACTGTTCATCTTGAAAATACATTTGTTGCATAGTACTTAATTCCTATCAGCAAGGTTGCTGTCATTTTAGAAATGTGTGCCGAATCCTAGAATGTACCTGCCACATGAACAGTTGGGATGGAAGACTTCAGGTCAGCCTTACTGGAGAACTGGATCTGACACCTTTGCTACCATGTACAGATTTTCGAAATTCTGAAAATTCAGTATTTTGGCTGCGCTGCATAGTGCGACAATAGAAATATATGCATGTATGGAGGGCATATCGAGTTTAAAAATGTGATAATTCGTGGGCCCTGGGTTGTATTCAACTAACCCCCTTTCCTCCCCTCCAATTCTGCTTCGGAGGGTTGGGGCGCCCCTGGAGAGGAGAGGGGGGTAAGGGCTTGCCGGGGGCCCCCCTGGATGCAGCTGAGCCTCGGTTTCGGAGCTTAATGTTGGAGGACACTTTCGGGTCGGGCCAGCTGCCAGGCACCATCTCCATCTCCGCGGCTTACGTGCCGGGGCTGAAGGAGGCCCGGGAAACCCGCGCCCTGCCCCGCCGGCCCCTTGCTCTCCGTCCCCGCTTCTTTCCGCGGCCATTTGCTCGCCAGCCGCGTCAAGGCGCAGGGCGCGCGCGGCGGAGCGCAGGGACAGCGGCGCCCAGGACCCGCTCACGGCCGGCGGGCAAGGGCGACCCGCGGGCGGACGCCGCGCGCGCCGGGGCTTCCCTTCCTCGGGGCCGGCGGGCGCCAGGCTGGGCAGCGCCGCCCAGGAGGAAGCGGAGCCGCGGCGCGAAGAAGAGGCCCGCCGCCTGCCCTCCGGTCGCCGCGCCGCCGGCCTCCTCTCTTCAGGCGCCCCGCTATCGCTCGGCGAGAGGAACCTCCGCGGCCTCCGCCTCGTCGCTTCTGAGGGAGGGAAGGAGAGCAAGGCCTGCCTCGCCGTTCCATTGGCGCCGGCGCCGCTCTGCCCGCCCGGCCGCCCCGCCCCCGCCTCCGTCCGCCGCCGCCGCCGCCGCCTGGGCGAGAGCAGCCGCGTCTGTCTGCGCCGCCGGCCGGCCTCCCTCCGCCGCTCGCCATGGCCCGCGCGGGAGCCGCCTCCTCCCCCGCGCCGCCGCCCCCGCTGCCCGCCTCGCCCCTGGCTCGGGAGGCGGCGGCGGCGGCGGAGGAGGACGAGGAGGAGGAGGAGGAGGAGGACGACCCCCCGTCCCGGACCCTGCTGCCCCGCTCCTCCCCGGTGCCCAGGCCCCAGCACCCCGCCGCCGCCGCCGCCGCCGGCGGGGGAAGCAGCTCCTCCTCGGGCGACGAGGACGAGGAGCAGCCGCGGCAGCCAGGGCAGCAGCCCGAGCAGCGCCAGCCCCCTCGCTTGCCAGGGCCGCTCTGCCCGCAGCCCCCGGGCCCGGCTGGCCCGCTCTCCCCGCACGGCCAAGGGCAGCAGCCCCCGCAGCCCGTCCCCGCCGCCGCCGCCGCTGCCACGGAGGAGCCCTCCCAGCATGCTGCAGGCCGGCACGTGCTGTTCGCTGATGCCCTGGGCCTGCCCTTGGCCCGCTGGCGGCGCTACCAGCCCTGGCCCCCGCCGTCTCCTGAATCCCCCCCTGAGGTGGTGCCCCCCTTGGCCTCTGCTCAGCCACCCTCCCCTCCTACCCCCTACTTTCTGCCATCTTTTGTGTTGCAGCCGGCGGGGCAAGGTGAGGAGGAGAAGCTTGGGCGCCTGCGCCAGGCCAAGGTGGAGCTGGAAGAGTTGCTGCCCCCAGAGCCAGGGGAGCCCCGGGTGTTGCGTGGCACCGTGCGGGTGCTCAACGTTTCTTACCACAAGGCTGTGCACGTGCGGGCCAGCCGAGACCGCTGGCAGAGTCACCGGGACTACCCTGCCCTCTATATTCCAGGGGGTTCGCCAGACGGGGGCCTGACGGACCGCTTTGCTTTCCGCCTGGAATTTGGCGATGAGGATGAGGAAGAGGAAGAGGATGGAGGGCCCCGGCTTGACTTTGTGGTGCGGTACCAGACCGAGGAGGGCGTCTACTGGGCCAACAATGATGGCAGGAACTACAGTGTGGTACTGAAGGGGGCTGCACCTTCCCAGGGTGTGCCAAAGAGGTCTGGCAAAGAGGGCGAATCACGAAGACTCAAGAGCTGTATGAGGCCAATCAAAATCAGGTAATGCCCCTCAGTGTTCTATGTGCCCATTTCCAAAAGCTGTTGGCACCTGTACCCAATCCATGGCCTGGGGCTTTCTGCTCTCACATCCCTCATGAATCCACTAGATACTACTCTGCTCAAAAGAGGGGCTTGGAACCAAAGTTTCTTGCTTCCTTAGCCCTGCGAGAAATCGCTCAGCCCCTTTCAGGATAGAAGGTCTTGCCCAGCAGTATTGTTTCCCAGTTTGCTTGGACCCTATGTGCAGTAACCTCTAATATTTGCGAATTGGAGATGCTCTTTTAGGTCACAAATTTCCTTTTGAAGAGAGGGACTAGCTACAGTTTTTTGTTTTTTGTTTTTGCTAAAAGGAAACATAAAATATATGGTGTATTAATTTAAGCACTAAGTAGGCTTGTCTCAAAGGCTCTCCTCCTATCTCTGAACTGCTTTTAATGGGTCCCTTTTCCCTCTTTGTCTCTCACTTGTACCAATGATTCTTTAGTGAAATAAGGGCATCCCTAGGGGAGGTGCAAATAGTTGTCAGAGAAGGTGTCAGCTTGGTTTTGGCCCCTCCCAAATAATGCCTTAGGGTATTTTCACACATGGCCCTAAAAACACCATTGAGTTCATGTTCTTGCTTTGATGTTAAATCTATGTGTGACTTATACCACTTCAGACTGAAGATGGAGGCTCATATGAACCATCACCACCCACCTGTTCTTCCCTGTACACATGTCATTGTTTGCTGATAACCCAAAATCTGCTACCTAAGGTGATCAGCCATTTGGTAGGCTGAAGCCAATTGCTTCACATAACAGATTTTGTGGTATCATTAAGGGATAGTGACTTTTGAGTTATATTTTTACCACTATACCAGAAGGGCATTGCTTGGATTTTCCTGTAGGAAATGATGGTGTGTGCATGCACAGGTGTCGCCCCACTTACGTGGGGGTTACATTCCTGGTCCCCCCCCCCAATAAGTGAAATCATGTAAAGTGGGAAGCAGCCTCTAAATGCCGATTTCCTCCTCTCCAGCTCTCTCTCCCATTCTCTCCAATCCAGACCAAAATATTTAGGGGCTGGAGGATGCATGAGAAAGTGGCTGTTGCTGTTGCGCTACCCCTCACGTCAGCTGTTAGGTGAGGAGGCTGAGCAGCGTAAACAAAGCCCTGCTGCTGCTTCGGTCTCTTTGGGGCTTCCTCTGCCCTCTCTGACATCCTCTTTGGGCTCTGGGAAGAGTCTCCTTGCAAGCCACAAGGACTTTCCAGCTCTCTCCTACCATTTTCCGGTGTGATTCTATTTATTTATTTATTTATTTATTTAATTTATTTCCTGGCACCGTGTGTATACACAGTTGCGCATGAGTAGAATGTGTGTAAGTGGGGAGATGCCTGTAACTTCAAGTTTAGCCTTTAGTGGCTTGTGTGAAAACCAACTTACAGTGGTACCCCACAAGACGAATGCCTCGCAAGATGAAAAACTCGCAAGACGAAAGAGTTTTTCGTTTTTTGAGTTACTTCACAAGACAAATTTCCCTATGGGCTTGCTTCGCAAGACGAAAAACGAAAAAAACGAAAATGTCTTGCAAGTTTGTTTCCTTTTTCTTAAAACCGTTAATACCCAGGGTGACTTCGAGGAGCACGCGGTATGGTAGCCTTTTTTGAGGTTTTTGAAGACTTTGGTGATTTTGAAGACTTTGGGAAACCGTGCTTCGCAAGACGAAAAATCCGCAAGACGAAAAAACTCGCAGGTCGAATTAATTTCGTCTTGCGAGGCACCACTGTACCTGAAGAACCCAGAGCCAGCACTACCCCACTTTGTTAAGTACTGTAACAAAGTAGACTGTGACAGACATTGTGATCACCACCACTACAAACAGAATGATAAACAGTTCTGTGTTCCCCCTCCATTTCCTTCCTTTGTTGACTTAGTTTTCATGAAGAACCCAGAGAACTTCAGGTTTTTGTTTGTGGTAGACAGGCAAAAACTACTGAGGCATTTCAGGGCTACTGTCCATTTAATTACATGTTTCCTGTATTTCATTACTTCCCGTTGATCAACAGAAAGCAATAAAGCAGGACTTGCAAATGGGATACTTTATTAACATTAGTCAGAACCTTTGCTGACTGGGACAGATTTGTGAGCAAATGTGGTGCAAGAATACTGTCCATGGGAAAGGCCATTGCAGGATATTAAAACACTGCATTAAATGTGATGTGTAGCCTTCGTCTTAATTCCGTTTTTAAGCTAATAATCAAAATTTTAATTGGACCAAAGGGCTCCAATCTGGAAGCAACCCCTCACACACTCTGATTCTCAAAAAAATAAAAAATAAAAAAATAAAACCTTCCTACTACTATGTAACATTGATTTGGTCTGTGGTGTTTCAGAAGGCACTTCCACTTTGCCAAAGCCTTCAGACGCAGGATAGAGTAGCAAGCTGGAAGAAGATAGTGCTCTTGTACCTTTAATAGTTGTACAGAAGAGGAGATTTCAGCAGATGTTCCTTGAATGACAAGCTATACCTGCTGAAATCACAGGAGTGTGAAAGTGTAGAATTCCTATCCTATTTTTTTCATTTGGCTCTGCTATAACAGGAGGAGGAAGAAGATGGCTGGTTAAGCAGATAGGGAAACCACAAGGGGTGGGGGAAGCAACAACTCAAGAATTGAAGTGACAGCCAGCCTGTTCCCTCAGTTGTGGGCCTGGAGAGGGAGCAAAACGCTCCCACTACAGGGGCCAAAAACAATTCCCTTGACTTGAAGCAAGGTTTCTCTGTGAGTAACTATCTGCTCATGACTAAGGGTCTGCTCACAAGCAAGTCAAGGTAGCAGGGACTGGGTGTGACTGGCTGGGGAGAAGAACATGGGAGTAGCCAGATTTTTTTGCAGGCTTTTGTTAGGGCGGGACAGAACCTCAGTTGGTTAAGTATTTTTATTGATTTTTATTGATTGGGGGGGCAGCTTCCCCCCCCTGGCTATGCCCATGGAGAAGAAGGGGAGACCGAGGAAGAAATTCTGCAACTAGAGAGAGGTGGAACCCCTTTCCTGCTGGCTCGGGCCAAAGAGGCTTCAACCATCTCCTTGCTCCCTCGCATTGTCCTATTAGCACTTTGGGAACAGTACAGAAATGCAGAGGCTTCTTGGAAATCTTCAGGGTTATTGTGATGTGTGAGGTCTAACCATTTTGATCTGTTGTATGTTCCCCGGATAATGACAAGGGACTTGCCTATTTTTTTTTGCCCTAGTTATATCTGGGAAAGCACAAGCAGTTGTTTTTCTTGCCTTGGGATAGGTTCAAAATGTTTGTGTTCCCTTGAGCTATGTCTTCTAAAAAGTGATGGTAATACCATGGTATCTCGGGTTACATACACTTCAGGTTACATAGGCTTCAGGTTACAGACTCCGCTAACCCAGAAATAGTACCTCGGGTTAAGAACTTTGCTTCAGGATGAGAACAGAAATCATGCGGCGGTGGCAGCTGGAGGCCCCATTAGCTAAAGTGGTGCTTCAGGTTAAGAACAGTTTCAGGTTAAGAATGGACCTCCGGAACGAATTAAGTTCTTAACCCGAGGTACCACTGTAATTAAATAATACTTATTTCTAAAAGTATGGAGAAGGATGAACATGTGGTATCCATCTTGAGCCTTAGGATAGAAGAAGTGATTATTTGTCCAAGGACAGTGGTATCTAGAAATACAGGATTTTGGTGACCACATAAAGCATGGGAGCTAGAAGAAGAAGAAGAGGAAGAAGAAGAAGAAGAAGAAGAAATGGATTAATTTTTGCATTTTATTCAGTGCTAGCATTATATGTGACATTTCACAAAGCATAAGGGTCCCTGCACTGAGGAGTTTTCAATCTGAAATTCAGTATAGGGGAAACAACAAGGGGAGGGAAGTGGAAGCATGGGGTAAACAAATAACATGCCATTGTTTCAGTTGTACATGCTTTGACTTAGTTACAGAACTAAGGAATTGTGCCAAATGCTTCATGGAAAAGATAGATTTTGAGAATGAATTTAGGGGACATAAAAGGCCTCATACAGGTGTTCTGGGATGCAGGTCCAAGCATATGGGACAGGAAGGGAGAGTTTTGTTGTTGCAAGAATTTGTAGCAAGCACTTTGACTACTTTAAAAGCACTATGTGAAAGACTAACTTCTATTATTAAACATTTTAAAGCATTGGCAACTTGATTGATGTTTTGCATATCCCATTGGTATTTATGTAGTTGGCTTGGAGGGAAAGAGTGTTGAGATTATTGGGAGTAGGATGGATGAAGGGCAAGGGTTCATAATGTTTTCTTTTTATTATTACAAAAGTATTTTTCTTCTAATAAAGTAAAAAACAAAATTATAAATATTTTATCAAAATATTTAAAATGAATATTAAAATATGCATGTGCAGAGGGAAGAAGTAAAGACAAAATGCTTGAAACTTGTTTTATTTGCAGCCTCAGATGGAAGCATGTAATCTTTGTGGTCTCTTGACTCTACTGATGATAGTATATAAAGTGAGCAGATGGTATCAGTGGAAATCCCCACCACCCTTCACCTGCAGGATTGTATTATATTTGTAACTTGCTTTCTCAGGTGATATTTCTTAACTAGGGTGGAAACGATCACAGAACCATGCTCTGTTCTGTGTCTCATGTTGTAGACTGAATCTGGGTGAAGACAGATAACATTTTAACAATGATCACAGCAACCTCTTCACTAGTGGGGTGTAACTTACCTTAAGTGCACATATACCATTAAGTTGAATGCTGGATTATTCTCCCTTCCCCTCATGCTTCAGACAGCTATCTACTTTTCATGTTTTTATGTTCATCTTTCACATGGAGGTTTTTAAGCAGTGGTTGGAGGGGCATCAGCCATGGATGCTTTAGCTAAGATTCCTGCATTGCAGAGGATTGGACTAGATGACCCTTGGGGTCCCTTCTAACTCTACAATTCTATGATTCTATTCCTCTCCCCACCTCCCAAATAATCTAACAACGTTTCAGATTTGCTCTGTAGACGGAGAGGAGAGGTTTATTGGTGAGGTCATGGACACTTGTTAATAATTTTCCCCCATTGCAAACTAAAGTATAATGAAAACTTGCAGAACCATTTTAAAGTTTGTCTCAGGATGGAAAAATATACTTGTGTTTTGAGGCTTCTGTTTTTGAACGCGCCTCAGAAGTCGAACGGCTTCCGCTGTGTGTTTTTCAATTTTCTCAATTGAATTTGCAGACAGCCTTTTGCACCTTGGTTTTTGAATGTTTTGGAACTCGAATGGTCTTCCAGAACAGATTATGTTCGAGAACCGAGGTACCGCTGTACCAGTTATCTTTGAAGGGGACAAACCAATGATAAATGCTCCTGTGCATGCCTCATTGAAATGAGCAGGGACTGCTTTTGATCAGCTCCCATTCATTTCAAGGGGGCTTGGATTGAAAAAGCTTCTGTTGGATTATGTCTTAAAATTTCAAGCAAAGGGCAGGGACAAAACAATAGCAGCGCAGAAGGGCAGGCAGAGAGAGAGAAGTGCACGCACATCCATGAATTCTGCCAAGCTCTGTAAGCATCTGAATCTCTTCCACATCCTCCCATTTTGTTGATAAGATAAGGATCAGTTTATCAGTTCCCACTTGCTTTGTTGGGTGTTCTGGGCCTTTTCTTGGAATTACTGTATGTTCAATTAAGTTACATAGCACCCAAACCCAGAGCTTGGGAATTTGTCGTTATGATTGTATGGGCTTTGCACTAACAAGTAAAGAGCAAAACTCTGCAGCAGGGTAACCCCAGTTCTACAGCAAACAAAGCTGAATACTGAGACACGTATAAATTCTACAGAATTCCCATATATTTGCTTATTTGGCAAAAAGTATTCTGCTTCCGCTACATGGAAGGAAGAAGAATTTGGCAGGATACTGTCCTTTTCCCTGACAAGTACCGTATTTTTCGCCCTATAGGACACACTTCTTCCCCTCCAAAAATGAAGGGGAAATGTGTGTGTGTCCTATGGGGCGAATGCAGGCTTTCGCTGAAGCCTGGAGAGCGAGAGGGGTCGGTGTGCTTCCTAGGCTTGCGGATAGCAGCCTGCATCCCGAAGCCTGGGGCGAGCTGAGCAGCGCGCCCCGGGCTTCGGGCAGATATCCGCAAGCCTGGGGAGCCTGGCGGGAGTTCCCGCCGGGCTCCCAAGGCTTGCGGATAGCAGCCTGTTCTGGGGGCTGGGATCGGGGGAAGCTCGGGCTTCCCCCACCCCAGCCCTGCGCCTGGGGGGGAAATAATTTTTTTTTCTTTATTCCCCCCCCAAAAAAAAACTAGGTGCGCCCTATGGGCCGGTGCACCCTATAGGGCGAAAAATACGGTAAATATTATTTCTCCCTATGCCTTTTGAGCTTTCATCAGACATTGGCAGCACAGCTTCAGGTTTCTATTTGCAGCCGTAAGGGTTAGAAACTTGATTTTAAAAAATAAAGCAGAGGTTTGGAAGATGCTGAATTCTGAGCTTTTCCTGCCTTTCTGTGCTATACCCATAGTTCAGACATGGCTATAGGACATATGGAAGTTGTGTTTGATGATGCACTCTAGATAGCTGCACCTGTTGAGGAAGGCAGAAGTAGTTCAGTAACCCCTTAAATCTTGCTTTCCCTTGGGGATGCGTGAAACTACTGCTAACTAAGTTGGTCTTAATGCTTCAGAAAGATTTAAATGACAAGAGACTGGTAGTTTCTCCAGTAACACATTCAAGGTTTCAAAGACCCACATTAACCTGAGTGTGGCAGTTAGTTTCTAAGAGATTGTTACTGAGGTTCAAGCATGCCTGGAAGTCATATTTTTTCTGATCACTAAACCCTGTCTACCCATCCCCCTTCCTAGACATTTAGAGTTGTGACTGAAATATATGCTGCACATGCGGTGTTAGAAACTCAGCTATATAAGCTAATCACCAAATGACACCTGAAACCAGTGGTTTTCAACCAGGGTGCCATGGCACCCTGGGGTGCCTTAATGATGGTCAGGGGTGCTGTGGGCAACATTGACCTCTGTCCCTCTTCCCCTCCCTCCTCTGATATCCTCTCATGTCTCTGCCTCCCAGAGGCTTGCACAGCTGTTTATTGCAGCAGCCCTGGCTTTGTTGCCTCTGGAAGGCACCTCTGTTTGGGGTGTGGGGAGGGTTGGCTCAGAGACCAGGGATGGAAGCAGCAGCTGCCCAGAGGACTCTCAAGGAGAGGAGGCTGAGGGAACACTCCAAAGGGGAAGCTGTTCAAAAAAGGGTGAGAGCCTGCTAGCTCTGCAGGCAAGGGGTGACATAACTGGGTTCCTGAGCCCCTCAGGAGTGTCACAGGAAGAATGTAGTTGCTTAAGGGAGCCGTGGACTCAAAAAGGTTGAAAACCTCTGCCTTAAACCTAGGTTACAGTTGCCACAATGGAATGTCTAGGTGCCATTTTTGTTGTAATGCTGTTTATTGTTGTTGTTGTTGTTGTTATTGTTGTCATTGTTGTCATAGGGATTAATTTAAGAGTGCGGTGAACCATGTACTCCTTGGAGAAAAAAAGGTGATGCAGTATATAAATGCAATAACTAAGGTCTTCTGCTTACCTGCTTAAGAAAGCTGGAGAGGCCAGTCCGATGGAGATGTTAGTCACCAACCTTTCATTCAGAGATCTCCACATAGTCACAATTTGACCAGTGCCAGTAGCAAGACGCACCTGGTGCCTGGGGAATTTCAGACACTGTGCACATGTTCAGATGCACTCCAGCTACCTTTATTACTTCTTTACCTGCTCTGAACCTGAGTTCTAGTGTTGAAAGCACATTCTGGGATAGAATTGTAGTGGGATCTAGCTCAAATTAAGAACCCTCTTAAATGTTTTCTGGGCATGGATTAGGATCCTCAGGTTTTATTGCAGGATGTCTGGGATGGCAAAGGAGCCTTGACTCAGAAGACTGTGTCTGGAGTGGATAAGGGAAATTGACAAAATCTTCTTTAAATATCATTTCAAAATATATTCGCAATGTGTTATCTGTCTGTGGTTCAGTTGAGATGCAAGGTGTTTCCATGAGTACCCCTAAAAAAATTAAATCATTTTAGTCATTCTCATTATGGGGTGCAACCTCAATTAATTGTTAGATGGTGAAAACAGAAAGAATCACATCATCCCCCCTTTTCCTCAGAAGAGCTAATGAAATTGGCATTTGACAGGTAGGAGAGTTCATGGATTGCAGAGGCTGTCCAAGATAGGGAGACTTTGTCCAAAAATGCATGCACAGTTTTAGACAGTTGCGTACAATGTGGTAAATGAGGCTGAAGTGGCACAATCTGTTCTATGCACAGAGCAGGCTGCAGCTACCACATACCAAGTGAGAAAGAGAAGCCCAGCTATCTTGTCGGTTCTACAGAATGCAGTGAAAACATTGCTTGCTTCTCTTCCTTGAGTAACAAGAAGAATTTGTTTACCTGCCCAAGGTTGGGTCAAACTAGGCTACCATGCTAAGAGAATGAGGTTGTCACCTTCCTCTTTCCACCTACAGTGCCTCTGTCTTTAGGCAAAAGGCTGTCCACTTGCCCTGTTTTTTTCTACAGCTACATCCAAGTAAGGGTGGAGGGGTAGTATTGGAAGGGGCAGGCAACCTGTAGAACTTTCGTTCTCCTTTGCATTTTTCCATCATGGGCCATTATGGATACACTTTGATGGAGTTCTTAGTCTGGGCATATAAAATCTAATTTATTTCTACTCTGTAAATTAATTGAAGGTAAAGGTAAAGATAAAGGACCCCTGGCAGTTAAGTCCAGTCGCGAACGACTCTGGGGTTGCGGCGCTCATCTTGCTTTACTGGCCGAGGGAGCTGACGTTTGTCCACAGACAGTTTTTCCAGGTCATGTGGCCAGCATGTCTAAGCCACTTCTGGTGAAACCAGAGCAGTGCATGGAAACGCTGTTTACCTTCCAGCTGGAGCGGTACCTATTTACCTACTTGTGCTTTGATGTCCTTTCAAACTGCTAGGTTGGCAGGAGCTGGGACCGAGCAACAGGAGTTCACCCCATCGCGGGGATTTGAACCACCAACCTTCTGATCGGCAAGCCCTAGGCTTAGTGGTTTAGACCACAGCGCCACCCGCTTCCCATAAATTAATTAGAAACCTGCAAATTCAAAAACTTGCAATGTTTTTTAATATAGAAGGCTGGATTCAACTAACTGGTTGTATTAGTGTTATGGAAACCTCACTTGGTCTAACATGCATAAGCCAGGTTACAGGCTGGGGTTCCATATAGATCTCATATAACAGTTACACTGGTTGCCATTTCGTTTCTGGGCCCAATTCAAGGTGGGCATGTGACTGTTTTAAAGTCCTAAACAACTCAGACACCAAATAGCTGAAAGACTGCCTCCTTCCCTACAGACCCTCTCAGGTGTAAAGATCAGCAGAGGGGCTCCTCTTGGTAGTTCCTGTGCCCTCAGAAGTTTGGGGGTGGTGCTGATTCGGGAGACGACATTCTCTGTGGCAGCCCCTGGATTCTGGTCCTCCCTCCCCACAGAAATGTGTTTGGCATCTTAATTACACAAGGGATGAATGCCTAATATGCTCTTCTTTACCTTGACTTTTGGCATTTGAGTAGCATATTTTTAGGGCCCACCCTTCTGTGATTATAAGTTGTTTTATACTGTTTTTAACATTGTGTTTTAATTTTGCAACCTGCCTTGGAACCTAGCATCTCACTTTCTGTGTAACCAACATAGTATAAACTCCATGGAATAAACTTAAATCTTAAGAAGAGCTACTTGTGAGTGTCACCTTCATGTACGAGGAATGTAATGTGTAAGTCATAAATCCATGGATCTGCTTTGACAATTTCCATGAACTCCAAAGCTGATGTACCTTCAAGATGGCCTAAGTTGCTGCAGCAAATATCTAAAAGTTGCAGGTATACATATTACATTGTTTATGTTGAAGATACTTCTTTCTTGAATGGAAAAAAAGCAGCCTGAAATAATATCTGTACAGGCCAACACCCAGAATTATCTCAGGCTTTATAACAGCCCCTAGAGGAAAGTATGGTCTCTAGCTTAAAGCAAGCAGTGTTTGGGCATCTGAATTCCTGAGTTCTGTTCCAAAACAAGAGAGAGTTCTACACAAGTTGTGACCTACCAAGTTTATCAGCCATTGGTGGTAACTTGCCCGGTGCTGGGGCTGCCCTGCCCCCCGGCTGTTCCAAGTGATCTGCAAAACCAGGAATTCCAATGAACCCCTGGAAATCTGCCATACTTGGTTGGTGGGTTGTATTTGATCTGTTTGTTGAAATGTATTTTGCAAAATCTGTGAATCTTGTCCCCCAATTTGAAGAAGACTGAGAAGAGAAGGGGATGTAAACATTTAATCTGTGTCAAACTTAATTTTTCCATTGGGTGATAAGACGCAAGTTACTAACTTATCACTGCCACTCACACATGTCTGCTCTCACTGTCTAGAAATCCTCACAGACAGGCAGGTGACACATTTGTTCTTTACCTTGTCTGTGTTCCTGACCTCAACCTTTCTCCTCTGTCATCTTCAGAAAGGTTTTGATTCCCCAAGTGGTGATTTGCCACAGTTACTTGTCTACACCGGTGTGAGTGAAGCTCTTTGTTCGTTCGTATGAAACTCCTCCTACCCTAAGACCCTGTACAAAGTCTTTTCTCTAGATTCCTCTATCCAAGGATGGACTGTTATCTGCAAGAAGAAGAGCCTTAGTTGTCCATCCACATAGTCTTCACTTCCTAGAGAAGGTTGCTTGACTCAGTCTTTTCTGCACTTAGGGGGATAGTCCTCTTCAGAAGAAATTTGGGCTGCCAGGAAAAACTGCTTTATGCCTGTTGCTAAAGTGATCTTGTATTACTGAGTTTCAATTTTTTTTCTATCAATTGTTTTAATTATTACGGTAGCGGATCCATCTAACCACCCCCAATTTAAAGAGAGTGCACCCACCTCACTGTACGCCAGTTATACGAAGTTTTTCAATTTACCACAACTATCATATGAGGGACTTGTGTGAGGGGAAACTTAATGATTTAGAGTCTCAGGCAGGAGTTGATCAAACAAACAGGAAAAGTTTATTAAACAAAGAGAAGTTTGTGAAACAAAATGGGTCAGGAAATGCGTTCTTTCAAGTAGAAGTTAACTTATTACTAAAATGAGGTAAAAAGATATCACAGGCTTAAACATAATACTATAGGCACAGCTCTTCTTAAACTTCAGTTGCTAAAAATCAGGTAGATGTTCTAAAATATGTGGTAAGATGCTTAAATCAGTTTCTGTTGCTTAGCTATGACAGGTGGCTCCATGCAATATTTTTATTATGACACAGTTTCCTTCACAGATTAATACCCTGCTTCATGAGCAAGAGGCACTTTTCCTCAGGTACCCACTCACTTAACAATCCCACTCCTGAGGTATTCCAAAATGGTAGAAGAGAGCCAGGGGATTCCCGCCCCCCTTGTTACTGGCTTGGGAGTCTTCTGTGCCTCGGAGAACTCTCCCCCCGGCTAGACTGAGACCAGCTTCTTCCTCTCCTGGCTCACTCAGCCCTGCCAGGCACTCCTGGCTGTATGTCTTTCCCAGACCCTCAAGATGGTCTCCCTATCCAAGCTGCGAGGCTCTGTCCTCAGGGGGAATGTTAACCCAAATCTGAGCCAGTTCTCCCTCAGTCCAAACCTGTCCTCCTCCCAGCTTGCTGCCTAACTCTCATCTCAAATCCAGCCCTATCCGTCTCCCTCAGAAACGGCCCCTTTTATTCTCCCTCCCAAAATGCTTTCCTCCCCGCCTTTGTAGCCAATCAGAGAGAGGCTCCAGCCCTCTGGTGGAATTTCAAGGGGACTGCATCACCAGACTCTGGTCTGGCTCTGCTGTCCGTCACAATTGCTATTTTTGATTTTTTTGATTTTATATTATTTTTGAAGCATTGAAGGGTTGAAGAATGAGGTAGAAATGTAGTAAATTATAAAATCATAACAAGAACTTCAGCTGTTTTAATCATCTGATGTGATTAATTGACCAAAGACTTTTCCATCGGTTAAAACTTTCTCAGGCCACTGCTCCTTTGGTTCCATAAACTCATCTCCAGTGACCCCTACCCTATAAAAAAAATTATTCAGAATAGGAAGATAATGACAGTTAATTGCACACTTATTCAAAATCCAATTAAAACAACTTAGTTTAGTTAATTCAACAAAATTGGTGAACTTGATGAACTCCGTTGATACCAACTTTTCAAAGTCTGATAGTCATTTACACCTCTTTCCCCCCTTGCTGACGCCTTGCCTCTTGGTGCCCCCCCAGGTAATCCAACTGCCCTACAGGTCGTGGTACTGCCCACTATGTGTTAAAACATGCCCCTGATTAACTGCAGCTGACTTCTGAAATAATGTTAATTGTTTTTAATGCAAATAATTTTAAAAAACCTCGGGTGGCAGAAACCATCTTAGAAGAGACATCTGCAGCATCACTTCTCTCACACACATGGGATGGTGCTTGCTATGATATTTTCCCATTTTTTTAGAACTGTTTTATTGATGTGCAGATTTCATTGATTAAAACTCACAAGATGAATTGTTTATTGTCCTGGTGACATCTCACAAGGGCAGGGCTTCCCTAGACTAGACCTAGCTCAACGCTAGACAAACAAACAAACAAAATGTGCCCCAGCTTATCTCATTTCACAGTACTCTCCCACCCATCCCACCATGTGATGATTCTGACTCCCGATGCATTTCTGCTTGTGTACATTTATTAACATTACTAACAACCCAAAAGTGCAGTAGCAGGGTATTACACCATACTATATACAAAGCAAACCAACAATAAATAATAAGAGAAAGAAATGGTGACAACACAGTCTAAACAAGGCATCCATATTTCCCAAGCTGCTGTGGATGGTGAATGCTGAGCATCTAAGTCCGAAGCATAAAATAAAATCCCACCAGATGACATAAAAGCATTATGGGTCCTCCATCTCCCTGGAAACATTCAGTTTATGTGTGTTTTTTTCTGCAATAGCCAAAGTCCATGAGTTCTTAAGGCATTTATCAAACTCCATTATTAACAATTAAAAATGGACTGGCAAGTGGGTAGAACTTGTACCACACAATTGCCTTCAAAGTATGGCATGTTTCTTTTCTTTGCCTCAAGCTCTTCTATTTGGATCCCTTCTGAAACTAGTAGGCAGCTCCTGACCTTACTGCAGGAAAACAAAGCATTTTTATACCACTTTGAACTTGCAGTGAAAGCTGTATAAAAACAGGGCAAGTAAATACAGTCGTACCTTGAAAGTTGAATGGAATCCATTCCAGAGGTCCATTTGACTTCTAAAATGTTCGGAAACTAAAGCTCAGCTTCTGATTGGCTGCAGGAAGCTCCTGCAGCCAATCAGAAGCTGCGGAAGCCCTGCCGGACATTCAGCTTCCAAAAATAGTTCACAAACCGGAACAGTTACTTCCGGGTTTGCAGTGTTTGGGAGCCAAAATGTTTGAGAACTAAGCTGTTCGAAAACCAAGGTACAACTGTAAAATAAGCACAGGAGAGAGAGAAAGAGACTGTTCTTCAAAGGATCTCAAAGGAAGGCATATTGGAATGTGCACGGAATCCTGTGATGCAAACCCCGCCCAGCAAACCCCAGAAAAACAGTTTTTTTGTTCAGAATTTGTGGATGCAGCAGGTATTATAGGTATCTGCTGGTTCTGGCACACCAAAACTCAACCAGACCTATTTTCCTGAAAGCAGGCCAGTCGGTCCAGCGAATATGAATTAAATTTCACTCCCCCCCCCGATGAAGTAGGATTTCCATGGACGTACTGTGTATTGGGTGTTAGGAGAGGGGTAGTACTTCTGGCGGGGGACATGTGGTGCTCCTGGGGAAGTTTGCCCACTTTTGTCCTCACCCTGCACTCACCTGTGGCTCGTTGAAGCTGCCAGCACACATCAGCGGCTACACCCCAAGAATGGCTTCGACTGGCCGGCTATACCAGGTGAGGGTAACCAATGGGTCTCAAATTCTCATGAGTTAAGGACTTCTCCTGCATGTGAGGACAAGCTCTGGCAGATTGAGTGAACAAGAGCAATAGTGGGTCCAGTGGTCAAGAAGGCGGTTTCTGCACGTGCTATAGAGGGAAGTGAGGGGCAGATGGGGCTCATCAACCTGAGAAGGTAGTCCATCTAGGAGAAGGAAAACTCTGATCCTAAACCTCTGCTGCCTTGCAGGACATGTTTGGAAGAAGAAACTGCTAAGGAACAAAGCCTCCACAAATCTGGAGTGGAGTCCCTAAGATGCTTGGATGATGCCTTGTACGCCTCCTCCCGGCAACTCCTGCAGCTAAGCTGGTGCCAAATGTATTGCTCTGCTTTCTTTTGAACCACACCAGCACGGTCTTGTTGTCTGGGCAGCCCTGGGCCTCTATACACACTGCCCAGGCTTGTGCCTCAGGGACGTCACTTTGTTGCTGCTGACGCAGTGGTTTGACTTCACCCCCGGAGGCACACTCCATTGTCTCTCAAGACAGACGACTATCAACAACAACTGTACCTTTTTGGTACATTCCACAGATAGGGGTGGGGGTGGGTTTTAAGGACATTGCTGCAGGTTATTGCTCACTGAACTTCTCTTGCAATTAGTGAGATCATGCTCAAGAGATTATTTTAATAATCTGATTAAAAACAACTACACCACAATCACTGTTGGTTCAACAGACAAGATGGTACCAGAAGACTGGAAACCTGAATAGTTACTGCTTCAGCAGGCAGAGCCCACTGTAAGGTGGAGTGGAGGTGTCTGCAAGGTGAGGATGAAGAACAGTTTTTACAAAAATGGGTTTGGAAAACTTTACAGGGATATTAAATATTCTAGGGATTTGGTGGCAGAAAGCCAGTGTGGTGTAGCCATTAGAGTGTTGGACTAAGTTTTGGAAGTCCAGGGTTCAAATCCCCACTTTGCCATGAAGTTCACTAATTGACCTTCGGCCAGTCACTGCCTCTCAATCTGGCCTGCCTCACAGGGTTGTTGTAAGGAGAAAATGGGGAAGAGGAGAACTATGTATTGCCACCTTGAGCTCCTTGGAGGATAGGGGGGATATAAATCATATCCCTCCTCCTCCTCCTCCTCTTTCGCCTAAGGCTGCTGCTGTACTGAGTTGGGTCTTCTACCTTTGTGCCCCTAGGAAAGGATGTTGCCACTGCAGTTGTTCCCTGAGATGCTCCAATTTTCTGCTTTTGTCTGTGGAGACATTCTAGGAACTGGGGCCCTGGTCTGCTGCTTCCCCAGACAGATGAAACCATAGACTGCTTACACATTTCCACTCTTATGATCTAATGAGCAGAAACTGCCACAGCTGTTTAACTGAGCCCTTAAATCCTTCCCCTCCCACACCTTGCAGGTAGAGAAAAACTGAAGGTCTTAACTGGTTTCTAAAGACACAACTTTTCATCCGATTGTTTGCTCAGATCACTCCCCCCATGTTGTACCACAAGCCCCTGCATGAAACTAGAGAGTACCATATGGGAGAAGACATTAAAATCTGCCAGTTGGAATTAAGGCTCTGCTTTCACTTTTCTAAGAACTTGGTTTGGTTTCTGCAGCTGGGTTTTCAGAGTTTCATTTGCAGTTGATATGACAGTTAAAACAGTTTATAAAAATGCAGCGAAAGAAAGAGCAGAGAGTGAGGGGAGAACTTGTCTCCCCACTTTAAATATATTGCCATTGTGGACATTTTATGCCATGCTGTTTTGAGTGCTGCGTAGATCATATCCACAGGGCTGAGGGTAGGTTCCCTTTTCTATTGGCCTTTGAACAAGGCCTCATCCAGACAGGTGATTTGCATGCTTTTGGTTTGATGCTATTATGTTTTTCTAGAGTTTGGAGTGTCCCAAGGATAGAAAGGAAGGGCCCAGTTCGATGTAGATGATGAGTGTGTATGTGTCTCCATGTACTGGTTTTACATTTAGAGCTGCTGCATGATTAATTAGGTCATCACGTGTTCCTAGTGTCCTCTTTGCTCAGGATTGGGATTGGCAATTGGAAATGGAAATGGGGAATACCTCAGCACCGCCTCCCCCTGCATATCCAAAAGGAATTCACCAACATCACAAAGATAAAACTCTGCCACACCAAATTCAGGTACCTGGGGGTACAAATAACCAGAAACCTCAACAAACTAAATCTCCACAATTACAAGATCCTGTGGTGACAAATCAACAAAAACTTGAGGAAATGAAACAACACCAACTTCACTTTCAGAAAAAAATAGCCATGATCAAAATGATCTCCCTCCCAAAATTAACCTACTTATTCCAAACCCTCCCAATCTGCGTTCCCCCAACCCAACTCTGGAAGTGCAGAAGAAACTACACTAGTTTATTTTCTCACACAAAAAGCCAAGAATAAACCCCAAATACCTGCACCTTCCCTCCTCAGAAGGAGGATGGGGAATCCGCAGCATATTACATTGCCAACCAAGTATGCCACATAATCCAATATATTCTAGAAGACAAGACGAAACAAAACAATGGGTCCACTTGGAGAGCGACATCGTCAAAAACACCCCCACAACAGCATACCCATTTCTCCAAAACAAACTAAAGAAAATCCAAAAAACATTAAACAGATTCACACAGCAAACTCTCCCCAGCCCCACTAACCCCCCCTGGCTCATCACCCACTATTCCAACACGCAGCACAAAACCTCCAGATAAAAACCTGGCAAACCAAAGGCCTACACTGTCTAAAAGACTTCTACAAAAGCAACAAACCCATACCAACACAAGAAATACAAGACAAGGTAGGGGACACCCAAATACCCTGGCTAACACACCACCAACTACACACCTTCTTAAACAATCCAGCAGTAAAAGCAGCGGCCACTAGGCCCTTGACCACCTTCAAAAACCTCCTGACAGCAGAGGGACACGGCAAAGGAATGGCGTCTACAATATCCAAAATACTGCTCCAAAATCCCACAAACTTCCTTGACACAATCAAAAAACAATGGGAGCATGACATAGGCTATGAAATCAACCCCACCCAATGAACTGGAATGTGGTCTAAACCTCCCTTTAAATCCATCTCAGCCAAAAGAAGGGAACTCTGAAACTCACCTACAGATGGTACCTAACACCACAGAAACTGGCGCTAATATGCCCCGGAACCGCACCAAAATGTTGAAGAGGCTGCACCTCCACAGGCCCATATCTCCACATGTGGTGGAAATGCCCCCAAATCTAACCCTTCTAGGCATCAGACCTACAAGAGATATGCAAAATAACTAAACAGAATTCACCCCAGAACTGGCCCTACTGAATATTTTCCAAGATCATAATGACCACTCACATTATACAGAGTTTATAACCCACCTACTCTCAGCAGCCTGAAGCCTCAGTAGCCAGACACTGGAGAGTCCTGTCTGGCGTAAACATGGACCACTGGTACCAAATGGGAAACAGCCTTACTAGAAAAGCTAACCAACAGACTGAAACTGACACGGGGACAAATAGAAGAGGACTCTTTCACCCCAGTATGGCTTCCCTTTATCTCATACACAGCCCAACAAGACGACAACAAGAATCCACCGAAAGCATAGAAATCAATTTCGCTAATTTGACCCAACAAACCCTCCCCCCCCCACTTCACAAATGCGAACAAATCTCAACAAACCATCCACACCATGGACTCCCCCAATCCCTCCCATCCCTGATGCTATGATGGTATGATGGTTATGATACTTCCTCTGGAAGAAGATTGTGGGGGAAATAAAATGGAAGATCCTAGAGGAGGAGATTGGGATACTATCCTAGACATTACAGGAAATGGAATACAGCAGGAGATGGAACTGAATATATAGAACTGGACATGAACTAGTGAATATATAATGGGGGTAGACAAATACTGGCCCACCGTGTGATCACAGAGGAGAGACTCTAAAATAGACATGGACAAAAGAATGTAGTATTACTTAATATGAAGTAATGGTGCTAGGAATTAATGGAGGTAAAGTTAAAAGAAAAAATATGGTTAAAATTTTACTTAATATGAAGTAATGGTGGTAGGAATTAATGGAGGTAAAGTTAAAAGAAAAAATATGGTTAAAATTTATAAATAGGAAACCTATCTTGGACTTTTCATAGGAAAAATAAATCAATCTTTCTGAGAATCCTTAGCCTAAAAGATAATTGTTAAATAGAAAATGGAGAAGATGGATGTTTATATGGACCGAAGGTTTTTAAGTAATCAGTTTTATTTTTTTAATAACCGGCAGATGGAAAATCAGAAGTTCTTCTTTTGTGTCTTTCCCCCCTCTTCTTTTAAATTTTATTCTTCTTTCTCTCTCCTTTTCCTTTCTTTATTTTTATTCTCCTTTCCTTCCTTTCTTCTCTTTATACTTATTTGATTTGTATCTTCTGTAGTAATTTTACTGTATTATGGGAAAATCTTAATAAAATACCTTAAACAGGAAAAAAGGAAATGGTTTATCCATTTGTCTGTTTGTTCTCTATGCATTCAGACACCTCTTGAGAGATCATTGCTAGACTTGGCATGAGAGTTCCAGAGATTGGGGTGGGGGGGCAGTCTTTGTCAGTGTTGGGACACTGGGTACCAAGATGGCAGACAGAAATGTCATTTTGGAATGACTTCACCCATTTGGGGGATATAAGTTCATCTGTCTCCCACAATATCATGCCAAACTCAGCATAAAGGTTCCTGATGTGAGGTCAGTGAGTTTTATTGTTATTTGGATGGTGTACCATTTTGATTAAGATGGCAGACTAACACATGACTTTACCTGAATTTTGGCGTGACTCATAAATTACAGTGGTGCCTCGCAAGACGAAATTAATTCGTTCTGCGAGTTTTTTCGTCTTGCGAATTTTTCGTCTTGCGAATTTTTCGTCTTGCGAAGCACGGTTTCCCAAAGTCTTCAAAATCACCAAAGTCTTCAAAAACCTCAAAAAAGGCTACCACACCGCATGCTATGAGTTGCTCCTCGAAGTCACCCTGGGTATTAACGGTTTTAAGAAAAAGGAAACAAACTTGCAAGACGTTTTCGTTTTTTTCGTTTTTCGTCTTGCGAAGCAAGCCCATAGGGAAATTCGTCTTGCGAAGCAACTCAAAAACGGAAAACTCTTTCGTCTTGCGAGTTTTTTGTCTTGCGAGGCATTCGTCTTGCGAGGTACCACTGTACACAATCCATTTAAAAATCACAATATATTTTGGGTTTCTAAAAATTCCCAGGTAGTTCCAGAAGTTACCCACCAGTATATTAATAAAGTATGTTCACAAGAAAACTTTTACAGTTACAGTGAACTCAGGTTGCAGCACCAACGTTGCTCTAGTAAAAGCAGTTATTTGTGTCATGTTGGTTCCCACTGGTTCTTGGGGCCAACTTAGCAATGGATGTAACTTAGAACTGCACTCACTTGTCTGTCTTCTTTCTCGTTACAGGTCAAGTGAAAACGAGCTGCGAATAGAGGACATAGCTCAGTCAGTCTGCACTGAAGGTAGGTCTTCCCTGGATGTTTCTGGTCTGGCAATCTAAAGCTGGTCAGAAAATGGTGCTGGGAATGGGGTGTGCAACTCTATAGGGTAAAAGGTAAAGGTAAAAAGTAAAGGACCTCTGGACGGTTAAGTCCAGTCAAAGGTGACCATGGGGTGCGGCGCTCATCTCGCTTCAGGCCGAGGGAGCCGGCGTTTGTCGACAGGCAACTTTCCAGGTCATGTGGCCAGTATGACTAAACTGCTTCTGGTGCAACGGGACACTGTGACAGAAACCAGAGTGCACAGAAACGCTGTTTACCTTCCTGCTGCAGCTGTACCTCTTTATCTACTTCCCCTGGTGTGCTTTCGAACTGCTAGGTTGGCAGGAGCTGGGACAGAGCAACAGGAGCTGTCTTGCGGATTCAAACTGCTGATCAGCAAGCCCAAGAGGCTCAGTGGTTTAGACCATAGGATATATAAAATTGCCTTGTTCTGAGTCACAGTATTGGTTCATCTAACCCAGTGCTGTCTACTCTGATTGGAAGCAGGTCCTTTCTTTTTCTTCTATCTATTATCTTTTTAACTAGAGATGCCAGACCTGGGATCTTCTGCAGTGAAGGCATGTGTTCTTACTCTGAGCTAAGGCCCCTGCCCATAAGAGAAGGAGATGGATGTGATCAGGTGAAGCACCATTATCTTGCTGCTTCTCCAGTTAATATTGTATTCTCTTGAAGCCACAGGTGGCATGCAGGCCATGAACAGAAGAAGCCCAGGTCAGACCCAGGTATCCCTCTCATTCATCATCCTGTCTGTAGACATTGGCCAGCCAGATACCACAGGGGCATTCCCAAGCAGGGCTTGATGGAGGTTACTCTTTTGGCCATCATTACCTGTAGCCACCAGTGAGCCTGTCCTGCTTGTAATTATTTTTAATGCTGCGGATAATCAGTATAATTCAACTAAGTTTAACTCTGAGTAGACCTAACTTACTCATGCTCATTAATTTCAATGGTTCTACTCTGAGTTTAATACCACCCAATATTGCTCTGGTTTCTCTTCAGTTTGTATAAATATTCTGAAGTGGTCAGTCCTGCAGGTTAATTACTTAATTTCCTGTCATATGAAAATATTTCCTTTCCTTGCAAACACGTTCAGTTCTCCTCAGTTACCTCAGTGTTAGTGTGTGGTTCCCCGCCCTCCTTTACTCACTCCAACCTGACTTCTCTGTGGTGGGGTTATGCATTTATCAATCCACTTTCTGGATATTTAAAGCACTTTGCACTGTCCGAGTTGCTGATATTGGATATTAAATTAAATTAAATTAAATTAAATTAAATTAAATTAAAATAAAATAAAATAAAATAAAATAAAATAAAATAAAATAAAATAAAATAAAACAAAACAATACAATACAATACAATACAATACAATACAATACAATACAATACACAATACAATACAATACAATACAATACACATATGCTGTCTTGGAACAAAAATCCCACAAGGTATGCCAGTATTATGGTTCCATAGAGCTGAACTGTATTTTATACTTGACATGGGGCTGCTGCCAAAAATGGCAACCTTGTGTCAATGTTCTCCATGAAGCATAGGATCATTGTGTAGTGTCTTGACATCATCATTTCAATTCATTGGCTGCCCCAGTAGGGGTGAGAAAACACATGATGTTATCACAAGAATTCATAATATCGTAGAATTGTGGAGTTTGAAGGGACTTTAAGGGTCATCACGTCCAATCCTCTGCTATGCAGGAATCTCAGCTAAAACATCTGTAACAGATGGCCATCCAATCTCTGCTTAAAAACCTCCAAGGAAGGAGAGTCCACAACCTCCTGAGTGAATCTGTTCCACTGCTGAACAGCTCTTACTTCATGTAGAGAAATTCATGCAGAGGTACTGCTGGAGATGTCTAGAGTCTCCTGTTCTGAGACTAAGATAGTTAGCAGTTTGAGCCTACTTAAAAAGCTCAGAGCTGAATTTGGGATCTTTGTGGTAGCCACTACTCTATGCTAATTCCCAAGGAATCAAATGCTTAATATACATGAGATATTTATTGTATATCCAAACAGACATATATGACATTAGCAGCTTTTTCTCTGAACTCCAAGTGATCCTTTAAATTTCTGGTTTGTGTATTCTGTCTCATTAAAGAGCAATTTTTAATCCTTCATTCACTGTTGGCTGTGGCCCTCAAACATCTTATTACTAGACTAGCCCTGTGGACGCTGATGGGACTCCTCCAAAGTGAGTGCCTGGAGGCTAGTAGCTATGATATAGTATCTGACTGGAAAACCTCTGGGAAACACTTAAGGTTTCCTATTTCTAGGCTCACATGTAGAGGGATTTTGTGTTATGCCATGCCCTTCATGGCAGCCACACCCCTGTGGCAGCCATTTTGTGAGCAGTGCCCATTGCATTTTCTCAACATTCAGAATGTGCCCATTGGTCCAAAAAGGACAGCAGTCCCTGATTTAAATATTTTACTTAAATGTTTTATTTCATTTTTTTATATGCATTTGTTTTTTTTTAAATAATATTTATTACTTTTCCAAAAAATTTAAACACTAAAAGAAAAAAAACCAATACAATACAATACATTCAACTTAACAAAACAAAAGAAAAATAAAATAAATCAAACAGTTTCATTATCCCATCTTTCATTCACTTATTTCCACGACCTCCTCACACCTCCCTTTTTGTTTTCCACTTCTATTAATTATTTCAGCAATTCCTTTTCATCTTCCTCTGTTTTCTATCCTATAATTATCTTAACTCATTCTAACCTTATTTTTTCCTTTAATACTCTATTAATCTATTTATACTTAATTCCTTATAACATTTTTACTAAAGCCATGTAACTTCATTCCAACATTTTTCTAACATTCATTGATTTTACAGTATTTCTGTAGATAGTCTTTAAATTTTTTCCAGTCTTCTTCCACCAACTCTTCTCCCTGGTCTCGGATTCTGCCAGTCATTTCCGCCAATTCCATATAGTCCATCAACTTCATCTGCCATTCTTCCCGGGTGGGTAAATCTTGTGTCTTCCAATATTTTGCGATGAGTATCCTTGCTGCTATTGTTGCATGCATAAAGAAAGTTCTATCCTTCTTTAACACCAATTGGCCGACCATGCCCAGGAGAAAGGCCTCTGGTTTCTTCAGGAAGGTATATTTGAATACCTTTTTCATTTCGTTATATATCATCTCCCAGAATGTCTTAATCCTTGGGCATGTCCACCAAAGATGAAAGAATGTACCTTCAGTCTCGTTACATTTCCAACATTTATTATCGGGCAGATGGTAGATTTTTGCAAGCTTGAGTGGTGTCATGTACCACCTATAAATCATTTTCATTAAGTTTTCTCTTCGGGCATTACATGCCGTAAATTTCATACCTGTGGTCCATAACTGTTCCCAGTCAGCCATCATTATGTTATGTCCAACATCTTGTGCCCATTTAATCATTGTTGATTTCACCGTTTCATCCTGAGTATTCCATTTCAACAGCAAGTTATACATTTTTGACAAATTCTTAATTTTGGAATCTAACAATTCTGTTTCCAATTTTGATTTTTCCACCTGGAAACCAACTTTTTTGTCCAAATTGTATGCCTCCATTATTTGATAATAATGGAGCCAGTCTCGCACTTTAGTTTTCAGTTTTTCAAAGCTCTGCAATTTTATCCTGTCTCCATCTTGATCCAGAATTTCCCAATATTTCGGCCATTTGGCCTCCATATTGAGTTTTTTCTGTGCCTTCGCTTCCATTGGAGACAACCATCTTGGGGTTTTCTTTTCTAACAAATCTTTATATCTTATCCAAACATTAAACAGTGCTTTTCTAACAATATGATTTTTGAACGCTTTATGTGCTTTTACCTTATCATACCACAAATATGCATGCCAACCAAATACATTATTGAAACCTTCTAAATCCAACACGTCAGTGTTTTCAAGAAGCAGCCATTCTCTCAGCCAGCAAAAAGCTGCTGATTCATAATAAAGTTTGAGGTCTGGCAGGGCAAATCCACCTCTTTCTTTAGCATCAGTTAATATCTTAAATTTTATTTGAGGCTTCTTGCCCTGCCAAACAAATCTGGAAATATCTTTCTGCCACTTCTTGAAACAATCCATCTTGTCCAAAATTTGTAATGTTTGAAACAAAAACAACATCCTTGGCAGCACATTCATTTTTATCACAGCAATTCGGCCTAACAGTGATAACTTCAAATTTGACCATATTTCTAAATCCTTTTTCACTTCTATCCAACATTTTTCATAATTATCCTTAAATAGATTCACATTTTTGGCAGTCATGTTAACCCCTAAATATTTCACTTTCTTAACCAATGTTAGTCCAGTCTCTTCCTGAAACTTTTCTCTTTCATTCACAGTTAAATTTTTCTCTAAAACCTTAGTTTTCGTCTTATTCAGCTTAAAACCTGCTACTTCTTGAATCAGTTCCAATACTCTTTTTGTACTGGATTCTGGCTCCTGTAAGGTCAATACTAAATCATCAGCAAATGCTTTTAGTTTATACTGTTTAACTCCCACTTGTATACCTTTAACCTCTTGGTCCTTTCTTATCATGTTTAACAGAACCTCAAGGACCGATATAAAGAGCAGTGGAGAAATTGGGCAGCCTTGTCGTGTCCCTTTCTCAATCTTAAACTCTTCTGTCACTACATTGTTCACAATTAATTTTGCCTTTTGTTCTGAATAAATTGCACCTATACCATTTTCAAAACCTTGACCTACCCCCATCCCCTGTAGATTCTTCTTCATAAAGCTCCAGGAAATGTTGTCAAAGGCTTTCTTCGCGTCCACAAATATCAAAACAGCCTTAGTTCACTTGAAGTTATTCACTTGAAGTTTTTCTAGAATATTAATTATATTCCTCATATTATCAGACAAATGTCTACCCGGGAGAAAGCCCACTTGGTCTGTATGAATTTCTTCTACTAACACCTTTTTTAATCTTTTAGCCAAAATATCTGCAAAAATTTTATAATCCACATTTAGCAGCGATATGGGGCGGTAGTTCTTGAGCTGTGTCTTTTCAGTCTCTGTTTTCGGTATAAGTGTAATGTAAGCTTCCTTCCATGACTCTGGTGCCTTTCTCCTTCCAATATTTCATTGCAGACTTCCTTCAATGGTTGTATTAACCATTCTTTCAAAGATCTGTAATATCTTGAAGTTAAACCATCTGGTCCTGGAGATTTACCTAGTTGCATGTTCTGGATAGCCCCTTCCACCTCCTGGTCCGTTATTTTATAATTCAACATTAATTGTTTCTCCTGAGAGATTTTGTGTAGTCCATTTATTTTCAAAAATCGATCAATGTCCATTTCTTTCTGCTTCTCCTGTGTATAGAGTTGTTTAAAATACCTCTGGAAACACTTCCTAATCTCCACTGAGTTCTGTATATTTTTTCCTTCCACTTCCAAATTCGTAATAGTGTTGAGTTTTTGTCTTTTCCTCATTTGCCAGGCCAACAATTTCCCACATTTATTTGCCGATTCAAAGGTCTTTTGCCTCATCTGTTTAATCTTCCATTCTATTTCCTGATTCATCAGCTTCACATATTGTACTTGATATTACTTTATCTCTTTCAAAATCTCCTGTGACTTTGGTTTTGCTCTCAGTTTCTTCTCTCCTTCCTCTATCTTTCCCAAGATTTTATCCTTTTTTTCATTCTGAGTTCTCTTCTTAATTGCGTTCTGTTATATTAGGAATCCTCTCATCACCGCTTTGCTTGCATCCTAAATTACTCTTTTTTCCACTGTAGTATTCATGTTTATCTCAAAGTAATCTCTTAGAGTTTTTTGGGCCTTCTTGGTCACCTCTTCATTCCTAAACAAAGTGTCATTCATCCTCCATCTAAAGGAACCAATTGACGTCAATTTCATTTCCATCTTCACCACATTATGGTCAGAACAAGTTTTGGGGCGAATCTCCACTTTGCTGATCTTCAGAGCCAGTCCCCTGGTTACCCAGATTTGGTCAATTCTTGTCCATGTCATTTTAGCCTCAGAGAAGAAAGTTCCCTCTCTTCCCAGAGGGTTCTTCATTCTCCAAATATCAACTAAGTCCATATTTTCAGTCATGTCAAAAACTTTTTGGTAGTCTACCATCTTTGGTGACTACCTGTCTCTGTGCCTTATCCATATTTGTAGACACCACTCCATTCATATCTCCCATCAAAATCATATTATAGTCCATATAATCCATCAGAGTCTCATGTAACTTCTTAAAGAATTCCGATTTTCCTTCATTTGGTGCATAAATACCTAGAATCAAGAATTTCTCTCCTTGTGATTGAATTTCAATTGCTACGAATCTTCCTTGATCATCTTTAAATAAGAATTTCGGTGATAGGCTCTCCTTTGCATAGAGGGCCACTCCTCTTTTTTTAACTTTGTCTGATGAAATAAATTCTTGGCCCAATCTTTTATTACTCAATATCTTCCTGTGTAGCCTTATCACATGTGTTTCTTGTAAACAAATTAAGTCCAAATGTTCTTTTTTCAATAAATGAAAGACTCTCCGCTTTTTTTCTGGGGAGTTCAGTCCATTTACATTCCAGCTCAAGGCCTGCAATGCCATCATGTAATTACGCTGATGTTCCTCCAACTGCACCCAATATTTGCTCTTCTTCTGTTGGTGGTAATGGTAGCACGTTCACTGGGGAGTCCAATCCAAAAGACAATGTTGATATATCCAATATTCCCCTGTTTGGTGATCTCCTGTCCGATGCTCTCTGCTCTGGTCCTCTATCTGGTGATCTTCTGTCCGATACTCTTGGCTCTTTTCCTAGTCCCTTCTGCAGATCTTCTTCATATTTGTTCAGAAACTTCACTTTATCCTCTACTGATCTTATTTTTATTTTCCTACCTTTGAACCTGAAAGATAAACCTTGGGGAAACTCCCACCTAAAAATAATTTTATTCTTTCTCAGCAGGGCAACAATATCTCCGTAGTCAGGCCTAAGATCCAAAAGATATTTCGGGATGTCTTTAAAAATTACCACTTTTAACTGTTGTACTTCTAGGTTCTTCTGGTAGTGCCAACCCAAGATTCTATCTCTCTCTTCTTTAGTTCGAAGGGTAATCAAGCAGTCTTTTATTGTATTCTTCTCTTTTTTCCCTCCTTTTCCAAATCTAAAGGCCCTCACAGTTTTAAACTCTTCTTGTCCCAAGTCCAAGTCCCAAAAGTCAGCAAATTCCTGTGTAAGAAAGTCTATCAAACTTTCCTTCTCCTATTCAGGTAGGCCTCTGATCCTTAGATTCGTCTGTTTTTCTTTAAATTCAATCATAGCAAGCGTCAACTTATGTTCGTCAAGTTGCCTCTGTAGGGCTGGGACTCTCTCTCTCTCTCCAGTTGCGTTACTTTGCATTCAGCAGCAGCAGCTTTCTCCCTAGCTTCCTCCGCAGTCTGCCGTATCAGAGTGGATTCCTGTATCAATTTCTGAATAGTTTCTGTATTAGTATTCACCTTTAGTCCCAGATTGTTTATGCTTTCCGTATTTAAGTCAAATCTAGTAGTTGCAGCATCCACTTTCTTATTAAGCTGTTCCAATGAATCATTTATCTTACCTAATGCAACCGCTAGTACCTCTTCTGGCAACATTCCTCTTGATTTTGGTTGTGCTGATATAGACACAGCAGCAGCCGGAGGAGTAGGGTCTGGTATTGAACTTCTCCTAGGTTGCTGCCTAATCTTCCCAGACCTTAATGTTTTTTCAGCAGTTGACAGATCTGTTTTTTCCTTTCCATTTGCCATAACACTTAAAAGATTCAAGGTCAATCCCAGAGTCTCACAGTTTTTTTATCTTGCAGCTGGAAATTCCCCCAGCCCAACTCTTATAAAACTCTTGTAAAACAACCAGTTTCAAAGGCTTCCACTGGGGGAAACATTTTCTATTTATGTTATTTTGTATTAGTCAATAATGTCCTCTTTTAAACACAGTTCAGACAATCCAAAGTTAGTTTCAATTTTCTGTTACTTTTTTACTCCTTTTTAGAAACAGCCAGAGACTGTAAAAACAATGTATTCTCTTACTTAGCTAGCTGTCAGTGAACGTTCTAAACGCTGTCAATGGACATTCCAAAAGACGTCAGTCCTACTAGCAGCCTGTTTCCAGGGTCAGAGCGGCGGTATTCTAGCTCTCTTCACTCTCTCCTGCAGGCATACTCAGTCCAGAACTTCCCCCCCTCTTCTCCTGCCCCCGAGGGGGGGTTAAATGTTCTTTACCGTTGAAAGTTTAGTCTTTTACCAAAGGCTTTCCAAGGCTTCAGCTTGCAGCTTCATTGCGTCAGTCTATTTACAAAAGGGGAAGGCGGACTTCCTGTATTGAAGCTCCCCGCTTCGATACCAAATTATACGTTTAGAAATCCAATTCTCCCGTTTCAGCTCTACTCACGGGTAATTACTTTAGAGTCAAATTGTCCACAGGAAAAAGTCAGCGCTCTCCGGCAACGGCTGTGCGGCTTCGCTCCGTGGAAGAAGCAGACGATTCGAAGCACCGCGCCACTCACCCCACGTCGCTCCAGAGCCCCGAAATCGGGGTTCCCCGCGAGTAGGGGAGGCGCAGAAGGTGCCCGCCGAATCCCACGTTCACAGGCTTCTCCCGCCTGTGATTTTTTGCAGGTCTCCGCCTTCGCCGTGGTGGCCAGACCCAATTTCTCACGGGGCAAATTCCTCCCGGTCAGAGGAATTCCGCCATTGCGGATGGCGCCAACCCGGAAGTCCCTATATGCATTTGTGTTCAAAGACCTTCTGGTACGGTACAGATTTTAAAAATCTACACCATGAAATAAATAGAAATGAGATTCTAGTGCAGTCTGTTAATCAAGTTATTGCCCAGCCCATTAATTGCATCTGTGCAAGGCCCATTGAACCAATTAATCTATTTGAAGAATTTATAAGCCACTCATTATTTAAAAATATCATGGCAGTGTACAATAAATCATTAAATACAAAGTTCAGACAATAAGGATACATTCAAACCAGCATGAGTAATTTCCAACAATGCTGCCCTAAAAAAGCCAGGGTGAATAAAAATGACTTAAGGAGGTACTTAAAAGAACGAGTGGCTGGCACTGCCCTCGTTTCCAGGGGGAGCTTAGTCCAAAGTTACCACAGCAAAAGATCTGCCTCAGGTCTAAACCAATTTTGGGGTGTGTTGCACCCATAAGAGGGCCTCACTTGATGACCTATGGGGTATGAGCAGGATGACATAGAATGATGTGAGGTTGTACAGCAGCAGCACTTGGCGGTTTATACCAAAGGCTCTGCTCTTGGGAAAGGCAAATTCTGTGAGAAGAAACACCAAATATTGGGACCTGCAAAGGGCAGACCCTGCATTCTCTCAGGAGCTTGTAGACTGAATAATTGAAAATAGATCATAACATTGTAAGCTGTATAATCATTGCCAGGGTGATGGCTCATCCCCTGCCCTCCAAGCTGCGGTTGCTCTTGCTTGTTTTCAGTTTTCATTTTAATAGAGCTGTTCTGCCCTAGAGCAGTTCTAAGAAAAAGAGCAGTTAAAAAATTAAAAATCCACCCTTCCTTCTTTCATTTTGACTGATGGAAATAAAATCAGAGTAAGAGGTGTGGCAGTATATGGTACCTTATGAAACATCACTACATACACATAAAAAGCCACCACCTGGTTGCACAATGCGCTTTAGCTGGGTAACATGCAGTTTTATATTGGATTTACTTCCCTTATCTGATTAGCCTGATAGTCTAAATTTAATGAGGAAAAACTGGGGGCTGCCAGTTGGATGAGGAAGATATTACATGCATAATATACACACAAGTAGCTTCAAATCCATATTAAACTCCTGTGTGGATGAGCCCTAACATAGCTACGCCTCTGTAAATTGTTATACTTTAAGTATGTCTTTGCAACCAAAAGGGCCAGAAACCTATGGGTTTTAAGAATATATAAATATAAAAGATGAAATTGTCAAGAAACTGAACTCTGCGCCCAGGAGCAAATTCTATGCTCTCAGAAGTGTAGAAGTACCCAGATTGTGCCCAGCAGTTCTGAGGCTGGGAGTTGCACATATTACTGAAAAATGTTGCCTCTCCTCTCCTCTCCTCTCCTCTCCTCTCCTCTCCTCTCCTCTGCAGAAAAGAAAACTGATAGAGGCTTGGCCAGTGAATCCCTAAACCTTCCTGTTCTGCAACCCCCACTCTCAATGACACAGGTAAGGAGTCACAAATCACTCTGGAGAGCCAGTGCTCAAGTGCAGGGGTGGGGAACCTGTGACCCTCCAGATGTTGTTGCTGGACTTCAGTTCCCATTGGTCCCAGCCAGCATGGCTAAAGGACAGGGATTGTGGAATTTGTGGTCAGGCTACATGTGGATGGCTGCAGGTTCCCCCTCCCTGTTCTAGCACTGGGCTGAGCATTTGAGGAGCTTCCTGGGGAGCTTCCTTTCTGCTCCCTCCTCTTGATTAAAGCTTGTGTCCAGTTATTCAGATTCATTTACAGTTTGCTCTGTCCAAACTTATCTGCCAAGATAAGAAACAAGCTCCATGACTTATTCATCACTGCAACAGTGTTGTGAGTTGAAACCAGTAAATGCAGTAATACAGTGGTACCTTGGTTTTTCCAAATGTAATCTGTTCTGGAAGACCGTTCGAGTTTTCGAAACATTTGAAAACCAAAAACTCAAAATGGAAGCCTCAAAACGGAAATCTCAATACGGAAAACTCAGTACAAAGGCCACATTTCCGGTTCAACTTCCGAGGCGTGTTCAAAAACCAAAGCATTTACTTCCAGGTTTACGGCGTTCGAGTTCCAAAATGTTTGTCAACGGAGATGTTAAAAAACTGAGGTACCACTGTACTTAAATACTAAATTCAATACAGTGGTACCTTGGGTTACATACGCTTGAGGTTACATATGCTTCAGGTTACAGACTCCGCTAACCCAGAAATAGATCCTCGGGTTAAGAACTTTGCTTCAGGATGAGAACAGAAATTGTGCTCCGGCGGCGCGGCGGCAGTGGGAGGCCCCATTAGCTAAAGTGGTGCTTTAGGTTAAGAACAGTTTCAGGTTAAGAACGGACTCTGGAACGAATTAAGTACTTAACCCGAGGTACCACTGTATATGCTTCTTTATAACCAATGTGGTGATCTGCAGTTGAGGCTGAAGGCAAATGAAAGTCCAATTTGGAAGAGTCCTCAGTGGTCCTGTCCTGGTGGAAACGGGCTGGTTTGTAGCAGGTTTGTAGCAGAAGTGCGGGTTGGCTAGCTCTTAAAATGTTCCCAAGAACCTGCTTCTCCAGATACAGTGCTTAGTTCTTAAAGAGCACTATCACCTGCCTTGTAACAGTTACTGTTCCACTCATGCCATGTTGATGTTATCTTTGTATTTTGACAGTGCTAACATATCTAGCTAAGAATTTTTGATGTCCTCATTGGAATCCACACCTTCCTTTTCCATAATGTAATATTTTATTTATATACCTATTTTTACCTCACATTTTATCTTATCTTATATTTTGTTTGTTTGAAAGTTTCATATCCTACCTTTCAATCAAATGACCTACAAAACAGCTTATAACACATTAAAATTATACAAAAATTACCTAGCAGCCTTTTTTATCTGTGGCTGCTGATGGAGCCCATAGTGGCCTTAGCCTTGTTTCTGGAGTTCCAGGCCAACTTTTCCTACAAATTGGCACAGATTAATCACATGTATGACAGAAGGACGGAAGAGGGAAGACATGGGAGAAGGCTCTCTGGCCTATTCCATCTCATGCAAGTCTTGCTAAACTAGGGGTGGTGAGCTCTTGAGCCAGATGTGGCCCATAAAGCTATTTTTAGTGATCTGCTGGCCCTCTGCCAAAACCATTGTGGGGGAAGTCCTCTTCTCCCTCTGGTGCAGTGCCATTACAACAGGAAAAAGCAAGGAGATCTAAGATTGGAGCTTCCCTCTGCTTGTTTTTCTACCTCATGTTGCTTGTCATCCGCACAGCAGTGCTGGGGTAGGAGGAGAAGAGGAAAATCAAGGTGAAGGAGAGCCCTTTTCCCCTGGAACCACACAGGCAACGCAGCAGTGGGGGGAAACTGGCCCGGCTGGGTGTCTGCCCACCAACCACCTTGGCATGCAGCCTTGGGGGGGGGGGCAATCTTCAGCCCTTGGGCTGAAAAGGGTTAGTTGCCCCTAACTAGCTCATTCCAGTGCTAACTAGCCCATTCTGCCAAGGCAAAAAGTGTAGGCACAACAGCAAACCAAAATAAAGTCCCTAAACCAGTTGTGGGAATACTGTTGTATATTTCTATGCTACAAGAAATGGGATGTGGGCATCTAGGACTTAAAAAAAAATTACATTTGTATTAATTACATAAAAAGGACATATGATATTTTTATATCCAGAATAATCAATTTTTCAGTATTTTGCCATATATCTAAAATATATTTAGTACCGTATTTGAAATATTAAACTTGTTGCTGGACATTTTCTTCAGGTTTAGCTCTATTCTGTTCAATAAAACAAGTCTAAGGTTACAGTTCTGCACACACTTACCTAAGGATAAATACCACTGAATTCATCAGGACTTATGTCTGAGTAAACATGCATAAGACTGCATTGTAAGTTTTATTTTAAAAAAATTGGTAGTGTGTGCTTAGGTCTGGACACTTGAAGGACTGCCTCATGTCCTGTCAAATTGTCATCAGGGCCTCTGAGGGGAGAGGACCTTTTCAGTGGCTGCCAACAGGCTTAGATTCTCTTGCCTGAGAGATCCACCTGCATTCCCCCCTTGCAGATGGTAAGGACTCCTGTATTTCAGAAGCCCTTTAATAATATGGCAGGTTAAACTACCTGTTGTCTGTTGCCACTGGTATTTGTTGTGTGCTTGCTGCTTCTGTTTTAGGTGGTTACACTGCTCTCTTGTGTTTTAGTATTATAGAGAACTTAAAAAAAAAATCTAGGTGTTTTGATTTTATTAGGTGCCTTGGTAATTTGCAGAGAAGGGTGAGAGAAAAATGCTTTTAAATTATTGGTTTTCAGCCAGTGAGCCATGGCACCCTGGGGTGACTTGAGGAACATTCAGGGGATCTCCAGGAGGGCATCCTTTCATTAACTTGCAACCCATACCTTCTTCCTGCATTGTCTCCCTCTCTTTCTTTCTGAGGAACATTCAGGGGAGCTGGCAGCTTTAACTTCCAGCCCATTATCTTCCCAAAATAAAACAGTAGCAAAAAAGTGGGGAAACACTTTTGCATGACTGTCTATCTTCTTAGTATCAAACTTTATTTTGGTCACAAACCAGCATAAAATAAAGCATACATATTTTTTATCTTCTTAAAATCTCTTCCCCCATCCAAAACCAAAAATCCTTCCAGCTTCAGTAACCAACAGTTCCTTAGCTTTACAGGGAAGGCTTGAGAAATGCAAGAAAATAGCTAAGTAGCTTGATGGTGTGTGTGCTCTATAAGGAGGGATTTAAAAATAACCCTGAAAGTGTGGAGTGTTTTCTGTGTTTCTCTTTCCTTCTACCCCCAACATCCCTCCCCCCTTCTTCTCTACTTCTCCCTTCAGGCAACCCCCCTCTGCCTTAACAGTCACCCAGCTTTATGGGGACAGGGAGAATTTATATTTTTATGACTTCAAAAACGGGACAAATTGGGGGCCAAAGAGGACAGGGGACTCTGTGTCCCCAAAATGGGACTCTCCTGTAATTATAAGGGACAGGTGGCAATCCTACTTTAATGTGACCTCTGTGTTCCCCTTTATTTAATAGAATTATTTTTTTAAAGAGAAAGGGTTCTCTCATTATCAAGATCACTATTTTTAATAGGTTTAATCATTTTTATTAAATACAGAAGGCACATACCTGTATGAACACACACTCCCCTGAAACATAAATGAAGAAGATCACAGGGATACTTAAAACAATAACGGACAGCAGGGGTGGATAACCCCAGTATGGGGGCCTGATGAGCCACTCACAAGGACATGTCTTGTCCCCAAGATTCTACCATTTTTGGTAGTGGTGGCAAAAAGAAATAAATCACAGCATTGGGGAGGCCCAGGATTATTAAACTGCCCAGTCCAGCCCCTGATGGGAATACAAATTGTCTTCTCTTGAGTAATCAGATCAGTGCTTTGAGCAGAGAGGGGCCTCTGTATATTTCCTGACATGCCTGGGGTGTGGGGTGGCCACACCCATGGCTTGCATGCAGTCCATGAGGAGGAGGAGGAGAAAAGATTAGCCACCCCTGATTTAACAACAACAATCTTTATTACGGTCCAGAGACCCAACAAAACATTACAAATCAATACACAGCCCATACAGCCTACCTCCAGGTTAATCAAACATTTTGTTTAGAATATAGGGCTCATTTGTTCTTTCAACCACCGATAAAAACTTTGCCACTGCCAACGTTCTAGCTTTTGTCCGGTCTTCCAGTAGGAACCTGACATAGTGAGCCTCTGATTTTCCCGGGAAAGTCACCAGCAAGGGTAGTATCAGTTCAGCCCTGGCCTGCTCATACTTCGCACAATGCAACAAAATATGATTTATGGAATTGATGTCTTGAGCACACGAGCAAAGTCTGTCCTGGTAGGGAACTCCTCTCAACCTACCATCCAGCACTGCAGAGGGGAAGACATTTAGTCTGGCTTTGGTGAAAAGCCTTCGATACTTAGGTACTGTCAGGTTTTTGATGTAAGATGTTAACTCAAAGACATACCCATATTGAACTCCTGCTGCCAGCGGACTACAGACTGCGTGTGATCGAGATCGCAAGTCACTGTGTGCATTGTCCCATAATCTTTGCTTTAAAACCTTTTGGGTGCCTTCATAACCCAGGTAATACAGTTGGGGGGGGGGGGAGACCAGTAGAGGTGGCTTTTTTAGTAATGGTTTTCTGCCATTTGCTGACAAATTCCTCATTGGTCAAATGTTGGTACAGACCCTTCCCTAGATTAAACACTGAAATCCTGAGCCAATGTTTTAGGGCAGCCCACCACGCTCTAGCTGAAATTGGGCATTCACCAGCTTCCAACAGAAGTACGGAGTTGGGGACGCAGTTAGGTACCTGCAGCAGAGATCGTATAAATTTTGCCTGAAAGCCATCTAGCTTTGGCAGGTCCCCATTATGCCAGACATTTGCTGCATACAGGAGTTGGGAAACGGGCTTTGCGTTGAAAACCCTTAAGGCTGCTGGAACATATTTGCCGCCCTTTGTGAAGAAGAATCTATATATGGCTAGCTTTGTAATCTCCGCCTTTTGAAGGGAGGTTTGCCAATGGTGCTTCCAAGATCCTGTATGATGGAATGTGAGCCCTAGGTAACTGAAGTATTTTACCTGTTCAAGGTTATGGCCATCCAGCACCCATTTAGACTGGGAGAAACACCCCCCCCCCCCCCGATTTAAAGTTTGACAGCTACAGCATATCGATCCCATAAACCATCTTTTCTTAACTGCAGTATACTTAATAACTAGACTCCATTGTTTGCTTCACAATGATTAGATGCAGTAGGAAACTGATTTAAAGAAGCCATGATGTCATCACCAAAGCTGTGCATGGACACACACTGGCCGCCTGTGGGCAACATGCTAAGCCATGGTTTAACATTCTGGGAATAAACCTTGGTGCACCTTGTGCTCCCACATGCCTTCCTCTCTCTCTTCCACCATTGCAGCCACAAGGGGGTGTTTGGAAGCTTTTGCTTAAATTTCATAGCCATTTTCTCTCTTTTTCAAAATTTTATTTATGCATTTTCAAAATTTCAATACATACAACTTACAGTTATCTTTAATTATCCCATATCCCCTGACTTCCCCACCCATCCCTCCATGGCTTCCTATTTGTTTCTTGTTGAGCTGCATATTCTTTAATACCACCCAATTTAATTCTATACAATATTCTAATTGTTTTTAACTGCTGCTTATAGGTCTAGCCCTACATGGAAGTTTATTTGACTATTATATTTCTTTAAATATTCTCCAAAGTGTTTCCACTCCTCACGTATATGTGACTCATCTTGATTTCTTATCTTCCCTGTCATAATTGCTCACTCCATACATTCGATTAACTTATTTTGCCAGTCCTCTTTTGTAGGGATTCCTTTGTCCTTCCACTTTTGTGCATAGATTATTCTAGCTGCTGTAGCTGCGTAGAGAAAAAAACAAAGTTCCCTCTTAGGAATTTCACCATCTGTTATACCCAGTAGGAAAATCTCTATTCTGGGGGGAAATGTCAGCCTTAACATCTTTTTAAATTCTACATAAATCATTTCCCAATATTCTTTAGCTTGTTTACATGACCACCACATATGCATGAAGGTCCCCTGTATCTTTTGGCATTTCCAACATAGTTTTGATTATTTTTTATACATTATCACAAGTTTGCTCAGAAACCCGTTCATAGCCATTTTCTCAACATGGTTGGTTCAGTTTTCTTTCCAGCAGCTTGCAAATGTTGTTCTTGTAGCGACCAGAAGATTTTCTTGCACCTGTTTTACAGAGATTTATAACTGTCCAGTATGTTATATAGCTCTGAATATCTATTTTTGTAGCACTCTCTTAATTCAAACCATCCACCAATTGGGATCCCTGTATTAATAAAAAATTCCAAACGCCCTCTTTCAATTTTACATTGCATATATGTTTCTCATTTCTATACATGAATTCTTTCTCCCAACACCCTATCAATGCCATGCAAGATGATTTTTGAACACATTTTTGCCTCAGCCTTGAAATTTTTTCAGGGAATGAAGTTTGTATAAATGTTGTATCTTCTTTTTTGAGAATTCAATAAATGCTGCATTTGGAGATATTGATAAAAGGAGATAAACTTAAATGTCATATTTATTATTAAAGTACTATGGTTTTAAACATACCACCATGTACAATTCATTCAAACAATTTATACCTCACTCTTTAGAACTTTTTCTGACAATTTTAGAACCAAAATTCCTCAAAAAGAAAAATAATATTCTTCCTAAATTTTAGAAATACTGATTTGGTAAATAAAATACAATGGACTAGGGCAGCGTTACTCAACCTGTGGGTTCCCAGATGTTGTTGAACTACAACTCCCATCACCCCTAGCTAGCAAGGCCAGAGCTCAGGGATGATGGGAGTTGTAGTCCAACAACATCTGGGGATCCACAGGTTGAGAACCGCTGGACTAGGGGAAGCAAGGGACTTAACTGCAGCAAATCACAAATCTGCTCTGCAAGGCAACACTCTTCCTGCTTTGAATGGGAAACCCAGCCTGTCCCACACTTTCTCTGGAACAGTCCGGTTGGTAAGGCCAATGACTTCTCATCCTCCTAGGATTTCTGCTCTTGCCTTCCCCACATTCTCCTCCACTTTTCTTTTTTGTGTGGCAAATATTGTTTAATAACACTTGTACTAGCACTCAAAGTGCTCAGGGTGGTATGCACCTGGACATGTCTCACTCTATACCTCCGAACAGTCCTTCACTTGAGTGGCTGGCTCCACGTCTGGGAAACCATCCCTGGCCAATGCTGACTGGGGATCATTGGAGTTCTAGTTCAGCAACATCTGGAGGCCCACAACTTGTCTAGTTCAATGGATATGCTCCATCCACTACACACTTCAAATATATTTATCTGAGAGCCAATAAACTGAAACTCAATCCAGATAAGACAAAGGCACTGTGAGTAAGAGGTCCTCTAGACTGGATGGATGGGAGATCCCCTGCTCTGGATGGGGTTACACTCCCTCTGAAAGAGCGGGTACATAGCTTGGGGGTTCTGCTGGATCCTTTGCTGTCACTTGAGGCTCAGGTAGTCTCAGTGGCCTGGAGTGCCTTCCATTAGCTTCAGCTGGTGGCCTAGCTATGCCCCTATCTGGACAGGGATGACTCTGTTGCCTGCTTTGTTAACCTCTAGGTTAGATTACTGCAATGCATTATAGGTAGGGCTGCCTCTGAAGATTGTATATCGTTAGGTACCAGGCGAAAATGTTCCTCTTCAACCAAGCCTTTGACTGATTAATATTCTGCAGCCTTTTAAATGTGTTGGTGTTTTTTTTGAGGGGGGGGAGCTATTGGTTTGTTGTTTTCGTTTTAACTATTTATTTGTGTTTTTAACTTGTACTTTTATCTTGTGAACTGCCCTGAGATCGTTCGGTGAAGGGCTGTATATAAATCAAATAAATAAATAAAATACTTCTGGATCCATTGCTGTTGCTTGAGGCCCAGGTGGCCTCAGTGGAACGGAGTGCTTTCCATCCGCTTCAAATCGTGGCCCTGCTGTGCCCCTTTCTGGACAGGGACAGCCTAACTACTGTTGTCTATGCTCCAGTAGTTTGGATTCCTACAACATGTTATAGTTTCTGAGCCCAATTCAAAGTGCTGGTTTTCCAGCAGCTCTGGATCACAGTACAGTGGTACCTCGGGTTAAGAACTTAATACGTTCTGGAGGTCCGTTCTTAACCTCAAACTGTACTTAACCTGAAGCAGCACTTTAGCTAATGGGGCCTCCTGCTGGTGCCGCGCCGCCGCTGCCCAATTTCTGTTCTCATCTTGAAGCAAAGTTCTTAACCCAAGGTACTATTTCTGGGCTAGCGGAGTCTGTAACCTGAAGCGTATGTAACCCAAGGTACCACTGTACCTCAAGGACTGCCTCTCCCCATCAACGGAGGCCCTTCTTTGTGTGCCCCCTCCATGTGAGGTCTGGAGGGTGGCAACACAAGAATGGGCCTTTTCTGTGGTGGCTCCTTGTTTGCAGAATGCTTTCTCCAGGAAGGCTCATCTAGTGCTTTCACTACATATCTTTAGGGGCCAGGCAAAAACATTTTTCTGTAATCAGGCTTTTGGCTGATTAAACATTCTATGGTCTTTTAAATTTGATTGTGAGAGAGGGTTTATTGGTTTGTTTATGCTTTTGTTGTATTTTGCTTTCCAATTTTGTATTTTTATGTTGTGAACCACGCTGTGATCTTTGGATGAATGGCAGTATACAAATTTTAAAAACAACAACAGCCACAACAACAACATAATTACTGCCACTCCATGTTCCTTCTGGAAGGAGGTTAGGATGTAAATTTAATTAATAAATAAATAAATGCAATAATAACTCAAAGGGGGCTTTTTTACAATCAAGCAGTGTATAAATTTTATGAAATTGATAATACATAAATGATAATTTAGTAACAAATTAATTAATTAGAAAAATAGCCTCCTTAAAAAACAACTTGCCCATTTGCATTAGATACAAACTGGAAGGAAAATGTGGCCAAGTCCCAAGTGCTGGCAAAGTCCAGGCTCCCAGTTGGAGAAGCAGCAAGGAACCCAGAACAGAGGGAGCAGCAAGTCGGCCACGGAAGGCCTGGTAGCTTGCCTCAGTGATGAGCTGCACATGTGAGAGAAGGTGGGGAGTGGCATGAGGTGACTCTGCAACTCACCTGAGCCCAGGACCAGGAGGATTCTGGTCTGGTGCAAGTGTCCCTCTGAGTGAGCAGCTGTGGTGGCAGAAGTAGCGCCTGACCCACAGGGCTCCTGGCAGACATTTTGCCCTTACTTTCTTTTAGGTGTAAACTGTATCATTAGACTAAAATGCCATGAAGATTTTTCCCAATCTATGTTTATGAAACATTTTGCCAAGCAAATGTACTCGTGGAGTCCCTAGCCCTGGAACTGTTTGAGATTTGATTAATACAGTATCTGTTGGAACAATTGGTCTGGAGTTGAAAATGGAGGGTAGACAAGGTGGCTATTTTTCCTTTTCTGGTCTGCAACTGCTTGCATAAAGTGTTCTGCGCTGCAAAGTGTAATACACTGGTGGCATTTCTTAACATTTAGTATGAGCAAAAAAGAGAAGTCCCTTGCAATCATAATGATGACCCCTTGATGTTAGCAAGGTTTCCCAGCAGCTCCACAAATGGTTGTGTTTATTGCTTTGAATATAAAACCACATTCTGCCATTTTCTCTATGTATCTTTTCTTCTTCCTCACTTTGCCTAGATTCCAGAACTCACTATCACCACCAACTCCCCAGAAAAGAAGGAACCTTCTAAAGACAATCTTGTGGATTTCACCGATTCCCCACAGGCACTTGCTTTCAAGGTCCATCCCTCATCTCATGAGGAGCTGAAAGTGCCCTGGGGCTTGGTACTGGGAGCCGAAACCCTTCCCTTAGGGCAGTGGGATGTGCCTGAGTTCAGCAAGTGTGACCTCACTACAGAGGGCTCTTTCATGGAGGAATGCATGGAGGAGCAATTGAGAAGGTACCAGGAGTTGCCCTACCGCTTGGAGGAAGATGCCATAGACCGGGAGCTGGAGCAGCTTTATCTGTCCCACTTGAGCCGGCTCCGAGCAGAGGAGCTTGGAGGAAGAGAGGAGTGGGCTGAGGAAGGTTCAGGCAATCCTAGCAGCCCTGCACCGTCTCTCATTGCCTTGCGGCAGAGTGTCTTGACTGACCGTGACCTGATAGTCAACTGGACAGGCCCCGAGAGAGCACTGAACAGCTCCCTGGCAGAGGAGATCATGCTGCACTATGCCAAGCAGCGTGGTGATGACTCCAGGGACAGTGAGGAGGAAGGATGCACGCCAGGGTATGCAACAATGGCACCATCTGAGTTGGTAGGACCAGGTCGTGATAGTCCACCTGTCCTACTAGAAGGCTGCTTTCTAAACCACCTGGAAGAGGGAAATGTCCAACGTGGCTTATCTAAGGACTCTGACTCTCCTGTCAGCTTGAGAGTGGTGTCACCCAACACCTCACGACCTGCCACTCAGGAGGCCATGGTGATGCCTCTGGTAGTCCCAGCCCGGACACTAGTGCCCCTTCCACAGCGGTCCACAGATCTGCTGTCCAGCCCTCTTGGTGCCCATGGACAGAAAAAGAGTCAGGGCTTCTTGATAGGGCAAGGTAGCCTTTGGTTGGGTGAGGGGCTTAATGTCTACAAGCCTCCTGAAGCCAGTCCTGGTTCTCACAGTGAACTTGAAAAGATCTTGACACGGTCCCTGCGGTTTCTCAGCCTCTTTGTCTTCCTGCCTGTGGTCTTCAGCAGCTGCATGCCCCTCGTAGCCATTATGCTTTACCTCCTCCTGGACTGGTTCTCATAGTTTGGCATCTCTCTCTGTGAGGTGTTGGAAGGCCCGTAAGAGGACTGTCTGCAGCTTGGCTCCATTCCTGTTTTCTTCTGAACAACCATGGTTTGATTGAGAGAAAGAGAGGGCAAGTCAAGTCCTCCTGAGAAATCATGGCATGTCTTAGTTGCGGCTGCTTATAATTTTCCAAAGTTTAGTGCACTTTTCTTTCTTTTTGTTTTGTGAAATCATTTGAGGATGATTTTTAAATGCATTATTTACAACCACCCATGAGAAAATTCCGAGGGCTAGCTCTAAAAGATAGCATGGCTGGACACCCCATGAGTAGCAAAGAGCCTCCCATCTCCACAACATATTGTTTTCCCTTGGCATGAAACTCCCAAGAAGGGCAAAAGTAATGTGAGAAAATTCTTGGGTCGCCCACCCCTGCCACTTGAAAGATAAAGGGACCAACTAAGGCTGCCTTGCCCAAAGGCCTGTCAAATGCTAGATCCATTTCTGTGTGGTAATGTTTCTAATTTTTGTCAGATATGAATTTGCAGGAGGCATCTATTTGCAGGAGGAAAGCATTGCATTTTTCTTCCCTGGAAATAAATTTCCTTGTTGGGGTTGGCAGACTTTAATCTGAATTTTTAAGCCTTCTCCTTTATGGTGTTTGGCTTTCAAAGATTGAAATACCAAGCATACATACCTGGCAGGAGTAAGTCCCGTTATTTAACAGGAGAAAGTATACAATTGCACTTTTATACTTAAGAGATGCACTATGAACAGGTTTCAACTTGTTCCTTGTTTTGTTGGGGGGGGGACTTATTGAAAATAAGCATTCACATTTTTAAAGTCTAATTTAAATTTACCCATGTCAGATTTTTTTAAAGGGCCCTTTCTTATTTAAATCATTTTTAAAATGAATTCAGTGTATGCCTCCTCTGAGCATAATACTGCAGAGTATGGCAACTAGATTTCTGGGCAGGCTAAATCTTGGAGGAATCGTTGGTTAAGTACCATTCAGAGTCCTTTTAGTAGAAAAGATTAATAATAATAATAATAATAATATTGTCCCTTTAAACTTGCCCTTGGCCACCCATATGTGAGGGAAAAAAAGGCGAATGGAGCAGAAATAACCTAGCTGCCTCAGTTTCTAGAATGCTTTTTTCAAGGGCTAAAAATAAAACAAACATACAATATATGAAGAAAATATTTGAGTTGAAGTTACTCCACTCCTGCTTAATCCTGAACCATAGAGGAAGTTTTTATAGCTCTTCCAGAAAGTATATATGCTTGGACTTTTGACAGATTATGGCACCCAGTATAGCAATGTTATTACTTCAGTTTAAAAATAACAAGAAAATGTCCAAACTTGCCCTCAAAAAAACCCTAGAATATTTGTATTCTTGGGAGCGAGGAAAATTGTAAATATTATTTTTCAAAATACCTTAGCATAGTCCAGCAAGACATTCTCCTGTGCAAATGCCAGTGAAATTTAAAAAAGCTTTTGTATTCTTCTTTTTCATTTCACTGAAGTTTCTGCAGGTGAACCTGGATTGAGCCCTCAGTTCCCATAAACTGGCATTCCTGTTTTCAAAAAGGCAAACATCAAGATGCTTTCCATTTCAAACAAGATGGGAACCTTTTCAGTGTTCTGTCCACCAAACCCCTGCAGAATTCAGCCGCTGCCATTCCAGATGGCTTGTCTAAAAGGTGCTGCAGACACATTTCCTTCATGCCACAAGCCTGAGCCACACCCGTTTCTTAATGAGATCCTCCAGACTCTGCTTTAAGGACTCCTTTCTGCTCATGGATCTACCCTTGCTTCTCTGCCACCAGCAGGGTCCAGTATAGAGGACTACAGGAAAGCTGCCCTAAACAAATGGCCCCCTATTTATTTTTGTACCTGGTGGGAAATCCTGACCTTTTCTACCATAGAACTAACCCTAAGATAGAGAGTTTATTTATTAACCACTAGCAGTGCAAGTCCAGAGTGCTGGGGGTTGAAGATGAAAATAATTTATTATTCTATATCAGTGTATGTTTCTGCAGCAAAACAGTAGATTGAAAACACTGTCTTCATGTGCAATAGGCTAAACTGGCATTGAACCTGCCATGAAAAGACAAGCCACTTTCATGCTGCTAAACATGCTTCATTACTTCTCTTGAATGTTGTACTCTCAACAGCTGCTGTGATATAGTTTGTGAGGCCTTGTGGAGGAAGAGGGAGGTGTTTGTGGGGGTTCTGAGGCCACTTCCCTCTGCTGATCCAAACTTGGCCATGCTTTCTCATCCACTGGCAAATATTCTCATGTAGGGAATGTAGGTATTTTTGGAAGGTGGAAGGTGGAATGTTGCTTGTGCTTCGTGAATGGAGATTGGAGTCCAGTCCTGATTTTACAGTCATCAGTGGAAAAATCTGTATTCACCAAACAGAAGCTAAGTTCAGAATGTAACTAACAGCTACAGCACTCTGTGTGTGTGTGTGTGTGTGTGTGCGTGTGCGTGTGCGTGCGCGCGCATATATATCTTTGTTCAGTTGTCCCATGGTTATGGTCTTTGTCCTTCCCAGGGGTGTAGGAAGGGGAGGCGGTGGGGGACGGTCCGCCCCAGGTGCTCTCACTGAGGGGGGTGACACTTGGCGCGCCACCCGCCTGCCCACGAGTCCCAAGCCTACCCCAAGCTGTTGGGGTGAGGCGGGGAGCTGCGCCGCTTTGCCAGCAACATTCCCCCCTTCCCCCTTCATTTTGACAGCTTGGGGGAGGCTTGGGAGTTGTGGGCGGGCGGCGGGCCAAATGTCCGCCATGGGCAGCTCGCTCTGCCCCCACAAGCGGTTTGCTCCGTCCCTGGCTGCAGGGCACACGCGCCACTCTGGGCACCCAAGCGGCTATCCTGCGCCTGGGAGGGCACCCTCTGCGCCACGCCCCCCTCAGGAGCACACCCACCCTGGGCAGCGCGGGCATATGCTCCACCGCTAGTCCTTCCAACACTGGTTTCTCTTCTGCCTTAGCCAATCTGTCTGCTTCCCCTAATGGAGACCTACAATATGTCTGAAGACACCAGTTCCACCTCACAACAGTATTTGAAGTCTTTTGAGCCACCCACCTGGCTGTAATGCATGTGTCACTTCCATTCCACACATCTGCAGAAGCATTAGGTAAAGCCAGAGGCATTCTTGCAATGAGGCAAGGTGAGGTGGCTGCTTCAGGTGGCAGATTTTTGGGCAGCGTTGAGGGTTGTACAGTGGGAGGCAGACAGATTTGAGCTTATAGTGTATAATCCAACAGGTAGAACTCCACACAAGGGTATCACTTCAGGAGAACTTCCCTGTGGAATGTGTCCCATGTTAATTTATAGTGAGGGAGGAAGTACCTTTGAATTTTTCTGTATTAGACACCAAAACGTCTTGCAACTGTCTAGGTGAAAACTAAGGCTAGTTCTCATGTTACAGTGCAAAGCATGCTAGGCTGCCTCGGTTTTTTAAAACCATTTTTAGGCCAGGTTCTTACTCAGAACTGCATCTGGGTTGTTCCATTTTAGACTTCAGTTACATGTAGGACTTACATGATTGAATGCCCCTCTGTCTAAAACTGCACATAGAAAACTAGCACATAATAACATTTTTCCTTACATGCCAGTTTCCTTGTGCAGAGATTTTTTAAAATTTTGTTTGAAGAAATGCTTGGTTATAAATGTTCTCACTTGCAGCCTGATGTAGGTGCAGCTTAGGCGCTGGTTTACTACCTCAGTAAGAACCTGGGTCTGAGTGTGTTAACAACAGCAAAAAAGCGTGGAATCACATTCATACATGGAACTGCTGCCTCACTTCGCTTCTGCCAGTTCCCATGTGCTGTCTATAACCCCTCACCAACTAAGTAGTCAGTGGTTTCTGCTCTCTGAACGGCATTAATAATAATCAACCCAGCAGGAACTGTATAAAGTTTCAGATAACCTTTACCATGCATATCAAGAATGTCCTGGAAAGTGTGCATATTAAAACAGGTTAACTTGTTATTAATTGGCACCCTTGTGCCTTGTCTGTAATGTGTGAACTAGCTGTAACTGGCATTGACCTCTTCTGGATCCTGAAATGTACAGGTTGGAAACAACAAGCACAGAAAAGCAAGCCTCAAATTATTGAGGGAGGCAGTTCCTTCTGTGTGTGTTCAAGGGATCATTTCATCCTCAGAACAACCCTCTGAAGGTAGAGGCCAGTACTTGCCCAAGGCCATCCAGTGAGTAGGGGTTAATTTGGACTTCTCAAGTGGAAATCCAACAATCATAGATTCTTAAGATTTGGAAACGACCCCAAGGGTCATCTAGTTCAGCCCCCTGCAATGCAGGAATCTCAGCTGAAGCATCCATGACAGATGGCCATCCAACCTCTGCTTAAAACCCTCCAAGGAAGGAGAGTCCACCACCTCTTGTGGGAGTCTGTTCCAAACAGCTCTTACTGTCATAAAGTTTTTTCCAAATGTTAGTCACAATCTCCTTTCTTGTAACTTGAAGCCATTGCCTCAAGTCCTACCCACAAAAGCACGAGAAAACAAGCATGCTCTCTCTTCCATATGACAGCCCTTAAGATATTGGGAAATGGCTATCATATCTCCTCTCAGTTTCCTCTTGCCCAGCCTAAACATACCCAACTCCCTCAACCATTCCTCATAAGGCTTTGTTTCCAGACTGCACGTTCCAGTTTGTCAACATCGTTCTTAAATTATGGTGCCCAGAATTGGACACAGTATTCCAGGTGTGGTCTGACCAAGGCAGAATAGAGTGGTACTATTACTTCCCTTGATTTGGACACTATACTTCTGTTGATGCAGCCTAGAATAGCATTAGCTTTTTTTGCTGCTGCATCACACTGTTGCCTCATGTTAAGCTTGTGGTGCAGTAAGACCTCTAGATCCTTTTTGCATGCACTGCTAGTAAGTCCATCCTATATTTGTGCATCTGGTTCTTCCTGCCTAAGTGCAGAACCTTACATTTGTCCCTAATGAAATTCATTTTGTTAGCTTGCGCCCAGTTCTCCAGTCTGTTAAGGTCATTTTGAATTCTGATTGTGCCTTCTGCAGCACTAGCTACCCCTCCCAGTTTGGTGTTATCTGCAAATTTGAATTTGCAGATTTCAGTTCCTTATCCAAGTCATTTATAAGGACGTTGAACAACAACCAGCTCAGGACAGAACGCTATGGCACCCCACTTGTCACTTTTTTTCAGGATGACAACAGTATTACTGTTGCTTTGGCTCCCTTTGCTAGAAGAATGTTTTCTCATCCAACTAGGGAGAATAATGTGGTGACATAGAGATGGACAAAGGTACACACATACAACATGTTTCTGAAGGCACATGAAGCTACCACCTTCTTGAAGCTAAGCGGATCTTAGGTCTGGTCAGTGGCTGGATGAGTGACCACCTGGGAATTACATCTATGCCCTTTTGGCTTCCATGGTGGAAGAAAGGTGGAGTATAAATGTAAGAAGATAATCAATCCATATCGGATGAGCTAGGAAGAACTGATAATATTTGTTGTCGCCTGTCAGTAGGATTGCAGGGAAGTGTGTCAGGGCCTGGATGCTGTGCTTATTTTGAGATGGGGCTCACACCAAGCACTGTGAGAGCTGCTAGTCTGGTGGATGATAGTGTAAACTGGGAAGTCCAAATCTCACCTCAGCTACTATAATTAGTTATTAAATTCATATACCACCCTTCATCCATCGATCTCAGGGTGGTTCACAATATAAAAATATAAGATAAAAACACAAAATACACAATAAAACAAAACACAGACACACAAACACATTACTGAGATTATATACACGAAGTTATTTGAGCATGCAGAAAAAGCAGTATTTTAAAACTATGGTCCCAATCTATTTAAAACTAGTTGCCCTTATTGAAATTGAACCACAACTAACTTGACCCATTTATTTCCATGGGGCTTGCAAGTAACTAGTGAATTTAATCATGGTCTAAGTATTAAGAGCTAGAGCAATTGCGTATGCTGGGAAGACTAGTCCAAATCTCATTTTAGCTGTAAATTTGCTAGATGGCCTTAGGCAAGTCATAACCTCTCAACCTTAGCCCTCTATCTGGTATATGGGGATAATAATTTGACCCTGCAAGGTTGTTGTAAGAATTGCTGAGAATATGTAAGGGATTACTTTAAACATCCATCTGAATGTTTATATAAATACTACATTAAGATGAGGTATAAATAAAATTGTAATTATTTTCTTGGTTCTCAAATTTTATTGCAAAGCAAGACTGGCACTAATATTACCACGTTAGATAGTGTTCATTTGGCTTCTGGGTTGTTTTAAAATTGTTGTTAGGTTATACCTTTCTGCCAAGAGTCTGATCTAATAGGGTAAGGGGGTACTTTCCTGGTCACCTTGTGGCTGGTTTGTCAGTCTGTGCTGACTTCTTCCCATGGTGGAGCAATGAGTCCTGCATATCAGTCTGCCATTATTGTAAATTGCCCGTTGCATATGTAAAATGTATTGTAAAGAGTTGCACTCAATGTGTGAAAGCTAGCAATAGGTACTTACAGGACTGATTTGCTGTGATCAGATTCAATCCATGCAGTGTGAAAATGGTTGCACTGTTTGAATTAAGACTTAGAGATGAACTCTTGTGCATGGGTCCTTGAGCCTGAGCTATCAGAAGACTCAAGAGAAGTGGCAATGGTATTGCCTCAAAACAGTGTTGCATAGTGACACACATTAATTGATAAAACCCCAGCATTCTTCCCTCAACTTTCCATCCCCGAGCCTTATTTCTTTCAAGTATTTTCTCAACCACAAACTTCTGCTGTGGGAGCAGATCTCTGTAGAGACCAAGAACATGGAGGATGGTTGGGTGTCGTTTTTTCTGTTGAGTACCTGTTGCCCTTTGTCACTAGCTATGGAGCAAAGGAAAGCATGGACCATGTTTTTTCAGGGGTGTGTGTGAGAGAGAGAGTGTGTACTGTATGTACATCAACTGAGCTGTGCCTGAATTGAAAGCACTAATAAAAACATCCTGACCACAGCATGTGTCCCTGGCAATTTTTTGGGTTGGTATGGGTGTTTGCTGAACTGCCATCCGTACTGTGACCTTATGCAAGCTTCAGTGTCAACTGAAAGGCATACATTCTTCTTCAGGTAGAGGAGAATTGCTCCAGATTTGTAGCTGCTGCCTCCCTCACTGCCCTGTTTCCTTGCATCAGTGACCCAATTAGCAAGTTGAAGAGAAAGTATCATCTTCAAGAATGATAATAGATTTGCATTGAATTTATGCCAGTTTAACCAACATGAGTCTCTCATGAGACTTTTTTTGTTGCTAAAGATTCCCAGCCTCCCTCACAGGGCTAGAGTTCACTGGGGAAGACTGCCCAGTCAAGGTTTGAGAGTCTAGCATAGACATAAAGGAACATGTCTCCTGAAGTCAATGATGTTCTATCAGCCCAGTCATCTGTGCCTGAAAGTACCACGATGCTGTTTTGAATTGTACCTCTTATTGTCACCAAAATTGGGAGGACAAAGCCATTCTATCAACAGGGGGAGGGAACCTCACTGATATCAAAAAGCCATGGCAATCTATTGCCTGAGAGATTTCCATGCACATCCGTAAGAACATAAGAAGATCCCTGCTGGGTCAGACCAAAAGCTGCCTATATACATTAGCTTAGAAACCTGTTTCCCACAGTGGGCAGAAACCCACAAGCAGGACATCAGGGCAACTTGTGTTCACCAGCAAGTGACATTCATAAGTGTTCTGCCTCATACTGGTGGTAGTGCATAGCCACCAACAGCTTTATCCTCCATGGTATAATCCTGCTTTAAAGCCACCCATGTTGGCAGCCATCACTGCTACATCTTGTGGTATAAAAGTTCAGCACTTTGGAAGTTATTTTGAGCACCAGGAGTCAGTTACAGAATAAGTGAAACAATGTGGACAAGAGTGCCTTTGAGCATGTGTAGGGTGCTTTTATCAGTTTTATATGATGTAGAACTTGAACTTCCAAGTCAGTCCCTGTGGCTTTCAAATAGCATGTTTTGGCACCTGTCATTTCACTCTGAAAGAGGCTTCATCCACTCCAACTGAGACTAAAGAAGAAATCTTAAAACTAGCATTTTAGTGAGATTTTTTGCTTGATCTGTTTTCAAGAAAAAGCTGCAAGTATAGGAGAATTTTAGGGTGAGAGAATATACAGCTGTATAATCAGAGTGGAGGTCCTTCAATTTTATTGTACAGAAGACACCTGTTCTGGTCTCCTGGTTCTTTGCAGCCCAGCATATTTTCTTACTTTGCAATAGGCCATTAGCAAACAGCAGCTCTTTAGACCAAATCCTGCTCCCTGACTGATGCCACCTGCTTCCCCCCAAAATTCCCAATGGCACAGTTTAAGTGCTGAACTCGTGTCTGGTTCTGGTAATGAACTAAATCTGGGCCAGTCAACTGAAGTGCAGTATCTCTGGCTTATCTAGACAGAGCAAGCCCTTCTGGGTCAGAACATAGGCCTCTCCAGCTTCCGCTTTCCCACAGTAGTCAGCTAAAGGCTTCTGGAAAACCCACACTATAAACACAATAGCTGTCTTTCACTGTTGTTCCCCAGAAATTGGACACTAATTATTCTTTCTGACAATTCAACATGGTAGTATCTGGATCCTCTTATTAACTCTGCTATTCCTGATGTTATGGAGGCTTTGTTGTCCTTTGCACACCAGGTAAAGATCATTTCTGTTAATCTTTTTTTTTAAAAAAAATAATAATATTTATTGCTTTTATACCTTACAAAAAGAAAAAAAAGAGAAAAGAAAAAAAAAAGCAAAAGAGAAAACAATACAATACAATATATAAACAATATAAAACGCAACATTAACATTAACACATTAAACAAAACAAAAGCAAAAACAATTCAAAAAAACACATATCATACCATCTCAATATCCTCTCTTTCATTCCCTTGTTTCATCGACCTCCTCTCACCTCCCTTTTTTGTATTCCATTTCTATTAATTGTTTCAGCAAATCCTTTCCATCTTTCTCTATTTTCTGTCATGTAATTATCTTAACATATTTTAACCTTATTTTCCATTAATACTATAATACTTATTTATACTTAATTCCTTAAAATATTTCTACTAAAGCCGTATCAGTCCTTCCAACATTTTTCTAACACTCATTAATTTTACATTATTTCCATATATAGATTTTAAACTTTTTCCAATATTCTTCCACCGTCTCTTCTCCCTGGTCTCGGGTTCTGCCAGTCATTTCCGTCAATTCCATATAGCCCATCAACCTGGTGATCTTCTGTCCGAGGCTCTTAACTCTTTTCCAAGTCCCTTCTGCAAGTCTTCTTCATGTTTATACATGTACTTTACTTTGTCTTCTCCTGATCTTGTTCTTATTTTCCTTCCTTTGATGCTGAAAAGTAGATCTCTCGGAAATTCCCATCTAGCAATGTTTTTATTCCTTCTTGACAAATCAGCCAAATCTCCATAGTTAGAACTGAAATTCAAAAGATATTTCCAGTCGTGTTTCAAAGTTCCTCCAAGTCTGGCAGTCCCCACAACTCCAGTCTCCTTCTGACCCAAGTCCAGGTCCCAAAGGTCAATCTCCAGTCCAAGCGGGGCTCCAATCCTAAAAAACTGACTTTCTCTAAATTCAGTCTCGGAAGGCATCAACTTATAATCATCAAATTGCAACTGTAAGGCTGGAGCTCTCTCCGTCACCACTTGTGCCGCTTTAGGTTCCACAGCAAAAACTTTCTCCCCCGCCTTCTCCTCAATTTGCCATGTCAAAATAGATCCCTGTATCGATTCCTGAATAATTTCTGTATTAATGTTGACTTTTTGTGCCAAATTAGTCACTTTTTGTTCCAAGTTATCAATTTTTATAGTCCTCGCATCTGTCTTCTTATAAAGCTGTTCCAGTGAATCATTAATCTTACAAAACGCAACCACTAAGGCTTCTTCTGTCAACATTCTTAACAATTCAAGGTCAATCCCAGATTCTCACAGCTTTATCTTACAGGTGGAAAATTCCCCCAGCTCAGCTCTTGTAACAATTTCAAAGGCTTCCTCTGGGGGAAACAATTTCTATTTGTATCAATCCTTTTAAGCACAGTTCAAACAATAAAGTTAGTTTCAATTTTCAGTTACTTTTACTCCTTTTTAAACGCAGAAGGAGACAATGGAAACAATGTATTTCTCTTCTTTAACTTACTGTCAGCAGACGATCTATTCACAGTCAATGAGCATATCCGAAACTTCAATCTTTACTAGCAGCCCGTTTCCAGGTTCAGAGCGGTGGTAATTTGACTTTCTTCACTCTCTCCTGCAGGCTTACACGATCTTAAATTTCCCCCCTCTTCTCCTGCTTCCAAGGGGGGTTTGATGGTTTAACCGATGGAAGTTTAATCCTTTATGTGAGACTTTCCAAGGCTTTAGCTTGCAGCCTCTTTGCTTCAATCTATTTACAAAAAGGGGAGGCGGACTTCCTGTTTGAAACCTCCCCGTTTCGGTGCCAAATTAAGACGTTTAAAAATCCAATTTTCCGTTCTGCTCACGGGTAGTTGTTTTCAGATCAAATTGTCTACAAGAAAAAGTCAGCGCTCTCCTGCAACAGCAATGCGGCTTCACTCCGTGAAAGAAGCAGTCGATTTGAAGCACCGCGCCACTCACCCCACGTCGCTCCGGATCCCCGAAACCGGGTTTCCCTGCGAGTAGGGGAGGCGCAAAAGGTGCCAGCCGAATCCCACGTCCACAAGCTTCTCCTGCCTGTGGTTTTAGTGGGTCTCCGCCTTCGCCGTGGCGGCCAGACCCTGATTTCCATGGAGCGGATTCCTCCCGATCAGAGGAATTCCTCCATTGCTGGAGGCGCTAACCCGGAAGTCCATTTCTGTTAATCTTACTAAAATCTGAGAGAGATTTTATTCAATGCTTCCCATTTTATTCATAATGTTACAGTAGTAATGCATTTTACCTTAACTGACTTATTCTTGTTAGTAACCTAGAGAATATTTTATATTGAACAGTGGTATATACATTTATTAAATAAAAAAATTCCTAGCAGGACCAGCCAAAGACATCTCACTGCCTGAGGCAGGTCAGCAAAGGGCTCCCCACCATTACACACCCATGGCTAAAGTGCATAATACCCAAGGCCAGCTGAATTATTTCGGCACATCTTTGATTTTTTTTAGAGAGGTACATGTACAAATATACATATAAAACCATAACAAATATGAAAAGAACATGTTGGCTGTATAAAACAAATTGTCAATAAATGGAAAGAGATCTACTGTTGTTAATTCTCATTATTGGAAGTAACCACATTGCTGCTTGGGATGCTGGTGGCCTAGGGGGACTAAGAGATTTAGTAATATAATTAATGAATGGAAACCATGTAACATCAAAATTATCCCATTTTGCTTTACCCTCAATAACTTGTGTATGTTGGGTCAAGGGTTCAAATTACACTATGTCCCAAATGTTTTGTACTATCCCTCCTTTGTGGACACAAAACCCCTCCTTCCAATGTCTAGCTGTAGCCAGTAACATCACTAATAATTCTCTATATACTCAGGTCCTGCTATCCAAACTCTGAATTCTCAGGAAATTGTTTGTTAGGTGAGCATTCGCATAACGGGGCAATGATTTCTAGTGGTTCCTATGGGGAAATTTCAAATGCATTCCCAAACACAGAATTCTGACCCCAAAATGGCAAAATCCCACTCCAACCAACCAACCAACCAACCAACCATCTAGGAAATCCTGTTGAAACCTTGCAAAAGGCAAAAAGGAAGGAAGGAATGCTTTCTTATTTGTCAGGTAGATCCCCCTCTCTACCAACATGGTTTCTGGTGAAACAGCTGCTGCGGACCAGCAAAACACAAAAATAAAGGCTTAGTTAAGGCTGCTTGTTTGTTTACTGTACTACACACAAGTCTGGCTGTTTGGATATTTCTATCTGGTGTACTAATTCTTGTGTTTGGATAAGTGACTAGGAGCGTTTGGATCTTGGTACCTGTGTGTATTGAATTCCATTATTATTACCACTTTCAATGGAGTGCTAGAATAAGATCTAAACAGAGGGTTTGGTTGGTAATTTCGCCAAATTAAAAAAACCAACCACGTTTGAACATTTTTCAGCTGTAGGGCACTCCCACCACATGTGAAGCACCCATCCTCTTTCACCGCATCCCCTATTATTTATTAACAAATTAAATCACTTAAGCATGGGCTGCACTTTCCCGACACCCAGTCGCCTCACTCTTGGCCCCGAGTCCTGGAGGGAACGAGGCTGGCGAGGGCCGGGCTCGAGGGGGGGCGGCTCGGCTCAGTCCCATCTTTCTCCTTCGTCCACGCGCTTCTCTAGCCCCCGCCGGCCTTCCTACCATCCCCCCCCCCCCCGCTGCACAGCCCCGTGTCGCTCGCGCGCGCTCGGCGTGGCGCGGTGTCGTTTGAAGATCTTAATTGCAGAAGTTTCCACGAAGGTGCGCAGTCCACGTGTCGCGGGTCACGGGGTGGCCGTGGAGAAGGGGGCTCGTGCGCGCGCGCGCAGCTCCGCTCCCACGCCCCCCCCCCCCATGATCTCCAGCCTGGAAAGCGAAGTGGGCGATCCCGGCTGGGGCTGCCCGCTGCCTTCCCCCCCCCCGCCCTTGGCGCGCTTGGTCTCTCCCGTCAGCTGGTCCTGATGTAGTGAGGGGGGAAGAGCCCCCCCGCCCGCCCGCCCGCCAAACCCCTCCCTCCGCGGCCGGGGCCGAAGCCGTCCGGAAATCCCCGAGCCCGCTCCCCTCCTCCTCTGCCCGCCTCTCGGCGCCCGGGCGCGCGCGCGCTTCCCGCCGCTGCCCATTGTCCTCCCGCGTCGCTTCCGCCGCCCGCCCGCCGCCCGCCCGCCCTGCCTCCCCGGGGAGCCGGGAGACCCCAGGCCCAGCCATCTTCCGGCGGATGGGCGCGGGATGGCTTGAGTGGCGCGGCTGCCGCGGAGCGCTCGGAGGAGCCGCCGGGCTGCTCGCTGGAGAAACCCCCGCGCCGGGACCCGCCGGGACTGGTGGTGCGATCCGGCGCCTTGGCTTGCCCCGATGCCGCGCTCCGGGAGAAGGTCTGGCCAGGCTCTGATTTCTGCGCTCGGAATGGATCCGTCCGGATAATTCTTCTTCTTCTTCTTTCTTCTTCCTCTTCTTCTTCTGAGCGGCGTTCCAGCAGCTTGCTGCCTTTCGGGGTGGAAATGGACTGATCCGGGGGGGTCCGGGGGGAGGGAAAGCCGGCAGCCTGGATTGTGCTGCTGCCTGATTGACTGGAGAGCAAAGGAGACCGGCTGGGATTTCCGGGGGGCGGCGGGGGGAGATGAAGTAACCTTGGTCCAGCCATGGCAAATCGGGATCCATCCAGCCGGATGCCTCCTTCCGCCGGGCGGCGGGCGCTGCTCCCCGTCTCCCCCGAGCCGCCTCCCCAGCGAGGGCTGCTGTCGCCGCGGCTGCCCTGCTCCTAAGCCTTCATCCCCATGGCGAGGAGCGGCCGAGGCTCCGATCTCTCTTCCAGAGGCATCCCTACCCCGGCTGACCACAGAGGACAATAGCGGGGCCAGGATCCGGGCCTGCCGGAAGAGAGCGAGCGGGAGGGGGCCATCCCTTCGCGATGACAGCCTCCCCATCCCCATCCCTGCCTGGCAGGAGGAAGCAGGACTGGCCCTGTCTCCAAGGCAACAGCTCCGGCATCCCAGCCTGCCTCTCCGGATAGGGCGTGAGCCCTGAGCAACCCGGACCGGGAGGCGGAGTGGGACGCGTCCCCAGCCAGCTGCCCGAGGTCTCGTCTCCGCCGCTGATTTCCCAGACCAGAGGAGCGAGGTGAGCAGGCCCGCCACCAGCACCCGCATGCTTCCCCCTGGTGATGCAGGGCTGGGATCTGTGCCCCCCCCCCCAGTCCAGTCCCTCTTTCCTGGCATTGCTTTGTCTGCTTAACTCTCCATCCCTCCAGATACAAGCACATATCCCCTGCTTATCTCATTCATCTGGCTGCCTGTTAGTCACCATGGCAAGCCCCTACCCTCCCTCTCACCCCACCTCTGCCGCTTCTGAATTTGACTCTTGCTTTTCAGATGGAGCCACCACCTGTTTCATTTCTGCCTCTGTGTGTGTGGAGGTGGAGGGAGGGTGCTTGAACACCCCATGTGCTCATGACCAAGCTGGGTGTGGGAGTCTTATTTCCATTTTGCAAGAGCTCCAGGCACCCCACCTTCTCCTTGCCTGTTTGTTCCTTTTGTCTGCTCCGCCCTGTTGCTCCTGAACCCCCTCCGTTCCATGGTAGCCCCCCCCTTATATGGAGCTCTGTGAAGATAGGCGAAGAGGTGGAGAAAAATCTTTAGCAGACGTAATGCTCAAGCACCGCCCCCCAATTTGTTATTCAGGGAGCATTCATATATGAGAGGGTTGACCCTTTCTGTCAACGGAGACCACTTTTGTAACAGCCCAGCCTCCAACGCAGCATCAGCTTTTTAATACTAATTTTCACCACAGAAATTTGCATCGAGTTTGTATCCAATGAGATACAAAAATATGGAGCAGATTATGGGCAGAGATTATGGGTCTCTTTGTTCCAACTCACCAGGCCTTCTCTCAGTTTGAAAAGCAGTTAAGGGGCAACTCATAGTTCATTTCAGTGGACTGTTCTGTAAATAAAAAGTACATTATTCCCAAATCTGGAGAAAAACTTTGATGTGGGGCTCACTTCCTTTTCTCCTCCCCCTACAGCAGATACCTTGGTGTAAATTAGTAGTAAACTAATTGTAAATCAGATGTATTTCAGTTGGAACCATTTGTTTCTAAATCCCTGTCACTTAATGTAAAATAGAATTGACTATTAGACAAAAAGAACCATATTTCCTCTCACCCAAGTAGAAGCCAGATATAAAATCAGAGGTGATGGCATTTGAGGTTATGGGTCTGGTTTGTTTGCATTCAACTTTGTGCTAGTGCTGGTCAGGTGAAAATATGTTGTGAATGGTTTGAATTTCTGTTGGAGCCAATTTACTAATCCCTGTAATTGTGCTTGTGTGAATGCATAAACAGACACCTTGAAAGCAAAATCAGACAGCAAACCTTTATACAAGTTACTTATTTAGGCCTCAAAGACTAAAAATAAAATAAAATGATCTAGTAACTTTAATGGGTGTGTTTGCAAGGTAGATATTGTTACTAGTAAATTAGGAGGACATTACTTGAGACAATAAAGTTACCCTGGCTGAAGGTGATATAAATGAAATGTTATTTCACTGACGTCAAGGTTGCTTACTATCCCTGCCACTCTTCCTTTTGAAAGTAAGCAGTGAGTCAGGTATGTATCAAAAGTTTAGCAACTGAAATAATGATAGGATTTTTGTTTTACACTTTTGTGTAAAATCTTAGTAAATCAATTGTAAGGCTATAGTAGCTCACTGGAGTCACTGGAGTCAATTGGTGTGATTTCCTAGAGTGAATCAGCTTAAATTTCTGAAACTAAAAGGTGTCTAATCCCACTGTTGACTTAATTTTAATAATAATGAGTCAGTACATATGTGTGTGGAAAATTGGTGACAGAACATCCATATGTGTTTTAATGTGATATATTACCTGAATGAGTATTCATTGGATTGTGTGTAGCAAGTGTGTTTCATTGGAAGTGCTAGTTTGTCACTGTGTGTGTGAATGAATGTGTGTGTGAGAGTTCTAATATAACAGAGGCAGGCTTGGCGATAATTATCTGTGGTGTTGAATGGCTGTATTGTGCAGTCTTTATTAAGACTGTTTATTCAGAAATACCACTGACTGCAATGGGACTTGCCCTCTACTAAATAGGTTTAGGAGTTCAGTCTCTGTGCATGCTTGCCTGCCAGCATCTGAGTCTGAGGATGTGTTTGTGCTTTGTCTGGGCCTGACTGAATACAGGTATCTGTGTCAAAGTGTGTTCAAATCACACAGATGTGCATGACCATAGCAGGATCTTGATATTTTTGTGAATGGATGTGATTCCGTGGTAGTGTGTGCTTAGGTCTATAAGTATACTTATTCATAATTAATTTCCCATTATTTTCTCTTTGTTTACTCATAAACCCTATGGGCTAACTACGTTAGTCTTTAGATGACACAAGACTCTTTGTTTCCTGCTTCCCCCCCCCCCCCGCCACCATCCCATGACTGTAAATGTGACTTTGTGTTTTCTCAATAAAGTGATATATCTTCCAATTAAATTGGACAGTGGTATGCACAGGTAAATCAGATAATGAACATCACTGAAATAATTTGTGTGTCTGGCAAGATGTAAGTGCATTGTGCTAAGAAACAGATGGCCGTGAGACCCTTCCCTTATTCTTATCTGTAAGTTTTTACAGGCGTGCAGTTGTGGGCTTGTCAGGTTCCCTGTGGTTGTGTGTATGACTCAGTGAGCTATCATGCGTGTTATCAAAATGTGTGTGTGTTCATGACAGTGTGTATGTGTATGTCCCCAAGCATATCTGCTGTGCATGTATTGTATTGATTGTACTATGAGTGTGTCAGGATGTGCCACTTACCAGTGGCGGAGAGGAACTCCCTTCACAGTTCCCATTATAAGCAGCAGGTGTCAGTCCTGGAGCAGCCGTTGCTTGGCTTGACACTGGCCCCACCTTCTTTGACAGGCCTCAGGCTGATGGCGTCATCTGTGTAGAGGGAGTCCTCAGATATACTGCTGGAATTCTGGCATATAAAATCAGGAAGCTAAAGGGGAGGCATATAGCCTAAGGATCAGCAACTGGCCTAAAATCCAGGCCCTTCAACTGCTCGGCTCCCCAGAGCCAGCCTACGGGCAGGAGAGGTGTGAAGACAGTGGTTGCTGTGGCTACAGGAAGAGGGTCCCTGGCCCACTTCATAGCCCTCAAAAGCCCTCATGTAAAGTGAGTTGCTGAGCAGCAGTTTAATGAAGCCTTTACCACAAGCCAGAACTATCTATCTCCCCTCTGACATAAACCCCATGTAATTCATATCAAAGATTGTGAGATCCTTGACATTTCCGTTAAAAGGATCTAAGGCAGCAGGTCTGAAAAAGAGTGCCACAGTCAGAGCAGGTGGAACTTGGCAAGAGGGGCCAGTGGTCTGCTTTTTAACAAAGTGTTCATATGAAATGGAGTTGGTCCCCACCACCCAACAGCTTGAATTTAGTTGGAATGACCCAAGTGGAGACAGAGAAAGAGTCCTTTGTCACATGTGGAGAATATCTTTTTGATCCCTCTGGGCCACAAGTTGGATACAAAGCATGTAAAATCAATTTATTCATATAAATTCAGGTCCCTTTCAATTCTGCAATTCACTGGTAGAGTTTGTAGGCCAGGTGAGGGGGAGGGAGAGAGAAGCATCATTGACACGTGTATGTATTTGTGCGTGCATATGTGGAAATTGTGTGTGCTCACAACTATTACAAGCAGGAGTGTGTAAGCCCACAGTGGATGCGCACAAGATAACCCACATGCTTTGTTTCCAAGTATACATTACATACACATTGTGTGTTTCTGTGTGTATATTTGTTTAGAAAGTGCATGTGTGTGAATTTGTATATGTTCTGCTGAATCATAGAATCTGGAATTGTAGAGTTGGAAGGGACCCCAAGGGTCATCTAGTCCAACCCCCTGCAGGACAGGAATCTCTACTGGACTCCCTCGGGAGGTGGTGGACTCTCCTTCCTTGGAGGGTTTTAAGCAGAGGTGGGATGGCCATCTGTCACAGATGCATAGACAAGATGAAACTTGGGGTCCCTTTCAATTCTGCAATTCTATGATCCATAACAGGCGGCCCTCTAACCTCTGCTTGAAAACCTCCAATTAAGGATGGTACCTCACCTTCCAAGGGAGTCAGTTCCACTGCAGATCCACTCTTTCCCTTCCTGAGGTTTAGTTGGAATCTCCTTTCGTGTAACTTGAAGCCATTGGTTCAAATCCTCCCCTCCAGAGCTTGTTCCATCTTCCATGTGGCAGCCCTTGAGCTATTGGAAGATGGCTATCATATCCAAGACTCCTCTTGTCCAGGCTAAACGTATCCAGCAATCTCAACCGTTTCTCATACAACTTGGTTTCCAGGCTCTTGATTATCTTACTTGCTGTCCTCTGCACACATTCCAGTTTGTCGACATACTGTACTTCATTGTGGTGCAACATGTGCGTAAATTTTTGAATTGACAGAGCGACAATTTTCATAAATTTATGTATGTAAAATTGCATAAATACATTGTACGTCAGGTGTGGGGAACTTTTATCCCTTCAGATGTTGCTTAACTACATCTCCCATCAGCACCAGCAAGCATGGCAAATGGCATGGGATTTGTAGAGAACTACAATTGTATTGGAGAGCCAGAGGTTTGCTTCACCTGTTGTGCTTATTCCTGTGGTGGGGGCACACACAGTATTATTGCTCATTGCAATGTATTATATTGAGAGCTGGTATGTGCGCGTGTATCTTTCATTACATGGAAGAAAAACCTTTCAACATGAACAAAAATGGACAGGCTTAACGCAGACTGGCTAGGTTGGGTGCTGTGCAGACGGCTGGAGCAATGGGTTACCCAGACCTACTGTTAAGATCTAGAAAGCCTTTGCCAAGCTATCTTGCTTAGTAGCAGGGGTAACTTGACCTGAGGGCTGTTGCTGAGGGAGGGAATTTTCTTATTATTATTATTGTTATTGTTATTATTATTACATTTGTATACCGCCCTATACCTGCAGGTCTCAGGGTGGTTACAACATAAAAACACAATATAAAAACACAAAATACAAAAGAAAAAAGAAAAATAATCCCAATAACCCCCCCCCCCCATTTTAAAAGTGTGTTGGATGTCAATCAGCCAAAGGCCTGGTTAAAGAGGAACATTTTTGCCTGGCACCTAATGATATATAATGAAGGTACCAGCCACATCTCCTGGGGAAGTAAGAAAAGACTTCTCCCAGACTGAGCTGGAGTTTCCCCACCTCCCTCTCCCCTTCAAAAGCAGTACCACTTCCTGAATATTGCCTGTAGTTGAGGCAGAGTAGCATCACTGTAGACAGGTGGGAAAAGGTTTCCCCACTGCCCAGGATAGCAACAGCTGAGTCACCTCACTATCTTTCCCAACACAATCTATTTTTTTCTTTAGAAGTGAATGGAGCCAGGGGTGTTAGGGGAGGGGTAGTACCTCTGGTGGGGGCCACATCATGCTCCTTCTGGGGTAGTTTATACACCATTGGTCTCCACCCTGCACTCAGCTCTCGCCTATGGCTCCTTGAAGCTGTCAGCATCAAGAAATTCTTTGGTTCCGGTTAAACCAGGTGAGGGTAGCCAATGGTCTCAAACCCTCAGTGAGTCAGGAACGTCCCCCTGCATGAGAAGACAAGCTCTGGTGGATCATGCAAATGAGTGATTCTGCACATTCTGTAGGGGGAAGGGGAGACAGATGGGGCTTGTCCACCCGGGAAAGGAGCCCATCTAGGAGTAGAAAAACTCTGGTCCTAAACCCATGCTGCCTTGTGAGGTAGCTTTGGGAGAAGAAAAGGCTAAGGAGTGAACCCTACACAAATATGGAGTTGATAAAATGCTTGGATGGTGCCTTGTACATCTCCTTCCATAGGTGCCAACTCTATAGGGTTGAGGTGTCTTCAGCCCTCCCCCCTTGTCTGTTGGGATGGGGCTGAGCCCACCCAATCTTAAGGGGTCAGAGGAGGCTGAGCGCAGAGGTGTGCTCCATGCTTGGCCTCCTCCTGATACAACAGGCAGCCTCTGGTCCGGCTGCACCACCTTATTCCCTAAGCGATGCCCGTCCCCAACCAATGCTGCTGCTTTCCCCTGTAGGGAAGACCCACATCAGTGCCTCTGCTGCTTGCCCAGTGCCATTCTCATGATGGAGTGGCCAGGATGGTCTGGAGCATCCCAGGGGCTTTTCACCAGGGCAATGGGAGGCCCACAAAGCCTCCTGGAGTGGCGGCAAAAGGACGACTCCCCTTCCCAGCAACGGGTCTCCCAATGGGTCCCCACCTCTGCTGCACCTCCTGATCCAGCCTCAGGAGCAGGGTGAGTGGGGACTATGAGTCCCATCCTGCCTCCACCTTGTTCGCCGAGCTCACTTCCTCTGCAGGGCCAGCTGCAGTGAGGCCAAGGAGCCAAGAGCCAAGCAGTGTGCCACGCCTCCCCCCAATGCAAGAGTCACATGTGTGAGGTTGTCATCGTGTGTGTGACATGCGAGATGAGCCCCCCCCCCCAATGCTAGGCACAACTTGGCACCTCTGCCTCCTTCCAACAACTTCTGCAGCCAGGCTGGTGCCAAACGCTTTCCTTTCCTTTCCTTTGGACCACATCAGCAAGGCTGAGAAGGAGGTCTTGCCTTGGCCGCCCAGGACCTCCCTACACACTGCCCAGGCTTGCACCCTGGACAGGTCACTTTGGTGCTGCCAATACAGTGCCTTGACTTCACCCCTAGAGGCACACTCCATTGTGTCTCAATACAGACTGATGCCAACAACAAGAATGGATCCAATTCACTTTTTCTGGTGGGAGTTCAAAATGTGCCCCACAAACACTCAGGGGACCAATTAAATGTTATGGTGTGTGTGTTCTTCTCACTGGAAAGGCAGACACTTTACAAGCGTCTTACAATTTAAGAAGACTTCATCAGAGTAGGAACAGGGCAGCCGCCTGATACCCAGTCAAATCCGTGACTCATCTAGTCCATTATTGTCTACACTGACTGGCAGCAGCTCTCCAGGGTTTCAGGCAAGAGCCTCTCTCAGCCCAGCCGGGAGATGCCAAGCATAATGCATGTGCTCTACAACTGAGCTATGGCTATTTCCCCAAAGGCGTATCTGACTATGGGGCTGAATGCTCCAGGGTATGCAGATGTGGCATTTCTGTGTGTCAGGGGGAAGCCAATGTTCCTAAGTGATAAGGACACTCACAACAACTTTACAGAAGCAGGCAAATGCAGCCCCCACTACTCCAACCCCCTTTCCTGACAGCTTCTCTGCCCTCTAGCACTTTCTCACTCCTCTTCCCAGCCCCCACTACCACCGGAGGCAGACTGACTGCCAGGACAAGTGGCTGTTGGGCATGACGCTGGTGGATTCTCTGGGACAGCTCAGTTGGTAGAGCATGAGATTTGGGGCTGTGGGTTCAAGCCCCATGATGGGCAAACGATTCCTGCATTGCAAGGGGTTGGACTGGATGACCCTGGTGGTCCCTTCCAGCCCCACAATGCTATGATTCTACACCAGACCCTCAGCTTATCATCATCATCATTTTATTTCTATGCCACCTTTCCACAGTTAAAGCAATGCTCAAGGTGGCTTACAATATGAAAAGATTTACATAATTGCAAATAAAGCAGTCATAAAAAAGCAAAGTAGTCATAAAAGTCATGCTGGCCACATGACCTGGAAGCCGTACACCGGCTCTCTCGGCCAATAAAGTGAGATGAGCGCCGCAACCCCAGAGTTGTCCACGACTGGACCTAATGGTCAGGGGTCCCTTTACCTTTACCTAGTCATAAAAATAAATAAAACACATTAAAAACTACATAACCAAACTGAAGAATTTCCACATAAAAATAAAGTTACAAAAAGTTAATATCAGTAGTATCAGTTAATATCAGTAACAACAGCAAAAACTTCCAACAAAACTTCTCCCAAAATACCCCAGTCCTTGCTGGGCAGCAGCCCTGATGAGGCCCTGGGCCAGGGGGAGAGAGGCAGGACCAGGGCCCTCAGGCACTCGGCAGGTGAGCTTAGAAGAGGAAGCAGGAAGCCCCCCTTCTCTCACAGGCTCTCTCTGCTCCATCTTATCATTTCAACCACGGACAGGCCAGTTTTGTGACCCTGATTAAAAAACAGGCATTAGACGGACAATGGAGGAAATAGCCAAAGTGCTGCTGCTGCTGCTGCTGCTGCTGCTGCTCCTTTCACTGGCTTGGTTTGGATATATTGGCTCTGTGTGTGTGTGACCTGCTTTTCTCTTTTCACTGAAGATAAGGCAGAAGCACACTAGATCTGCCCCAAGTCCCGTGTGGGTGCCTCACCATATTTTATTGTTAACCTTAGAAAATGCTTGTTTCTAATTTTTGCTTTTGTTTTTAAAACAAGACTTACTCCATGCCTATCCTCCATGTATATTGTACTTCCTCTAGTCTCCCACCAGATTTCTGATAAAGGACCGTGGCTGCCCATCTTCAGCAAGACTGCAGCACCAGGTGTCCCCAGAGCATCCCTGCTTCTTTTAAGATTACTACTTCTTTTCGTGGCAGAACTCTTGTGCCCTTAAATCTGCAGAAATGTAGCAGCTGAAGCTTTCCCCCTTTGTGAGCCAGGAAAAGTTTCACCAGTATATTTCTGCATGTCAGGCAGCTGTCAGGAGCCCTACCAGAAAACAACCACCGGAAGGCCATTGCTCTTCCTCCCCCCAACAAACATTGACTCCCTCTCCAGTGGTCCAACTCTGGCCATGAAGCTGGCGGCGGCAGCACCTGCTACTCAGCCTTCCAGATCAAGCTGCTGGTATTTACCGTATTTTTCGCCCTATAGGACGCACTTTTTCCCCTCCAAAAATGAAGGGGAAATGTGTGTGCGTCCTATGGGGCGAATGCAGGCTTTCACTGAAGCCTGGAGAGTGAGAGGGGTCGGTGCGCACCGACCCCTCTCGCTCTCCAGGCTTCACGCAGCTCTCTGCAAAGCGCAGGAGCCCAGCGCTGGGCTCCTGCGGCTTGTGGAGAGTTGCCTGCATGCTGAAGCCTGGGCGCGCTGAGCTCAGCGCGCCCAGACTTCGCACAGCTCTCTGCAAAGCGCAGGAGCCCGGCGCTGGGCTCCCACGACTTGCGGAGAGTTGCCTGTTCTGGTGGCTGGGGTCGGGGGTCGGTGGAAGCTCAGGCTGGGGGGGAAATAATTCCCCCCCCTTTATTTCCCCCCTAAAAAAACTAGGTGCACCTTATGGGACGGTGCGTCCTATAGGGCGAAAAATACGGTACTCACCTCCTTGGGCAAAGCAGACTTCAAGTGGAAATAAGGACATGCTTGTAACACCCCTATTCTCACCAAGGAAAAATCACTGCCTGAACCTCTCCCTCTTCCCACTTTTATATATCCCTGAAAGTTGCTCTATGGTTTTTCCTGAGCTGGAGGGTTATATATTAGTAAATCATCTATTAACAGTTTGCTAATGTTTAATATCTCATATTTTACTTATATAATAGCTGTGACTCAAAATGCATAGCAACATTTACTATCTGGGCAGGCAGTTTTGGAAGGGAAGTCTGTGCTCTGGCATTTTGTGCAGGAACCAATCCTGGTACACAAACTACATTTGACATGAAATATGTCCTTTGCATCTAATGTCCCTGGATTTTTAAATTTAAAAATATGCAGATAGAACCAACTGGGAGGGGCTGATAATTAATGGGCCAGAGAAGGGGGAAATTTAAACCCTTCTCTTCCTTTGCTGGTCTCAAACAGAATTCATCTTTTAAAGTTAATATGTACTTAGGGTGGTGGCAAGGGATTCCCAACAAAGCAAATACCAGCTTTGGAAGAGGGACTTTTCTCAGGAACACATGTTTGTGGGGAGCATTATATTTTCCCATCTGATCCCATTAACCATTCCTTCCAGTTGATAGTATTTGCTTTTTTTAAAAGGTGTCACATGTGGTTTGGCCCCTAGGGCATATATGAAGGGGACCGGTTAAAGGCAGTACAGGCAGTGACTGTTTTAGGCGCATCTCATATGTGTGTAACCATGCTCACGTGCATTACACCGAACCCGGACGTGACCCCAAAACATTACAAAAAAGGGGCAAGGTGGGGCAGGGGCGGAATGGAGTATTTGCAGGCTTTTTCAGTGATGTTTCCAATATACATGATTTCACTTAAATGGGTCCTGTACCTGATAGGGGATTGGAGCTGCCCTTCCTGTGCCCCCATCGCTGAGCTTGGGGTGCAACAGAGGCACCAAGGGAGCCAATGCTGTGCACCCGCTGAGCCCAGTTGGAGCAAGGCTGGTGGGAGGAGGGCAATTTCACTCCACCACACCTGTCTGTAGCGAAGGGACAGGTTCTGATCTAGTTCTCATGGTGATGGTAAGCCTGTATCCGGATTATGCAACTTCTGACTATAGGTGGGGAACATGTGATGTCATGTTCTTCCACAGAAAAACAATTCCCCAGCATGTCAGGGAAGAGGCAAGAGCCATTTCCTATGTCAACATTTTCCCTCTTTTAATAGAATCCTAGAATTGTAGAGTTGGAAGTAGGGCTGGGCGACGTATCAAGACATTGTACAAAATCAGCTCAAAGTCTACATCGTGGTAATGGTTTCATAATATTTGACATGGTGATATATTCCAAATCATGATGTGTATGTGTGCTATGTAAAAAATTGTGATGTGGTTAAAACCATGAAGCCTGTTGTCGCTTCTCTCATAATTCCTGCCGCCCCTGTTCCTCTGTACTGGAAAATAACAGTTGCAACAATATATTAAAGGTAAGTAAAAATGTATCAGTTTTAGACTGCTAAGTAGTAGCAGTTGCCAAGACATTACCCCCATTTGCCTCTACAGTGGTACCTTGGGTTAAGTACTTAATTCGTTCCGTAGGTCCGTTCTTAACCTGAAACTGATCTTAACCTGAAGCACCACTTTAGCTAATGGGGCCTCCTGCTGCTGCCACGCGATTTCTGTTCTCATCCTGAAGCAAAATTATTAACCCGAGGTACTATTTCTGGGTTAGTGGAGTCTGTAACCTGAAGCGTGTGTAACCTGAAGCATATGTAACTCGAGGTACCACTGTATATAGTTATGATATACAGTCAAACCTCGGTTGTTGGATGTAATCCGTTCCGGAAGCCTGTTCAGCTTCTGAAACGTTTGACAACCAAGGCACAGCTTCCGACTGGTTTCAAGAGCGTCCTGCCCTCAAAACGGAAGCTGCATCAGACGTTCAGCTTCCAAAAAACGTTGAAAACCTGGAGCATTTACTTCTGGGTTTTCGACATTTGGGAGCCAAAATGTTTGAAAACGGAGCCATTCAGGAACCGACGTTTGACTGTATCAGTTTATCGTGATGCTTAACTGGGGATAAAAACCAGGCATTTCTCAGCCCTAGTTGGAAGGGACCCTGAGAGTCTTCTAGTCCAACCCTGCAATCCAGGAATCTCAACTAAAGCATCCATGTTGTATGGAAGAACATTCCGTCATGCCAGTCCCCACTTATAGTCTGAAGTGGCACAGCCCTATCATAGATTTCCCACTTCCGTGAGTAGAAACTTTTTTCTCTTTTTCTCTTTACTGGGCTGGTAGTTTGTTTGTATTATTGCCCCAAAGCCACATTTATGGCATTTGGAAAACACATGGCCTTGGGTCCTAACTCAGTTTTCACAAGACGCTAGAGCAGTTCTGTTCCCACCAGGGATAGTGAGAGGAAAGTGACTTCCACAGATTCCCCTCTTGAGCCCTTCAAAAATCTGCTCTGGATGGGATTGAGGGATCTTGTGAAGCAGTATGAGATGAAGCACACTCTCCTTCTGCTGTCAGGTTCCTCCACTGAATCTCACCAGTCCCTAGGCAGAACTCTTCCATTTATGGATGCCTAGTTAGGATCCTAAGTCAGTTTTGTCAGTCAAAGTACTAGATATGAGCAGATGGGTATGCCAGTGTGCCAGTCTGCCTGACAGTCTTCTCTTTTCTAAACAGGAAATCCTCCATCTTTGCCCCAGGTGAGGAAGAGGTCTCCTGGCTCTATTCTAATCTGTGCTGCAGCTTGATCCTTTATAGGTTTACTGAGTAAAATTGGGTTTACATCCACGTATGGATGGGACTGTTGTGTTAGTAATTCAAGGATATAACGGGGTGCATGCCATTGTATGGCACTGGGGTTTTGTAGGTTGTGTACACACTTGGGTGTTAGTAGTGTACATGGGTTGCACAGAAATTATTTTTCCATGTGAGCTTTTGGGCACTTTCATCCACACATGACCACTTCCAGTTTAAATCGGTCTTGATATTTCCCGCCTGCACTAGGGGGATGCATTCATTCTATGCATTGTTGACCCCTCTCCCCAATTACTACTTCCCTGACCTCCAGAAGTTCCAGAAACCTGAGGTCCATCATAGGCACATGCCCAGGTATTTCCTTTTTTAAAAAAATAGTTTTGTCCATGGATTAGCACAATAACAAATGTCCACCAAAGTTTTAAGCATTTTCCACAGTGGGCAAAATAGCCTATTTTAAACAACTGCTTTTGAAATAGTTTTTTTTTAAAAAAATTTTTACCAGAGTCAACAGCCTTCTAAGGAATGCCTCTGTAGGGCAAACAATGGCCAGGCAGGTGGGAGGCACAGGTGCCTCTGATCTCTAAACACAAAAAGTTGTGGGGCAGCTCAGAGAAAAGCCTGCCTTGTCCCACCCTCCAGTCTCTGCTTCTCAATTTGTATTGTATTATTTTATGTACCGTGACTTTCCATTGTTTTATTGATTATAGTTTAGAAATTATTTATTATAATTGTTAAGAGTGGATTTCTGTTTAATTTTTATATGCTGATATTTAATATTATTCTATACTATTTCAATGGATTGTTGAATATTACTTTATTTTATATAAGTTGCTTATTTTAAAGTTATGTTTTATTATCACATTTTTGTATTGGATTAGATTGTTATAAGGTGTACATTCTTTGTTTCTTCAGCTTGTAAACTGCCTTGGGTATAGAAAAATAGAAAGACGGTATACAAATTAAAAGTGATGATGATGATGATGATGAAAGTACATTCCACACATGGTCAAGTCGGGATGGGAAGACTGATTTGGGGGAGAAGGATTTAAATACAGTGTTTTTCTATTTCTTTCCTCTTTCCTTTTCTTCCTCTTGTACCTGCAAAGGCCATTTTATTTTTAATACAGCTGTTTTGTGCAAAGGCAGTTCTGCAACAAAACAGTTGTTTTTTAAATAAAAACAAATTATGGTGAGTTTGCCTTCGTCAACAATGGGTTGAGCTAGGCACACCACATCCTTTCATTTAGGCTGATGAAAACAAAATGACTATTTTGCGCTCAGGTGATGAGGGCTGTGGTGATAGATGGCACCAGCAAAACATCACCAAACCTATAAACCCAGCCCATAATGCGCTTCAGTGTATCCAGTCTTAGGCAACATGCAATTATGCAATTTTATGTTGGAATTCCTCTCCTTAGCACATTATCTGCAGATAGGGGAAATCAGAATTAAATGGGGTTGGGGTTGAGTGTTGACTGCTATGCAGATCAGGGATGCATCAAATCCACTTTAAACTGCTGTGTGTCGTCTTCTCTTTGGCGATCACTTGTAGCTGAGTAAGATTGTCTTCCATGAACATGGTCTTAACAGTGAGTCCGTAAGTGGCTGTGGAGACCAATTCTGGATCCACACATCCTTCCACAGTGGGGACATAGGTTTCCGAGTGGGAGTTGATCATGGTGAGGATTTGCCAAACGTGCCTTCCTCTTTTCATCCCGAGTTTGAGTGTCTTCAAAGTCCATGACACCTTTGGTAAAGGCTGTTCTCCAAATGGAGCACTTACAGGCCAGTGTTTCCCAGTTGTCGGTCTTTACGCTATATTTTTTTAGATTTGCCTTGAGAGAGTCATTAAACCCCTTTTGTTGACCACCAACATTATGCTTTCCATTTTTAAATTCAGAATAGAGTAGTTGCTTTGGAAGATGATAATCAGGCATCCGCACAACATGACCAGTCCAATGAAGTTGATGTTGAACAATAATTGCTTCGACACTGGTGATCTTTGCTTCTTCCAGTATACTGTCATTAGTTCGCTTGTCTTCCCAAGTGATTTGTAAAATAAAATTGAGATACCATTGATGGAATCTTTTGAGGAGTTTATCAGTGGTCCATGTTTCACAAGCATACAGTAAGGTTGGTAGTACAATAGCTTTGTAAACAAGCATTTTTGTTTCCCTGTGAATGTCCCGGTCCTTAAACACCTGCAATTCAATCAGGAGAAAGCTGCACTCGCAGAGCTCAGGCGAGGCCCTTGTGGAAAGATAACTGCCCAAGTAGGAGAAGTGATCAACACTTTCCAGCGTTACACCATTGAGTTAGATTTGTGGCACTACAGAGGGGTTGTTTTCTGCCTGTTGGTGCAGCACTGTGGTTTTTTGGGATGTTGAGCTCTTCGTAAGCTTCTGCAAAGATATTTGGAGGTCATCTTCAGAGTGCACACACTACATTATCATCAGTGTACTGAAGCTCTATGATGGAAGTTATGGTAACCTTACTCTTTGCTTTAAGCCTACTCGGACTAAAGAGCTTTCCCTCTGTTTGATACAATCGTACCTTGGTTTTCGAACAGTTTAGTTCACAAACAACTTGGAACTCGAAAGCCGCAAACCCAGAAGTAGGTGTTCTGGTTTGCAAACTTTGCCTTGGAAGCTGAATGTCCGGCGCGGCTTCCGCGGCTTCCAATTCGCTGCAGGACACTCCTGCAGCCAATTGGAAGCTGCGCCTTGATTTCCAGACGTTTCGGAAGTTGAACAGACTTCCGGAACACATTCTGTTCGAAATCCAAGGTACAACTGTATATGATTTCTACTCTGGTGGGGAGTTTCCCTTCGACAAAATGTCGGATCATGGCAGTGAAAATAATAAATAGAGTTGGGGTGATAACACAACCTTGTTTAACTCCTGATCCCACTGTGAATGTTTCACTTTGAGAGCCATTGTTATCTGCGATTGTTGCTGTAATATTATCATGGAGGAGCCGAATGATATTCACAAATTTATCTGGGCAGCCAATTTTCAGAAGCAAAGTCCACAGGGCATTACAATTTACTGTGTCAAAGGCCTTAGTCAGGTCAATAAACACCATATACAGGGGTTGGTTTTGCTCTCTGCATTTTTATTGAAGTTGAGCAGTGAAAATCATGTCCACTATCACTCTAGAAGGTCAAAAAGCATTTTGGGATTCAGGAAGGGCAGTCTTGGCTATTGTTAGGAGATGGTTTGCTAAGATCCTTGCAAGAATTTTGCTGGCCGCAGCTAATAAAGAGATGCCTTGAAAATTTCCACAATCTGTTCTGTCACCTTTTTTTAAAAGAGATTGATAATTTTGGCATCCCTAAAATCTGCTGGGATCTCCTCTCTCTCCCAGATTTTTTCGATGAGCTTGTGAAGTTGTTGTGTAAGTTCAATTTCGCCCACTTTGAAGACTTCGGCAGGTACCCCTTTCTGGTCCGCTGGCTTTGTTGTTTTTCATTTGGTTAATAGCTGTACAAAACTCACCCAGATTTGAAGATACTGCTGTGTGTACACACCCTTAAAGCAGGAGCAATTCTAAAAATGGAATTTTCTCTAGACAATTTGTAGGATCAAAATAAAGGAAAACAAAACTAAAGGTCGCCTTCAATTTCTATGAAAGCATAGGAATATGAATGAAACATGGAAGTGTCAGAATTTCAGAAAAGTGCAAGCATGCTATTCAAGCCCATTTAAGAATGTAGTTGTCTAAAGCAGGTGTCTAAAAATAAGCAGGTATGGGGACTGACAAACCACTCTGTGCAGGGGCTCATCACCACTAAGTCCAATTTCTGATGGCCATGGCAATTGGAGCAGGCCCAGGCCCCTCATCCGCCCAAGCACATGTGGAGGGATGTCATATAGGGAGTAGATTTGGGGCAAGGTGACAGGTGAGTTGTACACATGCATCTAAAGTTTTGCTAGGTCATTTCACTGACAGGGCTTCTGTACCCTGATTTGTATCACCTGTCACGGCATGACAGGGATAAGGGAAATCACATTCTCCTTTCCCTGGGATCCTTCAAGACACAGGTGCTCTCCTGGGATTTGCACCTTGGAACAGTTTTAAGTATCAGAGCTTTGTTGCAGTTTAGTAAAAGTGCTTGAACATTCTCCCACAGAACCACACTTTCCATGGTTCACTAAGGAGAGGAAACAACAGTCAAACCAGTCTACGTCTGCTGTGTGGAGATAGCTTATTTGTACCTTAGTATGATTGTTGACTGTATTCTGGTATTTTTGCATGAGTGTGTGAGAGAGTTGGATTTCCACCTGCTCAGTTGCTGAGGTAGCAGCTGAGCTGTAGCAAGTGGCAGGTAATAGTGTTTATCATATTTTTCAAAAATAATAATATAAATATCACAATATATTTAGCACAATATCAAGAGAACGCTGAACATACAGATATTTCACATTAAAAATCATGTATAATTTCTCTATTTATACAAATAAAGTTAAGGATAAGTAAATTAAGAAATAAGAAAGCTACATCTTTACTTTGTACTTCCATTTTCTAATAGTCAGTACTGTAAAGGGGTTTAACCCTTTCACAAATCTGAGATTCTTCTTCTACAGTCTCATTGTATCACTAAGTTTAAATAACTGTGCTAGTTGCAGAAACATCCTGTAACTAAAAGAGTTTCCCTCCAGTGTCCCCCCCAAAAAAATTTTTTTCCCACTGAAAAGCTGGGTTGGTGGAGGGGAAGTCCTCAGAGCATCTTTACACATCTGTACTCATCTGGGCAACCCCAGAGGACTGGGGTCAAGCGCTTTAAGCACTGGGGAAGGAGCGGAATGCTAAATTTATATTGGCCCCTTGGCAGGAAAATAGTGCATGCCTGGTTTACCAAGCTGTTAAAGGCACACTCTGGTAAGTTACTACTTAATACACAGCCACCTGTTTTTACTTGATGCCTGCTGTGGAGGGGAAGGGTGGCTCAGGAGAAAGTGTGTGTGTGGCTACAGCATGAGACTCTTAATCTCAAGAACAAGAGTTCGAGCCCATGGCTGCACTTCAGGGGGTTGGACTAGATGATCCTCATGGTCTCTTCCAACTCTACAGTTCTGTGATATTTGTGTGTGTGTGTGTAAAATTCAACATCTACACAATCTGCTTACTGATTTCGCTAAGTATACATAGGATTGCTAGCTTTGTAAAATGAGCTTCTTCTGGTGAAAGACCTTATTGGGTAGGATAACAAGGTAGCAAAATTCTTAGGTGCACTGAGAGTGTAGTTACTATTGACTAACAAAATTGCTTTGTCATTTTGAGCTGAAATTGTCTTCATCCACAAATTGTAAACTCATCAACTATTTATATATATAAAAATTTAACTTGCAGTGCTAAATTTAGAAAGATTACTCTCTCCCAGGCAAGTGCAATAAACATGAGATCATTCTTAGAGCACTTTCCTTCTATGACTCTCTGACTGTTGTATGTGACTCAAAATGTACCAAGCAGCTTTGTAGAAACAATCTCTCCCTTGGCCTGTGTCAAAATTAAGCAATGTTTTCCAAATCTGTGTATTTTTTCATATCAGTTTAACTGTCATGGCTTCTTCCAAAGAATCCTGGGAATTCTGTTAGGGATCCCAGTTACACAGGTCTTCTCTTGATATGGCCTATGTGTGTGGACCTGCTAGAACTGGTGGCAATTTCTCTCCCCCCCGCTTTGTCCCAGGCTTTTCATTTTGCATCACCACCAGCCCATAGAGAATATTGAAGTGACCATGACTTTGGGTCAATATTAAAAAATATTTGACTGACTGATTGACACTGGGTGTGTTTTATGAATTGTAGAATTGTGGAGTTGGAAGGGTCCCAGGGGTCATCTAGTCCAACCCCCTGCAATGCAGGAATCTCAACTAAAGTATCCATGACAGATGACCATCCAACCTCTTAAAAACCTACAAGGAGGGGAGAGGTTACCATCTTTTGAGGGAGCCTCAGCTATGTGTTTTGAGGACTATTTGGCTCTTTGGAATAGTTGGCCATTTCACTCTAGACTGGTGGATGGGACTTGAGACTCTCCAACTCCCATCAGCTCCAGTGGCCAAGGAGGATGGGAGTTGGGACTAGCTACAGATGGAGGGGCACAGGTTCCCCATCACTTCCCTAGAGGGCACTAACTACAGTCAAACCAACTTCAACTGATATAACAGTATTACTATGCAAACAGTTGCCATAGTTCTTATCTTAATTATTCACAAAAGAGCCTTGTGAGTTAAGACACAATTCTTCTCAACTTATAGATGGAGGCTGAGAAGACAGGGACTTGTCCCAAGACCATCAAATTGGATGCTATCCCTGACATGTCCAAAGCTGGCTCAGTGAAGTAGGGAAAGGAAAAGGATTAATTATTTCTTGTCTAAGATGATGTGTTTCTCCAGATTGAGCGATGGCATTTTGATTTGGCCACATTGTCAGGAACTAGCTAGTTAAGAAATGAGTATTGTTTCATCTACCTCATAGGAGTGTTGTAACAATAAAGAGGAAGCTCATGTATGATAAGCTCCTCAAAAGGAGGGGAGGACAAGAATATAATATACATAACCAAGCAGGCAGACCAGTAAGCTGCTTACTGTAACAATTCAACATGAGCCCTCAAATCCACCACAGGGTGTTCTAGAGTTCACCTGGCTCTCTAGTTTGTGTAGACATCCCTCCACTTAGCCCGACAAAAATCCTTGTGTCAGTCATAGATGTTTGTCCTTTCCTTCCAGGAGGCAGGGCAAGGGAATCTCTCCTTTGAATTTCAAAACACCTGTAGTTATTTCAGAGAATTTGGGACAGGTTTGGGACCTCATATAGAACATAGTATTTAAAAAGAAAAAAAGGGAAAGGGAAAAAAGTTTGTGTTACTACCATGAACTAATGCTTCCTTACTCCCTTTTCCTCCAACCTTTTCCCCACAGACAATGCCCCCCTTTAGCACTGGGGTCATGGGCCATCACCGGGCACGTCGCCGCTGAGCCAGTTCCCCCTTTCCTTTCCCCACCTAAAGATGGCCAGTGCCAACGAGACTGAAGAAGCCCATGGCTCAGCGCCCCACGCAGCCTCCACCTATGCCAAGCTGCTGCTCTTGGGCCTCATCATCTGTGTGAGTCTGGCAGGGAACCTGTCCCTCTCGCTGCTGGTCTTGAAAGAGCGTGGCCTCCACAAAGCACCCTACTACTTCCTGCTGGACCTGTGCCTGGCTGATGTGATCCGCTCAGCTGTCTGCTTCCCCTTTGTCCTCGTCTCAATCCGCCACGGCTCTGCTTGGACTTACAGTGTGTTGAGCTGCAAGATTGTGGCTTTCATGGCTGTCCTCTTCTGTTTCCATGCTGCCTTCCTCCTCTTCTGCATCAGTGTCACACGCTACATGGCTGTGGCCCATCACCGCTTCTATGCTAAACGCATGACCTTCTGGACATGCGTGGCTGTCATCTGCATGGTGTGGACTTTGTCCGTGGCCATGGCCTTCCCACCCGTCTTCGATGTTGGGACCTACAAGTTCATCCGTGAGGAGGACCAGTGCATCTTTGAGCACCGCTACTTCAAAGCCAATGACACCCTGGGCTTCATGCTCATGCTAGCTGTGCTGATCTTTGCAACCCACGTGGTTTACATCAAGCTCCTTCTCTTTGAGTACCGCCATCGCAAGATGAAGCCTGTCCAGATGGTCCCAGCTATCAGCCAAAACTGGACGTTCCATGGGCCGGGAGCCACTGGGCAAGCTGCAGCCAACTGGATTGCTGGCTTTGGCCGTGGCCCCATGCCTCCTACCTTGTTGGGCATCCGGCAGAATGCTCACGCTGCCAACCGGCGCTTGCTGGGCATGGAAGAATTCAAGGCTGAGAAGAGGCTAGGCAGGATGTTCTACGTCATCACTTTGCTCTTTTTGGTTCTCTGGTCACCCTACATTGTGGCCTGCTACTGGAGGGTATTTGTCAAAGCCTGTAGCATCCCCCACCGCTACCTCTCCACAGCTGTTTGGATGAGCTTTGCCCAAGCTGCTGTCAACCCCATCGTTTGCTTTGTACTCAACAAGGACCTCAAGAAGGGCTTGATCACCCACATTCCCTGCTGGAGGACAGAGCCTGAACTGCCCAGAGAGCCTTATTGTGTGATGTGAGGAGTGCCAAGGGTTGGCTAGAAGGCATCTGCCTGTGCCAAACTGAATTTGAGTTTCATTTCTTTCTTATTTATATATCACACAAGATGCCAAAAGATGGGTCGTTCTGCTTCCCCTGCAATTTTGGCCATGGTTCCCCAGAGTACTTGGTGTCACAATAGACTATGAGCGCTTCAGTTATCCCAGGGCAAATATCCAAAACCACTCATTAACTACAATGAGATCAGAGCTGGATTCTGGTCTCAGCTCCCCTGGGGTAAATCCAAAGCTATACGATGACAGTAACTGGTCCCCAGTAGTGTTCCAGCCAGTGCTTAGAAAGGGTACAAAATATCCTGTGCATCATGGAGTTTTTCTCTTTTTATAGCCCACAAACTCTATCCAGTTGCTTCAGTCAGACACTGCAAAACTCCATAGAACCAACACCAGAAACTTCTGTGTCCATTATTTCAAAGTGTTTGATCTAGCAGCTCTAAAGGTGTGTCTGGCATCACTGAAAAGAGGCCAGATTTTTGTATTTGGATCTCCCAGAGTGAAGCCAAAGCCATCCCACTCACTGGAGCAAAACCACTTCATGCTCAGCAGGGCTGATTTGGCTTTACAGCTGGAGGGTGTTGATGGAAGCAGGGCTCTGATGATGGAATCTGCTTCTGTAGAAGATTAACTCTCCCATTCAGTTATTCATTCCATCAATTAAATCAATTCCACACAGTCTCAGAGTCTGAGGCTAAGTTGAGGGGGCCCCCACAGGGACAGGAAGGCTAGAGGGGCGGAGGAGGAAAGGAGGCAGTAGACACAGTTGTTTAAGGGAATGCCATGGAGCTAGCCTTGACTTGGCTCCTTGTCAGTCAGAAGCTGTAACCAGGGAGCCTTGGAAACCCCACCTCAGTTGCCATGGCAGCAACCAATCCAAGGCCCTGCAGACCATGTCACCCTGGAACAATGCAAGCAGGAAGATGTGGGTGGGGTGTGGGGGAGGAGGAAGCCACCAAGAAATCCTAACGCATTCCCTGAAGAGTAGGAGAAGGCAGAGACATCAACATGCAAGGCAGACAGTGGAGAGCATCCAAGGCTGCAGAAAGTGTAGGGTAACCACAGGAGAATCATGTTCAATGATGTCAATATGGCACATGCCCTGCTAAAATGGAAAGCAAAAACACTACTGTTGCAAGGCATATGTGCCACTATGCTCCCGCCACCCGTTTATTCTCACACATTCAGATCACACTGCACATTGCTTCCTCCTTGCCATCTCACATCATAGAACTGTTTGCACTGTTCTTGTGAGACAATACCAGATCATGTATGGAAAGCTCACCCTTCCCAGAGTTGCTGTCTCGTACCTCTGGGTTTATTCCAGTGGACAAGTTGTCTGTGCTTTGGGTCATTGACAGAAAGAGGACAAATAGCCCTATGGCTCAGAAAAAGGCCTGGTTGTTCTAGTGTCTCTAAGAAGGGAGTCAAGCCTCGAAAAAGGGGGTGTGGGAGGAAGTGTTGCCGTCTCTGAGAGAAGAGGGGTACACTGGGTAGAGTGAGTGGGAGAGAGGACTCCAGTTCTGGGCTGCAGTGGTTGGCTTGTTTATTTATCTATTTATTAAAGAGAAAGGGAAATGTGGGGCTTGGAACTCCTGGTTCTTTTTTCATCTGAACAGATGAATGGGGCCTGAAGTTTAGAGAATCTGGGAGTCCTGAGCTTGCTGGGTTCACCCTTAGTTGTGATACCCATCGGTCCCATTTTGGCTTTACCCCTCAGGCAGGTACTCCCAAAATCCAAGAAAATGAATTACCAGACATATTGCTTGAGGCGTGAAGGTGGGGAGACATGGGACAGCCTAATTCAATGGGACTATTGTTAATGCGGAGGTGCTCCTCGTTGGTTTGGGAGGGGAGGGGAGAAAGGATTCAGGAGGAAAGAGGTGGTTGAGAAATGAGGCCTAGAAGAAGCACTGCTGGGAGTAATGTCAGAGAAAAATGGAGGAGGATGAGTGGAGGGATAAGTCAGGGAAAGTATTAGGAGCAGAGCACAGTTTGGGAGGTGGGAGTAGGGATGGGAGGGTGGGGACATCGCAAACCAGGTGAGGATGCAGGGATTGGGGCCGTCTCCCACTTGCTCCCCTTCAAAGGACCCAGATGCTGACTTTTGCCTCTGAAGACAAGACTGTTCGTCTTATCCTCCAGTCCTGCACCCACTGAATGGCCTTAAATCACTGGCCAGCATTATGGCCACTCTGCAGAAAACTGTATTTGAAAAAATATGGGAGATGAACACAGATTATTTCCAGGATGCTTTTTCTGGAAAGAGACTTGAAAGAAGTTGAGATGTTTTTGTTTTTAAAAAGGAAATCGAATAAAGAAATTGCAACTTTAGTGGGAGAGGGAGGGTTGGGTGGGGGGCACAGGACAGATGGATGGATGTGTGTCCCCTGCAACATACGCTTCTGAACTTCTTTCAGATGGGGGCAGCTTGGGGGGGTGGGTAGGGAATGACTGGATTGAGGGGTGGAAATTGATTTTTGGGGTGGGGACTCTGTTCTATCCTGCCCCACCACCCCCTTTTTGTGTCAAATTTGTTTCCATTCCCTCCTTTTTCTGGGGATTTTCTCATTTTCTTTTCCTTTCCTTTGTTTTTTTATATAAATATATAAAAAACATGGAATGAAATGCAAAATTCCTGGGTGATTCTTTTTGAGTCAGAAGCAAAAAAAAAAAAAAAGGGAATACAAACATTCCGCTGAGGGCTAACATGACATGGAAGACCCACGATCAGAATTCCCAGCAGTGTTTTTAGGCTTAAAGCAGCCCTGCATGTGTTATACTTTCCCCTGCACTGCACTACTTCTTTGATAGAAATTGCCCCCCCCAAGTTACTATTAGGTATGGAGGGAGAAAAGACAGGTATGTTGTGGGTACTTGCCCTCCCTTCCCCTGCTTCTAACAACTGGTGGGGGTGGGTGGGTGTAATTTCCCTCAGGGGACATGCACAGGAAAAATGCTTAATTCCTCTCTCCCTGTGCTGTGGCCCCAATTATGTCATGTGAGTTGAACCTGGAAAATATTATCACAGTTCTTGGAAACTTCAATTTTTACCAATGGAAAGTTAAAGAGCACAAGGATTATAGTTGCCACCTTTACTGTGTTCAGATGGTGCTTTTGAAAGAGCAGAATGCCTTTTCCAACAGTGAAAGTTCAAGACTGCAAAGTGAAAGTCTGCTTTTGTGCACAGTGCCTTCCTCCATGATGGGAAGCACTTTAAAAACGTAGACAGAATGCCTTGGAGTATAAGCAGCGTGTCCCCTTCAGCTGTGGGGAAATAATGGAATCACCAACCCCACAATTTGTTGTCACTTTGCAGACTCCTCTTCTGGCAAATGGCCAGGATGAAATGTTGACAAATTGACAATCCTAATGGGAATTCTCAGCTGTAATCCCAGATGGGATTTAATGCAATAAACAACTTTGCACATGGGAGCCCACTTGCATCTGCTTTCAGTGTTAGGGCCCCAATATAGGGGCAAATGATATTAACGCATTTGCATGTAGATGCACTGGCCAGTGAGACAGAAGATGTCTCTCTCTCGCTTACTTTTCCCATACCTCCAATCTAGCCTTTATGATTCTGGATGCAACACAAAATTACCACTAGGAAGGCCTGAGCCCCAACTCTTAAATAATAAAAAATAATAAACCCATAATGACAAAGGCAGCAAAAACTGAACATTTGAAAAGCTTTTGTAAATAAAAAGGTCTTGATCACCTGGCAGAAGCCATCTAAACCTGGCTGGCAATGGTTTCTTAACGGGCCCAGCAACAGGGGCTCCACCACTAGCACAGCCCAACACTAGTAATAGGGGTGGTTAGTCTCTCTTCTACCCCAGGAAGAGGCTTTGGCTGAGCCCTTCCCTCAGGCTCCTCAGCCACTCACTACTATTTGTCTGTGTCTCCTACTTGGCAACAAGTGGCGGAAGGGTGTAATAAAGAGGCAGGGCCAAGCCTCTCTTGCTGGTCCAAATGCACAAGAGGTGGCTAGGTGTGTGACAGGGAGAAAAGCCATAGGAACAGGGTGGTATTGTTATAAAGGCTTTTGGCCCATGACTTGTGATTGCCTATCCCTAGTGTATAAATATGGTCTTCTCTAGAAAAGCTATTCTATATGGGCACTTCCATACTGCTATTTTTGATCACATGCCAGCAAATTCTAAATGTGCAATTACAGTCGAGTAGGGAATCTTATGCAACAAGTCCACTCCCCCAAAAGATTGGACATTTTGTGTTAAGTTGATGGGGAAATGCACTAGGATGAGCAGGATAACACTTGATGTAATGTCAAATTTGGCTGCCCCACAAACAAATGGGGATGAATGTTCACCTCACAAACAGAAGGTACACAGAAGAGCGACAACCTATAGCTGAGGGAACAAGGGTGTCTCACATCCCGTGGATCTCCTTAATATCTTTACTCAAACAGAGGCAGCCATGTTTCTTCTGGCACTTAAGCCCCAACTCTGAAAGCTAGAGTTGCTTTGCTGTACTGTACTTTGTTTTACCAACCCAATCAGGAAACACATGCTCTGGCAGATAGCCAGTTAAGCCAGTCCCAGAAAAGGTGCATTGCTTTTGTCTGGTCTCCAGAGCTGCTAGACTCCATCCGAACATGCTCTGCTCACATTCCACCAGATTTTCTCTGTCTGCCAACCTAGCTCCATCCACAGCACCTATCTTGAAATAAGAAGCTGGCTAACCTGACACAAAACAAAGAAAAGTTGACACGGAATTTAGAGAGACTGCAGTCATTCTTAATATTTATTTATTTCTCAATCAATCAATCAATCAATCAATCAAAATGTATATACAATTTGATAGTAAAGAAACCTCCAAGCAGTTTACCAAAATGTGTTGGTGCTGCACTATAAATGTAACAGGTTTCCCCACAACTGTAGGGACTTTGCCATCCTCTGCTGCACTTTGAGGTGACCAGGGAAAAGCTACAATGCTCTTAACTGTGTGGCATTTCAGAACTGCTGTATTGGTGAGAGGGATACGCCACTTTCCATTCTCGAGAAGGAAGGTAGGACATAAATGTAATTTAGCACAGGAAACTTGGTTTTTATTTCTTCTAACCTTGAAAAACCCCTCAAGGTATAAATAAAACCAGTAGCTTAAAATATTCATTATTTTTTAAAATTATGAATTTAAATGCAGGTCAACTTTACATATCTGGGTCAGCCTGCTGAAACAGATTTTTTTTGGCAGGTGCCCCAAACAGTACAGCAAAGGCACTTGCTTGATGTCAAGGTGCAACTTGTGGGGGGTGTTCATCATAGGAGAAAACATGCCAATGTAAGCCACGTTTTAGCAAAGACAAAAAGATCTTTATAAAAAACATTATCAGAGGAGAGGCTATTTGGACAATGGTGTGCTAAAGGAAGAAAAGGAGACTGCAGAGCTGAATGAATTCCTTGCATCTGGTTGGGGTGGAAGCTTGCAGGATCTTGGAGCTCACTTTCACAGGAAGGGAGCCTGAGGATTTGAGGCAAACAGCAGTGACAAGAGATGAAAATTCTAGTCCCTATGGGGAAAGGCTAATCTGAGGCCTATACCATCTGGTATCCTATTGGCTTGGCAGTCACCCACTTGGCTTTAAACTGTCTTAACCCATTTCCTGTGTTCCCTAGGCAACCCTCCCCCCATATTTTAATGTGAACATTTGTTTCAGGCAGTGATCAATATCACAATGACTTATCTTTAGGGCAATTAGCATATGTAAATGAAAACTACCAACCACCAGGATAGCTGACAATTAATTTAGAGCCTGTACAGAACACTTCTATTTCAGAGCTGCCTGGGCTTCAGCCTTGAGGAATCCCAGTTGACAAGGACAAAGCCTTGGTTGCACAACCTCCCTATCATCCAACTGCTTCTTTGGCTTTCCATAAATCAACCCTGGGAGAAGAATCCTTGCTTCCAAAAGCTGGATCATAGAATTGTAGAGTTGAAAGGGACCCAGGGGTCATGCCGCAATGCACCCATGGCAGATAGCCACCCAACCTCTGCTTAAAAGTCCGCAACCTCTCGTGGAAGGCTGTTCCACTGCTGAACAGCTCTTACTATCAGAAAGTTTTTCTGAATGTTTAGTTGGAATATCCTTTCTTGTAACTTGAATCCATTGGTTCAAGTCCCATCCCCTGGACACTAGACTTCTGTTGATGCAGCCCAGAAGAGCATTAGCTTTTTTGGCTGCTGCATCACCCTGTTGACTCATGTTAAGCTTGTGGTGCACTAAGACCCCTAGATCCTTTTCACATGTACTGCTAGTAAGCCAGGTGTCCTCCATCCTTTATTTGTGCATCTGGTTCTTCCTGAAGAACCTAACATTTGAGCTAATTTCCTGCAAGACATTGCAAAAATCTCATGAGATGCCACATAAATCTTCTGAGTTCACCAAGATCTTGCCAGAAATCAGGGCTGATGCCAGTGCTGCTTCTCTGCCAGTGCCAGAGGTGCCAGGGGCCCCACAGGGCACCACCTTAGGGACTTCTGCCTCATGGCCCTCGCAAGTGGATCACAGGTCTAAATTGTAAAAGTGCCATTCAAGAGTGCCATACAGCAAATATGCCACAGCCTCACAAGTTTTTGGATGGCATTACCTGAAAGCAGGTCAGGAATGTTGTGTGAGAGTGAAGCAGGAATGGAGACCTGTCTCTAGACCACAAGCCAAGCCTGTTGACGTCCTGCTCCTATCCAGGTATGGCACAAACTCAAACTGCCAAGGCACTCACCTACCCACCAAACGGTCACCTATTAATCAAGAAAGAACACTGACACCCCTAGATACTATCACTAGTCCCTGGTTTTTTTAGTGGAAGCTCTCTTTATACTGCCCTACAATTCTGTCTTCCCCCAACATTTAGCTTAAAAGGCCAAAGTTGTACTGTGCCAGTTTCTGTGAGGGGCTGAGATGCAAATGAGGTACAGGAGTCTATTATTTTTAACATATTTAAGTATTGTCAGACAATGTTCTTCATCCAGCATAATGGAGTAGCCAGTACTTACTTCTAAGCTAGATGAAAAACAAATCTCTACATAGAAATTGCGGGCAAATCCTAAAATGAGTTAAGGTGTAAAAAGGTTCACATGAAATTACTATCGGTATTTGGATTTCAAAGATAACCCTAATAGTTGAAAATGTAATCTACATTAAAAAGTAACTTATTCTCAGTTGTAGCTGAAAAGGCCATAATCAAGTTCTCTGTTTAACATATTATTTGCATGTACAGAATGACATTTTTGAGTGTCCCAAGTGCTTTGCATATTACTTCAGTAACTCCTTGGAGACACCACGATAAAATCTGAGGGCTCTGGGGGAGTCGGAAGGGACATTTTAAATGTGAACTCGCTCCTGCTCTTCTTGTCCTTGTTCTTTGCAACATAATACTTCCTTTACCACTAGAAGCAATCTCTAAGAGAAATTGCTTCCATCTTCTTCTCTACAGGTCCAGCACCCCCAACAGGCATACTATAAAATGAAAACCTGCTTCCATAGCCTGTGCTCACATTGCCACCTTGTGGAACCTGCTCCCACAGAAGCCTTCCTTTTCCTATTATGCCACTCCAGCTGCAACAAACTCTCTTCATTCCTTTTCTACACAAACATCACTGCAAGACTGCACCATACATGCACTCTTAGGGGAAAACTCTTTGCCACATAGGATATTTTCAGCTTCCTCAACAGGTGCCTTATTATACTACATTTATTTTTATTTCTAAGCCCAGGTAAAAAATGAAGGGCTATTCCAAAAATGCCTCTTGATCCTCTTCATCAAGTTGCCTCATCAGGACAGATTTTTCTTGCATTGAGACAGATACTGATCTCTGTTGCCAGGTACTGTCTCCTTCTATCAGCAGTAGCTCTCCCGGTCCTCAGGAAAAACTATCCTACTGCTGCCTAAGATCCTTTTATGTGGAGTCGATGGAGATTTAATGCTATGACCCTAACCCTACTTACCTGGGAGTAAGCACCATTGAATTGATTAGTACTTAAAGGTAAAGGTACCCCCTGACCGTTAGGTCCAGTCACGGACAACTCTGGGGTTGCATGCTCATCTCACTCTATAGGCCGAGGGAGCCAACGTTTATCCGCATACAGCTTCCGGGTCATGTGGACAGCATGACTAAGCCGCTTCTGGCGAACCAGAGCAGCGCACAGAAACGCTGTTTACCTTCCCACCAGAGCGGTACCTATTTATCTACTCACACTTTGACGTGCTTTCAAACTGCTATGTGGGCAGGAGCTGGGACCGAACAACGGGAGCTCACCCTGTTGTGGGGATTCGAACCGCCAACCTTCTGATCGGCAAGCCCTAGGCTCTGTGATTTAGACCACAGCGCCTTAGTTATGAGTAAAAAGGGATCACTCCTTTGTATTATTTTGTAATTTGTTTCTTAAAAGAATGACACCGGCATATATACTTGCACCAGGAATGTTCAGAATTATGAGATAATGCTGCCATTCTAGTGTATTATAGCACATATAGATGCAGCCGAGAGCATGCCATGCACTGCTTTTGTGTTCTGTTTACTGACCCAGAGAATAAACAGCAGTGAGGAACTGGAAGAAATTTCAGCCTCATTTTACGGTCACTCCCACTCAGTCCAAGTGTTCTACAAATTCCTGCCCTAAATCCAACTGAGTGTAAAAGAAATCTTTTGGAAAGAGCCTCAGCACATTGGTGGAGCACATGCATTTGGTTTTAGATTCAATCCTTGCCACCTCCAGCAAGGGCATAGATCAGGGGTAGGCAACTTAAGGCTCATGGGCCGGATGCGGCCCAATCGCCTTCTCAATCTGGCCCGCTTTGGTCCGGGAATCAGCGTGTTTTTACATGAGTAGAATGTGTCCTTTTATTTAAAATGCATCTCTGGGTTATTTGTGGGGCATAGGAATTAGTTTATCCCCCCCCCCCAAATATAGTCCAGCCCACCACATGGTCTGAGCCCATGGCTGAAAAAGGTTGCTGACCCCTGGCATAGATGGTGAACACCTCTACATATGATCTGGGAGAACTACTGTGAGACGCCTGGGTAGCTCAGTTGCTTAGACTGTGGTGCTGATAATGGCAAAGTTGCAGGTTAATTCCCCATATGGGACAGCTGCATATTCTTGCATTGCAGAGGGTTGGACTAGAATCCTCCGGTTCCCTTCCAACTTTACAGTTCTATGATCACTCTATGATCACTAAACTACATGGGTATTTGTCTGTGACCCATGCTTTAGACCGAATCAGACAAGTATCACTGTAGTTTATTCTAACAATGGTTCCTCCAGATTCTGTGCAGAAGCGCTTTCCATGGATGTGCTCCACCAAAGAGCCAAGGCTGTTCCTGAAAGAAATGTGTTTGCACTCTACTGAGTTCCAGTGCAGCCTCCTCATGTCAGTTTCTGTCCTGGATACAAGCCTCCTTTACTGTCTTTTGTTTTCTTATGTCTTCTCCCTTTTATTTCCAAGTCTGGAAGGAACTGCAACATTCTGCCAGGGTTTCTGCCATTTGTTTTCTGCATCAGGCATCGAAATGTCCAGAAACTGCCTACCTTCTGTCCTCCCAACTGGAAAGGCGGCTCGTCACTTTCCCCTCTGCCCAGGTACATGACGCCATGCTCGCCCTTCCATCACTTGACACGGAGTTATATTTGCCCTTTCAATGTCCTTTCACGCATCCTGGAGAGGTCCTTTCCGAACGCTTCGCAACCTCCCCCCCCCGCACCTTATTATTATATTTTTATTAATTAAACCTGCAGACTGCCCTGTAGACCTCAGGGCGCTCCACAACGAAACATGCCGAAACCACCCGGTGCCGCCAGCAAACGCGGCTGCCGCTTCCCTCCGAGGCCTTGCCGGCCCGGCGGAGAACAGGCGTCTCCCAGGCGAAGCTCGGCGGCTTCTGTGAGGCGGAGGGACATCGGAGACGCGAACGAAGCGGCCTCTCGGGCCGGATCTCGAATTTCCCGCCCTCCGCCCGCAGCCGCCGAAGGTCGCCTTTCGCGCGCCGCTTCTCTCGCGGGAACTCCGCCTGGCGTCCCTCGGCGCCTGCGCCAAAGGAGCACAACCGCGCCCGATTAGCCCTGGTGCGCATGCGCTTCCCACGCCCGAGGGGAGAACCGAGATGCTTCGTACTTGGCCGGACATGGCCGAAACGCGGCCCGTAGAAAAGACCTCGCCGGGGATTGGGCGAGCGAAAGACTCGTTGACCTATCAGTGCCCGCCCGCCTCCCACGTGCCCGCCAGCCCGTCAGCTCCGGGGCCGGGCGCGGGAGGGAGAGCGCTCTGTCGTCACTGGCCCGCCCCCGCTCGCCAGGGACCAACCAGCGGCAGCTGCGCAGCTCCTCGCGCTCGGGCCGTTGGCGAAGCCCGTTTGTGGGGCGCCCCTCCCCCGCTGGTCCCGGCGGTTGGGCTCGCGGCCTCCGGCGGCGCCAAGGGAGCGAGCGGAGCCGGCCATGAGCGGCGAGGGCGGGGCCTGGGACCCGGCGGCCGCCAAGCAGCGGCGTCTGGACCCGGCGCGCCAGTCGCAGAAGGAAACCGAGGCCGCCCAGGCGCTGGCCGACATGACGGCCTGGAGCGGCGGGAGCCTTGGCGGCGCCGGCCGGCAGGGGGCGCGCGAGGCCGCCGCCGCTGCCGCGCCGGAGGATGCGGCCGGCCAGCAGGAGGCGCGCGAAGCCGCTGCCGCCGCCGCCGCCGCCGCCCTCCTCCCGAGCTCCCCCGCCGGGGACTCGGGCGCGGAAGGGACCCCGGGAGCCGCCGGCGACGAGGCCAAGGGCAGCCCCGGGGCGGGCGACGGCCGCGAGAGCCGGAGGAAGAGGAAGGAGGCCCGCGAGAGGCGGAGGCCCGTCGAGGCGGAGGATGAGTGCTCCATCATCTCGGTGGGGGAGGACGACGACGACGACGACGACGAGGAGGAGGAGGAGGAAGGCGAGCCCGGAGGGAGGCCGCCGCCGCCGCCGCGCAAAACGGAGCAGTACCTGGAAGCGCTGGAGGCCGTGCAGTTGGAGCTGGAGGCGGTGAACCAGCAGGCCGGTCGCGCCTTCGCCCAGCTCAAGGCCAAGTTCGGCCACATGCGCCGCCCGCACCTGGAGCGGAGAAACCTCATCATCCGAAATATCCCCGGCTTCTGGGTCACGGCCGTATCCTGCCGCCGGGAAGAAAGCGGGGTTTGAATCAAATAAAAAGCAAAATGAGGATTGTGCTGTTTGTACTGGGCAGGGTGGGCAGGAGCGGGAGAAATCAGGGCTGGGCCGAAGGGGACATGGACGCGTTTGAAGCTGCGCTACGCTTAGTAGGGTGCCTGCTCTGTCCAGCCCAAAGAGGACTGCCGAGGCTTCTCCGAGGTTTTAGGCAGACGAAGAGGGCCCCGGGTTCTGAAAGTTAAGGCCCTCTGTCTCGCTGTCCCAGAGCCTTGGGAAAGCAGCTCTCTCTTGTTGGGCTATTACGAGCGCTGGATCTTGTCTTGGCCAGCAAGAAGCAAATTGCTTCCAGAGGCTTCAATAAGGTATTCCTGCCTTTCTGGATTTCCTCTTGTCCTTCTGCCTTGGCAGGAAATGACAAGCTTTAGCAGACTACTAGGAATTGCAATTTTTATATGCAAATTTTCAGGAAAGTAGTTGAGTGGAGTTCGTTTTCTTGATGTGGCAAGACCCTTGAGGAAGAGAGTTCCTCAAAAATATATAGTTATCTCTTCCATATGATGGATGTGAGAAGTGCAGTCTCAGATTTTCCTGCTATTTATTAACTATATTTGTATATACCCCTTCCTACCAGAATCTTGGACTGCAGTATGTCGGTTTCCTTCCTTAACTTTAATTTTACAGTTTCTCAACCATCCCCAACTTTCAGCCATGATCAATGACCGGGATGAAGACACCCTGAGCTATATGACCAATCTGCAGGTGACTTCAGCAAAGCTGGTGCATGGGGGCATTGATAGATAGTCAAGTTATGGAGGGAAGGAATCCAATTGCAGCTGGAAACCTGGGTTCTTTCTGTTTGAAGGACAGTGCCGTGGGTCAAAGGTTTCATGCTAGCCTTATGATTCTGACATTCTTTGATATGCCAGGTTGAGGATTTCACCCATGCAAAATCAGGCTGCAAGATCAAGTTCTACTTCAACAGCAACCCCTACTTCCAGAATGAGGTCATTGTGAAGGAGTTCCAGTGTGGTTCATCTGGTATGCAGTAGGGACAATATTTATGGGAACAGAACCCCAGATATGATGTGCTGTTGCTCACATCTTCTCCATTTGTGTCTCCATCCTTTCCAGGAAGACTAGTGTCCCACTCTACACCTATCCGCTGGTGGCGTAGCCAGGATCCAATAGCACATGGCCGGAAGAATTTTGGCCGCAGTTTCTTCACTTGGTTTTGTGACCACAGCTTCCCAGCAGGGGACCGTATTGCCGAGGTGGATAGTATACCCTGTCCTAAATTGCTCCTTGCATCCTTATATCCACACTCTTTAAACTCTTTTCTGCTTTCTTATAGATAATTAAAGAGGACCTCTGGCCTAATCCGCTGCAGTACTACTTGATGGGGGAAGGTGGTGAAAATGGTGAAGAAGACAGGTGAGGATGATTTGGTTGGTTGTTTTGCTGGCCTTATTCCCACTGTGTTTTCCAGGGGGGAAATGAATTGGAAAAAGATTCCTATGCAAATAAGGGTAATTAGCATCTAAAATTGTCTGATGCCTGAGTGATCTAATTTAGTAAGTAAGCAAGGTTTATTGTACTAGCCAAAGGCCATGACAAACCATACAAACACTATCATGGAAAGAAATATCTGTATAACTATATAAAAAACAGCCACTTCCTGAACTATCAGAATAAAATGCAGATGCACACATAGATTGGGGACTCCACACAGAATCTAATTTACAGTGGTACCTCCGGTTATGAACTTAATCCATTCTTGAGGTCCGTTCGTAACCGGAAACCACTCGTAACATGAGGCACGCTTCCGCTAATGGCGCCTCCTGCTGCTGCTGCACTGCTGGAGTGTGATTTCTGCTCGGATCCTGGGTCAAAGTTTGCAAAAAGGGGCATCTACTTTCAGGTTAGCGGAGCACGTAACCCAAAAAATTTGTATGGGGGACGTTGACAACACTGTAGTGTTTTTATTATGTTTATTTTGTTTAGTAAACAGAAATGAAAACTTGGAAACTGCCAGGGTGGCCTAATATTTTTTTGCATCCATTTATAATTACTAATGAACATATGAAACAGAAAAGTAAAGTACTGATAATGGTTTCCTGTGAATGCACCAGTCCTACCTCCTTTACTCTTCCTTGCTAGCATATGACAGAAACAAGTCATGATCCCTGGCTTTTACATCAGAACCAGGTATCATGGGTTTATTTTACTCCAAACTTCTCATAGTTTGTTTGAGTGAAACAAACCATGATCTCACGTTTGGACATAGTGCTAAGCCAGGGATTGTAGTTTGTTTCACTTCTGTGCTAGTACAGAGGAGTAAGGTAGAAGAGGTTGGTTACATGGCTCATGAATGATAAACCATTTAATTATGTTTTACCATGACATGCAGTCTGGGCCACTGGGTCTATTGGGTTGTGGTAGGAGTGATACTGTGGGCAAGAATAGAAAGCTGCTGTTGTGTGTGTATGTGAACTCTGTCAAGTTTTGTGGCAGCAGAAACTGCATGAAATCGCAGGGAGGCTGACTTATGAAGAGAGGGATTTGTAATTTGTAGCTGGGAGGCCAGCTGAAAATGATGGATAAATGCTGACACATTCCCTCCTTCCCTTGATGTTTAGTGAGACAGAGAATGGTGATGACTTTGTGGTGATTGTAGATGATGATGGTGAAGAAGAGGATGCGACAGATGTGCATGAGATCATGGATGAGGAGGAGGGTGGGCGAGGTAAGTAGTGGTGGAATAGGGCTGCCCCCCCCCAAAAAAAATTGTGGCAGCTTCTGGACATCAAAGAGAGTATGCTAAATGAAAAATCGTCCTGGCAAGTCAGGGCTCGGGGCAGGGAGGAGGGAGATGTTGATCCAGAAGGGAATAGATGGCTAGCTTACCTCAGAAGCCAGGGAATGGGATTGAGGAACAATGGAAAATCAGAAACGGGAAGGAAAGGGCAGTTCTGGTTGGTAGGCTAGGATAAGAAGTATCTTGATGTATCCCACTTTGCTGATACAGGTGAAGCTGTGGAAGAGGTCCTGAGTGGCCAAGAAGAGGGTGTTACCGGTCCCAGCTCCTCTCTCCGTGAGGAGCCAGATGGGAAAGATTCTGAGGCAGAAGATGATGGCTAGATCATTATGGAAAGACTGTCTGGTTGGACTTCCTCATGGTGACCTCAGTGGCACTTTGACCAATTGCACTTGGACATGGCAGGATATGGTGGTGGGAAGTTTCAGGAGCAGTCACATTGGTTATTTTGTACCTTTATTTATTGCAGCGACTGCATTTCCCTCCTTGCCCTGGGGGTGTGTATGTTGCCACACACCAGCACTCCCCCATCCCCATTGTCTGATGCTTAGCATCTCTTCCTACCTGCCTGCATGGGGGCTATATGCATACTTGCCCTGTCCCCTGTTGGCTACTCAGGGTATAGCCTGCCCAGTGGCCTTTTCAAAACAGCTCAGGGTTCCTTTCTTCCATTCAGCATTATTAAGCTGCTGACTTTCACACCTTCCCTGCACTTCTCCCTGTGAGGATTCTACTCATCCTGTAAACACTTCAGCTTTAGAATGCCCTCTATAGGCCAGTTAGTGCCTCCTGCAGTTGAAACATAGCCCTTACCCTGCTTCCTCCCCAAAGAGTAAGGCCCAACATTTTTGGAAGTCTTCTGACAATAGTACTCTGCCAATTCTCAATGGGTTTAAAATGGTCCCTGCTGATTCAGATGCAGGCCTTGCACCTGGAGGCTTTGCCGAAGCAATAACAGCTCCCTAGTTGCACAATGTTCTGCTTGGGGTTGTTGTGTATGAGGGAAAAGAATGGCTGGCTGGGAGGAGGACTGAAGCGCTCTGCTTTTGTGCCCAGGGATTTCCCAAATGTTCTGGGGTACTGTGGTGGTGTGGGAATATTTCTTGCAGCAGCATGGCACTATAGACATGTATGTGATGTCACCCCACCCTTTAACTATGTATTTATGCATAGTTTCCTAGCAATGTTTCTAAAGCATCATACCTGGTTCGACCCCTTCCTTATCCTTATCCCCATGGAGGCTGCTCTATGCAATGCTACTGATATTTGTAGAAAGGCAACTGTTTTCCTTGGCTGAGTTTTTTGTATATTTCGTATCAGGACTTTGTACGTTTGGTTTTTTTTTTTTTACTACAAAAAAGCACTTAATATACAGAGAGCTTTCCAACTTGGTGTGCGGCTCCTTTCTTCCACCAATGCTTGTTGGAGGTCCACAGCCACAGCTATTCGCAGAAAATGTGTAGAACACAGTTATGCAAATAGGCATGTTCCATCTACATACTTCAGTCTGCACTATACATTAGAGTTCTTTGCAGTACTTTATTGAAAAGAGGAGTAGTGTTGAGCAGTAGGAGAGTGAATAAGTGTGGGAAGGTGATTGCTGAAATTTGAAAAATGGGCTGATAAGGTATTGGTTGTAAAAGCTGCACCTCAAAGGGGTGATGAGTGCAGGTTCAGCATGTCCAGCCACAATATTTTCAGAATAAGTCCCTAAAGAGCCCCCTCCACACACATGGGACTTTGATTTAAGAACTTTAATAGAGAAATGTTGCCAGTGTGCAATGAAGTACTCTGGCTTACAAGAGAGGTTAAATATAAGATAAAAATGTTTCTTTGGATGTGTTTGAAGCAAGAGGAAGAACAAGCAAGTCATAGATCCTCTGTATGGAGAAGACTGAGAAATCCTATTGGATAACAGAAGGCAGAACTGCTCAACACCTACTTTGCCTCAGTTTTCACCCAAAAGGAAGGCAGTGCCCAACCTGGTAATAACAGAATAAATGATAGAATAAATAAAGGAGGGAGCTGCAGCCTTAAAAAGGAAAAGAGGCGGTAAGGGAGCCTGATGAGTTGCACCCAAGGGTACGAAAGGAGCTTACAGAGCTCCTCCAGAGCTTTTGTAATTGAGAATTCTTGCAGAGCAGGTGAGGTCCCTGCAGACTGGAGGCAGGCAAAAAGTGGAAGAAAGACCCTGGTAACTACTGACCAGTCAAGCTTGACTTTGATACCAGGAAAGGTCCTTGAACAGGGGAGCACTTGGAAAAGGATGCTGTAATCACTAAGAGCCAGCATGGTTTCTGAAAACAAGACATGCCAGATTAATCTCTTTTCTGTTTCCGAGTTACAAGCATGATGGCTATTTCTCAACAACTAAACTAAGATGTACAAACATTAAACTGCCAAATACCAGCAACACTGGCAGTTGTTAAAGCCTGTCAGTAGTGGAATCATGTTTTGGTTTATTAAGAGTGCATTTATGGGGGGGGGGGAGGCTTTTTTGCTTGCTGCTTCTTTTTAAATTGCATCCAATAAAGCATCTCAACGTGATTTCTCAATGCAGTACAAACCACATACAAAACTATTGCATACATAAAAGACTTTAAAAAATCAAATTCAGATACTGACTTGGAAAAAAATCTTCATTTAGAAGGTTCAGTTGAATGAGGAAAGTCTTCAGCAGGTGCCAAAAATGCAACAGACAGTGCCTATCCTATCTGATCAGCAAAGGGAAGTAGTTCCAAAGGCCTGGTTCCGACATCATGCAGAATGGAACTCCTGATAGGATGATATCTGCAGATTTTCTTCTGCAGAATGTAGTGATCAGCTGGATGTATAAGGGATAAACAATGTTTTGGGTAACCTGGTCCCAAACTGTATGGACATTTGGTATACCAGCACCAATTCCTTGAACTTAGCTCAGTAGCTAATGCAGCCAGTGCAATGCTTTCAGTAGTGGCATAATATTATGGTGATATTCAAACTCAAGGGCAGCTCCACATAGAGCACATTGCAGTAGTCCAATCTGGAAAGCAGTGCACGGACGACAGACAGTGGCCAGGGCCAGTAGCTGTCTTGCCAAGGTTGGTAAAAGGTTGAGTCACAGAGGTCACCTGGGCCTCTAGCACCAGAGATGGATCCAGGAACAGCGCCCTCCCCCAACCTCCTGCCCAGATCCTAAACCTGCTTGTTCAGGGGGAGTTTGAAACCATATAAAGTCAGCCCATCAGGTTGAGTTACTTTAGACTAGCCATGCTACTTCTTAAGACGCAAGACCTATTCAAATATGCAGCCGCCTCCTTTTGCCCTCGGAAGCGACTCAGTGCAGGCAGGAGGGGGTCCTGCCTTTGTTTCTTTTTGAGAATGTTTGAGTTCATTCTCGTTGGAGAACAATGGCTTGGCTACAAGGCAGCAACTGGAGCGACGGAATATTTTCTGGAAAAAATACGAGATGACTGGTAGTTTAGAAATTTTAACTTTTGTATTCAGAAACCAAAGCAATCCTCTCTCGGCCCCCTCCTTACCCTTCGAGGAATTGAGCAGCCTTCTCCCCGGCGGACACTCGGCCTCCCTCAGTCGCCCAGGTGACTCGGCGCGGCTCCGTCCCGGCGGAAACAGGCGCCTCCTCCAAGGGCGGAAGCCCCTCCCCGGCGAAGGGGGCGGGGCCTCCGGGGAGAAACATGGCGGCGCTGAGGAGCGTGAAGGTGAGGCGGCGGCGGCGGCGGCGGGGAGGGGCTGGCGCCCAACCCCGAGAGCGAGGCCGGCGCTCCTGAGGGCCGTGAGAGAAGCCGGGGCGATGCCTTTCCCGAGATGCTGGGGAAGCAGCTGCCGCGAGGAAGGCGCGTGTCTGAGGAGGCGCCCTGGCGCGCCAGCTTGGGGTCTCCCCGGCGGGCAGAAGCGCCACGAGGCAGCTTCTCCCAGGGAAGTCATGGGGTGGTCTTCCCTTTGCTTCCAACAGCGTTATGACAGGCGCCCCCCCCCCCCCGTGAAGCACAGGAGCTCTGTCGGGGGGAAGGAATGATGGGCACTGCTGGCACCTTTTCCACCCAGGGAATCCTGGGCAGCACCGGGGTGGGACTGAGCCTGGAAGGCATTTAACACTTTCGAACCTCTTGGCACGCCTGCTTTACCTGAAGGATAATGTTCTCTTTGTTCTCTTGACTTCCAGGGAGTGGTTGGCCTGGTGACCGGTGGGGCTTCAGGCCTCGGCCGGGCCACGGCAGAGCGGCTGGTGCAACAGGGAGGCAGCGCGGTGCTTGTGGATCTGCCCAAGTCCGACGGGGAGAGCGTGGCCAAATCGCTGGGAGAGAGATGCATCTTTGCTCCGGCTGATGTAGGGATTTTTCAAAGGGGGATTTGATAAAGAGGTTGTACCCATAGAGGAGCAGCTGAGCTAAGTGGTTTCCTCTTCTTTCCCAGGTAACATCAGAGTCAGATGTGAAGGCTGCCCTAGCACTGGCACGGGAAAAGTTTGGCCGTGTGGATGTGGCAGTGAACTGTGCTGGGATTGCAGTGGCTGTCAAGACCTATAATATTAAGAAAGACCTTCCTCACAACTTGGAAGACTTCCAGAGAGTTATTAATGTGAGCATTAAGAAAACCCTAGTCCATTACTGTTATTGGTTTGTCATCAAGTGTTCTTGCTCCAACCATTTCCCTAACAATTCTTGCCTCACAAAAACAGCAAAAAAATTGAGATACCTTACTGAGCAAGTGGGATCTGTAACAAAATGTTGTCGTGTGGAGTGTTCCTCTTCAAGGTGCCTGTCAGCCAGCCATACTCTGCTCCTTTTCAAGTTACAGTGGTACCTCGGGTTACATACACTTTAGGTTACATATGCTTCAGGTTACAAACTCCGCTAACCCAGAAATAGTGCTTCAGGTTAAGAACTTTGCTTCAGGATGAGAACAGAAATCGTGCGGCGGCAGCGGGAGTCCCCATTAGCTAAAGTGGTGCTTCAGGTTAAGAACAGTTTCAGGTTAAGTACGGACCTCCGGAACGAATTAAGTACTTAACCCGAGGTACCACTGTACTCCTTTTCATCCTCCTTTTTCCATTTCCATTTCAACTCTCCCCCCACCCACTACTCCCTCAATTATTTCTCATAAGGTTTGGTTTGCAGACCCTTAATAATCTTGGTCACCCTTCTTTGCACCCAGTATTCTTAAATTGTGGTGCCCAGAACTGGACACAGGACTCTAGGTGTGGTCTGACCAAAGCAGAACAGAGTGGTACTATTACTGCCCTTGATCTGGACACTACTGTTGATGCAGCCTATAATAGCATTAGCTTTTTTGCTGCTGCATTCCCTTCTTACATCTCAGCTCCTCTGTAAGCTCCTTTTGCAGCCACACTGGTTTCTTTTGGTGCCTCCCAATTTTCGTTCTTGTTGGAATTGTTAGCATTTGTGCCTATAGTTTACCTTTAAGAAACTTCCAACCATTCAGACTCCCTGCTATTTGAGTATTTCTGACCATGTGATCTCATGGTGTTTTTGAAAGCAGCCTTCTTAAAGTCCAAAGTGCACATGTCTGACTGCACTCAGCTTTCCCTTGCCTTTGTATCATGAAACCAAGTAAATGATTGCTTCCTCCCAAGTTTCCTAGTACTTCCATTTCATCAGTCAGTTACTCCCTGTTGGTGAGGACAAGGTCCAAGATAGATGATCCTCTTGTTGCTTCTTCTACCTTCTGGGAAATGAAATTGTTAGTGAGGCAGTGGAGGAATTTGTTACATTCTTGGCAGAGCTTGATATCCAACAGATATTGAGGTAATTGAAGTCTTCTATGACTATTATCTCTTTCTTTTTTGAATGTTTGGTAATCTGCTCTAGGAAGGAATCGTGCAAATCTTCAGTCTCGCTTGGAGGTCTATAGCACACCCACAATAAGGTTACTGTTGTTTCCCTCTCCTACAGTTTTTACTCATATAATCTTTTACATATAACACTATTCATCCCTTCCTGTTTGGTCTATTCCTTCTAAACAAGTTGTACCCCTCAGTTTCCACGTTCTAGTCATGAGTCCGACCCCACCAGGTTTCAGTAATGTCCACTATATTGTATTAAGAACTCAAATTCATCTTGCTTGTTTCCCATACTCTGTGCTTTGGTATAGAGACAAGCAGACCAAGTCATTCCTTCCAGCTACTTCCTTCTTGTAGTTTCCTTCCCTTTAGCAGGTTTCTGTTGCAGGACCTCAGCTTCCTGTGCGTGAGCGAAGCTATTATCGCCAGTACCGGGGGTTCTCCTTTCAACTGTCTTCCTGCCCCTCAGGATTTGGATTAAAGCTTTCCTGATCAGGTTCATGAGACTCAGAGCAAAGACCTTCTTGCCAACCGCTATGAGGTGCCACCCATTTCTTGCCTGAAGTCCTTTCTCAAGGAAGCAGAGACCTTTCCTGACAACACCATGCATACAAGCCACTGTTTTCCTTCCAGTATTTCCCTCTTTTCCTGGGCCATGACATTCAACAGGGAATCATGGAAGAACCACCTGTGCTTCAAGGCCCTTCAGATTCCTGCCCAGATTATAATAGTCGCTTGCTGTATGTCAAAGGCTGTGTTGGGCAGTATTGTTTGTACCCCCATCAGAAGGAAGGATTGAGTTTAATATTAATATTTGACTTAATGATTTTGAGTGACAAGAGGGTGTTTGCTAGGCCCAGAGTTCTAATGTGATGAAGTAAAGGTGATGTCTTTCACTATTGGTTTGAAAGGGGTAAGGAAGGGCCAAGCTTTGGGGTGCATAACCTCCACCTGCCTGTGTTCCTCAGGTGAATATTGCTGGAACATTCAACGTAATCCGTCTGACTGCAGGTGAGATGGGACGGAATGAGCCCGACTCAGATGGGCACAGAGGGGTAATCATCAACACTGCCAGTGTGGCTGCCTTTGAGGGGCAGGTAAGTCTCAAGCCTCCCCTGCCAGCTGTATGAGACAAAGGGAATCCCCTGTGTTACAACACGAAAAAATCTGATCAACAAAAGGCAACACGTGGGCAATATTTATTAAACACTATCAATTGTTTCTTAATTCATAAACAAAAGCCATATAATATGTGCAAGAAGTCACAGGAAGAACTGTTCTGTTTGCTGTTTGTTGTTGCTGTGCTTACAGCACCACCCGGCTCGTTCATTCTCAACCAAACTTTGATATAGATATGAACTGTGGAAAGGCTTTCTGCCTCAGCTTCAGTGTTACTTTGTGGTTACACACCATTCTAAGCTTGTTGATGGAATATTTATTTGACTTCTGTTAGTTCATGACTTCTTGCACGTATTATCCCACATGTTGCCTTTTGCTGATCACATCCACTGCCAGCTGGCCTGGTTGGCAACACCCGGCTGACACTACCTTAAAGCAGTATACACACAGGTGTCCTATGCGTAGTGCCATTCTTACAGAAGAGCGGGACCATAAAGGTCTTTGTTGGATTGCAACTCCCACCAGCCCCAGCCAGTATGGGCAGTGGTCAGGGATTATGTCTGGAAGACCTGAAGTTCCCCACTTCTTCTGCACAACATCAGTAGAATAGTCTAGGGTTAATAATTGCTCTGCTTTGTCCCAGAAACATGGAGACTGTAAGTTACTGAGCAGAGGAAAACATCTTGTATCTCAAGCTCGATAAAACAGATCATCATCATATTAAAATTCATAATAATTCTATGCCACCCATGCTCCAAGTTGGGCAGATGTTGTATTGACAGGATTAGCACCAGGTACTCCCACTATGTGTGCCCCAGCTTCTACTGCACTGTACAAGGGATGCACCTGACAGACAACAATGCTTTGCTGGAATTTCTGGGAGCGCTGTTGCCTTACTTGGGTTGTGTGTACATATGTGCCCGTTCTGAATGTGTAATGGCAGGGGAGTACAGTAAAATGGAATATTCATTTCATAAGGTTAAAAAAAATCACAGGTTTGCTCTTGGTTCACAAGATGACAAGAGACTTTGTATTGAGAGGCAGGGTTTAGGCATCAAAGCTGAATTAACTCAAAGATGACCAGCCTCAAGCTTTGAGGCAGCCAGTGATTCAGAAAACTTCTACCCAGCAGTAGAGAGAGTGAGAGACTTACAGGTTTGCCTATGAAACTCGGGCAGGCTTGTGTTCTGCCCTGTTCTCCTATACCACACTGGTCTGCAGACTAAAGGTGTACCAAGGCTGAGGCAAGGGGCTATATATGTTTTTCAGCAAGGAATAGAGTAAGGATTATCTTGTACCAAAGACACTGGCCATTGTTATGTTACCTTCAGAGTTTCCCCACAGCTTTATAAAAGGTAACCTAACAATGGCCAATGTCTGCTCCTGGATGTTGCTGAACCATAACCCCCATCCCTGGCCATTGGCTGTGCATTCTGGGTGAGGCTGATAGGAGCTGTAATTCAGCAACATCTGGAGAGCTGAAGTTTTCCCACACTTGCTTAAAGGAGTTTGGATGGAGGGCTGGGAGGAAATTTCCCCCCAAACCTGTTTAAGGACTTCCAGTGACTTGCTTTCTACCCCCTCACCTTGCCCCAATTAAGAGTGACTTCAGATTACTGCCTGCCCTGCTCAGGCTTCCTATACCTCTGGCAGGCTTGTTGCAGTGCTACGCAATCTCCACACCCTCCACATATGCATTTCAGAGAACACTTGTGACTTTAATAAGGGTTTAGAGCGCCATTGTTTTTTTTCCCTCCCCAGGTTGGCCAGGCTGCCTATTCCGCTTCCAAAGGAGGCATTGTGGGAATGACACTGCCCATCGCTCGGGATCTTGCACCTTTGGGGATCCGAGTAGTTACCATTGCACCAGGTAGCACTCCTTCCTTGAATCTGGGCTTTGGGTAAGGAAGGTGCTCTTGGAGGGTGCTCAAGGCTGTAATGGCAGGATTGTATACTCCACAGAACTTGGTACAGAATTCATTAGTGGGGGTAGTGCTATCTGTATACATTTATGCAAATTTGCCTTTTCCATATCCTATCCAGAATATCTTGCATATTTAGTCATAGGCATAGGGCTGTATGTGGCACTGAACTTCTGGAATCCTTATTGAACCACCTGTCACATTTCTGATTTCAGCAGGTGCTGACCATGCACTTTTGAACCTATCTTTGCAGCTGTAAGTCCTAGAAACTCATTTTAAAACAAAAACTAAGCTTATTAGGAAGCTAAATTCTGCACCCAGCAATGCATTCTGTGCTCCAGTAATTGTGGCACACTCACACAGTGCTCTGCTTAATAGGCATTGTAAAAGTGTAAAGAACAGAGACTGGGGCAACCCTGAGTGTGCTTTTGTTTTTTCCAGGTCTCTTTGCAACACCTCTTCTGGCATCACTTCCTGAGAAAGTGAGGACATTCCTGGCACGGCAGGTGCCCTTCCCAAGTCGTCTTGGTGCTCCGGAGGAGTATGCCCACCTGGTGCAATGCATAGTGGAGAACCCCATGCTCAATGGTGAGGTGATCCGGCTTGATGGGGCTATCCGAATGCAGCCCTGAACTGTAAGCTTGGCCCTGGAAGAGCGAGAGGGTTTGCTTCCCCATCACAAGTCAGGGATTGTTTCTCTGCCCACTGGACCATAATCATGGTACTTTTGAATCTGCTGATGATTACAGCTGCCTCCGCTATGCTTCCTCAGCTGGAATCTAGGTTAGCAAAAGCAAATGATTAACATCTGGACTATAATAAATGGACTATAATGAATTAATTGTATGCTCCTCTTCTCTTGCTGTATGAGTCTTCTCATCCCTTGCTAGTGGGACAATCTAGAAAACCCTATGCTCTAGTCTTCTAATCCACTAATAAGTCCCTGTTCCAAATTTGCAATGCAATCCAGGAGCCCTGTCTCTGTTTTACTACCAAAGACACCTGTGATTCTGTTTGGTGTTGATCTTCTTTGTCTCTTTTACTCAGTCTGTGATGAGGATAACATGCATGTGCAACACACACACACACAAATCTGAGAGTGAAGGAAAGCAAAGTCTTATTAAAACAAATTGTGCAAATAAAGTAGGCAACTTATTTCTAAAGCTTTCAAATTATTTAGAGCTCTTGGGGGGGGGGAATAGCAGTAGTAGTGTGGAGTAGCAAAGCAAGTCAGGAAGTATGAAAGGAAGAGTGGTAGTTAGAGGGGAGTATGTTAGTGTGGGGCAGTGAAGTCCTATACCCTGGCTATGACCACAACCAGTTTATACTGCCTGTTCTCTGGTTTTTGAATTAGAAAACTCAGATACCAGACTTCTGTAGCCAGGAAAAGCTGTGTATCAGATAGTGTTGCTGCCCATGAAAGCTGAGAATCGCAGTTTATGGGGGCAGAGTGGCTTTCTGGACTCCAGCCTTAGTCTTGCTACTGCATAACTGCAAGCACCAGCAAGTATGGTCAGGCCCTGCTGAATTTGTTTTTAGCTTGCAGGCATTAACATACAATAAAGGGGTTTTATTATACTTTATATTGTATGGCAATGATGATGAGGTGTATGTTTGTATACCACCCTTCATCCAAAGATCACAAGGCTGTTCAGAACATAATGTATTTTATATAGACTTGTTCACTTCTTAGATATTTTATATTAAGAATTTATGAATTCTTAAAATAATCTTTAGTCCCTGTTGAGAGCAAGAAGCTGACCGTGCAGTTTGCCCCAGTGGCTTTGATCTTGTATTTCTTGGCTGTTGTGGATAAGCAAACCATTCTGAGCTAAACCACCTACAGATCCCAGAAATACTAGCACCTGATCCTGAGGAAAAGCTGTATAGAGATGTTCCCTTGGAGTTCCACATTCTGTTGTTAAGGCACTCTGTTCTGTGATGTGTGTGCAAAACAAACCACCCTAGCCCCTCACTCTCATTCTCTTCTCCGAGGACCCATTCACACATTAGGGAAGCCAGTTCACTCTACACTTCACTTAACAATCATATGGTAAGACATTTATGCAAAGTAGCTTGCCATGTGGTTGGGCAACATTTTACACTGGTATAGACATCCACGTGGAGCAGTCTTCAGGCAATAACATGGAAACTATGGTCTAACAAACATCAGTTGCTTTGTCCTTGTAATTCTACATTACAGCCAGCAGATGACTCCCTTTGTAAATACTGCACAAAAAATACTTTACTGAAAGCAAAGCCTTCATTCCAGCCAGATTTGGAACTGGGTTTGTTTTGCTTCAGTCAGCGGCTGCTAGTGTTAAACTGCAAGTGGTACTGGGCTGTGGGTACATTGGAGTAGACCTCTTTCTCCATATACTGTAAACTGTAAAACAAAGAACAGAAGTGTGTTCAGTGGAAATGTTTGTCACTTCATTAGTGCCAAGGAAGAGTCAGCCTTGGCGTCTGTTTTCAGTAGCAGGACGTAACCTAGGAAGAAAAGATGAAAATGCCTCTGAATATGTGCCTAATGCATCTCCCTCACCTCTGGATCACAACAAAGAGCAGTAAGGATTAGGGGGAAGAAAGGCATTGAGTGCAGGTGGTGGTGCTTCTAGACAAAGCTCAGCCTGTCCTTCAGGGTACCTGCAATTCTCTACCTGAGGAGGCTGCCTCATTTCCACCTTCCGGGGGCAGGGAGGAATCTTTCATCCTTGGCCTACTCACTTGGACTTCTGTGCATCCGCCAGATCCTGGTTGTAGGCATCCAGGCTCTTCCTCAGCTGCTGGCGGAAATTCTGCTCCTGCTGCTCCATCTCCATGGCGGCACGGCCAGCCAACTCCCGCTGCCGGTCCCATTCAGCCTCCCTCTGCTGCTCTTCTTCCCGCAGCCTCTAATAGAGTGGGAGAGTATAGGCTCAGGCATAATGCGGCTGATAGAAGTGAAAACTATTTCACCCCTGGGTAAAATCTCTACTCTTGCTACAAACTCACAAGCCACTGTTCTCTCAACCGTTACCTAACCCCCTCAAATGTTAATATGGAGTTGGTACTGTCCTCCCTTACAGGGCTGTTGTAAGGTGTTCTTGAGTTAAGCAATGTAAAAGCTGAACTGTGATTTATATTTTGTATTTTGAACTGTGATTTATATTTTATATATATATTGAGAGGGAAACAGAACCTTTGTAACATTCCAGCTGCCTACATCTGTCACTTCCTACTGGCATAGGAAAGTACCATTAGAAGCTCAGAAGGAGGGAAAGATAAGACTCTGATCTTTCATCTGGGAAAGAAACACCATCCAAAATTTTGTAAAACCCCCCCCCCAAGCATAACAGAGGAATTCAACATAGCACCAAGTGGGGTGGGTGTGCACAGAACAAGGTCTGCTTGCGCAACAGGACTTCCCATCTCCTTCCCCTGTGTGCCCCCTAAACCTACTTTGGGGGTTCCTCCAACTCTGCAAAGCAGATTTAGGGGGTGATGGGGTCCCACCGCGTGTGCGGCCCTCATTCCATGCATGCAATAACTTAGTTGAATCCCACAATAAGGAAAATGCTCTTAAAATGCATAGACAAGGGCTGTGCTTAGGCCAATGTACCTGCTGCTCTCTTCTCTCCTACATAATGGACCATTCTTGAGCTTACAAGGGAAAGCATTCCATGTTACTTAGCTCCACTGTGCTCTGGACAGGTAATGGATTGCCACCTAGTTTACACACACCTTGCATATTATGCAAAGAGTGACTAGTGGGGTGCCACAGGGTTCTGTCTTGGGCCCGGTCTTATTCAACATCTTTATCAATGACTTGGATGATGGACTCAAGGGCATCCTGATCAAATTTGCAGATGACACCAAACTGGGAGGGGTGGCTAACACCCCAGAGGACAGGATCACACTTCAAAACGACCTTGACAGATTAGAGAACTGGGCCAAAACAAACAAGATGAATTTTAACAGGGAGAAATGTAAAGTATTGCACTTGGGCAAAAAAAATGAGAGGCACAAATACAAGATGGGTGACACCTGGCTTGAGAGCAGTACATGTGAAAAGGATCTAGGAGTCTTGGTTGACCACAAACTTGACATGAGCCAACAGTGTGATGCGGCAGCTAAAAAGCCAATGCAATTCTGGGCTGCATCAATAGGAGTATAGCATCTAGATCAAGGGAAGTAATAGTGCCACTGTATTCTGCTCTGGTCAGACCTCACCTGGAGTACTGTGTCCAGTTCTGGGCACCACAGTTCAAGAAGGACACTGACAAACTGGAACGTGTCCAGAGGAGGGCAACCAAAATGGTCAAAGGCCTAGAAACGATGCCTTATGAGGAACGGCTAAAGGAGCTGGGCATGTTTAGCCTGGAGAAGAGGAGGTTAAGGGGTGATATGATAGCCATGTTCAAATATATCAAAGGATGTCACATAGAGGAGGGAGAAAGGTTGTTTTCTGCTGCTCCAGAGAAGCGGACACGGAGCAATGGATCCAAACTACAAGAAAGAAGATTCCACCTAAACATTAGGAAGAACTTCCTGACAGTAAGAGCTGTTCGACAGTGGAATTTGCTGCCAAGGAGTGTGGTGCAGTCTCCTTCTTTGGAGGTCTTTAAGCAGAGGCTTGACAACCATATGTCAGGAGTGCTCTGATGGTGTTTCCTGCTTGGCAGGGGGTTGGACTCGATGGCCCTTGTGGTCTCTTCCAACTCTATGATTCTATGATTCTATGATACTCATCTGTATTGCCCATGTCAGCACATTCCCACCATTTTCTGGACACCCTCTTAGTTGAATTAGTTACGAAGGAACTTGTGTAACTCACAAGCTTTCTTGCTGCAGCATCAGCTATGCCGCCACTTGCCTGCTTCTCCTTACACTGCTCCTCCTGTGCTTTCCGCACAGCCTCCACTTCTGCAGAGGTCATCCCCTTCCAGCGGTCCGTGATCACATGGTGTGGGCCCACAAGGCTTTTGGCGATGTCAGGGTTTTCTGTCAGGAGGTCACCTGTCAGGTGGTTGTAGATTTCTGCATAGTTATTGTCCTGCTCACGCTGCTGGGCCAGACGCTGCTGCTCAGCAACCTCTGCAGCCTGGTTTGGGAAAGGAGTAGATGGGATGCTGTTGCATCTAAAGCCTTGTGCTCATGTCTTTCTAGCCCAGCCTTTCCCAACTTGGTACTCTCCACATGTGTGCACTACAACTTCCACTAGCCCTGGTCAGCATGCCCAGTGATCAGGGATGATGGAAGTTGGGAGTCCAAAACATCTGGAGGTTGAAGAATGATGCAGATGAATAGCTAATTAATATAGGAAGGTGGTACCTGGGCTCGATTAAAGTCAGCTATTGCCATGGCTTTGGCCTTGCGACACTCTTCCTCCAAACGTGCCAGTTCCAGGGCTCGTAGGTCCAGCTCTATCCTCTTTTTGTCCTCCAGGCTGTCTACAAGGAAAGCAGGTGTTCTGGCATGCAGTCAAGCTATGTACACACACACACACACACCTGATCCTCCCATAAGGCAAAGTGAGGCAGTAGATTTGGAATGGCATAAGAGTAGCAGAATGGGAGACAGACACTAACTGTTTCAGTAGGGCTTGTGATGCTGGTAGTAAGTTAAGTGATGACTTCCTTCTCCAGTTCCAACAGTGGAAGACTGGTCAAGGAGAAACATGGTCACTGCTTGCATTAGCACCTGTTGTTGACTAGACAAGCCAGTGCTCTAACTTAACAGCATACCACTGAGCTAACAGCAGAACATGAGAAGGCCATGTCAAAGCAGGTGATCAGCCCTAGAGTAGGACAGGCAATTCCCAATCATTCCAAGATACTGCATGCACCAGCCTGCCCTGCCTCCTTGTGGTGCCAAAAATAGCACGGGGATCCGTGGTCGTGTATGTGCCGATTGTGCTGGTCTGTGCTCACTTTTGAACAGTACTAGCACACACCTGGCCAAGAAACATACACCAGAGAGTTAGTTGGCTACTATGCCTCTATCTAGAGCAGGGGTTCTTAACATGGGATCCATGGATTGGCATCGGGGGGGGGGGGTCTGTGTCAGGCACAATAAAGATAAGAAAGAAAATGTTTCCAGTGCAATGAAATAAATTGTTCGCAAAATTGTGTGTGTGTGTGTTGATTTCTACCTACACCCTACAACATGGTAAATAAAGATGTTGTAAATAGGCAAGCAAGTTTCCCAGGACTGGGTGAAGCTGAAAAGTGTTCACCCAAGCCTGGGAAAACCCCCACCTCCAGCAGGACCACTGGGTCCAAGGGAGGCATTGTCGCCATCACGCAACAGCACCCAACCTGGCGGTAAGTGTCATTACGTACCCACCGTGCCCTTATTTTTATTCAGTGCCCCCCCCATTGCACCTGAGGCTACTATCACCCCTCTGAATCATTCCAGCGCCCCCCAGGGGTGGTATCACCCACTTTGGGAAAGACTGCTCTTAAAGATTCACCTCCAACTTCTCAGTCAAGTTGGGTAAATCTTTTTTTAAAAAAAACAAAAAAAAATATTGATACTTATACAAAAATATACACCCATTACAAAGTATGTTTCTATAATATACTGAGATAAAACAGCTACTTAGTCTAAAAGAACAAAGTCAGAAGAAAGAAAAGGAAAGGAGAAACTTAAAGAATGAGAAAATGAGAGAAAAGTAAAAGAAACCTAAAGAAAGATAAAGAAGAAGAAAATAAAAGGACTTCCAGCTCTATGTTATGCAGCTACATATAATTATTCCTTAAGAGCAAAACCAGTATTCCAGTTGGGTAAATCTTGTTGGTGCCAAAAATATGAATGGGAGAATTCCTGGATGTCAAGACCCAGTTTTGGGGCAAGAACTCTTTGGTGAGAGAACCCCAGCAGAGATTTAAAGTCATAAAATATATAGCAAAGTAAAGCATGGAAATGCTTGTAGAAAATGCAGGAGAATTCCTTCATTTCCAACTTCTGAGTAATACAAACGGTCTTAAGAAGAGCTTAAGGGAAACAAATAAAGCTTGCAGTTCTACATTTTCACCCAGAACTGAGGCCAAGTATGTCACAAGGAAACTGGGTGTGCAGAATGATTTACTCCACCTGAGGCACTTGAGTGTCTTGGGCAGGGCTAATGCTGGGACTAGCTAGATGTTATTCTCCACATTCCTTTGTCAACCACAGCAGCTGCATGGCCTCCTCCCACACAACACCAGCTTCGCACTCCTGTGTCCCCAAGCAAAGGATCTCGAGGGCATTTCACACACCCCATCCTGAACATACCAGCATATTTACGGTCAGCAAGGTCCTTCTCCCGTTCACTTCTCTGCTCCTCCAGGATGCGTTTGTTCTGCTCCTTTAGAAGTTTTTGCCGAGCGTTCGCATTCAGGTCCTCACCAGCAAAGCGCTGCATGCTAGAAGGGCCACAGCGAGGGTCATCATCACTCACGCGGGCTGGGTGGCCTTTGCGTGCCGCCTCTGGGTCATGGATGTCCCACTCCCGGCGCATGGAGGGCTGTTGCTCCCGCTCGCGAAAATCCAAGACAGCCTGGTGAAGCTGCTTTTTCCGTTGGCGCTCCTCTTCTTCCAGCATTTGTGCAATCTTGTCGCACTGCACCCGATCTGCATCTGCATAAGAACAGCACAGGATGCTGTTAGTCGTTGCTGTGTCTGCCTCATGAAAATGAACTGACTGACAAACCTGGAGATATAAAGGGAACAAGACAAGGATGTCCATTATCACCATTATTGTTTACCGTATTGGCCCAAATATTAGACGCACCCGCAAATGAGACACACCTTTAAAATTCAAGGCTTATTTGCAGACGCAGGCCGCCTCCCGGCATTACCGCCTCCTGGCACTACCTCAGCAAGCCAGCACCAGGGGGAGGCTTGGGAGCGGCAGGCAAGCTGCGCGCCCTTGCCTCATGCTCCTGGGCTGCTTCCGGGGGGGGGGGGAGCCGTGCAGTAAGGTCGCAAATATAAGCCGCACTTTAACTTTTCATGGCTGGAATTTGGAAAAATACGTGCGGCTTATATTCAGGCCAATACGGTATATTGATTTTGGAAATGTGCAGAAAGCAAAGAAATTGGAGTTCGAGTTGGGCATCAGATATACAAACTTAGGGTTTTTGCAGATGATGTGGTATTATTTGTTGATAATCCTTTGGATAAAATGAAGATAGTATTAAGGGAGATAAAACTATTTGGAGATCTAGTTCCTTTCTATATAAACAAAGACAAAACTGAAATCCTAGCAAGAAATCTGACACATCAAGAGAAAGAGGGTCCAGTCTTGGGAGGGGCTGCTGTCTCCCCTCCTCTGAGGACTGCTGCTACCGCTACAGCAACAAAGAGGATAGCAGAGAGTTCTGCAGGGACTAGGTCCCTGGGCAGGCAAGCAGGCACAGAGGGAACAGCTACTGCTCCAGTTGAGATCAACCAGCTGCTGGGGCAACGTTACAAAGCCTGCTTGCCCTGAATTCCACCTACCTGGCCCTGCAGTCCCTCCTTGGGGACTGCCATCTCCCCCCACTCGGAGGACTCCTGCTGCTGCTGCTGCTGAGAGGGGGGTGGATGGCTGCTGGGGCAGTTGCTGGGGGGGGGGTCATCCCTTTGAGTGTCACACTTTGAGGGTGGGATGAAGGCGTGGGCCAGCCCCCTTGTGTTAAAGTCATCATTTTAATGGGGATGGGATTTTTATTTGCATTGGGGTTGTTTTAAAGTGTTTTTACTTGTATTGTACTGTATCTTTTTTCAGTTGCTTATTTTGTTTTAAGGGGGAGGGCAGGGCTGCCTGGGAGTGGGCCCAAGTTAACAGAATGGCTGGGGCAGGTTCCACTGGGTAGATGTACACCCAATCTCAGTGATCACTGATAGGAGGAGGAGTTATGCTAGGACCAGACCATGTCATTACTGAGGAGGCAGGTTTAGTCATTGTTTGAAGGCTATCCCTGCCTCTGGGTCAGGTCATGACCAGAAGGATACCGGAATCAACAAGGGAGACCCACATGACTTAAGGTGTTGCTGTGCAATGCCAAGTCAATGATCCACAAGACTACGGCCATCCATGATTTGATCATGGATAGAGGAATTGACTTTGCATTTGTAGAATCATAGAATCATAGAGTTGGAAGAGACCACAAGGGCCATCAAGTCCAACCCCCTGCCAAGAGGGTTGATTGGACATGGCAGATGGGCATGGCAGACTTGGTTGGACATGGCAGATGGGCCTGTTCCTGCCGCTGCTTGTCTGCCAGGTTTCTCATACAGACAGCAACCCAGGTCATGTGGGCAGGGAGGGGGGCTTGCAGTGATTTTTGGAAGTAATTAGCTGACACCAGGCATCCTATTGGGAAGACCCAGTTTTCTGAGTGCATGTTCTAGCCACAGACATGCCTTAGACCTGGTGTTCACCTCTGTGAAATGTGGGTGATTTGACACTAAGTAAAAGTGAAAAAAAAAGAAATGCCATGGTCGAATCACTTCCTGGTGCAACTAGACTTCTCTGCGAACCTTCCCCTCCGCAGGGAGGTAAGACTGATTTAGATGAACCCTGCCACTTAATGGATTTGAACAGGAGTGCTAGGGGATGTTTTATCCCATGTTGATGGCCTCTCAGCCATCTCAGCCTGGTGGCCCACTGGAATGCGGAGTTAACCAGGGCTATCGACTGTTTGGCTCTGAAGTGCCCTCTCCGATTACATGGAGCCTGGACAGCCCTGTGGTTTTCCCCAGAGCTCAGGGTGATGAAACAATCGTGGAGACGTCTAGAGTGCTGGTGGTGGGAACTCTTCTGAATCGGACCAAACACGGGTTAGAGCTCAACATATTTAGAGCATCAGTTTGTGTAAATTTACCAAAACATTTACCTGTGTGACACAGAATCAATTTGCTGCACCATCAGAAAATCCAGTGTCATGGTAAAAGAAACACGCACTGAGTTCCAACATAGGAAGACAGTCATGTTGAGGCTACATTTCTGCAGGTATACCAAAATTGATGCCAGTGAGTTTAACACCTGACAGTACAATAATTCATCATTCAGATATTAACTATCTTGTTAGCTAAAAGCAGGCCCAAACTTCCCAATGAAATACTTATAAGTTTTATGTTGATTAAAATCATTCTTCATTTTAAATATTTTATTTTTTCCTGTTTTTTGTGTACTACAAATACAGTATGTGCAGTGTGCATAGGAATTCATTCATATGTTTTTCCAAAATATAGTCCAGCCCCCCACAAGGACTGAGGGACAGTGAACCGGCCCCCGGCTGAAAAAGGTTGAGGACCGCTGGTCTAGAGGGGCTGGGAGCTGGGGGCACTGTCATACAGTGGTTCCGCTGGTACCTCCTGGGTCGAGCCCAGGAAGTGGTGTTGGGGGATGAATGTTCAGACTCCTGGGCTCTCACTTGTGAGGTGCCTCAGGGCTCTGTCCTCTCCCCCATGCTTTTCATCATCTATATGAAAACGCTGGGAGAGATCATCAGGGAATTTGGGTGGGTGTTCACCAGTATGCAGATGTCAAGATACTGTCAGTGGCTCCTGGCTGGTTGCCCAGGAAAGTATAAAAACAAGGGAAAGTATCTAACAGTCCTTTTTTATTTCAGTCTTTACAGAGAGAGGCTACCCAGCCTCTTGGATAATGGTGTTGTCCCAAGTGAATCTCCACACACCCCATCTCTCCCACTTCCTCATTCATCAACATCATCACCTCTTCTACAGGTGCTGCTACGTGTCCTCTGTCTTTGAGTTCTTTGCTCTCCTACCTGTAAGGCTCACCGGGTTCTGGGAGATGGAGGGTCTGGAATGTTTTCTAATGACAGTGTGTCAGCCAGGTGTTGCTCTGGCTCTCCCATGATTTCCCAACTTTCCCCCTCATCTGCCTCTGAGCTGCAACCTCCCTCAAACCCCTGTTGTAAATCTATACTGTCTTCCTCTTTCTCCTCCCTAGAAGGGTCAGGATAGGTAGGCGATCTCCACCATTCCTCCTTTGCCCAGTCCCTGACAGCAGATGATACCCAGCTCTACCTCTCTTTCAAATCAGAACAAGTGAAGGTGGTGAATGTCCTGTGTGAATGCCTGGAGGCAGTTGGAGGATGGATGGCAGCTAACAGATTGAATCCTGACAATACAGAAGTACTGTTTGGGGGGGCAGGGAGTGGGCGGGGGGGATTCCCGGGTCCTGAATGGTGTAACTGTGCCCCTGAAGGGCCAGGTGTGCAGCCTGGGAGTCATTTTGGACTAACAGCTGTCCATGGAGGCATAGGTCAATTCTGTGTCCAGGGCAGCTGTCTACCACCCTACCTGCCTGCAGACTGTCTCGCCAGAGTGGTGCATATCCTGCTTGGACTACTGCAATGTGCTCTACATGGGGCTACCTTTGAAGGTGACCTGGAAACTACAACTAATCCAGAATGTGGCCGCCCTGACCATATAACACCAGTCCTGAAGGACCAACATTGACTCCCAGTATGTTTCCAAGCATAATTCAAAGTGTGTGGTTTTTTTTAATGATATTTATTGAGAGTTTTAAGATTACAAAGAAAAACAAGGAAGAAAAGAAGAAAAAAGAACACATAACAATTAAACAATACAAATCGATAAAAGTCAAAAGCAAAAAGCAAAGGCAAAACACATAATACATCAAAATCAAAAAGCAGAATTAAACAAAAAAAGTAAATAAAAGCAGATCCAGTATTCTCAAATCCTTAACTGTCATTACCTTATTTCATCGACCTCCTCACACCTCCCTTTTTTGTATTCTAGTTGTTAATTGTCTCAGCAAATCCTTTCCATTTTTCATAATATTCTGTCATTAAATTACCTTAATCTATTTTAGCCTTATCTTGCCATAAAAAACCCTAGAACTTAAAACTTAAATCTTATTTATACCAATTTCTCATAGCCATAGCATATTCTTACATAGTTCTTTTTAACATTTCTGCTAAAGACAAATAATTTCGTTCCAACATTTTTCTAATACTCATTAATTTTGCAAAACATTCCTAAATAGAATTTTTAAAACTTTCTTCCAATCTTCATCCAGCGTCTCTTCCTCCTGGTCTCGGGTTTTGTCAGTCCTTTCTATCCCATCCATCTAGTTCATTAACCTGGCAACCTTATGTCCGAGGCCCTTAAGTCTCTTCCATGTCCCTTCCGCAGATCATCTTCATATTTATACCTGTACTTTACTTTGTCTTCTGCTCCTTTCACTCGTGGAGACTCCAGCTTGACAATATTTTTGTCCCTTCTCGACAGATCAGCCCCTTTTCCATAGTCCACACTGAACTCCATGTGGTATTTAAAAGCATATTTCAAAGTCCCTCCAAGGTTGAGGACCCCCACAAGTCCAAACTCCTCCCGGCCCAACGCCAGATTTGAAAATTCAAAACATCCCTGCATAGGGGGGTCTATCCAGCCCCCCATCTCCAAGCCGAACAAGACTCTATCTCTCCAAATCTGGCTTTTTCCAGGTTCATTCATCAGATCCAACAACTCATGTTCCTGCTGGGCCACAGTTCCCTCCATCTCTGCCTCCCGAGGTCCAGCCACAACCTCCTCCCTCATCTGATCTGTCAGAGCACACTCCTGAATTAATTCCTGAGTGGGTTCTATATAGATACCCACTACCTGTCCAAAATTTCTGATCGCATCAGTCATCAAATCCGTCTTCTCATGTAACTGTTCCAATAAAGCACTTGTTTTGCAGAAAGCACGCACCAGAGCCTCCGAGTACATTGTTGTGCAAGGTCAAAGTCTAATCCCACGATCTTAATCTATTGCAGCTGCAAAACTCCCCAGTTCAGATTAATAACAGTTTCACAAGCTCCCTCTAGGGGAAGAACTTCTATTTGTATCCATCTCTCTCTCTCTTTTTTTTTTTAGCAGATCTAACAACAAAGTTTCCTTTTTCAGATATTTTGTCAATATTTTGTTCCTTTTAGCTGCGAAGGAGAACAATGGAATCACTATGTTTCTCTTCTTTTAACTATCTGTCAAAAAGTTTGTCTATAGTCAATGAACTTCCCGAAAACGTCTGTCCTGACACCCCGCTTCCAGGTTCAAGACGGTGGAAATTTGCTTTTCTTTAGACTCTCTTCTGCAGGTTTAAACGGTCCAGAAAAAATCCCCCCTCTCCTCCTGCTTCCAAAGGGGGTTCAGTAATTTTAAATGATGAAAGTTGATCCTTTACAAACGATTTTCTAAACTCTAGCTTGCCATGTCTTTGCTTTAATCTTTCTACAAAAAGCGGAAGGCTGACTTCCTGTTTAGACCTTCCCGCTTCAGTGCCAAATTAAAAGGAATTTCTTAGTCCAATTTTCCGTTCTACTCACGGGTCGTTGTTTAGAGTCCAATTATCCAAATTTAAACTACTCACGGGTAGTTGTTTTTGTAGCCAGATTGTCACAGGAAAAAGGTAGCGCTCTCCGGTAACGGCTGTGCGGCTTCGCTCCATTGAAGAAGCAGTTGACTCTCAGCATCGCGCCGCTTGCCCCGCTTCGCTCCGGAGCCCGTAATTGGGTTCCTTTACAAATTGGGGGGGCACGAAAGGTGCCCGCCGAGTCCCACGGTCACAGGCTTCACCCGCCTGTGATTTTTTAAAGGGTCCCCGCTTCGCCGTAGCGGAACAGACCCGATTTCCGTAGAGCTAGTCCCTCCGGATCAGAGGGAGTCCGCCATTACCGATGGCAGCACCCTGGAAGTCCAATTCAAAGTGTTGGTGCTGATCTTTAAACTACAACTAATATAGAATGTGGCAGCTAGGCTGGTGACTGGGAGTGGCCACCAGGACCATATAACACTGGTCCTAAAGGATCTTCACTGGCTTCCAGTACGTTTCCAAGCAAAATTAAAAATGCTGGTCCTGTATACCTGAAGGAGCGTCTCCACCCCCATCATTCAGCTTGGACACTGAGGTCCTCTGAGGGTCTTCTGCTGGTTCCCTCACTCCAAGAAGTAAAGTTACAGGGAACCAGGCAGAGGGCCTTCTCGGCAGTGGCACCCTCTCTGTGGAATGTCCTGTCATCTGTTGTTAAGGAAATGAACAACTATCTGACTTTTAGAAACCTCTGAAGGCAGCCCTGTATCAGGAGGTTTTGAATATTTGAGGTTTTACTATGTTTTTATATGTACTGTAAGCTGTCCAGTGTGGCAGGGGTATAAATAATAAAATGATGATGATGATTAAACGGACATTAGAGTGGAGAAAAGGGTGAAATATTTGAGTATTTGGTTAACAAATAAAACACATCACTTTTTCAGAATAACTATGTTAAAGTATGGAACAAGGTAAAACAAGACTTAGCAAGATGGGGAAGGATGAAAATCTCACTATTAGGAAGAGTTTCAGCTATTAAGACAAATGTATTACTGAATATGCTGTTTATAGTTTAGATTACAGTGGTACCTCGGGTTACATATGCTTCAGGTTACATACGCTTCAGGTTACAGACTCCGCTAACCCAGAAATAGTACCTTGGGTTAAGAACTTTGCTTCAGGATGAGAACAGAAATTGTGCTCCGGCGGCGCGGCAGCAGCGGGAGGCCCCATTAGCTAAAGTGGTGCTTCAGGTTAAGAACAGTTTCAGATTAAGAACGGACATCCGGAATGAATTAAGTACTTAACCCGAGGTACCACTGTATACCGATTATTGGTAATGTGAGGTAATTCAAATAATGGCAAAGAGGGTTATCAAAATTTATCTGGTGGGGGGAAAACCAAGGATTAAATTTAAAATATTAACAGATCTTAAAGAAAGACGTAGATTCAAGCTGCCAGATTTAAAATTAAACTATGAATCTGCCTGTTTGATATGATCAAAAGAGTGGATATATTTTTAAAAATGCAAACCCCGCTGAGGTTGATGCATTTCATTCTGCCCGACTTCCTGCACTTTCTTTCATTTGAATTTAACTGTTGGGGAAACTGACTTGCTCAGGCCCCAGACCAATGCCCGGAGACAAGTGAGATAAATGACCTCACAGAGAAATGGAGCAGAAACACTTACCGAAAGCTTCATCACGTCGTTTCTCTGCAATTTCTCTGAGTTTTCGCTCTTCCACCTGGGTCTTCAAACCTTCCACATCCACCTTAAAAGTGACATTACAAGTTAATTGCTGCATCGGATGTGGCTGTTTCAGAAGCAAACAGAACGCAGGATTTTGCATGCTGCCCTCTCAAATAAAGACAACAAAGAATATGCAGGAACCTGAAAGATGCAATGGCATAAGCTCTCCTATTTCATGTCAGCTAGTTTAGAATATAGCTTTGAAGCTGCTGACCAGAGCTATTTGGCTTCTATCTTTCTGTACCAGTTTTGCTGATTTCTGGTTCATTACTGGGCTCAAGTCAAAATGCTGTTTTTACATTTAAAGCCCCAAATGGCTTAGGATAAAGAAGGACCACCCGCTACCACATTAGTCTGCCTGTTCTCACAGCTCCTCTGGTAGGACCTGCTACATGTCCTACCACCAACTGATGCAACAGAATAGGGTCTGGTTTTACCTGATTTCCTGCTGCTTTTGGTTATTTTTTTATCTGCTATCCTGGCTTTTTGTGTGTGGTTGTGCTTCAATATTTTTACTTGCTTTATTTTTTGCTGTAAGCTGCCTTAAGTGCCTCTGTCCCCTTTGCTATCAATTATCCTATCTTTCTAACAGATCTGATGCTTTTAAGGCTTAAGGTTTAAGCTTTTGGCCTGCATATATAGAATATACGACCACTGAGCATCTAGACCATGAAATATAGGTGCTCCTGAGGAGTGATCAGGAGTAATCTATTACGTGAAACATTGAGATGAACACTTGTCATCTGTAAATGATGCCTGTAATAATGGAATTACAGAAAATGAACAGTCCTTGCTTTCACTCATAATACTTCAACCCCTGAAGTTGGAACCTTATTCACGAGATTTTTTGCTGAGAGTTTATTCTTGTATTTATGAATCACTTCCTATGAATCAATTATTTATTGCATTTATATCCCACCTCTTTCTCTAAGGAGCTCAAGGTGGTTCATGGTTCTCCCCCATCTCAACTAAGCCCCACAATAAACCTGTGAGTTAGGTCAGGCTAAGAGGCAGTGAGTAGCCAAGGTCCCTAAGTGAGCTTCATGGCCAAGTGGGGATTTGAACCAGTTCCTAGTCTGACACTAACCACTGTACCACACTGGCTCTCTCAAAGTGATTAATGTATAGTCCAGATGCCCTTAAGATTTTTGGCCAACATGATGCCCTTAAGGTTTTTGGACTACAACTCCCATTATCTCCAGCCAGCATAGCAATTAGTCAGGGATGAAGGGAGTTGAAGTTCAAAACATCTAGAAGGCAGCATGTTAACTGCCCAAAGCCTAGCCCACATCCCCAATAAATGACCTCTTGTTGTGTCTCACTGAACAAGCTGACAAGCTGAAAGCTGAGTAAATTTAGAAAGGAGTGTTCAGGTTAAGATGTCTGTGCACAGGGATTACTTCCTACAGGTATCTCAGTTCTGAGGGATAGTTAAGGAGTCCTTCCCAGAACTTTGAAATCAAGGCAGTCCTCCTCCGAAAACATGGCTCTATAAGCCCTCCATGTCTCACCCCCATCGTGCGATAGCGAGCATTAAAGATGCGGCTCTGTCTTTGCTTCTCCCGGTTCCTGCGGGCTTCAATGGCAGCTGCCTCCTTTATATCTGGCTGGATGTCCACTTTATACATCTTTGCACCTGTAACTGAGGGTTGTGTTTTCTTGTCAGAGGAAGAGAGATTTAAGTTTTTAAGTTTTTAAAGCAGACCCAGCTCCATCCCATTGCTAACTAATCTTATCTGAGTGGTGGGAATAGATACCTAGGCCTGTCTCTCTATCTATTCTGGAACAATTTGCAGATAGGTCTTGGGTAAGCATGGAATAAGCTTTTCTCCAACATCAGATCTGCCTAGTTCAGCGCTGGGAAACCTTTTCAGCCAGGCGGGCCAGATTCTTATCTGTCCCCACCTCATGGACCAAGCTTGACAGGTGGGTTGCTCTGTTCACCTGTCAAAGTACTTGGGAAGCGTTTCCCAAGTGTATGGCAGCCAGCTAGTTGCGTTGAAACTTCAGTGCGAAGCACTTTGCAAGGCCTCTGCTCAGTGCTTCTCAAGCATTGAGCATATGACTGGCAAAGCTGATTGTGGCAGGGATTGCCTGCATGATCAAGTTCCCCATGGAAGACCATATCTCTACTTCCCACATTTTGTGGTTTGGAGGAAACAACCTTATAAGCCAGAGGTTTCCTAAAGGTGATCTAGTGATTGCTGTCTTCTCCAGTGTTCTAACACAAGACTGCCTTTATTTCAATCCCCCAACAAAGCAAAATGTTGAAAACAATTCACTTTCCCCTTCCTCCCTGGTGGGGAATGGAGGCACTACTTGGGGTCCACTTTAGGTACCAATAAGGGACACGGGTGGCGGTGTGGTCTAAACCACTAAGCCTAGGGCTTGCTGATTGGAAGCTCGGCGGTTCAAATCCCTGTGACGGGGTGAGCTCCCGTTGTTCAGTCCTAGCTCCTGCCAACCTAGCAGTTTGAAAGCACGTCAAAGTGCTAGTAGATAAATAGGTACCACTCCGGCAGGAAGGTAAACGGCGTTTCTGTGCACTGCTCTGGTTCACCAGAAGCAGCTTAGCTATGCTGGCCACATGACCTGGAAAAACTGTCTGCGGACAAACGTCGACTCCTTCGGCCAGTAAAGTGAGATGAGCGCCGCAACCCCAGAGTCATTCGCGACTGGACTTAACTGTTAGGGATCCTTTACCTTTTTTACCTCTAGGCACCAAAATGTTTTGGGCTGACCCTGGCTGGTGCTGTGCTGTTTTATTGTAGTTATTTGTATGGTTTCAATAGATTTTCTATACAGTTTTAATTTTATCAGTGTTCTATTGTTTTTTAACTATTCCCCCCCCCATGTTTTTAGCAGTTCATGTTTTTATCAATAAACTGCCTTGAGTCCCTGTCAGGGGAAAAGCAGTGTGCAGACCCTCCAAGTGCCCCTATTTTCCAGGGACCTCCCCGATTTAGAGAAGCTGTTCTGGTTTCTGATTTGATCCCAGAATGTCCTGCTTTTCCTTGGGATGTCCCTGTTTTCATCCGTGAAGAGCTGGAGGGTATGCGGCGTGTGTGCGCCTATCATATCATATCAATTAGCGCCCTCGACCTCCCACCCGCTGTCCCGCTCTCACCTTCTCCCTCCAGAAGTTTGCGGCCTCCTGGTTGCTATGCCAACAAGCCAGCCTGCTCTGAATTCCGCGTCGATTTATGCAAATTGAGAAGCGGAGGAACCTATCAGCCAAAAGAGAAGGGCCGGCAGGGCGGGAGCGCCTTGGGAAGAGGGAGGAGCCACGTATGCAAACCCCAAGGGGCCATAGCGCCCTATCAGCTGCCGGCTTTCCGAAGGAGGCGGGACCCGCGGCTTTGGAGCGGGCCGGGCGCCGAGTCCTCGCGAGGTTTGCGCGCTCGCGTTCTGGTGGCGGCCGAGGGGCCTGGCGTGGTCCGGCGCGGGCCTTGAGGTTCTGGCCGGGCGGCGCTGGCCCGTGTCCCCTGCCGGGCCCGGAGTTCCCTCGCGTCCCTGCCCCGCCGGCCCCGCAGCCGAGATGGGCTTCCTCAAGTTGATCGAGATCGAGAATTTCAAATCGTACAAGGGGCGGCAAATCATCGGGCCCTTCCGGCGCTTCACGGCCATCATCGGGCCCAACGGATCCGGTGCGCGGGCGGGGCTGGGGCGGCGAGGGGAAGGCCCGGCGAGTCGCCGTCCTGGGAGGGAGGCCTCCGCCTTGCGGGCGCCAACTTGGTTCGCGCGTTTCTATCAGCTGTGAATGGCCAGTCGCTCGGATACGCCGCTTTGAGAGAGTTTTCCACATTTGGGGCGAAATGTTGGGGGGTCGCTTTTTCGTTTGTCTGTTTGGAAGCAGGTGTCGCCCGCTGACAGGCGCACCTGCAGACCCCCCCCCCGTCATTCAGCTGCTGAGAAGACAAACCCGACCAGCTGGGTTTTTTTCTTCAAAATAATGGTGCAGGTAGAGGGAAGGCATTAATGAGAAGCAACTTGGTTATGAAAGTTTGGGGTTTAAATAGCTGGAGGAGGCACCTTACTGCGGCAAAGGGTGGGGGGGGGAAGGCACTCCCCCCAAACTGTGTGAAATTTGAGAAGGGACAGCGTTAAGCGGCAGGGTTGAGGACATTCTTAGTGGTGATATTTGTCAGGAAAGGGGAGTGCTTATTTTTTTAGAGAGAGGTTCAAATCATGGGGTGCCCATCCCAGATCAGAAGAGGCATTCAAAGCAAGAAATAAATTTGTATATGCTCAGAGGCAATCTTCACAGGTTACAGGGTTGTGGCACGTGCTACAATGGTTTTAGGGCCCAGGAAGTGAAAGCTCATATGACACCCTGAGGGAAAGCCGTATGGCACTTTTGCTAAAATGCATCATGGTTTATTTTGTTGTCCTCCATCCAGGCAAGTCAAACCTCATGGATGCCATCAGCTTTGTGCTTGGCGAGAAAACCAGCAATCTGAGAGTAAAGACGTTGCGAGACCTGATCCATGGAGCCCCTGTAGGGAAGCCAGCTGCCAATCGGGCATTTGTCAGCATGGTTTACTCTGAAGATGGTGCTGAAGATCGTACCTTTGCAAGGGTCATAGTAGGTGAGCTTTGGGGGCAGGGTGAGGAAATGGTTGGGTGTGTGTCATGCTGTAGTATTGGAGTCTCTGGTAAGCAATGTTGCTGGGTGGCTTGAGCAAAGAAGACTGGGCTACTCTGAAAGGGGTCGTGTGGGGGGAGGTCCTGAAGTGAGTCCCATTGTGTTCAGTGGGGCTTATTTCCTTGAAAGTGTGAATAATAGTGCAGCCTTTACATGCTTACATGAAAGTAAGCCCCTATAGAACTTATTTCTGAATCGCCTATCGGGCCTAAATCTGCTAGTGCATTCTTCCAAAGAAATCCCATCCTGCTTTTCACATTTACTTGTTTTCTGTGGATGTCCTTTGTAATACATTCTTCCAACCCTATTATCATCTTCAGAATTGGGGAGTAGGGTTGAGGAGCTTCTGGAACTTGGAAGTCTTGGGTTTCTAGTGTTGACTGAATGAGATGTCTGTCTTCTAGGAAGCTCATCAGAGTACAAAATAAACAATAAAGTGGTACAGCTGAGCGAATACAGTGAGGAGCTGGAGAAACTGGGCATTCTAATCAAAGCTAGGAACTTTCTAGTCTTCCAGGTAAGCCCTCCTCCCCCTTTATAATCTCCCCAAACAGACATGCTATAGTAGAACATAAATTTATTGGCATTTTCCCACCCAGAGTCCACGTTGACAGCCAAACATGAGCAGACTTTCTCGTAACACTTCCAGAGTTGCTGACACTTGAGCAAAGGTTCATTTAAGAACATAAGACCTGTAAGATCAGGCCAGTGGTCTAACTGACTCAGTGTCTTGTTCTCACAGTGGCCAATCAAATATCTTTGGGAAGCCCACAAGCAGGAATTAGGTGCAACAGTACACTTAATTGGGATTTCCAGCAACTGGTATTCAATGTTACACTACCTTCAGCAGGTAGTATACAGCCATCATGGCTAGTGGTTGTGCTTTGTGGGATATGGTATGGGCTCCACATGGATTCTGGGACGGGCTCATGTAATCCTACTAGGAGGAGAGCAGAGATGTGAGATTCAAGCTAATAGGATCCAGTGATGACTAACCTTTAATTTAACAAATAATTATTTTAACAAACCTTTCTGCTGTGAGGAAGGGCTCTAGCTCTGCAGTGGAGCAGTACATACTTGTTGGTTTGTTAGTTACATTTATATACCACCTTTTCTCCAAGGAGCTCAAGGTGGCATACGTACTTCTCCTCCTTCCCATTTTATTTTCACAACAGCAACTTACCTGTGAGGTAAGTTAGGCTGAGAGTGAGTAACAGGCCCATGTCTCTCAGTGAACTTCATGGCTGAGTGGGGAACCTGGTCTCCCAGGTTCTAGTTCAGCTCTCTAACCAACAGGTTCCTGTTCAGTTCACAGCATCTCAAGGTATGACTGGGAAGGACTCCTGTTTGAAACCCTGGAGAGCCACTACTAGTCGGTGTAAACAGTGGTTGACTCTGTCCAAGGCTGCTTCTTATCTTCCTATATTCCTCCTTCTAATAGTGCTATTCTAGTGCTACCCTAAAGTACAAATGCAGACTCCATTGCCTCTAGCCTATTGTTTTGCCTCTAGCCTATTGAGCTGGGAAGCTGGCAGCAGTGTGGTTCTGAAAAGACAGATAAAAAAATCAGACCTACACAGGGTCTAGCTGTGCCACAGACTCCCACTGCTTGTGTCATTGGTGGCACCTGTGTCTCTGATTTGTCACATATTATTCAATCCATGCCAGAAGAATGGAGATGACTAGATAAGATGAATCCCTTGGCTTGTTCTGATGCTGCCTGTTTTCACTGCCCCAGGGTGCGGTGGAGTCTATTGCCATGAAGAACCCCAAGGAGCGCACAGCACTCTTTGAGGAGATCAGTCGCTCGGGGGAGCTGGCTCAGGAGTATGACAAGCGCAAGAAGGAGATGGTCAAGGCAGAAGAAGATACTCAGTTCAATTACCATCGGAAAAAGAACATTGCCGCAGAGCGTAAGGAGGCTAAACAGGAGAAAGAAGAGGTAAAAACTGAAAGCTGCCATTGGACTGTGCTTTCCTTATGGGTCCAGAATGTTGTCACACTATCCCTTGGCACTTCAGTCGTGGAAACAATTTATTTTTCTGCAGTTTGAGTGGAAATCCAATCTGTTTTCGACCACCTTTTCCACATCCTTATTCTTCCTCGTTTCATCTCCTCAGCCACCAACACTGCCCTCAACTTCCGATTTTTTTAAAAAATCCAGTTCCAAAGAGCAAAATCACTCCTTCCACTCCTCAGTCCCCTGGGCTCATAAAATGTCATGGTCAAAGTGGGCCAGTTCTGGTTATGATAATATCAACACCATCTCTTTCCCCCTATCTGGGTGAAGCTGCTTATTGGTCCTCAGTTGGGTGGGAGTTGCCTCTTAGGTACTGTATTGCTGTGATTGGTGGCATGGTTGTGCCTTCTATGTGTTCTGGCACCAGCACAACAGTTTAAGTGTCTGGGATTTCCCCATTCTAGCTCTAGGTGAAGTCTGGCATTTCTTTTGAGAATGGATAGGACCTGGCATGCCCTTCTTGCTATGTCTTCCTCTTTCTGTTATGAATCCTTAACCCTCAGTTCCCTGTTTTGTTATCTAAACAATTTTTTTGCCCATAAATATAACCTTATACTCACTTCCTTTTCCTGATTAAAATTCTAGTTTAAATAATAATAATTTTATTCTTTATACCCAGCCACTCTGAGGAATTGATCTTTTATTTTCAAGCATCTTCATTCTCCTCCCCTCCTTATTTTCTCTCCTTATCTCTTCTCTTTGTTTGCTGCCTCATTCTTTTTGTCCTTCTGTGACATTTGTTTCTACTTAAATATAAAATTGGCCTTACAGCTGTCTTCATCTTCCCCTCACCTCCTTTGGCTTCAGGGTGCCCTGCCTTATTAGATTCATATTTTGCCCTCCTTGCTCTCCTTTTAAGTACTTTTTAAAAGTACAGTACTTCTGAATTCCTAGATTTCCTGAGAGGGACTGTGTTTAGTGGGACATAATCCCAGGTAAGTAAAGATAGGATTGCAGCCTAACAGTGCAATCCTAACTATGTCTGTTGAGAAGTAAGTCCTGTTGAATTCAATGAGGCTTACTGCCTGGTTAAGTAGAGATAAAATTGAAGCCCAAAAAGTGTGGTGATGTTGCTGTTAAGGTAAAGTGGGTTTAGTTTGAGACTCTGTTCAGTGCTTGGGATTAGAAGTCCTTTAGGCTTGCAGCATGCTTTGCCACAGCTTATGCCTTATGTTCTCCTTTTTTGGGGGACAGGCAGATCGGTACCAGCGCCTGAAAGACGAGGTTGTGCGAGCTCAAGTCCAGCTGCAACTCTTCAAGTTGTACCACAATGAAGCTGAAATAGAAAAACTGAACAAGGAGCTGGGCTCCAAAAACAAAGAGATTGATAAGGATAAGAAGCGGATGGACAAAGTGGAGGATGAGCTCAAGGACAAGAAGAAGGAGCTGGGCAAAGTGATGAGAGAGCAGCAGCAAATCGAGAAGGAGATCAAGTAAGCTGATAGGTTTTAGTATAGTGGGAAGCAAAGAATCAAATTTCAGAATTCTGGGATCTACTATAAAAGCAAAACCAGGAGATTTGGTTCTACCAACCCAGATCCAATCACCATGAGGTCTCCTGAATATACAGGATCTGTGTTAACACAAATCAGGTGTACCAACAAACCCTAAAATTGTACCGGACAACTGGTCAATAGTTGCTTAGTTAACAATGTGGTTTTGCGTGTGGGGACTTTGAGGCTAAGGCCAGGGCTAACTAATCCCAAATAAAATCTTTCCTTGATATCCCTGTCCTAAAGCAAATTGATTTAGAGTGTTGTCAAAATTTTTATGTACAACAATAGATAGAAAGAATATCTCAAGCAAGATAATTTTAGTGATACTCAATTAATCTACTCCAGAGATCTTCAGACAGTGTTTGGGGAGAAACTTAGGGCTTCCTTGGAAGCTTATCAGGAGCGCCTTGATAAGAAGAGCATTAATGCTGGACGCATTATCCCCAAATTATAGAACTGTTTTATCTACTTCTACGACAGGGGTGGAGAGACTGGCCTTCAGATGCTGCTGGACTTGAACTTTGATCACCCTTACCATTTGCTGTGCTTTCTTGGGCTGATGGGAGTTGTAGTCCAGGAACATCTGGAGGGCCACAAGTTTCCCCATCATGACTTTATAGCGTGCTGATCTAGAATGGGAGTTTGTCTTGGGCTTTCATGGAAACTGGGTATGCAATTGCCATACATAACAAAAGCATGGTGTTTTGCAGGGAAAAGGATTCTGAGCTGAACCAGAAGCGCCCACAGTACATCAAGGCCAAGGAAAATACGTCCCACAAGATAAAAAAGCTGGAAGCTGCCAAGAAGTCCTTGCAGAATGCCCAGAAGCAGTATAAAAAGCGCAAGGGTGATATGGATGAACTGGAGAAGGAGATGCTATCTGTGGAGAAGGCCCGGCAGGAGTTTGAGGAACGCATGGAAGAAGAGAGCCAGAGCCAAGGCCGGGACCTCACACTGGAGGAGAACCAGGTATGGTCAAGGGAGTAGCTGAGATGGGATCTGTGGCTCCAAACAGTGTTGGAAGGAGGAGACTGTTAGTTTGCCTTTCTTGGTGCAGAAAGTATTGATCTGATGTGTAGAGGTCTTTCCTATTCTAATTAATTCAAGAGGGTTCTGGAAGCTTCTCTGTGTGAAAGAAACTGGTGCAAGCTGGAAGTTTCTAGCTGACACATAAGTGTCTATTCTATTCATGATGTTTGGGTTATTCCTTCAGAGAAGCTGAGTACAGCTGGCTTAAACTGGTCCTGTTATCTCTTTCTGTCAAGGTCATGCTGCCTATAATCAGAGGCCAGAAGGAGCTTGGGTTTCACTTTCTATCTCTTTTCTTCTGGTCTGGTGTTCTGTATATAGTATGCTCAGTGTTAAGGTTTTAGTCTTATTATAAGTTATTATAAATCTACTGCAACTGGATTCTTTATAGACAGTGCCAACCCTGAATGTATTGGATTTGTGACCGTTATGCCCATTTGCCTTCAGTAGCAGTAAAACTTTGCTGGATGAAGTATTAATTGTCTCTGATCTATTTTTGGGGAATCCTGCAACGTGTTTAAGTTTTTACTCTGCTAACTATATGTTGGAATCTGCTCTGGATCAATATGAGTAGTATTCATGTCAGAGACTTCATGTGACTTTGGAAGATAGAAGGAGCTACCTTATACTGAACTCCTGCCCTAAGCAATTTTTAAAATATTTATGCAATTTATGTTCCACCCTGCTATAGCAAAAAATACTCATGGTGTCTAAAATGCAATACAGTCAAATAACAAAATAAATTGTATCAGTAAGTTAGAAGTGATTTAAAAGCAGCAGTTTTTTTTAAAGCACAAGAAGTCATAGCTCCCACCCTCAATTCCTGCTGAAATAAAAATAGCATTTAAAGTAAGGTTACTGGACGTCTCCGTTTCCCAGATTTACAAATTAGTCCCCTGACAAAATCCATCTATTCAGTAGGAAGTTGAAAAGTGTCCCCGGATTCATTGAAAAAAATCTAGTAACCTTAATTTAAAGTGCACCTAAAAGAGGGCAATGAAGGGGCCAGGCATTCCTCTTGGGGGAAACTGAGAGAGAAAGTTCCCAGGTGGGTTTTTACAGGAAGAGGTGGTTCCATTTGAGAACGGACCTCCGGAATGAATTAAGTACTTAACCCGAGGTACCACTGTAAAAGGATTGTGGCCCAATTTACAATCCCGGGTAGCTGTTCTGGGGGAAGCTCTCTCAAAAGCAACCACCTCTGTGTCCTGGGCAACTGTCTCCAAAATGTTCCGCTCTCTTTGCTTCCTACTTTTATCAAACAGGTGAAGAAATACCACCGGCTGAAGGAAGAGGCCAGCAAGCGAGCAGCCACACTGGCCCAGGAGCTGGAGAAATTCAACCGTGACCAGAAGGCAGATCAGGACCGCCTTGATCTGGAGGAGAGGAAGAAAGTAGAAACTGAGGTGAGTTGTTTTCCCTGTTGGAGCAGGCCTTCCCCATTTCTCTCCTATTTCCAGGACTTGGCCTGCATTGCCACCCACTCAGGATGTGCATTGCCCCATCCTTTGAAGTAAAAACAGAAACTCACCTGCACCTAGAATAACTAGATTTTGTCCTGAATCTGCATGTTTATAACAGTTAGACAAACTGAGTGAAGTTGCTTAACTCCTCTCTTACTTTGCATTTATCTTTTACTGATCAGCTTAGGTTTGCTCTGCTTCTGTGTTACGTGCTGTTGCTTTTTTATGAACCCCCACATAATTGCACCTAGTCCCTCTCAAATTTTTGCATAAATGAGTTCTCCTACATTCCTTCCCATTCTCCCCATCACTTTTCCCGTCCTTTCCTTCCCTTCTCATCAGTCATCTCAGACACCCCCACCCCCTGCCTTTTGGTCATCCCATCGCCAAAAGCCGTGTCAAAGAAGAGAAAGGACTTTAAGCACAAAATGTGTGAGGAGCCATAACAGCAGCTTGTATATAGATAGGCATCATATATTGCTTGAAACTGGTGACACTGTATTCCTGATTCCACAAGGCTTTATACAGCTGGATCTGATCCAGTTCCGTAGTACAGATCAAACTGGCCTTGAGCCTTTGGAAGGAGCCAGTAGTGGAAAAGGGTGCACAAGCTAGGGCTGGGCGATAAATCGATGAATTGTCCAAAACCGGTTTCAAGTCCATATTGTGATATCAGTTTCATAGTTTTTCACCTGGAAGTATATTGCGAATCATGGGGTGGGTGGGTGCTATGCAAAAATTACAATGTGGGAAAAACCATGAAGCCACAAGGCTTCTCTTGATTCCTGCATCCTGTTAACTGCTGGCTCAGCTCTCTTCTGCCTCCTGCAGGGGGCAGTGAATCGCAAGAGCAGGCGCCGGCAAAAAATCACAATGTGAGAAAAACCGTGAAGCCAGCCAATGCCTCTGCGTAGCTCCATCCTTATTTCAGGCATCATGATATCGGTATTTCATTTTATTTCACTTTTTATTTGAATACCAGCTTTCTATATTGCTATACACAAGGCAGTTTACAGCAACAAAATATACAACAAAGAATACACACCTTATAATACCGTATTTTTCGCCCTATAGGACGCACTTTTTCCCCTCCAAAAATGAAGGGGAAATGTGTGTGCGTCCTATGGGGCGAATGCAGGCTTTCGCTGAAGCCTGGTGCGCACCGACCCCTCTCACTCTCCAGGCTTCAGGAAGGTATCCGCAAGTCGTGGGAGAGCTTCGCGCAGCTCTCTGCAAGCTGTGGGAGGGCTGCACGAAGTCGCACAGCTCTCCCACAGCTTGCGGAGAGCTGCCTGTTCTGGGGGCTGGGTTCGGGGGAAGCTCGGGCTTCCCCCGCCCCAGCCCCGCGCCTGGGGGGGGGGGAAATAATTTTTTTTCTTTATTTCCCCCCCAAAAAACTAGGTGCGCCCTATGGGCTGGTGCGCCCTATGGGCCGAAAAATATGGTAATCTGATCCAATACAAAAAGTTATAATAAAACATAACTTTAAAATGGAACAACTTATATCCAAAAAGTAAAATTCAATCCATTAGATTATAATCTGTTAGTAAAAGTAAATAATAGTAAATTAATCTATTAGAATAGTACACAATAAAATTAACTCTCAAAACATCATATGATGTTTAGCTGGTGATATATCACAATGTTGAAAACCAGATATTGTCCAGCCCTGATGTAAGTGCAGCCCTCTCCAAGATGGCAGCAGCAAAGCCAGCTCCACTGGGTTCTCCCATCTCCCACAAGCACCATTCTCCGTCCTGCCTTCCTTCAGGGAGAAGCCCTGGCTTTCTTCATGTGCTCCAGTGGCAGAAGGGGGAGTGGACCCAATGTCAGCCACTGACTGACTGAGTCCAGCAGCAAGAGTGTCAGTGGCACAGCCGTCTCTTAGACTGTTGGGCAGTGGAACCAGCCAAAGCAGGCAGTGCCTACAAAGTGAATGGTTTGCACAGGAATGGCTGGGAGACAGATACAAGATGAAATGTATTGATTGTTGTGCTGCGAGAGGGAGGAAAGAGAACTGTTATTCCAGTTGGTGATGGGCAGGGAAGTTCAGCCTGTGGGCTGCATCACCCTGCAGGGACTGCAGGGAAAGGGGTGGGATAATAATCATAGAGTTGGAAGGGACCCCAAGGGTACTCTAGTCCAATCCCATTCACTTCATCCATGATAATAGCCATCCAGCCTCAGTTTAAAAACCTCCAAGGAAGGAGAGTCCACAACCTCCCCAGGGAGACCATTCCACTGTTGAACAGCTCTTGCTGTCCGAAAGTTCCAGATTGTCAATATCCTTCTTAAATTGTGGCGCCCAGAACTGGACACAGTATTCCAGGTACGGTCTGATCAAGGCAGAATAGAGCGGGACCATTACCGCATTTACTCGAGTCTAATGTGCCATCGAATCTAATGCACACCTCCGTTGGCAGAACCTTGAAACAAAAAAAAAGTATTTGCTGGCGAATGTAATGCACGTAGACAAGAGGTGCACTCTTTACAACAGACAAGCTGAAAGTTTTGAGGTGCTGCAGGCCTGGCAGGGGAGAGGAGCCAAGCAAGGCGGCAGGGCTGTGCAGATGCCAGGGAGCTGTCCTCCTTTCCTCCTCCTCCTCCATCTGCAGTAGCTTCTTGAGGGGGGCACAGCTGTGCTCCCCTCAATGGAGCAGTTTAAAGGACCCCACACCTTGCCTCTGGCTCGCACTAGCCAGTGGCTAGGTGCAAGGTCCTTTAAACTGCTCCATTGAGGGGTGCACAGCTGAACACTCCTCAATGGAGAGATGGGATGGAGCCCGCATCCTGATGCCGGCTAGCGCAAGCTGGCAGCGAAGTGTGTTTTTACTCAAGTCTAATGCACCATCGAATTCAATGTGCATCCAATTTTTCACAGCCTAGTTTGGCAAAAAAAGGTGCACTTTAGACTCAAATAAATACGGTACTTCCATTGTTCTGGACACTAGGCTTCTCTTGAGGTAGCCTAGAATAGCATTAGTTTTTTTTGCTGCTGCATCACACTGTTGACTCATGTTAAGACTGTGGTCCACCAAGACTCCAAGATCCTTTTCACATGTACTTCTGGCAAGCCAAGTGTCCCCCATCTCCAGGTAAAGGAGTTTGAATAGCTTACTCCATGACAGTGTGGGAAACCTCCAGCCCACAGGCCAATCTCGGGCCATTTCCCCCAAATTACACCCACTCAGCCATCAATTGACATCATGGTGATGTCAGCTGATGGGCAGGGAGACATGGTTTATTCCTGTTTTGGCTGCATGCCCTGTTCCTGGCAGTAGGGTTTAATCTCCATGAGATCAAATCCTGCTCAAAAGCCCCTTTTGAAGCAGCTCATGTTGTCCTCCCGCGGGCAAGTGGCAGCAGCAGTGGGAAAGAAAACACTTCACCACCAGCCAACTGCCTGCTTGCAGGAAAATCACATGAGCTGCTGAAAGCAGTGCTTTTGGAACCCAGTGCTAAGCAGGATTGCTCTCCCTTCATGTGAGCTGACGCTAGATGATGTATCAATATATCACCCAGGACTGGTATGAGGGGCAGACTGTGATGGCGGCTTCACTCGGTATATTGCATGTGAAGCCACTGCTGCTCCTGAGTCCCTCTGCCCTGAGTGAAAAACAAGCTTTAGCCGGGTGCTGGAGGTAGAGGGACTCAGGAGTGGCGACAGTTTCACCACCGATATACCACTGAGTGAAGCCGCCATTGCACTCTGCCTGCATACTTCATCAGTGAGGTGCAATACAGCTTGTTCCTCCCTCTGCTTGTTTAAACTGCTTGGCTGAGGAGCCTTCTGCTGCCGTTGCCGTTTTACGGAGCCCCTGACCTTCCCCTGGCTGACACAAGTTAGCAGCAGGGTGGGAGCTCCTTTAAAGTGCTCCTGCTCCCCAGCTGAGGGAGCCCCAATCCTTCTCCTGCTGATGGGAATTTGGACGACACCAGGTCAGGGAAGACTGCTGTCAGAAGATCTTCTGAACTCTCTTAGGAATTGGTTGAGCAAGTTCCCAGGAAAGAGGTATGTCAGGTCTTGGGGGACTTTTTACCCTCCAGCTGTTGCTGAACTACAACTCTCATCACCTTTTTTTGTTGGGGCTGATGCAGTTCTGGAGGGCCAAAACTTCCCCACACCTGCTGTAAGGGAAGCTTGAAGGTTTGTATTTCCTGCTTCCATGAAACAAGTGGATTCCAGAGACGTACAGCCTTTCCATACCCAAGATCAATCTTTCACCCTTACTTGGAATGCAGGATATGCTTTTTATGTTTTCCTCTTCGTATAACCAGAGTAGTTTGATCCTCCCACAGCTTTTTTACCTTGTCTCCCCTTTGCTCTCTGTCTGTCAGTCTCTTTATTTCCCTAGAAGAGGGCTTCAGTGCCTCTTAGGTGATCTAGCTTAAGTAAGTGTTTGCGGCTAACTAATTTAAGACCAATAGATTAAGTGACCTTGTCAGTTGGTAATGTTGCTTGTTAAAGTGGTTCTCATTCAAGGGGGTCAGAGACTGGTCTTTGGCATTGGTTGAATAGGGCCCTGGCTTTGAGCTAAGCTCCACTGGTGCTTGCTCACATTTGGCTTATTCATTTTGTTTTGTAGGCCAAGATAAAGCAGAAATTGCGGGAGATTGAAGAAAACCAAAAACGTATTGAGAAGCTGGAGGAGTACATTGCTACTAGCAAGTAAGGGCAAGGAAGGGGCCACATAATATTGGGGATGTGTGCCTTAAGCAGACTCTGGTGGGGAAAGGATAAGGAAGTTGGGCTCTCTTTTGGGATTGCTTAGGAGGCCCACTCTACAAGTCATCATATTAGTCCCTCCCAGCACAGTGCAACCAAGCCTGATGCAGGCATGGAGTGATCAGGGAGTTCTTACTGCTCATTCTTTAGGCAGTCCTTGGAGGAGCAAAAGAAGCTGGAGGGGGAGCTGACGGAGGAGGTAGAGCTGGCCAAGCGCCGGATCGATGAGATTAACAAGGAGCTGAACCAGGTGATGGAGCAGCTGGGGGATGCTCGCATTGACCGGCAGGAGAACAGCCGGCAGCAGCGCAAGGCTGAGATCATGGAAAGCATCAAGCGCCTCTACCCTGGCTCTGTGGTAAGTGTAGAAGAACAATAGCAAGCTCCTCAAGGCAGAGCCGAGGGTATATGGCAGAGGGTGGGTGGGGTAGAACTGGAGGCCAGGGCCCCTCCTTGCCTCATTCCATTTCCTTGTTTCCCACAGTACGGGCGCCTAATTGACCTCTGCCAGCCGACCCAGAAGAAATACCAGATCGCTGTCACCAAGGTCCTGGGCAAGAACATGGATGCCATCATCGTTGATTCAGAGAAGACTGGCCGGGACTGTATCCAGTACATTAAGGAGCAGCGAGGAGAGCCTGAGACCTTCCTGCCCCTTGACTACCTTGAGGTGAGGCCTAACAAGGCCTGGGCATGGTGGTGGATTACTGCAGAGATCGATAAATCTCCATGTTTGTGCTAGCCTGCCGATGATCAGGTGGTATCTTTTTTCCTACCCTGCCACCTGTTCAGCTCCCAACACTTTCTAAAGGTAGCTCCCTCAGACTGATTCTGAGGTAGGATTTGCACAGAGCTCTTGCCCAAGGGACTCAGTTTTTCCCCCTTTTGCTCCTTCCCATGTAGCCACCTTGCTTCAACAATAAGCTGCTTTTAAAACAAAGGTATACATGTAAAGTTATAAAGGTGATGGGGAAGGACTGCCTCCACTTCAGTGGCTGGAGTAACTTTGAGTGATCTGCAGACTGACATAAGCTTGTCACTGTGCATCTCTGCCTTCCCCCTGAGCCAAAACGCCTATATATTGCAGGTGAAACCGACAGACGAGAAGCTCCGGGAGCTGAAGGGAGCCAAGTTGGTGATTGACGTGATTCGCTATGAGCCGCCTCACATCAAGAAGGCCCTGCAGTATGCTTGCGGGAATGCCCTTGTGTGTGACAATGTGGAGGATGCCCGTCGCATTGCCTTTGGAGGGCACCAGCGTCACAAGGTCTGAGAAATCTTGCGAGCCACTCTTAAGTTTCTTGCCTCTCAGCCTCCTCCAGAACTACAAACACAGTCCCAGTCAAGATTCTACAGCAAGGAACCTTGAATTTCTGTTAACTGCATAGATGTATTACAGACTAAGAAAACGTGCTGGTATTTCCTTTATTTGGTTTCTGCTTTTTCTAAAAGGACACCAAAGCCCCAGCTTCTTGTTAATGAAAAGCTTCCTCTGGTCTCATCTTTGGTTTTGGAAAGTTTACCAAAGCTTGTTCATTCACAACTGTCTTTACAGCCAGGAGGGCTAGATACTTTTAATGAAAATTTAAAGATGAGATTTTTCAGGATGCTAAATTGTGCACTCAGTTCCCAGTTTGGTGTTTGCACAGAACTGCAGAACACCCTTGGCCCTGTCTTTGCTGTAACTCAAAACGTGCTGCTTCCTTCTGCATATTGTGTACTGTAGCATATTGTTACTGTAGCCATCACTAGCTGTGGGTGACTGATAGCCAAGACCTGAGGTGGCTGCTTCTTCTTGGCGTGACTTGCTGTGTTCCCTTCTTCGTCCTTTTCCAGACTGTAGCCCTGGATGGGACCCTCTTCCAGAAGTCTGGGGTGATCTCAGGAGGTGCCAGTGACCTGAAAGCCAAGGCCAGGCGCTGGGATGAAAAGGCTGTGGACAAGCTGAAAGAGAAGAAAGAGAGGCTGACAGAGGAGCTAAAGGTTGGAATGGCTTTTAGTTGCCAAGTTCTGCTACAAGCTCTAGATAGCATCAATAGAGAAATGTTGACTGGGAAGAATTTGGGGCATCATTGAAGGTCCCAAGCTAAAAATGCGCCAGGGCTCATTTGGGATGCTCAGGGGGTCTAACAGGGATAGGGAGCACAACACCAAAAAAAGGGGACACTACAGTCCTACACACATAATTACAGGGTACCTATCCAATCTCAGGGATTTGGTCTCCATCAGAACTCATAGCAGATTGAGCTGACTGATGGAAGAACAAGGTGAGAAGTAATGGGGTGTTTTGCCAGGCAAGAGTGGGATGTTGAGGAGAACAAGACAAGAGGCGTCATTTTGGCTGAAGGGGTTGTGCTTAACACAAGCTTTCCTTATGTTGCTCACCAGAAATCCTTCTTCCTAAAGCTCCTTCTTGTTTCTGGTTTTGTTGGATTTACTGGCTTTCCATGAATGCCTCTCCCCAAATGTGGATAATCTGGCAGTATTTAACTTGTTTATATTTTTAACAGGATTTATATACCACTTAATTGTAAATAAGACCTCTAAGCTGTTTACAAAGAATACAAAATACATATTAAAATTGTCAGCAAAAAGCAAAGTTAAAATCAAGTTTCAAGAAAATTAAAGTACAAATAAAATCAACAGTTAAAATATACAGTGTAAGCTAAAATTCCAGATAAAATACTTGTTAACTTTTCATGGAGATACATCAAACCACTGAGCACTTTAAAAGCAGTAATTTTCAAGACTGGGAGAAGTGACAGTCAAGGCAGTGAGTACTTCCTTGTTCCTTACTTTCTCTCAGAGCCTGACAAGAGTTTATGGTTTGGAAAGAGACTTTCAGACAGGAATTGAAAATGATTGAATGTTCCTCTCTACAAAAATGGCTCCCTGAATTTATAAAACTAGCACATAAAAGTGCAGTCTAGGCTATGGAAGGTTGTTTTCTGTCTGTAAAAGTATTCAGTTGTATAAATTCCCAGTTGTAGTTTGAAGTGGTGCAACGCAGGCAGATGATTACCACCTCTTAGGCTGTCTTCCTCAATACCCTTCCTAAAAAGTAAGTCCCACCAAACTCATTGGGGACTTCTGTGAAAACAGGCTTAGGATTACCGTATTTTTCGCCCTATAGGACACACTTTTTCCCCTCCAAAAATGAAGGGGAAATCTGTGTGCGTCCTATGAGGTGAATACAGGCTTTCGCTGAAGCTTGGGGAGCAAGAGGGGTCGGTGCGCACTGACCCCTCTCGCTCTCCAGGCAGCTATCAGCAAGCCTGGGGAGCCCGCGGGAGTTCCCGCAGGGCTCCCTAGGCTGCGGATAGCAGCCTGCCGCCCGGCGCGTGGGGCGCCCTGAAGCAGAGCGCCCCTCGCGCCGGGCAGACATCCGCAGCGTGGGGAGCCCTGCAGGAGTTCCCGCAGGGCTCCCTGCGCTGCGGATAGCAGCCTGCTGCAAGGAGCGCTGGGCACGCTGAAGCAGAGCGCCCCGCGCTTCAGGCAGACATCGGCCAGCCCCACAAGCTCGGGGGACAGCAGGGAGGCGCAGCGCCGCCATCCCGCTGTTCCCCGACCTGGTTTTGGGGGGGAAATAAAGGAATTTCCCCCCCTTTATTTCCCCCCCCCAAAAAAACTAGGTGCGTCCTATGGGACGGAGCGTCCTATGGGACGAAAAATACGGTATACTGCATGTGCATCACTGGCTGCATTTGCATGTGATATAACGTTTAGCATTACAAGGACGAGTCACAGTGAGCATCAGACTCATATGCTCTCCCTGCTGCCACCCCCATTATGACTGCAAGGAGTTTAGAAGCTTTTGCTTCTTTTACATTAACCACTGCTTATCTTGACATCCAAACCTGGGGAAAGTGTGGTTAGTCCCATCCAACCAAGTGGAAACAAGCCAATTTCAAAACCAATTTACAAAGTTTAGTTTGTAAGTAATGCAGTTTAGTTCAAAGTAATGATACAAACTATGGTTAATCTAAAACAAAAGTGGAAGCTTCCATTCTCCATTTGGCCGTACTGGAGTAGGAAAGGTGGAAGCACTTGAGCTGTAACTCAGATGAAACTACATGAAACTACGTTTTAGCATTGCACGCAAACTGGGCCACTAGCTCTTCGCAATTGTGTGTGTTCAGTTAAATAATTTTTATTAATTTTCAATTACAAAAAATCCAATATATGCCATATTGTATCAGTGCCAATTCACAATTCCAATTCAAATATAATTAAACAGCCAATTACATAATCATATTGTTTTTACTCCTGTGTGCTAGATTTCAGGGTACGGCATTTTTGTTTTCATTCTGCTTCCGAAGGTTTGTTTAATCCAATTCCATTCAATCTTAATCACAATCCCTTACCCACAGCTACAACGTTTTTAACATTTATATTAAAACATTTAGTATTCGTATTAAAACATTTAATGATTTATATTCCTGCAAGAAAAGTTCTGTAATCCTTAATTGTACCTGTGCATGAAGTTTGTTTTATATTTATATCAATTTATTTTGTCCATATTGTTTCTTCTTAGTGTCCTTCATGACCTGCACCGCTCAGCCACTTCTAGTCTCTCTCTCCCCCTTAGCTCAAAAAGCAAGGCTGTTATTGCAATTCTGTCATATGCCATATTTATTTCGTTACAATAATAGAGATAGTCTGGCAATGCTTCGACAAGCCTCTGGTTTCTCTCTCCTTTCATCTTTTCACAATAACGATCTGGTGTCCCACCAAAGCCTGGCAAGCCTTCAAAGACCCCTCTAAGGCAGCGATACAATGAAAAATAAATCCTTCCGAATGGTTCAAATCCATACCCATTTCATGTACAGTTCTATTTTGCGTTGTCTTCCATTGACAAACTCCCATTTTCTTTAATCTTCTCCTGCCTTCCATTAATTTTTTAACAATCGGGGTGGGTTTGCCAAATCATTTATGTAGCAAACAAGATGTATATAAAAAGGGTAAAGGCTCCCCCCCCCATACCATTGTTTACAATGAAAGAAATTTTTCTTTCTATTTCAGATCTCTATGTCTTTGTAGCCATTTCATTTTAGCAGGTGATAATCTTGTCCCATCTATCCCAGCACGTGTCTGTAAATTAGTTCAAATTCTACTCTAATAAACAGAATAATCTTTGCACCTTAATTGCTGTGTTGAAGGGTTATACTGATAAGCAAAGTACTTTGGCACTCAGCTCCTCCTGCCTCCTCCGCCATGGAATCCAGGGAGAAGCAGGTATGAAGGCGATCTGCAAGTGAAGCTCACTCCCCCCCCCCCCGGTGCTGGGGGGGAGTTTGCAAGGACAGTTACCTTCAAATGATCCTTGTTTATGCTTCGCTAACGATCTCCACTAATGTGGGAGTGGCATCCATTAAGGCAAACCGGAACCGGAAGCCGCAAGCATGTGTGTTCAGTATATTTTGTCTGCAATTACTCCCCCAATGGACACCTTAGTTACACAATTTGTATTACTGTTTTTCCTATGCTGGTGGACTGTCCCCATTGCTCAGATCATCAAGCATTTTTGGGATAATCAGGCATTTTTGGGAATAACTGACTTAAATTGATTCCTTCAGTCCTTAGCTAGGGGGTGCCATTGCGCCGTCAAGTTTACGTTTAAAAAAAAGATTTCCCAAACAAATAGTGATAGCTTTACTAGGGATGAAAAGCTATTCTGTGTATATGTGCCACACATGCATAACTTGGTTCCAGGTGTATCCATCATGAGACTTGTTCACCAAAATGATTGAAGTGGACACATTCCAGAGGAGCAGCTGTACTTGGTATATTTTAGCAAAACTGAAGAGCAGTGGTACAATAAATACTAACTAGCTTTCAGATGCAGTTGATGAAATAGACACTTGTCTACAGAGAAACATGCCTCAGCAAACGCTTTTTTTCTTCTTCTTGTGTTACAGGGCACCATCATTTTTGCTTGAAATTACACTGTTCACGCAGTGCATAAATGCATCTTTTCAGGGGACTGGGTCTAGCTACCTGTTGGGGAGTTGTTTTCAGCTTTCTGAGACAGCATTGGGGCTCCTCCTTTACGTCTTATGAATTTATTCCTGGAATTTAGCTGCTTCACATTGGCTGCAGCATAACAACAAACTTGTTTTCTCATTCCATTTTTCTTTTTGCACCCAACTCCCCCTACATCTCCTTTTCTCATTTCCAGGAGCAAATGAAAGCCAAGCGGAAGGAGGCAGAGCTGCGCCAAGTCCAGTCCCAGGCCCATGGCTTGCAAATGCGTCTGAAATACTCCCAGAGTGACTTGGAGCAAACCAAGACCCGTCATCTTGCTCTCAATCTCCAGGTATGATGGCTTGCTGGGACCATGCATCCTTCAGGCCTCCAACTTCCAAGGTAGCTCTCTGAGTTTTGTAGGGGATGCTGCCTCTTGCCTTAGAGCTAAAGCAGCAGGTGCAGCAGAAGATGCTTGGGGATGTTCATTTGGAGGGCTGTCCTGGGCAACCATCAAAGACTACCAAGGTTGGGCATGCAAGTTCACCCCTCTACTGGATGTAAACTCTGAAGCCCCAGTCTTGCCATGATCAGTTTGCTTGAGAGAGATTCCTACCATCAGTCCCTCAGTTCCTTCTGAATTATATCCCTAATAGAATGCTATACCCAACAGGAAAAGTCCAAGCTGGAAAGTGAATTGGCCAACTTCGGGCCCCGCATCAATGACATCAAACGCATCATCCAGGGGAGGGAGCGTGAGATGAAGGAGCTCAAGGAGAAGATGAACCAGGTATGATGGATCAAGACAAAGTTGTTAATGCTTGTTACTTTTATTTATTTATGTATTTATTATTATTATTACTACTATTACTTTTATTATAAATTATTATTATATATCTCTATCCTACCCTCAATCCCCAAAGAGCCTAAGGTGGTTGTGGAACTTCTTAAGGAAAATCTATACAATGACTAATGTATCTGCAGCGGTCTTTGTCAACATAGTGCACCTGCAGGCTGCACTGATAAGATTTGTAGTCCCAAAACATCTGGGGAGCACAAGGTCAATGTCTGCTGAACAACTACATATCTAAGCAATATAAAAATCATCTCCACAAGAAGCTGCTGAATCTCAAACAACATCCAGTTTCCAAATGCCTCAGCAAAGAAAAAATCTTCAGCTCTTGCCTAAATACAACATGGGGGACAAATGCCCTTATCTGAGGGAGGCGGTGTCCGCAGAGAATGCTCTGTTTTGGGTCACTGTCTCATGAGCTGTACTCATTTGTGATGCCACCAGCAGGGGCTTCCTGCATATCTTAAAGCACAGTGCTTGGATTTCAAGACTAATAGGGCAATACCTTGGAATGGGCTTGTTGGCTCAAAGGTGGTGAGTGTTGCTTTTACGACCAATGACACAGTCTCACCTTACTGCCCTGCTTAAAAGGCTGAGAGCCACATTTTACATCAGCTGCAGCTTCCGGACCATTTTTAAGGGGAGCTCCATGTAGAGTGCATTACAGGAGTCACTAGTTAACACTCCCAAATCAGTCTCTTAAGCTTAAGCCAAGAAATAGTATTCTCTATGAAATTGAATATCAATATACATATCAACAAAAGACTGAGTTAAGCTTTTGAAAAATCCATTGAAATCAAACATAAGTTCATCTTAGATTGGGTAGTTCGCAAGTATCTGTGGCTTTGCACAAGGTTTTGTATTTTTCTTAGAAGATTGATATAGAATGTATAATTACTTTGGTAATTATTGTGTGTATATTAGTTGCCAACGTGTTGCATGAGTCGTACTACTCCTACTCCTATACTAGGCTGAGCTAGCTGAAAGGGAGGTTCCAGAATGGGAACTAGCCTGAAAGGGGCAGGACAGAAAAGTCTGAGAAAGGGGGGTTATCAGAAGGCTACAGCAATGGCAGGTGTTGGGAAAAGAGTGAGGCAGGTGACCTGGTCTTGACATTCTGGTGGCTTTGAAGCTGTGTTCCAGGAACTCAGAAAGTGGAACACAGGTATGCCTGGTAATAAAAAACTCTGGGTCTAAGAAATTTATCTGGATTCCTTATTCATGGATGACAAAAAGCTAGCCTGCCCACCAATACAGATCTTTTGCAAAGCACAAACTGGGCAGTGGCGTTCAGATGTGTTTTAGGGTGCACTGTTGGCTAATGTGGGGATTGGCCATAACTGTAGTAGACCACATGCATTGCCTACAGGAGGTTCCAAGTTCAATCTCTGGTCTCTTCAGTCAAAAGGACCAGGTATCAAATGCTGTGTAGGCTCTCAGACCCTGCAGAGCCACTTCTAAGCCACAGCCAGCCAGAATAGGCAGTAGTGGGCTAATATGAACAAATAGTCTGACCTAGGATAAGGCAGGCTGCTAGTATTGGAGCCCAGTCAGCCTTTCCAGCACAGGCTGCCTTTACTGTGTGCCCCAGAATCATCACACAGAGGCTGTGTGGCATTCCAATCAATGTGGAAAAAGTTTCCTGAAAGTGGAAATTTGGTGTTAAAAAACCCACTCAAAACTACTCTGCTCCATCTCATCCTGCTCCTCTCACTTTAGTTTCTTCCCATCTTTGCCAGGTGGAAGATGAGGTATTTGAGGAGTTCTGCCGGGAGATTGGGGTGAGGAACATCAGGGAGTTTGAGGAGGAGAAGGTGAAACGCCAGAACGAGATTGCCAAGAAAAGGTAACCAGCCCAACTTTGTGCCCTCATGAAGTCTCCCAGGTTGAGGAATGCGAAAGCCGTGTGGATGCATGGATGGGTTTGGATCTGAGACCCAGTTTTAACCCCTGTCCCTCTGCAGGTTGGAGTTTGAAAACCAGAAGACCCGCCTGGGCATCCAGCTGGACTTTGAGAAGAACCAGCTGAAGGAGGATCAGGACAAAGTGCACATGTGGGAGCAGACGGTCAAGAAAGATGAAGCTGAGATAGAGAAACTCAAGAAGGTGCCAGGGTGGGCCGGTAGTGGCTAGGAGGGTTTGGTCAGGCAGTTCCCTGTGGCTTGAAGGTGGGGAAGAAGGCAGTAGAGTCTATGGTCGAGCTCATAGTCTCTCTGTTTCTCTCTGCCCCCCACTTAAGGAGGAACAGCGGCACATGAAGATCATTGATGAGACCATGGCACAGCTGCAGGACCTGAAGAACCAGCACTTGGCCAAGAAATCTGAGGTGAACGACAAGAACCATGAGATGGAGGAGATTCGGAAGAAGCTGGGCGGAGCCAACAAGTGAGTCTTGGCTTCTGGGGGCAGAGGCTAGGGAATGTAGGAAGGGAGGCTGTGGAGGGATGCTTGATAACCTTTCCCCTTTCTCTAAGGTGGGAAGTTTGTAAAATGGCTGGAGGTGAATCCTGTGCTAGATCTGACCAAATGCAGTAGCGTCCTCCTCCGAGGGGCAGCCAGCCAGAAGCCTCTGGGACAACTCCCCTATGGGTTGTCCTTAACATCTAGTCCTTGGAGGTCCACTTCCTCTGGACAGGAAGGTTCTGTTTAACTGTTATAGTTGATAGCTGTTGATGGCAAAAATGTCTCTATATTTCTCTTCTTTTTTTATTTGATTCAATTTAATATTTATACCAAATATTATCAATATTGACTTTTGCTCTCAGGGAGATGACTCACTTGCAGAAGGAAGTGACAGCCATTGAGACCAAGCTGGAGCAGAAGCGCAGTGACCGCCACAATCTGCTGCAAGCCTGCAAGATGCAGGACATCAAACTGCCCCTCTCTAAAGGCACCATGGATGATATCAGTCAGGAGGAGGTAAGCAGAGTCTCCATCCACGTATAGCAGAGGGTGGGTATGAGGCCCAAGCAGGAGAGTGAGATGGTTCTCTTTTGTTTTGATTCGGGTGCAGGGTGGCTCCCAGGGGGAGGAGGCAGCCAGCAGCTCACAGAGGACTTCCAACATGTATGCGCGAGAAGCTCTCATTGAGATTGACTACAGTGACCTCTCTGAGGACCTGAAGGTGAGCTTCCCCTTGGGTCTGCTCTTCCTGGGGAATAGCTGGGGGGGGGGGAGGTGGCCTTTTGTCCCCAGGCTAGTGGCAAGTCCACAAAGCAAAAATGTACATGTGTTCAGGTCACTTATATATTCTTTTACTTATTTAAAATATTTATGCCCTGTCATTCTGTCAAATGATCTACGAGGTGGCTTCAATCCAAAATAAAAGCTGCATTTAAAACCAGCATAATAACAGAACTGCAGGGCAGAATGAACAGTAATAAATTAAAAATGAGTAAGAAAATGCTGGAACATTGTTTATTTGTTAGCTTCCCCCGATCCCTACAAAAAGGTAAACCAAAAGCTTTAAAGTACTTCCACAAGTCCCTTAATGAGGAAGCCTGGGGAGTTGCTCTCAGGAAGGAATTCCAGATTCTAGGTGCACATAAATAACATCGGCAGCACTGGTAATGGGGGAATTCAAAGCAGCATCTTCAAAGTTGCATCTGAGTGAATGGGCTGGTTCACGTAGGTGACAGCCAGTGCCCAACCCCTTTAGGCCTTTACATTCCTGATTCTGCTTGATAGAGGGTTCTCCACTTGTCAATCTTCCCCTGGTTCTTCAGGGATAAAATGGGGCTGTCTTCCCTATGTTCTTTGTCATCCACATGTCATCATCCCTTTTGTCTCCGCTGAACCATGGATGATCCGTGTGCCTCATAAACGTAAGTTTGGAACTTCTGTTTAGAAAAAAAATGTTTTTATCTTTTAACTTTGCAACCTGACTTTCTCTTTACCTGACCCTTTTGTTCTTAAAGAAGTCTTTAAGAAAATTGGAATCTGGAGTTGATTGTGTACTCTGACCTCTCAAGGATCGCTCCTGCATATGCCATAACAATTGTCCGTGCCATAGATTGAGTTAATGGGCAGGGGAAAGGGATCCTGATTGGACTGTGCCCCAGTGATGATGGCAGAGAGTTTGCTAGAAAGGCTTTTCTCTCCCATATATTTAGCCCCAAAGGTCCTGAGGATTCTCACCCCAGACTTCAGTTGGCTAGAGAGGGTAGTGGCATAGGTGCATCACTAAGGCAGATGCATCTGGGTTCTCTGGAAATTTCTGGGTTTGTGGGGGGGTGGGGATGATGACTATTAGAGTCTCTGGCTGCCTGAACCGCCTCCCATCATTCCCGCCTACAGGATTCCCAGGCTGAAGATGAGATCAAGCAGGAGATGAACCAGCTGCAACAGAAGCTGAATGAGCAGCAGAGCATTTTGCAGCGGATTGCTGCTCCTAATATGAAGGCAATGGAGAAGCTGGAGAGTGTGCGGGACAAGTTCCAGGAGACCTCTGATGGTACTGGACCCCCCTCCTGACCTCTCTTTAGAGTGCTGGGGACCTGGGCCGAGGGCTTCTGCTGGAGGGCTGGGAAGACCCATGCTTACACTTCTTCCTTTGCTCTGGTAGAATTCGAGGCTGCCCGGAAACGTGCCAAGAAAGCCAAGCAGGCATTTGAACAGATAAAAAAGGAGCGCTTTGACCGCTTCAACTCCTGCTTTGAGTCAGTGGCCACCAACATCGATGAGATCTACAAAGCCCTGTCACGAAATAGCAGTGCCCAGGTGAGGACACCCCTGGCCTACCATGGACAGCTAACAATGTTATAAACGGTTCTTGTGTGTGATCCATGTTTTGACAAACATTAAAGCCAAGGAACCTAAATTCTGAGTTGAGCAAAGCTGAATTCTGCGTCCAGTATGAATTGGATAAATGGAGGAAATTTGCACAGTGTCTTATTTTTATACTGTCCTTCCTGCTAATATTTACTCTTTAGCACCATTTATTCTGTGCTTTTTATTCACGTGGAGAGGCAATACGCTATTCCCTGCCTTCAGAGATCTCAGCAGGCAGCACCCACTTACATCCAAGCATATCTTCTGACCCATGGGAGCTAGCAACCTGCTGTTCTATCTTTTCTCATTTTTCAAACAATTTTAAATAGAGCAGGAAGTCAAATTCAACACCGCATTCAGCGCTTTTTATGTATCTCCACAGAAGTGTACCATACATACAGACAAATACTATGATGTTCAAATATTTTAGGGATTATTATGGGTGCCATGTCTTTAAAATTGGATGAACCCTATAAAGAGTGTGTGTGTTTTCCTCCCATGATCGACCAAAGGTTGTTTTATTGTAAATGGAAGCCAATTTACTACAAATTGGAAATCAAAAATCCATTAACCATGGGAATCAGATTTTGAGAGTTCGCTGCCAACAGATTATAGAAATTGTGTTCATGCAAATTTGCTTTCTAGTTGCAAACAGAATTGTCTTCTAAAACATCAATCTAAACCCCAGAAGACTGATTACAGCCTAGCTACTGTTCTTTTTATTCATATGCAAAATATGCTATTTATTCATGTGTTGGGCTTTGAAATGCTGTCCCATATTGTCATCAGACAAATTGTACCAACTGGCATTCGCTTGAGCCTTCTAGTGCCATGCTTTGTGGAGTCAGGCTCCTGTGTGCGTATTCCATGCTGCAGGGGGAACTGTGCATGCTGCCTCAGTCAAAGCAGCTGTAGGAGCACACTTGTTTGTTTGCTTGCTTGCCTGCTTGCTTGCTTGCTTGCTTGCTTGCTTTCTGAGGAGTGCGGGACCTAATAAAGCCCTCATTGCCCCTAAATAGATGATGGACTCTGTTGTCAGCCAGCTCCTCAGTGGTGGCTTTTTGCAACTATATTTGATTATTTTTAATAATGTGCCATGTTTCTTGGCTTGCTGAGTTATATTAGAAGTATCCAAATTCGTTTGAATTCCACAATACTGTTGTTGCCCAGAAGCCTCTGAGGTAGCTCTCAACCCACCCCTCTTGGGTGTATTGGACTAGCAAAGCCCTAATACATCCATCTTTCCATCTTCCCTTACAGAATTTTATTTTCATAGGGTCTCGCCCTGTTTCATCATACTGTGAAATTGATCTAAGCAGCTGTCTTACAGCACATTAGATCATCAGTCCACTTAGCTCATCCATCACTGTCAACGCTGACTGGCAGCGGCTCTCTGATTTCAGAAAGCCTGGAATTTTCCCCAGCCCTGCCTGGAGATGCCAGGGGTTGACCTGGGAGTTTTTCAATGCAAAACATGTGCGCTACCCCCTGAGCTCTGGCCTTCCCCATTAAAGATGGTTTTGAGGTATTGACCACTGGTGTGAAGACTTCTGATTGTCTCCCTTCATCCCTTTTTCTCTAGGCCTTCCTAGGCCCCGAGAACCCAGAGGAGCCTTACTTGGATGGCATAAACTACAATTGTGTAGCCCCTGGCAAGCGCTTCCGGCCCATGGACAACCTGTCTGGTGGGGAGAAGACAGTGGCAGCCTTAGCTCTACTTTTTGCCATCCACAGGTAAGGTCAGCCTTTACTAAGGGGGTGGGGAGGGACATTGCACACTGCAAAGGTTCACAGTCCCATGTTCTCTCCAGCATCTGCAGTGAATGGGTAGGAAAGGCCTCTGCCAGAGACGCTGAAGAGCTGCTGGTCTTGGTGGACCAGCGGTCCATCTCTGTACAAGGTGGCTTCATATTGCTGGCTCTCTCTCTTTATCCACAGCTACAAACCTGCTCCATTTTTTGTCTTGGATGAGATCGATGCTGCTTTGGACAACACCAACATTGGGAAGGTTGGTAGGAGGCTAAATCAGATGGGGCAGCTGGACATTACTGGATCAGATTTGAAGAAAAGCAAAGGGAGGGTTGGGCTGATCAGTTCTCCTTTTCAACCTTCTCCCTCTGACATCCCCACAGGTGGCCAATTACATCAAGGAGCAATCTACGTGCAACTTCCAGGCCATTGTTATTTCCTTGAAGGAGGAATTCTACACCAAGGCCGAGAGTCTCATTGGTGTCTACCCTGAGGTATGGAAGTGTAACAGAGAATTATATTTCAGTGCTGCTGACACCTGTCCACTGCCTGCCTGTATTAATGACAGTAATGTGTTTGTACCCCCTCTGACATCCATTCCTTTTTAAACCTTGTGCAATCTAGAGATATGAAGGCCTCAAAATGAGGTGACCTTGCCATGAAGGAAGGTGAAATAGGGTTGGGCGATGTATGGATTTCAGATTGGGATATATCACCAGCTAAATTCTGTGGTAGGGATGCAGGTGGCGCTGTGGGTTAAACCACAGAGGTTGGCGATTCGAATCCCCGCGACATGGTGAGCTCCCGTTGCTCGGTCCCAGCTCCTGCCAACCTAGCAGTTCGAAAGTACGTCAGAGTGCAAGTAGATAAATAGGTACCTCTCCAGCGGGAAGGTAAATGGCATTTCCTTGCACTGCTCTGTTTCACCAGAAGCGGCTTAGTCATGCTGGCCACATAACCCAGAAGCTGTATGCCGGCTCCCTTGGCCAGTAAAGCGAGATGAGCGCTGCAACCCCAGAGTTGTCCATGACTGGACCTAATGGTCAGGGGTCCCTTTACCTTTACCTTTTTAAATTCTGCGGAATACTGATACAGTTGTACCTTGGAAGTCGGAACAGAATCCATTCCAGAAGTCCATTTGACTTCCAAAACATTTGGAAACCAAGGTGCAGCTTCCTGCAGCCAATTGGAACCCACGGAACCTGCATTGGATGTTCGGGTTCCGGAGAACGTTCGCAAACCGGAACATTCACTTCTGGGTTTGCGGCGTTTGGGAGCCAAAACGTTTGACTTGCAAGGCGTTCAGCTACTGAGGTACGACTGTATATCACAATGTCTGAAATGTATCTGGTCGCTTCTTCCTCCCCACCTTAGGGGAGGAAGAAGCAGTCAGACACATCACCCAGGCTTTCAGCTGAGCAAGCCCCTTAATGTACCACTCTGGCTCCACGCAAGCTGGAGGGTAGGGTCACAGGGGCTTCCTCAAACTGCTCAGCTGGGAGGTGGGAAGGCTCTCACCCCCCAGCTGAGCAAGGCCCAGTACTGCTCTGGCTCATGCAAGCTGGAGGGTCTCAGGGGCTCCTTTAAACTGCTCAGGTCGGAGCAGAAAGCTTCCTGCCTCCCAGCTGAGTAAGTCCATCTGTCTGCATGTTTGCCTCCACACAAGCAAGCGGCCGCTCTCTTACTCCTGACCACCGCTGCCAGCACAGCAGAGACAGGCGGACTGTTCTGGCAGTGGCTGGGGGACTGCGATATGTTGCCAACTCAAAAACTCTGAAACTGGTATTGCAATCTGAACGTAGTATCAGTTTCAGACAATAAGTTGAAAAATCGCCCAGCTCTAGCCCAGAGAAGGGGGTGTTTGGGGCACCATTAAAGGCAGCAGCTTAGGAGGCAAACACTTTTTGGGGAAATTCTCTGGCAGGCGCCTCCTTTCAGGGCCTGGGGGTGCTAGTCTGCAAAGAAGCCCTTGAGGGAAGACTTCAGACATAAGTCTGTGGGGACAGTCAGGTTGCGGTTGCTCAGTGACGAGTGAAAGGTCGCTCTTTTTACGTGCTCGGAGGTGCTGGTTTTTTATTACCTCATATCTGCTTTAGTTTTTTGTTTCAGAAGAGAAATGACCCAAAAATGGAGGGGGTGATAACCAAATGGATGTTTGGAAATATTACAAAGTTTAAAAAGAAACAGAGGCGTACCTAGGATCCCTTGCACCCTTGGCAAGGGGGCTGTATTGGGGTGGGGAGGCCGTTCCAATAAAAATCACTTTACTGCAATAGTCACATTAGAAATTACTACATTTTACACTACCCAAGTACTCAAAGCTTCCAGAGTGAGGATGAGGCAAGGAGGAAGGGTGAAAGAATTCACACACCTTTGTGCTGCAGTGTGAGACGGGCAGAAAGCTTCTCCTGTGTTTGATTTTGCCATGATAGCAGCAGCACGTTGCTGCACACATAAAATCATATGCTTCATAGTCTGATAGGTGGTTTTTGCAGGGAGTCCGTCTGGGCCTGTGCCCCCAGCAGGGGATGGTTTCACCAACCCCTAGATACTCCTCTGAAAAGAAAGAAGGGTGGGATTAGAAGACTAAGATAACCTGCTGTACAGTTGGTTTCCCCACTCTCCTTCTCCTAAAAATCCTGGTCCTTCCTTGTCCAAGGACAAGAGTGACTCATGGGAGCCTGTTTGCCCTCAGGAGGGCTGCTCTGTTGGGGTGATCTATGAGAGTAAAGGAGCAGCTGTCACATGACTTTCCCTTTCCTCTCACAGCAAGGAGACTGTGTCATCAGCAAAGTCCTGACCTTTGACCTCACCAAGTATCCGGATGCCAATCCAAACCCTAATGAGCAGTAAAAGCAGAAGAAAGAAGCTGGACACCAAGGCTCACTGTTTTTTTCAAAACCTTCCTCCGTTGCTCCCCTTTCTGCCCTCCAAAGGCCTTAACTGTTGTCTGCCCTTTATTTATCCTACAGAATGTTTAGCGGGTTTGGGAAGGGGAAGTGTTGAGGGACTGGGGTATTACTGATGACTGTAGGATAGCATTTTTGTGTGCTTAATAGCAGATTGTTCCTCCAACTGTAGCTGTAGAGCAACAACACTCTGTTTTTAAAATAAGAAGTCAGCATCTCTTATTGCTGGGGATGGGAAGAAAAAAGGAGGAATGTTGTTCCTCCCTTGTACCTTAATTTGCTTTTAAAACTCTTTATAGGACCAAAATCATGGTGGGTTCAGGAGGATTCCTCCTGTGCCAAGCTCTCACCTGTTAAGGTGTGGCTTCAGATCTTGCTTTTTTCTAGCCTGATATCATGTGTATATGTGTTTGTGTGTGATTGAAATTAAAATATGTTACTTCAATCCGCTAGGAGTATTCTTGTGGCAGATCATGTGGGAGGGGAAGGTTGGTCAGGTTGGGACGGTGGTGGGAGAATGCGCATGAATTCCTTCTGTCAAGGTGTGCCAAGGTTGGGCCAGCGTCACCAAGCCTCTTGAACATTATTCTACACACACATCCCCACCCCATAAATCCTGGATCTTGCATGAGTGCTGACAAATATGTCAGGGATGGACGCAATTTACTAACAGGGTCCTTATGCATACAGTTCAGGGGAGGGTGTTTGGTTTTTTCCAAGGCAAAGACATATCTGATACCAATTGGTTGTTTGCTAGCAACTGAATTGCATTGTAATTTTGCAAGGGGCAGTCAAACTGTTATAACGACACTCCAGATGTTCTGATTTGACCTAGAGCTGTTGCTGGCCTTGATGGACCTGTTAATTCAAGGGATTATAATAAAAACCATGTATACGCCATTTCTTTAAAAAACCAAATCTTAAAATTCTGTGCCCAATCAAGCAAATTCTCTACCAATGAAAGCTGAATTCTACAATATATATAGTTTGAGCTGCGTGTATCTATTTTTACATGATTCTGGATAGTTCTTCATAGAATTGTAGAGTTGGAAAGAACCCCAAGTATCATTTTGTCCAGAGCTTTCCAAACTTTTCATGTTGGTGACACACCTTTTAGACAAGCATCATTTCGTGACACAGTGATTCAGTTTTACTAGCAAACCGGAGGTTCAACTAACCCCTTTCCAGTCCCAGGAGGAGCACAGGGAGCATTCGTGTGACACAGCCACACACTGCAGCCGATACACTAACGTGTCACGACACAGTTTGGAAAGCACTGATCTAGTCCCAACACCCTGCAATGCAGGAATCTCAACTAAAGTATCCATGATGGATGGTCATGCAGCCTCTGTTTAGAAACCTCCTAGGAAGGGGAGTCAACAACCCCCTGTGGGAGTCTGTTCCACTGCCAAAGAGCTCTTACTGCTGGAAAGTTCTTCCTGATGTTTAGTCGGAATCTCCTTTCTTGTAACTTGAAGCCATTGGTTTGTGTCCTGCCCTCCACAACAGGAGAAAACAAGTTTGTTCCCTCTTCCATGTGACAGCCTTTAAGATATATAAAAATATATCTCCTCTCCGTCTCCACTTTTCCAGGCTAAAGATGCCCAGCTCCTTCAACCGCTCCTCATAAGGCTTGGTTTGCAGACCCTTGATCATTGTGATCTCCCTCCTTTGCACATGTTCCAGTTGTCAATATCCTCAAATTGTGACACCCACAACTCGACACAGTATTCCAGGTGTGGTCTGATCAAGGCAGACTATTTCCCTTGACCTGAACACTAGACTTCTGTTGATGCAGCCTAGAATAGCATTAGCTTTTTTCCCTGCTGCATCACACTGTTGACTCATGTTAAGCTTGTGGTCCACCAAGACCCCTAGATCTTTTTCACATGTACTTCTGGCAAGCCAAGTGTCCCCCATCTTATATTTGTGCAGCTGATTCTTCTTGCCCAAGTGTAGAACCTGACATTTGTCCCTTTTGAAATTCATTTTGTTCGTCTGGGCTCAGTTCTCCAATCTGTCAAGGAGTGCTCTGATGGTGTTTCCTGCTTGGCAGGGGGTTGGACTCGATGGCCCTTGTGGTCTCTTCCAACTCTATGATTCTATGATTCTAAGGTCATTTTGAATTCTGATTCTGTCTTCTGCAACATTAGCTACCTATTTAGCTTCATTTATCCTTACTTTGCTGATGATGGGAAGTTATGGGGCTCTGTGGCGTACGCCTTGCTTTGCACCACTGGAATGCTGTGGCTTTTATGTGTGGCACATTCTTCACTTGCATCTATCTAGTCATAGAGAATAGAAGATGCTCTTTTAAAAAATGAATAAACATTGAAATCCTTAGCTGAATTTTGCTCTTGGTACCATTGTGTGTGCTTCTGTAAAGTCATGGCATACACATAGTTCTGGGTATTGCTCACCAACCTACTCTTGGATGCTTTAGTTGAGATTCCTGTGTTGTAGGGGGTTGGACTAGATGACCCTTGGGCTTCCTCTGCAATGCTATGATTCTACTCCAACTTGGTGCCTTCCAGATGCTTTGGACCACAACTCTTGTTGGCCAGGTGGGCTGGAGCTGACGGGTGCTAGAGTCGAACATCATCAGTTGGAGAACTACAAAATTGTAGTTGCCCTATTTCCTCCTTTGGTCTAAAAACCACTTTGAAGTCACATTTTGAGGGAGCTACTGATCTAGAGCAGGGGGTGGGGAGCCTGTGGCCCTCCAGATATTGGACTCCAGTTTCCATCAGCTCCAGCCAGCATGGCCAATGGTCAGAGTTGTAGTCCAGCAACACCTGGAGAAGCTGTGGGTTTCCTATTTCTGATCTATAGTGACACAAAAAGTAGGCACTTGGATAGGCTTATATTTTAAAAATTCCTTACTTAGTTAATATGGAAAGAATCAAGTTTCAAGGCTGAGGGGCTGAGCATGGAAACTCGTAGACAATGCTTGGTGACATCTCAGAAGCCAGAAGGGCAGCTGAGTTGGATCCTGGTGGGCAAGGAATGGGGCTTCATTCATTTCCCTTGCTCCTTCCCTTTCCCTAAACGAAAGCAAAGATCTAATCAGTGCTTTTGTTCTAGAAAAAAGGTGCCAGCATTGCACATCCTTGAGTACCCCCAGAAAAAACACACACAATGTAATTAATATTCTGCTGTTTCAATATTTGTCCTGAAATTTGAATATCTGATGTGACCAAACAACATTCTTTCAACGGTAATACGTTCCTGTGGTGGCGGTGGCTGCTTTACACAATTGTTGGCCTCATTTGACCACACTGCTGCTGCTGCTCAATCCAGCTGTCTGTGGTTTTGTTATGGAAGTTCATGACATCATGTCGGCTTATAGTATTGTGACATCAACAGAATCGTAGATTGTTATAGCCAATGGGATCAAAAGACAATAAAAGCAACAACAATAAATGGAAAATGGGGCCAGGAATGGTTCAGAAAATGTTAATGGATTATCTCACTATCATCCCTGACCATTGCCTATGCTGGCTGGGACTGGGGGGGGGGGGGTTGTAGCCCAAAACGTCTGAAGGGCACCAGGTTGGGGAAGACTATACATGAGTGTGAAAAACTGAGTACAGAAAGGACAAATCACACAATCCATTATCTTGGCTTAGCCCTAGGCTGGTTGAAGAATTTAGGTGGACTTGGTGCCCAATTTCCACTGAAAATATGGGTCCTATATGACATTAGATTGCCTTTATACTGCTAGCCAAGACTAGGTTCTGTTTTCCAGTGGCAACTAAGCCTTGGAGACTGTAGGGACTGAAGCCAACACATTCTAACTGAATAGATAATTGCTCACAAGGCCTTACTTTGTGGGTGTAGTTATGACCCTGTCAAATGTTCCTGGGAACAGGTCAAAGGATGGTCTTCAAAGAAATTTGGTGAGTCTTGGAAGATAACACAGGGGAGGCAATGTGAGGTGAGATCTCTACATACGACACAGGGCAGCTAGGAAGTAAGGCTCCTTTGCAGGAGTAATGGATTGCCTCAAGAAGAATTTGCTGGTGTTGACTGTGATAACAGAAACAGGTCCTGAGGATCGGTGACACTATGGGCACTTTGCAGCCTGCTGACTCTTAGCACTAGTGGAGCACACTTTGATGCCATAGAAACCACTGATGTCAATCCCGTGATTAAATGTTGGGGTTTTCTGTCAGGAAGATGGCAGGTGAGGGCAAAGCAGGCTTGCTCTATGCACTGCAGATTCTCCTACATCCCACAGAAAACCAGGAGTCATTTGCTTCTCACAGGCTTGGAGGACATTTTGTTCTGTCAAGGGTTGCCGTTTCCCATCAAGGGCTGCAGTCAGAGCCCCACATGGGCAAAGCACCTCCACTCCCACCCCCTTCAGCAGCATGAAATGAAGCCACGGACTGTCGTTTCCCCACTCCTGGCTGTGTCGACAGCGATACAGAGGCAGAACATCTTCTGCTGCCTTATCTATGCTCAGACCTCTGGCTTTGTGGCTCTGCAGTGGGAGTGGTAACGAACCCTGGGGCTGGGCAGGCGGCATAGGAGCCAGCTCCTAGGAGCCGTGGGCGCTTCAACCCTAACCCTAACCCTAACCCATAATAAAATATTTGAGAGGGCCACCCCTCTCCCCAAGTTGATGGGCATTCCCATTCAAATGGTGTGCATGCACTGAGTCGTGTGATGGATTAAGCAGGGCACGGCTTACGTGGCCCCCCACAATATTTTGTTCAAGTTGGCACCCTTGGCAGATGGGAGAGGTGGGAGTGAGGAGCTATGGGTTTCTCTGCTTAGTATACAGAGACCTTCTTCTATCCACCCACCCTCTGAATCCTTGTCATGGGGGAATTCTGGTGTGTGGCTTACAGTATTTGTACAGCAGAAGCAGGGGGGTGCCAGAAGCCCAGTGCATCTGGTCTGGTTCTTACCCAGGTGGGAAACCTGCCTGCAGACTGTATAGCATGGACTGCAGGTGATTTAATGCTGCATTTTAAAAAAGTCATTGTTCCTTAAAAAACCTCAGTAACTAGCAGAGTGGAGAGGAGGCCAGGCTGCAACAGCCCACATGTCGACTGACCTCCTCAATGAGACCTGAACCCCAGTCAGCTGCAGGATATTTATAATGTTATATAGAATCCCTCCTCCCCATTTTCTTGCCTTCTTAATTTAATCCACATCCCTTTGCTATATGGCTTCAGGGTTTTTGAACTGAGACAACAGCACTTTTGCCCGCGTAGCCAACTCATAAATATTTTTTACTGAACCACAAGGAGAGCCTGGGAGTCAAGAACTACTTGCTCCTATTAAGGAAATGAGGTGGGATTATTTAAAATAAGAGCTGGGTGGTGAGAAGAGGGAGAAGTTTGCATGTTGACACTTAGCTGGGCCCGAACTCTGTCCCCTCACAGCACTTAGAGGGCATGGCAAGGAGCTGCTTGTAGTCCAGGTTGCCCTGGAAACTTCTTGCTGCAGTTTTTTACAGGAAGCTTGTATTCTCTAAGGTTTGGGATGAGACGACTTGATGCCGCTTATTTCATGGAAGAGCTCAACCTGCCCCCCCCCCAATAAAGGCAGCAAGAGGAAGCTGCTGCCCTTGCTCTGTGCCTGCTTGGTGCTGGGAATCAACAACAGAAAGGCGGTGGCTGGTAGTAGCATTCAAGAAGAAGAAAGGTGACTTTTAAAATCCAGTGGGCTCAAATAGAAGTCCTCTCTGCCTCAATCTACTCTCTCTCTTTCTCTCTCTTATTTTGGGTGGGACTTGATTGTCTTGTGGCTTCCCACCCTTCTATTTTCGCACAGCTGATATTTTTAAAAATCTCCACGTGTCTTGTTTCCATAACAACAAAACTGCTCTGCTGCTAAGTGGGCTCATTCCCCAAAGAAGGGGGATGGGGTGTGTGAGGGAATTTGACCTTTTGACACAATCAGAGGCAAGGCACAAAGTAGTTCTGGTACAGTGTTCAGGATGTCGTGGTCAAGGTATTTTGGTAACTAAGGTAGATGAGCCAAAGAGCAACCTCCTCTTCAGTCAGTTAGCACGGGTCCAAGTCACCAGCGAATTCTCCTGCAAAATCTCAATTGAAGTGAATGAGAACTCTTCCTGCAGCTCAATTAATTTCAGTCTTGGGGCCTTTTCAGGAGAGCTTCTAGTACCGGGGGAAATAACTGTGTGAGTGTTGCAGCAAAAATAACTTCAGAGTCTTGTGTCACCTTAAAGATGAACAAATTTATTATAGCAAAAGTTTATTGGACTCCAGTTCAATAAAGCTATGCCATAATAATACTTGTTCATATTTAAGGTGTCACAAGATTTGGTGCAAGCAAGAGTTTTTGGTGGATTAGGCCCCTCAAGGCAGTCTTTCGGTCAGCCAGCTAGACTTCATGTCGCCTAAGATGCTGCCTTGGCTCATCGTAGACACCATCTTTTAATGTCTGTGTAATGGGTTTTTACACTTTGTAAATGGCTTGTCTGCCTTTTTTTAACATTAAGCAACACATACATTATTATTTTTAAAAATCTCCTTCTCTTTAAGGGCATTTGGCATCAAAGCCCACCAGAATCCTCCACCAGACTCTGTCTCCATTACTCATTGATTTATAGCAAGGGGCTCCAATCTTGGTGCAGTGTGTGTGTGCGTGCGCGCACACACACACAGACACACACACACACACACACACACACACACACACACTGTGAGTGCACCTCCTGGTACTGATTATGGGTTAGCTAGGCCCTGAGTCATTGCAAAACCCCACTCACCTCCCTAGCCTGAGAATTTGGCTCCCTCTCAGCTCTGTTTTCCTCTCTTGCCATTTTTTTACTGTTTAACCATGACTGGTATGTGTGTATGTGTGCGCACATTGTTTAAGAAGAGGGTGGGGAGAGGCAGATCTTGGGCTTCGTTAAAAAGGCAGTGGAATGCAGCTACATCTGACTCCTGGGGCAAAGTCCAACAGGTAGCTAAACACAATTTTGTTGTGAGAACTTTCTGATAGATTACTCCACATGTTGCTGTGTATCCATTTAAAGCACACAAACACCCTGAATCCTGGGAACTGTTGTATACCCATCACAGAGCTACAATTCCCAGCACCCTTAAGAAACTATTGTTCACCAGATTTTTCTTTGTTTCTTGGGGGGGGGAGGGTTATACGCTTTGAAAGTATAATATGCAGGCTGTCAGTGTCATTTACATGTTGCACTTTAGAACCCCACATATTCTGGAACATCTAATTTTTTTATCTTCTCCCCTCTTGCTAGAAAGAAATGCAGCCTTGCTAAAGAAACACTGGAAATATATAAACTTATGCAGAAGCTGTGCCTGAGCTACCACTGAGAGAAAGCTATGGGGGAAGTTGTCAACTCCATAGATGACTATGGGGTTGTGGCGCTCATCTCACTTTCAGTCCGAGGGAGCTGGTGTTTGTCCGCAGACAGCTTTCTGGGTCATGTAGCCAGCAGGACTAAACCACTTCTGGTGCAACAGGACACTGTGACAAGTGCCAGAGCACACGGAAACACCGTTTACCTTCCTGCCATGGTGGTACCTATTTATCTACTTGCACTGGTATGCTTTTGTACTGCTGGGTTGGCAGGAGCTGGGACAGAGCAATGAGAGCTCACCCCGTCGCAGGGATTCGAACCACCGACCTTCTGATCAGCAAGCCCAAGGGGCTCAGTGGTTTAGACCACAGCACCACCCGCATCCCTACCATAAATAATAATTTATATATAGTATTCAATATATGACCCCCTGCAATCTGAATTGCTGCACTCCACGCCGAAGTACATGGTGAAAACCAAGCCATAGTGATTATTGGGCCCATGGATCTTCAAAATACTGTGAGGCAGTTTTTAAATTATTATTATTATTATTATTATTATTATTATTATTATTATTATTTTGCAAGATGATCAAGGGTCTGGAAACCAAGCCTTATGTGGAATGGTCGAAGGAGTTGTTTAGCCTGGAAAAGATATGATAGCCACCTTCAAATATCAAAAGGGCTATCACACAGAAGATGTTTTCTCCTGCTCTGGAGGGTGGGACTCAAACCAGTGGATTTGAGTTACAAGAAAGGAGATTCTGACTAAACAGCAGGAAGAACTTGGAGGTTTTTAAGCAGAGGTTGGATGGTCATCTGTCATGGATGCTTCAGTTAAGATTCCTGTATTGCCGGGGGCTGGACTAGATGACTCTCAGGGTCCCTTCCAACTCTACACTATCATGATTCTTAGAGGATTATTTGTAACAGGAAAACTGATTTGCAGGGTTATTTTAAAAAAACAAAACCCTGAGGTGCATTGGTGTGACTTGCTTGCTCTGAGTTGCCGGCTGTGAGGCCAGTTCAGTTCGTGTGCTGCCAATGGTTTGTGCAAGCCTGCCTCTGAGAAGGGGCCCTAAGATAAGTGGCCCTGAGCTTGCAGGCACCATTGAGAACAGGAGGGTTATTGGTGAGCTTCTACTGCATTTCCGTGAATTGGAGCAGGGCACTTGTACCCCCACTCCACTCCTGGGTGATGGTGATCTATGTGAATTAGCGAAATAGAGTTGCCATTTGGATTTCCCATCTCAAGCAACAAAATGTCTGGCCCCACCTGCAGCCTCTTGTGCCATAGCCCAAATTGCTTGCAATTTAGACCTGTGTGTTCATTTTCAGTGACTCTCCAAAACCATACTGTATTCTGCAGAGTATCCAGTGATGTCAAATGCTGTGCAAAAATAAACTATAGATCTTTTAAATTGTTATTTTTAAGCTGAGCTCATTCATTAAGCATGCCCAGGGACGCCTCAGCATGGCAAAGCCACCTTCTCTTTGCCAACAGGCCCTGCAGAATGCTAGTCTTGCTTCAGTTATCTGTGTTGGTGAAGCTCCTGTCCTATGTGCACATCCCTTTGGGGATGCAGGGCAAACTGTATGAAGGAGCTGGCTAAATTTTCCAGTTCTTCCAGTAGTGTGAACTACAAAGGCAGAAGACTCTCACTGGCTCTCTTAGCATGCTCTTCCTTAGTGATGCACTAAAAAAAGCTGGTTCAGCTTGTCATTCAGGTCTGCATTTGTCTGGGAGATTATGTTTTTCCTGATGCTTCTTGGTGCTGCTGCACGAAAGCAGGTAACGCTGAGTGGGCTTTGATCCTGCTGTCTCCCTTGGGAATGGAGGGGAATATCTGTCTGGCTGCATTGACAAATCTGGGGGATCAAACAGGCAGCTTCAAATGGTTTCTCTTCTTGCCTACCTTATTTGATAGCAAAGGAACCAGAAGTCTTTGATTCTAGCAAAACTATGTTAGTTCTAATAAAGATTGCAATACCTAACCTGGTTCCACTGTGTTTGCGCACTTCCTCAGATCAGCTCACCAGTGGGGGTGGGGTGGGGGCTCCCCTGTGGATGAGACAAAGACTGCCAGCCCCCCCCCATCCCACATGCATTTCAAAAACCATATTTTCTGTGTTGGTTGGCATCCTTGCAGAATTCATGTGTTAGCTGGCTTATTCCGTTATCCTGCTATTGAATTATTTCCAAAGTAGAACTTGGTATATGCAAACCTCCATTCATTTAAATGTTAATATGGTATGGGGGCGGGTTGCTGATCCTATTTATATTGTTCCCCTCTTTAACCTTCCTTCCTTGAATTGGATTTTAGTTTTGAAGGCTTCATGGGACAGGATGCTGCACAGTTTTTACATGTATTTTTACAGGCAGACCACAGACGACCTGAATGAAACTCATGGACCACCAATGGTCTGTGGACCAGCCTGAGAACCTCTACACTGACTGGTAGCAGCTCTCCAGAGGTTCAGATGGAAGTCTTTCCCAGCCATACCTGAAGATGTCCCAGGTCAAACCTGGGGCATTCTGCATGCACTGCCACTAAGCTGTGACCAAGGGAAGCCTGCTATCTGAGGGAGGCAAAACCCCTAACTGACAATTCTCCTGCCTATTTTGCATTGGCCCAAAGACATAAAACAGCACTGCCCTTCCTACCATATCATACATCTAATCAGTGGTGGAGGAAGCCTCATGTTCTTCCCACCCAGTGTGAGGGCAAACACACCCTTGAAATGCCCCTGAAGGAGAAAGCTGTGCAGGGGCAGAGGAGGATTTAGGCTGGGGAGAAGAGTTGAAACAATGCATTCCTGCTCTTTGCTGCTCAGCTCTTGCCGATACCCCCAGGAAGCAGCTTTTCTTCTCTCTCTCTGCTTTAAAGACTTCTTGGGCTAGTGTTACCAATATTTGTGTGCATGCACACAGGACAGTTAAGCCTATGAGTTGGTGCCGGGAAGCTCAAATCCCACTTCAGCTGCAACCTAACTAGGTCCTGTGAGGTAAACAATGATTCTCTCAGACTTGAGTTTCCATCTTTGTTACTGGCCTATGTTACAAGTATGTTGGAGAGGATGTCTGTGACAAATGTATGTGAAGAACTTTGGACACCTAAAAGTTGCTGTATAAATGCTAAGTTATGAATTTATCTGCCTATTCCTTTAAGTCTGCAATAAAGGTGTTACACATCTCAGCATTGTCTGAAAATTATTTATTGGCCTTTAGTTCTGCATCTATCATATGGGTGTTGCTGTGGAAATGGAAGGGGCACAACACACTAAACATACTCAGAACAAGGCCACTGCCGTGCCTTGTGTGAAAGGGACTAATGTGGCTCACATCCACCTCCGCCCCATTTTTACAGACTGCCTCCTCTCCTCCATACTTAACTGTGTGCAGTACTGTACCCAAATGGTGGCCAAGCGCCACAGTCGCCTTTGACTGGACTTCACCGTCCAGGGGCCCTCTACCTTTTTACCTAGTGCACACATAAACTGGTGCTGAAAAGGCCTTCACGGATTATGGCCCTGTTCCAGCTGAAGTGCATTGCGACGGGCAATGCAAACCTATCTATGTCTATTCGTGAGTAAGCGCCGTTGCTTTCAGTGGCGCTTCTTCCCTAAGAAAGGGGGTCTATCGCTGTGCCTTTGCAACTTGCGTCCTGCTGGAAGCAAGGGGCTCCTCTTGCATCCGGGCTGCGTTTCAGCACTTGGGGCGTCCATTTAGAGGGGCAGGTCTAAAATTGCGCGATCATCTAATAATGCGAAGCCTCCCATGCCACGAGCACAGTGGCAAAGAAGCACATCCCTGAGCGGCCGCTTCCTTGGCTCTCGGCCGAAGGCACCGCGCGCGGGGCGGAAGGGGCCGGGGGAAACTTGCTTGCCCCGGGAGCGCAACTCCGCGCAACCTCCCCTCCCTCCCGGGGCGCGCGCGGAGGGAGACGGGGCAGCGGGAGCCCTTCCCGGCCGCTCGGGCCTCCTGCAGCGGCGGCGGCGGCGGCGGCGGGCCGGGCTGGGGTCGGCCAGGCCGGGACGCGCGGCGGCCGCCCTCCGGCTTCGCCCCTCCCGCGGGGCTGGAGCTCGCCCTGGGCTCGCCGGGCGGCGCGCTCGCTCCCTCGCTCGCTCGCTCGCAGTGCGCAGTGCCTCTGCAGCGGCGGCGGCGGCGGCGGCGGCTCGTGGTCGCGCTCTTTCCGCGGGGCTCCCGCCGGAGGATGGTGTCCGTAGCCCGGCAGCCCTCGGCGGGCCGCGGGGCGGGTCCGTAGCTGGTGCGGGGTGGTGCCCTCCGCCGCGATCGGGAGCCGGAGGCGCCGGGCGCCGGGCGCCGCGCCAAGCGCCCGCGCGCCCCTCTTCCTCTCGCTCTCCATGGACGGGGGAGCGGGGGGCGGCCCGGGGGCGCCCGGCGCCGAGAGCCCCAACCGGGCCGTGGAGTACCTGCTGGAGCTCAACAACATCATCGAGAACCAGCAGAAGCTGCTGGAGACGCAGCGGCGCCGGATCGAGGAGCTGGAGGGGCAGCTGGAGCAGCTGAGCCAGGAGAACCGGGACCTGCGCGACGGCGAGAGGGACCGAGAGCGGCACCGCGACCGCGACCGCGACGGGCAGTACCACCCCAAGGAGAGAGAGAGCCACTACCAGACCCGCGCCGAGCGCGACGGGCAGTACCCGAACCGGGAGAGCCGCACGGAGCGGGATGGGCAGTACCCCAGCCGCGCAGACCGCGAGAGCCAGTACCAAAGCCGGGCGGACCGGGAAGGGCAGAACCCCTATCCGAACCGGGACAAGGAGCGCGAGCTACAGCACTATGGAAACCGGGACGGCGGGCAGTACCCGAGCCGGGAGAGCCACTACCGGGAAGCCTGCCAGCTGCATCGAGAGCGGCCCCCGCAGTGCCACCCCGCGCGCGAGAAGGAGCACGAGTACCCCCGGCCCCCCCGGGAGCGGGAGAGGGGGCAGCTGAGCCGGGGGGCGTCGCGGAGCTCCAGCCCGGGAGCCGGAGGGGGCCACAGCACCAGCGCCAGCACCAGCCCAGCCACCACGCTGCAGAGAAAGTAAGGAGCTGCTCCGGCCCCCGGCAGCCCCGCCGGCCCCCAGGGCCACTCTCATTGCACGAGCAGTCGCTTGGGGAGGCCATAGGAATTGGTGGATGCCGGGCGGCCAGAGTCATGGAGGCCGGCTCCCTTGATTGCATTGCAGGGGGTCCTGGGGTGCATTTTTGCTTTTTAGGATTGTGAAGTGTGGTGGTTTGGGGAGCATAGATCTGTCCTGGGACTGCCCTCCTGAAACCGCTCTGCATTTCTCTGCTGCCTCTGATCTAGGCCTCTTGAGTCTTGTTGCAGTCACAGTTATTTCTCAACACCACCACATGCATCCCAATCTGCACCCATCCCTTGCTAGCCTGGCAGTGTCCATCCTTAGAGTCAGGTCTCATTCATCCTCCTTCTTGAACCCTCGCTCCCTGCTGTGTGCACTGGACTCTGTCTGGGATCGCTCTCCCCTGCAGACCCCTGCTTAGCCTGTCTGGAATACCCATCAGGGCATTCCAGCCAGAACCAGGGGTGCAGCCGAGGGGAGCTGGCGGTTCTGCTCCCCCGAACAAAAGCCTGCCCTGTAAGAAAAATCCTAGCTACGCCCATGACTAGAACCTGCTGACCCTATACTTGAGCTGGGTTTCTTCCCTTCCTGTTTTACACCAGCCTCAATTTCTTTGCTCCTTGCCAGCTTTTCCTTATTCCAGAATTCACCTCTCTCTACAGAGCAATACTGCTCTGTGCTACTGCCAGTAGATATGCTGTGTTACTCTCACCTGCCGCCCTGGGTCCTTTTCTTTCCACCATCCTTTAGGAGAATTGCTTTCCAGTTGCTCTGCAGGGGGGGGGGCGGTCTTATAACTGCAATGGACTGCTGAATGTGCTCTCCTGCCAGTCCTGCATCTTTCTCACTCTGTAATATACCAAATGGCTCTCCCCACCCCACTTTTTGGGGATTTAACTGTGCAGTGGATCCTAACTTAATCTCCTTGAAAAACTGGTTCTTTTGTATTAGTGCTCCTAGATGATTCCCTCCACATATTTCAGGACTCCCACCATTGCAAACACAAATCCAGGGCTAAAGTCCTACTTATATTTATTTGCGTAACTGCCCCCCCCCCAGCAACCTTCTGAATCCTAAGGTGAATTTTCTCTGTCCTGTGTAAGGGAAAAGAGCTGCCTCTGAAAGTGACAGGATTTTTCTGTTAACCCCAATAGCCAGTCTCTAACAGAGGGTCCCTTTAGTGTTTCCTTCTAGCTATTTGGTTTGGCATGATGTTAGGCAGGGCCTTTTGCTTCTGCTTAATAGGGATGTGGTGTACATACACTAGGGATGGGGAACTTGTAACCCTTGAGATGCCCAGTCCCCATGCCAGAGTTCAGAATTGGTGGAAGTTGGAGTCTAGCAACATCTGGGGGGCACAGGTTTCCCCATCCCTGATACACACACACACACACATGTATAAAAGCCCCCTTCCCTCTGAGTAATCCCTAAGAACCAGCCCATTGGCATAGTTTTCACTAGTGGGGTGGTTGACAGGAAAGAGCTACTGCTTAGGACAGGGACTGGATCCTCCCAGCCCCCAAATCTTGCTGAAATGTGGCTTAAGGGTTACATCCAAAAAAGTAGTGTTGCTGCCGAGTGTACCATTGCTATGATGAGCGGTGAGGGACTGAACTGATGCTTGAGGGATGCGCATGTGTGGGTGTGAAATGATTTCACATGGGTTGCCCAGTGTTATGTACTGAGTATTGAGTTCAGGGACTGAGAAAAGAATATTGGGGGGATGAGGTACCTGCTGATTTGTGGAGTGTGTAGGAATCATGCCTTCTAAGTGCCTAGGGGAGAAAGAGTAGGATTAAATGACTTGGAGTGACAAATATAGGAACCAGGACTGCTGGGTTCCTGGTACACCAACTCTGGAAGAGAACAGGATTCGTGTCCCCCTGCCCCCTTGGCTCACATCACCTTCTTGCTCCAAGAATAGGGAGCTGGTGGTTCTCTCTGTGTTACTGGAGTTCAACTCCCCTCCCCAGCCAGCATGGCCAATTGTCAGGAATGATGGGGGAGTCAAAAAAATCTATGGCGAGCCACAGATTGCCCATCCCTGTTCCAGATGCACTTGGTAAGAACCATGTTGAAATAATTGCACACGGCACCTGGGGCTTAAAAGTGTCCATCTGCTCCTCAGTGGTAAAGCACATTCTTTGTGTGCAGTCAGAGGACCCCAGGCACAACCTTTGGCAGGTCCAGGTCAGGCTGGGAAAGACCCCTTAGTGGAAACCTCCAGGGAGCTGCAGCTAGTCAGGGTCTGAGCTGGATAGACCAATGACAGTTTCCTACGTTAGCTTACGAAAATGCATGTCGTAATATATTTGATACTCTGTATGGTGTTATAAGACTCTTTCTTGTCAACAGTCCTTACAATTGCCATGTAAGGTAGGTCAGAAGTATTTTTCATGTACTGAAGACTTGGGGGGAGGGGAGATTGAGAGAACTGACTTTCCTAAGGAGCCTGCAAAACAGGCGAGATTGGAAGCCGGCATTTCTCCACCCTTTGAACATTGGTGCAGGAGTTGTTCTGAAGCAGACTGTTTGAAGAGGCACACCTGTTTATTTCAGCCCTCAGGCCCATGTCCTCTTTGCTAAGGCTCCCCCTCCTCTCTCCCCACATTGTTACTAGTGCATCTGATCTCCTCCAACAGCACCCCCTGCTTTGATGCTGATGCCTTCTGTTTGGGGGGATATGGGGGTGTTTGAACTAAATCACTGTACCTGGGAAGTTGATCTCCAGGACAGGATATGTTCTAGTTGCCCACGAGTTTTGGCTGAAGAGATTAGGATGCAGTTAGCCCTGAAAGCTTTGGGATCTGCTTTGGAAATGGCAGCAGGAGAGGCTGTGTGGGGTGGGAATTGACGAATCCAGCAGTGTGTTCTTTCTCTCTCCCTCCTCATCCCCGCCTCCTTCTCCTGGATAGAAATTAGCAAAGTGGTTTGATGCTGCAAATGACTTAAAACCAGCACAAATGTGTCTTGCCATTCCCGCCCACTCGCTACCGACACCAGGGAGGCGGTTTTTGAGAGCCTGGAGAGGTGGGTGGGTTCTCTGAGCCTCTTCTCCTTGCTGGTAAAAAACCAGAAGTGGCTAGAGGCACCTGCTCTGGCCTACAGCCTTTACTCTGTTTTTTGCATTTGAGCTGGAAACTGAGCACCGCTCCCTTCACGCCCCTGCCTCTAAGGTCGCTAGTAGCTGGAGCTGGTGCAGCATAGTGGCTGAGTAGGATGTGTGATCTGTGTATCCAAAAGCCTTTAATTCAGTTCTCATCGCTGAGTGGTCTTAAGCAAACTGTCATACCTCAGCCCTCCCTCTGTAATACGGGGATGATATTAACACTGGCCTACCTTAACAAGGTTGTTGTACAGAGTAGTGAGAGATGGTATGCAAATGCTTTGATCACTCAACAAAGCAGTATAGGAATATACTTCTTTCCCGGCACTTGGAAGAGAGCAGTGGTCTTCCAATGCCGCCCATTTGTCAGCCCCAGAAGATGGTGGTAGCCCAGCCAATTTTTTCACCTCTTCCACCTGAGGGAGATTGGAAGGGAATGTATTTTCCCATCAGTCCATCGCGGTTTGCTGCATGGGATGAAAACATGTGGTTGTTGAAAGCTTCTCTGGGATTGATTTTTCTCACTCCACTGCCAGCCATCAATTGGAAAAACGGTTGCGGTCCACTCTGGAGGCAATTGTAAGTCTGTGCTTGGGAAGCCAGGGAACTAACTGTTCTCGATATAAAGTCTGCCCTGCTTGTTTCTTAGCATAGGTGCATAAGCAGAGCTACAAAAGCCGTTTGTCTCATACTGTGAGACAGAAATGTCTAGGCATGTGAGTAAAAGCGAGAAGGGAGCAATAGCTAGCCTGCCCAGTGGCCCCTCCCAGTTGTGTGCATGGCTCATCAGATATTTCTGGGGAATGCTGAAGAGTATGTTTGCATTACGTAATTCTGGTGAGCTGCAGAACCACTAGCCCCAGAGTCAGTGCTGTGAGAGAGGCAGGGAGAGTTAGGAATGATTTAAGGCCAGATTTTCTGGGAGACTCTGGCCAGATCTCCGGCAAGGAGCCTACAGTTCTGGCTAGTGCTGCAGCTATGTTGATCTGCGTCAGTCTGTGGGATCTGCTCTGCACTCCCAACCACAGGTGCAGCGGGCTTATAGCCAAAAGTGGATGTTGGTAGCAGGTTGATGCTCTTCCTTGCACATCTCCCTTGTTCCCTTTCTTCTGTCCCTCTAGGTGAGAAGACAGTGTTGTGATGCAGACAAGATCATTCATTGATATTAGGATTGCAACTAATGTAATCAAGGTGGCACCCTGACTCGCAGCATTCCTACAAATCAAGGTTAGGAACTGGTTGTCACATGATTGCCGTTTCTGCGAGGACCACCATGTGGCCAGCCAGACATATTTAAGTCTCAACAACAGGCTGGTGTGTAGGACCCGCTGCAGGTTGCTGAGAAAAGGGACAAGTTTCATATTGCACTAAAAGTATTCCTGTTGCCAAGAGTGGCAGCCGTTCATTTAATGCCCTCTATCCTCTGTACTGCATCTTTTTAAAATAATAATAATAACTTTTTATTAGATTTCCAATATTTGCCCAATATTACCACACTTTTGCCAATTATACAGATTTGAATCAAAATAATTCAATTAATTCAAAATTTATACAATTTAATAAAAGTAGTTTCCCGCACTCCTTGATCAATGTTTTTGTCCAGTTCTTATATTGCTGCAGTTCATATTTTTCATTAACTTCTAATTACATTTCAGTTGGTATATTAATCATTAAGATAACGGCTGCATTTTTAACGATTACTATTCGTGTTATTATCTAACTTTTCATAGGATTTCAAATGAGGTGCTCTAATTATTTTTCTTTTCTCTGCGTGTGTCAGCCTCAATATGTCCAGTTATGAAGTCCTTGGCCTTTGCTGCCCTCCAGCTGCTGTTGTCTCTCATCTTAACTGGGGTGCAGCTATAATCCTGGAGAATTCTCAAAATGTTTTTTTTAAAAAATAATATTTATTAAAGTTTCACACAAAAAAAGAATCACATTAATAAAAAAGAAAAATTTAAGAATAAAAAGAGAAATACACAATACAAAATACAAAAGGAAAAAAGAAAAAACAGTTAAAAACAATTCCGTCTTTTCATGACTTCTTTTACATTTACTTGTTTCCCGGACCTCCTCATACCTCCCTCTTTTGTATTCCAATTCAGTTTGTTAGTCCAGCAATTTCTTTCTCTCCTTTTTAATCTCAATCCTTAATCTTAATATATTATAACATTGTTTTTACCTATTAAAAACCAATTTTTCCATTCTTTTGACCTTTTTAATCTTAATCCTTAATCTTGATATATTTATAACTTTAAAGCCTGTACAGCTAGAAGCCACTTAACTTCAATCCAACATCACTCTAACATTCATTAATTTTGCAATATTTCTGTAAATAATCTTTAAATTTCTTCCAATCTTCTTCCACCAACGAGAATTCTCAAAATATTTCACTAGCTCCCTCCCATTGTGCTCTCATCTTGCTCGGTGTTTTCAGACAGCAACATACTCCAACAGTCCACCTTTCTCACTACTCAGTCTTGAAGTTTCTACAGCCTGAGAAAGAGGGATCCAACTTCTGCCACAGGGGATCTTGGAGTACTTCATTTTAATTAATAACCACCAACGTCTCTGTGCCTCACGTGTTTGCACCCCCAAATTCCTTTCATCTTTACAACTGCATTTTGGCCAAAGTTCACTTGAGTTATATCTCTTCTCTATTGTTTTTAAGAGGGGATGGTAGAGAAGGTATCCACTCTAATTTCCCAAGATAATCCATTCCAGCATTAGAGCTCTCCCTTCCTTCCATCTCTTTAAACCACACACAGCTAACTGTTCTTTTAATCACAAGTTTTATTCCATACTGCAAACCAACCTCATTTTACATCTTTAAAATTTTGCGTCTGGAGAAGTTTGCCAAATAATTAATAAAGAAGCTCAAAGTAAACAGGAAACCAGAGGCTCCCCTCTCCGCCATCCACCGCCCACACCGAATAAAATCTTTTCTCAGTTCCAAAGCTCAGATCAATGCAGCTGGATAATTCTGCAGTTCTGATGACAATATCTTCTCTTGGAGTGTGCCTGACCTTAAAGCCAATTAGAAATGCAATTAACAGGAGAACCTCTGCTTCTTAATGCCGGCGTAGGAGGGTTTCACTAGGCAAAGTGCTTTTTGCACTCAGTGCCTCCCTGCCCCCTGCATTACATGCCAGAACGAGAGCCAGGTACTGAGACTGTGAGTGAAGCCTGCTCCACCCTTCCCTGGGAGGAATGTCCCAAAACGATTTACCCTCTATCATTCTTGTTTTCCTTCGCCTTTGATCCCTGCGGTGTCGTGGGGGGCTGCCTCCATTAAGGCAGATAGGCACCAGAAACCCCTCTGTACTGTATCTAGGGGAACTTACCCATCTCCTGACAACATTATGTTCTGTATATCCCCAGCTCTTGCCGATAGCAAACTATGACACTGAAGGGAGGAAGAAACAGGGATATCATAGACATGAGTAAGTGCTATATCATAGAAAAAGTGGATGTGTAGTGGCTGCTTTTGGCAGCAGTCACACATGTAGCGTAATATCTAATGTGGCCTTAGGTGAGATCATGTCCCAGAAACCAATTGTAACATTAGGGAGGAATCTAGATTGTACTCTTACTTCATGCAGGGAGCCACATATATCAGAAGCAGTGTAAAAAACTGCACTTTTGTGCAGCTTCCGGAGAGGTAAGCACTGCTTGAACGCTACTGCTCTAGTGTACTCTGTCAGAATGATGTTCTGTCTGTTCTTCCTGAGAGATAGAGTCAGCCCTGTCTGCATCCATGGAAATATGCCACAGGTAACATTAACAACCCTCCCAGGCCTAGCAGCACTGTGTTCTGAGGGATCCAGGTAGAGGCTTCAGCGGTGTTTGCCAGGCCAAGAAGACCTTACAGAATGCCCCCTTTCCCCCTTCCTCTGTCCCCCTTCCCCAGCCATCACCATCATTGATTGCATTTCTATCCCACTTTTTTCTCCAGGGAGCTCAAAGTGGTGTAGATGGTTCTCCCCCTCCTCATTTAATCCCCACAACAACCCTGTGAGGTAGGTTAGGTTGAGATACAGTGACTGGCCCAAGGTCACGCAGTGAACTTCATGGTTGAGGGGGGATTTGAACCCTTGTCTTTCCCAGGTCCTAGTTCTAACCACTATACCACCCTGGCTCTCAATAATTAATTTCTAAAAGTTCTGTGCCAGTTCAGTTTCCTAGATCAAGGAGGAAGAAAACAGGTGAATGTTGCTGAGTGTCCCCATGACTATACTCCTCAGCATGTAAATTCTGTGGCCTTTCTTAGTTATCTGCACAAGGGTCCTAACTAGCAGCAGACCTAGGGCCTATTTCACACATGCATGTTCACCCAGGGGTGACTGGAACATCAAGTGATGCTTTGCATGAATGAGTAAGCACAGACCAGACCCACAGAAAGAGCCATCCTCACACCTTGGAATTACCTTAAGCATAGTGCTTGTCTCTGGAGCCTTCTGGCTCATACTTGCAGATATGAGTGTGCTTTTTAGTTGGTAGGATCTTGCTGGGGTGTAGGAACTTTTCTCTTTGGCTCTTGGGGAGTTATCATTGCCTTCGCTTGTTGCAGAACTGTGGCAGGATAGTGCTTCACATACATTTCCCCAATGTTCTTACTGCCACTTGTCTCACAAACACAGACTCCAGTAGCTGCACATCAAAGCTTCCTCTAGGGCATTAGTGTCGGGTTGCAGTGTAGGTCATTTCACCCTGTGCCGCAGCTCTGTGCATGAAGGCAGTGTTGCACACTCTTGGGAGCTTGCTCAGCAGCTGTTCCCCCAGCTGTCTCTCCAGCAAGCAGCTGCTTTCTGCATCTTAATAAAACAATACATCTCTTTGCAAACAGCCCCACCCTTTCCCAAACCACTTAGAGAGGGTGCCTGCTTCTTTTAAAAACTTGTCTGTAGGTTTACCTGGAAATAAGTCCTACTGGTTTACTCCTGAGTAAGGAAGCGAAGCATGCATTGGAAATCATCTGAAAGAGAAAACCAGCCCTAAGGAGCTGTTTAGGAAGACTGGAGAAGACATGTGTGTTGTCTCAAATTTGGGCCTCTTTTTTTAACACTTGAAATTATTCCAAGAGGGGGAAGCGGTGAGAGGAAAAGTCTGAGATTGAAGCTGTGTGGCAGGCAAAGAGGAGGATTACTGTGTGATGATAATGGTTTGGGGCTTTTAAGTTGTACACAGGATCTTCATTTGAGTCAGGGCCCGCAGCCGAACTGTTTTCAGCAACAGGGCAGCCTTTGCAAATTGGGTGCCCTTCAGATGATTTGGATGGCAACTACCATCATCCCATCAGTTGCTAATGGCTCTCTTTGTACAGCCCCAATGGGAAGACCCTTGAGGGGAAAGATTTGGTACTCTCCAGTTGGGGCAACTGCTAGCATTAGAAGTTCTTATGTCCTGAGAGGTAAATTACAAGGCCTAGTTCTCATTGAGGTGGTGAACCTACTGGGACTGTCTCACTTCAGACTGTTGGTGTGGACTTGCATGATGGAATGACCCTCCACCCACACAGAAATTCTATTTATAAAACAAATCTGTCAAGGAGAAGGCTTCTAAGCTAGCTTTCGCTTTGACATGCCTGTTTTCTACGTGGAGGGATTTTTCAAAAATGACAAATAAATATGGAGCAGCATTTTATCAGTCCAGTTCAGCAGTCTAAAGTGGTACAGCCCAGACATTGATTTACCACTCCTAAGCTTAACTCTCTTCAACACATAGCAGTAAGGATGTTCATTAAATTGTAAGTTTTCATATTTCATTTCAGGCAACAGTCCTCTTCTTTCTTCAGACATTCAGAAAGGTGTTTTCACTGAAAGCTTAACAATATATACATGTATTTAATAGAAAAAACTACTCTTGTGTAAGTTATTTTTACACTTCTTACAGGATTTGTAACATGGGTCATTTGCAAGAGGGTCCACAACTAGTCCAGGGGGGTTGACAATATTTTTTCTGCTCATCAGGTGAGGTTCATTCATGAGCAGTCTGTTAAAAGGGACAAGAGTAATTTCCTTAGCATTGACGAGGTTTACAATATGATCCCAAGTGTGTTTTCTCAGAAGTCATCAGTAGGACTTGAAGTGCAGCCAAGTGTGTAGGTTTTGGTGTTAGTTAATATTTGTATGTAAAAGTTACTTCTAAGGATTTTATTTCTTTGCCCCATCAGCCCTGAAATCCATTCCCAGATTGTTTCATCTAGGCAACATCCCAGTGCTGATGGCAAGTTCTCTTCTTGTACCTTTCAGAGCTTATCAAGACTTCCTTTTGTGCTACATTTCTAAGCACAGGTCTGGCCTTTTTAAGCTCTATGTTTGAGCCCCCCCCCACCTGGCACTTTCCCCGGGAAAACCTGTATTTTACCACTGAATTGGAGCAAACAGCAATTCATGGAAAACCCAATTGCTGTTTGCTCTGATTCAGCAGTAAAACATAAGTTTTCCCAGGGGGAAAGCTCTGGGACAAAAACAAAAAACAAAACCACATGCTGGGACATGGAGCTTTAAAGTGCGAACTTATGCCTGGAAAGCATGGTGCAAAAGGAAGTCTTGATGAGTCCTCATACACAAACTGGGTATCAGCCCTTAGTTATAAATAAGGTTAAAGAGGTTGACATGGTCTAAATTCCATTGAGTAAGTGGGGCTTACTTCAGGCACATGGGTATAGGATTGTAATCTAAATTGATCTCTGATTTTATGCTGTGAACTGCCCTGAATACTACAAATGAAGAGCGGATTACAACAACAACAACAATAATAATAATAATAATAATAATAATAATATATTGCATTGCCACTGAGCCAGAATTTGAGTGACTAGTGGAGTTATGGACAGGGTGAATAATCTGGGCTGCTGGAACCTCGCTGGCCTGGTTATCACTGCGGTGGTAAATCTGTGTCTGTGCTGGACCACTTTAGACTGCAGCTGGAGGCTCACTTAGTGGGATGGCCAATTGCCTCTGCAGCACCTGCTGCTTTTTCTCCAGGCCAAGGTCTCTTGCCAGCCCTGATTACAGGATCTTCCCTTGGAAGAATCCCCCCACAACACTCCAAGGAAAGCGCAGACTTTGCCTCATCACCAAAGGCAAACATGAAATTATATGTTTTGTTAATAAAGCATAAGTAAACTAAGTAGGCATAGAATTAGACACAGAAAATAATATGCAACAAATTTATCACATTTATATTTTCCTTGAAGGAAACCAAGGCAGTGCATATGCTTCCCTGCCCCCCATTTCATCCTCACAACTTTGTGAGGTAGGTTAGAGGATTAGCTGCCTATACACCAACATTTAAAGCACATGACTTACTCCAAAGAATCCTGGGAACCGCTTTACCCCCAGAGCTACAATTCCCAGCACCCTCAATAATGTGCTTTGAATGTATGTTGTATATTCAGCCAACATCACCCAGTGAGCATCACAGCTAAATGAAGATTTAAACCTTGGTCTCTCCAGACCTATACCGACACCCTAAGCCACTACACTGCACCTCACTGACAGCTAGCTTATCTTAAATTCAATTGTATTTGTAAGTGGTAAACTTACCTTGGCCTCAAATGCCTTTGCTAAAGCCAAAGTTTGGGTTCCTGTTTGTAGAACAGTTAGCCTGCAATAGATGTGGTCAGCTCCATCCTTATTTCAGACATTGTGATATATCGATATATCACAATGTTTAGCTGGTGATACAGTATATCACGATCTTGAAAACCAGATATCGCCTGGCCCTATGGAAGAGGACCATGGCTGCTGATCCCACTGCTGAGTTTGTCATACCCACTGCCACTGTTGCCTGATCTCCGTGTGTTAAGTGGGTTGTGGAATGTATAAAAAGAGCCTATTTGTGTCTACAACTGTATGTGTACAGAGCCTGCGTGTAGGGAAACCTGTGACCCTCCAGCCACCATTGGACTTCAGTGCCTCTCAGCTTCAGCCAGTGTGGCCAGTGCTGATGTGATGATGGGAGCTGAGATCCAGCAACAACTGGAAGGCGACAGGCTTCCCATCACTGGGGTGCATCTTCCACACACTCAGGAAGTCTGATTGTGCGTAGATGTGTTGCAGGGCCTTTTATGCTGAAGATAATGGAGTTCAGGGATTGGAGGTAGCAGATGCACCAACGTCAGCGGCAAGATCAGTGAGCCTGGTTCCCCTGCCACATTTTGAGTGTATGTATCTGTGTGGGTGGGAAATGTCTGAAGAGTGCATCTGTTTTTTTAAAAAAATTTATTTCCATATGTAGTAATATAATGAAACGAGTTAACTAAGACTAAGGAGCTGGCTGGTGATGAAAACAACAGGTGTATGGGACTGAGGTGGCAGGAAGTAGTCATACTAGATTACAATGTCCGGTTTTGTTGAGGTCAGCATAGCATTCCAAACCCTGACTTCTGAGGGAAGTGGGGTAGGATTTGTTGGCAGTTTCCTGTATGCCACATGTGACATTGTCAAGGGTGGCTTCTCGGTTTGAAGGCACTCCTTACATGGGAAACGATGCAGGTAGACTGCTTGGGCTTCCTCTGTGTCTGCCCACTAGGATGGGGAACTGGTGGCCTTCCAGATGTTGTTGCTCTCAAACTCCCAGCAGCCTCAGCCAGCATGGTCAGTCCTCAGGGATGGTGGGAGCTGTGGTCCAGCTTCATCTGGAGGGCCACAGGTTCCTCATCCTTACAATTCATGCACTATCCAGGATGGAGTGTGTGTGTGCTTTTGTAGCTGTTGCTGGCCAACTGCTGTATTCCATTCCCCTCCCTTGCTGCTGCTATGTGGTAGCTTTTGAATTCTCCCTGTCATTTTCAATCAGAGTGTATCTCTGTTGCAGCTGGATGACTGGCTGCGATGGGGACAGTAAGGTTTGATTTGCAGCAGGGGAGTGCTGGGCCGCAGCGGGATGGGACTGCGATGCGGTTGGCGGAGCCCCTGGTGTATACAGAGAGCAATCAACACTGACATGAGCAACCTTATAATAGCATCAACTGGCACCCCTTGGCTCCCATACATTCAACCACTTATACAAGTTAGACTCCTGTTTTCATACCAAATACACACTGAGAATATGGGGGAAGCCCACCTTTTCCAAGAAGACAACCTGGCTGTGGCTGATGGGAGTTGCCTTCGTCATTTATATACACAACCT